TATGCATCTAGCATGTGTATCCACTTACCTTCGCGCCATGACTCACGCCGGCACGGCCGCGAAAAGGCGGTTTTCCCCTCAACGAACCCACCACCAGATCAGAACCGACCTCTCCTGGACTACGAGGTTCCTACAGTCGAATTATGCGAGCAGACGGCTAAGCGCTGTCATATGCGAGTCCACAGTGCACGGCGACCCACGCACGACGCGGTGAAAGAACAGCCGGGCCCACCTGAGGATGGTTCCTACCAGGTGGAGTCCCGTTCCGACGCACGCAGCGCAATCAAGGGACTCGAGGCCCACCAAGATGCGCCACCTACCTGGAGTGGTCCGGCACGAAGCCGCAAGCTTCCCGAAACGCTTGTCTGAAAGCGTCCTCGGCGGAGCTATGCCTTGCAAGTAGCACCTCTCTCTTGACCACTGTTTCGCGACGCTGACGAGCCGGCGTGGTCGCGCTCGGGAGGTCTCAATCTTCCCTGGGCGCGGAAGTCCTAGTCGTGCTCGACAGCGATGCGCTGAGCCAGTCTAATCGCCCTGCGCTAGCACCGTCAGCTTGGGGCCCCGCATGCCCCGCCGAGAAGCCGTGGCCAGCCCTGACCGCTCGCAACCTAGGTGCCAACGATGGTTGCGAAAGCCGTGGTCGGCGCTGCGATCTTCCTGGTAGGCGCTGGGACGGGGTTCGCCATCGCTGTCCTCGCCAACAAGAAGAAGGACGCCCCTCCGCCCCCAAGGTACTCGATGCCGCGTTCTTCGGCGCAAACACATCCACATGATGTCTGCGACGTGCAAATGTGCTTTGACGCGGCGGCGAGTCCACGGCAGCACCTGAACGGGCCCCGCCTGGCATGTGCGCGCCCCGCAGGCGCCCCAAGCGGCAGCCCCCGCACGAGGTCGACACCCCCGTGGACTCCACCCACGACGCCGAGCCGTGGTGGTCCGTGCTCCACAAGTCCCTCGAGAAGTGAGCGGCCGTCGTCGCCGACGACACCCGAGCTGTTGTACCTGCAACTCACGGCACCCTGACGCCAGGGGCCGCGCGGAGGCAGCCACGCCCGGCCGCTGCAGCACGGCAGCGTACGGCCACCGCGTCCTGGCAAGCGTATCGGGACGAGCGCGCTCGCGGCCGACCCGAGGGCGCACGGGCTGCAGACACAGAGTATTAATCGAGACACGTCGCGCGGCGCGATCACGGCGTCACACGCGCGCGGCCGTCAGCTCGCCTCCGCGGGCTCGCGGTGGCGGATCTCGAAGAGCGCGGCGGTCCCCACGAACGTCGTCTTCAGGAACCACAGCGCGCCGTTTTCGCCCTTGTCCGCCGCGATGCTCGCCGCCCAGAGACCCATCGCGCCGTGCACCGGGAGCGCGACGTAGGTGATCGTGCGGCACAGCGCCTCCGCGTCGGTGGAGATGGCGCCGATGCGCGACCAGTCCCCGCTGAAGCCCGCGTCGATCATCGCCAGGAAGCCAGTGGCGATGGCGCCGCACACGCCGTAGCTGTAAGCCTTCGTGCGGCTGAACCCGACCTGCGGGGAGCGGGCGGGGGCCGCGTTAATTAGCCGCGCGGGACAGAGCTCAAAGCGGCTGCTTGATCGCTGTCGTGCCGGTCAGCGCAGGCAAGATGGCCGCGCTTGCGCCGTCGGGGGCGGTGCCGACGAGGTGGCTGCTACCGAGTGCGTGTGTGCTGCGCGGGTGTAGTCGTGGTTGCTGCTGTCCGCGCGCGCGACGGCTCGAACGCACCATGGCGTCGTTGTCCAGGAGGCCCCAATCGTTGAGGCCCACGTGCGCCTTGACGGACCGCCTGTGGACGGCGGGACGCAGCGGGGGGACGCAGAGGCCCGTGTGCAGGGGGCGGGAGACCGCGATCGGCCTCGCTGCGAGGCCCTGAGGGGCCGGGAGGGGCCTGGTAGCTGCTCTGGTGTACATTCTGTCGGCTGTGCGGCGTGCTTGTGCGCTGAAGACGGATGTACGTGCCCGCACAGTCTTCCTTTTGCTGGATGACCACGCGGGATCAACGCCGCGAAATCACGCGTCGTGCGCCTGTCGCGCTGCTGAGCCTGCTGAGTGCGACAGTGCTACAGCTCGGGGAAGGACTGTGACGGATGGAGACGAGGGCGCGGCTGGAGCTGCGCGTGAGGTGGAATCTGCGGTGGCAAGAAGCGGCGAAGCGGAGCGGGGGGTGTGGCATGATCACGTCCGACGACCTCGGCGAGGTCCCGGGGAGGGTCCGGGGGGCCCGTTGCGGTCGTCGAGCAAGGCTGCAGGCTGAGATTGACGTTGGCAGACGCACGATGACACTCCGCTCGACTGTGGATTGCGAAGCACTCTGCCCGCGAATGGCGGTAGTCGGCAAGGGGTGGCCAGCTCCAACAGGCATGCTTGGTTCCCACGCGCTTCGTGCGCGCGACACTGATTTCTCAGCTCGTGACCACTGAGTGTGTTCTACTGGATCGATCCCTGAGTCTCCTGGCTCAAGAACGCCGTACGGCGATGTGGGCAGGAGAGGAGTTGTATAGTGGGCCTCAGGAGAGCAAGAACAAGGAAGTTGACGGTATGTTCTGGTTTTGCGAAGGATCCTGACTCCATCATCTTACGTGCTGTCGCCTCAAAGCTGCCGAATGCGCATGGAGGAGCGTGCGACACGGAGGAGTGCACCTGTGCTTTTGTCTCAGAGCCTCCTCCGGGCCGCTGGAGTCCCAGATGGCACCTGCGTCAGCTATGACGGAATATCCACACGATATAGACGTCCGCGGCGCGAATGACGCACTTCCCACTGCGATGTGCATGCATCTCAGCACCATGACACGGTTTGGTTTGTCGCAGACCCTCTCGGTGACGCAGCGGCCTCGTGGTTCGCCTCGATCGGCCGCGAGCTCACTGGCAGCTTCGCAGACGACGCTGCCGCCAAACCTGCCGGCGCGGCGGCAAGGCCCCCCCCTGACACCACCGGACAAGAGCCCTCCTCTGGCTGGGACGACGGCGACGGATTCTTCGCAAACTTCACCAAGCTCGCGGGCGAGACGCTCACTGGCCACGTCCGGGGCGACGCAGACACCCGGAAGCCCGACCGTGCCGCGCAGAACGACTCTGGGAGCGATGTGTCTGTCGATGGCGGGGCTTCCCCGCGATCATCCGCCGGCGGTGCTGCGCATCAGGACGCTGCTGCGTCTGACGCGAAAGTAGATTCCGCGTACGCGCCTCGGTCGGCGGCGGACGCACCACCGAGCGGGGTCGTGCACGCACCCGCAGCGCCACAGGCCACAGATGTCAGGGGCGCGACGCGTGGAAGAGATGGAGCGGACCCTGCGAGCGGTCGAGAGCAGACTGCCGGGGCTGACACGGAGGCGCTGAGGGAGATTCTGTCGATTCGCGAAGAGCAGCTCGCTCGCCGCGCAGTGGAGAACGCCGAGGTGCGGCCCGCCGCCCACGCCGCCTGGCGGCCCCGCGCTCCGCCGCGCACGCCGAGAATCACGCCGCACCAACGCCATGTAGTTGGTTTCCTGAGCCTCGGAGTTCTCATGTAGGATGTTTGGGTGTTGTTGTCCTGTGCAGCTGAAGGCCGCTCAGGACGAGCTGGCCGACCGCAACCAGGTGCTGGCGCTGCTGAAAGCTCCTGCCAGCGAAGCCGACGTCTCCGGGCTGCAAGCGGCGCTGGACGCGGAATCCAAGGCGCGCGCCGCGGCGGAGGCGGCCCGCGCGCAGTCGGACGGTGACCTCGCACGGCTGCTCGACGCGCTGTCCCGGCGCGAGGCCGAGTTCAACGACGCCCTGAGCGAAGCGATGCAGAGCGGCAAGCAAGCCCAGGACATGGAGCGCCGCGCCCGCCGTCTCCGCGCCAAGGTGCGCGAACAGGAGGGCGAGAAGGCGCGCCTGCAGGCTGCCGTCGCCGCGCTGCAGGACCGCTGCGGACAGCTCGAGCAGGCGCGGGCGCGCGCCGAGGAGGCTGCGAAGGCCGCGAAGGCCGCCGCGGAGTCCAGCGAGAGCGCCTCGAAGGGGCTCGCGGCATCAAAGCAGCAAGGTCTCGCGGCGGAGCGGCGCGCGCAGGACGCGGCGCGCGAGCTCGCCGAGGCACGCGAGCAGCACGCAGCGGCTGCGGCGGCCGCAGCGGCGCGCGAGGAGCGGCTGCGGGAGGACGTCGCCGCGGCGCAGCGCGCGCAACGTGCCGCCGAGGAGCAGTGCCGGGAGCTCGCGGTGGCTTCCGCGGACGCGACGGCGCCGCTCGCGGCGCGCGCCGCGGAGCTTGAGGCGAAGCTAGAGCGCGTCGAGCGGCAGCGGGCGGTCGATGAGCAGAAGGCGGTGCGGGCGCTGCGGGATGCGGAGGCGCGGGTGTCGGCGGCGCAGTCGACAGCGGAGGCTGCGCGCGCTGCGACGAAGAAAGCGATCGACGGCGAGCGCGCGGCGGAGGCCGCTGCGGCGGCGGTGCGGCGGGAGCTGCAGGCCACGCGCGCCGCGGCTGCGGACGAGTGCGAGGCGGCACGAGCGGCGGCGCGCGGCGCAGAGGGGAGGGCGGCGGAGGCGGAAACCCGCGCCAGGGAGCTCGCGGAGCGGGTCGAGGAGCTCGAGCGACGTGTTGCGGACGCAGAGGCCCGGGCTGCGGACGCCGAGGCCCGGCAGCGGCTGTTGGAGTCGGCGAGTGTTCAACGTAGCAGTGCGGAGGCACGTGCTGTGTCTGATCGGGCGGCAGACGTGGTCCGAGACGATCGAGACGCCGAGAAGGGTAGTCGTACAGACGCGGACGCAAGTAGAAGGCGGAAGGACGTGGACCTCGACGCGCTGGTGCGGGGCCTCGCGCGGCCTGCGAGCGGGACCGTTGGCAGCGGGGAGGAGTCCGCGGAGCTGGCGGCTGCCCGACAGCGAGCCCAAGAGGCATGCGCGGAGCGCGACAGGATCGCGGAGGACATGGTTGCCGCGGTGCGGGCGGCTGAGGTGGCGCGGGAGGGTTTACGCAAGTTGGAGGAGCGGCACCGCGCGGCGCTCGAGCTGCTGGGGGAGAAGGAGGACGAGGTCGAGGGGCTGCGCGCGGACGTCGACGACCTGCGCAACTTGCTCAGAGAGCAGGCGCTGAGGTTCGCGGACTCTGCGTAGTTTGCGGTTAGATAAAGGGCCGCCTATCTCAATATCTCACTCCGGTGTGACACGTTTGTCACACTGCATGTTCAATACAACGCCGCGTGCGTGCCGACGAGGTGGTTGTGACGCTTATCGGGGGCCCGCACTTCCCTCGCGAATCGAATCTGCCCTGGAGCGCCATCTCGCTCTCCGCCTCAGGCGTCGACCGTCACGACCGCTGAGGCGGTGGATGTCGCCGCTCGTCCGCCTCCCGCCCGCGGCGGTCGATGACGAGCGCGTACGCCGATGCCAGGATCAGGCAGATGCCCGTGAGGGACGACAGCGTCAGCGCTTCACCCAGGAACAGCGCGCCCAGGGACAGCGAGAAGATCACGCGCACGTACCCGACGGCGGTCGTGAGACCAGCCTTCTCTATCTGGAGCGCGCGCGCGAGGAGAGTCTGCGACACGAACGACACGAATCCCACCAGGACGAGTCCAGCAACATCTGCAAGTGTCGTCCAGGAAAAAAAGATTCAATTTTGCGCGCAGCGGGCCCGCAACAGCCAGGATGAGCGGCTTCGGCTTTCAGCACGGTGTGTGTGACCGCGGGGTCTCACCGACGAGCGACGGCATCCTCATGGCGCGCGTGATGGCCAGCACCACCACGAAGCAGGGCGCCGCACATGCCGCCAGGCTGAACACCGGCACCAGCGCGTGGCATCCGGCCTTACCAACCATCCGCACGATCGTCCACGACGCTGCACGTGCACCCAGATCCAGGAGAAACCGTTTGGCGCCTCATATTCTGTCAGACAAGCAGCAGAACGGCCCATGAACGTCAGGTTCCTCACCTCCCGTGCAGACTGCACCGAGAAGCGCGACGCACACCCCCAGGAGCCTCCGCATGCCGTCCCCCGCGACCGGCGCCGCAACCACCACAGGCGCGCCAGTCAGGCGCCCGAAGACCTCCACGAGAATCGACGGCTTCGCGATCGCGAGCGTGCCCAGGAACGACGTCAGCGTCCCCACGGACTGCAGGCGCGTCCAGGGCTCCTTCAGGAACACCCGCGCGAACACGGCGGTCCAGATCGGGGAGGTGAAGGACAGCGCGGTTGAGTCCGCCAGCGGCAGCAACGCAATGCCATAGAAGTACGCCGACATGCCGAGGATGCCCGCGCACGTGCGTGCTGCGATCGCGCGGCGCAAGCTCGGCGGTCCGAACCACTGCCGCGGCTTCAGTCCGTCCAGGGACATCGACCCCCCCGCCAGGACAATCCCCAGCAGACATCGCACGAGCAGCGCTTGCGCGACCGGCACGCGGTGCTGCGCCAGCAGCTTGACCAAGAGCCCGAGGAGCGAGTACGACACGGCGCTGCCGGCGCTGCACGCGATCCCGGACCACCAGCGGCCCCCCCACAGTAACGCCACAGGCTGCAACCAGTCCGGTGCGTCGTCCAGCAGGGCCGCGAGGCCCCGGGTGTCCCGGCCCGCCTGGGGCTTGGGCGACGCGCCTGCGTGCGACGCCCGGCGCCGCGTGACGTCCGCTTGCAGCGCGTGGCTCGTGTTGGATGTTGCGGTGGCCAGTGTGACGTGGTCGCCGTCCGTGGGTGGGTCGGCGCTGCGACGCTGGTGGAGCGCCTGCGCGAACGTGCGTGTAGGTGGGAGTGTGGGGCCGGTGGGCGCGGCGAGCGGGTCGGGTGTTGGGCGCTCCCGCAGCACTTGCCTGGGCTGTGAGGTGATGTTCGTCGTCTATGTGCATTTCTGGCGACATTCGTGCTGCCCGGAGCCTATGTAGAAGCTACGTTGAGAACTACAGGTGTGTTTGACGGCAGCATCGGGCCCCCATCGGCTGGGCGGGCGAAAAAGAAGGGTCGGCACTGGAAGGAGGTGCGCGGTGCGGGGGGAGGGGTTTCCCCACAGGGCCGCCGCCGGCACGATACTTCGCGAACTCACGAGCCTCAGGCGCGAGAGAGGGGTGTGACAGAATGTCGAATGAGGGTGGGGGGGGATGCACTTGCTTGAAGACAGCACGCAAATCGCAGGTCACGGAGTGACTGCAGGACTGTCGAGGCGGAATAGCGGCACAGTCGATCGGAGCTCGTCGTCGCGGGGCACTCGAGCCCCGCGCGCCGCCCGGCTCGAAGCAAAGCGACGTTGAAGTTCTCCGGGGCGTGAGTCTCGTCGACGCACGGCGCTATGAGGGGACCGCGGCCGCTCTTACACGCGATTCCCGACCAGCACGACAGTCACAGTAGGTCGACAAAGGCAAGCGGGGGTTGAATCTGTCCCGCCATTGGCCCGTTTCGACCAGCGCGCGCCGTCCAACCAAGGGCGGTGGTATCTGCGCTAGAACGGCATCCTCGATAGAGCGCTGTCCTACTTGTACGCCGAGAATGATCGCTACGTTCCTCAACTTCGAGATTCTCATGTCAGACGACCGCTTCTATCGCGAGAGGCTGGTTGCGCGGTGAGAAACACCGCAAGAAGCAACCAGCGCGGAACATGCGGCGCGAACGCACGCCTCCGGCCGCGCGGTCCCGGAGGTCGTCCGCGAAATCGGCGAGGGAAGCGGACTCGAGGCGGCACCGGGCTCCCAGGCGGCGTCTCAGCACACCGTCCTCCCCGCGAGAGGCTCCTGCCACTGCTGGCGCGGAGCGCGAACCTCTGCCGACGTGCCCCATCTGCCTGTGCGACATCGAGGATCCACGGGACAAGACGGTCGTCCTGGACTGCCTGCACACGTACTGTCTCACGTGCCTCTTGACATGGGTGCGACACGGACACAGATCGTGTCCGCTCTGCAAGGTGCGCCGGCGCGTCTCCCCCCGCACGTCGCGCCCCCTGCAGCACGCGTCTGTCAACCACGCTGCCTCGCGCCTTGTCCACCGAGCACCGCAGGGCGTCATTCGCGGCTACCTGTCGAACATAAAATCCGACCGCGAATACAGCGAACGTATACTGTCGCCCTTGCCGGAGCCGAGCGCCGAGGACGACGGTACCATACTCGCCCAGATCCAGGAAGGAGTCGACGCCGTGAGGTGCGTCGCGCACGATCACACACGGCGTTCCGGGGTGTGGAAGGCACATTGCAGCAGGTCGGCACTTTTGCGCGTCACTCGCACGCACCGACGTGATATTGAGCCATGGCATGGACGTGCGCAGGAGGCGGTTCCCTCTGGAAGGCGGCGAGTCCTCGCGCGGCAGAAGCAGCGACGCCGCTCGCTTGGCGCGGTACCGCGACGGGGCACTGCGGCTCGCCGCGGCGCACCGCAACCGCACGCCCTCGGGCGTCGGGATCCCGCCGGGCGCCGCAGCGAGGTCTGCCCCGAGCTTCCCCGTGGGCCCCCTGACGGAGGTCCAGCAGCCCCTGGCCGTGCAGCGGCGCATGCACGTGTACCACGCGAGCCTCTGGGCGCTGCCGACGGAGCACCGAGGGCACGCGCGCGGGGGTGGGGAGTCCGGACTCGCGGCGCTGGCGATCGGACGGAGCCGATGGGACGGCGCCAGCAACGTTGGAGGTAGGTGCCCCAGGGCGCCGCCACCAGCGCTGGTGCTCCTTTCGCGGCCTCGCACGAGGGGACTGGGTGCTGATGCTGGGACTATTTGCTGTTTCGCGTGCGCAGGCCGTCAGCTGCCGCAGAGGATCAACGAGTTCGTGCAGCGCGAGCTGCGGGCGTTGCTAGGCTCGGACGACACCTTGATCGTCCGCACGCTCGTGTCCAGCCTCTTCCTCGACCTGGCGTCCTGCCACCACGCGGCCTCGCAAGGCAGCAGCGCTGCGAGCGCGCAGCCGTCGGTCCGGGGCGTCGCGCAGCCGTCGACGGACCAGGCCCTGGCGGAGTGCGTCACAGCGCTGCGGCCCTTCCTGCACGAATACTCGGAGCACTTCTGGCACGAAGTGGCCGCGTTCGCGATGTCGGGACTGACGATCGACGCGTACGACGGCAGCGTCGAGTACTCCGACACGGCTCCAGAACACACGGCTGCCATGTTCCCGTCGCAGCGGTGGAGGGAGCTCTCTGCGCGAGCTGCGGAACGCGACGAGCCGTCCGCGGAGCGCGACGGCGCTGGGAACGGGACGAATATCGATGTCGCGGTTCAGCACGACCTGCCTGCCACGGCGGCTGCCCCTGCACTGGCACAGGACGTCAACGAGGGGCGCGCGGGAGGTAGTGGTTCGCCGCGAATGCCTCCACAAGGCACACGCTCCCCGACTGACCGCAGCAGGAGTCCTGCTTCGGAAGCTGCCGGCGCGGAAGGCGTGTCGACGGCTGCGCGCAGGCATCATGATCGCCAAAGAAGTGCGTCAGCGAGTCGACGTCGCAGACGTCGCAGGACGAGGTCGCGCTCTAGATCACGCTCTAGATCCCCGCCTTCGCCTCGCTCATCTGGACGGTCGCGGCGACGGCGTTCGCGCGACAGGAGCCCGAGCAGATCCAGGCGACGCGACAGATCGCGCCGACAGACCGCGCAAGAAAGGGCTGCCCCAGCCGGTGCCCATGGGCTGGAAGGCGGAGGGCGTGCTCAGCGCGGTGCACGGGAGCCGCGCGAGGCCACGGGACGCTGGGGAGGCGAGCGCGTCGGGGGTGTGGCAGGCAGCAGGGAAGGTGACCCCGGACCGCGGACGCGCGGGCGCGGCGCGGTCGGGGCGCGCATGGACGCGGACGACAGTGAGCATGGCGCGCTGGCTGATCAGGCCGGGCAGCGCGTGGTGCGTTGGGCGCGGAACGGCGGCGAGGGCTGCGAGGCGCCACACTGCAGGAGGAACGGCTGTGGGGCTCCGCACTCGAACGTGCAGTCCAGCAACAACGTTTCCCTCTCGTCCCTGAAGGAGCGCGCTCTCAGGTCCGCGCAGCGGGCCAGCCGCTGACGACACTTGACGAGACTGTGTTTCTGCCTCACAAGGCCTGTGAATTTCACTCCTGAAATGCATGTATGTGACATGCCGACTAGGTCCTCGAGCGCCTGCGCGGGCGCCGTCGTCCGTGCGCCCCGTGCCCGTCCCGTCGGGCACGGGACTCAGAACCAGGGCATCCACCAGATATACATTGCCCCGAGTTTGTCCCTGTCGGTTGCCTCCACGATGAGCCGGTGCGCGTGCCCCTCGACGGACAGCGGCAGCGACGGCGTCGAGTCCACGCCCACCAGCGTCCCCGTCAGCCGCCCCTCCATCGTCTCCAGCGCGTCCCGCGCCATCGGGTTGTCCTGCTCCGTCGCCAACGCGCCGCTGCTCCCGCGCCCCTTGCTCCAGTCCACGAACGGGTCGTGCACGAACGTCTCCGCGACGGACAGCAGCGTCTCGCGGTGCATCCGCAGGACCTGCAGCGTCGTCTCGCACGCGCACCGGAACGCCCCCTCGTGGCCCGCGGGGCCCATCACGTCGATCATGTTCTGCGTGAGCCGGAACGGCACCACCTCGGGCCGCTCCAGCGTCAGCCCCTTGTCGAACAGGCACGAGAAGTCCACGTGCACGACGTCCCCGGAGGACGAGTCAAGAAGGAGGTTCTCGCCGTGCCGGTCGCCCAGCCCGACGACGTGCCCGACCATCGACCACGCCGAGGCCGTTCTGCAGAAGGCCGCGCGCGCCGCGAGCCACTGCGCGGGCTCCGGGTACCGGATCATGAACCATCTGTGCATGCGCGGGGGGAACTGCCGCAGCACGCTGTTGAGCCACAGCGACGGCCGGACGCCGCTGAGCGGCGAGTTGCTGTCGTAGATGCGCTTGATGTCCTTGTTCGACGTGCGCCGGTCGTACAGGCCCTCCAGGCCGTACACCTCGCAGCACGCGTGGCGGAAGCCGAGCGTGAACGGAACCCACTCGATCAGCCCGCAGTCCTCCGTCAGCGGCACCACCGCGAACGTGCGCAGCGCGAGGCCCCGCCGCCGCGACTCCGGCTCTTGCAGGAACAGCCGGTTCAGCGCGTTGGCCAGCTCCATCATGCGCAGGTCCTTCCGCAGGTCGTCGCGCGGCTTGGCGAGGAAGCGGTACTGCCGCCCGTCCGAGCCAAGGAACGTCATCTTCTTCGGCTTCATCAGGGAGTTGATCAGGTCGACGGAGTCGTTGACGCCCACGATCTCGACGCGGCGTCCGTCGAAGGGGTCGAACGAGGCGTCGCCGGGGCCCCTGGGCGGGAGCACGACGTTGAGCGTGCCCTCCATGGGAAGGATGACCGGCAAGGGCAGGAGGTCGAACTGCACACGGCGCGACAAAGATGCAGTGTCAGGGCAGGGTTGCACAGTAAACAGGGGGCGTGGAGGGGCGGAGCATGGTCGAGCTGTGGGGGGGGCGCGGTGCCGCGTTACGCACGATTTCGCGGAGGTTCGTCTCGGATATCTTGAAGGAGGTCTGCTTGCTGCTGGTCGGAGTGTGTTGGCAGAGATTGATCAGCCACCGCACCAGCTCTTTGTGCAGGCGGAACGCCTCCGCGGCGGCCTCGCCGCACACGCGCGGGATCTCTCCCTCCGCCCCGCGCAGGATGGCCTCCGCGGCGGCCCTGCGGTCCTGGTTCTTCGAGTTGTGCACCGCCGCCAGGCTCCACAACGCCTGCTGAGGGAAGTGCGCGGCGACGACGCACACGATGTCGCGCGCCCACTCCGACACCTCCTTCACGGGGTGACAGATGCGCGACACCAGCTGCGGCAGCGCCGCGAGCCACACGTACGGCGGCAGGCTCTGCAGAGCGCCGCCCATGACGACGGTCACGGCGGTGGCCGCGTTGCGCGCCTCGCGCGTCGACCGCTCGCCGGAGCGCGACTGCCGCCCCGCGCGGATGACGTCCGCGCCGTACGAGAACAGCACCGTCAGCATCCGCGGCAAACACCGGAAAATCGTGCTGTGGCCGTACTTGAGGGCTTTGCTGTAGTTCTCGAGGGTTGGCGCCACGAGCGCCGCCCACGGCTTGTCCTGCCCGAACGAGTCGATGTTCGCCTTCTTCGCCGCCCCGAACCGCAGCCCGGCCCTGCTCGTCTTCCCCTCCTGCCGCTTCCGGGCGTCCTGCATGCGAGCGTCCATGTACCGCCCCAGGTGGAAGTGCGCGCCCTCCCAGCGCCCCCCGCCGGCGGACAGCGCCGCGCTGAACAGCGCCTCGATCTCGTCCGACGTCCCCTGCCCCGTGTCGGCCATCCACCGCGCGAGCAGCAGCGTCGCGTTGGCGTACACGCCGCGCCCCGCGCCGTCGCTGCTGTCCTGCACCCCGCCCGCGTGTCCCTCCTGCGCGCGCCGCCGCGTCTCTTGCAGCGACACGATCGCACGGTGCGTCTGGTCCTCCGCCCAAAGCAGCTTCGCGAGCTCGATCTCCCCGGCCCGCTGTCCGCGTGCCGACGCCTCGAGCGCCGCCGCCGACGCCGCATCCGTGAACCCGGCCTCCCGCGCCAGCCGCGCCTGCTGCAGCCAGTGCTGGCCGACGTCGTCCTGCAGCCCAGCCAGCGACGCGATCTGCCGCCGCAGCGAAAGGATGGGTTCCCGAACGTTCATCGCGGTCTGCGTGATGCCCAGTCGAAGCGGCCACCGGAGCCCGTCGTCGCCGTCGAGCGAGCCGGGCGACTGCACGGGCTTGTCTGACAACAGCGTCTGCGCGGAAGTCTCCAGTTCTTGCAGCAGGTGCAGGCGAACGAGATACGGGTACGCCCGCGAGTACGACTCCATGCTGGCGGCCGACAGCGGCGCTGCTGCCTCGCGGCGCGCCACCTCGAGGGCGGCACGGAGCTCGGAGGTGCAGCCGCGGCGGACGAGACTCAGCAGCTCGCCGATGCGCACTTCGAACGCCTCGGAATCCGAAAGCGCAAGGGCGGACCGAGCGAGCGCGCTCGCTCGGTCGAAACGGGGCGCGCGCGGCGCGCCGGCCTCCGGCTCACGTGGGACGCATCCGGCAGGGACGAGGTACTCCTGCGAGATCGCGGGGGCAAGACGGCGGAGCTTGATGAGTTCGGTGATCTGCATGGTCGTTTACCACGATCTCTGCGTGCGAGCGATCAGCGCAGACCGCGGCATGGGCACGGCGAATCATGCCGCGGTCAAGTAGACGGCAAGGGGCGGGCGCGCACGTCAAGAGCCTCCCAGTGTCCCAGCCGCCAAGCAGCAGCGACCCCAAACGCTGCAAGCTCGCGCCGCTGCCGCTCCGGCACGCGGCAGGACAAACCGTCCACTCTGTCCTTGACACCCTGTAGCTGGCCCGCACCGAGCATGCACCGCAGCTGTCCGCGGTGCAGGGCGGCGAGATCAGGGCCGTGCTGCTGCGTCCCTGGGGCGGCGTCGAGGCCGGCGCCGCTGTTGCGGATCGCGTGCTCGTACAGCGAGAGCGCCTCCGAGAAGTGCCCGCTCTTCTCCGCGACGGCCATGCGCTCCGTAGCGACAGCAGACAGCGGCGACGCCCCCACCGCGGTCACCCGCAGCAGTCCTCCAAGCGAGTCGGGATCGTCCAGGCTAGAGAAGAGCTCCTGGAAGAACGCCGCCTCCTCGCGCGTGTACTCGACCGCGAACCCGGACGCGGGGTTCGGCGCCGCGCCGTTCGCGTCCTCGCCCTTGTATCGCGCGTGCTGCTCGAACCATCGCAAGGCGCGCGCATGTGCGCCGCAGCGGTGCGCCGCCCGCGCGAGCAGGTCCGCGGGGATGCGGTCCAGGAGCTGCTTGACGTGTACCTCCGCGGCCGCCCCGCCGCCCGGCGCGGTCGTCCGCTGCGTGGATGCGGAGGCGTGGTTTGCCGTCATTGCTCCCGTGGGCCCCGCCGAGTTGGAGGAGTTCTGCATCGTGACGACGAAGGCCCACAGGGCGTCGACGAGCGACAGCACCGCCTGGACGGCCAGCCCGACCATCTCGCGCTTGCCCTCCTCCGCGGACGCCGCGTCGTCGTTACCGGCGGCGCGTCGCAGGGGAGGCGCCGCGGGGTCGGTGTCGGCGGCGCCGCGCAGCACCGCGACGATCTCCTCATACACGTCGCTCCGTGCGCCCGCGCCGGCGTACGTCACGACGTTGTGCACCGCGAACGGCAGCAGGTACAGCATCAGCGCAGTGTCGCTCTTCATCACGTTGCTGCACGCGCGCAGGACGTCCCCGCGCTGGGCCTCCGCGTCGTCGCAGAGCTGCCGCAGCCACGTGTAGAGCCACTTGTGGAAGTCCAGCGACGCGTGGTTCGGCCCCCCGAACACCGTGCCCCGCTGCGCGGGCAGCCGTTTCTTCAATTGGTACTTCGAGGTCAGAAACGGCCGAACGACGGGGTGCACGTCCTGCGGGAGCAGCCGCAGCAGCGGGTTCCCGGCGCTGCCCTGCACGCCGTCGCTCGTGTCGTCGCCCGCGCTCTCCGGCACGAGCGAGCGTGCAATGTCAAACACCTCTTGCACCGCGTACATGCAAGACGTGAGCGTCTCGAGGTCGGTCGCGGTCCGCAGGATGCGCACGAGGTGGTCCACGACGAGGTGCTTCATCATCGAGAGCGTGCGCTTGTCGTCCACGCAGAACCGGTGCGCGCCCGTGATGTGGTGCGCCGCCATTGTGATGCGGGCCCGCGCGGGGTCCCACGCGCCGAGGATGCCCAGACACTCCGCGGCGAGCAGCTGGACGCCGCTCGTGAGCGGCCCGCTCACGCCGCCGTCGAAGCACCGCAGCAGCTGCGACATCAGCCCGGCGACGTCCTCGGCAGCAGGCAGGTCGTCCGGGCCGCGCCCGGGGTCGCCGGGGTGCGCTTCGGCCGCGGCGCCGGGCGCCGGCGAGCGCGCCATTGCCTCCAGCACCCCTCGCGAGAAAGCCTGCGAGCTGGGACCCGGCGCTCAGTGCACGTCAGCAGAAACAACATCGCGATTGCCGTCGTCATTGCAGAGCCGCGCGCCGTGCGCAACGGGTCCTCCGGCGGGGCACGCACCGTGTCGTCGCGCAGTTGGCACAGGAGCTCCTTGAGCGCCGCGTGGCGGACCGCGAGCGTGTCGTCCGACAGCCCGAACACCAACAGCTCCAGCCGGGCCTTTGGAGACATGCCTCGCCGCTCCGCAGCCAAGACGTCCTGCACCTCCTGCAGCTCCGCGAGCGCGGGCATCGGCGGCAGCTTCTGGAGCGTCGCGCCGCCGAGGATCCGCCGGTGCTGCACGACGAGCTCCTGCAGCACGCCCGCGGCGAGGGGGACTGATCCAGAGACCCCCTCCCCTGACAGCAGGGGCAGCATGACGACCACGACCTGCCCGGCGACGCGACGGAGCTCCTCGCGGGCGTGCTTGCCGAGAGCGCGCACGAGCATCGCCCAGCCCGACAGGCCCTGCGAGGCCACCCCGGCGTCCGGGGATGCAGCGGCGCGTGACAGCAGCGTCATGAAAGTGGGCACGTGCTCGGCGACGTGCGCGGATATGTAGTCGATGAGCATGCACAGGCACCGCACAGGGCGCACGCCGTCCATGCTCGGTTCCCCGCCGACCTGCAAGCGCGCACGTGCGTCGAGAAGAAGAAGTCATTGAATCGCAGTGTGGTTTGACGCGCATCGTGGGGTCGTCGCGGGGCCGTCCGCACCTCCCTCTCGCCCATCATGTTGCCGATCTTGTACAGGATCCCCACCAGCCACTTCTCCGCGAGGACCGTCGCGAGCCCCCCCGTGGTGCCCCGCAGAGCCCCCGCGCCCTCCCCCACGAGCCCCACCAGCGTCTCGAGCTTCCCGCGGCACTCGCGCAGCTGTGCGTGCGGCACGGCCAGGTCCCCTGCCGCGGGCCAGTCCGCGCGCCCGGCCTCGCGCAGCATCGTCTCCACCACCACCTTCTCCGGCTGCTGGTACAACACCGCTTCTACTTTCCTGCCCGACAGCCGGTCCAGCGCGCCGTACTGCTTGTCCCACAGCGCGCCGTCGCTGAACTCCGCGAACATCAGGCCCAGCACGCGCGGGATCGCCTCCTCGACCATGCGCGCCACAGGGACGCCCGCGACGTCCGCCAGCGCACACACGCCAGCCTCGTTGTCCAACACGACCAGCCGCGGGAGCGCGACGTGGCCCACCATCGCCGCCAGCGCCGACGACTGCGCCCCGCGGCCGTACAGGAGCTGCGCGAGCCGCGGGAGCAGCAGAGGGCGCGACGCAACGTTCCGCCCGACAAACTCCAGCAAGTTGTCGTTCCCGCTGATCAGCTGGCGAAGCGTGCGCCCGCGCCGCCGCGCGACGATCGTCAGCATCTCCATCGCCAGCACGCGGCACTGGACGCCGCTCGCGGCGTCGACCCCCGATGTGGGCGTCATTGCCAGCGCCAGCAACGCCAGCGGAACCAGCTGGCCCTCCGCGGTCCTCGCGGCGCCCGCAAGGGCCGCGGACAGCCGCATGACCGCCACGAGGCGCCCCGTATCCTCCGTTCCCGCGGCCTGCGCGCCGTCGTGCGCCTGCCGGAGCATTCGTGCCAGCGCCACTTCGGAGTCGCTCGCTTTCGCGGGCGCCGGGGACGGCGTGGGCGCGCACAGCGCGCTCCGCAACGTGTCCGGACAGTCCTGGACCAGGCACACCAACAAGGTCTCGAGCGGCAGCGCCAGGGCGCGGTCTCCGACCACCTCGATCAAAGAAAGGCACGCGGAGAACAGGCTCTGAGTCTCGGGCGTGTCAGGCAGCGTGGGCGCGAGAGCGGCGACTGCGCGACACGCGTGGCCCTTGCAGATCGCCGACGCGGATCGGTTCGACAGAAGGCGCTCCAGCAGCTTGCTCCATCGCCAGGGCCGCCCCGGGACCGGAGCTAGGAGCACGACCTTCCGCAGTCGAGGTTCCTCGACTTCCGGCTCCTCGCCGTCGCTGGTCTTCGGCTCGGCGACCCGCTCCGCGGCTACGAGAGAGCTCGACAGCGCAGCGGCCGCCTGCGCCGTGAAATCGAGCCCGAGCGCCTCCCCGCGCGCCCACATGCCTGCGGCTTCCGCGCACATATGCAGCGCGGCCTCCACAGCGCGGCGGGGCAGGTCGAGCGCGTCGTGCGGCGTTGTCGGATCCAGCACGACCTGCGCGAGCGCGCTGATCTCCTGCGCGACCAGCTCCGCGCCCCTCTCGCCGTTCGGGAAGGGTCCGTCGAAACGATCAAAGACCGTGCTGGCAATGTCCCACAGGTCCGCCTCGAAGCTGGCGGCGCCGCGCTGCGTCTGCGCGCCGCGTGCGCGCACAGGTGTGCGGAGCTCGGTGTGGAACGCGTCCAGCGCGCGCTGCGACGCGACCTGCGCGATGCACGACGTCGCCACCAGCGCGCAGAGGTCGCGCTCCCGGCTCACGCGCACCGCGTCCCAGGCGAGCTCTGCGCCCATGGACGGCATGCACAGCAGCGCGGCGCACATTGCGGCGCCCGTGACGCTCCGCGTGTCGAACGTCGCTCGCCGCACCATAGCATCGCGCAGCACGCGTTTGACGGCGTCCGTGGGCACGGTCGTAGCACTGCACACGCTCGCAGCCTGTGGAACCACCGCGGCGAGAGCCCCGAGAGCTGCTGCGATGTACGCCGGGTCGTCCGTGCCGGCCTGGCCCGACTGAAGCGCTGACGTCAGTTTGGTGTCGACGGCGCGCAGGAACGCCTCGGAGCGCACGGGGGCGAGGATGCAGGCCGCGGCGTGGATGCAGCGCAGCGTTCCCACTGCTGCGCTCGCGCCTCGCTGCGCGCGGACGGGCGTGCTGCCCGGCACGAGCATACGTCGGTCCCCCCACCCCAGCGCCTGCGCTATGCCCGCCAGCAGCGCCTGCGCCGCAGCCTCCTCGAGACTGCAATCGAGGTCCTCGCTCGCTGCGTCCGCATCGCCAGGCACACGTTCGCTCCTCGCGCCGCCCTCGGCGGTCGACGTGTCCGGCCGCCGTTTGCACACCCTGCGACGCTTCCTCGCCCCGACCTGCGGGGTCTCCGCCGCGTCGCGCTCCGGGGCCGAGCGTTTGCCTGCGCAGGAGCGCAGCGCGGCAGCGCATCAGGTCGGCGCCGCAGACTTCGTACCACATCAAGCACGCGTTGTTCATGCAATCAGCGTCCTGAGGCAAGGGAGCGACTGACCTGTGACGGCACTGTGCGTCAGACCAAAGGCGGTCGCTACGGCGTGCTCCTCGAGCGCCCCGCACGCGTGCAGGTGCGTTGCAGCTCCCATGAGCAGGTCCGTGACGGCGACGTGCAGGTCCCAGTCCGCGCACCCGACCAGGACCGCCAGGTCCGCCACCGCCCCGGCCTCGCTCGGCTGCAGCCCGACGATGTCCTTCAGCCCGTCGCAGATCGCGAGGGCCGTTCCAGGCGCCTTGGGGGCCTGCGCCACCGCCATCTGCGACAATGCGCGCGCGAGGGCGCCGACGCCAGCCGGCCGGGAGCTCCCCACCTCCGCTCGCAGGCAAGCGACGGCGCAGCGCGACAGCGACTCGGCCAGCAGGTAGTCCGGCTCGTCCTCCCTGCGCTGGTGCGCGCTGTGGTGCGCCGTGCTCCCTGTCGCGCCCCGCGCCGCCACCGCGAGGGCACCGAGCGCCCTGTGCCCGGGGCTGCTATGCGGATAGCTCCCCACGATCGCCGCGAGGGCGTCGATGGCGGACACCTGCACCTCGCGGCACGCGCACGTCGCCAGCGGCAGCAGCGCCCCAGCGACCTTCGCGGCAGTGGGGCCGCCGGGGGCGCCCGGGGAGCCCAGCGCGACGACGCTCACGAGGTGGCAGAGCGCTTCGGCGATTGTCAGCAGCTGGTTCGGGTCGGAGGCGTCGAAGTCGATTGAAGACACGTCCCGCTGGGATCCCTGTGTTTGGGCGCCGCGGGAGGCGCGCTTGCACAGCTCCTGGAAGCCGCTCAGGATGATGCGGCGTCCTGGGTGTGTTGAGTGGATGCAGAGGGCGGCGAACGCGTCGCTGAGAAGCTCGCACGCGCAGCGCAGGAAGAGGCCGGGAGCGGTGCAGGCGGGAGCCAGCGCGTGGCCCAGCAGGGCGCGAATGACGCCGCAGAGAATGTCCCGGTAGGACGCGGTGCGTGCGTCGCCGAGAAGGGGCATCGCGCTGGCGAGAATGCAGAGCGTTGAGCCGTCAGTTGCGTCGGAGAAGACCTCGGGGTAGCGGTCCAGTGCGACGCTCGTCAGCTTCAGCACGCTGCATATTTCGCGCTGCCCCGCGACCCGCGACGACGAGTCGGATATGAACTCGTTGAAAAGAATGAGAATGCACTCCCGGAGCCTCCGCACCGCCTGCGCGCTGTCCACTTCCTGCCCTCCCAGAATGCCCGCGATGTCGCCCAGGAGGCCCGCCACCGACGCCCGCTGCCCGGGGCTGCGGGCAGGGGTGATCTGCGCCGACATGGCGGACGAACCGGCGTGCCGCCCTCGCGCGGCACAGGCCTCCTACCGCACCATCTGCGTTCCCCGCCGTTTGCGGAAGTTGCGCGCCGCGTCCTGCGCCCGCGCCGATCAGCGCTCCGTGCGACCGCGGCCGGCACACCCTCGCGGCGGTGTTTGCCGCGTCGGCGGCACAACGGAGCCGAAGACCTCGGCGCAGGGATGCATTGGGGGGTTGTTCAGGGGGCAGTGTCTGCGCAGCAGCGTGCCGGTGTGCGGTGGCTCGGGCCGTCGCGCGGCCTACAAGCATGCCGCGTGCGCGCCGCGCGCACGAGAGCGCTTAGGTCGGGCGTGCGTTTTCGGTGCGCGCGGTTGGGCGTCGCGTGAGCTGCTTTGCAGTGGGAAATGGCGCGCGGCCGAGCGAAGCCGCCGGAGCGGACGGCGCCGTCCAGCGACGAGTCCGAGGGGCACGTGACGGACGCGGATCCGCCGACGCCGAGCGACGTGAGCAGCGCGCCGTTCCTGGACGACGCGGAGCAACATGAAGCAACGCAGGAGGCCAGCTCCGATCCTGCGGACAGCTGGCAGCTCGGGGACCTGGTACTGCTGGTTGCTGTGGCAGCATACGCGAGCCAGATACCGCTCACGAAGGTCGAGGAGTCCTTCAACACGCAGGTCGGTCGGCGCGCGCGGTCCAACTTGTGCTTGCAGGCAGCGCGCTCAGGCTGCGCCGGTATGGCTTAACGTTACTGATTGGAGGACGCGGCGGAATGAACGAACCGTGGTGTATCTTGCGTCGGCGACATACGATCGCTTTGTCCACCAAGAGCGATACAGCGGCACACGAGAGGTACACAAGCAACTTCTGCGCTCTCACGACGGCGCGCGTCTCCCTCCTGGACGCAGGCCGTGCACGACATCCTGTACCATGGCAGAGACCTGGCGAGCTACGACCACAACGAGTTCCCGGGCGTGGTGCCGCGCAGCTTCCTAGGCGCCTTTGCTGTCGCCGCCGCCGCCAAGCCTCTGCTGGCGTTGTTCGACTGGGTCGACGGGATGGCCGGGGCCGAGGGGCCGCAGGAGCGCACCTCGGCCATGGCCGTCTGCCGCCTCGTCCTCGCGCTGATGTGCGTTTACGCCTTCTCTCGGCTGCGCGCGGCGTGCGAGCGCCGCCTGGGCAAGGGGGCCGGCACCGCGCTGTGCGTCCTCACCGCCCTGCAGTTCCACCTCCCCTTCTACATGAGCCGCATGCTCCCGAACGTCATGGCGCTGCCGCTGGTGCTGTCAGGGCTAGCGGACTGGATCGACGCCGCTCCGTACAGGGCGATCGTGCAGCTGTCGGTGGCGGCGCTGGTGCTGCGCTGCGACCTCCTGATCCTGTGCGCGTGCGTCGGCGTGCACATGCTCGCGACGCGCGCCGTGACGCTCCTGCGCGCGGCGCGGACGGCGGCGGTGAGTGCGGTTGCCGCAGTTGGGTGGTCGGTGCTCGTGGACTCGGTCATGTGGCGGCGCTGGCTGTGGCCCGAGGGCGGCGTGCTGTTCTTCAACACCGTGATGGACGGGTGAGCTGCGCTCCCGCCGCCCGCCTGCAGCCCTCGCGTCCTTGCTTGTTCAACGCCGACCAGGATCGACCCTGCCCTGCATTTCGGGGCCCCGGGGATCTTCATCTCGGGTCACAAGCGTACTTCCCTGTGCTGCGCGCGCAGGAGCAAGGATTACGGGGTCATGCCGTGGCACTGGTACTTCACGTCAGCGTTGCCGCGCGCACTGCTGCTGACGCTGCCGCTCGTCCCCGTGGGTCTGGTCATCGAGAAGCGCGTCCGCAGCTACTTCTCCGTCGTAAGTACCCCCCTCGCCGCACCGCCCCGCACTGCTGCCAACGCAGTGCGCGTTCAGCACGAACACCCCCACAGTGTTTGCATCTCTCTTTTCCGACGGACGCATGGTGCCGGGCCCGTGCGCCGAGCGCACACACAGTGTGCGACACCCCGTGCTCGTGCAGGGCTTGGCGTACGTCGCGCTGTACTCGCTGCTCGGGCACAAGGAGGTCCGGTTCCTGTTCCCTGCCATCCCGCTGCTTACTCTGCCGGCCGCGTGCTGCGCCGCGAAGCTGACTGCCCTCGAGGCGCCGCGTCACGCGAGCTTCCTGGGCAGGCTGGCTGCGTTCGCGGGCCGCAGGCTGCTGTTCGTCGCGTACGCCGTGGCGTCTGCGTGCGCGCTGTATGTGTTTGCGTCGGCGGCGCAGCTGAACTACCCGGGGGGTCTCGCGCTGCGCACGCTGCACTCGATCGGCTGCGCGACCAAGGACGGCGTCGAGGTGACGACAGGCGAGTTCCTGCGCTGGGAGAGCACCACCATTCACTCCCCCCCCGCCTCCTCCGTCTTCTACCTCTTGCTCCCCTCCCCCCTGCTCGCTTCCCTCCACGGCGGCGCATGAAGTCTCGCGCCCGGCGTCGACGAGCGCAGGCGGCGGGTGGAGGTGCTCGGTGCACATCAGCGCCCCCATGGCCGAGACCGGGGTTTCGCGCTTTCTCGAGATCCCTGACGGCCCCTGGACGTACAGCAAGGCCGAAGACATCGCGCTGGAGGACCTCCACGCGCAGGACTTCACGTACCTCGTGACGCACGAGCGTCACGCACCAGGGTACGACGTCCTGGGGGCCATCAACGGCTTCGAACGCGTGCGCGTGCAGTTTCCGTGCGGACGCAGCCTCGGCGGGGCCGTGCACTGCCTGAAGGACCGCACGCTGCCCGTGTCGGTCGAGCTCGAGACCGCCCCGAAGGCGTACATCCACCTGCGTCAGGGGTACAACAAGCACCACGTGCTGGAGCACGGGATCCCGCGGGCGCGCGAGGAGGACGCAGCGCCCGGGGAGCTCAGCGTCGGGGAGGCCGGGAACGGCGGCAAGATGGGCGGCGCGGGGCGGCTGAACGAGGACGCCACGCGGGAGTTTCTGCGGACCAAGGGCGTGGACGCCGACGCGTGGGAGCGCGAGCGGTCGTACGCCGAGGCGGACGGCGTGCCGCCGCCGGCGGGGATGAAGTCGTGGGAGGACTTTGCGGACCTCCCCGGCCTGGAGAGGTTCCCGGCCCTGTATGAGGAGGCGCGGCGGTACCAGGAGGAGGCGCGCGACAAGCGGCGGAAGGAGGAGGGGGCGCGGGGCAAGGGCGGAAAGAGGAAGGGCCGGCGGCGCAAGAAGAAGAGCAAGCAGGGCGGGGAGCGCGCCGAGCTGTGATGCTGCGATGCGTGGGGCCCGCGCAGGTCTGGCGGGTCGAGGTGGTGCGCCACGCGCGGTCTGTGGCGCTCACTGCTCTGTTCCGGCGTCCGCACGTCCAAGCTGCGTGCGCAGGTGTGTGCTGGTGCCCGACATCTGCCGTTGCAGCTCGCTCATCCTGCGTGCGGGTACTCCGCCGCGCCGTTCCTCTCGGCCAGCCCGTTCCTCGGTCAGTGTGACCTCCGGTTTGACACGTCCGTCAGACTGGCTGTCCGTCACACGAGCACCGGCTTGCCGTTCGGCGGCGCCATGTCGCCCTGTCCGACCACGGGCACGTGCTCCCCCGGGATGAATTCCTTCTCGGGCCCGTCCTTGGTGACCGTCACGAGGCGGATGCACCCCCCGCTGGACCCGTCCCGCGCCATCGCGTGCGCGACCGCGCGGATCACGAACTCCCGGCACTCCCCCCGCGACATCCCGTCGCGCCACCTCTTGTCGCACCACCCCGTGATGTACGCCGAGCCGGACCCGCCGATCGTGTACGGCACGCGCAGCAGCGTGCCCCCGAGCGGGACGCCGTACACCTGCCCGCCGCGGACGCTGTCCCACCCGGCCACGATCATCCCCGCCTGCAGCATCTCCTTGTTCTCGTACGCGATGTTCCGGACCAGGTTCGCCGCCAGCTGGATCGTCGCCGCGCGCCCTGCCTCCATCTGGTGCTGGTCGAGCATCGCCTGCGGAGCGGGGCCGGGCCCGGGCGGCCCGGTGACGTGCGGCAGGGCGCAGTGTGTGTGGTGTGTGGTCTGCGCGCGGGGGCGGGGAAATCGCACCTGGACGTACATGGAGATGTTCTGGGTGTCCGCTGCGGACCCGGACCGGCAGATCCAGATGTTGCCGGACAGCTGGGTGATCTTGTCGGTGGCGCGGTTGGCTACGTAGTTGCCCGTCGACGTCCTGCTGTCAGCTCCCAGGATCACCCCGCCGTCGAACGAAGCCGCCATAATCGTTGTCTGGAGAGCAAGGGGGCGGGGGTTCGTTCGGGGCGCGCGGACGCTCGCGAGGCCCCCCGCGGAAGGAGCACCAGGGCAAGCAGAGCTCGGTTCTGGCACCGCGAGGAGCCCCTCAGGACGGACTAGCGCGGCGCTGTTGCCTCAACATCCAGAGACGTTCGATGGGCCAGCGGATCTCGCATATGCGGCGCTGCTCAATGAAATATGCCGTTTCGTGAGTCCAGACACCTACCCCTGTCATAACCTCCCCCGGCTTCTTGCTATACGCCCCGTCATTGTGCACGTCCGACGGGAACGACATCCTGCTAGGCGCCGCGCGGGGCGCCGGTCGCGCAGTCGGCCACACGCAGGCGTTCCAGACGCTGAACCAGTGCACTTGCTTCTAGCTTTGCCGCTGGCAGTTCACGTCCACGGGCACGCTGACGCGCTTCTCCTCACAGCATGCGCACGCCTGATGCGGCTGACTACGCGGCCCACACGGGTCGGTCGCCGCATAGTGACGGGGCGGGCAGTCTCACCAAGTCATGGTGGACTTCCCACCAAGTCCCCACCTGCTCGTCTACCAATGGGGCCGCCGTGCAGCCTGCGAGCGCACAACGCGGTCCACAATGCCGGGCTCGACGTTGTGCTGCGCCTCGCTCTCCGTTATCGCGCGCAGGCCGTGCGCGCAGCACAGCCGGCGGCCTCTGTGCGTGTCTCACCGGCCCTGTAGGCAGCTGCGGGCCGCTCGGCGGTCGAGTCCGCCGGAGCAGCGCAGCTGTCGGTCGAGGGCTGCGGGCACCGATGGTCTTCCGGCCACTTCGGGCCGGGAACGACCCCCGATGCGGCTGGCGGTGTTTGCGTCGGGGGGCGGCTCGAATTTCCGCGCCATTCACGCGGCAATGTTGGACGGGCGGATTCAGAACTCCGAGGTCGTTGTGGTGGTGAGCAATCGCGTCGAGTGCGGCGCGGTCAGCTACGCCAAGGACCACGGCATTCCCACCACGGTCTACCCCTGCACCAAGTCCGGCAAGGTGCGACCGCTCCCGCGCGCAGCGCCGCCCATCTCCGCCCACACCGCGCGCGGCGCCGCACCTCCACTTCAAGTACATGCCAGCGCGAGCGTCTCCCGCGCGTTTCGACCTGCACGTCCGCATCGGTGAGCGCGTATCTGCCCCTATGCTGCTCGCAGGGCATGGACGACGACGAGCTGCTGGCGGACCTGAAGGAGCGCGAGATCGACGCGATCGTCCTGGCGGGCTACATGAAGATGATACCGCCCAACGTTGTGCGGGCCTTCCCCCGCAGGATCCTCAACATACACCCCGCGCTGCTCCCCTCCTTCGGCGGTGCGTCCCGCGGTGCCGCGCCCCCGCAGCCGGGCCCCTGCGCGCAGACGGACGGCGGCTGCATCCGCGCGGTGCCCGCGGCGCCGGGAGCGCCGAAACGGCGGGGACTGACGCACGGGCGCTTTTGAAGACTTGGTTTCCTATCTGGTTGCTCGTCGCAGGCAAGGGCATGTACGGGATGAACGTGCACCGCGCCGTGGTCGCGATGGGCGCGCGCTTCAGCGGACCGACGGTGCACTTCGTGGACGAGATCTACGACCACGGCCCTATCCTGGCTCAGGCACGCCGCATAACTCCCCCCCCCAGCAGCCCCGCAACCACCGCTGACACACACGCCGCTCGTGCCCCGCACCGCTGATAAGCCGAACCAGCGCCGGGCTGTCCGTGCACGCAGGCGGTGGTGGCGGTGTCTCCGACCGACTCCCCCGAGCAGGTGGCGGCAAAGGTGCTGAAGGAGGAGCACAGGTTGTACCCCGAGGCGGTGGCGGCGCTGTGCGAGGGGCGGATCACGTGGCGCGAGGACGGGATCCCGATCATGTGGACGCCGCGGTGACGTGGCGCGGCCGGGGGCGCCATGTGACGCGCACTCTTTGGTCATGTGCCGCGAGGGGGGGTGCGCCGCCGCCGTGTGGACCCCGAGGGCCTTCAGGGGGACAGAGCGCGTGCAGAGGTAGGCATCGGCTATCCGCTGGTTTGATATTTTTACGTACTGGCGCTGTTCCCACCCTCCCGGTGACGTTCCATGTGCAAGGCCGGTGGTTGAACGGCAGGCGTCGGCGATCCACGTCGCCAGAGACGCAGTCTTGTGTGTATGGTACGCGCGTGTAGGATGATGCTGGGACCAAGCCAGCGCCGGGTCCTGGTGGTTTTAGTGGCCGTCTTGCTCTGTGCGCACGCGGTTCGCGGCTTCGTCACGACGGCAGGGCAGCACTTCGTGAACGAGCGATGCGAGGAATATTTCGTCGCCGGGTGGAATGAGTGGAAGGTCATGGAGACGGCGAGCAGCGATCCCGGAGCACTGCGTACCAAGCTGCAGCGCGCCTCGCGAGCGGGCTTCAACGTCCTGCGCTTCTTCGCGCATGGGTCGGACGACGACTTCGTCCTTCAGGCCCGGCCTGGCGAATACAACGAGGCCGCGTGGGTCGGTATCGACCGCGCACTGTTCGAGTTAAGCCAACTGCAAATGAAGGCGATCCTCAGCTTCTCGAACATGTGGAAAGCGCCGGACGGGAAGAAGACGTTCGTGTCGTGGAGGTCGTCCGAGCAGGGGGTCATCTGCGACATCGACGCGTGCCGCGGCGGGGACGACGACCAGGTGCAGGGTCCCTGTGGGCCAGGCCCACAGCCAGCGCTCGTCCGCAGCGCTCCGCCGTCCGTGAAACATGCACGCCAACAGCAGCCAGACCATCGTGATCTCGCACCGGCCCCGCGAAACACGGTGCCCATGCGTCAGGACAGGAACGCCACGACAATCGTGTCCCAACTGATTCATGGGCGTCGTTCTCCGTCGCACAGGAGTTCGAGTGCCTGGCCGCGAACTGCCCCTCCGAGGACGAATTCTTCAAGCGCGAGAGCATCGTGGAACTCTACAAGGCGCACATCAACGCCACGCTGCACCGCATCAACTCCCTCACAGGCGTTGCGTACAAGGACGACCCCACAATCTTCGCATGGGACGTCATGAACGAGCCGAACGCCGTTGTGTGCCGGCGAGGGCTGCGGCCTGCGCGCGCGTGCGTGTCCCTCGTTGACGACTGGATTGCACGCATCAGCGCCTACATCAAAAGCATCGATTCGCGGCACATGGTGACCACGGGAGTCGAGGGATACTACGGGCCGGAGGAGACGCCCGCCCGGCGCGCTGCGAACCCGCAGCCGACTGACAGCGGGCCGTTCTCCCCCCTCGACTGGCCGACCAAGGTTCGAAGCGCACGTTGAGCTTGACGTGAGCGACATCGATGCCACGAGCTGCCCAGGGTCATCGCTGCTCGTGCCGGACGAGCTCTGCGTGCAGGCGGGCCAGTCGTTCCTGCTGAACCACAGGCACCCGACCATCGACTTCGCGGTGTTTCATGCCTGGCCTGATAACTGGCGGAGCGCCACGCTCGAGTTCCAAGATCGGTGGCTCGCGCAGCACCTGCGCGACAGCGCCGCACTTGGCAAGCCCGTCATCGTCGAGGAGTTCGGTGCGCTCCTGTCCTGTCTGACTGATGAGTCATGATAGAGTGCAGAGCACGCTAAACGCGCCACTGTCTCGCCGGCCGCGGCGTGCATTGCCTGATGAGCGGCTGCGGCGAGACGCAGGAGCTGCTGTGCGACGGTTTGGGTGCCTGTCCGTGCTGCAGGGAAGGTCGCTGATCGCAACAAAGCGGGCGACATTGCCGCGACGCGCGACCCGTTCTTCGCCCAGGTGTACAACGCCACGAACGAGTCGATCGCCAGTGGCGGCGCGCTCAAGGCGAGTTCTGCGGCCTGAGAGTCTCAAATTTTGATCGCGCAGGCCATGTTGCAATCAGTTCATTAATGACGTTCAAAAGGACTTGCACCTGATAGCCCTCAGGATCGCACATAGCTCCGTGTCAGCTTTCAATGACGAGCAGCGTGGCAGGCCCCTGTCAGCAGGGCGCAGCGCTGTCTCTGTCTCTGAGCCTGCTCTGGTCGGAGCCGGACGTGCAGGGAGCGCTGTTCTGGGAGTGGGACGAGGACGGCTCCTCCTCGCGCGGCGTGATGGAGTCCGACAGCACCTGGAGCACGATCGCGGCCAACGCTGCGGCCGTCAAGCGAGCGAACGCGGTGCGTTTCGCCGGCCCCTCACATCATCTGCGTCAGCCTCTTGCACTGCTCTGGAACGCCAACGGTTCGGACGCCGTGCTAGATCGACTGCAGGCGAGGAGGCGGGTTCCTGGCTGCTTGCCGCCCGCCTGAGGAGCCCGTCAGTGATGTGGGCGCACACGCACGGCGCCCCTATGGAGCTGTGCGCGTCAGGGAGTCACGGCGAACTTGGCCCTGCGCACGGTCACCGCAGAGCATCCACCAGGCCGCACATACGTGGATCATCCGGCCCGGATCATCACAGTCGTTCGGAGGGGTGTGTGTGAGCAGATCTCTGAGTCAGTCTGGCCGGTACAAACCTGCGTCTGACCGGCCAGGCCCGGTGTCGCAGGTCCGCGCACAAGAGGGCGCGTGCGGAGCGCGGGCGGGCTGTTTGCACCGCGGACGTCACCACCTGCAGCCAGCACGGCACGTACGCAGAGTGGACATCCAACAGTCTTTGTGTCGGCCAACACACATCAACAGACGGTCCTGGTGACGGTGCGGCCGGGTCACTTCGGATTGCGCGTCTAGCTGACGTGAAGCTTGCACTGCGGCCCTTCGGGCTGGTCTGGTTGCTCGGCAGCACTGCCTTTGGCGCGGAGGCGGCGAAGATGCTCGCAGCAGTTCAGTAGCGGCAGGCAGCGACTGCAGTTTCACAGGCTTCGAGACCATACTGCCACGAAATGCCGAAGACGAAGAAGCGCAAGAACCCGGGCGTGGGCGTGGACTTCAAGCGCGTGAAGAGCAAGGCGAGCGCACGCACTCCCATTTCACCCAGCTCGGCCGCAGCGCGTCCTCCAGAGCTTGTTGCAAGTCTGCGCAGCGATTTTCATGGAGCCACAGCCGTGACTACTTCTATGACGATCGCGGCGACCGGTTTCGTCCCCGCTGCAGGTCGGCAAGCCGCTGCCGAAGGCCCGCAATGAGACCGACACCACCATCCGCGCCCAGTCCATCCACTTGCCCGGAACGGGGCTCCTCGACGACAAGAGCACGCAGGCCACTTCACTGAGGAATCTCACGCTCCCAGAGCTCCTGACACAATCGGGACACTACAGGTGCGCAGTGCGGCTCTTCACCGCGCCCAAGCAGCCTGCGCAGCGCCTCGCTCATCGCGGCAGGGACCGGCATTTGTTCCCAACCCCGCTTCCTATGCCCCTCTCATCGTATTTCTGCAGCGCAAAGGTTCGCCGCGACGCCCTGGACGGCCTCGCGGACCTCTTCTCTCACCACCCAGCGGAGGTGCAGTCCTCGGCCGGACCGCTCCTGCAGCGCATCGGCGAGCGCGCGTCCGACGAGGACAAGGACGTCCGCAAGGCGCTGCTCGCGCTCCTGCAGGCCCACGTCCTGCGGCAGCTCGACGAGCGCGCCCTGGCCGCGCACCTCCCGCTCCTCATGGCACACGTCCTGTCCGGGTTGGCCTCCCTCGACGCCGGCGTGCGCGCGGACTCGGCCTGCGTCCTGCAGGAGCTCGTCAGGCACTCGCCCTCCGCCGTGGCCGGCGGCTACCTCGAGCCCTGCGCAGCGCACTTCAGCGCGCAGCTTGCTCCGTCGGCACGGGGCGTGTCGATCCGCGCGCAGTCCTCCGCCGCGCTCGTGCAGACGCTCACGGGCCTGCACCACTTCCTGTCGGGCACCGTGTCCGCTCTGTCGGCCGCGAGCGCGCGGCCGCGTGCGGACATCATGATGATGCGTGGCGGCGGTGCGAGCGCCTCTGGGTCGCGCTGGCGGCCGGCGCCGTGGCTGGGAGTCCAGGAGCTGCGGAAGGCGCACGCACGGATCGACGCTGCGCTCGATCGCGCCGCGAGCGAGCGGTCCGCGGCCGGGAACGCGGGTGTGGAGTTGGAGGTGGGCACGGCGGCGGTGCTGGGCCTCCTGTTGCGGTTGTTGCGGTGCTACAAGGAGCTGGTCGGTGCCTCGGAGGCCGACGACGAGGGGGGCGCGGGGGAGCTCGGCACGGGGAAGAAGAAGGGCGGGAAGGCGGGTGCGGGAAACAAGAAGAATGCAAGAAGGGAATCCTCGAGTTCCGGGAAAGACGAAGAAAGCAAGCTGCTGTCGGCGATGGTGCTCGTCGCCGAGAGCGTCGAGATGATAGTGCGCATCCTCATCGCCCGGGCAGGGGAGCGCGGGGCGCCCGAGCTGCGCGTCGAGGGCGAAAAAGCCACGTCAACCGTGGGTGCTGCGCTGGGGGCGCTCTCGGACGGGTTTCCGCGGCGCCGGCCGACGGGGGCGGCGCGCGGCGGTGACGCAGCGCAGAAAGTGGCGTCGGTGAACCTCGCGATCGCGCGCACGCTGTCCCGCGTGCTGCCAAGCCCTCCAAACACCCCCCCTGCCACCGACGTGGCGACGGAGTCCACCCCAGGCCCAGCGTGGGAGGGCACGCTGCTCGCGTTCCTGTGCCTGATGATGCGGTCGGACGACGCCGCGCCGGCGCACGGCCGGGACATCACGGCGAAGGCTGCGGGCGCGGAGACGCCCAACGGCGACGGCGTTGTCGTCGGTGCCGCGGTCGACATGGCCGGCATCGTGCTGCCCCGCGTGCAGGGCGAGGGCAGAGCCGAGCTACTGCAGTGCACGCTGACGGTGTTCGAGGGCGCCAAGCCCGGCACATCGACCTGCGTGCGGTGCCTCGAGCTGTTGCAGCACATCGCGGAGCGTCCTGCGGACGTGTACGTGCACGGCGTGGCGCCGGAGGCCGCGCTGACCGCCGCCGTGCGTGTCGCGCCGAAGGTCCTGTGGGATTGCGGGGCGCGGAACCAGGAGGCGTCGCTGCGCGCTGCGAAGCTGCTGCACACGGTCGCACGCTTCTCCTTTCCTGGGGGCACGGGGGAGGTGGACGCGGCATTGCGGGAGAGCCAGCAGCCGCTGGCGGCGCTGTTCTGTGCCGTCGTGCCCGGGAAGGCCCGGGAAACGGAGAGGTTCGTGCTGGGCCGGCGCCCGCCCACTGCCACTCCCGTGGCTTCATCATCACCAGTGTCCCCTTCGCGCCTGCGCGCCCAACTCGCGTCTCTGTCCGCCTTGCTCGCAGGGTCATTTCTGGGCCGCTCCTGCGTCTGCCGGAGGCGGCGCAGGCGCTGGTGTGCGACATTGTGCCAATGCTTCCTGTCGCAGACCGGGTCCTGCTGCGCGCGTGCGCCCTCGCGGCGCTCTCGCCGGAACTGTCCGCGTCCTGCGCAGCGCGGCTCTCGGCCGCGCTGGCGTCGCGTCGCGGGCTCGACGGCGACCCCGCTGCGTGGACCTCGTGCATGGTGACGCTCCTCACGGGGGTGTCTTCAATTGCCCCCCCTGGACACAAACGCAAGGACGGGCACGCCCTTCTCATGGACGACCAGGACAGGAGGCGTGCGATCGAGACGGCGGGCATCGCCGCCGAGGCCCTCGCCTCCGCAGGCGACAGCGCCACGTCCCTGGCTGTCTTGTCGCCAGCTGTCGATGACGCCGTCGCGCGGGCGGCAGAGCACAAGCACGGATCGGGCTTGCTGCGCGCCATGCTCGGCCGCATCGAGCTGGCCGCGCGGTGCGTGCGTGCCAAGAGCCCAGCGGGCGCCGTGCGTGTCTCGGAGGCCCTTTGTCAACAGGCGACGGAGCTCCTGGGAGCGGTTGCGGGCGCGGCTGGAGCTGGACACACCTCGAGTGTGCAGGCGCGGGAGATGACGGCCGGCGCGCGGGCCGTGCTGGCTGCGGCGGACGGCGCCACGCTTGGGCGTGTTGTCGAGGGTGTGTTGCGGCGTGTTGAGGAGGACCACGCGGACGTGTCGGTGCGGGTCGAGCGCGTCACGACCGTCGCCTGGGCGCTAGACATGATGGTGGCTGATTCGGACCTGCGCGCAAAGGCGGCGGGCTCGCACCTGGCGTCGGCGTTTGCGAGGGCAGCGGATATGCTCTGCGCAGTGGCGGACGAGGTGTGCGGCGTCGATGCTGTGCCGCACCAGGCGGGGCAGAACTGCCGCGACGCAGTGCAGAGGATCAAGCAGGTCTCTCTGGACCTCTCGGCGCGTGAGCGGTAGGTGACTGCTCTTGCACATCGTGCGTGGCCGGACGGGCGGCCTGACGGGTCTATATCTGTTATGCGTGCTCAGTATCGCGCCTCGTGTGACTGCACACTCTTCACGTCCGCGGTCGAAACGGCCGTCCTCTTTTTGCCACTCACAGTCGAGTCCGCGCCGTCACCGCCGGTGCCGGCTGCGTCGCCACATGAAGCTCCTCCCCTGCATCTTGGGCTCCCTGACGTAGTCGTACCGCGCCTGGTCCGCCGTCTGCCCCGGCGGGAGCTCCTCGCTGGTCCAAGTAGGCACTGGCAAGTCGAGCATCGTAGATCGGTACTTCTCGAACGCCGGCGTGTCCAGCTTGCTGTTCCACTGCGCGCGCAGAGAGTCCCTCACCCGCAGAACGTTGCCGGCGTGCCCCGGGACCTGCCCCCGCACCCACAGCAGGTTCCTGCAGACACAACATCCGGGGCGCAGGCGCGCTCAACAACGCGGGCGGAACACAAGTTGCGCGCGTAAACGGACGCGGCGCGCGAGCCACGTGCGAAACAGGAACCGCCCAGCCGGCAGCCTGGAGCGGCGTCACCCTGAAACGCATGCGTAGACAGAGCATCGTACGAGGCGCTGCGCTCACCGCTCGGGGTCCGTCCGCCACACGTACAGCCGCTCCTGCGTGCACTTGACCCCGCCCATGCGCCCAGGCATCTTCTTCCCCGGGAACACGCGCGCCGGCGTCTTCCTGTTGCCTGTCGACCCCAGCTTGCGGTGCGCCTTGGTGTTGCCGTGCGACGCCTCCTGGCCCTTGAACCCGTGCCGCTTCATCGCGCCCTGGAAGCCCTTCCCGATCGTCGTGCCCTGCACGTCGATGAACTGCCCCGGGCGGAAGTGCGCGGCCGTGACCGGCGTGCCAACGGGCAGCAGCGCGTCCTCCGTGACCTGGAACTCCGACACGTGCCGCTTGATCGGGATGCCCTTGGCAACGAACTGCCCGCGCTGCCGCTTGTGTATCTGCTTCGGCTTCTTGCTCCCCGAACCGACCTGCGTCGCAGCGATGTGCGTGGCGGTATGTGGCTGCTGGGAGGGTGCCAGCGATGAAGGACGGGGCTCGGTGTGGTCCGTGACGATACATGGTGCATGCGCGTCAGCATACAGTCGTCTGCGCGGGCGACGGGGCGCCACGCTTGCCGCTTGGGCTGGGGCGCAAGCGAGCGGGGGCAGAAGCACACCTGCAACGCGGTGTACCCGTCCTTGTCCTTCGTCTTGACGCCCGTGACGATACATTCGTCTATCCAGAGCACCGTCAGCGGCGTCATGCAGCCCCGTTCGTCCCAATCGTGTGTCATCCCTGCCTTGATGGCCAACGCGCCCACCCGCCTCGTGTCGGGCGTCATCGCCCCTGGCACTATCCCTGGTGTGTGCTTCGCGGGGACGATTGGCGAGGGAGCCAGGACCTTGTATCCCACGGGCCCTATGCGGCCGCGGAGACCCTGTGCACGAGGCTCTGCACGACACGACAGAGTTGCGACGTCCGTGAGCCAAACCAAGCGTAGATCTCTGGCGCACAGCCTTCACGCACGTCTATGGACCCAACGGTCAACCGAATCGAAACTTGCAAGCGAGTGTCGCGCCGTGGCGGCCGCCTTTGCAGCCACCTCGACCCTGAACGCGCCTCTGCGCGCCCCGCGGGCCCTGCTGCTGAAGCGAGCGATCGTGGCGGCTCGGTACGTCAACATTCATGCTAACTGGGGCATCGTCAGCGTGGTTTCGCACCCTCGGCTGGCTCAGCGACCGCCTGATGGGGCGCCTGGCCACTCTGAAGCCATCGGAGCCCCGCCCCGCACGCCGGCTTCGCCCAGTTCCCCGTTCCCCAGCTCCCGCTCAAACAGCCGACCTCAGCGCTCTGCGACGCGGCGGCCAGCAGCCGCGGCAACCGTCGCAGCATCCCACAGCCTGGCCTCCCTCCGCCGAAACACCACACACGCACGCGCCCGCCCGCTCGCTACGCGCCTCTCACGCAACCACAGCTCTCTGCGTTTCTGCACGCACGCGCTGTGTCCCCTCCCCACGAACTGCGGGCCTTGCAGTCCACAGCCGGGCTGAGCCCCACCTGACGTCCAGTTTCACAAAGTATTAATCACACCCCCAGGGCAGCGGCACCGCGCGGACGGGCACGCACAGCGTGCGCGGGGCCGTCGCGGCACCACCAGAGACCAGGGAGTCCCTCTGCGCGCCAGGACAGCGAAACGCTCAAACCCCCGCGAGGGCTGCGCGTGTTGCATCATCCTTCACGCCCCGACGGCGAAGGCACGTCCACAGCAGTGCCCAGCCAAGTCGGGTCAGCGCTATCCGCTAGGGTGGCGCCCATTTTCTCGTGCGCTCCAACTCCGCGCGTGCTAGTATGAGAGGTCCTGAGCGTGTCCGGGAGCGGCGCCGAACACTAGGTCAGCCTGCGCCCGCGTGCTCTCGTACGCCGCGGCCACGGACCCCCTGAGCCCCGCGCCGTGCGGACCTCCGAGCTGCATCGCGGCCGCCCGCTCCGGCGACGGCGGCGCGCCGAACTCCCCGCGCGTGTCGGTGTAGAACGACGGACCCGGTGCCGGCGCGGTGGGCGCCGGGGTGTGGAAGGCGCCCGGCGTGTACGAGTACATGGGCCCGTACGGATCGACGGGGACGCGCTTCGGGTACCGCTCGGCCGCCTGGTACGCGCCGGGCATGCCGTAGGCATCGTGCGGGTGTCCGGACGTCTGGGGCCGCGGCGCGGTCCAGGGCGTCGGGAACGGCGCGCCCGGCATCGGGTACTGTGTGTGCGCCGCAGGGTACGACGGCCCGCGGTACGAGTGCGCGTACGGGTCACTCGCAGCCTCCATGCCTGCAGGGCCCAAGGACACCCCCCCGTTGGCGTGCGGGGCGTCCTGCGGGTACCGCTGGCGCACCGCCCGCGGAACCGAAGCGTCGTACGCGGCGACGGCGCCGGCGTCCGACCTGCTCTCGTCCAGCCGGGACGCCAGCTGCTGCCGTAATGTGTCCATGTCGCGCCCCACAGTGCGACTCGGGCTCTCGCCGCCGTGCGCACGCGCACCGCCGTGCGCCAGCTCGTCGCGGCGAATCGTCAGCGCGCCCAGCACGCGGTCGAGGTCCTCGGTGACGCTGTGCGCCACGGAGGCAATCAGGCCTGCCGCGCCAGACGCTCGATACGCCGTCGCCGGGGCCACCGGCGGGCCCTCGGGGGGCTGCGGCGCCGCGCCGTGGGACGCGTACGACGCCTCCACTGTCCTCGGCACGGCCTCCGCGCGCACCGCGAGCGCAGACGCCTGCACCGCTGGCGGCGCAGGTGTCGGGAGCGGCTGCTGCACGGGTCTGGCTGCGGGCGCCGGCAGCGCGGGCGGGCCAGCGCGTTCCTGCGCCGGCTTCGTCGCGCGCGCCGCCCGCTGCGCCGCGGCGCCCAGCATGGCGTCCTTGCGCTCCGCCGCGGCCCGCAGCAGGCTGCACAGCTCCGACTCGTCGACGCGGCCCTCCGCCTTCTTCGCCTCCTCCTCCGCCGCGCGCGCCGCCTCCTCCTCCTCCTCGAACCGCCGCCGCAGCTCCGCCTCCTGCTTCGCCACCTCCTCCGCCCTCCGACTCTGCACAAGCTTCTCCAGGACCGCGCTCCCGCCGCGCGGCGCCGCCGCGGACGCGCCCGGGACCTGCGCCGCGGCCTCCGCGGCCTTGTCCACGACGGACTTGTGCTTCTCGGTCCCCACGGCCGCGGCCTGCTTGTCGGCGCGGCGCTGCTCTCGCTGGCGCAGTGGGCTCCATGAGGGGTGCGCGCGGACGGCCGGGCCCGCGAGGACGGTCGTGCTCTCGCCGGTCTGCACGTCGGGGATCGAGATCGGGCCGTCGAACTCGCACCCGAGCGCCTCGATGACGTCGCGCGGCGTCAGTGTGCCGCGGACGGAGAACTCCGCCAGCCGGTCGTGCACGGCGCGGGTGGCGTCGGGGCCGCGGCAGGTCGCGACGAGGGTCGAGAAGATGTCGACGACGGCGCGGAGCGGCGCGGCGCCGCCCGGGACCATGCGCGTGCGCGGCTTCTCGTCTGGGGGGGGGTCTCCGAGGCGTCTGACGTGGGGCCGCGCGTGCGGGTCCGGCGCGCGGGCGGGCGCGGGCTTCTCGTCGACGCGCGGCACGCGGCGGCCGAACGCGCGCAGGAAACTCTGCCAGTGCTCGCACACGAACTGCGCGCACGCCTCCAGCTCCTCGCACGGCAGCGCGACGTAGCGGTTGCGCTCGGGACCCGGCGGGCGCGTCTCCGGCAGCGGCTCCATCGGGATCACCTGCGCCACCGGCGCGGGCGGCGCCCGCCGCGGGCTCGACGGTGGCGACGGGAACGGCACCTCCACCACCTCCGAGGCTGAAACGCGGTACTGGTGCGGCTGATCCGAGGCGCCGCGGGGCGTGGTGAGGACCGCGAGCTCGAAAGACTCGCGCGCGTCGGGCCGCGGAGGGCCGCCGTCCGCGCCGCTGTTGCTGGCCCACGTGTCGAGGCTGCAGCGGCGGTCCTCCGCGCCAAGCGACCTCTCCGCCGCGCTCGCCGCCGGCTCTTCCGCCCGGTCCATGGCCTGCTGGGCGACGTCCGCGCGGCTCCGCTCGGGCGCGCCCCGCGGCGCGGCCCTCCCACCGACCGGCGGGAAGGACGCCACCACCTCCCCGAACGTGCGCCCGGTCTGACGCTTCGGCGCGGCCTCCGTGGACACGGCCATGCCATCGAGCCCGCGCACCGGCTCGGCGCGGCGCTGCTGGCTGCTCGACCGCGGCACCTCCAGGGACGACCTCGCGCCCCCACGCGCAGCCGTCCGCTGCGGCGGGCCGCTGCGCGGCGGGACGCTCCGGCGCGTCTGCGGCGGGGCGGTGCGCTGGTCCAGCGGGCGCGACGCGCGGATGCTCGCGGACTTGTGGAACACGAGGCCCGTGCGGGAGTGCAGCACGGGGACGCGCTCGTGCGCCATCACGATGCTGTCGTCGCGGGGGATCCTGGGCGCGTCGAGCGACTCCGACCGGCGGCGCTTCGCCGGGGGCGCGCGCTGCGGGGGGCGCTCGGGCGGGGGGGTCTCTTCCCGGCGCGCCGTCTCGTCGTACCACCGCTGACGCTGTACGGCGCGCTCGCCGATCTTGTGCTGCGCGAGGGAGCGCGCGAGCGCGGGGGATCGCTTCGCTAGCCTCTGCGTGAGGCAGGGGGGGGATCGGGGGGTTCCGCTGTGCATGTGACGGGTCCGGGGCGCCCGCGGGTGCAGTCGCGACATGCGATTCCGCGCACCTCGAGGGCTTTCTTGCCCTTCGCGTTCGACGTCCTGCGGACCTCCTCCATGTCGATGATCTCCTGGTCGCGCGGCCCGCCCTTGCGAGCGTCCACCGAGAACGGCCGGCTGGGAACCTGCACGCCCCTGCGCGCCGCCGCTCGCAGGTACGCCGGCATGCGCTCCATGACCTCGTAGGCCCCGGGGCCGGACCCAGCCCTGCCGCGCTCCTCCATCTGCCGCGCGAACGCCGCGCGCGGGTGCTCCTGCTCGTACGCGACCTTCGGCGGCATGACATAACCCTCCGGCACGGCGGCGTGCTCCGGCGCCGGCTGCTCCGGCCAGGCGGTCGGCGGCGGCTGCGGCGGCTGCGGCGGCGGCGGCGGCGGCGGAGACGGCGTGATTCCCGTGCCGTGCATCGCGAGCATCTCGAGCTGCGAGCCGCCCGTGGCAGCGCGCAACAGGACGTCGACCGACGGCAGGAGCGTCGGTGTGTCCGGCGTTTCCGCGCGCTCCTGCTCGACGACGGGCGCGTTCAGGGGCGTGCTCGTGGGAAGCGCATGCTCCGCAGGGGCCGCATCGGGCGCCTCGGAGGCCTGCGTCGCCGCAGGAGCGCTTGCAGTGGGCGCGAGGCCTTGTTCCGAGGGGGTGAACGGGTCCTCCGCCTCGAAGGCGTCGTCCGCGACGTCCCCGACCGGCCTCACGCCGAACGTCGGGCTCGGACACCCGCTGTCGGGCGCTTGAGGCGCGTCGGGAGCGTCAGGGTGCTCCATTGCCCGTGCAGTGTTGCCGCCGGGGCGGGTCCAGCGTCTCGCTGCTCCTGCGCGGAGGTGCCGTGCGGGGAGCGGATGCACGGTGAAGCGGAGATGGGGCTCAGGATACAGGATCTGTCCGCGCTCGGGGCCGGTACGGAGCGCGCGGGGTCCATACGGACAGAGACGGGGTGCGAGGGCCACGGGTGCGGGCGGTGCTGCTTCGTGGCGTCAAGTCGCGGAGAGCGATGTCAACACGCTGCGGCGCGGCCGTATCCTTCCGTGCGCGGCTTGGCTGCGCGAGCGCGCATGCACTCGTTGGGGGCAGTTTGACGCGCCGTGGCTGGCCGGCGCGGCGGTCAGGGACGGCCTTCGGTCGAGACCCAGCTGTCATACGAGCTGACGATGACATCTCGACCACGCTCGGCCGTGCGCAGGAGACGGGGGGCGCTTCCGGGAGGCGGGTTGGTCAGGTGGCTGTTTCAACTCGATATCGCCCGCACGCACCTGGTTCGTGTCACCTGAGGCCGACCATCGGCGAGGCGACGGTTTGAGCTCCTTGCAAGTAGTTCCGGGCCCAGCACGCTGCGTTGGCGCGGCGCGGCTTGGATGCGGGGGGCTTTCCAACCCCGTGCGGTGGCTGCCGAAATGTGTATCGCAGAAGAGTCCACGAGGCGAGGGACGAATGCCTCGCACGGCAACTGCTCCTGCTGCCAGCGCGAGGGAGGGTCGCCAAGCATTGTGCGCCCGCACCTCCCGGACGGCGGCCCCGTCAGCGCATGTGCCCCCCCCTGGGTACAACGCGAAGAGAAAAGACCCCGCGCAGCTAATCAGTGCGACAAACGCGTCTGCTGGGGATTACGTTGACCTGGACGCGCATCACCGTCGCGAGGATGCTTGACCAAGACCGGATGGCCGCGGGCAGCGACTGCAACCATGGCGCGCACACCCGCGTCTCGCGGCACAGCGCAGACTCAGGCCGGTGACACCGCAGGCACGAGCGCGGACGACGCCTCTGCGGCACGAGCGCGCTGGCACCGCCATGGTCCACGGCGCTGCTGGCACTCGAGGGAAAGACTTGCCCGCGAGCTCACACATGATGCTGCTGTCCGCAGGCACCCGGTCCCGTCTCGCAGGGGCGTTCAAGGCTAATTCTATGTGCTACCCACGGGCGCGCACGTCGCGGATGGGCGCCCGGTGCGGATAATGTACAGTCCAGTCTTGCCGTGCGATTGAAAACCAGCCACTTAGAAGACGGGCTTGTTGGTGTTGAGCTCGAGCACCGTCATCATGGTCAGGCCCATCATGGCGACGCGGCCGTTCCAGATCTCCGCCGTGCGGTTCAGCGGCCCGACGGACTGCGTGCCGTCGTCGGCGCCCTTGAGGATAGGCACCAGGCTGGCAGCGGCGAAGAGCACCATGGTGCCAGCGACGGGGCCCGTGGCGAGGTCCAGCTGCTGGAAAATGGTCTTCCCGGACGACAGCTCCGCGGCCACGGCCGTCACGAACGCCAGCATCGCCTGCGGGGTCGCTCCGAAGGGCGCAGACGCGGTTGGCGGCGATGCGACCACACACTCGAGTGACGTGCAGCGTAGGGTACTAGGGGGGCAGGGGGGCGCACCAGGCGGCCGTTGATGAGCTCGGGAGCCATGCCGGAGAACTTCATGGCGTCGAACAGCGACGGCGGCCCGGACACGACCGGCTCCGTGGGCGCGTCGGGCATGACGCCCTTCTGGACAGGGTTGATGGCCTCGGGCGTGACCTCGGGCTCGTCCGCGGCGGTGAGCGGGCGCGGCTGGGCCGGGGCAGCCTCCTCCGGGACGGCCTCGGGGGACTCGGGGGCCTTCTCGGGCTCGGCGCGGACCTGCAGGCGGGGAGTGGGGATGCTTGGCTCTGAGAGCTCGAGGGCCGCCGCGGGCTTGTCGGGGCACACACACGTATTCCGTGCAACGGAGATGCATGGCCACAATGAATTTGGATCGGGGGCGTCGGCGGGTCACGGCGTGCCCTTCTCTCTCGCCCGCTGCGGCGGTGAGGCGAGGGCACAAGTCGACCCGGCTGCGCCGCGCCGCGTGGGCGTCCCGCACGGCGCAATCATCGCGCTTCGCTGGCCTCGAATACAGATGTCACCAGAGGGACGCGCGGTGACACTCACCCGGATCGCCGCGCGCTGCGCACGGCGGGTCGTGGGGACACCAGTGGCCCGAGCAAAAGTGGCGTTCATCTTGGCGGTGAGCATCTTGTGAAGGTAACCTTGATGCGCTACGTGAATGACAGGTGACTGGGTATCCGGCTGTACGTGTGCCTGGTCGTGAGAATGCTGGGTGTAGCCGCGCGGGCGGGCCATTGAACTCTTGGCTAGGAAGGGCACTGACGTGGGTCGTGCCCGACCTGACAGGCGGCCGGGGCCACCAGCGACCGGGAAACACGCCGCGCCGCGCCGCCAGGCATCAGCAGCATGCTTCCGGCCTGTTTGCCGCGCAGCAAGCCCGCGGGACCGCGCTGCGTTCCGGGTCACCGCCCGCAACACAGCAACCTCACGCCACACATGCGACCCCGCGACCGCCGGGGACCGGTGGCCCGTGCACGCACGCGTGCGATCCGCGCGATCGCGGCGACGCCGGGGACCGCGGTCCGGTGCGTCGCGTCTCGGGGCGGCTGCGTGCAGGGCATGTGCTGCACGTGTGTCCGTGTGTCCACGAGCAGTGGCGTTCCGCGAGGCGCTGGGCGCGGTGCCCCGACGAGCGAGGGACGCCGGTGCGTCCGCGTGCGGGGCGTTGTGGGCATCGCGGCGGTGACGGGGAGAGGTGTGTGTGTGGGGGTGCTGAGCTGGCAGACCGTCTGAGACCGTCTCAGACGGTGTCGCGACTGAGTTGCTCGAGGCCGGCGCGGAGGGCGCGGGCTGGGCACTCCGGTCCTCAGAGACGCGGGAAAGCGGTGCGCTGGGCTCTGTCGCGCACGCCCCCTGGACGCACGGACGCCCTGGACGTGCAGCTGGAGGCACCGCTGCAGCCCTCCGTGGCGCGTGAATCGCGCGGCAGCACGGCGCCACGCCTGCTGAAGCCCTCTGCATCAACTGAGGCACCCGCGGGTGCTTTCGGGAGGCGCTCGCGACGCCTTCGTGGCCGTTTAGTCACAGCAGCGTAGTGTGTCACGCTGGGGCTCCGCGGGGCGTGAAAGACATACATACACTATGAACCGCGACGCCAGGCAGAGTCTGGACCCGCTGGGGGCGCCGATCGTGCGGGTTCGGCCGGACGGTCGCGGCGAGGAAGCGGGTTTCAGTTTGCCGAGGTCCTTCACCCACGCGGCGGGCTCATCCAGTTCGGGGTCCGGATTCACGCGCGGAGCAATCCTCCCTGCGTACAAGGAGGATCTGTTTCCGGAGGCCGCAAACTACGAGCAGCCGAGCTGCTGCGCGTCGGCCGGCACCAACTGCTGGCTATACCTTACGCGCACGCTGCGCACCTGCAGGGCGCACCCCGCCATCCCTCTCGCCGGACTGCTCGCTGGAGCTCTCGTCTCCGGAGGCCTGATCCTCCTCACGATACTGGTTCGAGATGCGCACCGCTCGGAGCGTTTTGGTGAGGCGCGGACCCTGCTGCGGGACCTGGAGCGCAGCACCCGCATCGAGTTCGAAATCGCGCTGGCGCCCCTGCACACCATGGATCAGGTGCGCCCGCCCCGGCACGAACAGGCCGAGATTCCGCCGCACGCCGCCGCGCCCCGCCCTGGACCGACCGCGGCGGTTTGTCACGCCGGCCCCCCCGCGGGGCGCTCTCCGGGCCCGCGGCGCACAGGCGCGGCCGCGGATCGCCGCCACACCACAGCCCCACCCGGCCGCGGCGCTCGCGCCCCCGCTCCTCGCCCCGCGCAGGCCATTCGCGAGACGGTGTCCCCACCTGGCCTGGTCCAGCCCCCGGACCTGTGGAGCAACTTCGGCCCGCGGTTCCGCGGCATGGTCGACCTCGGCCTGCCCGCCGACGCCGCGGTCACGTCCGTCATCCCCGCCCCCGACGGCGTCCTCGCGGACGCCTGGCCGCGCGACGGCTTCGTGGAGAACGGCATCGGGCTCGACCTGTTCGCGCACCCGAACCCGCTCACGCGCGAGGCGATGCAGCGCGGCAAGGACACGCGCGAGATCATCGTGCAGGGCCCGTACATGCTCGTCCAGGGCTTCCAGGCGCTGATTCCGCGCATCCCGGTGTTTCCGAAGCTGCACGGCGGGGTGCCGCGGAACGCGGCGGGGCAGACGTCCGTCTTCGGCGAGCGGTTCCACGACCCGGAGCCCGACGGGACGTACTTCTGGGGCATGCTCACCGCGATCTTGCGCTGGGACCGCTTCCTGGAGACCAGCGGGTTCAACGACGACCTCTCGGCCAAGTACGAGTGGCAGATCGCGGAGGACCGCGCCGACGGGGACACGGGCGAGACCGCGCTGGTCGTGCACGCGTCGTCGGCGGGGAACGAGGAGGCCATCGGCACCTACGTGGAGCGCGCCATCTCGGTGTACGGGCTCAACTGGCGCCTGCGCGCGAGCCGCCGCGCGGGCTGGGAGCCCACGTGGATCCCCGCGGGGTACGTGGTGTCGAGCTTCCTCGGCGCGCTCGTCGGGCTCCTCGCGGTGGCGCTCCTGTGCGCGCGGCACGAGGCCATGTGCCTGTTGAACAGCATGCTGCCGCCGCGCGTGGTCGGCATGATGCGCCGCGGCGAGCGCGTCGCGGAGCGCTTCCCGAGCGTCGCGCTCGCGTTCATCGACATCGTGGGGTACACCAGCATGTCGAACGGGCGGGACCCGTCGGACGTGCTCGACATGCTCGACCGCGTCTTCACGATGATGGACAAGTGCGCCGCCGTGCACGGCGTGTTCCGGTGCGCCGCAGCCTCCCCCGCGACCGGCTCCCCGCGCGCCGTCGACACCCCCACTGACTGACTGACTCCCCGCCTTGTTGTTTGTGCGCAGGCTGGACGTGGTGGGCGACCAGTACATCGCGATTTCGGGAGCGTACCCCGGCGCGGACCCGCAGGAGTGCACGGAGCGCATCGCGGCGTTCGCGCAGAGCGTGATCGAGGAGCTGCGGACCATGAAGAACCTGAAGGGGGAGCCTGTCCAAGTGCGCGTGGGCGTGCACTTCGGCGGGGTGACCACGGGCATCGTGGGGTCGACCAAGTGGACCGCGCTGGGCGACGCGATGAACACGGGGTCGCGCATGGAGTCCACGGGCAAGCCTGGCGCGATCCACGCCACGGAGGCCTTCAAGCACTGGGTGACGTGCTCCGGGCGCTGGACGGCGCGGTCGCGCACGACGTGCAGCGGCGACGCGGCGGGGATCATGATCAAGGGCAAGGGCGTGATGCGGACGTACTGGATCACGCCGCGCGAGCTCAACGGGAAGGCTGTCAGCCACCGAATCCTGGACCTTCGAGGGATGGTGGGAAGCGAGGATCCCACGGGCAGCATGACGAGCGGCGGCCCGCGGACGGAGAAGAGCGCGGGGCACAGGGGCGTGCACTTCGCGGAGGGCCCGAAGGACTTTGGCGTGCGGCGTGCCACGAAGAAGTTCTCAGACCTGTTCAGCGGACCCGACGCGCGGAGCAACAGCCGGACGGCGGTCGCCAGCCGCCGGGGGTCGCACCTGGCGCCGAACCCTCCGCTGCGGCACTCCAATCACGCGGCGGGCTCGCACGAAGTGTAGCGCACTGTCCCCACGCAGGCTGTGGCGGGGCTCCCGGCGAAATCCCGCCGGGCCTCGGGCGCGGGCGGTGCTCGAACGTCCGCGGCCAGCTCGCACTCCGCCGCGCCCACCGCCACCCTCTGAACCGGGGCAGCAAGGCACCGAACCACTGCAGCCTCAGAAGGGTGGAGTGGCGCCTCGCTGCGCGCTCGCGCGTCGACTGCGCATCGCCGAATAGCAGCTTGTTCCCCCCGAGTACCGCTGCCTGCACGATGACCCCCCCTCCCACCAAGCAACCTCCATCCCCCACCCCGGGTCGGCGTGGCTGAACAGCTCCCCTTCTACCCCCCGTGTTCCGCCCCCCCATCCCGTTTCCCGTCCGCGCGGTCGGAAGACCACAAGCTGAGCGCTCTGCCGGATGGATCCGGCTGGAAGGATTGTATCCGCGCAGCAAAAGTAGATTTCACATTGCGCTCTGAAAAGACTGATGTTTGCACACACTTCGGCGCTAGATCTCCCAATCAAACGCGGCTCCTCCGCCGACAGTACGCTTGCGGCACCTGCGCGACTTGCGCGCGGGCAGGAGTACGTTGTCGCGACCCTTGAGGTCGACGACGAAGCACCAAGACCAAGACGCGAATTGATCGACGATGGGGATCGTCCCCGCTCTGTGACTTTCCGCCCCCTCCCGAATCGCGGCCCGCCCCCGCCCGTGGATCACGCAGACCAAGCGTCCTCGCGGTGAGGGTGCTTGTAGGTCGGCAAGCTACAAGCAACATGGATGGAGGCCAATCACGGCCGGGGCACAGGCGCGCACGCGGCAGCACGCGGCAGAGCGCCCGAGGCATGCACAGCTGTGCCCGGCGACGCGGAGCGGAGAGGCGAGGGTCACATCTCTATGGAGTCGGGAGCGACTGCGGGCCCCTACGCCTTGAGGCGGCCCATGGCCTTGGCCTTCTCCGTGCTGGTCTGGAAGCGGCCGTGCCCGAACTTGGAGGCCGTGTCGATGAACTTGACGGCGACCTTCTCCGTGGCGCGGCGGTCCGTCTGCGGCACCATGCTCTGGCGGAGCGTGATGACGCGCTTGCGCGTGCCCGCGACGGTGCCCTTGAGCATGAGGAAGTCCTCGCTGACCGTGCCGTAGTGCGGGAACCCGCCGACGGGCGTGATGTCCTTGTCCGTCACGTCGAAGTCCGTGGTGGCCTTGTGCGAGTCGGTCCCGGCCTTGCCCAGCTTGTAGATCTTCTTGTTCATCTCCGTGCGGTGGTGGAAGCCGTGCTGGCCCGAGCGCGGCACGGTCCACTGCAGCGCGGCGGGGTGCCACGCGCCCACGCAGCCCACCTTGCGCAGCCCGCGGTGCGTCTTGCGCGGCAGGCGCGACACGCCCCAGCGCGTGACCACGCCCTCCGTGCCGCGGCCGCGCGTGATCGCGATCGTGTCCAGCATCTCGTCCTGCCCGAACACCGCGTCGACCGGCACCGTCTTCTCAAAGAGGCCGTAGCCAAAGTCCACCTTGTCCGCCACGGAGCCGCCGTTGACCTGGATCTCCATCACGTGCGCCTTCTTCTGCCCGTTGTTCTTGTTGCACCCGGCCTTGCGCACGTTCGTGTGCGCCACCACGCGGATCGTGCAGCAGTGCTTCTTCATGTCCTCCAGGTCGGCCTTGACCTTCTTCTCGTCGAACGAGGCCTTGTACTTGCGGAACGCGGCCTTCTTCGAGCAGAAGTAGTTCTTGTAGAACTTGCGCTTCATGTCCTCGCTGATGTGCTGCGCCCACACCGTCTTGTACGTCTGCTCCCCGCGGTACGACTTGATGTAGCCCACGAGGCCCACCACCGTCATCGGCGGGGTCTCGATGATCGTCACCGGCTCGCAGACCTGCGGGGCACGCGGGCGCGGGCCGCGGCGGGGTCGCGGGGCGCGGGAGCGGGGCGCGATCGCCGGGCGGGGTGCAGGCGGGAGGAGGCGGCTGGCCGGCCCGGGCGCTCCGTCGGGGCGGAGCTGGGCGGGCCCGCGCGTGTGTGGGATGGAGACGCGGCAAGGAGGCAGGTGCGGCGGCGGGGGGGCGTCGGGGCGGCGGGGGAGGGCTGCGGCGACGGTGCGGTGCCGCGGGTGGGCCCTGCGGGCGGGAGGGCGCTGCACGCACCTCCTTCTTGTGGGCCTTCGAGCCCGGCTTGTCGAGGTCGCGGACAATGTGCGTCATGCCGGCCTTGAAGCCCATGAAGGCCGTCAGGTGCGGCTTCTTGGAGGCATCGTCCTTGGGGAAGGCCTTGCACCGGCCGCGACCCCTGCGGCAGCGCTTCTTGGGCATGAAGCCCAGGTTCCCGTAACGGGGGTCTGCAAAAACGTCGAGCGTGATAGGCTGCGGTGAGCGGGAGCGCTGCGGCGCGGCGTCGGCCGATGGTGCAGCAGCCGGTGCCCGGGAGCTCGACGCGCGAGGCTCGCGGGCGCCGCGGAGCGATGCCCGGGGCGGTGAAATGAACGTATCGTCGCAACGGGAGGCACGCGTCCGGCGCGGCGGGCCCGGAGGCCTCGCACGCAGCAGCCAAAGCCGACGGGGGCACTGGTGGGCACGCACGCTCAAACTTGCGGTGAGACATGGCTGGCCACTCGTCCTCCCAACGCCGAAAGGACAGGATGCGGCCGCGGAGCGAGCCCCTCGAGCCCGGACCGCGATGCCCCGGGCCCGACTCCGGTTTCGAGACATCCCTCACGACGTCCAGGGCCGCCGAGGGGCGCTGTCCGCGCGAAAGCGAGCAATAAAAGTGAAACGCGTCGAACGGAGCGGCGGAACTGACGCGCGACGGCGTTGCACGGATTCCCTCGGGCGAACTAGTGTGAGGACTGGGTTGTGTCTCCGTGCTCACGGCGCCGGCAACCGCTTGACGTTTGGGCGAGGATGGAGCCTGCGGGGCAGGATGGCATCAAGCGGCTGATCGCGGCGGAGGCGGAGGCGCAGGAGATCGTGTCGAAGGCCCGCAGAGGTGCGCGGGGAACAGACTGCGCTGGCAGCACCTGCACAGGCGACGTCCGCCGCTGATGCTGGCCTGCTTGCAGAGATGCGGGCTCAGACGCGCGACGAAGGTGGTCGCCGGCGCTTGGTATTCCCCGCTGCTGCTCCGGGTGGCTGTATCCCCACCGCGTGCACTTGTGCTCGCTCCGCCCGCAGCCAAGACCGAGAGGCTCAAGCAGGCGAAGGCGGAAGCCGAGCGGGAAATCAACGCCTTCAAGGCGCAGTGCGACGAGGGGTTCCGGAACGCGGTCACTGAGGTGCGCCAAGCATCCCCGTCCCTGGAAGCTTGCCCTGCAAAACCGCGAGATCACAGCCGCAACGACCATCGACCGCACGCCCCCCAGCGACTCTTGGTTCTGGGCATGCGCGACGGTGCAGAATGCGCCCCGTCGGGGCGAGCGCGCGCCTGCAACGCTGCTTTTGCTTTGCATGACGCCTCACGCTGCAGCCGGTGCGGTTCCGGGGCTGGCTGCAGGGGACGACTTCGTCGGGATCGAATCTAGGGAAGCTGCAGGCGGACATGCAGGCCCAGATCTCGCAGGTGACCCGGCGCGCCGAGTCGCAGCGGCCCGCAGTGGTGAAGAGCCTCGTCTCGGCCGTCACGACGGTGCCCATCACGGCTCAGGGCAAGTGATCGCGAGCCGCCACACGCACGTCGCCATAGCAGCGCGCGCGCGCTGTGACCCGGGCTCGCGCACCCTGTCGCAACCTAGCACCAGCGCGTCACTCCTGGCAGCGGCGCTGTGCGAACGGGAACGCACGCGAGGCACGTCCCATGCGCTGCGACCACCTCTCCCCGCGCAGCCTGCCCGTCTGCCGCGAACGGGAGCCCCGCCGTCCGCACAGACCCCCGGGGGGGGTGGCAACATCCCGTGAGCCCTGTTGGACCTGCGTCACATCGCGGCGGGGCCACGCAGCGCCCGCGCGTCACGAGAAGTTGGCGACGTTCTCGCGCGTCATCGGCGGCGGCGGCACGTCGCCCTCGCGGTCCCACTCGGGGATCTCCCAATACTCCCCCAGGTACCGCATCGCCGTCTCGCCGCTCCAGGACTCCCCCGGCTGCAGCGTGATCCTCCGCGCGAACGTCCCCGGCCCCAGCCGGACGTGCTGCTTCGCGGTGTCGGGCGCGCCCGCCCCCGGGTTGAACACGTGCATGTCCCGGAACCCCCCCCTGTTGTACACCTGCCAGTGCGTCTGGTCGCCCGGGCACAGCCAGATGTCGCCGGAGTCGTCCGCCTCGACGTACACGCGGCTGACGCGCTCGTCGAAGTGCGTGTAGTCCTCGCCGTCGATGAACATCTGCGGGTCCGACGGGTCCGCGTAGTCGATGTACCACAGGCCGCCCAGGCCGAGCGCGCGCACGAACTCCGACGCGGTGTCGTGCACGCGGAGATGCGCGCGCACGCCTGCCGTGAACGACAGCGGCTCCGTCCCGGTGTTGGTCACGCGCAGCGCGTACAGCACCTGCTCCGGGACGGTCTGCGGCGGGGCGGGGCGGGGCGCTAGCAGGCTGTTGGCGCGGGCGAGGCCGAGGGCTGGACACACGGGGGGGGTCGAGGAGGGGCGGGGGTCGAGCGGGTGTGTTGGGGTTGCACACACCTCGGCCACCATGTCCGACGGGGACACGACGGTCTTGCTCGACGACGCGGCGGCGGCCTTCGCGCCGGGTCCGTCGTTCTCTTGCGGGAGCCACGGGACGGCCCCGCGGTTTTTCCACGGCCGCACGGTGTTCCATGGCTGCCGCGGGGGGGGGTCGTCGTCCTCCATCAGCGACACGCGCGCCTCAACCTCGAACCTGCGTGGCGGACGGCCCCTCGCGTGCGTGAGTGCGCGGAGCGGCGCCGGCGCGAGGGTGCACGCGTGCCAGCACACGGGCGGGACACAGGTGCGACGGTGGGCCATGAGAGCGTGGTGACGAGCCGCGGCGAGGGCGTGAGCCGCCCACCTTCCCGGGAACATCTTCCTGCTGTTCTCGTCATCGCGAGCGACGAGCACGACGGTCGGCGCCGGGTCCTGTGCCCCCTCCGGCGACAGCTCCACAGCACGCACGCGCCAGTCCAGCTGCGACGCGAACCCGCCGTCCGGGATCGACACGTTCTCCTTCATCACCTGCACACAGCAGACGGGCGCTGTTCGGCCGCTCCTCGCAGTCTCGCGCGCAGTCGAAGGGAAAGAGAGCCGTCCAAGGTGCAAGTGGATGTTGGCGACGGGAGGCAGCCGCACCTGGGGGAAGCAGGGCGTGATGCCGCCTCTGAACGGCTTCTCCAGCTCGATTTGTTCCTTTTTCGGGGCAAAGAGAGCTTCGTGCCCGTTCGACGTGACCCACGCGGTGACCGCAGCGCCAGCAACGGAAACAAAGGCAACGCCTCCGCGTGGGTGCTGCAGCGCCGCGAATATCGCGCCTGTCTCGTCGTCTTGCACGAACTGAACCATGTCGTTCCCGAATGCGCGGTCGATCTCCTCGACTGGCGAGTCGTGCCCCATCTCAGCAGGCGGCTGCCGGCTCGCCTCCCGTGCGCTCAGCTCCGCCTCTCCCTGCTCCATGTCCATTTCCGCCGACGCTTCGTCCTCCGCCGAGGCAACTACGCGCCGCCGCGAGCTCCTGACGGCCTGTCTCAGCGCACGGCCGCCCCAGCCGGTCTGCAGCGGGCGGGAGCGCCCGGTCAGCCCGGCGCACTGGGCCCCGCATTGCGCCTTGGCCGTCAAGGCCATCATACTCTGGTGGAACCTGTCCACGTGGCGAAAGGACGGAGTCGACGGCAGCACGTGCTTCGTGCGCTCTCAGGCTGAGGCACGAGGTGTGTGTTGCCCCTGCAGCTCGTCGCGCGATCTCCCGACTCCGTCCTGGCACGAGCGATGCGTCCGTGTCCTACAGGGTGCCCTTACAGCCGCGCCCTATTGGGCGCCCTCACCCACGCCTTCCCTCCCGGGCTCGTGATCAGTTCCTGAGTCATGTCAGACCGAGCACAGCGGCAGCGCTTGAAGAAGGGGCACGTGGAGCCTGGGGGTTCCGCCGTCAGGTGCGCCCGCGCCGTTCTGTGCGCTGCCTTGAGACGCATTGCTTCAGACGGCACCCCCCCCCCCGCGTCAGTCTGACGGACCTCCTGTTTGTTTAGGGATCGACGCGGGTCGCAAGAGGCTGCCGCAGGGGGTACAGAAGCCGCCAAGTACATCGCATGCGGCGCAGTCTCTGCAGCAGGCGTCGCGGCGGCGCGAAATCGCCCTTCGACTCGCGCGGATTGTCGCCAATTGGCGTTGCAACCAGCACACACCCAGTGCCTCCGAACCTGCGGCACAAGCCTCGCGCTTCCGGCAGAGTGGGGTCCGTGGCGGGCCAGACCAGGCAAGAGACCGCCGCAGTCATCGCTGGAACGACTGCGCGTGCGAAGGTGGGCGTGTCCAGCGGAACACGACAGGCAGGACGCACCACACTGAGCAACGCGAACGTCGTTGCCGGGGCCAGGACGAAAGGTCAACCACGGACAGGGCAATGGACTCGCGTGCGGGCCGGGAAGCCGAGATGAGCATCTTCGTTGCCGAGGTGGTGACCAGGACGTTGCACGAGTCACACCCACAGCCACTACCACGGAATCATCCGCCGTGGCAGGGTCAATAGCGCAGCGCGATGTGTCAGAGATCCTGTCTACGTGGGGCCGATGATGGAGAACGCGCGCCATCCTGCGTACATGCCTAGAGTGCGCACCATGCACAACAGAGAGAAAAAATCTCTGTGGCTACAAAACAGCTGGTGTTGTCCCCGCGCCAACGTGCGTCGGGGGGGCTCCTGCGCCGAGCACGGCTGTCGGCGGCCATAGTTCTGGCGGAGCGACCACGATGACCGCGACCTTCCCCGCTCAAGTGTCCTGGTAGTTGCTGTGTCCGTTCCGAGCCCCGTACGTGCTCAGCCGGACGCGTTGCTGCTTCGGACCGACGGCGTGCTGCGTGCTCACGCTGCTCATCGAACCGCGGTGCAGCGCGCTGCCGACGACGCGGCCCACGTGCAGGGGCATTGGCATGGTGACGTCCACGGAGAGCATCAGCCCGGCAGGCGGCGCGAGCAGCGTGCCCTTGCGGCCCACCGCGCCCTCGGGCGGGGCCATCTCGGAGACGCGCAGGCAGCCCAGCTCGAACTCCCCCTGCACGCCCTTGAGGCGGTACCGTCCGATGTGGTCGAGCTTGATGGTGGCCCGGGTGGGGGCGAACACCCACTGCCCGCCCTCGTGCTTCGATTCGAGGGTCATCGGCCGAATGCCGCTGTCGCCGGCCGTCAGGAACTGCACCCCGCGCGCGCTCCCGGCCCCGCTGCCGCCGCTGATCCGGGAGTTGCGGGCCCCGCGCGAGTGCACGCTCGACGGCGGCTGCCGCAGCTCCCCCAGAACGTCCCGGCCCTCCCCCTTGTCCAGCTCGTCCAGGGCGTGCAGGTTGAGCTTCCTCGGCACGCCCCGGAGCACGTTGAGCGGGCCGTCGCCGCACAGCCGCGCGACCTCGTCGTCCGCCACCAAGTCCACGCCCTCGACCCGCACCGGGTCGATTTCGAAGGGGGCGGCCGGCCCGTCCAGCGACGAGAAGGCCCTGGCGCTCAGGAGCCCGTTGGCGCTGAGTGCGCCGCGCACCTCGCCCGTGCCGCCCTTCCCCCCGTTGCCAACCATGGCCGAAATGCCCGCCACAATCTGCGCAATGTCCGCCACGACCTGCCCGGGCTGCGCGGCGGCGAAGCACATGCGCGCCGCGCGGTTGACGAGCGGGCCGAAGTAGTCCGCGCGGCCCGTGGCGGTGTGCGGGACCACGCGCAGCGGGCGGCCCTCGTGGATCCCGATGCGCACCCGCAGGCCCCCAGGGATCATCCCGCCGCCGGGCATGAACCGCTGGCGCGCGTGCGACGTCTCCAGGAGGCGCGAGGGCCACGGAAGCTTCGGGAGGACCTCCTGGAGCGCGATGCTCCACATCATCGCGCTTCGCATGTCGTAGAAGGCCAGCATGAAGGTCGCGTCGAGCTCCTGGCACTCGTAGCCGCCGAACTCCTGCAGGGAGCGCCGGACGGCCGCCTTGTAGATCCGCACGGCGTGCCGCGTGGCGCTGGGGGCCTCGGAGCTGAGCTCGCTGATCTTGCAGGGCGCGCAGAAGACAATGACCACGTCCGGGAGCTGCTTGGTGAAGCGCTTGCACTGCGGGCACTTGGAGTACACGTCGTGGTGCTGGCACCGGCTCATGTGCGGGAGGATGGGCGCCGCGGCGCCCGGGGCGTCGAAGTACCCCGCGCCGACGGCCCTCCCCTGGGGCGGCGGGAGGAAGCGCGCGCGCTCCTCGAGGTGCGGCACGAGGAGCTGGTACACGTGGATGGTGTCTGCGGCGCCCGTGCCGCCCTCCGGGACGATTTCGCCCATGTCGACGACCATGAGGTCGCTCTCGACGCGCGACGGCTTCTGCTGCGGCGGCACGCGGCCGTTGCCCATGAACGCGCGCGTCGAGTCGTTGAACGCGCCGCTGTCCTCGAGGGCGAGCGACGCGGTCGACATCTCGCGGCCGACGCCGCCGAGGGACGGGCGCGTCCCGCGGTCAAAGCTCGTCTTGCGCGAGGACGCAGTTGCCGAGACGTGCGAGCCGACGGGGCCGTCGACGAGGCCGTCGCCGCCGTGCGATGGCCGCCGGCCCGCGCTGCTCTGCACGCCGTTCGACGACTTGCCCCAGTGCACCCGCGGACCCCGGGCCTGCGTCAGGCCCTCCAGGTAGGACAGCAGCGCCTTGGCGGGCTTGAGAGCGGCGATCTGCGCCCCGAGCTGCTTGAGCGGGCCGCGCGTGACCACCTCCATCGTGCGCTCGCACGCCAGGATCTGCCCGCCGTGCGTCATCTCCTGGATGTCGTTCACCATCGACATGCACTCGCCGCGGTACTCCACGCGCCGCGTCACGCGGTGCACCGACGTCGACTTGGCCACGCCCGTCGCCATCGACATGCGCACGAGCAGCCCGCGGAACAGGTGCGGCCCCGCGCGGTCCTCAACGACCTCCGCGGCCATCTCCTCCGTGACGCCACCGGCCGAGAGCTCCGGGGCGTGCGCGGCCGACCCGCTGTGGCCCGACGCCGCGTGGTCGATCTCGCCGCGCGACGCGCGCCCGGCCGTGATCTTGATCTGCGACGCGCTCTTCGCGACGCGCGTCTCGACGCTGCTTGGCCAGTCCGCCGTCATGAGGTCCTGCTGCACCGTGATGCACCACCCGATCGCGTCCGCGGGCTCGTGGAACGCGAGCAGGAACGAATCGCCCTCCGTCGTGATCTCGTACCCGTGCCAGCGCGAGAGGTGCTTGCGCAGGATCGCGTCGTGCAGCGCGTTGGCCTCCGCCATGTCCTCCGGGAACTCCTCCCACAGGCCCGTGGAGTCCGCCACGTCCGTCAGGACCAGCGTGACCTCGCGTCCGGCCGTCGGGGGGCCCGCGCGCTTGCGGCGCTCGAGCATGGACACCGCGATCTGCTTCCGCAGCACCAGCGCCACGATCGCGCACACCACGAGCAGCAGCACCACGGCCGCGGCGATGCAGATGAGCACGATCGCCACGGGCGTCGCCCACGAGCCCTCCGAGCGCACGCACACCGGGACCTTCGACGGCCGGTGCGCGCGGAGCCAGTCGTCCGCCGCCGGCGTGTTGGGTTGCTGTGCCGGGGGCCACTGCGCGGCGCCGGCGTCGGCGGCGAAGCCGAACCGCGCGTTGAGGGCGGCCGCGAACGCCAGGTCCACCATCGTGTAGTCGAACCCCTCGGGGCACTCGCACCCCTCGAAGTGGTGGAACAGGGGGTCCATCACCACCGTCACCGTGAACTGCGACTGGCCCGCGTACTGGATCTGCGGGCAAATCAGATTCTGCGTGAGCTCGTCGCTCAGACCCCGGCGCCCGCCCTGCAGGCGGCGCTCGAGCGCAGCCACCACGCCCCCCAGCCGCCGTCCGCGGGGCGACACGGGGACGATGGCGACATTCAGGGGCGTGTCGACGGGCGTGCGCACGAGGCGCGAGTCCGAGTCGGGTCCGAACCGCAGGAACTCGGGCAGGGGCTCCCCGCGCGAGTTGCGCATTTGCGGGTCGTGCGTCACGAGGGAGTCCGTGAGGTCGAGGTATTGCAGCGCGGCGAGCTCGCCCATGGCCTCGGGCAGCGGCCCGAAGATGTTCGTGCCCCCGAAGCGGAGGTCGCGGAGGGTGACGACGTCCGCGACGCTGAGCGGGAAGGTGCCGGTCATGCGCGTGTTGCCCGTCAGGTGGAAGGCCTCGAGGTTCCACTTGGTCACGGGGTCCGGGAGGAAGCCGAAGAAGTCGTTCTTGTCCAGGTACAGCTCCTTGAGGCGCGCGTTGAGGCTCAGGCCGTACGGGATGGTCCCCGTGATGAGGTTCTCCCCAAAGTCGAGCTTGGTGAAGGACAGAAAGGACATGGCCGCCAGGGCGTTCGCGAGGCCGCCGTCCACCGTCGCCGACACGGCGTTGTTGCGGAAGCTCAGCGCCTCGATGCCGCCCGTCCCTATCGTGTACCGCACGCCCAGGTCCTCGACCGTGAGGGTCGTCGGGCGCGCCGAGACGCGCGTGGGTATGCCCGGGTCTCCATTGATTGCGTCCGCGTTCGCCACCGCCTCCCGCGCCTGCTGGTCGCCGAGCTCGTAGATGGTCGACAGCGAGTTATCGTTCGCGTCGAACGTCCGGAGCTCGGGCAGCAGGAACATATTGAGCGGCGTGGACGAGAAGCGGTTGCCCGTGATGAGCACGTCGCGCAAGCTGATGGCAGTCCCGAACGTCTCCGGGACGGCGCCCGTGAACGCGTTGCCGCGCAGGACGATCTGGCGGAGGAACGGGAGGCCGCCCCAGCCGGGCTGCAGCGGGTCGGTTCCGGCCCCGGGCGCCTCGGGGAGGTCGCCGGACATGGCGTTCTCCTCCATGTGGAGCGCACGGAGGAAGTGGGCCGAGAGGACGTCGGCCGGGAGCGCGCCCGTGATGCCGAGCGTGCGCGCGTTGAAGTACTCCAGGGAGGACCGGAGCGCGGAGAACACGCCGGCGGGGATGGTCCCGCCCGGCCGCTGCACCGAGTTGGTGCTCGGGCTCCGCGCAGCGCCCGCGAGGTCCACCGCGGTGACCCCGCCCTCCTGGATGCAGCCGAGGAGGCGCGCGCGGGTGTCCGTGACGCCCGTCGGCGCGCCGTTGCTGTCGAACACGACGCTCGGCATGCCGTGCCCCGCCGCGCAGCACGTCACCCCGGGCCAGCAGCAGTGGTGGAGGTCTGACGCCCAAATCCGCCGCATGTTCTCGTTGTTCCAGCTGGGCCCGTTCGTCGCGGCGTAGAGCGCCTGCAGCCCCTGCCGCTGGCGCGCTTGGCACGTCGCATCGCAGTGCGGGTACGTCGCCTGGAGCTCTTGCTCGAACTGCTCCACCGAGGCCCTCACCTGGCTGCCCACGCGCGCCCCCGGGACGTGGTAGTTCCCAGATACGATGAACCGGACGCCCTGCGAAGCGGGTCGCGCGGGGAGCACCCGCGTTCACGACGCGGCCGTGCGCGCGGCGGAAGGGCGGAGGACAGGTGGTTGCCGTGCCCTCCGGGCGCAGGCACGCTGACGTCCGCCGAGCGCCGCCGCCTTCGTAGGCGACGTGCCGTGGGATCGAGGCGGGCGGGGGGGCGCACCGCGAACGTCGCGTTCCGCCAGAGCTGGACTCTTGCCAGGGGATCGTTCTGTATCAAAGTCGCCGCAGGGATCGCCGCCGCCGGGGCCGCGAGCTGAGCAATGCCGAACTGCTGGAGAAAGACCTGCGGGCGCAGAAAACGCGCTGGGCGGCGGGTGTCGGGTGAGAGGTGCCCCTGGGGCGAGGGCGGTGGTGGCCTGGCGTCCCGGTGCGCAGGAGGCCCCGCCGAAGGCACCGGGCGCCGCACCTGACACGTCGTGGGGTCGCCGTTCAGCAGCCCGAGGGCGAACTGCTGCTGTTGCGGGTCTTGCCCTGCGGGGATGCCGACGGGGAGGCTGTGAGCACAAGGGCACGACCACGGCGCGGCGCATCGAGACGCGAAAACGGCGGCCGAGTTGCACACGGCGCTCTCTTTGATTAATGTCTCTCGTCTTGCAGGTTCGACTGCTCAAACAAGGCATCTGGCGGGCCGGAACGCGCGAGCATCTGCCAGGGGGCCAACGGCGCGACGGCGCAGGGTGCCGGCATCGACAGCAGTAAAGCGCAGCGCCCGACACCATCTTGGCTCACCGTGGACGACTCGCGCGACAGCGGCGAGGGCCAGGAGCGCAGCCGCCACCGCACGCAGCGCTCCAGCACCCCTGCCTAGAGGATATGGCATCGTGCTCAACTCTAACGGTCTAAACCATCGTGCTGCCTAGTTCTCGTGCTGCACAGTTCGCGAGATCACTAGAGCTGCGCGGCTCGCGGCTGCTGCGCGCCCCATGACGCCCCGCGTGCCCAGGCTGGGGGGCCCGGCCGTGTGTGTCCAGGTGCGTCGCGTCGCCGGCCGCCCGGGGCGCCGCAATTCACGCCGCTCGCCCGTCGAGATGTGCATCGCAATGATGTCTGTCCGGGACCTATCTTCTTGCGCGGGCGCGGACCCGCGAGCGTCTGGTGGGCACGTTGCGGGTACCCCAAAGGCTCAATTACGTACTTGGTACCAATCACCAACTGCGGTGGTTTCACGCTCCGGTGGAAGCACGCACTCCTCTTGTGGACGCGCCGTGCGGCACGCCTCGAGCGGGAAGCCAGCGTCCGCGGGCCACGCGACGCCAGCAGCGACGCCCCTCTGCAGACCCCTGGCGCGTTCTTCAGGGCGGTGGAACCAGGCGACTCGTGGGGCGCGCGGGCAGCAGCGCGGCGGCTGCGTCGCGGCGCGCGTCACACACGGCTAGTCGTCCTCCATGTCCGACTCCATCGCGGCCTTCGCGCCCGACTCGGCCTGCGCGACCAGGTCGGCGGGCACGCGCACGAACTTGCGCCCGCTCTCGTCCGACACCCAGCCCATCTCCAGCTCGAACGGCTTCTCGTCGTCGCGGAGCTTGTACATCATCTTCGCGATCTCCGCCACCGCCTCGCGGCACGTGATGTTTTGCAGGTCGAGGCGCTCGATCTCCGTCTTGGCCGCCTGGCGGCCCTTGCCGATGGCCGTCCCGAAGAAGCGGTGCGCGTTCCCGTTGGGCTCGCACAGGTACAGCTGCGGGCCGTCGTCGCCGTACACCGCGACCAGCGCCGCCGCGCCGAACGGCCGCACGTACCACACGAGCGTGTACGTGTGGAAGAAGCCGCCGAGGCGCTCGGCGAGGACGTGGCCGGGGATGTCCTCGCCGTAGAAGGACTTGTAGCGCGAGCACTCGTCCATGGCGTGGTTGACGACCATGCGCGAGTCGGGCGGCACGCCAGTGGCCGCCAGCCCTGCGTGCGTGTGCACCGGGAACACTGCGCGGTTCGAGCCCTCGACGAGCATCTTGGATATCACCGGCTTCTCAACGGCGACGACGACGCCGTCCTTGCATCGGATGCCGATCGCAGTCCTGCGGGGGCGCGCGGGAGCGGGGGGCGGGCAACCGTGAGGCCCGCGTGCAGCGCGCTGGGCCGGCCGGCGGTCGGGCGGACGGACGGATCTGGTGCTTGAGGGCGTTTCTGACGAGATTCCGCGGCTTCGAAGCCGTGAAACGGGCTCGGGCGCGCGAGCAACGGCAGAGTGCCTGGTGGGGCAAACAGCCCGCCCGCGCAGCTTCGACGTGGCAGGCTAGGCGCGGCCGTGCTCGCGAACCGCTACTTCCAGCATCAGTCCGTCGTTGCACTCACCCCGAACTGTCCACCGCCTTCTGCGCGTAGTCGATCTGGAACACTCGTCCGTCCGGGCTATACGTCGTTGTCGACAGGTCGTACTGCACGGGCACCAGGGACACAGAGAGTTCGGGCCGGGCGAGGTTACGAAGTAAGGATGCGGGCCGGGCGGAATGACCCCGTTCCGTGAGCGACCCGCGACGGACGCGCGCCGTGACACCTCACAGCTGCCCCCACGCGCTTCGAGCAGCCACGGGGCTGGGCGAGGCGCGGCTGCGACGCTGGTTCTGGCATGAGGATCGCGCACTCACCCCCGTGCCGATCCCTGACATCTTCTAAGACCCTGCTAGCGGCCTTGCGGCCGGGTTCGCTTGCAGCGAGCTCCACTCGCGACGTGGGAGACCCTCTCGCCAGACCGACCTCGTCAAGCACACACCGCGCTTCACCCTCACACGAACTACAGCGGCGACGCGAATTTGCGCCGCCCCGGAGGCGGCCGCAGCAGACAAGGCCCTTGTCTGCGTGGCGGCCACGCAAACCTTTCGCCGAGTGCTCATACCCCGTCACGCCCCCCCTCCTCCGCCACGCCGCCCGCGGCGCCCGGCACATCAGGGCCAGCATCCATCCTGCAGCCACCACACCACGGCAGGCCGCCACGCCGCGTCACAGCTGCACAACTCGCCTCATTCGTGGGAGAATCTGCCCCCCGGCTCGGACACCGCAGGCGGCCCCCTCGCGCGCCGTCGCGCCCGCGCCCCGCCGCGTTACCCACTCCCACACAGGGCCCCACGCGGCGCGATGTGCGCCGCGACGTGCGGCCCGGCGGCGTGCCCGCGGCGCTCCATCTGCCCTGCTCCTCTCCCCCACGCAGCGGCGCACCGGCTCCGCGCGCCACTTGCGGGCGCTCGCGGCCGCAGCAATCGCGGGGGGGTGCGCGCGAGGGCAGCGGACGGCATCAACGGCGTCGCGTGCACGTGGCACGCGCGCACGCAGCCGTCGGGGGGCGGCGCCATGGTGCCTGTAGAGATCACGCGCTCCGACGCGTCGTTCCTCGAGGACGGCGTCGAATTCTGCTACGAGGACAAGGGCCTGTGCCTGGACGACCTCAACAACCTGTTCGAGGCCGTCGGCTTCCCGCGCCGGGAGATCTTGCGGCTGCAGACGGCCATGCACCACACGCACAGGTGCGGCGCGCGACGACGCGCACCCCGGCCCTCCGCGCTCCCGATCGCACCCTCGCCGCCTCAACCTCGCCCGCATCGAGCCGCCCGAGTGCCGACTGGCCCCGTTCCTGCCCCGACGTGCCAGCCAGCGCGGGTGATGCCGCGGTGCCCTCCTCGCACCCTAGCGCCGGTCCCGCGCCGCGTTCCGCTCGGTTCGATGGCCGGAGCACCCGTTGCGACGTGCTGCGCGCCCGCCGTCACAGCGGTGACCTTCGGCGTCGTTCGCAGAGTCGTGTGGGCCCGGTCAGTGAAGAAGAGCCGGTTCGCGCACAAGGGGCAGTGCCTGGGGTTCGCGCGCGCGACCAGCGACGGCGCGCTGGTGGCCACGATCTGGGACGTCGCCGTGCACCCCACGTGGATGCGCTGCGGCATCGGCAGGCACGCCCCCCTCGCGCGATTGCGCAAGTGTGTGTCCACCTGTGTCGTCGCCCTCGCCCGCGGACGGAGACGCAGACCGTTTTCGTGCGTGCAGGGGGCTGATGGAGCGGCTCGCGGCGGGCCTGCAGGAGGACGGGATCGGCACCGTGGCGCTGTACGCCGAGCCGGGGGTAGTGAACATGTATAAAAAGTTGGGCTACGAGGTTCCGGGGGACTGCCGCGGGATGGCCTTCCTGCGCCGGGCGGGGACGGGCGCGCGGCTGCGCGCCGAAGTGCAGGGGGCGCTCAAGGAGCGGGGCAGCGGGGCGGCGGCGGGGTGGTAGCAGCGGGGCGGTGCCCTTCGCGCAGAGCTCGCGCACGGTGGGCAGTGGGGCTCGCCGCCGGGCCGGAACACGTGTAAAGCGCAGGACTTGCAGGCCCAGCGGGCTGCACCGCAGCCTCGCGTCCGCAAACCTCGCCTCGACATCTCCTTGCGCACGAGACAGACGACGCTCGCGCGACGCCACAGGCCCCAGCGCAGTTCGCGCCGCGCGCCCAGGCCCTTCCCTTCCTGCCGCTCACATCACACGCGCATCGGATCCCGCCCCTCGGCCGTGCCACAGCGCCAGCAGCGCGCGGCGCAGAGATGGATCCGCCAGCGCCCGCGCACGGCCGTCGCCATCAAACCGCCGCGGCCGCGAGCTCGGCGCAGCTGCCGCTCGGCGCCGGCGACCGCCGTCAGCGCCGCTGGGCCATATCTTGTCATACCACCACCGATTTGTTCTACTTCGCCTTCCCCATGCTCCCGTACAGGTACAGGCCGCCCGCGATGGCGCCGAGCGTCAGCGCGATGTTCAGGACGCTCTGCACAGCACGGGCGGCGCACGCAGCTCAGAGGGCACGTCGGCTCGCCCTGTGAGGGCGCCGCATGCGTCGCACACGTCATACGCGTGCGCAGGCGACGCGCGGGGCGAGCCGACCGAACGAGGCGGACCGGGCGGCCACGCAGGACGCTGCGCGCTTGCGCTGGCCCAGCGCCGGCTCCCCCGCAGCGCACACCCTCCCTCGCACTGTACGCAGGGGGCGCACCTGCGCGACGGAGACGACGAGGAGGAGGAGGATGCCGCGGACCGCGATGTCGAGCGTGGAGCGCGAGATGTCCATCGATTCCGGGACGAGCGGCTCGATGAGGTCCACGACCTTGCCCGCGCCCGTGTTGGCGACCTCCAGGATGCGGTTCGCAGTGCCCAGGAGGTCCGTGTCGCCGTCCTCCAGCGAATCGATCATCTTGGCGGCCCTCGCCTGCACCGCTCGGACAGACAACGTCGTGGGGCGGCGGCGGGGATCCACAAGGGCGTGAGGGGGTGTCGGAGCCAGGGGAGGGCCAGAGTGGGGTCGCGGCTACAGGGTGCCGGTGATCCGCGTTTCGAGCGGAACCGTGCCGTGTCGGTGCTCCACGGATCATGTTGCGCGAGGTGGGGGCGCTGTGCGGATCGAAAGAGCACGTCGTGCCGCCGCAGGCAGCGGGGAGAGGCCACAGAAGCGCTGCGCCCTGGGTGGGTGCCACGCGGCCCAACGGTGCTGTCAGCGGGGTACATGGACGAAGGAGCGACGTGGCGTCCGGAAAGGGCCCGCGTTTCCCGGTCGGGCGCGGTTGTGCGGCGCGGCGCCGGCTCGTCGCATACGAGGCGCACCCACAGATGCGTTTGGCCCGGCGCAGGGCGCGCTGTGCGTCGCTCGGCCGTGAGCGATGCACCACACGGACGCATCCGTCAATATCTACTTCATGTCATGCCGGGAGGGCACGGGAACGCCCCTCCTGCGTGCTAGCGAGCGCACCGCCCCAGCGCAACAAGCGCGTGGGGACCTGGCGTAATTCCGTCCCTGGCGCGGGCGGCTCACCGAGATGTTGTCGTCGCCGTCCATGTACACGTCCACGTCGTCGTCCCGCCGGCCCCGCACGGCCACCCGCCGCGCGACCGACGGCCGCACCGCCCCGCTGCTGCGCACTGGCCGCGCAGGCAGGGCCACGCCGCCCGCCGCCCGGACACTCGAAGTTGCGCACAGCATCATGCCCGACCTCAGAGCTGCCCGCCGCCGTCGCCCGGCGCCCGCGAAGGCGTCCCGCTCACACCGCGCACCAGCAACCCCCCCGGAGCCTCCGCGGGGCCGCGCACGGCCGCCACTGGGCCAACCTCAGGCCGAAGCGCAGCGGATCTCGCGCCGACGCGCCCCCGTCGCGACTCGCGAAGCGGAGGTGACGCCCTGTGCTGGGAGTTGAGCGGGAGTCGGCACGTGCGCACGTGTGACTTGAGTCCAGTGCTGGTGCAGACAGTTGCAACGTCTGTCGCGCGCTGCACCGAGGGGGGGACGCATTGCTGCGGCGCCCCCGGGGCGGAATGCATATACCACACGTTCCTGCATCCGAAGCTTCCTACGCCACGATGGAGGCTATCGGGGCCTGTGTGTCGCGATGCACCGTGCCTGAACCACCGTGGTCTGGTGGACCTCCACGCAAGCGGCTGTGCGCGTGCCGGCCGTCGTCGGGCCAGCCCGCGAGCGGTTCCGAGCTGGAGTTCTCATCCACGTCGGAGCCGTCCGTCTGCATCCACCCCCAAGGCCTGGCTCGCTCCTTGGAAGCGGTGCGCAGGGGGAGGCCGCTGGTGCAGTGCATTTCGAACGCCGTGAGCGTCGACATCATGGCCAACGTGCTCCTCGCGACGGGAATGAACGCCGCGATGGTCTCGTGCGAGCGGGAGGCCGGCGAATTCGCCGCGCGGGCCGCGGCCGCGGTGTCCATCAACCTGGGAACTCCCGCGGCGAGCGACGAGTGGGTGCGCGGCACGGACGCCGCGGTCACGGCCGCGCTCGCGGAGGGCAAGCCGTGGGTTCTCGACCCCGTCGCTCTCTCCGCGTCGACCTGGCGATACGACCGAGCGACGGACCTGTGCCGCAGACGGCCAACTGTGGGTGAGCCCCGCCCGCACACGACACCGCGTCGCTGCCCTCGGCCGCCCCTCTCCTCGGTCAGCGCGACCTCCAGCTGACGTCTCGTCGCACTGAAAGCTCACGCGCGCAGACAGACTGATGCCGGTGCGCCGCCCGTGCTGACCTGGCTTGCCCCGCGCCGTGTCGCCGCAGTGAGACTGAACGCGTCGGAGGCGATCGCGCTGGCCGCGGTGCTCGTGCCGCACAAGTCCGACCGGCCGAACATCGCAGCCAGCCCTGACGCCACGCACGCGTCCCTGGCCGCGAAGCCGCACGCGGTGGCCATCGCGCGGTGCCTGGACACAGTCGTGTGCGTGACGGGCGAGGTCGACCTCGTCACCGACGGCCGGCGCATCATCCTCGTCAAAAACGGCGTCAGTGGAATGCGCAGCATCACCGCGCTGGGGTGCAGCCTGTCGAGCCTGGTCGCGGGCTTCGTCGCCGTGCGCTGCGGCCGGACGAACGACAGCGATGACGAGGACGGCGAGGCGGCTGGGCCCGCGGCGTCGGTGCTCGAGGCCACCGCGCACGCCACGTGCTTCTACGGGGTGTGCGGCGAGGTCGCGATGACACAGGGCGGCGCCAAGGGGCCCGGGTCGCTCCGCGCGGCGTTCCTGGACGCGCTCGCCGCCGTCGGACCGGAGGAGCTGCAGTCTCTCGCGAACATGACGCTGGAGGTCGTGGCATGAGGGACCGCCACACGCATACACCTGCACGGTCGCTGGCACGCACCGCGTCGTGCGCGCATCCACGCCCCTAGCGCGTGCGGATCCACGTCGATCCCCGCGCGACTACGCCCCCGCCCATCCCCTTCAGTCTCAGACTCGCAAAGCTCATGAGCTGATCTGATTTTTCCCTCCCCTAACTCTTGCTCGACGTCGACGATACGGCATGGTAGCATCCTACTTGACCACTCGAGCTCGTTCGCACCATCATCTCCCCCCCTTGCACATTCAACTACGACCCCGAAACACACCTGTAACCATTGCATCACGGCCCGTACCGCCTCAGAGCAAAGGCCCTCGGCCCCTGCGCCCGTCATGGTCGTCGCCTGCTCGCCTGCCGCTGCACGCGTACCATTTCGGTCGCTCAGGCATCCTCGCGGTGAGGGTGCTTGTAGGTCAGCGAAGTACAGACCCACACAGCTCTCCGCCCATTCCATGCGCCTTCACGCCCCCTCGCTGCCCCGGGCGCGCCCGTCACTGCCGCCCCCGAACTGACCGCTCCGCCTGCCCCAGCTAGCTGCGCCATGCGCTCATCATCGGAGCGGCGCGACCCCCTCGTAACGCAGCACCGCGTGCGCGGCCCCCGCTTGAGCACCTTGGCTCTTGGCATAGCATTGACGCGAGCAAGGCGTTCCCGTCGACGCGCGCTGCGCTGTATCCGATCAGAGCCGAGACTCGAAAGCGGCGCAATTTACACCCCCGAAACTGCCAAATATCCGCAACACGGGCGAATTCGTCCGCAACAGGCGGGTGACTATGGGAACGCCGACGCCAGCGAGAGCCGGCGCGCGTTCGTCCTGAGCCGTCAGAGCATGCATCCACCCTGCCCCGCGTTGCCGTCAGAGCTCCAGGCCGTCCACCTTGAGCTTCTTGCCGCACACCGGGCAAGCGCGGGAGCGCTCCCGCCACTCGAGGATGCACGGGAGGTGGAAGTGGTGCCCGCAGCGGGTCGTCATCTTCGGGTTGGAGTCTGCGGACGCAGAGGCCCGGCGCGGGCGTGGTGAGCGGCGCCACGGGGCAGGAGGGGCGGGCCGCCGCGCGAGGCACGTTCGCAGCGCGGGGAACGGCGATAGCGCGGCGGCGCGGGCGTCCGCAGCCGCCGGGGCGCAGCGGGCGCCCACCGTCGTAGGGGTCGAGGCAAGTGGGGCAACACTCGTCGTCGTCGACGTCGCCCAGGTCCGGGCCAAGGAGCTCCTCTATCTGGTTCTTGAGCTTCAGGGACTTCTTCGCGGTCGCGGGCTCCTCCCAGGACAGCTTCCCTGCGCGCGGCGGGGGCAGGTCGTTGGGCGGCAGTTGAGGGGGCGCCTCTGCGGGTCCGCACCGCCCGCCTGGCGCACCAGAATGCCACCAAACGGCACGAACGGTCGGTGCGCGACGTGGGCGCCGCCCCTCGGGCGCAGGTTCGGCGGCCCGGGCGGAGAAAACCGCAGCTGCAGCACAGGTGCATCGTGTGCTGCGCACACGCCCGCGCGTCGCACCTTCGAGCTTCATCTGCGTCTGCGCGGCCGTGTCGACGCCCTCGCTCGCAGCTCCCCTCGCGCCGGGCGCCTTGCGGTGCCCGCGGCGCCCGGTGGTGGGGCGCGCAGGAGTGGGGCCAGAAAGCTCCTCCGCGCTCGCCGCGTTCGCGCGGGCGGCCTGCCCGGCCGTCGCGCGGGGCGAGGAGCGCGCGTAGCTCACGTCCCAAGTGCCTTCGCTATCGTTCGAGCCCCCGCCCCCGTGAGGCGACTCGGGCGAGGTGGGTGCCGCTCGCAGAGGGTCGTCCTCCCCCTGAGCGGCCCTGCGGGGAGCTCCGCGCACGAGGAGTGGCGGACGGGTCGGGAGAGGCGTCGGGAAGCGGGCGCGCGCGGAACGCGGGCGCGCCGGCGGCTCCGCGCGGCACGATGACGCGCTCACGGTGAGCTGAGGCCTCGCACAGCACTGGGGCTGGAACCCGGCCGCTCGGGCCGGGCGAAGCGGCCTCGGGCGGTTCGCAGCGCCGGTCGAAAAATAACCCGCGCGTCGAGATCGCGAATCTGGGCCGAGCGCGTGTCCACGCGACGGGAGCGGCACCGATGCTCGTCGTGGCCCAGCACGGCCAAGCGCCCGGCGCGTGCGCGGCGCACGCCGCTGCCTCGCGCGTCCGCCGGCAGCCGCGGGCCAGAGCTCGCTCCAGCGGCGTTCGGAAGGCGCGCGCGCGGGCGGGGGGGGGGTGTTTCGCACCCGTGCCGATCCAGGTTCCTGGCCCGGGCGGGAAAGCAGCACAGGAAGGTGGCCATGATGCAGGTGAGAGCGTCCTCGACAACGGTGAGCGCGCAGGACGTGTTCGCCATGGAACGCGCCCGCCGCCGGTCACGACCGCACGAGCCGCCCGCGCAGCCGGTGCGTGCTGTGTGCCCCTCGGGTCGCCTGCAGGTTCAGGGCGCTCTGCCGGCACGAACCGACCGCGGCGCGCCCGGCGCCGTTCCTGGATGCAAGGGCTCGCAGGGTGCGCGCCCAGGAACGGATGCGCGCCGGGGACCGGTGCGCGTCAGCTGCGCAGCGGGCGCAACGTTTTCTGCACCCTGCTTCGTGCTGCGCGTGCTGCCAGCGTGGAAACAGATGACGTGGCGCTGGCGGTGGATGTGGCGGGGTCTGGAGTATAGCGGTGGCGGGGTGCGCGCGCGGGTGATGGCCCCGCGCTGCGGGGAGTGGTGCTGGCAGCGCACGCTCCGGGGATGTCCCGGAGGTGTCCCGAGGGGGCCGGCTGGCGCGATCGGGGCGAGCCTCGCGCGCGGAGGAGCATTCTGCGATGCCCGAGGCGTGGTGTTCCGTGCTGGAAGTCGCGGCGTGCGAGCACTGGAGCGAGCGGAAGCCTTGCGCTGTTGTCCGGGCGTGAGGACGGGCGTGGAGGATGGGGAGTTGATCGAGGGCCGGGCGTACTGATGAGTGGGAGGGCGAGTAGCCAGTCTAGGGCAGCGTAGCTCGTAGGCGTTGGCTCGAGTGTGCGGCAGAGCCGTGGCTCGGGGGCCCGCCGCAGCAGTGGTTGCCCCCCGCGCCATGGGGGGTTTCGGCCAGCTCGTTACAGGTCCTCCCGGAAGCGGCAAGACGACGTACTGCAACGCCGTGCAGCAATTCGTCGGGAGATACGGGTGAGCCTCGGCACCACAGCTGCGCCACTCTCGCAGGCGGTCACCGGGGCGCCTCACGGCCCTCACGACCCAGACGACCTAGGAACGGCCTCCACATGACTCATGTCGCCAGAAACGCCGCGTCGCGGGACTGCGTTGCGCGTCTGGGCGTCGAGTCGGTCTCAGGAAGCACACCCCCACTGTTGCGTGTGCAGGATCCCTGTGTCGGTCGTGAACCTCGACCCGGCGAACGACCAGCCCAGCTACGAGTGCGCGGTGGACATCCGCGACCTCATCACGCTGGACGAGATCCAGCGCGAGGCCGGCCTGGGCCCCAACGGCGGACTCGTGTTCGCGCTCGAGTTCCTCCGCGACGACCTCGCGTGGCTCGACGAGCGCCTCGCGCCGCTCCTCAAGGACCAGCACTACCTCCTCTTCGACTGCCCGGGCCAGGTCGAGCTCTTCTCGCTGCACTCGGCGCTCCAGGACGTCGTCACACACCTCACGCGCGGGGCCCCGGGGCTCTCGCTGGCGACCGTGCACCTCGTCGACGCGCTGCTGTGCGCGGACCCGAGCAAGTACGTCTCCGCGATCCTCCTGTCGCTCTCGTCGATGCTGCACGTGGAGCTCCCCCACGTCAACGTACTGAGCAAGGTGAGACACCCCCCCACGCGCCGCGGGTGAGGCAGGGTTTCAGCGCGTGCTCTGTAGTAGGCTCGGGCTGCCTAGGCCGGCGGTGGCAGAGCGGGGCCGTCAGGGAGCCGTCGCGCGCGTTGGCGCGCATCGCAGCGTGTCGGGCCTCGCGGGCGATGCACACGGCCCGGACCCCTCCGCGGCCCGCGCAGGTGGATCTCCTGAAGACGCAGCAGCACGCGGAGGGTTTCGACCTCGAGTACTTCTTGGAAGCGCGCGACCTCGGGCATTTGATATCTGCGATGGACTCGAGCGCCCTACTGCCGGAGCGGTTCCGCAGGATGGCGGGGGAGATCTGCGAGACGGTCGAGGACTTCGGCCTCATGGGGTTCGAGGCGCTCGACGTGTCGGACCCGCGCAGCCTGAGCAAACTCCTGCGCGTCGTGCACGCCGCAAACGGCTTTGCGTACGCGCAGCCGGACGCGCCGTGGGAGGCCGGGGCGGGCGAGGACTGGGCGGCGCACGAGGAGGCTGAGGCGCGCGCGCGCCTCGCGGCCATGGGCCTAAACATGCCCCCGGAGCCAGGCTCAGTCGAGGGACGGGAGGTGGCGAGTGACGGCGGTACATCGATTGGCGACGCGGTGGCGGAACCGGCGAAGGGGGCGGCGCCGGGCGCGCGGAAGGCGGGCAAGGGCATGCGGAAGGGGTTCCTGCTGTGACGCGGCTCGCGTGTTGTCGTGGGGGGGACTGGGTAAAGACAGGAGAGGGGGTTTGCGCGGTGCGAGCAACGTGGGTGGCTTGATGGGGGCGCGCGGGCGCGGCTGGCATGTTCGTTCATGGTGGTAGCCGCAGGGCGCATCTGTGGTCACGGCGCACACGCCCGTGCATTGGCATTGCCTGTTGCAGCCCGAGGCCGTTGCCCGGCCCACAGCGCCGTCTCGGTTGCCGCAGTTTGGGGCGGCGCGCGCGGCGGAGCGGGCCGGGCTCGAAGTGCGAGAAACAGGGGGAGCGGGATGGGAGAGAACGGGGCGATGGAGCGGCCCGCGAAGAAGGCGAAGGTCGATTTCGATGTCTCTCAGCACGCCTCGGTGGTCGTGCTCGACTATGGGTCCCAGTACACCCAGCTGATCGCCCGGCGCGTCCGCGAATTGTCGTGTCTGTCGGTCCTGCTGCCGGGGGACGCGTCCATGGTGAGTCGGCGCCCCAGACCGATCCCCGCGCACGGCGCCAGTGGCCCGAGCGCGCTCGCTGCTGCTTCGCTCGGGGACCAAGCTGCGCAAGCGGCTTCCCGACTTGCGACATGTTGCCCGTGTCGCGTCACGCAACGGTTGCGCGCCCCGCGAGGCCCAGCGACCGACCAGTCGTTGAAGGCCCAGACGCCCGCCTTTGCGGACCCAGGCGAGAACACGCTCGTTCCGCGCGGAAGCGCGTAGCGGGCGTGTCCGCCATGTCGGCCGGCGCCGTTTCGGGGCAAAATGCGCCTGAGATGTGCCGCGGGCCCGCCGCACTCGCGACCTGGTTGCCATCAATGCCCTGCAACCCGCCGCCGCGCCGCGCAAGGATCTCCTCGCCCGCCGCGCCCGCTCGGCTTGCCAGAATCCATCCCAAGCGAGACTTCCTGGTCACTCTCGCGGACCGTTCCGCACCAGCGGTGCTGCGGTGGCAGGGCCGCCATCCCTCGGCACCTCCACCACCGCCCCCGCGTCGCCGCGCGCCCGGCCACCGCGCACCTCTCTACCCCCGCGAGGCCTCCTCATCGCCGGCGCATCCAGCGCCGAGAGCCCGCCCCCGCGCGCCCCTGCCACGCCTAGCAGCCCGCCGTCTCCCCGCCGCCGCCGTTCGCAGGAGCGCATCGCGTCGCACAAGCCCCGCGTCATCATCCTCTCCGGCGGCCCGAACTCCGTCCACCTCGAGGGCGCCCCGCGCGTCCCGGACGAGTTCTTCGAGTATTGCCGCGAGCACTCGGTTCCGGTCCTGGGCATCTGCTACGGGATGCAACTGATCGTGCACATGCTGGGCGGCGAGGTGGTGGCCGCGACGGACGGCGGGGAGTACGGCAAGATGAACATCCACTGCTCGAAGGACTCGGTGCTGTACGGCGACATGGACGGCAAGCAGCTGGTGTGGATGTCGCATGGCGACGAGGCCGTGCGCCTGCCCGAGGGCTTCCTCGCGGTGGCCAAGTCGGAGCAGGGCGCGATCGTGGCGATCGAGAACCCGAAGAGGAAGATCTTCGGGCTGCAGTACCACCCGGAGGTCATGCACAGTGTGCGTGGAAAGGAGACCCTGCGGCGCTTCCTGTTCGACGTGTGCTTGATGCGCGGGGACTGGAGCATGGAGAGCGTGCTGGAGGAGCAGCTGCGTCTCCTGAAGGACCAGGTGCGCGCCGTGGCTCGCGGAGCCCCGCCGCTGCCCCTGCGTGGTGTGTGCTTGCGTGACGACACGGCGAACATCCTATTGCTGTCGCGTACGGGGTGCCAGGGCCGCAGGCGGGCCGGGCACACTGTGGCCGGCCCGCGCAGGCCCGCTTGATGAGCACACAGCCCAGCGCAGCCGCCGAAGAGCAGCTCGCCCGGTCGAGGCTCCCGCAGCTGCCGCTGGCGGACTCCGCGTCTCGAGGGCCGGTCCCTTGGCGCGTCGAGGCCGTTGGCGGCGCACGGCTGCGGGGACAGCCTCCTGGGTCGACGCGAATGCTGATTCCATCAACCTCCGAAGCCCCGTCGGGGCAGTTATCGGTTGGTTTCTGCCCAGCAAATGACATCCCCCGCCCTCCCCTCCCCTCACCGACATCGCGTCCGCTGACGGCCTCGTCGCACGCGCACCGCTGCGGCGCACGTGCCCGCGGCCACCTCGCGCCCCGTCCCGCCCCCACGTCGTGGCGTTGTGTGTCTGACCGCCGTCCCAGGTGGGGGAGAACGACCACGCGATTTGCGCGCTGTCCGGCGGCGTTGACAGCACCGTCGCGGCGACGCTGGTGCACCGCGTCCTCGGCGACCGGCTGCACTGCGTTTTCGTCGACAACGGCCTGCTGCGGTACAAGGAGCAGGAGCGCGTCAAGGCGACCTTCGTCGACCACCTGCACCTCCCCGTGACCACCGTCGACGCCACCGACCGCTTCCTGTCGAAGCTCAAGGGCGTCTCGGACCCCGAGAAGAAACGCAAGGTGCGCCCGCGCTGCCCACACCTCTCAACACCCCCCCCCCGACAAAGGCTGGCAGTTTTCCACGCATCTTCCTTGCTTGCGCGAGACGGTGCCGTTCCGGTGGCGCGCCTCGGCGCCTGCGTGCGCCAGGCGAGGCCGGCACTGCGCGTTTGGCCAGCAGGCTCGTTTTCGAGCCACGTTGCTTCGTTCCGCGTGACGTGCGTGCCAACGGCTGTTCGGTATCTGGCTGTGTGACCAGCGCGGAGGGCTGGCATTCGCCGCCCCCGTGTTACCTGAGCACCGCCTCATAAGGGAGCCAAGAAAGACCCGGTGTTCTTTGCGACGTGCTGCCCGCTTGCTCATGAGGGCGGGGCTACCAACGCACCGCACACACCCCCCCCTCCTTCCCCGCGGAGGCCCACGGCCCCGCGCGCCCCTGCGCCACGGGCGCTCACGTCGCCGTTCAGCTTCTCTCCCGCCACGCCCACGCATTCCACATTCCGCGCAGATCATTGGGACCGAGTTCATTGGAGTATTCAAGGACTACGCGCACGAGCTGGAGGCGAAGCTCGGGGTGCACCCGCGCTTCCTGATCCAGGGCACGCTGTACCCCGACGTCATCGAGTCGTGCCCCCCGCCCGGCAAAGGCCAGAAGCACTCGCACACCATCAAGAGCCACCACAACGTCGGGGGGCTGCCCGCCGAGCTCGGGTTCGAGCTGCTCGAGCCCCTGCGCGAGCTGTTCAAGGACGAGGTGCGCGCGAGGCCCTTCGGTTCGCCCCGAGACGTTGCGCGCCTCTGCAATGTTGCGTGACGACACGGCGAACATCCTATTGCTGTCGCGTACGGGGTGCCAGGGCCGCAGGCGGGCCGGGCACACTGTGGCCGGCCCGCGCAGGCCCGCTTGATGAGCACACAGCCCAGCGCAGCCGCCGAAGAGCAGCTCGCCCGGTCGAGGCTCCCGCAGCTGCCGCTGGCGGACTCCGCGTCTCGAGGGCCGGTCCCTTGGCGCGTCGAGGCCGCTGGCGGCGCACGGCTGCGGGGACAGCCTCCTGGGTCGACGCGAATGCTGATTCCATCAACCTCCGAAGCCCCGTCGGGGCAGTTATCGGTTGGTTTCTGCCCAGCAAATGACATCCCCCCCTCCCGCCAGATCCACTCCTCCTCGCAACCCCCGCACCCAACCTCACCGCCGCCCCGTCCCGCCCCCGCGCCGCGCCCGTGCCCCCAGGTGCGCGAGCTGGGCCGCCTTCTGGGAGTGCCTGAACAGTTCATCAAGCGCCACCCCTTCCCGGGGCCCGGGCTGGCGGTGCGCGCCCTCGGGGACGTGACCGAGGACAAGAAGCTCGACGTCCTGCGCCGCGCGGACGAGATTTACTGCTCGGCGCTGCGTGAGTTCAACTTGTACGACGAGATTTGGCAGGCGTTCGCCGTCTTCATCCCGTGCAAGACCGTCGGCGTGCAGGGCGACCAGCGGACGCACAGGTGTGCACCTGCCGCCCGACGGCCCGCTCGTCCGTGCGGCGACTTGCATGCGTGTATTGTGTAGTATTATCGGCTAGCTTCGATTGTGCCGTGGACGTCACGCTCTGCCCCGCCCTCGTCGCTGATGCGCAGCTACGTGATCGGGCTGCGCGCGGTCACGTCCGGCGACGGGATGACCGCGGACTGGTACCCGTTCAAGCCCGACTTCCTGCGAGAGGTGTCGACGCGCATCTGCAACCAGATTCGCGAGGTCAACCGCGTCGTGTACGACATCACGTCCAAGCCGCCTGGCACCATTGAGTGGGAGTGAAGCGAGGAACCAGTCCGACCGGCCAGGGCCCCGTCGGCGCCCTGCGCGAGCCCGTATACACCACGGCCCAGGGCTGCATGTTTTACCCATCACGGGGCTCTGTTCGTTATATATCAACGCACCAGGGCTGCGCCTCGACGACTCCAAGGAACCGCGCATGTGATTCGCGGCAGTCAGCAAACCGCGCATGCGGGGGGTGCCAACACTGTTGCACATCCCCCCCAAATACACGCTTGGACACCCCCAGCTCTATGGACCGCGACGCACGCACGGGCGCGGGCACCCCTAGCCCGGCACCGCCCCTCCTGCCTCGTCGTGCCCGCGTCGCGCACGGTGACAGCTTCCCGCAGGGAGATCCCCTTTGCCCGCGTGACCTCATCCACGCAGTCCCTGACCGACGCGCCGCCTCCCGCGCCGTTCGGCACAGCGTCACAGCGTTTCGCCAGGCTGCGCGTCCCTCACACCGGCGCGCTCACTGTTCGAGGAGCTGCGTCAGCCCTGGACCTGCGCCGTTGAAGAACTGGCCCTCCCACCGGTGGCCCTCGCGGTCGAGGTACACGCCCTTCCCATGCATCTTCCCCTCCTCCCAGCCCCCCTCGTACTGCCGCCCGTCCGACCACTTGTACGTCCCCGTCCCGTGGTACTTGTTGTCCTTGAACTCCCCGTCGTACCGCGCCCCTGACGCAAACACGAAGCTCCCCTTCCCGCACATCTTGTCGTCCTCCCAGTTCCCCTCGTACCTGCGCAAGAACGCGGGAGAGCGCGCCCAGGATCGCGGCGGGTCGCTGTGGAAATGGCACGCGTGCATGCACGCACGGCCCCGGGAGCGCGTCGGAGGGCCGAACAGCGCAGTTGCGGCGCGCACTTGTAGTCTCCTTCGATGAATGTGCCCTTCCCGTGCCGGTACCGCGGCCGCGTCTCGCCCTCTGGCACCGCGGTCTCCCCCTCCTTGAGCCTGTGCATGTACTCCCCCTCGTACGTCGCGCCGGACGGGTAGTGGAACTTTCCCTCCAGCGGCTTCGGCGGCTCCTGCATAGCGGGTCAGCGACGACGAGGCGCGTCGCTCGGGGTCTCGATTGCGCGGCGCAGCGACGTGACGGAGTCCGCCGAGATTGCACGATCCGCATGAGTCCCCTGGGGGGTGTGTGCGCCGAAGCTTGCGCAAGAATGATTCATTCGAGATAGCGTAAGGTGCTCGCGGCGTCGTTCGGCCGCGTCCGCGCCGCGCTGGAGCCGATGCCGGCGCCCAGTGACCCGGCAGGTCTAAAAGGGGGCTCGTCGCGCCGTGTGCTCGCCTGCGGAACCTCGGGCGCCGCCTGCTTCTTCGGCGGCATCTTGGATCTCGTGACCAGCGACTGCCCGCACCGGCTCCTGTCCGCGGCCCGTGGCTTCCGCGGCGGAGCGGGGCCTATAGCAGCGCAACTCCCCACACGGGATGTTCGGTGCCTGTCGCGCCGTTGCTGTGCGGCCGGCGGACCGCGCTGAGTTGCCCCGGGAGCGCCCTCCTCCACAGCGGCCTTGGTTGCGCGTATTTCGTCGCGGCAGCGCGTACACAAGAGCGTGGCAACGGAGCGCGCTCAATCGATCTGATCTGCCGCGGTCCTGGCGCCACGCTGCGGACGATTTCGCCCCGCTTGTAGCTGCATGGCGTGGCTGGAAGCTGGCAGCCGCTGCCGGTCGGCCAGGTGCCGCGCGTGCGCGGGGCGCGCGGAATGAGCAGGCATTGCTCCGCGCTTGTGGCCCTCGGAGCTGCGTTGAGCAGTGCGCGCTGCGGAGCCGCACCAGGGTTGCTCGGCGAGGGACTCCTCAGCCGACATTCCTGGCGCCCGGTCAGGAACATCGCCTCAGCGGGCTGCCGGGGGAGCCCGCGGACTGTTCTGGGGTCGCCGTGCCTCCGCGGAGGCCTCCTGCACACCGAGGCGCGCGGCGTGACCTTTGGCCCCCCCAGAAATGAGACAGGGTGTCCGTGCGCGGGACACAGCTCGCACAAGACGTCATGGGCCGGGAGCACTAGGGTAGTTGCTGCGCCGCGGAGCGTGTCCGCGGCGAATCGCGGCACTGTCCGCGACAGGAGCGTGGGATGCGGATCCTCGAGTGCGTACTCTACGGGGCGAAGGAGAGACGCGGGCTCGTCGGAGTCGCCCAGCAGCTTCCTCTTGCTATCAAAAGTCAGCGCAGCGAGCTCAGCGCAGGACGTGGCCGACTTCGTCACGGCGCACGGGTTCCCTGGTGCGCCCGATCCTGACCACGCCGCGCGCGCCTGCGCCTTTCGTCGCGCGGCCCTGCGCACACACCGCGCGGGTGAGCGACCAACAGCATGTTGCGCCCGTGTCACCGCCGCGCAGTGGGCCGCGACCAGGTCTTCACGGAGCTCGCTTCGCTCGGCACGCGGCTGTGGAGCCCCGCGCGCCGCGCCGTCCAGCTGCCCTCCGTGCAGGCGGCCCAGGACGCCAGCAGAGCGCTACACGGCGCGTGGATGGGCACCCGCGTCGTGAGCGCGCGGGTCGCGGCGGAGGAGGAGGTCGCGGAGGTCGGCGCGGGGCTCGGGCTGCTGGACGGGGCGTCCCGGGCGCTGCGTCTCGTGGCGTCGCGCGGCAGGTGGATGGTCGTGTACAACCTGCACCACCGCGTCGTGGCGCGCGACGTGGCGCGCATGTTCCGCGACTACGACCTCGACTACCGGGACGTCGCGATGCTGAACAAGGTGCGCGGCCCTGCCAGGAAGCGCTCGCGCATCGTCCGAGATCGATCGATTGCTGTTGGAGCCTCTCGTGGTTGCTTTAACCGTTCAGGCGCTGCGTGCACGGTTGGTTGGTGAGCCCGTGGAACGCGTTTGGAGGTGTGCGACCATGCTGCTTCGGTCGCTTTTGCAGTTCGCCAAGAGCGTGCACGTGGCGGGGCTGCCCAGGCACAGGAAGAGCAGCTTCGAGGGCGAGGCGCCGTCGACGCGCAGCCTGCTGGCCTGGCGGCTCAACGACAAGGGCAGGAGCAACCACGCCAAGGCCGCGATCGTGCGCTTCCGGACGGCGGACGAGGCGCTGCGCGCCCTGCGGGAAGAGCAGGGCGTGCGGAGAGTGTATGGCATCGAAGCGGGCATGCGAATCATCCCCTGACCGACCCACGCACGTACACGAGCACCACCTGGCCTGGTCACACCCGCCCCGAGGCGCACGGTAGCAGGGCACGCTGCAGCTCGCACTCGCCAACGCGCTCCGTCCTCGTCAACGCGCCAACGCACACGCGACTCGCCGCGCCACCGACGTGGGTCGTTCACACATCGCGCGACACTCGCCGCGGGCTCCTATTTACCCCCTCCAGTCCCACACACACCCCCGTTCACACACTCGCTCCCGTCCCCCCTGCCCGCGCCCCGCGCTCAGTCGTCCGCCTCCTTGATCCCCTGCGGCCCGATCCCGAACATCGCGTCGCGCTCCGGGAGGTGCGGGCTGGCCACGATGGTGCACTTGCGGTTGTCGCCCTTGGCCTTCCGGAGCCACAGCCGCGTGGTCGACGCGTGCGCCATGATGTTGCCCCCGATCGGCTTCATCTGCGGGCCCGCGAACATCGCCGCCGCGCCCCCGTCCGGGTTCGCCACCACCTGGTTGGTCACCACCACCGCCACCGAGAACTCCGTCGCCAGGCGCATCAGCCCGCGCAGGAACCGGTTGAGGTGCACCTGCCGCGCGGACAGCTCCCCGCGCCCGTTGAACTCCGAGCGGTACAGCGACGTCGCGCTGTCGACCACGATCAGCGCAAAGCGCGTGTCGGCCATCATCGACGCCGCCGCGCCGAGGAGGTCCATCTGGTGGTCCGTGTTGTGCGCCCGCGCGTAGGCCACGTTGTCGAGGACGTCCTGCGGGCTCATGCCGACGTGCTCGGCGATCTGCGCGACGCGGTTCGGGCGGAAGGTGCCCTCGGTGTCAATGTACAGGACCTTGCCCTCCGCGCCGCCGGACTCGATCGACATCTGCGCGTACACGCACAGCGTGTGGCACAGCTGCGTCTTGCCGCACCTGCGAGGGCGCGCGGGGACGGCGCGGAGCGGTCATGGTGCGTGGCAGCGGAGCGCTGTGAGCGGCTGGGAGGTGGCGGGTGCGTGGGTGCCGCGTGGAGAGCGGTGGCACTGACCGGAACTCTCCGTAGATTTCCGTGATCGAGCCGGTCTCGATGCCGCCCTCGAGCGCGTCGTCGAGGGCCTTGCTGCCAGTGCTGATGGTGACCAGCGCCTCGCGGCGCTGCTGCACGATCGTCGCCGGCGTGAACCCCATCGGGACCATCTTCCACGCTGCGAGTGCGGGTCGTTCGGGGGCGGGCGGGCGGTGACGTCGCGGCGCCGCGACGTTCGTGCCGGCAGCAGGCAAAGCGTGGCAGCGCTCGGGCCCGCGATTCCGGGCCAACCGCTCCGCGCGCGGCCGTGGGCCTTCGCGTACCGGCTTCGTGGAGCTTCTGGGCCTTGGCCTCGCTGATGCCCTTGACGGCCATGAGCTCCTTGCGCGAGGCGTGCGCGACGCGCTCCACAGTGTGCATTCCTCCCTCGATCAGCTTCTTGACGTCCGACGCCGCCACTCCGCAGTCCTGCGTGGACGAATCCGTCGCTCACGTTGTTGGACATGTCTGTGCCGGCGATGACACGCGCGGGGTGGCGCCCATGCCCGAGCGCGCCACTGCTGGTCCAAATCGCTTGCTTCTGTCGCCCGCAGTTGCGCCCGCTCGTGGCCGCAGAGCGCGCCAGACTGGCGCTCTCGGGTCCCGCGTGCTTGTGGAACAGTTGCCAAGCGCGACGGCGTCCGTCAGGGTCGAGGGACTGCGCTAGGCCTCCGGGAAGGAGCGGCAGCGTGGGCGCTTGGCGCACCTGGAGACGCGCGATGGGGGTCGCCATCTCCGCCCCGTGCTCCTCCTCCTCCATCATCTCCTGCTCCTCAAGCTCCGCGGGAGCATGCTGCTCCGCGACCGCCGCCATACTGCCGCTGCGGCCCTCTCAAAGCACAGCAGACCAGCTCTCGTCTCGCGACCGCCTCGACGACGCTTCAAGCACGTCCCTCTTGCCGATCAGCGAAACAGGCTTCTGATATCCGAATGCACGCGTCTCTCTGTGCCCCGGTTGTCCGCAGAACACGCCCAATAGCGCCCGGGGCGCGCCAGCACGGCCAGGCCGGGCCTGCCCGACCGACCCAGGGCACGCGGTCCGCGGATCCGGACGACCTCGCGCTCCGACATCACACGGTCGGGCAAGCTTCCTCGCCCGCTGGAGCCCGTGCGCCGTCCACCGGACCGGCGAACTCCACATGTTTGCAGACACGACAGAAACACTCACGCGGCGTGCAGGCAGCCCGCGCATGTGGCATGGGTCTCAGCAGATTCGGAAAGGAAATCACAGTTTACGCGAGCGCGAGGTCAGAAAATGCCCGCAGCGGCCAGAAAGGACCGTCGCACCTAGACATCTCGCAGCACCACTTCAGGCCGGGCTGCAGCACCCGGAACAGCGTCACGACCCGGCGCGGCGCATCGTAGGGAGCTCCAGGGAGTTCACCGGCAGGTACGGCCCTCCGCGTCTCCGTCGCCGCCTGCAGCGCGCTCGGAACATCGCCGATGTGTCAGACACACACGCATGACCGACCTGGGCACACCGCGCGTCGCTTGCGGTCCGCACAGCACCGCGAACGCTCTGCGGGACGTACATGCGAATGAGCACCATCCCCGCGACCGCCACCACGAGCACCACCGCCATGATCGCCGGCCAGCTGTGCCGCGGACCGCCCCCTGCCGACGCCCGGTCGTCCCACGAATCGCCGCCCGGCTGCGGACCCTGCGTTGGCCCGTCGTTTCCGCTGTCCGGCTCGCTGCCGTGCGCGTCCGCGGGGGCCGCGGTCGGCGCCGGCGGCTGCGTGGCGGGCGCTGTCCCGTACGGGCCCTCCGGGTCGTCGCGGAGCGGGGTGAGCGTGGCGCCGCCGCGCAGGTGCTTGTACACCGTGTCGCCCGTCTCGGGCTCGCCGCTGTCGCCGGGCCCGTCGACGAGCGCGCGGATCGAGGCCGGCATCCCAGGATGCGTGGGCAGGCGCAGCATGAGGAGGAACGTGGCGCGCAGCCACTGGTCGATCACCGCCTGCGCGCGGGGCGGAGCAAGGCGGTCGTCAGGGGACGCGCCGCGCGCGGCGGGCGGGAGTCGCCGTGCTTGTGGGCATGCGTGCGTGCGGGCGTGCGTACCTTGAGGCCGTCCCGCGTGATGGGGTTGAACATGCCGAAGCAGTCGTCGACGGGCACGTCCCAGTCCCCGTAGATCTCCCACGTGCTCACGAGGGGGACCTTCTCCACCTTGTACATGTGGTCGGTCAGCGTGCCGTGCGCGAGGTACCCCACGCCCAGCCCCCCGGGCGACACCACGCAGCGCCCGTCGCACGTCCGCGCGTTGATCTCGTCCAGGATCCCCTTCTGCACCGCCACGGCCGGGTCGTCCGGCGCGCCCCCCTGGTGGTCCCACGGCGTGAACATCGCCTCCATCCCCGAGTGCACGTTCAGCACCACGTGCGGCCGGAACGCCCGCACCACCTCCACGTCCACCTGCGCCTCGGGCTCCGACAGCTTCGCGAACCCTGCGCGAACGCGTCGAGGCCGCGCTTTGAACGCACGACTTCGCGAAGTTCAAAACGCACCAGGAGAGCAGTTGCCGTCGCGCCGGGACTCGCCGGTGGGCACACACGGGTCCGCCGCGCCGCGGGTATTTCTGCGCGTCGAGCCTTACCTCCGAACTCTTCGTTGCGGTCGTAGTCGATCTCCCTGACGTTCCAGTCGACCTCGAAGTTCCGGTTGATGTCGACGCCGCGGCCGTTCTTGCGCTCGCACAGCGCCTTGGTCGGGCCCTCCAGGCGCGCGCGGCCGACCGTGTTCTCCATCGGCGCGATCTTCAGCGTCGCGCGCGACATGACGGCCAGGATCGTCGCAGACTCCTCCGCGGTGAAGCCCAGCCGCGTCAGGGGCGCGGGGAGGTCGGGCAGGGAGCGCAGGACCGCGACGCCGAGCTCGACCGTGACCAGCTCGCGGGCGTGCTCGCCGTAGATGAAGTACATGTGCAGCGGGTCGTCGTCCGCGCCGGTGCGCGCCCTGGGCGGACCGCTGCTCGGAAAGTCAGCCTCCACCGTGACGATCCTGCGGGTCGGGGGCGCGGTCAAACGCGCAAAAGGTGGAGCACGATCTAACGGAGGGACCGCGTGGGCTGGGAAGCGCGGGGGGGTCCCCGACGCGGCCCACGGCGCAGCTTGTGTGGGGGCATCAGGACACGGCCCGAGTGCGAGCGTGTGCGGGCGAGATAGCGGGGTTCGGCGGGCGCTGCGTAGTGCTGCAGTCGCTGTCGAGGGCCACGCACTTCGCTTCGATGCTGTACTCGTCTTTGCACGCCTCACGGTACTGCACTTGGCACGCATCGGCTCCCGGGGGCTCCGCCGTCTTCTTGACCACGTCGAGCTGCATCCAGTCGCGGTTCTCCGACACAAGCTGGCTTACTTCCGACCACACGGCCTCGGTGTTCATGTAGTACGAGAAGTCCGGCTGCGAGGCTCTGAGGCTACGCGCTGCACTCAGGGCGCTGGTTCCCGCCGCCAGCGGCGCACGCCCGCGCCGCACCGTGCTCGCCGCGTCTGCAGTGGTCGCACTGAGGAGCACGAGCGCGGCCCCCGCGGCAAGGAGCCAGCGCCATGCCCCCCCGCTGGTGGCCACCATCATGGGCTCGCGAAACCCGCGCTCTGGGCCGCGCCCGCCCAGGACCCAACGGCGTGCCCTAGCCCTGGCTGAGCGCCTGCTGGTAGGCGAGAGCCGCTGGATCGGGTGCTGTAGCAGAACGCGGCCCGGTGTCTGCGCGAAAAAGGTCGAGCCGCGAGCGGTCGAGGGGAGGTAGAACCGCCCTTGAAACTACGAGCTGGAGGATGCAGCGCCCGTCTGTTCGCACAGGGCGCAGCGAGCGCTCGTGATGCCGGGAGTCGCCGCGGTTTGAGCTCCAAACACCTCCCTTATACTCTCCCTGCATGTGTGGTGCTTCCGGCCTTTGCACGCACGATTTGATGGCGTTATGCAGCACTCCTGCGAACAGAGCGCCGAGCGCACAGCCCGCATCGCTTATTCAGAGCGATCGTACGGTGTGCAGGCGTGCCTCGCTGAAGGGACCCTACTCGGACCGCGAGCGGACCGCAGAGGGCTCCTCCGTCCCTGGGCCATGGCAGGCTGTCTCGCCCTCGCCCGCGTTCTGTCCTGTCACACTTGTCTTCTCACACGCCGGCCACCACGATCGCCCTGCACGGCGAGCTTGTCATCGACCACAAGCAGCGGAACCGCCTTCCGGCGCGCCTGCAGCGGTATTCGGGCACCCATGGCGCCTGAGACGAGCTCGTACGTTGCATCGGCGACCTCCAGCCGGTGCAGGGCGCTCCCGCAACGCGCCGCCGCGGCGACAGAGGTGAGCACGTCTCCACGCGGATTGGCGATCGACACCGCGCCAGTTCGGGTCGCCGGCCACCGCATCCGCCGCACCTACGACCACGAGAGGGACTTCGAGGCCGTCAAGGACCTCTGCAAAAACGTCTACGGCGGCAAGGACTACCTCCCAGCGCTGCTCGAGGAAACCTTCGGGACAGACGCGGACAGCCCCACGCACGACGCCGCAGACAACATCGTTTATCTCGTCGTCACGTGCCCCGAGGTGCGCTCGGCGACCGGTCCACATCCCGCGCGAGACGAATCGAATCGAACCGCCGCGAGTTTCCGTGTAAGTGCTGCTCGCGTCACTCTGGCACGCAGGGCGAGACGCTGGACGCCATCATCGGCATCGAGCGCCAGGGCCTCGCCGCGCTGTGGCTGTTCGCGCTGCGCGTCCGCGAGGAGGCGCGCGGCCAGGGATTGGGCAAGCTGATGATGGTGCAGTGCGACGACATCGCGGACGACCTCGCGGCCTCCGGGGCGCTCAGCACGGCCGCGGAGGACCGCGCCGTGGGCGTACTGAGCGCCACGATCGAGCCGAACACGGCGATGATGCGGATCTTCCTGGACTGGCAGGGCTACCGCGTCATGGCGCGGAACCACGTGTGGCCGCGGTGGGACGTGACGGCCGCGCAGGACCAGGCGAACGGCGGCGACCGGCTCGCGTGGCGCGAGTCGGGCCCGACGCTGGACTTCACGGGGCAGAGGGAGGCGGTGACGGCGGCTGCAAGCAGCGTGGAGGCGTCGCACGAGTGGGCGCGGGTGACGGACGGCGGTGCGCTGGTGACGGCGCTGGAGGAGCTGCAGGGACGCGCGGGGTCGCTGCGGTGCTGGATCCCGGCGGAGTACGTGATTTACGGCGTCGGGTCGGACAGGGTGGCGGGCTTTGTCCGCGGGGACGAGGTGTGCGGTGCGTGGCTGCTGCGTGATCGCTCGACCGGCCGCGTGGAGGCGACGGCGGTGCTGCGGCGGTCGTTCGAAATGAAGGGCCGGGTGATCGTGGGAGTCGTCGCGCGGAGCGAGGCTGGCGTGGCGTCGGCGCTGCTGCTCGCCGACCGCATCGCGCCCCGGTTCTGCGCCGTCGTGGACGTGGGAACGACGCAGGGGTGGCTGGCGGGGAAGGCGGGCCCGATGCGGGAGCCGGAGCCCTGGCCGGAGGCGACGTCGACGGGTGGTGCTGACGTGGAGGAGAGTTCGCGACCCAAAGGGCTGGAGTTGCTGGAGCAGATCGGCGGGTCTGACTTCTACGTAGTCGTCGAGCGTCGCTGTGCGGCACGGGGTGCGTGAGGTGTGACGGCGTGGCGGCGGACGTGGCGGCATGCACATCCGTTACAGGACGACTGGTATCTCGAAGGGGGTTTCGTTGCTTGCCGGCTCAGAACGGATTGCACCTGCAGTAGCCGCTGTAGTCGCCGGCGCCGTTCAGCAGCGACCGCGGCGCGCGGTAGATGTTGAAGTTGGTCCCCGCCGACGCACGATCGAAGAAGTAGCCCGAACAGAAGGGGCGCGCGGAGACGAAGCACGTGTCGCAGCGCGGACACTCCGGCAGACACTCCTGCGCGACGAGAGGCGGTGCGGAGTCGACGGCGACTTAGGTGCAATAGAGTCACGGAACGGTTCGATGGTGGTCTCTCCCACCCGGTGGTGTGGTCACCACGGGTGGGGAGTCGAACAAAAAAAAGCTTGCGTGTTGTACGCACCCGAATCGCCTCAGCGAGGGCGTCGGAGACGGAGCTGGCGTTGGCGCCATCTTCTGCGATGGCGTCAGACACCGCGTCAGCGTACGCCGGGCACCACCGGTAGCCGATCGCGGTGGAAGTGGCCACGCTCAGAGCGGTCGACCCGCCGCGGGCCACCGCGTTCGAGATGCTGTTCGAACTCGCAGCACGCCCGCGCGCGTAGCTGCTGCTGACAGCGCTTGCGGTCGCGTGGAGCTGGCGGCTCGAAGCGCGGGCCAGCGCGCCGGACACGCACAGTGCGCCCACGATGAACACGCCGAGGATCAGACGCGCTGCGAGGGCAGAGCCGCGGTGCAGCGACGCCGGAGCGAGGACGCGGACCGACATGGTTTGTTGCGCTTGGAAGAGTGTGCGGGCCGTGGTGGCAGAAGTCTGAGCGGATCGAAGTTCAGCACTGCTGTCGCTGGGCAGTCGATGTCGCGGTGTGGAGCGAGAGCGCGAACGAGCACAGCAATGTCCTGCGAGCGCCGTCAGACGCCCCCAGGGGGTGTTCCACCTGGTGACAACGCAACCGCCACATGGGCGCCCCGCGCCGCGGCCCCGCGCTCCGCCACGTACGCACGCAGTCACCCAGTTGCTGACGGCCCCGTCGAGGGCCCCTCCGCCCCAAGCACGCACCCTGCACTCGAATGAAGCGCAGCAGCGGTGGCGGCAGCCTGCGCACCCGCCGCCTGCTGCGCCTCGTCGCCCTCATCGCCGGGCAGGTCCGCCGCATTCTCGTCCTCGGAACTGCTCCCATCGTCGTCCTCCGAGCTCCCGTCGCCCCCGTCCCCGCCCGAACCGCCCCCGGAACCTCGTTGCTGCGAAGAACTCTCACCGTCGACTTCCGTGCCGTCGCCGTCGCCAGGCTCGCGATTCGTGCATTCGCCGGCCTCGTTATTTTCTCGCGCGTCGGGGGCCGCAGTGGCCGCCGCGCTGGACTTCTCGGCACGTCGCTTCGCGCCCTGTGCCTTGCTGGACGAACCAGAGGTCTTCGTCGGCCGTCTGCGCGCCCCGAAGCTGTCTGCGGGCACCGGAGCGCCGGTCTCGCTGTCCTCGGACGCATAGCCATCCCACTTGCTCGCGGTCTTCCGCTGCCCCAGCGCGTTCGCCTGCGGAAACGCAACCACGAACGAACATCTCCCAAAACATCAACGCTCACGGCCAAAACATCATGATGCGATCACGCCAACCTACCGTCCTCGCACGAGGACGCACGCCGGTCGCGCCGCGCGTGCGGCGCCGGGCAGCGGGGCGTCCGTGCGCGCACCCGCTCGAGGCGCAGCCGCCACGTCCCCAGTCGTCGCTTGGCACTGGCCACATGCTTGTCGATGTGCTCCGCCGCCTCCTCCCACAGCACCTTCTCCAGATTGCAGTGGCAGTACCGCCAGCACACCGGCCCCGCGTGGTACAGGTTGTGGTCCACGGGCAAGCCCACCCGTATCTGCAGAGCACTCCACACGCGCGTACATGTGCCGATCAGTCCTGGCGGTGCGAGCCGGGCCCGCGCGGGCCTGGGCGCGAGCGCGCGCGTGTGATTCACTCAACGTCGGCTCCGGGTGGGTTCTCGCGCGGCGGACCTTGAGCACGACGTGCCACCAGCGCTCGTAGGCCCGCTTGAAGTCAGCCATGAGGTCCGACAGCGACGCGAACTCGGGCGGCTTGTACATCAGGCTCTCGCGGCGCGACAGACCGAGGGCGCCGAACTTCCCCGACGGGCGGTGGTGCACGGCGAGCACGATGTGGCGGTACACGCGCCCGCCCACAGCGCTCTTGAAGCCGACGGGGTACCGGTCCGTGTCCTCGAGGCCGCTCGTGAGGAGCAGCGCGAGGAAGACGCCCTCGACGCACTTGATGGGGAGCGCGTCGCGGCAGATGTCGCGCGCCGTGTCCATGATGCGCGTCAGTGGGCGGTTCTTGCGCACGTCGAAGTAGTTGTTGCCGGTGTGGTTGTACTGGAACGAACTGATGAACGCCTGCAGGGGAGGACGGTCGAGAACGGACACTCCGAGGTCGGTGGGCGCCTGGGTAGCCCTTCGACGTTGACAGTAAGCATGCTGTGCGCTGAGCTCAGCGCATCTACCGCGCGTGCTGCGGCCATGGCGGCAATCACGGCCGCTCACCTGTATCGTCTCCATCCTCTGGTGTATGTCCATCAGCTCGAGGGTCTCGCGCTTCGGCGGGGGCCGTTTCGGCGGCGGCGCGAGGTTGAGTCTGCGCAGCTCGTCGATGCCTGCCTTGGCGATCAGCTGCGCGGCCAGCTCGACGTCCGCGTCGTTCAGGGGCACCCGCTGAATCAGGCTCTCGAGCGTGACAGGCGCCTCCACCCCGCTCGGCTCCTCGCTCGCCGCAGGCTCCGCAGCGTCCCCGCTTGCAGGTACTGCCAACACGTCATCCTCCCCCTGACCATGCGCCGCACCCTCGTCCTCTTCGGCCGCCGCAGCTGCCTCCCCGTCCTCTCCAGCACTCCGTGCATCGCCCTCGTCGACGTCGTCCGCTGCAGGCGCCGCAGCGGCTTCGGGCGGCACGCTGCATGGCTGCGCCTCAGTGGTCGCGCCCAGGATCGCGCTCCGCGCCTCTCCCGCGACCTCCCGCGGCTCCTGCCCCTCCCCGCAGGTCCCCTCGACAGCTTGCACTGCCGACGGAGCGCCGCCCATCGCCCCCAGCTCTGCCCGGAGACGCGGGGACGTGCGTCAACGGCGGCCAAAACCTTGCTGCTGGCGAGACTCTGCCGTGCGCACAGTGCGACGCGTGCCAAATGCCCTTCGTTGGGAGATCGCCACGTGGCGCCGTAGAAGGCGCGGCCTCCACCCCAGCTCGTGTCCCTCGCACTACGAGTCTTGCGGCAGATGGAAGGAACGTGCCTGTGGCAGCCGCTGCGTGATAGCAGCGCGGGATGCCGCTGGACCGGCGCGGCGGAGGCCCGTTGAGGCCGCTACGAACGCGCGCGGGTCCGACCCAGCCGTCGGACACCTCCGGAGGTGTGCCGCATGACACCTCCGCAGGACTCCCGGGCGCTGCCGGGGCCGCGGCGTTTGCAGGAACGCAGCGGGGCGCGCGCCCAAGGTTGCCGGCGCGCCTGGAGGTCTGCAGGTTGGACGTTTTCTCCCGCTGCGCACGTCTTTTCCCCGGTGATGGGCACGGAGGTTGCCTGAGCGTTGCTGGCTCGGCGCGGGATGACGGACCCGCCCGCGGGCGGGACGCCCGGCACGATATCGCTGCAGTGGTTGCGGCACGACGCCCGAAAGAAGGTGATCGCGGCGCTCGGGCAGCGCAAGGGCAAGAAGGCGTTGGTGCTGGACGCGCGGTCCTCTGCGCTGCTCAACCTCGTCGCGGAGGTGGCGCTGCTGCGCGAGCACGGCGTCGAGGCGCTCCATACGATCGGGCAGGAGCAGCAGGCGGCGCCGGACCTCAGGTGCGTGCGCTGCCCGCGGAGGCGAGGTCGGTTGCTCTGCGGGCTCGTTGGCCACGACGGTGCCGCGCCGTTGCGAAGTCGTCCGACGCTTGGTGTGGATTGCAGTCTCGTGTATATCATCGAGCCGCTCGTGGGCCACTGCGCGAGCATCGCGACGCACATACGCGCGGCTCGGAACCTGGTGCGTCCGCCGGATGGGCTCCTGGCGTCGGTGTTCTTCCTCCCGCGGGTCATGCCGGCCTGCGAGCAGGCGCTCGAGGAAGCAGGGATCATGGGCGACATCAGCGTGCACGACCTCGACGTCCAGGTGCGGCCTGCACGTTGCAGTGCGGTAACAGCACCGCATCACTGCGCCTCCCGCGCTCCTGCCGCCCCCGCAAACGTCCCGCCTCCCCACACCTAGCATGATTCATCTTGTACAGTGAAATGAGCGCTCCGCACGCGTCCGTCCCCCCAGCACCTCCACATCCTAACATCTCAACCCCGCTCTTGTGTTTTCCGCGCCAGGCCGTGCCCCTCGAAATCGACGTCGTGTCGCTGGAGCTCGCCCGCGGTCCAGGCGCGTTCCTGTGCGGCGAGGACCCGTTCGCGGTGTCCGCCGTCGCCCGCGCCCTCCTGGCCCTGCAGCGCACATACGGCAGCACCGCGCGCGCGCTCGCGGTCGGCAAGCGCGCCGTCGCAGTCTGCGAGGCCCTCGGCCACCTCTGGCGCGCCCTGCCTCAGGGCGAGGCGCACGCCGCGGGCGCAGAGGGCTTCACGGACGTTGTCGTCATCGACCGCGCTGCCGACCTCGTGACGCCGCTGTGCACCCCGATGACCTACGAGGGCCTCATGGAGGAGGTGCTCGGCCTGAGGAACGGCGTGCTCGAGCTGGACGTCGACGGCGCGGGCGGGGCGGGGCAGGCCGGGGCGGCGGGGGGCGCGGGCAGCGCAGCTCGCGGAGGGAGGGCGCGGCTGGCGCTCAACTCGAACGACGGGCTGTTCGCGCAGCTGCGGGACCTGAGCTTCGTGGCGGTCGGGGCCAGACTGCGCGAGGTCGCGGGCGGGCTCCAGCAGGTGCGCGACAGACACACAAAAGCTCCAGTGTTGTTGATCTAGGTCGCGTTCCGTCCGCCTGTGTCTGGTCGCTCGAGCGGCCGCAGCACCTCGACGACACAGCGCCCTGCGCCGGTGCTCCGTTCGACCGGGCGAGCGCGCTGAAGCTGGCCTTCCCACAGTGCTGACGTGGTCGGGCTCTGCCTGCGTAGGCAGCCGGACCTCACCGCGCCACCCGGCGTCGCTGCTCGATCGCTGCGCTGCAGGGATACCGCGACCTCGCGCCGGAGTCGCGGTCCGTCAGCGAGATGCGCGACTTCGTGCGGCGGCTCGGGACGCTCCCTGACGTGACGCGGCACGCCTCCATTTCGGAGCGGCTGGCCACCGCGGTCCGCCAGCAGCAGTTCCGCGAGTTCCTGCGCGCGGAGCAGTCCCTGCTGGACGGTCCTGGCAGCGACTCGGTGCCGGCAACGATCGAGGCGATGATCGAGGCCGGGGCGCCCGCGCCCACCGCTCTGCGGCTGGCGTGTCTGATGTCGGTCGCGCAGGGGGGCGTGCAGCGCCGCACGCTCGAGGCGCTGTTCCGCGCCGCGGCGATCTGGTACGGCCACGCGCGCACGGCGCTCGCGCTGGCGCGGCTGCGGCGCGCAGGGCTGCTGCGACGGCACGAGGGGGGGAGTCGGAGGGGGGTGTACGGCGCCCTGAAGAAGCCGCTCCAGCTGCTCGTGGACAAGCTCGACGAGCGCGATCCGAAGGACCCGGCCTACGCGTACGCCGGGTACGCGCCGATCAGCGTGCGCATCGTGCAGCGCTTCATCGCGGGAACGCTCCCCATGGAGCTGCTCGCGTCCGCCTGCGGGGCCTGCGTGCTGTACAAGCAGGAGCGGGACGCCGCCGACCGGCTGCAGCTCGTGCCACAGGGCGAGGACGGCGGGGCGGGGACCGGGGGCGGGGCGGCGGGGGCGGGGAGTTCAGCTGGGGGTGTTTCGGGCGGCGGGGGGGGTATTGCGGGGATGGCGGGGCTGGGCCGACGGCGGGGGCGGCGCACAGCTGGGGCGGGGGGAGCGGAGGGGGCGCGGTCGGGGCGGCAGGGCGGAGCGAAGAGGGTACTAGTGGTGTACGTTGGGGGGGCGACGCTGGCGGAGGTGTCGGGGCTGCGGCTGGTGCGGTCGCAGCCGGAGACGGCGTGCTCGCTGTCGGTGATGGTGACGGGCATCGTGGGGGGGAAGCGGTTGCTGGAGGAGCTGGTGGGCCCCTAAGGGGGGGGGGAGTGGGCGGACGACGTCGGGACGACCGCCGTGGTGCGACCGACGTACAGCACACGGATCGATCAGCGGCAACTGAGAGCGATCTCAGCTCCGGACCCAGATCCATGCGATGTGTCCGAGAATACGCTGTGGCTATACTTTACACAACTCGATGCTGTAAACTCTCATCGCCCCCGGTATTTAGATAGCGCGCGTTTCCCGCCGTCCAGCGAAGTCCGTGCCCGAGACGCCACTACACCATCCTCCACGCTGCGGCCCCGCGGCCCGCGGCCAGGCTCGCCACGCCGCTCCGCAGCGTCGTTGCTGGCGACTCCTCTCCGAACCCGCTGAACCCCGTGCCGGGCAGGCCCGCTCCGCTGAGCTCCGCGGGCACGGCGTGGTAGAACACGTCGCCGTCCCGCTTGGCCTGGTACGTCTTGTACAGCACGAGCGCCGACAGCAGCGCGGTGACGAAGAACATCCCGTTGAACCAGCGGTTGAACGGCGAGAACTCCAGCGGGGCGCCGATCGCGGTGGTGATGGCGTCGCGGTGCTTGTCGGGCAGCTTCTGCCGGATGAGCAGCAGTGACGCGCTGGCGTACATGACCATGACTTCGGTGAACAACAGAGTCAGGACTGACGGGTCCATCAGACCTGCGAGCGGGGGAGGGACGGTGGCGCAGAGCGTGTGAGGACAGCGGTGCGCTTGGGCATGCGTGATGAACAGTTATACTTACTTGTACGTGATAGGAAACGGGGGGAGTCTTGCCTGCGATCGAGGACGTGAATTTCAAGAGGTCCTTCAGGAAGTTCCGGAGGGAATTGGCGGTGACGAACCCGACGAACGCGAGCGCGACGTACTGCCCGATGGCGTGTCTGTCCACCTGCACGCGCCCCCCGGACAGCGCCGTGACCAGCAGCGCGGCGATGAAGCCCACGGGGTCCGCGCGGCCCGGAGACGTCGTGAAGCTCGATATCAGCGATGATCCGAGTCGGTAGATGCAGTACGCCGCGAACACGTACCCCAGAGCGTTGCGGACGCGTCCCCACAGCGTCCGCGACTGCACGACTCGCCTCCGCTCCTTCTGCGGCGCGAACGTCGCCACGGCGCCTGAGGTCAACATGCTTGGACTAGTGGCTGCAAGGGTGGCGCGGCGTGGCGAGCGGCGCGCGTGGCGTCGTCGGAGCGCGCGTGCAGCAGACCTTGAGTTCCGCGAGCTCCATAATCATCAAACGATGGACCTCCTTGAGCGTCTTCTGCTCGATCTCCAGCGCGCTGATCTGCGCCGCGAGTCCGCCGCCTCCGCCGCCCACGAGCGACGTCAGCCACGACGGGAACACCCCCCCCTTCTTCCCCCCCAGGCTCTCGGCCGCCTCCTGGTCCCGCAGGTGCGTGATGCGCGCGGCCTTGTCGCGCAGCATGTGCTTGGACTGCGCGAGCTGCGTCTCCACCGACGCGACCTGGCTGTCCGTCACGGGGCGGATGAACGCCGCCAGCCATGTGAAGGGCATGTTGATGGTGCCGTAGCCTGACAGGAGGGCCAGGAACACCGTGCCGACCACCGCCAGCCGCGCGATGACCTGCGAGCCTCGCGGCGACACCGGCGCTCGCTGTGAGCGCCCAGCGGTGCGCGGGCGGGCGCAGCCCGGCGGGGAGCTGCGTTGTTTCCGCCGGTGCGAGCATGGTGGTGCTGCAACATGATGGGGCGGGCGGGGGTAGACCTGTTGCACGCAGACCATATGCTGGCCCTCGGCGAGCGGCGGGACGCCCGGAATTAGGGCGCCGTAGTGCCAGAAGCACCACTGGAACGCCGCGAGGAACATCACCGCCAGGATCACGCTCTTCGTCTGCAGGGGCGGTCGAGGTTCGCTGGTTGGCGTTTGGTTGGTTGGCCGCGGGTGATGCAGGCGGGGAGCATGCGGCGTGGCGGGAGCGGGGTGCCGCGGATCGGTGGGTGCTGACGTCGCTGGAAGCGAAGGCGGGCGGAGGACAACTGCAGCCAACGGCGCGCCGGCGCGCGCACTGGCCAGTCTGCACGGCCGCGCGTCTCACCTGGTCGAAGCCTTTCTCACGAGCGACCCACCACGCGTGGAAGAACGGCAGGACGATCGCGGCGATCACCGAGAGAGAGAGGAGAGCAAAGCGCCAGGCCCTGAGGCGCGTGTCCGCGCTGATGACGTCCGTCACTTCCAGAATGATGAGTTCAAGGAGGAAGCAGGACGCGGAGAACACGACCGCGAAGAGCGCCCGCACTGGCGCGTCCGAATCCGTCATGTCCTGGAGCAGGAACCGCCGCTGGAACGCCGTGCCCGCCCACGCGAGAAACAGCAGCGAGCCGACCAGGAACGCAATGCCGATCATCCTCGCCGATCAGCCACGCGCGTCGCGATGCGGACCGTATCACTGCGTCGCGCTTTTGGCCACCACAAGTGCATACTGCACTGTCAAACCCGCCCCCGCGGCCGCACGATGGAGCGCTCGACACGGCAATGCGCGATCACGACAGGTCCGCTGATTGCAGGTCCGGGTGCTGGCGGCGCGTTCGTAATCAAGATTGCGCGAGAGGCATACGCGGTCGCAGAAGAAGCAAGCAACACACACTAGCACGGTGCACAGGGCACTCGCGCCCGCCTGCTCCTGTCTGAGCCTCTGGCCACCACCGTGCGAGTGTGCCCGCCTGCACGACACCTCCCCGCTCACGAGCCGCGTCGGGCGGGGAGATGTTTCGTCAACAGACAGACCTGACATCACAACGTCCCAGCTGAGCGGCGGCCGGCGGCCGGCGTCGTTGTCGCGAGCAGCGGCGTCTCCCGCGCAGACACGTGCCTTGGACAGCTGAGCGCCATGGTCTGAGCCTCGTGTCTCGCCTCGGGCGTGCGTTGCACCATAGTGAGACGGACGCCTGCGCGATGCCTGCGCTCGACAGGGAGCGCTCGCTCAGGGCGTGTAGCTGGCCGCTCGAGCAGCTCCTTCATGAATCGGACGACTGCATCATCGAAGAAGCCGATGTCTGGAGGCACGATGCACCTGGAGGTGCGGGCAACCTACCGCACTGCCGTTGCGGGATTCCTGCCCATGACGCGGGATGAGTTCACGCTTAATGCATCCTCAGTGATCCACCAGTCCTCTCCAAGCGTTGCATGCGCCAAGTCGAGGACTGCGCAGGCCACGCGCGCCCCTTGCCTCATGTCCTGACTGCCCGTCGTCTACGCAGGAGAGCTCCTCGCCTTCTCAACCATCGTCATTGCGTCGCTCACACTATGGTATACATTGCTGCGGCGGTGTCTCCGAGCGCCGCCCAACCGCCACGCCAGCGCACCAGCGGCTCCAAGCCCGCCAGCAGCGCCCGCGCAGGGGGCGATCTGGCAGGCGCCCGCCACGTCGGCGCGGCGCGTGTCGGGCGCCCCCCCGCAGCAGTGTCGGCTCTGGGACGGCAGCTCCGACGGCGAAGCGAGCTCCGGCCCGCCGGGCATCCGTCGCCGCAGGACGTTTGACGCCTCCCACTACGATGCCGAGGGCCGGCCTCTCACGGTCGCGGCGCACCTGGCGGACCCGCGCGTCCGAGAACACGTGTCCTCCGCGACGGGGTCCTCCCCCCACGATATCGAAGTCCAGCTCACCAGGCAAGTTGAGCTCTCACGCAAGCGCTGTCAACTCCTGTGGCGAGAGCGGCCGGGCGCGACGCGCTCGCCCGTGCGCGCTGCCCGCAGGCTGCGCGAGCTCCGTGCGAAGGAGCCGCGGGCGTTCGCGGCGATGTGGCGGAGCGAGGGCTGGCGGTTCAAGTCCCCGGAGACAGAATTGGGGGACTATTCATTCGAACCGCCGCCGTCCCGGGCGTCCGCTGCGCTGGTGCACGTCGCGCACATGGCATCCCTCGCCTACGCCGCGCAGGCGCGTCCGCTCGCGTGGCCCGCGGCCGCGGCGGCGCTGGCGCTGGCGCTGTGCACAGCGCTAGCATGGCGGGCAGCATCGGGGCGACTGCCGCGGGCCGCGGCGGCGGTGATCGTCGGTGGCGGCGGGGCAGTGTTCGTGGGGTGCGCGCTCTGGACGCGGGCGTCTGTGGCGGTGCTGTGGCTGACGTGGGTGACGATGGTGGGGGCGCTGTGGTGGGGCGTGGGCGCCGGGGCGGCGGCGCTGGTCCTCGGCAGCGGCCCGGCGGCGTGGCTGGAGGGCGTGCGCGCTGTGGACTGCGAGACGGGCCGGCCTGCCTCCGGCGCGGCGTGCGCGGCGGCGCTGGTCACGGACGGCGTGCTGTTCCTGACGAGCTGCGGGGCGACGAGCGCGGTGTCGCTGGGGCTGGTGCTGGCGTCGGAGAGCCGCGCGACGATCGGGGAGCGGCTCGCGGGGATCCGAGGGGTGCGGTGGCAGGGCAGCGTGCGGGGAGCTGCGTGGCGGTTGATGCATGGACAGTTTTGGGCCGCCGCACGCTGACGCGGGCGCGGGCGGCGGTCCGCGCGATGTGACGCGGGCCATATGCATAGGAGCGTCGGGCGGCGGGGCGGAAGAGGCGCGCGCTGCGTTGTGGGGGGGTCTTGGGGACCGTCGATCAGGTACTCCAGACAGTCCGGGACACCGAGCCCAATACGCTTCCGCTGCACCTCGTTCCGCCATTGCACGTTTGGTTCACTTCGAGGGTCAGAAATGTGGGACGATGCGTTCACATTTAACATGGACGGCGCGCCCGCAAGCGAGAACGACAGGGCTGCTTCCTCCGGCGAGCGCGATGTCGCTGCGGCCATGAGCGTTGCGCGCGCGATCCTGCAGAGGATTTCCGCGAAGACGACGCTCTCGCGAGGTACGTGGACGGCGCTCGCGCCGCGACCAGCGAGCCCGCCACCCTGGTGAAGCCGCCAGCTTGCCCCGCCACTGCTTGCGTGGGATGTTTCTCGCCCACACGTCGACGTCGCAACGCCCCGCACCGTATCCTCCAAGACAGCCGACCGCGCTCCCACGCAGTGTCGCCCCTCTGGCAAGCAAAGGGCTCGGCCCACACCACCACACTGTGCGTCCTCGCAATGCGATCGCACGGATCCCGGCATGTTCGCGCAGGTCCGTCGTCGGGCTACCTGAACCCGTTCCTCGCCTCGCCCTCCGGCTCCTCGTGGACGACGGCGGCGGTTGCAACGCACCGCGACGCAACGACGGAACGGCGTCTCCTGCGCAACTCGCTTCCCGCGCCCGTGCCTCCGCCGACGCTCCTCCACGGCGGAGCATCCGGCTCGGTCTCCAGCATGGCCGCTGGAGCGTCCGGCGCGAGGGGCGCGCACGCCGCCAGCGACCCCGACGGCAACGGCTTCCTGGCTGCCAAGAACCGAGCCGCCAACCGCGCGAGCGTCGATCCGGCGGTCTGGTTCTACCAGCGCTCTGCGTCCCTGCCCGAGCACCTGAACGCACTCGACAAGCAGCAGCACCGGGAGGTCCTCAGGGACACCTGCGCGCGCGCACAGTCGCACGCGCGCCACGAGTGCTAGCTCCCCGGCCCCATCGCTAAGCTACCAACCGCCAGCTCTCCGCGCACAGCGACGTCTCGCAACCCGATTTTCGCGCGCGCTGCCGGCTCGAAATCCGAACCGGCAGCGCGGCGCTGCGCCAACCACACTTTGCAGCTCCCTCTCGCCGACGCGGAGAGCCCCGCTACGCTACTTTTCGCAAAGATACATCTCCTCCGGCAGCTCGAGGTGATACTGCGCCCGTTTGGCCCCACCGCTGCGACACCGAGTCGGTCTCGCGGCATCAGGGCCGATGGGCGACGCATCACCATGATTTCTCCAAGCAACCAAAATCCCCCCCCCTACATATCTGGCCGACCAAGCTCTGTTAGGCACCGACCGCGCGCGCATTGCAGCGCCGCGACGCCCTGCATGCCCGCGCGGCACGACCACGCCCCGCCGCGGCACCCGCTTGGCGCCTGTACCCCCTTCCAACCAGACTCCCTCCGCCCCTCCCGCTCACCCGATGTCCCCGCCAACGCTCGACCCTACGCGCTTCAACTGTACCTCGCCGCCGGGCGACCCGTGGGCCGCCCGGCACGGCAGACATCAACACTCGTGTGACTCCCCCCACCACCACGGCGGGAACCGGCGCGGCCGCGCGGGCCCACGGGGCCGACGCGGCCTGCCCGTGTCTCTGGCTGAGCGCCGCTCGTGCTGGCCCCCCGCTCAATGACGTGTCGCACCTCGCCCCTGTACTGGTGGGTTGCTGGAGGCGCGCTCGCCGCCGCCGTGGTGCCGGCACCCTGACCCGCCGCGCGAGAAACATGTGCATGGCGAGATGCGCGTTGCGGACACGATGATGGCGTTTCCGTGGCCGCGGGACGCCGCCCAGTGACGTTGCGGCAATTGTGGTGCCCTGCTGCCCGCGGGAGGGCGCGCGCGAGCCGACGTTGACGGAGAACGGGCGCAACGGCACTCGCGAGAGTCGGCGGCGGCGTCCTGCGCGCGCGCGCGTGGACGAAGGCGCGTGGGGTGCGGCGACGGACCATCAGCTGAGCTCAGCTGATGGTGACCATCAGCAGGGAGGTGTCGAGCGGCCCCGGCCAGCGCGGCTCACAGGCAACACCCGGCGCGCGGGGCCGCCACAAATCTAAGCTGGCGACTCAGCTACCCTCTCGTGCACGCGGACCCGTCGTCGGGCCAGCAGCGCGTCATCGACCCCCACCAAGCGACAGCCTGGGCTTGCGCAGCGCTCAACGCGGACATTCAGCGCCTGCCGTCCGGCCTGAGGCCCGGAGTGTAGTCCAGACGGAGCACGGCGGACACGTGCCCTCCTGACCGCGCCCCCTGCGCCGTAGCAGCCAGCCTGAAGCGCACCATGGCTGGGAACGATGTGGAGCTCGGCGAGCGCTTCGCCGACATGAGCAACCACGACGGGCCGGCCAAGTCCACCCACTTCGAGCAGCAGTTCGCGAAGACCATGGAACGCACGCGCGTCGCCGCCGCGGTCCTCCAGGCACGCACCCGTCGCGCCCGTTCGCCCCGCCCCTCGCTCCCTCCGCGCGGGGTCCCGCGCTCAGGCCCAGCCGGCGCCAGACGTCCACCTCTGCGTAGACTGCCCGCCGCGCGAGACCTGCCGCCCGTCCCGCCCGGCAGCCGCGCGGTGGGGCGTGCGCCTCTGGTTCGTGGCCACGAGGCCCCAGTCGACGCGGGCGGCGCGTCCGGGGCGCAGCGACGCCTCGCAGCGGGCTCCGCGACAAGCCATGCCCCTGATATGGTCGCCTGCATTGCCGATTGCGCGTCTCCCCGCCGCCCGGGACCTGTCCGCCGCCGCTGCCTGCAGCGCACTGCTCCGCCGGCTTCGACCTCCCAACCCGCCCTGTCGCCGGTCCGCAGACTGTCCCGAAGTCCCGGCAGGTGTGCGTGGCGTTCGAGGACGTCAACGCGTTCGTCAGCACCATGCCCTTCAAGCCCTCCCTCCCCGCGCAGTGAGTGTCCCTGCGTGCTCGCCGCAGCCCCCGCACACGCCGCACGGCCGCCTCGCGCCTTCCGCTCGCACGTCCTCCACTGCACTGCGATCCCATACGGCCCCCGTGCCCCGCAAGCTGCGTTCCGCGGCCCATCTGACCGTGACGCGCGGTGCCTCCGTACCGCAGGGCGGTGACCAAGGCCACGTCGATGCTCACGGAGAAGGGCCGCGAGCGCGCCGCCGCGGCGGCCGCGGCGCCGACCGAGCGGCAGATCCTCACCGGCGTGCACGGGCGCGTCTCCCCGGGCGAGATGATGGCGCTGATGGGCCCGAGCGGGAGCGGGAAGACGTCCCTGCTGTCGATCCTCGGCGGGCGCGCCGCCGCGGCCGTGCGCGTCGAGGGCCGCCTGCAGTACAACGGCGCGCCGCTCGTGAAGGCCACGAAGCGCACGATGGGGTTCGTGCACCAGGACGACCTCCTGTTTGACAGCCTCACCGTGTACGAGACGCTGCACTACGCGGCGCGGCTGCGGCTCCCGCGCGACATGTCGAACGACGAGAAGGAGCTCCGCGTGGAGACGGTCATCCAGGCGCTCGGCCTCGACCGCTGCCGCAACACCATCATCGGCGGGCCGTTCATGCGCGGCGTGTCGGGCGGGGAGCGGAAGCGCGTGTCGATCGGGCACGAGCTGCTGATCAACCCCGCGGGGATCTTCCTCGACGAGCCGACGTCCGGCCTCGACGCCACGACCGCGCTGAAGCTCGTGCACACGCTCAAGGTGCTGGCCGCGGGCGGGCGCAGCGTGGTGACCACGATCCACCAGCCCGCGTCGCGGATCTACCAGGAGCTCGACAAGGTCATGGTGCTCTCCGAGGGCAAGGTGATGTACTTCGGGCACGGCTCGCTCGCCCACGCGTGGTTCAACTCGCTGGGGTACGCCATGCCGCTGGGCGTCAACACGGCGGACTTCTTGCTCGACCTGGCCTCGGGCGACGTGGGCGCCACGCAGCAGGAGGCGCGCGAGCTGTCGTCGCAGCTGTGCGCGGCGTACGAGCGGTTCATGAAGGGCGGCGCCGTGGAGCCGCGGGACCTGTCTGACGTGGCGAAACACTCCTCCGCCGAGATCGCGAAGCTCGACGGGCCCGCCGCGTCGGCGCACGAGGTCCGCCAGCGCCAGATGATGGGCGTGCAGCACCGGCACGTGGCCGTGCTGCGGGCGCTGCAGGGCGGCGGGTCGCACGACGGCGACGACGCCGCACGGCCCGCGCACGCGGACGACGACTCGATGGGGCAGTCGAACTCGACGGACCTGAGCGACAAGGCGACGCTGGCTGCGCACAGCGCGCACGACACGTCGAAGGTGGACGTGGAGCTCGGAAAGGGCGAGCACGCACACAGCACGCGCTGGGGCGCGAGCTTCATGGACCAGATCCTCATCCTGACGCGGCGCTCGCTCAAGACGCGGCGGTTCGAGGCGCTCGGGTTCCAGAAGTTCCTCCAGTTCGCCGTCGTGGGCGTCCTGACGGGCCTCTTCTGGTTCCGGCAGGGCGGCGGCACCACGGCCAAGGACGTGAACAACACGGTCGGGCTGCTGTTCTTCGAGATGATCTTCATGTCGTTCGCGGCCCTCTTCGCCGCGCTCTTCACCTTCCCCGCCGAGTACCAGATGCTCCTCAAGGAGCGCGCGTCCGGCATGTACCGCCTCTCGGCCTTCTACCTCGCGCGCTCCTTCTCCGACCTCCCCCTCGACTGCCTCTACCCCTCGGTGTTCGTGTTCATCATCTACTGGATGTCGGGCCTCAAGGCCACCGCCGCGGCCTTCTTCGGCAACTGGTTCACCATCATTCTCACCGTCCTGGTCGGGCAGAGCATGGGGATGCTGATCGGCACGGTCATGATGAACCCGAAGAGCGGGCAGACGGTGGCCACGATCGCGATGCTCACGTTCATGCTCACCGCGGGCTTCTACATCGACGACATCCCGGTGTGGATCGAGTGGGTCAAGTATTTGGGGTTCCCGTACTTCTCCTGGCGCATGCTCATGAAGCTCGAGTTCGGGGACTACGACGGGGAGTATCCCGAGCGCCTCACGCGGCCGAACGAGATCAGCTTCGGGCTCGACATGGGCTGCATGTTTTTGTTCCTGTTTGGGCTGCGCTTCATCACGTACATGGAGCTGCGGCGCAAGACGAAGAACGTCTGAGGAGGCCGCGCGCGCGGTGGACGCGCGGGGCGGCGCGTCGCTCGGGGTGACGGTTGTCGTCCGGAGCGACGCTCAATTTTGATGCACCAACCACATCACCGTAGAGCTGCTCGCTCTGCTGCAGATGCTCAGTCAGCAGCCCCACGGGTCAGGCCTGACTCTTAGTATTGAAGCTCGGTGACACACTATCCGCACGTTGCGGTGTCCTCGCTCTTCCGCGAAGAGAGACATGTAAATGAAACGACGGTGTGTGTTTCCTGTCACCGCCAGCCTGGACATCCCTGCAGCGTGCACCGGTGTTTCAGGGCGCGGTCGCGGACTTGAGTGCCAGCCACGTCGTCCTCCGGTCGCAGTAGCAAAGTGCAGCCAGGCGCCTCTGTCCGTCGTCTCCACGTCGCCTCGGTCAAGTAGCAAGCGAGCGGCAAACAGCCGACGTGCGCAGCGGCTTGAATATCCTTCACATTTCTTCGAGGATATCTTGCTGAATGGCCCCGCGGCTCGTCGAACCGACGGCGCCGATCTCAGCGGCCCTGCCGCGCGCGGTCGAGCGCTGAGTGCAGAGGCATGTGTGTTGACGCGTGCAGTTGTGCAAGCCAGCCCCACCAGCGGGTGGCCGCCGTCGACAGCCTGGCGCGGCGCTTCTCCGCGCCCGCTACTCGCGCGGGGCGTAGTGTTGAACTGCGTTCGGATTCATTTCATTTCTTTCATCTCTGAGGCGAGATACTGTGTGTTATGCACGCTGCAAGCCCGGATCCACCGGGTCATGTCCATGGGGAGATGGTCCGCGAGACGCGCGCAACGATGATTGACGTCAAGGCAGGGGTCGGGGAGAGGGTGTGCTCCTGAGCGGGAGTACTCCTTCTCAGAGAAGATTCAAGGCAAGAGCACGAAAGCGCAGCAGCTTCCAGCTGCTGAACAGACTGGTTTCGAGCCGGCCACGAGTGGCGACGTGTGGTGTTGGCACACGCGGGGGCAGCGATATGGGTTTGGAACACGAAGCGGGTCCCTGAGGTACCCATGGCACGCAGCGCTGGTTTCAGCGCCAGGGGTGGACGGGCGGCTCGGAGGGACACTGCGGTAACGTGCGCAGTCGTTCAAGTTTTCCAACCGAATGAAGCGGATCGGGGAAGGGAGGGGAGGGGAGGGGAGGGGAGGGGGGGATAGGGTTTGTGCCGGCCAAGAAGGGGGATTGGGGTTCATGGGCGGAGGGATGTTAGAGGCCCCGAAGCCGTTGTCTCCGGAGCCCAGGCGGGGCGGCACGCGCGCGAGGAACCGCGTTGTTCAGAAGAGGCCCGCGGCCAGGTGCTGCCGCAGCAAGCGCGCCACCTGGACGTGCCCCGCGACCTCGGCCATGTCCGCGGGCGCCTGGCCCACCGAGTTCAGGGTCGCCGCCGACAGGCCCAGCGTGAGCAGCTGCACGACGCAGTCTGCGTGCCCCGCGGCGGCGGCGCAGTGCAGCGGCGTGTTGCCCATCGAGTCGACGCTGTCCAGCGCCGCGGCTCCGGCCATGCCCGCTGCTGCAATGGCCGTCACGGCCGCGGTCTGCCCCATCGTGGCCGCGACGTGCACGATGTTGCCGCCACCAGGCAGCAGGGGCGTCGTCGCCGCGGCCTGCATCACGCTCGCGTACCCCAGGTCGAGGTGCACGCGCAGGAGCGCCTGGTTGAGCGCGGTGACGTCGCGCGTGCACACGTGGTAGATCAACTGCCGCACGAACGGCTCCAGGTGCTGCGTCGCCGGCCCGACCACAGGCTGGTACGGGAGCGTCTGCAGCCCGGCCTGCCAGTCCAGGAGCGCCGAGAGCTTGTTCGGCGTGAGATCCGCGCCGCCGTGCAGGTGCGACTGGAACTGGTCGCGCCGGGGCGCGAAGCCGGCGTCGAGCCGAGTTTGCGGCGCACGAGCGTGGTTCTGGTTCGAGACGTTTCTCGTCGGGATGAACGCGCTCAGGCTGCGCTGGGGGCGCCGCTGCGTCAGCGGGACGCCGCCTGAATGCGAGAGCTTGCCGCCGCCCGCGGGCGAGCGGAGAACGGCCTGCCCGATCGTCTGGGCCTGGTACGCCGGGTCGCCGTAGCCACCCAGGTTGCTTCGCGGCGGGGTGTTGGCGCCGGAGTCCCCTCGGCCACTGCCCCCCGAGCCATGTCCGCCGCGCCACGAGGCGGCCTGGTGCCGTCCAGCGGGGCGCGACGGCGCGTACAGCCCCTGCATCCCCTGCGGCGGGTCGAGCGTCATGAGCCCGGTCTCCGGCTTCACCCCGAGCGGGAGCCTCGGGAGCCATATGCGGTACATCGCGGGGAGGTGTTCCGAGACCCCCGCGGAGGACAGTTCCGGCGGCAGCGGCGGCGAATGGAACGTCTTGCACGGCAGGGACCCCGGCGGCAGCACGCCCGCCGGCGGCGGCTGCGCCTGCAGGAGCTTGCACGCCTGCGCGTCGAACGCTCGCACTTCCGCGACGACCTGCGGGTTCGCCGCCCACGCAGGCAGCTGCTCCACAGGGTCGGTCCCGCCCCCCGGGCGCGCAACCAGGCCAGTGATGATGTGCTTCGCAGCGGTGGACGCCCGCGTCGCGCGCCCGGACGTGTCGATGTGCACGATAGCGGCGGGCACGATGTCCAGGAGGGCGTCCGCAACGGCCGCCTGGGCGCGGGTGCGCACGGCGCGGGTCGCGTCCGTCATGCGGATCCGCACGGCCGCGCCCTCGCTGGCCCCGGCAGCCGGCTGCGCGAAGAAGCTCCCCTCGACGAAGCGCGGCAGTCGCGGCACCGAGCGGATGGCCGCGGCGACGACGCCGCCGTGCACCGTCGTGCCTGCACCCGCCGCGACGGCGGCCTTGATTCGCTCGCGGTAGTTGCCCTCCGAGATCATCTTCGGCGAGAACAGGATCGGCCCGACCGGCCCCTCCTCCGCACCGAGCCCCGCCGCCGCCCCCTGCGCGGCCACCACCGCCGACGTCAGGTGCTGCGCCACCAGTGCGCGGTCGCCCTTGTGGACCAGGTCGAGCAGCAGCGCGCCCGACACGGCGCCGGGGAGCCGCCCGAGCACCGCCACGCAGTCCCCCGCGACCCGCAGGACGCGCCCCTCCGCGTCAAGCTCCAGGTCGACGGTGGCGATGCACTCCCCGCTCCGGGACAGCGGCGGGCGGGGTGACGGCAGCCCGCGCGCGTAGTCCGTGGCGTCGCGGCACACGACGGCTGCCTGGATGCCGCCGTGCGCGGCGCGGAGGAACGCGAAGCTGTAGGCCAGCAGGATCCGCCGCCCCGACGCATGCCGGGCCTGACTCAGCCAAGGCCGCCGGGAGTACGGCAGCTTGCCGTCGCGGACGGCGACCTGCAGCGCGTTGCGCACCGCCTGCGCGGACGCCGGGCCCTGCGCGAGCTCGAGCGCGCCGAACAGGCCGCGCTCCGAGACGCTGTCCGCGGCAGGACTCAGGACGTCGCCCACTTGCGGCGACCGGTACAGCAGGTTCCCGTTCTCGTCGTGCACCATCAGCATCGCGCCGCCGATGGCCTCGAGCCCCGTCGCCAGCCACGGCGCCTGAGGGCCGTGCCGTGCGCGCAGCGTGCTGAGCGCCGCGCCGCTCCCGGTGCGCGCCAGGTGCCCCATGAGCGCCAGGTCCGCGCCGGGTCCGTCCGAGGGCGCCGGCTGCCTGCGCGCGGTCCGCCCCTCCGAGAAGGATCGCCCGAACAGCCCCGTCGCCAGCAGCGGCCGGCGCGCTGTCATCGACCGCCCAGACAGCGTCCGCTCCATCGCCGCCTCCGTGCGGCTCCCGGGCCGGCTGCCCGTCTGGCTGCCGTCGACTGTGAGCGCACCGCTGCTGGGCGACCTGCGGCTCGCGCGGGAGGTCGAGCGCCCCAGCGACCGCACGTGCTGCATGGTATGCGTCACTGCGCCGTCCGTGGCGGCGACAGTGGGGCGCGGCGACGGCGCGAACCGCGCGCCGGGCTTGCGCGATACGACGAGCGGGGCCGAGCGCATGACGCCGGAGAGGACGGCGTCCCGCGGCGGCGAGAGGCCCTGCGCGGGGGGCGGGATGCACTCCGACATGACCACGGGCCGGGGGGCCTCCACCGGGGGCAGGTCGCTGGGGTTGATCGGGCGCTCGATGATGAGCAGCTCCCAGATGCACGAGACGTGCACGACGGCGATCGTCGCGTCCACGGCGACCTTCCGGCCGCGGATCACGCGACGGTACTTCAGGCGCTTGGATTCCACTGCGAGCGAGGGCCCGGGGGGTGTTTTGTTCGCGGTGCCTGAGGGATATGACGGGTCGTCGCGCGTGGGGCGCTGGTGCGAGGGGCGTGGCGCACCGCGAGCTTGGGTGGCCGATGTCTTGGGGTCGTCAGGCAGCGAGGTCTCAGGGTCATCGGCGGCGCGCATCTGCTTCTGCAGGTCCTTGACGACGCGCAGAACCTCCGGGGCGTCCGCCTCGTCGATGCTAGGAAGGATGTTCCAGCCGGTCGCTTCGTCCGCTGCAGCCGCCGGGGGGAAACAACACGAGTCAGGGGTTTCAGCGCACTGGACAGCCCGCCGACACGCGCGCCCGACGCTCGCTGGCACGAGCCCCTAGGTGACATGCAAGGGCTGGGCCGCACCTGCCGCTCCGGAGACCTGGAGGTACAACTCCGACGCAGACACAACATCCAGCAGAGGGTTGGCGCGGAAGATGAACATCGGGCACACTTCGAGGTACACCTGGAGGCGCCGCGCCTGCGCCAGCGCCTCCAGGTGCAGGTGCATCGGCATCACGGCGGCTAGCACCACGTCCTCCGTGCACGGCCACGCGGGCCGATACAGCAGCACCTCCACGGGCACCGACCCGCCGCCCGTGACGCCCGCGCCCGCCTCGAGCTGCGTGTGGACGCGCATCTGGGCGACGCGCGGCCCGCGGAAGGAGTCGTCCAGCGCCTTGAGCACGGCGGGGGTGTCGTCGGGGTGAATGAGGTCGGGCAGGTTGCGGCCGCGCAGGTCCGCGGCGCGGCAGCCGAGCGGGGCGTCCGTGAAGCTCTCCGAGACCGCGAGGACCTCGCCGGCCGGCCGCAGCATCAGGAACGGCATCGGGGCGCCGGTGACGTCGGAGAGGAGGGTGCCCAGGGCGGCAGGCTGCAGGCTCTCGCGCCGGCTCACCGCGAGCCGCGAGCTGGCGTCCTCGTCCTCGCTGTCCGCGGGGGACCTGCGCGCAGGGCGTGGGCGGGCGGTGAGCGAAGGCCGCGACGCGACAACACCCACACCACGTGGGCGTGCAGGTTTGCGTAGGAGGGCTGCGCGCGCGCGCGTGCGCGCGGCGGCGGAGCTTCGCGGCGGGGCCGCACCCGCTCCCGAGGTCGAGGACGTCCCTGCCGTCCTGCTCGGGCTTGCTGAGCTCCGGGGGCGGCAGGACGGGTTCCAGCGCGACCGTGCACGCCACGTAGAAGGAACTGCTCCCTGGCACCGTGGACTTGATCGCCCCGGCCGGGAACTCTTCGTCCTGGATCCATTGCATGCGGAGCTGTGCGCTGCGGCGGGCGGGGGCGTACGAGGGCGGCGGGGGCGTCGGCGAGAGCGTGCGACGTGAACAGGCCACGAATCGCCCGGGTCGTCCTTCCGGCGTGCGCAGCGCGCGTTGGCGCTGGCGGGTCGCTGTGGGGGCGCATGTCCCGGCGATCGAGGGACGAATGCGCAGCGGGGGAGCGCGGTGCAGCGGCGCGGCGAGGCCTCGGGTGGCAGCTGGCTCCTGGAAGGGACACTCACCTGCTCTCAGCGCCCTCAGAATGTAGCACTTTGACGGGGACGCATTCCGGGGGATGCGGTTCGCAGCCCTCCCGCACCTCCTGGTAGTTGTGGAGGATCCAGTGCGACACCTGCGCGGACGCGGCGAGTTGCAGTTGGCTGCAGCGGGTTCGTGCGAGAGACGCCACCTCGAACACGGCGCGCATCGCCGAAGACACTGGCGGTGTTCGCCGATAAGGGAGCAAAGCAGAACCGACGGCTTTGCGGCGTGTGAGGCCCGCAAATCCGCGCCTCGCACGAGCTGTTGTAGGCAATGGCCGCGCTGGCCCGCGTTCTCGCGTCGACCGGCGCGTTGCGGCGCGAGGTCAGCTTGTACGAGGCAAGGAGACGGAGATGCGCAGCACGCGCGGCCGCATCCATCCGAAACGGAGCGCTGGGCGCCCAGTAATCGTGTAAAGATCTACATAATCTAGGACGGTCGGAAAGGGACGGGCCGTGGCAATAGGCCCGCCTGGCTCGTTCAGCGTCGCGAGAGGTTCCGGGAACGCGCGCCGAACAGCGTCCCGGAGCGGCCCGGTCGCGAGGGGCAGAGCGTTGGAGGCAGCCAAGCCAGCGCGTACCTTGGCCGCGCCGGCCACATCCAGGAAGCTCAGGATCGCCTTCCCGACGAGATACTCGGGGTCGTCCCCGAAGACGACCCGAGCCCCGCGCGAGGCCGTCAGAACGGCGCCGCTGGCGTCGAGCAGCAGCGTGCACTCCGGCAGAGCCTGCAGCCGATCGCCGCACCCCGCACGTCTTTAGGGGCTTTCCCGGGACGTCCGATGTGGGGGACGCGCGCAAGCGCCACAGCGACGCACGCGCCGCAATCGGAGCCTGCCATCGCTGCGGGCAGCTCACGAGCACGCCAGCAGCAGCTGTGGGGTCGCGCACCTGCACCGCGTCCGCGACCATGAAGTTGTACAGGTCGGGGTTGCTCTCCGCATGGGTGGTCGTGTCGCCGCCATTGGAGCCCCCGCCGTGGCTGCTCATGGCGGCACGCCCGTGCGGAGGCTTGCGGCCAGGGTGGGCGCGAGCGGCGCGGCGTCACTCAGGCGCCCCGCAAGGTCGGGATCATCGAGGTGCGCTCCGATGCTGCAGCCCGAGGTGCGTCCACGGCGTTCTGTCGCTTCGCCGCGATGCGCGGTCCTTCTGTCACCGCCTGGGTGGATGACTGGCCTTTCAGACTGTCCCAAGTGCGTGACGAACGTCCGAGGAACATCGAGTCATCGTGAGTAACCGAAGCACGTCGGGCTTCTCGACACGATGCCACGCGTACGAGTGCCTGGATGGCAAATCTACTGCACACAGCATCAGCGGCGCCCTGGCCCCCTGCGCGACGGAGACCGCGCCCGCCGAGCGGCAGCGCCTGCTGCAAACAAGTTGCCAACCGGTGACGCTCGTGCCATGCCATGCCGGAGCAAGGCACTCCCACTCGCTCGGGAAGAAGTCGCCGCCTCGCTGGCGCGCGACCACCGAGCATCTGCGGCGAACAAAGCACGCCTCGCCTCCGCGAACTCAACGCCCTGCAAATCGTGCCAGACATAAAGTCTCAGGCACGCGCGGTCCACACACGCAGCTGCCCATCAGAGCACGTCACACACCCGCTCAGTCCAGCCCCTGCGGCGCGCTCGCCAGCGACATTTCCAGCGACGCGCCCGTCCCGGCCAGTGCGGCCGCGCGCCCTACCGCGCCAGCCCCCGCAGCTTCCGCCCGCGCCAGCGCGTCCCGCAGGCCCCAGGCCTCGTTCTGCAGCACCTGCGCCCGCGCCTCCGCGTCGTGCAGCTCCTGCATGTCCGCGAGGCGCATCCTCTCGAGCTGGTGCACGCGCTGCAGCTCCACCTGCAGCGCGCGGTGTGCCGCAGCTTCGCGCTCCCGCGCCTCCGCGAGCAGCCGCCGCGCCTGCGACTCCAGGTACTCGGACTCCGCGAGCTGCTCGCGCGACAGCCCCGCCGCCTCCCGCGCGTCGCGCACGCGCTGCTCCAACGTGCGCACATACGCCTCCTGCGGGCCGCTGCCGCCCGCCATCGCAGCGGCCGCAGCGGCCGCAGCTCCGCCCGCCGCCCGCAGAGCATCCTGTGGGGAGCCCGTCGCGGGTCGCGGTGGAGCGGTGAGAGCCGCGAAGCAGCGAGAAACGACGTTGCGTGTGTGCGAGCTGCAGTGCAGGCGTGACATCAGGGCTCGCGCCGCACCTCCCACGACCGGTCGCGCAGGTCGGTGTTCTGCGCGCGCAGCGACTGCACTTCCTCGCGCGCCGCCGCGAGAGCCTCCTCCGCGGACCGCAGCTGCGCCACCAGCTTGGCGTGCCCCTCGCTCAGTTGGGCGTTCGCCGCGAGCAGGCCGTCCGCGCGCTCCGCAGCTGCGACGAGCTGCCCTCGCAGCCGCTCGACCGCGCTTCGCTGCGCCCCGGAGACCCCGCCCCCCCCCGCGACGCCCCTCCCCGACGCCGCCTCGCGCTCCGCAGCCCGCATCCGCGCCAGCGCCTCGTCGCGCTCCGCTATCGCCCTCGCGCCGCGCTCCTCCGCGTCGGTGGCGCGGCGCATCTGCGTCTGCAGGGCCGCGGCCTGTTCGCGCAGCTGCACATGCAGCTCCTCCACCTCCAGTGCCAGGTCGTGGCTGTGGCGGGAGTGCGCGGCCTTCGCCCGCGTCCACTCCTGCTTCCACGTCTCGCGCAGAGCCTCCAGCTCGTTCACGCGCGCCTCGGCCTGCGCGGCGCGCGCCTCCAGGGAGTGCACCGTGCGCAGGCGCGTCTCGGCATCAGCCCTCACTGCCTCCGCGTCCGACTTGACGGCGTGCGCGGTCTCCGCGATCTTCTGGGCGTCGCCGAGGCGGACGCTGTTCTGCGGGACAGCCAGAGCGGGAGGGCGCAGCCGGTGAGGGCCGGCTTGAACCCCTCTGTGCTGTATGTCGAGAGCGCGCGTGCCTGTGGGCGCACGAGCTGCCAGCTTCGAGGTGCGGCGTGCTTGTTCAACCAAAATGTATCTGAATGGCTGCCCCAGCACTGTGTTCGAGGGACGGTGTCCGCGGGTGCAGCGGCGGTGAACTACGTGCCTCGATGTTCGTGCGCTCCAGGGCCTTGTTCCGCTCCATGAGGTCGTGGAGCTGTCGTTCGGCATGCCTGAGCTTCTGTTCGAGCTCGTGAACCCGTGAGGACGTCGAGCGTATCTCCTGCTGCGCGACTGCGTGGGGCAGAGGGACCGCAAGGATGACCTGAGCACGCGGTCTCGTGACGCGTCCGTGAACGCGTCTCGTTCAAGGGGCGAAATGCAGCCTCGTCGAGCTACGAGAATCGGTGTCTCAAAACCACGTTTAGGTCCGGGACTCGCGAGGAGGCCGGGGGCAGGCGGAAAGGGGAAACATCGACTGTGCCGCCCGAGCCAAGCTCCAAATGCACGGCTCGCCGCGACATATCATCATCAAGGGTCGAGAGAGCACTTGCACGCGGCCAGCACGCGCCGGCGCCCTCATGCGGCGCTGACCGGGCGGTGCAGGGCCCAGAGCAAGGGCGGCGCACCCGACGCTTCCTGCTGCATGCGCTCCGCGCTTTGCCGCAGCTCGCCACGGTCCCTCTTCAGTCCGTGAATCTCCGCCTCCATCTCCTCCTTCTCCTTGCGGAAGTCCTGCGCGGATCCCGGCGCGCCGCTGCGTTGCTGTGCGCGGCCCAGACTCGGCCCCGGATGCCCGCTTTTCGCGGGCCTCGCGCGCTCAGAGCCGCGGCTCGGGCTCAATCACTGCCTCATCATGCCGAGGGACGCCAGGAACTCCACGCCACACGCACGGTCAGCGACGGGGGGCGCGTGCAATCAGCTTGCCTGCAGGATGCGCCCGAGCAGCGCATTTTCCGCCTTGTAGTCCCTGACCTTCTCCTCGAGTAGCTCTAGGTGCTGCGCATGTTGCGGGCGCTTCCCGGGGCTCCGCAGCGGCGACGTGCCCGCCTTGGTGATCACACCGCCCGTCGACAGGTTCAGCATCGCGCCGTGTGTGCGCTGGAGGGCGCGCACGCCTCCGCAACGACGCTCCGTGGACGGCGGCTGACGTGGGTTTCGTAGTGGCGACGAGACGCGCATCGGCGCGGCGTCGTTTGCGCAGCATACGGGGGGGCGTTGGGCCTGGAGTCTGGCTGGGCGAGGGGGGGGCGTCGGGCGGCTTGATGATCGTCGCTAGGCGACAGAAGGGGCCGCGAACAGATACAGCGGCACAAGAACGTCAGGGCGCAGTACGTGACGTGCGTCGTGAACCCCCGGAACTCTCGTAGCGAGCTGGTTCAGCTGGGCCTGAGTTGAATCCTCGCGCTCAAAGCGAGGAGGAGCGGCACGCAGTACCTCAACGGACTGTGACCACCGAGAACCGTCGCAGATATACCTCGTATCCCGTCGTTCGTCCTCATGCAGGCGTCGGGCTTGTACCTCGAGCTCGTTGATGAGCAGGGGAGCTACATCGAGACGGTGGAGAGCGGGGGGAAGGTGTACGCGATCGGGCGGCCTGGCAAGTCGTTTCAGGTGGAGTGCGGGCTGCTGGACGGCACGACGGGGGGGCCGTGGGTGGTTCACGCACGTGTTTCGGGCCAGAGTACCAGAATGAAGTTGGTAAGCGACGAGCTGGGCATCGATGCGGAGCAGATACATGGGTCACCGTGCAGGAGTGCGACGGGAACACGTCCTGCCCTCACTTGATTCGGTTGCTAGTCGTGGTAGCGCGAGCGAATGCCAAAGCTATCATCCCCTGGCGCCGTTCCGCGTGTCCATCGCGCTTGCAGTTCTTGGGCGACAACTGGCGGAAGACCACGTTCCAGGGCTTCCTCACACACACGACAGCTGCGGACGCTGCTGGCACCCGTCAGTACACTTACAACAGCTTCGAGTTCGCTGCTGCCGTGGACGGAGAGGGCAGGAACGGTGGCTCGGAGGCGGGCCAGCCGGACAACGCGGGGCTGGTGGAGGTGTCCGTTTACAAAGCCGAAACGTATCCGTGCCCGCTTGTTCACGGCGGACAGCACTGCCCCAAATGCAGCAAGTCGACTGACTACACCAAGCCCGTCCTGACCGCGCGGAAGGGCAACGGCGGTCCGGAGAAGAAGTTCTTCCAGAAGCCTTCCTTGGGCGTCAAAGCGGGGGTCAGCAAACAGGCCTCAGGCACGAGACACGCAAGGCACGTGCATTCCAGGAGCGTTGGCGAGCCGGTGGTGCTGCGGATCCAGTGCGAGACGCGGTCGTGTCTGGAGCTGCGGGGCATCCTCGAGCGGCCCCCCCCGGCGCCCCGCGCCGTCGCCCGCAACACCACCGGCAGGGCCGTGGGGGAGGACGTGAAGCCAGTGATCTACATCCTGGACTGAGGCGCGGAGGCAGGGAGAGGGAGGAGGAGGCGGGACGGGCCGTGGCGGGCGAGGAAGGCGGGCGGGCGCGCGACGCGCGCATGGCGGCGGAGGGATGACAACGACAAGCTAGCGCAGGTATAAGATATGAACATGAATGACGCGCAGAACGAGGGCACGCGGCGGCGTGCTGTGCGCCGGCGGGGCGCGCTCGAGAGCAGTGGATGCGAGCATGGCGCCGCGCAGGGGCTGATGATGTGACACGACACGTGTGTCATTTCGCGCTGCTGCGTCAAGACCGCGAGGTCTGCTGCGACCGCTGTGGCACCCGACGGGCTCGAGCGAGGCGCCGCGGCGGGCACGTGCACGGCGCTGCGATCAGCCTGCCCGCTGTGCACGGACTACGCCGCGTCCGCGCGCACCGCTCGCCGTCGCTCCCCCGGCCCTGATACCCCCGGGGTCGCGGGACGAGGCGAGCGGAGCACATCCCACGCCCGCGTCGTCCACGGTCCGCCGCGCTGGATCAAACCCCTTGTCATGCCTGTCATGTGGTAGCGGTCCTGGGCTGGCGCCCCCTGATCCGCGCCAGGGGCCCCTACGATGCGCAGCGCCAGCTCGCGGCCACCCCTGCCTCCGGCGACCAGCCCCGGCTCTCTCGGCGAGGATGAGGGTGCCTCGCCCAGGGTTTTCGTGTCCAGCGGTAGCGCAGCGACCGTCGGCACACTTCACGGGCCGTTTGGGATGGTGGGAGGGCCTCGGCCGCCCCTGCCTGCGCCGGCCGCGGTGCAATCCGGTCTGTGAGTCTGAGTCTGAGTCTGAGTGTGCATCAGCGCTGCACTAGTTGTTGTGTGCGCAGGACGGCGCCCGCAACGACGCCGGCCCCGAATGTGGCGGGCGGCGGGGCGCACGGTCGGACGTTGGCGTTCGCGCGGCGCAGAGGCGGGCGTTTGGCCTGGAGTCAGCTGGTGGCGGTATGTCTGGCTGAGCGACTCGCTGCGAGGGGGGACGTCGGGCGGCTTCAAGCCGCTTGATGACCGTCGCTTGGCGACACAAGGGGCCGCGAACAGATACAGCGGTACAAGAACGACAGGGAGCAGTACGTGACGAGCGTCGTGAACCCCCGGAACTCTCGTAGCGAGCGGGTTCAGCTGGGCCTTGGTTGAATCCCCTCGGCGCCACGGCGTCGGGCAGGATGGCAGAGGGGTCGGGCTTCTACGCACGACTTGTGGATGAGCAGGGCAGCTACATCGAGACGGTGGAGAGCGGGGGGAAGGTGTACGCGATCGGGCGGCCAGGCCAGGCTTTCACGCTGGAGTGCGGCCTGCTGGACGGCACGAAGGGGGGGCCGTGGCAGGTGGGCGCAAGTGTTGCGGGAAAGGATGCGAACGTCCACTCGGTGAGTGACGATGCGGACGCGTTCACAGGAACTCTTGCCCCAGATTTCTCATGCCCCCCACACCGGCGGTTACTGTTTGCGTGTGCCCACGCACTGCGCGACTGACACGCTACCGCCGGCGCCGTCCCGCACGACAATCGCTTGCAGACCTTGAGCAACACCAGTCGCACGTGGACTTGCAAGGGCTTCCTGTCGAACGCGACAGCACCAGATGCTGCCGGCAACCGTCAGTTCACCTACGAAAGCTTCGAGTTCGCTGCTGCCGTGGACGGGCAGGACGCGAACGCCGGCCACGACGGTCAGGCCGGACCGACCGACCGCGGGGGGCTGGTGGAGGTCCGCTTTTCCAAAGCAGAGACTTGGGCATGCCCGCTCAGGAAAGGAAAGCACTGCCCCAGCTGCTCCAGGACGGCGGAGTATTCGAAGGCGGGCCTAGCAGCGCGGAAGGGCAGCGGCGGCCCGGAGAAGAAGTTCTTCCAGAAGCCCTCCCTGGGCGTCAAGGGGGGTGTCAGCAAACAGGTCCCGAACGCGATGGTCACGACGCATTCCAGGAGCGTTGGCGAGCCGGTGGTGCTGCGGATCCAGTGCGAGACGCGGTCGTGTCTGGAGCTGCGGGGCATCCTCGAGCGGCCCCCCGCGCCGCCCCGCGCCACCGCCCGCAACAACGGCAGGGGCGCGGGCGAGGACATGAAGCCAGTTATCTACATCCTGGATTGAGGCGAGGGGGCAGGGACAAGGAGGAGGAGGCGGGGCGGGCCGTGGCGGACGAGGAAGGCAGGCGGGCGCGCGACGACGACGCGCGCGTGGTGGCGGAGGAACATAAAGCGAAACACAAGCGCTGAGGTATAAGATATGAACATGAATGACGCGCAGAACGAGGGCACGCGGCTCGCGGCGGCGTGCTGTGCGCCGGCGGGGCGCGCTCGCGAGCAGCGGGTGCGAGCATGGCGCCGCGCAGGGGCTGATGATGTGACGCGTACACATCTTGTTCTGGCAGCGCTTGCCTGTTGCGCTGCGGCGCCAAGACCGCGAGATCTGCCGCAGCATCCGGCGGGCTCGAGCGAGGCGCCGCAGCGGCACGTGCACTGCGCTGAGATCAATGTGGTCGCTGCGCGAACTCACGTGCGCGGCACGCGTGCACCGTACGGTGCGTGCGCAGGACATCACCCGCAACGCGGGCGCCCCGAACGCGGCGCAGGCGGCCGAACGTGGGCGTTCGCGCGGCGCAGAGGCGGGCGTTCGGCCTGGAGTGGGCTGTTGGCGGTGTGTCGGGCTGGGCGGGGGGGTGTGTGCTAGCGATGTGGGGGAAGAGGAGGGGCGGCGGAGGGGCGCCGCGGAATGACTGTGAAGTGAGAAGATCGGGAGTGTGTAAGCCGCTCTGGAAACGTCGCCACGGGCGCTGTGGCTCGGCAACTGACTCCAAACAGAGAGCTGCTGCTTCCAGCCACCGCGCTCGAGGTGGCGAGGATGACCCACGCGGCTCAGGCTGGTGGCTTCTACATCGAGCTCCTCGACGAGCAAGGAGGAGGCTATCTAGAGACGGTGACGAGCGAGGGGAAGGTGTACGCGGTCGGCAGGCCCGGCCAGAGTTTCACGGTCGAATGTGGGCTTGCGGACGGCAGTTCTGGCGGTCCATGGGTGGTCCAAGTCAGTGTTTCGGGGAGGGATGCCCTCGTCTCAGCGGTAAGCGGTTAACACCGTCGAAAGTTGCGCGCGGGCGACCGCTGCAGTCCGCGCCGTTGATGAGACGTTCTCTCCACCCACCCCCCGCTGCATGCAGGTGCTGCGCGCACCCGGTAGTACTTGGGTTTGTGAGGGCTTCCTGTCGAACTGGACAGGGGCTGAAGGCGCTGGGGGCCGGCAATTCACGTACAAGAGCTTTGAGCTCTCGTCACCGGCCGAGGGTCAGGAGGCGAGGAGCGACGACGCCGAGGGGGGTGCGAGCGATCTCGCGGGGCTCGTGGAGGTCCGCTTTTACGAAGCAGAGACGTTCCCGTGCCCCCGTTTGCGCGGGAAGTATTGCCCAGACTGTGCCAGCACCGGGTGCGCCGAGACGAAGGCCGCTGCCGTGCGGAGGGCCAACGGCGGCGAGGAGAAGAAGTTCTTCCAGAAGCCCTCCCTGGGCGTCAAGGGGGGGGTCAGCAAAAAGGTCCAAGTGCACGGCGCCACCTCACACTTCAGAACCGCCGGCGAGCCGGTGGTGCTGCGGATCCAGTGCGAGACGCGGTCGTGTCTGGAGCTGCGGGGCATCCTCGAACGGCCCCCCGCGCCGCCCAGGTCCACCGGCGGCGGCAACGCTGGTGGCACAAAGGCCAAGGCAGCGCCGGTGATCTACATCCTGGACTGACGCAGGGGCGGACCGGTCGCAGCCGGGACCTGTATGGGTCGCAGATGGACGCGGCCTGGCGGAGCAAGGCGGGCGGTGGCACCGCGAGCGGCTTCCAGGCCGGAGACACACATGCAGTGCTCCCGCACGCAGCAGCGACGAGCGGAGGAACGACCGGCTGTGCGCCGACGGTGCAGGGCGCTCGCGGCGAGGCTGGGTAGGCGTGGCTGGGGTGAGTGCGGGCCTGTGCGCAAGGAGTTGTGAGGCTGCACGGCGGGAACGCCCTCGGTCGCCCTGCGTGGCACGTAGAGACATGTTGGCCCGATGCAGGAGCCGCGTTCCAACTGCTCAAGGCCACCTTGGGATGAGAACAGTTCAGGCGTAACACGCGAAAACCTCGACACGCGCCGATCACCACGCCGGGTGCACGACCGCGGGCCTCCGTATCCCGCCCCCGCACTGCACGTCCACCAGCAGCCCCGCACGATGCAGCCCGCCCCTGCGCCCCGCCGACTGCTCCCGCAGAAGCCCCACCAAACCACGCACTTGCATCACCCCCACCGCCGACCGCGGGAAGTGCAGCACGCCGGACAGCACGGCCCCGACAGCGCCGCGGTCCTCCTGTGCCTGGGCGCCGCCTGCGCTGGGCGCGAAGATCGGCGCACCACGCGCAGGGACGCCTTTGCCAAGCAGCGACACAGAGACATGGACGACGGCGCCCTGGTCCGCGAGAGCGGCGGGGCTAGCGTCGCTGTTGCAGGGCCGGAAGTGCCGGGGACTGTCGGGCCAGGCGTCGGCCGGCAAGCCCGCAGACGCGCACACGAGCCGCGTAGCAGCCCGACCTGACGTCAGCGCTGGCGACGCTGGAAGTGGGAGGTCGATCGGGGCCTGTGTGCTGCGCTCCCCGTCGCCAGACGCAGGGCCGTGGTAGAAGGGTGCGAAGTCGTCAGGGACGTGCGGCGCTCCGAGCATCGTGTGGCACCAGGCGTGCTCTTTCGTGCCAATCACCCTCGCGCCTCTTCGCAGCGCCTCGAACACCGTCGGCGCCCACTGCACGGGCACCAGCACGTCCACCGTGGGCGGCCCAGCCGCGCCAAGCGATCCCGCGAGGAGCACAGCCGGGCACGTCGACGGGCGCAGGTCATCACTCCCCCCCACCGCAGGGGGGTCTAGCCACAGATGCCGTCGCTTCGCCGCGCGCCGGAACTCGCACGCCGCCGCAACAGAGCACGGCGGCACAGCGTCCTCGCTCGAGCCCAGCGCGTAGTCCAGCAGAACGCGCGCCTGCTGCGCCGACGGCCCGTCCCGGACACACGACGCCATGCGCGATGTCGCCTGCGCGAGCTTCCGCCGGGCCCCCGCGGTCATCGCGCCCTGCGGCGCCGCCTCCGTGGTCGGCGGGGCGACCGCCGCAGCTGCACGGCTGTCCATGAGCCGGCAGCCAATGGCGGCGCCGCCCGGGAGACGGAACGGCGCAGCTCCATCCTCCGTCCGGCGCGACGCAGCCTGCTTCAAGCGCCGCAGGTCCGCAACTGCGTCAGTGACGAGGCCCAGAGCTGCAGCTACAGCCGTGCGTCCAGCGAGGCGCAGGCGACCGAGTCTGTGCCCGGCATCGTGCATCGTCCCTCCGCAGTGCCCCGCTGCACGCAACGCCGCGCGCACGGCATCCCGCACCGCGGCGGCACAGCACGGGTGCGCGAGGAGGACCGCAGCGTGTGCGGCCGCGTCCGCGCCGTGATCCGGTCCCGCCCGCACCACGAACACCTCGGCGTGCCCAGCGAGGGTTCGAGCACGTGACGCAGGTGTGCTCGTGTCGCACGGGCTGCGGAACGGCAAGCGGGCCACCGCGCCGTCCCACAGGGTGCTGCCTCGGAGATCTTCGCCCGTTGCGGCGGCGAGGGCGCCGCGCAGGTCGGCGAGCGAGGGGCTCTGGATGATAATGGTGCGGGTGTGTGTGGCGTCGTGGAGCACGTGGCCCACGTCGAGGGAGCGCCGCACAGCCCTGCAGGAGCACCGCCGGGCGAGGTTCTCGTTCGCGGACCGGTCGGACGGAGTCGCGGGGCGGTGATGCGGCGATGGGGGTTGGCGGTGACGCGCCTGGTTCCGTGCTGCTTGCCGACCACGCACTCCGGTAGCACGAAGCCCCACTGGCGGACCATGCGGAAGCGCTTGGCGTGCCACGTGTGCGTCGCCAGGCGCAGCGCGCCCTGGTCGCGCCGGGCATCATCTTGTTGTTCGCCGCTCTGGTCGTTTGCTCGCTCATCCGCCGTACTCTGGCGTTCTCGCGGCACGGGCTCGCCCATGAGACGCGCTATGTAGTCGTCTTGCAGGCGGGCTGGGCGGCGGCGCTCGTAGCGCGGCGCGGGCAGCTCGCGAGCGACCGCTGAGGGCAGCGCCGTGGTGGCCGCAGCTGCGTCGTCGCGCCCTCGGCCGCTGTTGAGGCGGCGAATCTTGCGCTTATGCTCCTCGACCTTCTCGATCTTGATGTTGGGGCGCCGCCTGTGCCGGTACGGGTTGTGGCTCGTCGCCCTGCGCCTCTGGTGCCGTGGCATGACGCCCAGAGGAGCGCCGCCCGCTGCTTCGAGCGCCTGCGCCAGCGCCATGATCTCAGGGGCGCGCGCTGCCGCAAACTGACCCACGTCGACCATTCGCGGCAGCAGCCCGTCCCAGCTGCCGTCGGGCGCCGGGGAAGTCATATGGCCGTCCATGGACGCGAATTGCCGGCTGTTGCGGGGACCGCAACGCCAGCAAAGCACATGGAGCAGTCCACACGACCGTCTCCCTGCCGCTGCCGGGCCCGGGCTCCAATGCGGCCCGAACCGAGCTCTCTGGGGAGGTGCGAAAAGAGACGCCACCGCGGGGCAGTTTGGCCTCCGTTCGTGGCGCTGCTGATACCAGCACCGACGCGGGCGCGCCGCGGACATGCCCGCTTGTCCATCGCTGTTGTGTCGGCAAGAAATCCGTCCTCGGCCGTTTCGCAGCCTCAGGCGTGCTTGCGTGCTGCTCCCTGGAGCGCGTCCGCGGCTTGGGCGGCATCCCTGCGGTCGCTTTTCGTTTCCTCGAGAATCTGTGTGCGGCCAGTTGCGTGATCGTCAGGAGCGCAGTCGTCTCACGGATCAACGAGCGGACCGCAGGCTGGAGTCGGGGCGAGGCTCTGCTCAGAGGGCGAGGCGTGTCGTAGTCTCTGGGAGCCATGATTCGCTTCCTGCTGCTACAGAACCGGCAGGGGAAGACGCGCATAGCGAAGTGGTTCGTGCCACTCAAGGATGAAGAGAAGCGGCGCATAGAGGAGGAGGTCCACAAGGCGGTCACGAGCCGAGACAGCAAGATGGCAAACATCCTCGAGGTGCGCACCCTCAGGCCGGAAATGCGCATGCACAGTGCAGACAACCTTCTGACCTTCGTCTAGGGGCGCTGGAGCCTCGTATTCGTGCGGGTCCGACCACGCTTGACCGCCTTTTGCTCCTGTGCAGTATCAGTCCCACAAGCTCGTCTACAGGCGGTACGCTGGGCTCTTCTTTTCCATCTGCATCGAGTCCGCGGACAACGAGCTCGCCCACCTCGAGGCCATTCACTTGTTCGTCGAGATCCTCGACCACTACTTCGACCAGGTACCGCCCAGACCCCAGGGCGCGACCACGACCACGCGGCCGCGCAAAGCGCCGATGCTCTGCCACCGCGGACCCGAGTCTCTCGCATACAGCGCACTGAGGCGGCCCGTCGGTGCGGCCTGTGCGCAGGTGTGCGAGTTGGACCTGGTGTTCAACTTCCACAAGGTGTTTTTGATCCTCGAGGAGTTCGTGCTGGCCGGGGAGCTCCAGGAGACGTCGAAGAAGGCCATCCTGGAGCGGCTGGAGGAGCTGGACAAGGCCCCGGAGTAGCTCCGCGGCGCCATCGTTGCGCACAGCCTTGCGGCGCATGTGATGCGTCCGACCACCGCGCGCGCGCTGATCCGTGTCGGGCGCTGACGTGCCCGCCTGCCCGCTGCGCAGCGGTGAGGTGGCAACGCTTTGGGCGTCCGCGGTTCGCTGACCTACAGGCACCCTCGCCGTGAGGATGCTTGAGCGACCGAAACGGCGGATCCGCGGACGTGCTCGTCCTGCGAATGTTACTGGCATGGCGAATCAGCGTGAGCAACGCACGCCATGTACCGTCCCGCCGCATATTCGAGAGTGTTGGTTCACACACTTGTTCGAGGCCGTTCGAGGCCACACTTGTTCGAGGTCACACTTCGAGGCCACACGAGGCGTTAGTCTAACCCTAAGGGTTCGCATTCGTCGCGTCTCGGGGGACGGATGAGTGCGGATGAGGGTGAGCGAGTCACGGCAATGTCCCGACGGGTGGGGCAGGGAAGGAGGTTGAAACAGGGGGGGGGGGAAGTTCGAAGCGTTCACGGGGCGCGGAGGAGGTCCGGGCGGCGCTCTATGCGATGCCCGTGTGCGGTTGGAGGTCATCGAAGTCTGCTCATTGTGTCTAGTCTCCTCACGCACCCGCCAGATTCCTGCGACGCAATGTCGCTGCCGGGAGTCCTCTGCCAGGATCCGGCGGTGTACATCGGTGGGTGCTCGCACGGATGTGTGTGAGCAGAGCAAGGCGGGGGGCGCCCTGCTCGTGGATTCGCGTCCTAGCGGGTCACCGTTCCATCAGCGGCCCGAGATGTCTTCAGTCCCCCCTGGGGTCGACTAGGGGAGGGAAAGGGGGGGTAGCGCGGGCCATTGCATACGCGCGAACGTACAGCGTCGCTAGTGTCGCCACGTGTGGGCGGAGGGAGTGACGGCACTGCATGTGGGGGGGGTTGCAGAGATGTAAGGAGCGCAGGTGGCGCTGCTGAGCGATCGCGGTGTCGAGATCGGGTTGAGCGGGGGGGTGGGGGGTGACGCACAATGTGCGCTGGATCAAGGGGCGGCGGGTGGTCATGCAGCGGCACGCCACGTCACCGCGTGGCCGGGAAGACGATGTCGGCCATCAGGCTGTTGCTGGACGTGGCCGACTGCGACAGGAGGCCGCCCGCGAGCGCCTGCATCTCCCGCAGGAATGCGCCCGACGGCAGCGGCAGGTTCTCGCACTCCCCGTTGTGCAGCGCCGAGCGCAGCGGCGGCGCCCACACCCCCTCGTCGCTGCCGAGCACGTGCGTCGCCGACGCGATCGCCGCCGCGGCGCCCGCGTCGTGCGCGAGGTCGTTGACGTCCTTGGACGCCCACGAGAGGAAGTCAGCCGCCGGCGCCCGCTCCCCGACGTCGTCCCCCGTCCCGGTGGTCCGCGACGACGCAGCCGTCGACGCAAACTCGCTGACGCGGAACTCCGGCGCCGCGGGGTTCAGAATGCGCGCCGCCATCCCCGACAGCGGGTGCGAGAGCTCCCAGTGGCCCTCGGGGCCCATGGCGTGCCGGTGCCGCTGCTGGTTCGCGGTGGCAACGGCCGCTTGCTCTGCGGCCTCGTTCGGGGCGCTCGCGTCGACGTACTGCGCCCAGCGCCGCTGGCCGCCGTCCTCAGACACGTCGTCGCGCAGCGCCGGGCGCACGCGCAGGCACGCCAGCGCCTCGCCCGCGGACGCGTCCTCTACCAGCAGCAGGCGCAGGAAGTCCACTCGCGCGTCGGCGGAGAGCGCGTCCCAGGCCCAGTACGGCAGCGAGACGACACCGTAGCCGTAGTGCTCGAGCGTGCGGCGCCGCGCGATCGCCTTCCCGAGCGGGCGCGGGACCTCTTCGCCCTTGAGCACGTTGACGCAAAACATCCTGGCGTTGTCGAGGAGGAGCACCTTCTTCAGGGACCCGTCGGGGCCCACCAGCGCAGCATCGCCGCGGAGGGAGCCGTCCGCGGCGCGCCACCGCGGCTCGAACGCCACGCCGAGCGCGCTGAGCGCCCCGAACACGTCCATGTGGAAGCAGTCCGCGGATTGCAGCGCGGGCTCGCCGGAGGAGATCCAGCCGGCGTGCGCGGCGGAGACCGACGCGTCGGAGAGCTGCTCGAGGCCGCCGTGGTCGTCGTCGCTGCTGTGCGTCAGCAGCGCGGCCTCGTACAGGAGCGCGGCGTCCGAGGCGCCGCAGCGCGGAACGGCGTCGTCGACCGCGCCGACGAACCGCGCCCAGAGCGGCGCATCGAGCGCGCCCATGACGCCGAGGCCCCAGAGGAGCGTGGACAGGCTGTGCGGGCCGCAGCCGGCCGCGGCTTCGCCGGCGCCGCCGCCCGAGAGAAAGGCGCGCAGGGCGCCGACGAGCACGCCCGGGGCCTCGCCGAGCTCGGCGCAGGCCCAGACGAGCGCCGCGAGGTCCGCGGGGCGCAGCTCGTGCAGCCGGCAGCTCACGTCGGAGATCAGCGCGGACAGCGCGCGGGGCCCCGGGTGGTGGCGCAGCGTCGCGAACGCCCAGAGGATGTTCGCGGCGTGCTGCGGGCGGCGCGCGCTCGCGAGGGCCGACGTCTGGTCCGCGCCGAAGCGCGTGCGGCACACCGCGGCGACGGCGTCCAGGATGCGCGCGTCGCGGATGCCCAGCTTGGACAGAGCCCAGACGAGGTTGGACAGCTCCTGGGGCTTGAACCTGCAGCCACGGAGACACGACAGCGAAGCTGTTGGTGCTGGCCGCGGAAGGGCGTGCTGCCCGGGAAGGGGCTGTGCTCCTCCTTCTCGGGCACGCCCCGGAGGCGCCGTCGACAGGCACCGCGGTCTTGAAGACTGATGGTGCAGCCATTCACGCGTGGTGGACGGGAAACACGCGTGAGCGTGATTGGGTGGTGCATGGTTGGCGCTGGAGGCGCACCCGGACATGCAGAACACGCTCTGCTCGGACAGGCCGTCGAGGAACTCGCGCGGCGGGAGGAAGTCCATCGTCGCGCACGCGTAGAGCGAGATGCTGAGATGCTGCGGCGCGAAGTCGGGCAGGACCTCCGCGGCCGCCGCCGTGAAGTCCCGCAGGAAGCCCGCGGGCGGCGCGTGCTGCAGCGCCGACAGCGCCCACAGCATATTCGCGACCGCCTGCGGGCAGAACCGGCTCTGCGGCCGGCTCCACGCCTCGGCCACCACAGCCTCCCACAGCCGCTGCCCCGGGTCCGTCTGCCCCGATGCCGCCCCGCCGGGCCCCGTGCCCAGGTGCGCGACGAGCTCGTCCGCGATCGTCTGGAACGCAGCGTCCATCGTCGTCGGGCCCAGCGTCCGCCGGAGCGTCGCGTTCGCCCACATCAGGTTGGAGATGCCCTGCGCGTCCATGTCGCGTAGCAGCTGCGCGGCCATCGCGTTCAGGCGCGCGGCGTGCGCGGCCGCGCGGGCGCCCATGCTGCGCCCGGACGCGTCCGTCAGCCCCGCGCTCGCGCCGCCCCCCGTCGCGCTGCCGGCCTCGTGCGCGGCCCGCGCCAGGCGGTGCAACGCCGTGGAGACGTTCACGGCGTTCAGGCGGACCCGCGGGAGCGCGCCGTTCTGCGGGAGCATCTCGTCGAGCAGCGCCAGGACCTGCGAGGACGCGCGCGGCGCGCGGCGTGTTCGGCGGCTGCGAAGCGACACGCGGCGCGGGTTGCTGCGCGCACTGCACGCGGGACACGACCGGCGCCGCCGGGGGCGCGCGGTGGGCGCGCGGCACGTTCGGGAGGCACCTGGGCGATGGTCCGCGCGCGCACGATGCGCTTGTTGATGCTTTTCGAGGCGGCGATGTCGGCCTGCCGCGCCTGCGCTGCCAGCGGGTCGCGGCTACGTTCCAGGGCGCGCGACAGCGACGCGCCGGAGCCGGCCGCGGCGACGGGGTGCTTCCGGCGACCCTGCGCCTCCGCGTCCGGAGTCCCTGACCACGGGCGCAGCCTGCGGGGCAGGAGGGGCCGCGCCGAACGCTTTGTAGGAAGCAAGTCATGTGTGGTAGGAAGCAAGTCATGTGTGTGCTTGATATGCGTCTGGGTGGCGTAGGTCGTGCGCCGGGAGGAGGGCGTGACCGGGGCGTCGAGGGACGCGCGGGGGCAGGCAACGCATGGAAGAGTCATGCGGTGCGCGCGCCGCGGCCGGGGTCGGCCCAGCGACGTGGCGAGGACGGCTGGTCGAGGAGCGGCAGGCAAGCAGTTGCAGGCGGTTGCAACGACTCGCGTTGCAGGCGGGGCGCGGCGGCTGGCGGTCTCCGTTTCAGGCCTGGCGTTGCGCGGGGAGTGCGGGCGGGCGCGGGCGGCCGCGCACGGGCGGTCTGCGCGGCGCTGCGGGTCGGTGTGCGACGGCGGTTTGGCCCACTCACCCTTTCGTGATCTGTCCGGTGGTGTGGGGCGGTTGTCGGGACCACCAGAGGCTGGTCTGGAGGAGGGGGAGATCGTGCGCGGTGCGCGCCGTCGACCCGGTCGCTGTGTCGACGACGGTGAGGGCGCTGCCTAGCTGTTGCGTCCAGGCGTTCACCAGCGGCTTGGCCTTGGGGCCGAGCCGGCGGGCCGCCGACATGCTTGCGGGGATGCTGGTTAGGGAGTGTGCGTCGAGGCGGGGAGGGTGTCGGAGGAAATGCCGGCGAGGCGAGCGTGGTGGTGGGCTGCGAGCGGAGAGTCAGAAAATCGGGTCGCGCGGAGCCCCTAGGCGCGGAATCGGCCCGTGGGCCGGACGTGCGTGGATTCCCTTGGACTGGGTCTACGGAATCGCGCGAGGTGAGGACCAAAACATCCCGGCGGGCGGGATCCCAGGACTGCTGCTGCTTGCCAGTGGCAACAGCGCGGGCACGGCGCGGCGCGGACGCTCGTCAAGGGCGTGTTCAGGATTCCTCGATTCGAGAATGCCGTTTCGTTTAAATCTGCGAGCAATGTGCCGCACGGCAACCTCGCGCGGCAACTTGACGCCCCTGGCGCGTGAGCGGTGATACGTGTCTCCTCTCGTTATACACGCGCTCGCCGCAGCGCCCGCATCGCATGTTCCCGCCCGCGCGACCCGCCCGCCGCCCCTCCCACCCCCACGCCATCCTCCTCCCGCCGCCACCTGCCCACCGGCCGTCGGACGCCCCGGCGCCCGTCCCCATAGCACTCCGCGCCGCGCCATGTGCGCACCATGGCCGGCGCCGTTTCAGGTTGCGCGTTCGGGGCGACGCCGGCGCGCGCGCGATCGCGCGGCCCCGCAGCCTCGCGCGCGCGGGGCTCCGCGGCCCCGGCACGGCGCCAATACGGAAGACGACGAGCGCGGGTGCGTGCGTGCTGGGCCGCGTGAGGCCCGGGAGGGCGGCGGCGGGCGCAGGGCGCAGGCGGCACACGGCCGTCGGTGGCGGTCGGGCCGGGGGCTGGGCGCGTGCGCCGCGGTGGGCGGGCCCGCGCCGCGGGTCAAACTGCCAACAACAGTACTCCCGCCCCTGCGGTTGGGGCGCCGCCCGGGCGCGAGGGGGCGCTTGGGGCGCCGCGGGCGCGCGGGACGGGCAGACGGTCGGACAGGCGGACTCTCGTTCGGTTGATACGCGCGCATTGTGCGTGTTCGGCGCGCTGGGCGGCCTGGAGGTGCTCCCCCTGGTCCGGGGCGTAGGCCTGCGGCCGTGGTCCCGCGGGGCGTGGTTTTGCGCCGGGGCGCGCGGTGAGATCTCGGGGCGCTGCTGGCCCGCGGTTCCGGGCGGAAGGGCGCGTTCGCGAGCGGTGCGGTAGGGGTGGTCCGGGTGGTGTGAATTCGGGGCCCGGGCGGCGGTATACGGGGGACAAGGGCGATGCTGGCGGGCGTGTCGGGTCAGAGAAAAGGCGTGGGGCGTGCCGGACTGCACTTGCTACAGCTGTGCGCGGCTCTAGCCATAGGCGCGGGTCTCCTCGGGCTTCTCGGCGTCCACGAGGTGCAGGTCGGAGGAATGAAGGTCTCGATACCGACCTCCTCGGTCAAATGGATTGCAGGGCGCGCGCGGCCGAGCGCGCGGCCCGCCTCGGCGGCTCCTCCGCACGCTGCGCGACTCGGAGGTTGCAGGTTGGCGCCCCCCGCTGCGTTTCCGCGCTCGAGACACAAAAAGCGACGAACGGTGCCGGCTCCGCCACCCCTCATTCCGCATTACGCGCCGCGTCGCGCACGAACCCCAATTACGCCTGTGCCGCGCGGAGCCGAGATACCCTGGGCTCGACCATCGCTGCCGTCGCCCGCTCGCCGGCTCCGCGCACCCGCGCCGTCCGCACCGCCGCGAGCCGCTCGCGCCGCAGCGGTCGCATCGCCACGCGGCAGCGCGGCCCCTCCCCGCGTCGCGGCCCGCGGTCTCCGCTCTCCAACTGCAAGTCCTCTCTGCCCTCTCACTTCCTCCGCGTGCCGCGGCGCCGCACCGTGCCTCGCAGCGAGGAGATGTGCTCGCTCGACGGGCCCGAGCCTGGACTCATGGTGGAGAGCGTGTTTGGAGGGAGCCGCCTCGGGGCGGTGCCGCACGCGCGTAGCCCGGTCGCTGCGGGTGCAGCGCCCGCGCGGACCGCGACTGGAGTCGCCGCGGACGACAGGTGAGCGCCCGCGTCACACCAACTCCAAGGACATCGCGCGATCGCGCCGCGCGTGCCCGCGTCTCCGCCGGGCGCGCCGGAATCCCGTGAGGTCCACACACACGAGCTAGGTGCTGCGTCCGGCGCGCTCGCGCGCCGCGCGCGTCCCGGCGCGGCCCGTCCGGCCGGAGCAGCGGTTCCTGACGCCGCCCCGCCGCCCGGCCGCGCCGTTCGCAGGTGGTGGGACAAGGACAAGGAGCTGTGGACGGACGTGCACACGGCGGACGACTACTGGCGCGAGATCAACAACTCGGACAAGGACCTGGTGATCGTGGACTGGTACGCGACGTGGTGCCAGTCCTGCCGCATGCTCTACCCGCGGCTGTGCTCGTTCGCGCGCGACAAGGACCTGCGCAAGCGCTTCAAGTTCATCAAGGCCAACGTCGACGAGCTGAAGCCGCTCGCCAAGGAGCAGGAGGTCCTCGCGATGCCCTTCCTCATCGTGTATCGCAAGGGCGACCGCGAGCCGCTCGTCGGGTGGCACCTCCCGCCCTCGAAGATGAAGCACCTCCGCAAGAATGTGGAGCTCATCGCGGAGAAGCCGGAGTCGGCCTTCGCGGTCGACCCGAACGGGTTCGTGATCAGCACGGGCCCGCGGCTGTCGGCGCCGGACCGCCAGCGCGTCAAGGACGAGAAGAAGAAGGAGGTCGAGGACATGGCGCGCAACCGGGGGGGGCTGTTCGACCACCTCATGAAGATCGGGGCCGTGGGCGAGCGCAAGGAGCGGCGGGACAAGGCCGTCGCGGACGCGGGCGCGCGCCGGGAGGCGGCCGCGGAGCCCGCGGCCGTCGCGCCCGCGCCCGCGCCGGCGGGGCCGTCCAAGGCCAAGAGGGACTTCCTGGAAAAGTGCGCGCCCCGCCAGGGATCCGCGACTGACTGTTCCGTGTGTGCCGCGCGCCCGCGGGGCGTCCGCGGCGAACGCACACGCTCGTCGCGCAGTGCGTCCCAACGCTGGCGTGTTCCGCCGCGCCGCGCGCAGGTACGGGCACATGTACGGGTACGGCGGGCAGATCGACGCCCTGTACGAGTCGGAGGTGGGCGCGCGGCTGAACGGCGGGCACTACCTGGACTACACGGGGTCGTCGGTGTACACCTCGTCGCAGCTCGACTCGGTGTTCCACGAGCTCAAGGCGTCGGTGTTCGGGAACCCGCACTCCGCGAACCCCTCCTCGGCGCTGTCGTCGCGCCTGATCGAGGAGGCGCGCGACCGCGTGCTGAAGCACTTCAACGCCAGCCCGGTGGACTACCACGTGGTGTTCACGAAGAGCGCGACGGGCGCGCTGAAGACGGTCGGCGAGGCGTTCCCCTGGACGGACAAGAGCGAGTACGTCTACCTGCGCGAGAACCACAACAGCGTCCTCGGGGTGCGCGAGTTCGCGCTCCAGAAGCAAGGGACCTTCCGCGCCCTGACGTACGACGAGGTCGAGGAGTGGCTGTGCGACACCGCCGCGACGCAGCCCTTCGACGGCTCCCCCACGCGCGAGCCGACGTACAACCTCTTCGCGTTCCCCGCCGAGGACAACTTCGCGGGCATCAAGTACCCCCTCCGCTGGATCGAGGCCGTGCGCGCGAAGAGCACCGCGGGCAACCGCTGGAAGGTCATGCTCGACGCCGCGGCGTTCGCGCCGACCAACCCGCTCGACCTCAGCGCGGCGCCCGCGGACTTCGTGTCGGTGTCGTTCTACAAGATGTTTGGCTACCCGACGGGGCTGGGCGCGCTGCTGATCCGCGCGGAGAACGTCGACCTGCTCCAGGAGGTGTACTGGGCGGGCGGGACGGTCGCGGTGGCCACGGCGGGCGGCAACTTCCACTCCCTGCGGTGCAACCCGAGCGAGCGGTTTGAGGAGGGCACGGTGGCGTTCCTGGACATCGTGTCGCTCCGGCACGGGTTCGACGCGATGGAGAAGCTCGGGGGCATCAACCGGATCCAGGGCCACGTGACGTGCCTCGCGGAGTGGCTGCACGGCGCGATGCGGGGCCTGAAGCACCGCAACGGAGCGCCGCTGGTGCGCATGTTCGGCCGGCACGGCGACGCGGACGCGCGCGACACGCAGGGCGCGGTGCTGAACTTCGTCGTCCTCGGGAACGACGGCATGGCGGTGCCGTACAAGCGCGTGGAGGACCTCGCGGCGCAGCAGGGCTTCCACGTGCGCACCGGGTGCGAGTGCAACCCGGGCGCGTGCTACGCGTGCCTGGGGCTGTCGGACGACGAGGTGGAGCAGCTGGCGGGCGAGAAGGAGGGCTGCAACGACGACTACGAGTTCGTGCGCGTGCAGCGGCCGCGGAGGGACGTCTTGCAGGGCAAGGTGATCCAGGGGCGCCCGCGGTCGCCGGAGCTGGTGATCCAGGCCGCGCCGACGCAGACGAACGGCGAGGGCGGGATGCAGTGGGTGGACGTGCCGCTCGGGACCGTGCGCGTGAGCCTGGGCTGGTGGTCGACGTTCGAGGACTGCGAGGCGTTTGTCGGGTTTTTGAAGACGACGTTCCTCGACTGAGGCGGCGCCCGCTCGCGAGGACGAGCGCGGCGTGGAGTAGCGCGTCCGTGCCTGGCGGGACGGCCGGCAGCGGCGCGAGCTCGTGCTCTCTGTACAATTTTCCCTCCGCGACTATGCACCGGTGTTTGTAATTCGCTCACTTGAGACCGGTGTGAGACAACCGCATGAGTGCGTAGGTTGTCACAGACCGCGTCCTCTGGTGCCGCCGCTTCGTCCCAGGTCGCAGCTGGGCGGGGTGTTCTTTGATGCCCCCCATGGCGGGCTCCACCACGAACACGGGCGTCGTGACGTGCCTGACGTAGCACGGTCAAATTGAACGACATCGTGCGCCGACGCGAAGCCTCACCGCGCCGCGCCAAGCCTCAGGCCTGCTTTGCGACCCCCCGCGCCGATAATACCAGTAGGGTCATGTTCTTATTTTTGTCACTGTTCATCCCGCGGCGTGTCCCTCAGGTTGTCTGCTTCCGCCCGAATGCCCTCGGGGTCCTCCGCGCCGTGCGCCGTCTCGAGATGATCCTGGTCGGCGCCACCTGCAGCCCGAAAGCGCGCCTCTTGGTCAATCGATCACGGCAAGCAAACAGCCAAGTGCACGCCTTGGTTGCGCACTGCCGGCATCACGGCCGCCGCCCTCGCGCATCGTGCTCACCTACGATGCTCTTGGACATCCGCGAGGGCGACCTCTCGTTCCCATCGTCCTCCCGCACCGCCAGCGACTCCGGCAACAGGTGCGTCAGGTCCAGTTGAGACGTCTTCTGCTCCGTCTTCGAACCCGCCAACCCGCCGCTGTCCGGCTGCGACCCCGCCTTGCTCTCCCTCCCCAGCGACGTCAGCGACGCCGCGCTCTGCCCCGCGCTGCGGAGCTGCTGAGTCAGCGGCGACGGTCCCGCCACCTGCGTGCCCAGCCCCGTTCCGACCGGCGGGCGCGGCGACGACGCGAACCCGTGCGTCGGACCCCTCGGCGGCAGCGGCGCGCCGCTCGCGTGCGCCCGCGCGGGGCTCACCAGCACGTTGCTCTCCGCCCCGCCCGTGGGTCCAGTCACCATCGGCGGCTGACTCGGCATCGCCTGCGCGGGCGGAGACCCCCCGTAGATCGCCTGGCTCTCGCTCGTCAACGCCCCCACGCGGTCAGCCGACCCCGAAATCGGAATCCCGCCGGCCTGCTCCGCGCCGGCCGCGCCGCCGGCGACCGCATCGAGCGCGCTCAGCACCGGACAGCTGGCGGCCATCGCCGGCGGCGGCATGCCGGCGGACTGCGGCACCGCGGGCCCGGAGGCCCCGGCCGACACCTGGGACCCCTCGATCCCCGTCATCTGGCTCATGCGCGAGTTGCGCGGCGGCAGCTGTGCGCCCTGCACTTCGTAGCTCTCCTCCCTCCCCGCAGCGGCGAGCTCGTGCTGCGACGCGACCTCCGAGGCCCCCGCCTGCGCCCCGCCCGCGGACCCGAGGGAGAGCGACTGCCCGCGGTTGCGCGAGTTCGACCGCGAGCCCGCGGGCCAGCGCTGCTCCGCGGAGACACCCCCCTCCTGGTAGAACGAGTTGCCGGCGCTGTTGTGCGACGGAGAGCGCGCGGTGCCGGCGACGACGGTCGGCACGAGCTGCGGCTCGCCGTCCGCGCCGTCGTCGCCCGTGAACGACCGCCCGAGCGTCCCGAGCGCCTGTGTCAACTTGTTGATGGCTTGCACGGGCGCCGAGGGCTCCAGGTCCGCGCGGCCGGACTCGGCGCCCGGCGCGACGCTCGTGTAGTGCAGCGGCGTGTGCACGGGCTCCGGCGTCGCGGACGTCACGTCGATCGGGAAGCGCTCCTCGTGCATCGTTCCGTCTGGTTTCGGGGTCAGTTCAATGAGCGTGTGCAGCGGGACGGGGATCGAGGGGATCTCGGACTGCGGCAGCCCCATCATGTAGCCGTAGAGGCAGCGGATGACGGCCTGGTGCGCGACGATGCACACGCACTCGCGCTCACGCTCGACCTCGATGATGACGGGCTCCACGCGCTGGACGACGTCCAGGTAGGACTCGCCCGAGGGGTACCGGTAGCGCAGCTTGTCGCCCTTGCGCGCGGCGAACTCCTCGGGCATCTTGTCGGAGATCTCCTCGTACGTCATCCCGTCGCACGTGCCCGCCTGGATCTCGTCCAGCACCTTCCAGCGCAGCTTGGGGAACGGGAGGTGCTCCGCGGTGGCGATGGTGCGGCGCAGCGTGGACGTCCACACGGACACGGGCAGCGGCGTGCCGTCGAGGTCGTACGGGAGGCGGTCGAGGAGCGCGTCGACGAGCCGCTTGGCGTACGTTTTGCCAAAGTCGGTCAAATTCGAATTGCCGCCGATGCGGCCCATGGCGTTGTACTCCGACTCGCCGTGGCGCGAGAGCCAGATCTTGCGGGGCTTCGCGAGGCCGGACTTGCAGATCTGCATCAAAAAGAAGACGATCTTCCCCGGGATGTAGCCGCTGATGCGGTTGATGACGATCTGCCCGCGCCCCGTGACCATGTCGACGAGCTTGATGTAGTGGATGCGGTCGTCCGTGATGGGCTCGTACACCTCCTCGTACCTGCGCGGCGCCGGGGCGGAAGCTGCCGGTTCGTCGCGGCAGCGCGCATTTCAGTGATCGGTGCGGCGCAGGTCGGCCGAGGGGGTCTCACTTGCGGATGCGTTCGCGGAAGTCGTTCAGGGCCTCCTCGGTGGACACGCGCGCGTAGTCCGGCGAGTACATCATCTTGTAGCGGTAGTTCTGTTCCAGCACGTCCTGGTCGTTGCAGATGGACTCGACAAAGAGATACGAGTATCTGCCGTGGAAGTGGGAGATCAAGTACCGCCGGCGCTCCTCCGTCGTGTTCGTCGCGTCGAAGATCGCCACCTGCGCCTCGTCCGTCTCGAGCCACTGCAGCATGTCCCGCAGCGCCGCGTCCAGCGCCCGCTTCCGCATCTCCATCCCCGCGTGGTTGCGCGAATCGAAAAACGCCGCCGTCTGCACCTCCCCGGCCTCGCGCGCCAGCCGCCGGTACTTGCCCACGTTGAAGTGCTCCGTCACGTGGCCCAGCCAGTTCAGGTAGTACCGCAGCTTGTTGCACAAAAACGTCTTCCCGCGGCCCGGCAGCCCCACCTGCAAAGAACACACCCACACACACCTCGCGGGCGTTTCGGCGCCAACGCGACGCACGCGCACCGGCGCGCGAGCGGCGCGGGGACCCTTCTGGCGAGAAGGGGGTGTTTTGAAGGGCGTCGTCAAGGCCCACGCACCATGATGATGATCTGCTTGTGTTTGCGCACGAGCGGCCGCTTCGGGCGCGCGCTCGGCGAGGCCTCCTCGTACAGCCCCCCCGCGCCGCCGTACCGCTCCTCCTCGCTCTCCGTGTCGTCGAGGTCCAGCATCATGTCCTTGAAGTGCACCACGCCGCTGCAGCAGCGGCGACGTACGCAGGAGCGTGAACAAGCGCCGAAACGAGGCGGGCGTGCGTGCGGGGCCGTGCACCGCGGGCGCGGAGGTACCGCCGCGCCGGTGCGCTGCGACGGTGGCGCGGGGGCGCGCGAGCGCGCCGCACGGCGCAGTGAGGCCGCGGGTGCCCTACCTGCCCTGGAGAGCGCCGGGGGGCAGAGGCGGCGCCTCCGGTTCGCGGATCGCCTCCATGTTAGGCTTGACGCTCTTCCGCCCGATGCCTGGCGGGCCCTGGCCCTGCGAGAGCAGCGCGGAGGGGCGGGGACGCGTGGCGCTTGACCCGTGGCAAACCACACTCGCGGAGGACGTGAGCGCGGGTGTCGAGAAGACGTCAACTGTCGCCATTTGTTGCTCTGTGCACTCAGCGTGGGGCGGCGTGCACGCTTGCACATTTCCGCATCGGAGCCGTCTGTCCCGGGCCGCTCACGTCGATTGAGGCGCCTCTGCGAAGCCTCCTGCGCGCGTCCTCGCCCTTCGTGCCCTTCCCCATCACGCCGCGCCATATCTCCCACATTCTTCCCGGTCACGGGGTTGCTGGAGTCGGGGGGCCGCGAACGCGCGCCAGGTCCCGGGCCGCTGCAATCAGCGACGTGACGTGCAGCCAGAGCTCGTGCCGCGGCAGGCGCTGCGTCGAGGCCGGGCGCGATGATGAACCTGCGCGTATGGTTACAGAGGCGAATGAGCGCTCTGGGCGACGCAGGAGGAGGCGTGGAATCGATTATCGACGCGCGCAGGAGCCTTGCTCCGTCCCTGCAGGTCCTGGGCGGGGGAGGCGGGGCATGCGGCTTGCGCGGCAGCAAGAAGGTAACAACTCGTTCGGTGGCGATGCCGTCGATCTGTGCCTCCGTCCAAGGGCGGTCGTCGGTGCGCGGGCGCACGCAGCGGCACAAACCGCGGAGGAGTGCCGCAGGCAAAATGGGGGCGGGCAGGAGCGCCGACGACGGTGATATGGGTTCGCGCGCACTGGACGGGACCGCTGCGGGCGGCGCAGGTCGCGATCGTGCCGAGGCGCAGAGGTTCAGCGGCGCGGGGCAGCGCGGGTCCGTGCAGGGCACCGACAGTATTTGACGCACCGTACTGCTGTCGCGCAGGCCCGACGACTCGTCTCTCTCGATCGACCTCGATTAGAATGTACGTCTGCGTGGCCGGTGCGGCGAGGCGATGCGGCGCGTGCCGGCCACGCTTCTCGAAGTCGTCGGGCACGAGCTCGACATCCCCCGCCGCGGTCGACAGCGCGTCAGTGCGCCCGCAGCGCGCGCCCCCGCGTCATTCAGCGCACGAGCAGAGCTCCAGGCGAAAGGGAAGGCCCCGTCCACGTCGAATTACTGCGTGAACGCGACAGTTGCTGGCCCTGGTCCTTCCGGCAGCATGCCTCTCCCGCGGGTCAGCCTGCGCCCGGCGCCCAGCGCCGCCCTCCAGCGCCCCCGCGTCGGCGCCGCCAGCCGCGCGCGGCGAACGGTCTGCCCCCGCGCAGGTGCGCAGGTCTCCCCGCCACAAACGACCTGCGCCCGCGCCGTGGCCGCGCCGCGCGCCGACGGCCCGCTGGTCATCTCGACAGGCGGCGAGGCCCGCTCTCCGCCGCCCCTCACGCGCGCACACGCCGTTGCTCGCGGGACAGCTCCGCGCGGCGCCCTGTCCGTTGGGAGAACCACTTACGAGCCCCCAACACCCCGTTTCACGGCCCTTCCCCACGCTCCGTCGACGCGTTCGCCCCCGCAGCACACCGCGCTCGCTGCTCGCTGGCCCGCGAGCGCTCGTCGGGCCGCGGCCGCGCCCTCTCGCGGCCCGCTGCCCTCGAACCCTGACGCGTGTGTGTTGTCGCGTGTCCGACGTGCAGAGGCCGCGGCGCCGGCAGCGGGCAGCAGCGTGTCGGCGGAGAACCCGATCACCCTGACGCCGACGGCCATCAAGCACCTCACGCGCCTCCGTGACGACAACGGCGGGGACTCGCTGTGCCTCCGGATGGGCGTCAAGAGCGGGGGCTGCTCGGGGCTCAGCTACGCCATGTACGCCGCGCCCGCCTCGCCTGCGATGCCGACGACGCAGCACGGCGCGCCGCGGCGTGCCGGGAGCGGTGCAGCCGCGGCACGGCGCCGGCGCGTGTGGCGTGCGCCGTGCACGGCCAGGGCTCACGAGCGCCCCGGCGACGCGTTTCCCGCCGCGCAGGGACTTTGAGGACGAGGCGAACATCAAGGAGGACGACCACGTGATGGAGCAGGGGGGTATTAAGCTCGTGACGGACCCGAAGTCGCTGTTGTACCTGTTTGGCATGAGCCTCGACTACTCCACGGACCTCATCGGGGGGGGGTTCCAGTTCCACAACCCCAACGCCGAGAGCTCGTGCGGGTGCGGGAAGAGCTTCGGCGTGTAGGTCTTCCCAGGCCAGCGCGCGCCCGTCGACTCTGCATTACCACACTGCTCGCGCGGCGGTGCGTCCTCTTGAACGACGCCGCCCGCGTTCCGCACGCTTGAGCATCGTAGCGCAAGTGCTGCGCTGTGTGACGACTTCGCTCCCTCTGCGGCGCGCCGCAAAGCTCGTGGCCCGCGGCCCGCTGCCAACACGTCATCAGTCTGGCCAAGGTGGAGGGTTCGCGGTTGCCCGGTGTCAGATGCCGCACCGCGGCCGCGCGCCGCGGGCGCCACGTGCGGGCTGACCAGGCTGGTGCGTTGACTGTCGTCCACTGTGCGACTGTCCTGCTTCGGAACAGGACACAGAAACTGAGAGAGAGAGCCGCCTGGAGGTTGCAGCGGAGCCTCTGCGGGACACGGAGACGCCGATGGATTACACGGCCTCCCTGGTCGCAGGGAGGATCGGGGAGCGTTGTCCCGCACTCTTCGCAGGCAGGACCACCAACAGCGAACGTAGCCTTGGGTGGTAAAGGGGAATGAAAGGGGGGGGTTCTTGGTGGGGGAACGGCGCGCTGCGTCTGCCCAGTGTGTACGGAGCGGGCGAGACTTGAGAAGGCGCCATGCGTGCTGCTCAGACGCCAGCATGCAGGCGTGCGAGGGATGTGTTGGTGAAAGAGAAATCCTGGTTGTTGTGGCGCTGTGTTGTATATGTACATCGACGCGGTGTGGGGGGCGGGGCGGGGGAGGATCCGCGCGCAGGCGGCGGTGGTTGCACGCAGCAACTCGGGTGCCAGCGGCGGGGGTGTTCCGCAGGGTCGATGCACGCAGCGCGTGGAGTGGACAAGCAACGAAGGGCAAGCAGCGGCGTCGCGGGCGACGCTTCGCGGCGGCGTGGCTCCGCAGGTTTTCGGGCGCGGAGCGAGCCCGCCGCCCCATCAGCACGGCGCCTGCCCGCGCATCAGCCGCACTCCTGGCCCTCCCACGTCCCGGCCTTGGGGTCCGCGGCGAGCGGCGTCACGAGGATCTTCTCGCCGATCCGCGCGCCCGCGCGTTGGATCGGCACCACCGTCTCCTGCCCCAAGTCGGTCAGCAGCACCAGCGCGCGCCCCGCGGTCTCGTCGACCCACCCGACGATCATGCCGCGCAGCGGCATCTCCAGCCGCCGCGACATGTACTCCGCGACCCACTGCGCCGTCACCTCGCTGCTCACGCCCGCGCGGAACTTCGCCTCGCGCCCCACCTCGTCCACGATGCGCTCCAGCTCCTCCGCGGTGAAGCGCACAGCCCCCGCGGCGGCCGCGCCGCCGCCGGCGCGCAGCGCCGCCTTCAGCTGGAAGTGCGCGAGCATGTCCGGGTACCGCCGGATCGGGCTCGTGCACTGGACGTACCCGGGCAGGCCTAGCGCGCCGTGCCGCATGACGGCCGATGTCGACATGAGGCTTCGCGTGAAGAAGCGCCGCTGGTAGACCGACCGGCACACGCCCTCGGGGAGGTCGCGGAGCTCCTCGGCGGACGGCAGGACGGGGTCGAGGTGCCCGCGGTACGGCAGCGGGAGCCCGAGCCGCGCGCCGGCCATCGCCGTGACCTCCCCGGCGAGGACCATCATCTCCATGACGAGGCGGCGCGACGGGGACGTGTCCGCGGACCACGCCTGGATGGTGACCTCCGGGTCCGGCCGCCACGCGTCGACGACGCGCACCTCCGACTCGGGCGAGAACACGTCGACGGCGCCCTGCGACTTCCGCCACGCCCGGCGCAGGTCCGCGAGCCGCATCAGCGTCCGCAGCTCCTCCGCGACGGCCTTCGCGCCCTCGGGCACCTCCCCGCCCTCGCCGTCCGCCAGCAGCGCGTCCACGTCGTCGTACGTCAACCGCTGGTCCACATGCACCGTGCTCGGCACCACCTCGAACTTCGCGAGCGAGCCGTCCGGCGCGAGCGTCGCCGCGAGCGAGAGCGCACACGAGTCCACGCCGGCGCGCAGCGAGAACGGGCCCGCCGCCAAGCACAGCGGAAACATCGGAATGATCCCCGTCGGGAGATACATCGTGGTGGAGCGCCGGCGGGCCTCGAGGTCGAGCGGGGAGCCCTCCTCGATGTACCGCGTCGGGTCCGCGACGTGCACCCACACGCGCGCGCCGCCGTCCGGCAGCAGCTCGCACGACAGCCCGTCGTCGATCTCCGACGTGCTGATCGAGTCGATGGTCACCGCGGGCAGCGCGCGGAGGTCGCGGCGCTGCGCGGCGTCCGGGTCCGGCGGCGGGTTGTGCGCGAGCTCGGCCGCGGCGGCCTCGAGCTCCGCGGGGAAGTCCCGCGTGATGCCCGCGCGCAGCACGGGGAGCTCCTCGTTGCGGCGGAACACGCCGACGCCCTCGAGGAGGCAGGCCGCGGCGTTCGGCGTGGGCTCGAAGCCGAGCGCGTGCAGCGCGGCGACGGCGAGCTGCGCCGCGGAGCCGTCCGCGGGCGTCGCTTTCTCGAGGGCGAGGTCGACGAGCGCGGCCACGACGTCCGCGTGCGGGCCGTGGTGCCAGTCGCTGGCCGTGGGCTTGGAGCCCCACGGTTGGAAGGCGGCGGCCTGGGCGGTCTGCACGAAGGCCTTGAGCTTCTCGGCGCGCGCGGCCTGGGCCTGTGCGCGGCGGCGCTGCGCGGCGACCTGCGTGGGGGTCCGCGGGCGGTACTGGCCGCCCGGGCGGCGGCGCGACGCGCGGGAGAAGAAGATGCGGTCCGCGGCGAGCATCCTGTGCGCGGCGTACACCGCGGACGCGTCGTCCGACTGGAAGAGCACGCGCGCAACGTCTTCGGCGCCCACGCTGGGCGACCCCTGGGCCGAGAGCGTCTCCCAGGCGGCCGCGAGCGCGTCGGGGTCCTGCTGGGACGCTTCGTCCCAGACCTTGACGGCGTCCTCGGGGCGGTAGCGGTCCCCGGGGAGCACGAGCGTTATGTCGCGCGCGGAGAGCAACAGCGGAGAACCGTCGGCGGCCACGGCCTCCCAGCGGTGCTGCGGGTCCTCGCGCGTGAGCACCGCGAGCCCGAAGATGTGCTGGTCGCCCGCGCCGGACCACTCGACGAGGCGCCCGCGGCGGAGCGGCGCTGAGCTCGTAGATGCTTCCCTGCCTGAACCTCGCGCGGACGTCTGCGGGGCGCGGGGTGCGGGGGCGGGGGGGGTCTCGAGAGGGAGCTCGGGATGTGGGGGTGCCGGGAAGGGCGGTTTGCGCGCGCGTGGGGGCGGGTGCGCGGAGGAAACGCGCCGGGAAGGTGGGAAGGGAATTTTCGATTGAACGGGGCCGGTGGAAAGGGGTGAAGGCGGGGCCGGGAATCGAGGCGTTCGGGGGGTTGCGGGCGGGCGGCGAGGGGCGCTGCCGGGAGCTGGGACCGCGAGGAGCGCGGCGGGCGCGCTCGCGTCGTCCGTCCGGGCGCGGCCAGACGCGACCGCAGCGCTGCCCAGACCTCTGGAGAGCGCAGGGGGGCGGCCGAGCGCCGCGACGAGGCCGCGATGGGCGCGAAGCGCGCCGCGAACGGGGGGCGCGTGTTCGATTCGGGCCGGGAACGACGACGAACCGGCGTTTCGTCGACGTGATTCCGCGCACGACGAGCACGAACGATGTGCGGAGACGATCGCGACTGCGTCGCGTGTGGTCGTCGGACCGTGCGCGCGCGTCGGCGGGGGCGAGCTGAGAAAGAGAGCAAGCGACGCGCGCGGTGCGCAGCCTGCGTGCGCGCACCTGCTGCGTGGCGTGTCCACGCGATCCTTGGGAGGAGCGCTGGCTCGACGAACCCGCCGAACCGCGCCGCGAACCGCCCTTGCTGCCCGGCGACAGACGGAACGCAGTCCGCGGCACGCCCGAGCCTTGCGGCGCCTGCATCGTGCCCGCGGGCGCGCCGCGCTCGCCGGCCCCGTCCGTCGCTTGAGATGCTGCCCGGCCCGTGTGCTCCGGGACGGCGCCCCCGATCAGCTTGTCCAGACCCGGCAGCCGCACGACCGCCACCGCACGGCCGCTGAGCCTGCTGGAGGAGCCGAGCATGCCCATGGGTGCCGCAAATCGCTGTCAATGTGCGCACGTCTCTTGAGAGGCCCGAACGGGCGTCGTGTGACCGTGAGGGTCCTGTGAGTACCCCCGACGCTTCTTAGCACATCGTGTCGACGTCCAGACTTTCGCGAGAAGGGGATAGTTGCGGCGCCACGGCGCGCGGGACGGTCCTAAAGGCCAGCACTGCTGCCAGAGGCTCCCACTGCCCCTCACGTGGGCTTCAGCGCCGTCGCGGGGCCGCGCGCCGCCCGCGAGCGCCGCACGCCGGCGTCGGCGGGTGTCTTGTGGTGGCGTACGGCAGGAAACATCCGAACACGGACCGCGGAGAGACAGCACGGACGGCCAACTGCTTGCGGTGCAGGCGCCCCGCACCTTCCGGCCGCAATGCCGGTCCGAAACGGACGCCAACTCGCAGCAGGGCGCTCTGATGGCGCAATGCGGAGCCCCGCGACGCCGTCGCGCGGCGGTTGGACCCTTCTCATCGCGGTCCGTCACGGCGCTCGACGGTCCGTGCACACCGACACGCCAAGTTCTCAAGTTGCGCGGGCAGGAGAAAGGTCGGCGGCGCGCCGCGTGCGGGGCAGGCGGGAAGCGTGCGTTCTAGATCGGTCGTCCTCTTCGCGCAGCGAGACGGTGGCGGAACCGGACGTGTGGCGCTCGAGCGGGGCTGGGAGGGAGCAGGCTACAGGGAACGCGCAGGGGGGGATGACGGGGGCTGGGCCGTCCACCGCGGGCGGGGACTCGCGGCCGTGGATCGAGAAGTACCGCCCAAAGAGCCTGGACGATGTAGCGGCGCATGCGGACATCGTATCGACGAGTGAGTGCGCGCGCACAGCACGACGGCCTCCCTCCGCGCGCGCGTCCCCGCGCAACGCATTCTTCTACGACGAGCATGTAGGACACCGCTAGGACAGCGCAGCCGGGGCGCCGGCGCGCCAGGGAACGACCGGGGCTGCACGGGCGCGGGCGGTTCGCGCTCTTTTTCTGTGTCCGGGGCGCGCCGCTGTGCGCGAGCTTCCAGGGATCAGGCGAACGATCGTCATGCGTAGTTTACATCGCGCCCTCTGCGGGGGCGATGCCCAGAAACCCTTTGCGGCGCTCTCCGCGGCGGGACGCAGCGTGCCCGCGCTTTTGCTTCCCAGATCGTGCATCTGGCCCGCCAGCCGCCCCATCGCCGCTCCTCGCAGCGTCTCTTCGCCCCGCGCGGCCCCACGGTCGCTCTCCGTGCGGCTCTTGCCCCGTGCAGTTCGGAAACTCATGCAGGAGGACAGGCTGCCGCACCTTCTGTTCTACGGCCCGCCCGGTACGGGCAAGACGTCCACGATCCTCGCAGGTGCGCTCCGACCCCCGCACCGCCCCGTCCGGCCTTCCACCGGCATCCACGAACACGCGCCTGCATCCAGGGCCGCGGATGTCCCCGCGGCAAGCTGGCGACCGTCACCACCGCTGCGCTGCTTCGCCGCTGCAGTGGCGCGGGAGATGTACGGCACGTCGCTGTCCAACATGACGCTCGAGCTGAACGCCTCGGACGACCGCGGCATCAACGTCGTGCGGCAGGAGGTCCAGGAATTCGCCTCCACGCGTCGCATCTTCTCCAGCGGCTTCAAGCTGGTACGTCGCACGCGCGCTCTCCGCCCACGCGCGAAACTACTTCGGCGCCGCAGCTCCGTCCGTCCCCGCGCCGCTGCGCGTCACACGCGGCCCGCTCCGGCGTCGCTGCGCCCTGCAGGTCATCCTGGACGAGTGCGACGCCATGACCAAGGACGCGCAGTTCGCCCTGCGCCGCATCATCGAGAAGTACACCCGCAACACGCGCTTCTGCCTCATCTGCAACTACGCGTCGAAGATCATCCCCGCGCTGCAGTCCCGCTGCACGCGCTTCCGCTTCGCGCCGCTCCCGCGCGAGGCCGTCGTCGACCGCCTGCAGCACATCGTCGACGCCGAGGGCGTCCAGATCGACGGCCCGGGCAAGGAGGCCGTCATCCGCCTCGGCGCCGGCGACATGCGCCGCACGCTCAACATTCTCCAGTCTGCCCACATGGCGGCGGGCGCAATGCCTGGCATGCCCGCGAACGTCACGGAGGCGTCCGTGTACAGCTGCACGGGGTCCCCGCTGCCCGAGGACATCGACGCCGTCGCGCGGCTGCTCCTGAACGAGCCCCTCGCGCACTGCATGGCCGCAGTGAAGAGGGCGCAGCTTGACAAGGGTCTGGCGCTGCCGGACCTGCTCCGCGAGCTGCACCCGTTCGTGATGCGCATCAACATGGGCGCGGAGGCGCAGGCGGACCTGGTCGAGGCGATGGCGGACATTGAGCACCGGCTCGCGTTCGGGACCTCGGAGCAACTGCAGTTAGGGGCGCTGGTCGATGCCTTCGTGCGCGCGAGGGGGACGATCCACGCCGCGGCCGCGTGAAGGGCCGCAGCTAGGGTGTGAGGGCTGTGGGCGACCCGGGCGACGCGTAGCTGCGGCGCGGTGGCACGACATTGTGCGCGCGTCGTGCGCAGCTAGCTAGCTGCGTGCAGAAATTTTGCATCATGCGAAAGTGCGATGCGTGACGACGACGGCGGCGTGGCCGTCGCTGCAGCGTGTGTGCCCGAGGCGGGTCGGAAGCGCGCCGCGGGAGCGTGCCTCGCCCCGTCGAAACAAAGGGGGGGGGTATCAGGTGAGACGTGGCGCCATGGCATCCGATCTGGAGGGGGGGCGTCACGGCGTGTCTGCGGGGCGCGCTGGGCCACGACACCGCGCGCTGGGCGGGCGGTAGCGTAATCGTCGTGTGGGGACGTCATTTTGACGGCCCGCCGTCGCGCCACAACGGCAGAGCGACGCGAGGACAATCAGAACAAGGGCAGAGCAGACTTGGACCGATCGGGTGACGGTCGGGACGGTCCTCCGCGCGGGCGTCGTTCGCGGACGGCCGGTGAGCGGTTTGTCCGGGAGGGGGGGGGTCTGGCTGGATCCGCGGTGGTCGGAGGGGCTGCTGCGACGGATTCCAGCTGGGGCCAATGGAGTCGAGCGCAGCGCCGCCGGACGCGCACGTCGTTGCGGGCGCGCGCAGGCAGGAGCAAGATGACGGCCTCGGCGTGGTCGAGGTGAGCCTTTCTCCCGTCGTCACTCCCCCGACGCCCCCTCGGAAGCCCCTCCGCAGCAAGCCGAACCAAACCACTCGCGCGCGGACGTACCCAGTTGCCGTAATGCCGTTATTTCTCGCTCCTGCGGGTGATGGCGTCGCGGATGATCGGATCCACGTCGAGCGCCGCGCTGCAAGCCATGCCGTACAGAGCGGCAACCCTGGGGGGCTTGCGGCGGTCAGCTACAGCAGTTGCGGGTGCCGCGGGGCCCCACAGACCCGTCAGCGCCCCTGGTCCCCGTGCCGCAGGAGGGTGTTGTCGTCATCGACGGTCTGGACGCCGCCAGCGGCAAGCAGTCGCCTGATCCGAACGGGACGGCGCAGAAGGACGAGAAGAAGGCACGGGCCCTCACTCGCCGCTCGCTCGACGCACGCGCGATGCGGCGCAGATATTCACGCTCAAACTTGTCCTTACGGGCCGTGCACGTGCGAAAATCATTGCATCAAGCGCCAGAACCTCTGTCTCCGCCCGTCCTCGACGGCGCAGTGCCGCGCACTGATGCTCGAGCCAACCGCGCGCCCGCTGCGAGCCCGGCGCGCCCGATCGTACCGCGCCGCGCCCGCCCTGCGCCCATGCTTGACCGTGCAGCCGTGCGCGCGCGACCTGCAGGACGACGCCAACGATGACGGCATGATGGAGGCAACGGACGCGGAGCGGAAGAGCAAGAGCCGTCGCAAACTGTACCGGACGCTGCGGTGGATCCTGATCGGCTTCTCGATCTGTCTCTTCTGCGCAGGTGCGCCTCGCCTGCGCGCTTGCCCTGCCTCCGTTCGCGACCACTGCTGCACCGCGCGACGTTGTTTTGCGCCGCCCCGTTGGCGGCGCTCGCCGCCGCAGCTGCGCCCGCGACGCCGTGCTGATGTCGTGCCGGGTCTAGCTGCGCAGGAATCTACCTCGTCATAGAGCACCGCGGCTGGCGCGTGGCCGGCCTCAGTGGCTGGCGCTGGGCGCTCTTCCTGGGCTGCCTCGCGCCCGCCCGGCTGATCTTCCGCATGCTGGTCAAGCTCGTTCTGCGCAGCCTGCGCACCAAGATGTTCGAGTCCATCCACGAGCGCGTCGCGTACTTCGTCCAGCCCGTGGAGAGCCGCGGCGTCTGGCTGCTGCAGTTCATCGCGTACGGTGAGACGCGCCAAAGATCGATCCGCCCCCGCGCAACAGCGCTGAGCTCCAGCGTCTTACCTGCGCGCTGTTTTCGGGGCAGCTGACACCACCCCCCGACTGCCCCCCCAACCACTCCCCCGCAGTGATCCTCTGGCGGTATCTAATGGGCGACAACAACGGCAAGCTCGCCGGGGCGTACACGCCGATCGCGCGCCTCCTCGCGTGCCTGCTCGTCTTCTGCGCGGGCCGCGTGCTCTCCTTGCTCCTCACGAAGTGGTTCTCGTCGCACTTCAACCGCAAGACCTTCTTCGTGCGGCTCAAGGAGACGCTCCGGAAGGAGCTCGTGCTGTCCACGCTCGCCGTCCCGCGCCGGAAGCGCATCGCGGCGGACGCCAAGCACCAGCGCAGCTCGGCGCAGCACGCACGGGGGCACACGCGCAACTGGGGCACGCGCAGCCTGGGCGGCGCGCGGGAGTTCCGGACGGACACCTCGAGCCCCGCGCACACGCGCGCGTCGTCGCTGAACGAGCACGACCACATGGTTCTGCTGCAGAAGGTGACCGACACGCTCGAGGAGGTGGTCGGGCCGAACCACGGCGACACGGACACCGGGATGGCGGCGTCGCCCGCGAACGGCAACGTGCCCAAGGTGAGCGCTTCAGGGGCGCCGCGAGAGCGCGAGGTGGCCCAGACCAAGGAGCACGTCGTCGCTGATCAGTGTTTCCGTGTTCAGTGGTCCGTGTTGTCGCATGTCGTGTTTGTTTGTCATGTCGCGAGCCACGGACGTCCTGCGTCTCGGTCTTTTCTAGTCGCTCTGCGCCTCGGTGTGCGCGGCGGTGACGCTGGCAGACCCCCGGGGGTGTGTTGCAGGCCACAGCCGGCCGCAAGTGGTCGGAGCGGTACGGTCCGCAGCGGTGGCACTTCGGCGCGCTGCTGCGGCACCCGATGGACCTGCAGCAGAAGGTGGACGCGTGGTGCGCGCAGCACGAGTCCGAGTCGGGCAACCCTGAGGCCACGCACACCCAGGTCGACCAGCTCGAGCGCTACGTGCGCAAGCACCAGCTCGGAATCAACTTCGGGCGCACGATCAAGAACGCGCGCATCCTCACGGACAACGAGACGCTGGACAAGGTCGCGAAACGGTTTGCCCAGTACCTGTTTGAGAACATTCGAGCGCAAGGAAAGGACGTGATCGAGCGCGTGGACCTGGAGGCGGTGCTGCCGGCGGAGATGGTCGACGAGGGCATGGAGATGTTGGACAAGGCGCAGCAGGGGCGTATCTCGCGGGACGAGCTGCTGGAGAGCGTGACGAAGGTCCTCCGGGAGCGTATTGACCTGTCGAACGCGCTGCGGGACACCAAGACGGTCGTGGGGACGCTCGGGCGCGTCGTGGCGACGTGCACGAACATCCTCGTGTTCTTCATCTCGCTGTGGATCTTCGAGGTGGAGATCATGCAGGTCTGGTTGTCGTTCGCAACCATGGCGCTGGCCTTCACCTTCGTGTTCGGTGCGCCCCCGCCCCCGCCGCACCCGCCGCCGCACCCGCCCTGGCTCTGGCGCTCTGTCCAGGGCCGGCTCCCTTGACGCGCCATCATGTGGCCACAGCCGCGACGTTGTTTGATGGCGTGGAGTTGTGGCTTGGCATATGCGCAGGCACGACGCTGAAGAACGTGTTCGAGGCGATCCTGCTGCTCTTCGTGACGCATCCGTTCGACGTCGGCGACGCGATCCTCCTCGGCGGCGAGTTCTACACGATCCAGGCCATCTCGCTGCTGCGGACGCACATGCGCAACGGACCAGGGCCGCACGTGTGGTACCCCAACCACGTGCTCAACTCGATGCCCATCACCAACCTCACGCGGAGCGGGCCGAAGTGGGAATCCTACGAAGTCCAGGTCCGCCCACGCGCGCACAGTGCCGCTGCGCTGCCCCTCGCGACCTTTTACATTGCGCCATGCTAGAAAACAACTCGACAGACATGTTTGTTGCTGTGCCATGTCTCGCGCGCGCAGGTCGACGTGCACATGGCGAGCAAGGCCACGCGCGACGCCGTGCTGGCGGCGGTCAGCGACCTGTGCAAGAACGACCCGAAGCACTTCACGGGGGAGTTTTCCTGCCGGTGGACCAACAACCCCGCAGACAAGAACAAGATCGCACTCAACATCTGGTTCGGATTCGCCAACAACGGCTCCGACCGCGGGCTCTGCGGCGACGCCCGCAACCTCATCTTCGAACGCGTGTCGGAGACGCTCGCGCAGATGGGCGCCCCGCAGCTCTTCAGCAACCACGTGGTCGCGTACGGCAGCGGGGGCGGTGCTGGCGCGGGGGGCGCGCCGCCGGAGAAGCCGGTGCCGCGCGCCGACGAGGTCCAGGCCGCTGTGTCGGCGGACGGGCTGAGGCAGCGGAAGCCGTGATGGTGTTACACAACGTGGCAAGATTCATTGGAGCGACGTCGGCTTACAATCGTCACTGGGTGACGGAGAAGCAGCGTGCTTTTGTACTCGTATTTGTGAGAAATACAGGCCGGGAATCCGCGGTGCTTCTCCGTCGAGGCTCATGACTGGCTGACATGACACAGGTGCACGTGTGCCTCGTGCTATTTCTGTGTTCGTCACGCGCCGTGCACCGGTGGCGGTTTCCTGAGCTGCACCGTCGCTGCCTCCAGCGCCTGCGCCGCGCTCGCTCGCACCCCTGGCGGGCACGCCCCGATGCCCTGCTCCACGCACCCCAGCACGGTCCCTTCCAGCTCCGTCGCCGAAGGGAGCTCCGCAGGGGCATTGTCCGCACCAGAGAGGCTGGGGCGCACCCCCAGGATGTTACCAAAGAGCTCTTCCCTCTCTGCGGCGCGCCGCAGCACCCCTGCGACCGAATTCACTGCCGCCATCAGCAGGCCGCCCACGTGCCGGCTGCGATCCGCGCCAGCGACTCCCGCGAGGGAGACGGCTCGGCGCAGGCAGAAGACGTGGACGGCCGCGTTCTGAACGGTGTCAAGATCGCGAGAGTCCGTGTCGCTGGCGCGCCCAAGCGCAGCACCTGCAAGCAACGCATGTCGTGGGCGCGTGTCAGGGCAAGCACGGCGTCCCCAGCACGATGGCAGCTTGAGCGCGACCACTGCCATGCAGCAGCGGGCGGACAACACACAAAAACGGCGTGCCTCGCCGCGCGAGCTCCGTTGCAGCCCGCTGCGCACCTTGAGAGCTCGGTCCCGGGCCGATCCACATCTCGCCCGCGACGTCGGCGGCCCTGGCGAGAGCGAGCCGTCCCTCGCCCTCCTGTGTCCCGCTCGCGGCCGTCTCGGCGGCGGAGCAGACCACGTCGAAGGCCATGCAGGTCGCAGCGGGCACACTGCGTCGCAGCCGCCCCATCCCTTCGCTCCAGCGGGCGTACGCGACGTGCGCCTGCGCGCCAAGGATCTCGCGCGCGCATGCCGCCATCGCGCTCGGCTCCCCCGTCGACCCGCGCCGTTTCGCGAGGCGCATGTGCAGCACATCTCGCAGGGACGCGGCGGCTCGGCGGGCCTCGCCGGACGTCAGGCGAGGCATCAGATACGCCAGGGCCGGCACGCACGCGGTCGTGAGCCGGTCGAAGGAGAGCGCCGCGACGTCCTGCGCGAGCCGCACGGCGCCGTGTGGGTGGACTTGTGCAGCGCTGTCCTCCGCGATCTCGCCCGCACCGCGGGGCGGGGTGAGCGATCGACCGTCGCAGGCGCGCATGGCCTCCATACAGAGGAACGTCACGCACGTTCCGACGTCCCCCGCGCCCTCCCACGGCCACCGCAGCAGCCGCGCACTTTCCCTGCTTGCGGCGCACCGCTGCTGGTCCACGAACGCGTCCCCGTGCAAGATCAGCGCGTCGAGGGCGTCGCTCGCCGACCACTGCACGTCCGTCGAGGCGTCGTTCGCGGCTCCGTGGCAGCCGTGCGCGACCACGAGGCGTACAGCTCCGCACAGGTCCTGGAACGCATCGTTCGCTGAGCAGAGCAGCGCGACGACGACAGGCGCAAGCGCTTCGCCGTCTTCGCTGGGCGCGAGGCGGGCGCGCAGGAGCGGGAAGGCGGCTTTGAAGAGGTCCGAGGCCGCGGCGAGCGACGCTGCCGATGGCTTGTGTGTTCTCTCCTTCTGGAAAACGGCGCTCTTGAGCCAAGCGGGCGGGGGCGACCCCGACGGCACCGAGAACGGTGGGCCTGGGAGGAGGTAGGCAGCGTGGTTGGCGGCCTCCGCGATCAGCGTGAGCGCCGTCAGGTCGGGAGACGTCCCCTGCGCAATGCCCCGTGCAACCGACGCGACCTCCTGCGTCAGCGCTCGCGCGGCGCACGTGACGAGTGTGTCGCCGCCGATCGCGGTCGGCCGCAGCCGCAACGTCTCGGGGAACGGCGGGGGGGAGTCTGCTCCGTCGGACACGATCCTGACAGGCAGCTCCTGACACGCCCGCTCCAGCGCGGCGCTCGGCAGCGTCAGCGATGCCAAGACCAGCAACAGGCTCGGCCGCGCGTCTTTCGAGCGCTGGTCCCGCAGCGCTCGCACGACCTCGCGGGTGAGCGGCGGGCTCGTCGCATCGCTACTGGCGTGTCCGCAAAAGCGCGCGAGCGCCGGCCAGGCCTGCAGTTGACGGAGCATGGCGTTCTTGCTGCCGACGTGTACCGTCGCGTCCGTGAACATGCGCGAGAACGCGTGTTCCGGCACGAGCGCGGCGAGCGCCAGCAGTTGTTCGGAAGTTGCGACGTGCTGTTTGCTCGGCGACGCGACCTCCACGCGCCCGCCCGAGGCGACGCGGTCGCTCTTGAGCTCCGCAAGGGACTGCTTCTGCACCGCGCCGGACATGCGGTTGCATACCCCGGTCAGGGCGCGCTGAAGTGTGTCTGACAGACCACATGCCTGCACTTCGTCGCGGAGGCGTGCGCCGGGCCCGTCGCTGCGCAGGAACCACGCGAGCACGGCGTGCTGTGATACGCTCGCCGCCGGCGCTTCGAGGCAGTCCACGACCATGCCGAGCAGCACCGGCAGCACATTCGAGTCCGCGACGTGCTTGTGCGCGATCGATCGAGCGATCCCGACTGCGAACCAGTAAGGGTGCGACTCCGGAATCGCGTCCGCGCATAGTGCTGAGCAGTAGTCGGGCAATGAAGTCTCCGAGCCCTGACTGCGATCCCACGCGGCCGCGTGAAACAATACGCCCCCCACAACCTCTTGTTCCGACTCCCCCAGCACCTCCAGCCAGTCCACCACGTCCTTTCCGCCGTCCCCGCGCAGTCCCCCCGCCCACAGCTGCCTGACCACCCCGCGCGGAACACCCCCGACCTGCAACGACGTCGACCCCCCCCCGACCGCTCCAGGCGAGACAGGCCGCGCACCATCGCGGGGCGCACGCCCGTTCGCGAGCAGTCGCGCCGCCTGCCGCGTCCAGAAGCAGCCAGTGGTCCCGGGAACCGCCCCCCAAGCGCTATGTCTGTCAGCGATCAGCCCCTGGACGGTCGCACGAAGATTCACTCGCTTTTGAAACCTCCGCTGTGCGTCCGCGTCGTGCGCCCCGTGCGTCGCCGACGCAGCGGCCAGCGCGCCCGCGATCTCCGTGTCGATGAGGGGCAGCAGGCCGGACAGGTGCTCCACCACGGCCGCCTGCGCGCCTGGAGTCAGCGCCAGGTCTGACATCGAGGGGGGTGTGCCGCTCGCGGCCAGCCAGCTGATGATCTCCTCGCAGGCGCCCAGCGCTTGCTGCGCCAGCTCCTGCGCCGCGCTGTCCGCCGCCGCCCGCCGCGCGAGGGCGCGTGCAAGCGGCGCGAACCCTGACAGCAGCGCTGCAGCCAACACCCCCCGCACTCCCCCCTCCGCGACCTCCCGAAACAACTCGACGGACCGCAGAACTTCGGCGAGCGCCAGCCCTTCGCAGCCGTCCCGCCACGGCGCGCCGTCGTCCCCAGCACACCCCAGGTGCTCGGTTGCCACATCGGCAGCCTCAACTGCCAGCCACGGCACCTGCCGCACTGCCTGAGCCGCCCAGGCCCCGTCCCGGAGCCGCGCGCGCAGCGCGCCCCGTGCGCCCATCACGCAGAGCCTCGCGCACGCCGCCAGCATCAGCGGATCGGGGCCGTCGCTCGGCACAGCGCCCGTCAGGTTGGCAAGTGCAGCGCACTCCATGCCGCGCACGACGCCGCGTGGCGCGCGCCCGGCAACGGTGCGGTCGAGGGCCTCGCCGCGGTCCCGCTGGAGGCGGCGGAGCCAGTCGCAGTGGCCCTGAGTCAGCAGAGGCCCCAGTCTGTCATACTCGGCGAGCGCTGCGTCAGGGTGCAGGAAGCGCCGCAGGTCGCGGTCCGAGCCATCCGTGGGCGACGGGTACGTCGAGAGCGCGTGATGGACGCCGTCTTGGAGCTTGCGGGCCAGAGCGCGCGCCCCGGATGCTGCCATTGTGTGCACAAGTGGTTGATGTGGCCTGAGGCGCGCTCAGGGGGACTGTCCGCTGATGTGGGGCGGAGATCGACGTGATGCTAGACAGACATTTCTGATGGGCGTTTCGATCTCGCTTTCGAGGCCAGGCGTGAGCGTGCCGGTTGTCCAGGCGCTGGCGTGCTCCAGGTTGCCGCGCTGCCGGGCGCGCTCAGGGCATCATGATCGGCGCTCTGTCCACCTGGCGATTCGCTTCGGTATGATGACGAAGATGACGTACAGAACCAGAACGTAGAGCACAAAGTCCGTCCAGGTGACCTGCGTTTGTCCAGGAGCAGCGCCAGCGGGGCAAGCGTCGCATGAGAGCAAGACACGCGAACAGGAACTGTCAGGTACGACGCCGAAACACGCGACGACCATGCGAGTCCTAGCCAGAGTCCGAGGTCGGCGTTCCTTGGCAGCTGCGAGCAACATTCCCGCAGCGAGCCCTTCTCGTCCCAGCTCGACTCCCGCCGCGGCCGAAACACGCCCACGAGCTCCGCGATCCGCACCTGGAGAACTGACTGCATGCCAGCAGTGGCGTGGTGCGACGTGACCGACGTCCGAAGAATCAACGCGGCGCGTGCAACTCTGACGCCCTCACAGCCCGCGCTACGCCTCCAAAGCAACGTTCGAGGAGCCGCGACGATGGCAAGAGCACCGGGGCGTCATCTGAGCGCCACACGCACCGGGTGCCCGCCTCAACACCAAAGCCAGGCCCCGAGGGACTCCGGCGGAGGTGTCTGGCACGGCGCTAGGTCAGGATGAAGCCAGGGGCAACTGCAGCCCTGTCAGGACCTTCGCGCGCCCCAATGCGGCGGGCGCGTCCCTGCTGCGCGCAATGCACGCCACGCACGCTGGAATCGTCGCGTCAATTTCCTGCGGACAAGAAGTGTGTGCGTAGGCAGGGTGCCCACGTTTCGCGTCGAGCGCCGCCGCGAGCCGCGCGATGTATGCGATTGGCGCGGCACGGGCGACGCTGCTGTAGAACCGTTCGGCCGCCCGTCAACTCTCGCGGTTGGTCCCCGGAAGCGGCAGGACGGGTCCTGGGAGGAACTCAGCTGAGACGACGCCCGCCGGATCCGTCCGTCGTTGGAGCAAATGGCTTCCGTCGCGCGCAGTACGGCCTCCGGTGGTCCGCAGGACCAGCCGCTTTGGCCCGTCAAGGTGCGCTTTCGGCGGCGCGTGGCCCACGCCCTGCTCTGTGTGTCCGTGCAATCGCGCTCCTGCGCGGAGGTGGCCGGGATTCGCCAAGTTCCCCGGCGCGTGGCACCACCTATAGCAGAGCTCGCAGGCCTCCCGAGGCACATTTCATCTCGGGGCCGCCAAGCGCGCAGCGCGCCCTGGTTGCTGCTCCCGTCCTTGCCGCGCGGGGCACCCGGCGTCTCGCGCCGGCGTCGCACCGCGACCGATGGCAGTCGCGCATCCTGAGATGCAGGAGGGCCACGTCGTGATCGACATGTCGACGAAAGGGTCCAAGACCGGCGCAGATGCCCCGAAACCCGAGTCATCCCTCCGCGACTCCGCAGCCTGGGACGGCCGCCCTTCTCGCGTCACGGTGCGCGCCCCCGCCCCCTGCACTTCGTCGCCATTGAGCACGCAGAGCCGCGGCGCGCACGACGGCCTGGCCGTGCGAGGGCACTCCTGTCTGTTGCTGATCCTGTCCGACAGGGGCGATCGCATTGCGCGGTCCAGCATGAGGTCAGGCCCGCGCCCACGCACCGCCCTGGCCGGTGCCTCCCCGCAGAAGGTCTCGGAGGAGGAGGAGGATCCGAACATCATGCAGGAGACGAAAGCGGAACAGAAGCGCCGCGCGTTTCGAACCCTGCTGAAGCAGGCGCGGCTGGCGATGACCGTGCTCTCCATCGGGCTCTTCGGGACAGGTGCGCCCGGCCCGTGACCGGTATCACGCGGCCCTCGACGGCGGCGCCGCGGCCGCGACGGAACGCTCCGCCGCGCGCTCTCCCTTCGCAGGCATCTACCTGGGCGTCGAGCGCCCGGACTTCCGCGTGCTGGGGCTCACGGGCTGGCGGTGGGCGGTGTTCCTGGGGTGCTTGTTCCCGGCGCGGACCTTCTTCCGGCTCGGCGTGCGCGGGGTGCTCTACGCGCTCCGTACGAACGTCTTCGCGTCGATCCACGAGCGCATCGCGTACTTCGTCGACCCGGCCGCCCCGCGGCTCGTTCTACTTTTGCAGTTCGTGTTCTACGTGCTGATGTGGCGCTACTTCATGCTCGACAACGAAGGGCGGCTCGGCGGCGCGTACACGCCCGTGTTCCGGATCCTCGCGAGCATCCTCGTGTACTGCGCAGGCCGCTGCATCTCGCTGCTCCTCACGAAGTGGTTTTCGTCGCATTTCAATCGAAAGACGTTCTTCCTGCGGCTGAAGCAGTCCCTGCGCAACGAACTCGTCCTGAGCCACCTCGCGACGCCGCGCAAGCGCCCGCGGCACACGCACGCCCTGCGCGTGGGCAGCCGCGCCGCGAGGCTGTCGTCCATGCGCGCAAACGTGGAGCGGCCGTCTCTGCCGATGCAAGGGCCGAACCGGCACAAGCGCAACGTGTCGTGGGGCGGGGTGCAAGAGAGCGCGCTCGGCACGGCCTCCGTGGACCACCCGCTCCCCGACAAACTGAGGGCGGAGACACCGCCCCTGACGCAGAACGGGGCGCGGCTGCAGCTGCCTCCCCGGGCTGCGGCTTCGCACAGCGAAGCAGGGCACGAGCAGATGCGGATTCCGCGGAGCGAGTCGGCGCAGAGCAGCCTCGCGGACCATGCGCAGCTGCTGAGTGACGTGGCGGAGGCCTTGCGAGACGCCCCCCTGCGCGGACCGGCGCCGGCGTCGGTGGACTCGCGCAGCGTGAACGAGGACGGCTTCGGGCACACGCACGTAGGACCGGCGCCAGGCGCCCAGGAGGTACGCGGAGAGGGGCGTTCCGCCTCCGACGGCGCGCTGTTGCGCCGCTCATGGTCGCACACCCAGAACTGACGTTGTGCAGAATGCCCTGTCAGGCGGTCGGCAGACGAGGCCTGGTCCGATCTGGGCGCAGCGTGCGTGGCCTCGAAGAGACGGCGGCTCGATCGTTGTTGTTGGGTGGACTGCGATGCAGGGCGCGCTGGGGGGTGTGGGGAGCGGCAGTGAGCAGTCGTGGATGTTCGGCGCCCTCATCGGCCCCCCGTCGGACCTGCGCGAGAAGGTCGAAGCGTGGTGCCAGGACACTGAAGACACGCTGGGCACGCACCGCCAGGTCGAGCAGCTGGAGCGCTACGTGCGCAAGCACCAGCTCGGAATCAACTTTGGGCGCAACCTGAAGGAGGCCCGCATCCTGACGGACAGCGAGACGCTGAGCAAGGTCTCCAAGCGGTTCGCGCGCTTCGTGTTCGAGAACGTGCGCAGCCCGGACAAGAAGGCGATCGACCGCGAAGACGTTGCGCGCGTCCTGCCTGCGACGATGGTTGACGAGGCGATGGAGCTCCTCGACAAGGCGCGCAAGGGGCACGCCACGCGGCACGACACCCTCGCGGCAGTGACCGCGGTGCTCAAGGAGCGCGTCGACCTGTCGAACGCGCTGCGCGACACGCGGTCGATCGTGGGCACGATGGGGCGCGTGGTGGCGACGTGCACCAACGTGGTGGTCGTGTTCATCGCGCTCGCGATCTTCCAGGTGCAGATCCTCGAGCTGTGGCTCACGTTCGCGACGATGGGCCTCGCGTTCACCTTCGTGTTCGGCAACACTCTCAAGAACCTCTTTGAGAGCGCGCTGCTGCTCTTCGCGACGCACCCGTTCGACGTCGGGGACGCGATCATCGTCGAGGGCCAGATGTACTTCGTCCAGGAGATCGCGCTGCTCCGGACGCACGTGAAGCACGCCGTGGGCTCGCACACGTGGATTCCGAACCACGTGCTCAACGGTATGACGATCGTCAACCTGAGCCGGTCGGACTGCCGCTGGGAGCCGTTCGAGGTGGCCGTGGACGTCGACATCGACTCGGTCGCGGTGCGGGAGGCCTTTGAGGAGCGTTTGAAGGAGGTGGTCAAGGACAAGCCGCACTACTTCACAGGTGAGTAGCTGTGTACGGGCGCCTATTGGTCAACGGGCGCTGTCTTTGGCGGTGTCAAAGCGAACACCATGAACAGCCTATTCGCACTGTTCCTGTGTGCAGGCGAGTTCTTCGTGCGCTGGCTGCTCTCTTCGGACACGAACAAGGTCAAGCTCGCGCTCTGGTTTGGATCCGCCAACAACGGGTCTGACCTCAACGTTTCCGGCGAAGCGCGCAACCTCATGTTCGAGGGTTGTATGAAGATTCTCAAAGATATGGGCATTAGGCCCGGAGTCTGCAACAGGCTCTCCGCGGAGCCCAACCTCGCGTCCCTCATCGGCCCGACCGCAGCGACCACCCCGCCGCCGCCAGCAGCGGCGGGGAGCGACGGCGAGGCAATGCGCAACGGGGCCGCCGCGATGATACACTCCGTGAGCGCGGACGGCCTGCGTCAGCGGCGGTGACGCACGAGCTCACATGGCGATGCACCCCCACCCCTGCCAACCACCACGCGGACCCGCTGCTCAACGTGTGATTCCAGGAGCGGCCCGAGGAGCGGGTGACGTGAGGGGCTGTCACCGCCTCACCTGACATGCGTGATGTCTTGCGTGATGTCTCACCGGGCCGGGTCGCCGACCGACGACATCGGGACGCGTGGTGGAGCTTGCCGACGAGTACCCGCACGCCCGCGGGGCTCGTCGCTCGTCGAGGACTTCGCTCAAGCTGCGTGCGCAGGTGCTGGGACCCCGACACCTGTTGCTGCAGCTTGCTCATCCTGCGTGCGGGTACTCCACCGCGTCGTTGCTCTCGGCCACCCCTTCCCTTGATTTCATGCGACCTCCGGTGTGACGCGTCAGTTCATTACACATGACGTCAGGCAGCCATGTGGCTGCCATCAGCGCACTGACCGCCCGTTTCCGGCCACGAGAGAGCGCCGCGCGACGGGGCGAGTGCACACACGGCATGACGCCAGCGGGGCCGACGAGGGGCGTCGTGCTCCCGGTGGGCCGCGGCGGGGCTGGAGCCCGAGCTGCGTCTCAGTGCGGAGCTCCCGACGGTGATGCCGGGCCCTGTCGGCGCTCTACGTGCGACACGCTGCCAAACACGGCACTTCGACGCACGGACAGGGCGCGTTGAGGACCAGGTCCCTGCAACTTTCCGCCCCATGGCCCGGCCCATTTGGTCCCCTGCAAGATGGGCGGCCCGGGCGGCGTCCCGCGGCCGCATTCGACGCGAGCTCGGGGTCCGGTTGGCACACCATGTGTAGGGGATCTCGCGGTTTCGAAGGGGCGGTCCTGGATCCCCCGTGGCGTGCTCCAGGAGGGAGCGAAGACCGCTCCTCCATCTCTCTCCCGGTGCGCAGACAGGCCCTCTCCGTGCAGGCCTGGGGGCCTCCCCGTGCCAGGAGACTTCGGTCGCAACAATATACTCCTCTTCCGCGCGCTTTGGTGCACGGAGCTCGCTCATGTCGTCACGCCCCAGCGCATGCTGTTGGAACGCGCTCCTCCGCACCCCGTGCGCCGCCAAGCTCCGCCATCGGTGGGGTCCGAGCGCGAGAGATGTGTCGTCGTTACCTGAGATCCTGCGCGATTCGCGGCAGGACTGAAGCGTTCCGAGCCCCCCCTCTGGCATGCAGGTGCCCCAACGGCGGAGGCCGCTGCTGGCCGCCCCAGCGCGGTCAGGCCGGCGCGTGGTCGTGATGATCGAGCTGATCTCCGCGCCGGCGGTCCCGTGCCAGTCGCCTGCACACCGGCCCCACACGCCACGCCTCCCTGGCCAAGTTGAGCAGGCAGGTGCGCTCGGCACCACGCCGCCGGCCGCCCCAGCACCCTCTCGCGGCCAAGTGCTCGTGCCAGAGCATCGCCCTGGCGCCTTCGCGCCTCCTCTCTCGGCGTCTTCGCGCCCCTCCTGCCCCTCCATCTTCCGCCATGATCTCCTCGCCCGCGTCCTCGTTGACGCAGGTGGCGCGCCCCTCGCGGCGCCCTGCTGACCCGCGCCGCGTCTCGTGCGGGCCTCGCGCCGCGCGCCGCGGATCCCCACGTGGTTGGTGGGCCACGTGCTGTCCCTCTACGGCGCTGCTGCTGTCCGCATCGCGAGGCGGATGTCGCTGGACGGCGGCGTGACGCGTGGCTACCGCGTCCGCGTCCGCGACGACCATCGATCGACGCCGCGCTGACCCGCGGCGGGCCCCTTGCCGCCGGTGAGTGCCGTTCCCGGTCCGTGTCCGTCTGGTCTCCTGCCCGGAATCCGTCGTGCCCGCGAGCCACCTCGCCCGCAGCGCCCCTTCCATCTCTGCCGCGCGCCCGCCTGGCCCTCATGAGGTGCTCCTGCTGCACCGTCGTCGTCGTGCCAGAAGCACACGTGTCGTGTCGCAAGACTTCTCGGGTCCCTTCCTCGTGTTCGGGTCCTGTTTGGCGACGTCGAGCGCGACGTTCCTGGTGTCTCTGCAGTGCCGGTCCACGACGGCCGGGCCGAGGCGCTCGCGGACCCCGGCATCAACATCTGTCTGCGCCTGGATGCCGCTGCAGCCCGCCCGCAGCCTGCCGGCGCTACCGTCGTGGCCAGGCCGTGGGCGACGGCCGTCGCGGCTGCGTGAAGACGGCGCCACGTCTGGGCGAGTGCGGTGGCGCGGTCCGCCGCCGGCGGGCACGGGCACTGGAACGCGACACAGGTCCGCTGCGGGTCGTGGTCGTCGCGCTTGGCGGGTCGGGCGGCGCCGCGGACTCGCTCAGCGGCCTCCGTCAGTCGAGCCCGTGGCGGCCGCTGGAGGCGGCAGCTAGCGCGCTGTGGGCGGAGGTCTGTCGGCGGAGAAAGCGTGCGCTGGGCCTGTGTGCTTCTGTCGAGCGTCGACTACCGGCTGCTGGCGGACCGCTCGACCACGCCGTGCAGGGCGACGCGGGAGGCGCGCGTGTCGGCGAACGCGCGGTCGGCGGCGGCGGGGCGAGTGGCTTTTGTTTGCAGAGGGGCGTCGACGGGCCGGCGCTGGTCGTGGAAGCGGCGCGCTCGTCGTCGCTGGGCAGTGCGCGCGGAGACGCATGCTGGGCGACCGGCTCCAGCATCGCGCCTGAGCGGCGGGCGTGAGCGCGACGCTGGTCGCGCAGACGACGGGGATGTTTGCTCCGGCAGGGATGATGGCGGCCGGGACGTCCGGTGCGCGACGCTGGGCGCGATCTTGGACACGCACGTGCGGCCCGAGGCGTGCGCGGTCGAGGCGGTGGGCCGGGCGCGCGCGGGCCATCCGCAGGGGAGCGGCGGCGCGGTGGCGATGGTGCTGGGTGCGGCGGTGAACCAGGACGGGCGGTCGTCGTCGCTGACGGCGCCGAACGGGCCGTCGTCGCAGCAGGCGGTGATGCGGGCGGCGCTGGAGGCGGCGGGGCGCGGCGCGGGCGACGTGGGCGCGGTGCAGCTGCACGGGACACCGACGCGGTGCTGGGCTGGGCGATCGATTTGGGTGCGGTGGACGCGGCGTACGTGCGCGGCGTACGTGCGCGGCGGAGCGGGGTCGGCGTCGGCGCTGGTGGTGGGGGCGGCGAAGTCGTGGATGGGCCACACCGAGCCGGCGGCGGGGGCGATGCAGGCGTTCGAGGCGGGGCGCATGAGGGCGGTGCCGGCGATCGTGCACGTCGGGGCGGTGAATCCGCATCGTTGAGGCGGTGGCGCGGTCGGGGGTCACGCGATGGCGCGGTCGGGGGCGCCGATGGCGGGGCCTGCGGGGAGTGCGGTGTGCGTGGTGAGCTCGTTCGCGTTCATGGGGACGAACGCGCACGCGCTGGTGCTGGCCGACGAGGACGGATGCAGCGGCGCGGCACGGGCGGGCGACGCGGAGGCGCGGCGGCACTCACTTCGCCCCCGCACGTCAGGTCCGTGCTGGGCGGTTTGCTTGTCGGGTCGTCGGGCGGCGTCGAGGTGGCGGCGGGCGTGGACCACGTGCGGCGCTTGCGTATGTATGTGCGGGCACCGCGTGCGCGGAAGGGGAGGTGTTCCCGGCGGCGCAGCACGTGAAGATGGCCCTGGAGGTGGTGCAGGCGATGGGCGGCGACAGGCTGGGAGAGTGGGCGCTGTGCGAGAGCGGGATACATGTGGCACCGGCTTTGCAGGGCGGCGGCGAGCAGCGTGCCGTCGTCGGCGGCGGGCTGCGGGTGAGGCTGAGCGCAGACGGCAGCGCGTTGAGGTGGTCTCAGGGCGAGCCGAGGTGCACATGCGGCGCGCGCTGCGGCAAGCCTGCGACGATCGGGCGGCGCCGGCGCGGCGCACGTGCGGAGCCGTGGTCATGCGCGTGCCGGCTGGGTTCGGCGCCGTGCGCGGCTGTGGCAGCATGCGCCCACAGTGCGCGGAGTGTGGTGGCGACGCACGCGGGCGACGACGACGGGAGCACCGACGGTACGGCGCTGTCCTGCGGGCTGGGGACGGGCGTGCGTGTGGCGGCGCTGGTGGCGCGGGCGCTGGCAGCGGGCGCGCATACGGCGACGAGGCAGCAGGGGGAGGACGGCCTGGAGTGGCTGCACGAGGCGGAGGCGCAGGTGGACGTGGCGGACGCGGATCCGTGCACGACGAGCGGCGCGGGCGGTGTGGGCGTGCGGTGCGGTGGCGTGGTGTCGCTGGCGGCGGTACGGAAAGGCGTGTGCGCTGGTTGTTGAGGCGCTCGGGGGCGCGGCGGCGCGGGCGGTGGCGCGTGCGAATGAGCGCGAGATGCCGGACGTGGTGACAGCGGATGCCGGGCGAGTCGCGCAGGAGGACGGGCGTGGTGCTGCTGGGCGGGCACAGCGGTGACGAGGGGGCGGGGGGCGCGGACGGGTACGGCGCGGCGGCTGGGTGGCGCGGGCACGGCTTGTGCGGTCGGCTGCGGTGGCGGCGGCGGGCGCGGTGTCGCTGGTACCGCGTCCGCGCTGGTCGCTGGACGCGCTCGTTGCTGTGCCGGCGGGCGACGGGCCGCTTGGCGCGGGCGAGGTGGAGGTGGACGTGCGCGCGGTTGGCATCAACTTCCGCGACGTGCTGAACGTGCTGGGCATGCACCCGGGCGCGCCGGGGGGGGGGCGACATGGCAGGTGTGGTTGTGGGGGCTGTCGCGGGGGCGGGGTGTCCGGGCTGGCGGTGGAATCGCTGGGGACGCGGACGCGTGCGGACGCGCGGTGCGTGGCGGCGGTGCCTGGGGCGGTGACGCGGGAGGAGGCGGCGAGCTGTCATACGGTGCTGGTGACGGTGGAGGTGGCGCTGGAGCGGGCGGGGGGCGTGAGGAGCGAGGAGGTGGTGCTGGTGCACGCGGCGGCGGGCGGCGCGGGCGCGGCGGTGCGCGAGTCGCTGGCGGGGCCGGGGGCGGGGTCGTTGGGGACGGTGGGGAGCGCAAGCACGCGCCGGTCAATGCGCGGGAGGCGGTCGCGCGGTCGCGGGATGTCGGGTACGCGGAGGCGACGGAGATGCGCGGGGCGGCGTGCGGCGGCGGGCGCGTGGCGGGCGTGGACGTGGTGCTGACGAGCCTGACGGCGGCAGGGTTTGTGCGGACACTCCGGAGTGTGCGCACTTCCCGATCTCGACCAACCGGCCCCCCGCCGCCACCCCCGCCACGCTCCCCGCCACAAGTGTGGAGCGCGGGGCACGTGGCGCAGGAGCGGGCGGACGTGCGGTACGGGCTGGTGGCGGTGGACGTTTTGCCAGCGGAGGTGGTGCGAGGTGCGCTGGCGCGCGTGTCGCGCGCGCTGGGGACGGGGGCGTTGAGGGCGGCGGCGCGGGCGTGGCGCGGGATGAGGGCGGCGGCGCTGCGGCAGATGTCGGCGGCGCGGGCGGTGGGGAAGGTGGTGGTGTGCCGGGCGGGTGTGGGGAGGGGCGTGGGCGCGGGGGCGTGGTGGTGACGGGCGGGACGGGGTACGTGGGGTCGGTGGCGGGGTGGGCGGTGGCGTCGGGGCGCGGTGGGGAGGTGGCGCTGCTGGGGCGTGCGGGCGGCGCTGGAGCGGGCGGTGTGGTGGGGCTGGGGAGCGAGGGCGCGGTGGTGCGCGTGGTGCGCGTGGTGCGGTGCGACGCGTCGGTGCGGAGCGAGGCAGCGTGGGCGGCGGGCGTGTGTGGCCGTCGCGGGCGCGTGGGCAGCAGTGGTGCACGCGGCGGGCGTGCTGGCCGAGGGTGTGGTGGGGACGCTGGGCGCAGTCGAGGTGCGGGCGGTGATGGGTGCGAAGGCGGGCACGTGGGCGCGGTTGGGTGAGTGCACGGCACGGGGCCGGGGCTGTGGGACGAGATCGAGATGGGTACTCGTGCACAAGTGCACGCGCGCGGTGCGGTGCGATGCCGCGGCCTCGGAGTCGCACCGGCGGCTGCTCGGGTGGCCCAGGCACGCCTGGGCGCTAGCCGCGCGGGTGGCAGACGTGCTTTCTAGGTTCAAGCGCATGTCGGGCGCGGCGCGCATCAAGGACGTCGAGCAGCTCGACTGTGTCAGCTCAACTAAGTCGAAACGGCGCTGTGGGCGGCGAGGACGCGTGAAGCGTGCTGCAGACGCGCACAGCTGCTTTCTGCGGCCCCTCGAAACCCCCCCCTCCCCTGCCCTCTGAGGTGGCAAGCACGGGCTGCTGGGAGGGGTCGCGACGCGCCCTCGGGGCGGCGACGCCGCCCTCCGGAGGTCGCTCGCAGCAGCTCCCTTGGCGCTCCGCGGCGCGCGCGCGTGCTGTCGAGCCGCGCGTGTCACTGCCGCCGACATAGACGGCGGCCGGAAACGCCGCGCGGGAGCCGCTGCCGCGCCGCTCGACGACGACGACGCGCCCCCGAGGAGGACGGGACGTGTGACGCGTCCTGAAGCCGCCGCGCACGTCTCCGAAAGCGCCCCCCGCCCGCGACTCAACCCTCCCCTGACACGGGTGCACCCACTCTTCCCCAGGGGAGCAACTGTTCTACCCGAGCGGCGACTTGCCCGCGGGTTCGATCACGACCTCGCGCCGCCGCGTTCGCTACAGGGCCGGCGTGCCCGGGAGACGTCCGAACGGAGACGCCCTACGGGCACGAGTCAGGTGCATCAGGCACCCGGGGGGGTCCGTTGCTGACAGTCCCGCTCCCCGGGTCCGCTCCTCGACGAGGGAGTCGAGCGCCGCGAAGACTCGTGCGCGCGGCGGGTCGTCGGCGCGGGGATCGATTCGCACGCGGGGATCGATTCGCACGCCGGGACCTGGCTTACACGCGCTCCGGGAGCGCTGGCACTCGCTGGTGCCCGGGTTCACTGTGCCTCTCGTGCTGCTCGGCCAGCAGCAGGCTGTGATCTAGCAGCCGGGATGTCCCGACCGACTGGCTCAGGTCCGGCCGACTCCTAGTGGATGTCAGCCCGGCATCATCTCCTCCCCCTCCTAGACTTTGTTCCTCGCAAGACGCAAGACATGGCAGCATGCATAGGGACGGGTCGGGGGTGCTGTAGTGACGGGCGGGGCTGGGGTTGGGGTCGGAGGAAACAAGTGCATGCACGTGTAACTTCGAGGTTGGCAGTGCTCGCGCGACGGGGGCCAGAGGGGGGGAGCGAGGGGTCGAGAGCGGACGAGAGAGCAGGGCGGGGCGGGAGACGCGAAGGGGGAAGTTTTGCTTGCCGCCGCGGCCCAGGGGGTGTCATGCAGGTGGAAGAGGGTGGGTGGGATAGGGAAGGGAGAGGGAATGGCTGGGTCGCAGGAGGGTGAGGACTGGGCACGCGCGCCGGTGCGCGTCAGGAACGCGCACGGGGCCCGAGCGCACGGCCGCATTGCCGGGTCAGTGCAACCCCGATGTTTCAGAGGATGGGAATCGTCTGCCAGTCGGGGTTCTGGGGGTCGTAGCCGTCAAAGAATAGGTAGAGGACGCGGCACATCCCGTGGTTCGACCCCGTGTCCTCCTTGGCCAGGTAGACCATCCACTCGCGCAGCTTCTCCAGGCGCTCCGCCAGTTCGACCTCCTGCTGCCCGGCGAGGGGGACGTACTTGTCGGGGTTGAAGCGCACGAATATCGTCCGCACTCCCAGGGAGGTCGTGATGTTCACCATGCGAATCTGCTCGCATTCGCACGGGTAGCTGCGGTGCTGGTGCTCGTCGCACTCGCCCACGACCATGTGCGTGTCGGCGTCCAGCAGCAGGTCGGGGCGTTCCTTGCCGCACTTCCCTCCGTCGATCATCAAGTCCGTGCTCACCACCTTCGCGGCGAGCCCGGGGTCCCGCAACAGGAAGTTCACGACCTGTTCCTCCTGCGACATCATCATGCGCGCGGCGGTCGCCGGGTCGCAATAGGGGCAGTACCCCTCCTTGTTGAGCATCCAGTCCAGACCGCAGCTCACGCACGGGCGGAGCACCAGGTTGAAAGCGCCCTCCGGCTGGTGGTCCTCGCAGTACCGTTTGCGACAGAACACGTGCGTCCCGATCTCCTGGCACTTGGGATCCGAGCACCTCTGCGTGGGGGACCGGATCATGCCCTTGCTCCGGTGAAGCGCGCAGCACGTCGGCGGGATCCCCGGCACCCCGTTATGCGCATGGAGGTCGCAGCCCGCGTGCTGGCACATGGGGTTCGCCACGTCCACCATCCCAGTCTCGGCGTGCTCCTCGCAGAACTCCGCCCGCCCGCCGACCGTGCCGTAGCTGGGACGCGTCGTGCAGTCCTTGTGCGCGCACATGGGGTGCACCACGTCCACCATCCCAGTCTCGGCGTGCTCCTCGCAGAACTCCGCCCGCCCGCCGACCGTGCCGTAGCTGGGACGCGTCGTGCAGTCCTTGTGCGCGCACATGCGGTGCACCACGTCCTCCATCCCAGTCTTGGCGTGCTCCTTGCAGAACTCCGCCCGCCCGCCGACCGTGCCGTAGGTGGGATGCTTCGTGCAGTCCTTGTGCGCGCACTTGCGGCTCACCACGTCGACCATCCCAGTGTCGGCGTGCTCCTGGCAGAACTCCGCCCGCCCGCCGACCGTGCCGTAGGTGGGCTGCTTCGTGCAGTGCTTGTGCGCGCACTTGCGGTTCACCACGTCCTCCATCCCAGTCTTGGCGTGCTTCTTGCAGAACTCCGCCCGCCCGCCGACCGTGCCGTAGGTGGGCTGCTTCCTGCAGTGCTTGTGCGCGCACTTGCGGTTCGCCACGTCCTCCATCCCAGTCTTGGCGTGCTTCTTGCAGAACTCCGCCCGCCCGCCGACCGTGCCGTAGCTGGGACGCTTCCTGCAGTCCTTGTGCGCGCACTTGCGGTGCCTCACGTCCTCCATCCCAGTCTTGGCGTGCTTCTTGCAGAACTCCGCCCGCCCGCCGACCGTGCCGTAGCTGGGACGCTTCGGGCAGTCCTTGTGCGCGCAATATCTCCCCCCGGATTTCCGGACGCGGCGCTGCTTGACGGCCTTCTGCGAGAGCGTGGGGCGGGCGAATCGAAGCCGATCGGGCGTGGAACCGACCGGACAGCGCCGCGGTGGAACAGACGCAGCGGGAACTGCGATCGACGCGCAACGCGACGCACCTTGGCTGCGCCTGTGATCCCATCGTTGCTGCGGCGCCGTTTCCGCGTCCCGAGGACCATGCCAGCAGGCAGCGGCAGCGGGGGGGGTGAGTCTTCCGTCGACTCTTCCAAGCCAGAGCCCGCCCCAGAGTCCTCGACGGACACGGACGAACCCGAGGCCACGCTGTCGTCGTCGTCGCTCGGATCAACCAAGCCAGAGCCCGCCCCAGAGTCCTCGACGGACACGGACGAACCCGAGGACACGCCGTCGTCGTCGTCGCTCGGATCATATGAAGTCTCGCTGCCAGGCGCACCGACCGAGTCTTCAGGAGCTGCCTCGGAGTCAGACAACTCCCGGTAGCTGGCCACGACCCGCACGGCGCGGCGCGGCCGCGTGCCCCTGCTCGGCCTGCTGCCGGCGGGGCTCGGGGAGGCCTGCATCGCGCCCCGCATGCCAGGCTCTCGACGGCTGACTGTCTGCACTGTGAGAACCTGCGTCGACGGGGAGCGGGGGCCGTTGGTCGGTCGCCGGTCGGTCGTCGGCACGCGCGCGATATCCATCGGCCGCTCGCACGCCCGGGCGCGACGGCGGCGGCGCCGCGCAGCGCGCCCCTCGCGTTGCGGGTCACCTCAGCAAGATCGCGGGGCGCGGCGGCGCCGTCTTCCGCGCACGGGGGAAACGGGCGCAGGCCGGACAGCTGTCGCAATGCAAGGAGCGGGAACACGCGGGCTCAGGGCCGCGGGCGGGCGCCTCGGGAAGCGCGAGCGTGGAGTCCATGGGGGCAGAGCACGACGGCGGCGCGGGGGCGCAGTGCGCGCTGGTGGTCCCGCACGCGCGCGCATGGACGCCGCACAATTATCTCTCGCGGTTGGCGGGCCGGGTGGCGCGATGCGGCTGCCTCGCGGGCCTGCTGCGCGGGTCGCTCACCTGGGGCTGTGGTGGGTCCTCGTTGAACCGACGGGGCGCTCGGATGAACGGCCCGATCTGTCCCGGGAAAAACGAAACGCAGTCTACCAAGCCGCTTGCGCGCCGTGCCGCAACGTCGCGCGCGATCCTCGAGCGCCGGGGGGGTCTCGCTGGCGTTTGCGGCCGACACCGGGCGATGTGACCCGGCAGGCCGCGGGGAGTGTGCGGCCGCGGCGGGCCTGTGGCGATGGACCGGAGTCGACCGCTCGATCCGGTCGGCGGGTCGTCCGCCGCGACGCGAGCCGAGGAGGCGGTTGGATCCCCATGTTCGTGTCGTTGATGTTGTTGTTGTTGTTGTTGTTCAATCGCGCGGGGCGCTCGTCGCGGGGGACGCCATGCGCCCACGTGACGTGCACCCACGAAGTGTTCAGCCGCCCGCGGTGGCTCGCGGGCCTCGGGCTGCCGTCCGAATCGCGCACAGCCAGGAACGGGGGCACAGCGGCCTTGTTTTTGCGGGCGCGGACGCGCGGAACGACGTCACGCGCGGTGTGATGCGGCGCACCAACGCGACCTCGCGCAGCACGCCCCCGCGCAGCACTCCCGTCGCCCCCGCGCACGCCCCTGCGGCGCGCAACGCTCAAGTCCCCCATCGCGACGTGGGAGGGCCGCGCGACCGTGCCGCGGTGGCAGAGAGGAGCTTCAGGTCCGCGGCCGCCGCCGCTCCACTATCGACGGCGACGGTGCCCACCACCACGTCAGCGAGGGGGCGCAGCCATTGCCGTCCGGGCGTTTGCACCTGCCCCGGGCCCGCGTCCCCTGCGCTGAGCAGCGGCACGCGGCATGACGAGCTTGTCGCTATGAAAAGCGGCGAGGACCGCGTGCCCCGCCACCCGCCTCGCGCTCTGCCTGCGCTAGCGTCAACCAACCGCCGCCCCAAAGCCGCACCCCGCAGGAGCTCCAAGGGCGCGAAATTGCCCCAGGAGTGACGCTCGATCTCGAAGCCGCGGCCCCGCGCGGTCCGAGGTCCTCAGGCCGCAGGACGTCCCGCCTTGGCACCTCGCACCTGCGTGCCAACCGGGGCGCGTGGGCGCATGAGCCGTTGTCGCAACGCACGTGCAGGTTCTGCGGCGACACGACGGCGATCGAGGATGTGGCGCACCTCCTCACCGAGTGCACGTCCGCGGACATCGTACAGGCCCGCGCGCCGCTGGCCGACCTGCCGCCCGCCCAGCCGTGGGGCCGCACGTGGGCCTGCGAACAGCACGGAGTCGTCGGCGGCGAAGCACTTCAACCAGCAGCCCCAGGAGCTCATCGACGGCCTGCAGCAACGCGCAGCGGCGGGCGGTGAAGATGGGCGAGACACCGCCATACCTCGACGCCACCTCCAGCACGTCCGAGCTGGCGTCGCGACCAGCATCAAACAACCGCGCACCCGCGCCCAGTGCCTGACTCACTGAACCACTCCCCGCCCATCTTGTCCATCAATCACGCGCGAGCGAGCGCACGGGCGGCCTTTCGGCCACGCGGGGGTTTCCCAGGGGCGTAGGGCCGTCGGCACCGCGGTAGTGCCTGAAGACCGCGCGGCGCGAGGGAATCGCGACGCAGGCGCGCCGCACCGCGTGTTCGTTGCGACCACAGGGCGCGAAGCCCGCCACGAAAAGGCCGCGGGCGAACCGACATTGTCACTGCGGTCTCGCACGGGCACCCTGGGGGGTCGTTGCCCCTCTCCGCCACGGTGTGCGGAGCGTTGAATGGCGCTGAGGCGCATGCGTCGGAGGCAGCCGGAGCCAGCTGCTGCGCGGCCCGCGGCCGGGGTCTGTGTGATGCTGGCTGGGCCCCCGCCCCCGCGCCGAGGGCCTCTTGGCGCAGGACAGGCGCATCGTCCGTGGTCAGTGCCTTTCTCGCGGAAGGAACGTGCTTGCGCGCGCGGCCGAGGCGACCACTTGGGCACACACGGGCTCCGCGGGGAGGCTCCCGGAGCTGGAGGCCTGTTTGAGAGGCCCTCCGCGTGCGAAGCGGCTTGAAGTCGCTTCGGCGACCCCCCCGACCCCGCACGCTGTCTCGCATCACGCGATTCGTGAAGCACGGCCTTCGAAGGGCCGCCGGGGACGCCGCGCCATGGCCCGAGAGCACGCCGGTCTGTGGCGCCTGCTGCGCTCGAGCGCGTGCTCGCTCGGAGCCCCCCGCACCGACGCGACGCGACGCCGCCCCCTTCTGCGGATGCTCGTCCGCAGGGAGCTCCGTGTCGCTGCCCGTGGATCACTCGCACGATTAGCAGCGCAGCCGTCAACAAGCACGGCCGGGCCCTGCGCGGGTGACTCGACTTGTTACATCCCGTAGAACGGGTCGCACCGCCAAGGCAGGTTCTCCCCCACCCTATAACGGCACTAGTTTATAGAAACTCCACGGGATCAGGTGCCCATCTCCTGCCGATGGAACAAAGGGAAGTGGCAGACAGCCCGCGCGGGGGCGCAGCGGGCGCAGCGAGGGCCGCTGCGGGGAAACGTGGGGGCGGGCGTACCGATGGCCGACACGCGAGCAGCGTTTACGTGCAGGCGTGCAGGTGCATGGCTGGGCGGCGAGCCGGCGCTGGGTCACTAGGACCCGTCGTCGCCGGTGCAATAGGGGTAGCTGGGCGCCGGGTGTGAGCGCAAATGGCAAATGGCAAGCAAGCGATGACGTGTGATTCACGGTTTCCGACTGAGTGGTCTAACAGAATAATGAGAAAAATGTATGTACTCTTCAACTCGATTTATGTCAACTACGTCGCGCCGCCATGCTCCTCGACGTGCTCCTCCTCCGTCCTCCGCGCCTCGTCCGCGCGCCCGGCCCCCTCGATCGCGGCCACGCACCGCCGGACCTGCTTCTTCTCCCGCCGCGCCGCGTTCAGGTGCCGCAAGAACTCAACCAGCACGCCCAGGAACCTCGACGGTTCCTCCGCCTCCCACCCCGGGGCCACGGGCTCTCCGAAGAACCGCGCCGTCTCCTCGAAGTCCGCCTTCGCCTGCTGGCGCTCCGACTCGAGCAGCTCCAGCGCCGCGCGCGCCTGGCGCGCGAACCCCGCCAGCGACTCGGCGTAGACGCTCCCCGCGCTCTCCGGGGCCGCGACCTGCCCCTCGAGCGCCTGGAGCCCGATGCGCAGCTGCTGGAGCTCTGCGTCGAGCGCCGCAAACGACACGCGCGCCCCGGCGCCGAGCCCGGGGATGTCTCCTGCCACGTCCAGCACCTGGGGGTTGAAACACGTCACGTGCGCGACGACGAAGTGCAGGAGCGTCACGTCGTGGTCCGCGAAGGTCCGCGTGTCGCGCAGCTTCAGCAGCGACGTCAGCCGGAACCCGTTCGCCTGGAAGCGGCTGTGCGTGTTGAGCGAGTTGCCCACGTCGCGCACCACGCGCAGCAGGCCCGCCAGGCGCGGCGACCGGCGCGCCTCGACGCACGCCGCGGTCGCCGCGCCCCAGGACTGCGACAGCTGCTGCGTCGTCTCCTCGAGCCCGAGCTTGAACTCGAGGGCGCGCAGCTTGGCCCGTGCCTTGGGCACCGCGCCCACGGCCAGGAAGAAGCGCTCCGCGTCGACGAGCGTGCAGGGGTCGCCGCCGGCGCGCGCCCACTGGTCCAGACGCTGGAACTCGTGCTGCGTCGGCAGGCACGCGCGCAGCGCCTCCACGGCCTCGTACGTGAGCTTGGAGGAGTCGAGGCTGTCGATGGTGCCGGGGATCTCGTCGATCGGCACGCGCACGCACCGCAGCATGATCTCCACGTTGCGCGCGCGCGCCAGGTCGTCCAGGACGGAGATCTTCAGCGCGCCCGACGCGTGCGACTTGAGCGCCGCGCCCTCGCGTGCGGCGGGCACCGCGGGGCCCTGGGGCGTCTGGTCCCAGCCCGCGCGCGTCCGCGACCGGGTCTTCGCGGGCACGGGCGCCAGCTTCGTGAACAACATCGTCACCGCGCCCTCGTTGATGGGGCCCGTCGGCGCGACGGTCGGGGTGTCCTGCGGGGAGCTGCCGCCCGCCTGGCTCGCGGGGCTCTCCGCGAGGGCGCCCCAGACCGTCTCGGCGAGGACTGAGTCAGGGATGGCTTCCCAGTGCAACGTGCGCCGCCGCATGCCCTGGAGGCCCCCCCAGCCCGACCCGGAGGATATTGTTCTGGGCACTGCGGGCGCCTTGGGCGCCTTGCTGCCGCTGTGCGCGTCGTCCGCGGGAGCGTCGCCGCCGCTTGCCGACGGCAATGCGGGCGGCGGGGGCGGCCCGGGCGCTCTCTTTGGACCGCCTGGCAGCGGCGGTGGCGGGGGCGGAGTGCGGCCTGCCGTCTTGCCGTCGCCCTTCGAGGCCGCCGAGGGCGGCAGGGGCGGCGGCGGCGGCGGTGTCCGACCCCCCGCCGACGGCGTTGCTTGTGGCGGGAGCGGCGGCGCTGGGGGCGGCGTGCGGGCCGCCGCCTTGTTGCTGTTCTGCGGTGTCGCAGAAGGCGGGAGCGGCGGCGCTGGCGGCGGCGTGCGGGCCGCCTTCGGCGTTGCTGTCGGTGGCAGAGGCGGCGCTGGCGGCGGCGTCCGAGCCGACGTCGAAGTCGGCGTCGCTTGGGGCGGGAGTGGCGGCGCTGGCGGCGGCACGCGGCCACCTGCCTTGCCGCCGTCCTGCGGCGTCGCCTGTGGCGGCAGCGGCGGCGCTGGCGGCGGCGTCCGCTCCGCCTGGGTCGTCGCCAGTCCTGGCAGTGGCGGTGCGGGTGGTGGCGCCCGCTCCGCTGCCGTGCCCTTGCTCTGCACCGCCGCTTGCGACGGCAGCGGTGGCGCCGGCGGCGGCGTGCGGGCCGCGTGCGCTGTCGCGGACACAGGCAGCGGCGGTGCGGGTGGAGGGCTTCGGTCAGCCTGCTGTGTCGCTCGCTGCGGCAGCGACGGCGCGGAGCAGCCCGCCGGCACTGCCGCCTGCTGTGGCAGCGGCGGCGCCGCGCGTGCCGTCGTCTCCTCGCCGCTCCGCGACGCCGGCGGCGCCTCTGGCAGCGATGGTGGTGCCGGGGGCGGGCTCCTCGCCTCTGCAGCACTGCCGCTACCCTGCGACGCGGCCACAGTAGACAAGCGGACCGACGCGCTCTCCACCTGGAAGGCGTTGACGCTGACCTGCGACGCCAGCGCGGCCGGCAGCGGCGGCGCAGGCGGAGGCGTGGCGCCCTCCTGTGCGCTTGCTCGCAGCTGCGGTGCCGCAGGCGTCGACACGTCCGGAAGGAGCAGCGCCTGACCCGTCCCCGCGACGTTGCCGTGCAGCACCGGTGTGTGTGTGGCCGGCACGCACGACGCAGCTGTCGACCCGTTGCCGGCCTGACCCGTCCCCTGCGGCAGTGCCGCAACATGCCGCCGGTGCTCCATCGCTGGACCTGCGCACGTCACCGGACCCTGCAGCGGCACGGCTGGCTCGCGTGCTGGCTGCCCCGGCGCGTGCAGGCCCGACACCGGCGCCGGGGATGACGTGGAGGCCGCCCAGCGCTGCGGTGACGCGGGGAGGCCCCTCGGCGCGTCTACGGTGGCCTTGGCGCCCCTGCTGTCGAGGGACTCGCCGTCTGCGTGCTTGTCCGTCGCCGCCGTGCTTTCAACGGCGCCGCTTGGCCGTGCTTCCACGTCGGCGGTTGCCGCCGACTCGGCGCGCGAACCAGGGCCCTCGAGGTACCGCGTGAGCGCGTTCGCCGCTCGGACGATCTCGCCGGACACTTGCCCGCCCGCGCGGGCCGGCTTGGACTCCGCGGGGCACCCCCCCGGGGGGCTCATTGCCGGCGCACCAGACACCTCCAGGTACCGGGCGAGCGCGCTCGCCGCCCGCGCGACGTCGTCGGGCACGAACACGCCTGCGCTGGCTGGCGTGGCGGCTCTGGGACAGTCCGGGGGACTAATGACGGCCCCGTCTGACGCGTCAGACATGAACCGAGTCAGGAGGTTCTGCACCGGGGTCGCCGCGGCGCCCTCCGGGGCGCACGCGCCGCCGGAACCGCGCGCCGTCGCCGGTGCTGCCGTCTGCGCCGGCCCGGACGACTGGGCGCCGCGCGCGCCGCTCGCATTGCTCCGTGCTGAGCTCTGTGTGGCCTGCGGGGCCCGGTCGTGGCGAACGGCCGGGCTGCCACCCGCGGCGCGCGCTCCGGGGGGCGCCTCCGGCGATCCCGTGCCACCGGGCCTTGACGCAGGCGCCCCGCGGGCCCAGGAGGCGCGATGGGCGTCACGGGGGGAGTCGAGGGCGGCCGCATGCGTCGTTGCTGCGGGCAACGCCGCGGCTGGTGTGGCCGCGGCCTTGACCCGCACGAGAGGCGTCCCGGCGTGCTGCCTGGCGCCGTGCACTTCGCCGGACGACCGCCGCGTGGTCGCCTCGGTAGCTGCGTCGCTCCCGGCGTAGTTTCCGGCCCCGTCGAACCCTGGGAAGGCCCCCGGGTGGACTTTCGCGTGGTGTATGCTCGGCTGGTCCTGCTCGTGGCTGATTCCGCCCGCGAGCACCGGCGTCGTGGGCGCGTCTGCCAACAGTGCCTCCTGTTGAGGCTCCAGCGCCCGCGGCGCGCGCTGGCGCGCTCCGGCGTCGCTCTCGTCCCCGCTGCTGTCCGAGAAGTACCAGTCGAGCCGCCGGGCCGCCACGACCTCTGCGTCCCCGGCGTGCTGCGACGCCGCCGCTCCAAGGCAGCCAGGGCTTGGTCTCCGCTTGCCCGCCGACTCCGCGTCCCCCTCGACGTCGCTCGAGGCCTCGGAGTCGCTCCCGCCCACGAAGCGCCGCACGGCCAGCCTGCACAGCGAAGGATTTCGCGCGGCGGCGTCGGAGGACGCTGCGCTGGCTGTCGCTGGGTGCGCGTTTGGATCTCTTCCGGGCCCCACAGCGTGCACACCGCGCAACTGGGCGGCGCATCCCTCGTGGAGGCTGGGTGTGTGACGAGGCACGCGGGTACGGTCGCATTCGGAGCGAGGACGACGAGCGACGCCGCGGCGCGGGGGATGCACTCACCGGCCAGTCCTGCGCGCACGCGCGGCGTGCTGGCGCTCCGCGTTGCGCCGCGCTCGCTTCCACATCATCGCAACGTCGACGGCATCCTGCGGATCACGGAATTCGCGCGCGGGAGGCGTTGCAGCGGGCGTGGGGCGACGTGCGACGTGCTGCTGCCTGTGCAGCCGGGATCCCGGCCGTTGGGCGCACCTTGGCCAGCGACAGGAACGTCGCGCCCCCCGCGAGCGACGCCTTGCGGTCCACCGTCGCTGGGGACCATATCGGGGCGTCGGGAGCCCCCATGCTGCCTGGGACTCGCACAGATGCCTCACACGCGGGATTTTCGCTCCATCGTGCCTCGCTTCGCAGCCAACCGGCACAGAGAAACGATGAGCAGCGCTCAACTTGCCGAGGAAGGCCGAGCAGCCGCCCGTTGGCCCGGGCGTGGCGGCGTCCGGGCGCCATACGTCATGCTGCCTGCTCGAGGCAGTCATACCCCCGCCGTCGTCCCAATACACCTCCTTACGAGCCCTCGGGCGCAGAGTAGTTCGGCAGTGCCGGCCGGAGCGCCGGTCGCACACCAGGCGCGGCTGAGTCAGCCTGTCCGCATCCCGTTCGTCACCATGTGACCTTCCACATCATGCAGGGCTTCGCGGCGTCAGTGCGTCGCGCAGCGAGCGTCTCGAGGCACAATCGAGCTGATCGACGAGGCGAATAACCTGAGCTCCCAGACCATGCTGTGGAATGCGTTTCCAAAGGCCGGCAGGCGATGTGCGGGGGTCGCTGTGTGGGTGCTCGCCGCTGCCTGTGCGGGCGCGCGCGTGGCCGCTGCGGAGGCTCGAGCCGTCCCTGCGCGCGTCGAGATCTACGCTGTCGATCCCCGCGGACCTCACGTGACGTTGCGCAACGCAGGCGGCACAACGGCCAACTTGACGGGTACGCTCCACGCGACACGGGCGTTCCGTTGTCCCGCGGCGCTGTGGGCGCCCACGCGGCCTTCTGCTTCATCTCTGGCACAAGCCGCTGAGACCAAGAGTAGCGTCCATTCTTATCACTTCAGTATCTAGCATGGACAGAGCGAGAGAGACCAATGGTCCCCTTCGGACATATGACGTGACTGAATTTTCCACGGGAGTGCGCCAGGCTGTCCCTGAATGCGTCCGCACGATAGCCTCGGCGCGTGCTGACGCACTCTGAGACGGCCTGCCCCACTCCGGTCACTCGCTTGGTCCCGTTCTTTGGTCTCAGCCCTTTCGAAAGCTTCTGAGCGCCAGGTTTGAGCTCGGGATCGATCTCGAGATCCTCTTCGTCGCTGTTCCTCACCTTCTGATTCGAAATCCCGGGGTGCAGGCTGGCGCCTCACGGACGCCAACCCCGTGCGGGAGCCGTACGTGTTTGGGCCCCAGAGCGGCTGCACGAGGCAGGCCTTCCTGGAGCCGCTCGAGAGCGTGCGCCTCGAGAAAGCCACGCGGGAGAAGCCCTGTGGCTTCGACTTCATCCTCGGGCCATCCGACAGGTGCGGTGACGTCCCCTGTCACTTGATGCGTCATTCGATCGAGCAACGAACCGCCGGAAGCACTCCGCGTCGTTGCCGCGCCACTTCCGAGCCGTCGCGCGCCACCAGGCCGTCCTCGCGCTGACGCAAAAGCCGCGCCTGACATCGCAGCGTGCGGCTGTTTGACGCGGAGGGCAACGAAGTCACGCGGGTGACGTGGAGGGCGCGCCCGCCGCCCGGCCACGAGATCCGCCTGATGCCGGGCGGCAAGTACAGGCCGGTGCTCCGGGACGGCAGCGTCCTCGACGTCATGCGCTCCTCAGGGCTCTTCACGATTTTCCTGGAGGCACTCGACGCCCTCGACCTCCGCGCGGCTCTCTCGCGGCCCGTCGACCCCGACTGGAGCGGCCCGCGCGTGCCCAGGCGCGGCGACGACGGCCCGGTCCTCCCGAGCTTCCCGTGGTGGTTCCGCCCCAGCGCCGTGCCCTTCACGCCCGCGCCCACGCCCCCCCCGGAGCGGGAGCGGCTCACGGAGCCCGGGATCCCGAACCTGGGACCGTACACGATCTTCGCGCCGACCGATGACGCGTTCTACGACGCCCTTCAGGTGCGCGCTGCTGCGTCGCCATGAGCGCCCACCACGACGTACTCGCCCGACGCCGCCACCGCCCTGCCGAAGACGTCGTCCGCCGCAGCGTCGCGAGCCTCGTCCCGCTGGATCGTTGGCCAGTGAGGCGCTGGCCGCATCGGTGCGACCTGGTCGTTCGCACTCATGCGCGAGAGGGGTGTGTTGCGTTGCAGGCCCTGGGGGGGTTCCGGGGGCCTCTCCTGAAGGAGGACCTGCTCAGCAGCCCGGAGCTGAAGGACGTGATTCTGTACCACATCGTGCCGGGCTCGTACAACTCGTCGTTCCTCGTCAACGCCACCGCGTACCAGACGGCGGCGGTGGCCGACGTCTACGTCGTCGAGGACCCCACGCGCGACAACGGCCTCCTCGTCAACGACGGTGCGCATCCGACCCCTCCTTCGCGACCTGTCCAGCGATCGTTGCGCCTCCGCCTTCGACGCAGCAGTTGCAGTTCGTTTGTGCAAAACAGCACAGGCCTCGCGTACGGCCGTTCGATGGCTCCCACCCCTCCCCAACATCGCTCCTGTTTCTCCCGCCCGCGCAGCCTGCACGGACGTCCCGACGCCGGATCCGTTCACTTGCAAGGAACAAGCACAGTTCGGATCCTGCTTTGAGCCGTGGATGGTCGCACCGGCGCCCGGCTGGCAAGCAGGGTACTGCCAAGCCTCGTGCGATCGCTGCCAGTGCCGCGAGGGAGGCGCGTCGTGCGCTCAGGTCCTCCTGTCGGACCTGACAGCCAGCAACGGCGTCGTGCATGCAATCAGCCGCCTGATGTTCCCGCCGCCGGTGTTCGAAGAGGCGCCGGAGGTCGCCCTTGCCGCCGCGGAGCGCGAGCGCGAGCGCACGGCCGGGGCACGCGGCCTCCCGGACGATGACGCGGGTGAGGGCGACGCGGACCTGAGCAGTCTGCTGCCGAGCAGCAACGGCGCGGCGCGGCGGCGGCGCACTACGCCAACTGCCCGGGACGCAGACGCTGTGCCGCGCGTCGAGGCGCAGGGCGCAGCCCTTCCTTGAGGCGGCGGTGAGCGGCGGCGCCTGCGTGCCTCGCTTAAACCAGGCTAGGGGGCGCAGTCGGGGTCGCTGTAACGTGTCCGCTGCATACAGAGCTGAGGCGAGCCCCATCTCTTCGTATTCGCTGTCGCAGAAACCCGTCATCATCGCAGGGGGCTCAGATCACGAAACGGGATAGCCTCTCGCCGCCAACTGCACGCCTGTCTCTGCGCCAGTTTTGCGGACGTCACGCAAGATGCGATCACGTGACTCACATCCGGGTCCCGCCGGTCCGACACGAGGACCCTGCGGCCCGCGCCGGCAACAGATCAAGCGCGACGCCGTGTGTCCCCCAGCACTCCGCATCAAATGTACCCTTGCTGGGGCTGCTCCCAGGGCTGCTGCGCGGGCCCCCAGCCCGGCTGCTGCGGCGCGCCCCACGCCCCGGGCTGCTGCGGCGCACCGGCGTGCGCCTGTGGCGGCATGCCTGGGTGTGGCTGCATCTCCAGGCGGCCCTGCGCGGCCTGCGCCCGCGCGACGTCCATCGCGGACATGTTCCCGCGCTGCTCCTTCTCAACGCGCATCGGCACGCCCGACATGTGCTTCGTCGCGTGCTCCGCGGCCCTGTCTGCAATAGAACCCGGGGGGGAGTCAGACCAGCGATGAGGGCTGGCCACGGCGTGCAGCACGGCTCATTCGGCGCCGCGGGTCTAGACACGCGCAGTGCGAGGCGCAGCGCTCACTGCATGGCACGCCTACGCCGCGACGGGGGGGGGCACAACAGCGACAAGCAAGCCTGGCCGCGCCGCCCCGCCCCGCGCACCTTTCAGGGACCACTGGTCGAACTCGTTGCGCACGCCCGCGACCCTCAGCTTCGTCTCGTCGTACGCGATCGGGCGGTGCGCGGTGCCCCCCGACGGGAGCGCGCCCGGCTGCGTAGGCGCGACGATAATTTGCATCTCCACGGGCGTGGCCAGCGGCAGGCCGTCCGAGCCGATCACGTGCGGCGCAGCCGCGTTCGCCGCCGCGGCGTACGCCTGCCCCTGGTTCTGCATGTCCCGCACCTCGCGCGCCACGTGCGTCTCCTGCAGCGGCGCCGACAGCAGGTCCGTGGGGGGGTCGAACGCCGAGTCCCCGAACCCCCCTCCCCCGCCGCCGCCGCCGCCGAAGTCCAGCAGGTTGTTCGCGGCCGGCGCGGGCGCCGCCGCCTGCGGCAGCGGCACCTGCGGCACGGCGCCCGCTGCGTCGCGCGCGGGCGCGACGGGGGACGGACTCGGCGTCGCGGTCGCCGCGCCCCAGCCCGGCGACGACGGGTACTGGTACGCCGCGGCCGCTGGCCGCGGGGGCGTCGAGGCGGCGTACGCCGAGGTGTCGGTCGGCGGGCCTGACTCGAACGACGCGTTGCTGGGCCCGAACGCATCGTCGCCGAAGCTCGCGGACCCGGACTGCTGCGCGGCGCTGCTGTTGAACTTGCTCTTCCCGGCGCCGCGGTTCATCCACCCGGGCGTCCCTGACGTCAGGCCCTCCTTGGCCGTGCGATCCTTGCCCGCCCCAAACACCGCGGCCGGGGGGGGTCCGCCCGGCGGCGGCGCGTCGTACTCCTCGTCCGACGAGTACGCCGACTGCCCCGTCCCCTCGTACGAGTACGGCGGCGGCCCCGCCGCGCCGCCGTCGTCCCATTGCGGCGTGCCGTGCGCGCTGCCCCCACCGGGCCTCCCGCGCCCGCCGTCGTTCGTCGTCATGTCCAGCTTCCCACGCTGGTTCTGCGCGTCCGTCCGCTCCTGCGCCAGCCGCTCGTCGTCCTGCAGCAGCGCCGCGAGCGCCTTGGCGCGGGTGCGCACGTTGATGCCCTCATCCTTCCCGTTCGGCGACACGTAGTGGAACGACCGCTGCAGGTCCTGCAGCACCGGCACCAGCTCCGCGCGCGCGCGCCGCGCCACCTCGGGGTGCCCCTTCTTCGCGAGATACTCCAGGAGCGCCATAGACTTGTAGACGTTGCGCCACTTTGTAGGCGGGTAGCCCAGGCGCTGCTCGATGACCGCGAGGATGGTGTTGCGGGCCTGCGGGTCGCGCGTCTCCTGCACGAGGTCCTCCATGAGCGCGCCGTGCGCGCCGTACGGGACGTTGCGCGTCGCCTCGCGCACCTTGCGCTCCACCTCCGAGAACGGCTTCGTGCGGCCGTGTTTCAGCGCGGTCGTGTAGTCCCTGCGCGGGCGGGGACCGGGGGAGGGGGTGGGCGCGCGGATGGGCGCGTGCGGGGCCGGGGGCGTCGCGAGCGCGCGGTTGATGTGGCGGAGCGCGGCGCGAGGTGAGCGGGGGGCGCGGGGCGGGTGCGCGCGGGCGTGGGTGCGATGCGGGGCGCACGCGCGAGATGGCGGGGAGGCGAGGCGCGGCGGCGCGCGGGGTGTGCGGGGCCGGCCGGGGGCGTGACGTGGGGCGCACCGAAGCCAGTGAGCGCCCTTCAGAAAGCCTGCTCTGGCCTTCTCGGTCTTCGTGCGAGGCTCAGGGGTGTTGCCGGACGCCTGGTCCGCATAGTATGCATTCATTTGGTGCACCGGGAGGGGCATCGTGGTGTCGCCGCGGCTCCGGGGGGGCGCTACGGCGCGAGGTGGGGCCAGGCGGGAGGTGGTTGCCGGCTGCCGCGCAGAAGAGGGGGTGTGCGCGGATGCGCGGCCGGTGGTGGAGTGAGTGTATGCCTGCGGGTTGGGGGCGGGGCGGCGGGGGTGGGAGGTACGCGGAGGAGCGAGCAGGGGCCGATTGAGAGCAGGAGGCAGTAGTGCTGTGCGCAGCACTGCTGCGACGGCGAAGCACGCGTATTCGCCCGCGGGCGCGTAGGGAATGAATAGAAGTGCGGCGACGCGTGGCCTGGTACGTCGATCCTGCACGCCCGGGAGCTCACGCACGACCGGGGAAAGCGCAGGGGGACGGGCGCCCGCATAGCCGTCCGGGGGGGCGCGACCAATGCGGCGACGAAGCCGCGGAAAGGAGAGCATGAGAGACGTCGAAAGCAGCGTTGCGGGTACGTGCTCAGGACGTGCTGGCCACGAGTCTACGCAGCAAGTACGTTCCGGTCCCAAGCGGCGCGTGCTGGGGAACGTGCGGGCCAGCTTGCGTGTCGCAAGGCAGACAACGCATTCGACAACGCCGGTTCCTCGGTCTAGTGATCCATCGGAAGCAACGAATAAGCACCAGTGGCGGTGAAGCAAGGACTTGCCTCGCGCCAGCTCCGTTCGCCGCGACGTGCCGCAAGCTCGCGCTACGCCTCGCCGGTGACGCCGTCCTCGCCTCTGCCTCTGTCGCTCGGCGCCCCTAGCCCGCCCCAACCTCCCGCCACCGGCCAGCAGGCCCGTCGGACGGGGCGCACTAAGAGGAGACCCCTCCAGCCGGTCAGCAGGGCCCCGCAGCCGCGGACAACTTCACGGCACGTCGCTAGCAGCACGCGCATGTCGCGGAAGCCTCGTTCGACCTCCGCAGACACGACCAGGCCCCGATCCTCCCGTGAGAACACATCCTGGAAGCATTTGGCTCCCGTCGGCACATCCTCGCGATGCGCGTCTTCAAAACGAGCGCAGCCGCTCAAGCAAGTAGAGAGGTGACCGCCCAGGCGCGCCATCGCCCGTCGCGGGCCGCGGGCGGCGCGCACGAGGCGTCGCGGTGGCCAGCGAACTGCACTGCGGTCCTGCTAAGCGGTGCGCGCCCCCCGCCCGCGCAAACCAACTCCACACATGCCCTCTGCCAACACTCGAAGTCCCCGTTCTGCGCGATCGGCCCTCGCGTGCCCCAAACGACCCGACAGCGACGCCCAACTAGCGCGCCACCACCGGCAGCCTTTTCCCTGGGCAACCGCGCGCGCGGCGCCCCCAATCTGCCGCGCAGTGCTCGCAGCGTCCGCTCCGATCGCGGCGCCGCCCACAGCGGGGGCCGCCGGGGAGTCCCCGTACGCACTCGCGGCTAAGGGCAACGACTATGGGCTCCTGAACGGCCGCATCCGCGCGTGCCAGGGCAATCTCAACCCCAACTGCGTCAGCACGTCCAGCCTCACGGGCGCCTACGCCCCTGCCTGGCGCGCGCCGGAAGGCATGGTGAGCACCACCGCGCGCGCCACGCAACGCAACCACGCTGGACAGCCGCGCCGCGACGACGCGCCGTCGCCTGCGCGCAGCAGCACTGCCCCTCTCGCCACCAGCGTCGCGCACGCGCGCGTCGCGGCCGCGACATCCGCCCCGCCGCGTCGTCGCGCGCCTGCGTGCCGCAGGACACCAAGGAGGCTATCGAGCTGATCAAGGACACGGTGATGCGCGTCGGCGGCGCGGGGTCGCGCGTGCTGGCGGACGAGGTGGTCGCGGAGGGCGCGACGCGGTACGTGCGGATCAGCGTGCCCAGCAAAAAGTTCCCGGAGGACGTCGTGGAGTTCCTCATCAAGCCCGAGGGCGTCACGGACCGCAACTGGGAGGGCGACCGGCCCGGCGCGCTCGTGCTGTACCGCTCGATCGCGGGCGGGGTCAAGTACTTGTACCCCCTGACGCAGCCGGTGCGTGGCCCGTGCAACAGCAACAGCGACCGTCGCGCTGCTCGGGGTGGTGGCGCGGCGCGCTGGCTGTGCTGTTGGGTGTTTGACGGCGGTGTGCGATGCGCTGTGGGTGCAGATCGGCGACGGGAACGCGCAGCAGAAACGGATGCAGACGGTGCGCGCGGAGCTGGGGTGGAAGCTTGTCGGGTGCGAGCTGATCGAGTGCTACGGGGAGTGAGGGCGCTGCTGTGCCTGCGCGCCGTGCGCACGGGTCGTTGCGGCCGCGGGCGTGCAAAGGAGCGTACAGGTGGTGGCGGGCTGGTACGTGAGGTGGTTGACGGGTGGGCGGGCCTTCGCTGCGTTTTTGCGTCAGCGGGGCAGGCGATCGCGAGCGCTGGCGCGACCGCGTGCGTGTGAGGTGTGGTGGCGCGGCGGCGAGGTGACGCCAGCGCAGAGGCAACGAACGTGCCTGCGCTCCGCACGCGCCGTTGCTGGGCAGACGCCACTTCTGCGCCCGCGGGGCGGGAGGAACGATTTGTTACTTCCGCGAGGGATGGACGACGGCTTTCTTCGGGGGCATGTGCGGGTGTGCGCGGGGATGCCGCGTTCGGCGACTTTCCGTCTCAGGCTCTTCGCGCCCGTGGAACCACGACCTGTTTCACCCAGATTCGCCGGCAGTCATCGAAAATCGCGCCGCGCGTCCGCGCTCAACGCCTCCGGACGCGTCGCCGCGCGTCCGACAGTAGTACCTCTCGAGACATCATCGTCGCTCATCATGCCACCGCCACCGCCCAGTGCCGGCGCCGCCGTCGCGTCCGCGCCAGTTCCGAAGAGTTGCCGGGTCGCTGACAGCAGCGCGTGGCCGTCAGCGCGTGTTCGCAGCCGCTTGCGAGCGCAAGCCGAGTCTGGGACTGCATCTCTCTCCAACGGCCCCGTGGAACCGCCCCGCCCCGAGCCCCGCCGGGCGCTCCGATCGGTGACTAGGCCATGCCGTCGACGGAGGATGACTTCGAGTTCCTGAAGGTTCTCGGGAAGGGTGCGTGTCGGCCCGCATCCGCGCCCCGCCGCTCTGTGGGCGCTGTCCGCGCCGATCGCGCGTCCTCCGGACCACCTAGCCGCCCGGCACGCAGCACAGTGCAGCGTGCTGCCGCGTCTCGGGCGCGGCGCGCGCTCGGTCGCTGCGTGGGAGCGAGGCGCCCGGCGCATATCCTGGGCCATGCCAGCCTCACAGCGCATCCCGCGGCAACGCGCGACGGCCGTGGCGCATTTCCGCGCGGTCGGAGACCTCAGGGCCGCTGTCGCAGGTGGCGCGGCGCGCCGGACGCGCCGCGCGCGGGGCGGAGCGGCGCCGGCCCCGCCGGCGAAGCATGCCGGGGCCACGCGTGCGGCCGCACGGCCTGTGCGGGCGGCGTTCGGCTTCTTTCGCCCCGTGCCTCCGGCCCTGCTGCAGGAGCGAGTGCTCGCGGCGCCGGCATTGGCTTGGAGCGAAACCGCCGCGTCGCGCGCGTCTCGGTGGTAACTGCAGGGAACTTTGGAGAGGCCAAGCTGGCGAAGCGGAAGGACACGGGCGAGCTCTTCGCCATCAAGTTCCTCCCAAGGTCAGTCCTCGCGCCCCCACGCCCGCCGTCCGCGCAGGAGCAGCCGGTCACGGACACCTCAGGAGGTGCCTGCAGCCACGACCCACGCCACGCCGCCACCCCGGTCGCGGCAGACCTCCTCTCTCAGCGCGAGCCACACTCCACGACGCCCCACGCCGGGCGCCGCGCGGAGCCGCTCGCTGGCCGCCGCACCGCGGCGCGCACCGCCTGGGCAGCCCTCACCGCTGCCGGCCGACCCCGGCGCGCCGTGCTCGCAGGGGCGCGAAGATCACCAACCACGTGGAGCGCGAGATCTTGAACCACAGGCAGCTCCAGCACCCGAACGTCGTGCAATTCCAGGAGGTGTTCCTCACGAAGAAGGAGCTGTGCATCGTGATGGAGTATGCCGAGGGCGGGGAGCTCTTCAAGCGCGTGCAGGCGCAAAAGCGGTTCCCGGAGGAGACCTGCCGACACTACTTCCAGCAGATCCTCTCCGGCCTGCACTACTGCCACAAGCAGGTCCGCAGCGCACGCACGCCCTCCCGGCCAGGCTCCGCCGCGCGCCGCGCTTCTCACCGCCCGCGCCGCGCCCTCGCTCTCGCAGGGGGTGTGCCACCGCGACCTGAAGCTAGAGAACTGCCTGCTCGACAGTTCGTCGCAAGAGCTGGCGCAGGTCAAGCTGGCAGACTTTGGCTACTCGAAGCACGCCGTGCTGCAGTCAAACCCGAACTCGACCGTCGGGACGCCCGCGTACATCGCCCCGGAGGTCCTCCTCGCGAACGAGTACGAGGGGCCGCCCGCGGACATCTGGTCGCTCGGTGAGTGCTGCAGCTACTGCGCACGCGCACACGAGCTCTTGCCGCGACCGCGGCGCCGCGGCGCCCCCGCAGCTAGGCTCGCGAGGCTTAGCTGCGGGGCCTACGCGGCGCGAGCAGGCGCGCTTGGACGCCGCGTGTTGTGCACGCATCCGACGCCGCTGTGCCGTGTCCCTCGCGTGGCGCGACCGCAGGGGTGACGCTGTACGTCATGCTGTGCGGGCGGTACCCGTTCGAGGACCCGAAGGACCCGAAGAACTTCCAGAAGTCGCTGCAGCGCATCGTGGCGGTGCAGTACCAGTTCCCGTCGTCGGTGAAGCCCTCGCCCGAGCTGCAGGACCTCTTCGACAAGATCCTGGTCGCGGACCCGAAGAACCGGATCAAGATCAGCGAGATCTGGCAGCACCCGTGGTTCAAGAAGAACCTCCCGCAGGACCTGGCCGAGGAGGTGGCTGCGGAATCCAAGGGCCAGAAGTACTCCTGGTTCAAGAAGCTCGCGTCCAAGGTGCGGCAGAAGCGCGGCGCGACGGCCGAGGGGAAGACGGACGACGAGCTGCTCGCGAAGCAGAGCCCCGAGGAGATCAAGGCCATCGTGCAAGAGGCACGCCAGGACAACCAGGAGGTGGACATGCTCGAGGACGACTTCGACGACGAGTTCTTCTAGACGCAGGCAGCCGCGCGCGCGCGAACGATAATGGTCCGCGCGCGCGAGCAGCTGAGATCGATTTTTTCGCCCGGGCGGAGGCCCAGCCAGGAGTTGAGTTGCGCGCGGGCAGGGCAGCGGTGCCGGTCGGCGTGCGGCTCCACGTGCGCGCGGGCGAGCCGAGCGCGAGTCAGCTCGTGCCGCCTCGACAGTCGCACAACGTGGTGCAGCGCAGCGTGCGCTCCTGGGCAGGGTTCTCCTCTCGCGGCGACCAACGCGCCCGACTACACGACACGTTTGTGAACGCTCCGCCTCTCGCGACCACGCCCGTCACAGCCCTGCGCGCGCCCGCCCGCCGAGCCACGAGCCGCCCTTTTACTTTTACTCCCCCCCTGAGTCATCTCCGCTTCTTGTCCTTTTCCGCCTGCTTCTGCTCCTTCCGCTCCGCCTTCCGCGCCTCCTTCCGCCCCTGCCCCCGCGCCAGCGCCAGCTGCTTCGCCTTCGTCCCCTGCCCCGCCGCCCCCGCCCTCCGCGCCATCCGCGTCGCAGCCATCGACTGCTGCGCTGCCTCCTGCAACAGCCCCCCGTTGATCACCAGCGACGTCAGGACCCCGCACGCCGTCATCCCCGCCCCCATCGTCAGCCGGTCCTTGACCCATTCCGGCGTGTTCTCCGCGAACGGCTCGAGGCCCTGCGTGAACAGGGAGTAGAACGCCGCCACCGCCAGCCCGAGCGACACGACGAAGCGCACGGCCTCGGAGAGCACCCACGCGGTCAGCGCGCGCCCGAACATCGCCCACGACTGCCCCGCGGTCCCGATGATCCACGCCGCCGACCGCGCCACCGTCGCGCCCTCCAGGACCTGCGCGCTCAGCACCACAGACACGCTGCGGCGCTCATCGCCGCCGCGGACCCCCCGCACGCCCCTCCAGGCATCGCTGACACGAGCACCGACGCGAAGACGCGGCCGGGCGCCGTGCGCAGTGGCGTGATTCACAGATCCTGTCAGACAGGATCTCTCGTTGACTTACGTGGGACGTGGCGAGGACGATGAGGATGAGGCGGGCGGGGAAGAGCTGGTAGACGATGTACGTGAAGATGTAGAAGGTGCTGCGGACGAGGACGATGAAGAAATCCTGCCCCAGGTGCACGCCGTGCTTCAGATGAAAGAAGGTGTCGTTCAGGACGTAGCCGACGACCGCGGCGCCGAAGTACGACACGCGCGAGAAGTACACGAACCGCGCGCCCGAGAGGACGCTCACGCTGTCGTCCAGGAACAGGTGCGCGCCGAACGCGCACATGAGGAGGCTCGTGAGGAGTCGCAGGGACTCGCTGGGCCACTTTACTTGATCGTCCTCCTCGAGGTCTGACCAGCGGCTGCGAGCGCGTGCGGAGAAAGGGGGAGCGTCGGCGGCGGCGGCGTTGTGGCGCAGCGCTGGGCGCGGAGGAAGGCAGCCACCACGTTGTGGCGCAGAGGCGGGGGGCGCGGCGTGCGTCCGTTCCGGGGCGTCGCGGGGGACTGAGCGGACCTGAAGGTCAGCGTGCGGAAGATCATGCGCCAGCCGGACTGGACACATAGAAACGTGAAGGCAGAAATAGCAAGGAGCACAGGGTAGTCGATGCTTTCCAGATTCCATTGAAGCTCCATTTCCTGCGAGCACGTGATTCCAGTACGAACGATGGGATGCCAAGGATATGCGACACCTTTCGAGGCCCTCGCTAACCTGTGAGCGACGGTGAGCGATACATGGCGAGCGGACTCGCCGGACGCGAGGATGCGGTCGAACAGAACCAGCGGTGCGTGAGCACTCGCATGCCGGGTCGGGACGAGGAACCGCGTGAGGTTGACGATGCGCAGGGCCGATCCGCGGAAAAATATCATAGTGGTCAGAACGGCAAGGATCGGGGCGACGCCATCGCTCGTCCAGCGGCGCACAAGGTCCTTCTCCGTCAAGGATACTTCCTGTCTGCGGCAGACGGCGCATAATTGCAGCAAGATGCCCACGATATAGGGGCGAACGGCGGCCGAAGGAGCAGCAGCAACGCTGCTGGCTCTGTGCGGTGCCTCAGCGGGGCTCTCCGAGCTCTCCGCGTGGCTTATTCGGTAGAACAGCGCGTGTGTCGAGGATCGCGTCACGAACGGACCTGTGTGAGCCACGCATTGTGGTCGGCCTCCGTCATGTTCCTGGCAGACCTATCACGTCGCCGCGCAGCGGCTGATCGATGCTCGCGATGCGATCGGACCGCTGCTCGCCGGCTGCAGATCGAGCGCAGATGCGTGGGCGCTCAAGAGCGGCCAGCGATCCCCAACGTCACGTGGATTCCCCGCTTCTCAACTGGCAAGTATCTTTCGCGGGAATTCGCTCGAATCGACGCGTTGCCGGATCAGCACATGCCTGTCCTCCGTTGCCAGGGTGCGCGTCGTCGAAATTCGCGGCCCTGACTGCGTCCTGCCTCCCACGCACCGCGCGGCACGGCCATGAGCTCCCAAGGCTGGGAGGGTCCAAGTTGGACCAACGCGAGTCGCATTCGATCGACTTCGACGGACGTGGCCGCCCTTCTGTCCCCCCTCTCAATCGCCGCGGCGGAATTTCGCCCCGCCCGGCCCCCGAACCAAGTCACCTGCGCGCCCACCGCCGCGACACATCTCAAAGTCCGCAACCATGCCATCGCACGCGCGCTGAGCCGCGTGGCCGCCACGCGCAGCCGCGCCGAGGCACACCGATGGCGGGCGCTGCGGCGGCCAGCCCGTCTAGCGCCCCGGAAGAGCCTCCGGGCCGCGGCTCCGGCGGCGCGGGCGACAGCGCGGAGTGCCAGCTGGCCGCTGATGCGGGCAGGAGGTCAGCCGCAGACGGCGGCGAGGCGGGGGGCGAGGCGCGCAGTGACATGCATAGCGGGGGGCCTGTGGGCCTCGACGACCTGCCGTTGGATCTCCTGGAGTGCGTGCTCGCCTGCGTGGGGGACCTCACGACAGGTGCGTGCTCGAATTGGCGGCGCGGCGCCGCACGGCGCCGCCGTCGCGTGCACCAAGCTTGGTGGCCGATCGTCGCGCGCAGCGCGTGTAGCGGCGCCGAGGAGGCGGAAATGCGATACGATGCGGATTGACGTCCGCGTTTATGCTCGGAATGGGCGCAATTATGGATATGGCACTTCGCACGTGGCTGCGCGAGGCCTGTGAGGGTTCTGGCGGGCCTCTTGCTCCGCCTCCCTCCGGGTGCCGGGCTCCGACGACGTGTGTGCGGTGCGTGGGATGCAGTGCGAGGCGTGTGCTCGCTGTGGAGGGACTGGGCGGACGCGAGGGTGACGTCAGCGGGCCCGCACGCGCACGACCCCACGGCTGCACGCAACGAAGCTGCTCTGGCGTGCCTGGGCGCGTACCGCGGCGCTGAACGGATCCGAAGCCTCAGCATCAGCGGTGCGTATCCTCTCTGGAGTCCCGCGCGACCCGAGCCTGCTCTATTGGACGCGCCTCGAGCACGCCCGAGCGCGTTCCCTCGCCCCCGTGGTTGATGTCTTGGAGCGCCGCAGCGTCAAGGATATTCCTTCCGTTTGAAGTAAACCGCTTGCTCTATCGCGCAGTCGCTCTGCTGCTCCCGGAAGACATACAACCTTTCGCACACCAGTGGCGAGACGCAGCTCAACCAACTTTTGCTATTCAACGACTTCTTCCGGCCCGCCGCTGCCTCCGCAGGCGGCCAGGGCATCCCTGCGACGGCGTACGCGCACCTCAGTGCACTGAAGTCTCTGTCTGACCTGTCTGTCGCGCGGTGCGGGCTCACCGCGCGCGAAGTCGCGGCCTTGTGCGACGCACTGCGGGCCTGCAGCGCCCCCGTCACGCGGCTGGACTTCTCCGGCAACTACGGGTGCGGCACCACGATCACGCCGGCTGAGCGCAACACGCCGGTCTACGCGCCGCCCGCCCGCCGCCGTCCACGGCCGCCACGCAACGCTGCGCACTCACGCCTAGCTTCACGCCCACATCCAGCGCGCGCACAGCCCCGGCGCCAGGGCCCGAGCCCACGCCGGACGAAGAAGAGGGCTCCGCGCACCGCGCGCCGGCCGCGCGCGCCCGTTCAGGCACACTGCAACTGCCGTCATATAATTACATACACCTGCGATCTTGCGCTGCAGGCTCGGGAAGGACGCGGTGCAGGCCCTGTGCCAGTGGCTGTCTGCGAGGAAGCGCGGCGATCCGGCGCTGCTGGAGCTGTGTCTGGACCAGTGCTTCGACGTGGACGACACTTGCATCACGCAGCTGGCGTCCGCAGCACCGAAGCTGCAAGTGCTGTCCCTGCAGGACTGCCCAGCGGTGAGCAGCCGCGCCCGAGCACGCACGCATAGGAGTCCTCGCGCGAGGCGCCCCTCGCAGGTCCGACCAAAGCTGTGGTGGTTGCGGCGTGCTGTGTGCAGGTATCGGACGACGGCCTGTGGGGGCTCGAGGGCATGACGAGTCTGCGCGAGCTGGACCTGCGATCGCTCAAGCTCGTGAGCGACGAGGGGCTGCGGCCGCTGTCGCGCCTGGCCGGGCTCACCAAGCTGTGTTTGCGCGCCTGCGACGGAGGCGGCGAGACCACGGACTACAACCGGCTGTTCGGGGTCACAAGTGCGCCACCGCCGCGCAATGTCCAGCATTCCTACGGCTCTCTTTGCGCGCCAGCGGCCGTGAGGTTTGTCGCGCGTCACTGACGTCCTCGCGCCGTGCGTGTGCTGCAGGCGACGGCATGCGGTTTCTAGGCAACCTCACGAACCTCCAGAGCCTCGACCTCTCGCTCGGGCGCGTTTCCGACGTCGGGATCGCGAAGCTCGCGCCGCTGACGGGCCTGACATGCCTGCACGTCCGCCGGTGCCCGCGCCTCACCGACCGCGCCGTGACCGCCATCGCGGCGAACTTCCCGCGCCTGCGCGACCTCGACGTCGCCTGGAACGAGTCCCTCACGGACGACGGCACCACGGCGCTCAGCGCCCTCACAGAGCTCACGCGGCTCTCCCTGGAAGGCCGCGGAGTCAGCGGCCGCGTCTCACGCATCTCCGACAAGACGCTGCTCGCCATCGCAGCCATCCCGGGCCTCAGGTACGTCCCCGTCCATCCACGCGCTCGACGCAGCGTGCCCAACTCTCATCATCGCTGACAGGATCCGAGATCTCGCTCGCCGCAGGGAGCTGGACGTGAGCCGCTGCGACATCGGGGACGCCGGCGTGTCGGGCCTGCTCGCGGGGGGAGCCCCGCTGTCTCACCTGGACCTCTCGCACTGCCCCCGCGTCAGCGCGGCGTCCTGCGCGGCCCTGGCGTCCGTCGGGTCGCTCCGGGAGCTCTGGCTGAACGACTGCCACGTGGGCAACGCGGGCTTGATGGCGCTGGCCGGGGGCGCCGGGGGCAGGGTGCGGCTGCGCGGCCTGCGGCGCCTGTCGCTGCAGGGCGCGGCGGGGGTGGACGGGCAGGGCGTGGGGCACCTAGCGGGGCTGCCGGCGCTGGAGGAGCTGCACTTGGACGGCTGCGGGATCGACGCGCGGAGCGTCGACGAGCTGCGGAGGGCGTTGCCGAGCATTTTCGTGACGCTGTGAACATCACGTTGGAAAGGGGCGGCCGAGAGCAAGGACGAGGTGGAGTACCCGCACGCACGTTGTGGCACGCGTGGCTTGGGAGGGAGCGCTTCGCCGCCGGACACGCGGAGGGATAGACGCTGGCTCTCACAGGCCGCACCATCATCTCAAGCACCCTCGCAGCGGGCACCTGTGGGTCAGCGAAGTACAAACGAAGCAGTGGATGTCCGACGCGCGCCCGCGCTGTCGCATGCGTCCAAGGTCGCCCTGACATCTCGACACGGTCATCGCTGCCCCGGGGCTCAAAAACCCTCACTCAGCAGCGCATGCGGCCCGCCGCCGCGCGTCCATGAGCGCGACCGACCTCCTGGAACGTCACCGCTCCGCTCCGTTGTCGCCGTGCGACCGCTCACTCGCTCGCTCACTCAGCCCGCGGACCGTGCAAGAGTGCTGCGCCTACGACGCGACACCGTATGTGCCAAAGGGGGGCGTAGACCGGCGTGGCCGCGCATCCGCCACGCCGAGCCTCGCCGCATGCGCAGCGCGAGCGACATCGTGTGCGACCACGCCCCCGCGGTCGACGAGCAGCGCGAACGGGTGTGCACTCGGGAGCGTGCCCGAAGCTGGTCCGCACGCCATGCCTGCGCGTGCAGGCGCGCGTGTGGCCCGCGCAGCCCGCTAGCTGAGCATCCCGGTGGCGTTGAAGTCCCCGACAGCCGCGCTCAGAGCCTGGTCGAACAGTTCGCAGCGAATAGGCATTTCCATCTGCAAGCGCGGCAACACAACTATGGCATCACGTCGCGCACGTGGCGGCCAGGCCGCGTCCGCGGGCTGCGACGTATTCGGAGGGAGGCGGGCGGCGCTTGCCTCGTAGAACGGCGTCTTGAGCGCATAGTCGCAGTAGAGTTGGTATACGCGCTGTAGGAGGCCCTGCGCGCCCGCACAGCCGCGGCCCACGACGGCGAGCATCTTGGTGCCCGTCATGGGCTGCAGGGCGTATATGTCGCACGCGTCGGTGTGCATCACCTCCATGCCGTGGCACCCGGGCACCGGAGACACCTGTGCGCAGAGAGCAGCCGAGGCATGGTCGGTGACCGGCGAAACTGGAGCGTTCCGCAGTGGAACGAAGAGATAGTGTCGCGAGCATCCGACGAGCGTGTGTCTGCGTGTGTTGTGCCGCGCGCAGGCGTCCTGGCTCGCCGAGCGGTTGCGGGGCCTGGTGGCCTGCGCGCTCTGGACCCGCGCGCACCTGCTTGGTGATCGCGCTGACGGAGTGCCAAATGCTGGCGATGCGGAGCGCCTCGTTCGTGTCCAGTCGGGCCGCCGGCGTCGCTGCCCAGGAGAAGATCAGCCCTCCACTCTTGTTGATGATGTAGACCCCGTGGACGAACTGGGACGACATCGCTTCGCCCGGCACCTCCGCCGCACAGCACGCGTCCTACTCAGCTGAAACCGAGCTCGCCCGTCGTCAGCGCCGCCTGCTACTGCATGACGCTCTGTACCTGGTCCAGCAGCCCGCCCCGCGAACGCCGCGGGAGTTCTCGCCGTCGAAGCCAATGACCTGGGCGCCGAAAGCGCACAGAAGCAGCGGAGATGCCACAGGATGGTCGCCAGGGCGTGTACACGGAGCAACGAGCGATCTAGTGCTGGTCGTGTCCCAACCCTCCACTGGCCCCGGAACGACCACAACGGCCCTCCTCTTCCAACGTCTCAGTCGCAACGCTCAATATCTGCGCGGGGCGCCACTCGCGCGCCGCAAGCAACGCTGCGGCACGACGCTGCGCGGAGTGGAGTCCTCTTCCAGTCCTCCACAGGGGGCTCACCGTGGATTCCGGCCGCTCCAGCCCCTGACGCGGCGACAACAGGATGGGCCGCCGAGGGACGCCCGGCAGTCGCAGCGAGCCTGTCAGGACGAGCGCCGTCCCGCCTGGAGCGACAGCATACCTCACAAGCAACTGCCCGCCCTGTGTGCTGGCCCAGACGACCCTGGGGGGTCTCGTCCGCAGCCGCGACCCGACCTGAGTCTGTCACAGCACAGCCTCGCGGTCCGTGGGCCCGCGGGAGAAGACGTCGCGGCGGTTGCAGCGCCTTGATTCGCCTGGTGAGAAGCGCCTCTGCGCGGCACGTGCTGGCGTGCTCCACGTTCGCGCGACGGCTATCCGCTGCGAAACGGCTGTACCGAGCGCATGGTGCCTCCTCGTGCTGGCGAGCGATGCTGCGCGCCGCGCTGCTGCGTTCACAGAGGGCCAGCGCATATGTGCCGCGCAGCCTGTAACGACTGCGTCGTGCGCCTTTCTCGCAGGCGGACGACACGGCGACGAACATGAACACGCAGCAGTCCGGTTCAGATAAGGCCGAGGACGCCCTGCGCGGCCACGCGCTGCGGAACACAGATGCCAGCACAGACGGCGAGAGCGACGACGCAGGCGCGCCGGCAGCGGGCACGATCCGTCGCGGCGGCATCCGTGTTGACCGCGGCGACGGCCCGCTCGGTCACGACGCCACCAGGTCCGCCGCGCACGCCGCACCGGGGCAGCGGCACAACGCTGCGCTATGCTTCGGGCCCCGCTGCGCGGCCCCGGGGCACGGCGCACCCAGGCTCGCGCCGCGACAGCAGGATATGTGCACGTCGGGGCGGAGGACGCGTGTGCGGTACCTTGTGCGCGGCCGCGGCGACCTGTTCTGGCCAAAGCGCATGCGTCGTGGGGGTCCGCTCGTGCAGGACGATCGCCCAGATGAACTCGCAGCTGACGTCGCTCAAGAGCTGGCAGAGCCGGCACAAGGCGGAGGTGGAAGCGCTCAAACGCCGCAAAGAAGCCCAGCTGCACGAGAATTTCGCGGCACCGATCGAAGGTGACGTCGCCCGCTCGCGCACGCCCCGCACGGGCCGCCGCGGCCCCACCGCCGCGCCTCCGCACCCTCCACGCACCACATCGAACAGACCCCCCCCTGACACCCCCCCGCACAGCTCCGCCTCGAAGGCCCTCGGTACACACACGCAGCACGCGCAGCCCTCGCGGCCCAGCCCCCCACCGGCCTCCTCCGCCCCGCCTGCCTTCCGCAGACGTCGCGCGGGCCGAGCTCGACCCCCTGTCGGCGCCGGGCCGCGATGCCGACGCTACGCTGCTCCAAGAGCTGCGCGACGCGGACGCCGAGATCTCCCGGCGCCTGGCCGAGTCAGGGCCGCGCCAGCCCGCGAGCTCGAGCCCGAGCCTGACGCTCGAGCAGCTCCGGCTCCTCGCGGGGCTGTCGGCGGGCGACGACGCCGCGCCGTCCACTGACGCTGCCGCGGCGCGCGGCACGCCGAAGACCTCCGGGGACGGCCAGCGGAGGAGCGTCGACGAGCGGCTGCAGGCGCTCGAGGACGACCTCGACGTCCTGTGCGGGCTCGAGGTGCGCCGGCGCCGTGCTGCTAGGTCCCTCGGCATCCGTCACTGCGCAGCGCATGTCGGGGTCGTCAGACGCGCTCGCTGCGCAGGGCGGCGGCCGCGCCGCGCGGGCCTGGACGTGCTGCGGCGCGTCGGCGGCCTGCGGGGCGCGGCGGGGGCCGCGGAGCCGCTGAGGGGCGTGCGTTGTGCGATGTTGTGGTGTTGCAGGCGGGGAGCAAGATCGCGGAGCTCGGGGAGTGGGAGCGCGACCTTGATAGCGTGCTGGGGCGGCTGGGCGAGCTGTCGGGGAAGTAGGTGGCGTGGGAGTGGAGTTGGGCGGCCGTGGCGGGGGACGCAGGGCACGTCGTGGGGGAGAGCGGCCGCTCGTGCTCTGGCAGGCGCATGAGCGCGTGGGGGTGGTGCCCGGGACGGCGGTCGAGCGAAGGAGGAGGTGTTGCTGGTGGTTGGGAGGGCGGAGCTGCGGCGGCAAGGGCCTAGGGTGAGCGGCTCCGAGTCAGGGGGTCCGTTCCCGCGCGTCTAGGGGCCATTCGCGCGCTCCCGCGCGTGTCCGTCGCATTCCTGTGAATTTCCGAACGGTAGGAGCGCCGAAGTAGCGTCGCACTTGCGTAGGGGCGACGTTCGCAGCCAACGATCAAGAGCCCGCCTTCGCCGCTACGGCGCGTTTCTTGCGGATCGCACGTCCCATCGCGGTCGTCCATATCCAAGCTTTCCTCTCGTAGCCGGGGGACACACCCTGGCCCGCCTGGCTGGCGCCGCCCTCGTTCTGAGCTCGAAAGTGTTCTAGATGGTGAAGGTGAACGCCTCAGTGCACAGGCTGGAGGTGGAGGCCTACAGGGCCGTCTACAAGGTCTTCGCGGCCACAAACACCTTCAATCTGCAGACGGACAAGCTTCTCACGATGCTGCGCCATGGTGAGCCCCTGCACGCCCGCCTTGTGCGCCCTGACGCGTCCTCGGCCCGAGACCGCGTCACCCGCAACGTCGCCACCTCGCCACACGTACAACGCGCAACGCGACGACGCGCGGCCAACGGGCCCTCATGCGCCGGACGGGTCGTCTCCTCCCACAGCGCACCCCTGATGCTGCCCGCACGTGGCCTATCTACCGCGTCCCGCGCGCCCGGGGCCACCTCCGTGCATCAAGCAGCCCCGTGCGCCGCCGTGACCCGCAGAGCTGCACATTCAGAGCACGGACGAGTTGGAAATCAAAGAGACCATAGAAAGTGACCCCGACGTCGTCGCCATCCGCGACGGCAAGGTCCCGCCGTCCGAGAAGAAGGCCAAGACCGCTGCGCCAGCGGCCGCGATGCGCCTCAACCCCCCCGACGCAGGTCCGGCACCGCAACCCACATGCCGCTCGTCGCACATGACATGCCGCCCGCGCCGGCGCTCCGCCGTTCGTCCAGCACGCACCCCACGCGGACAAGCCCCTTCGACGCGCGACCCGCCTCACAGCGCGCACGGACCCGCCCACCACGGCCGCTCCTCGTTCTGCGTGCAGACATGCCGCCGCCGCCGCCCCGGGCGACGCAGAGCAAGAAGCGGCGCGCGCTCGAGCGCATCAAGCCCGCGCCGGCGCCCGCGAACCCCACGGGCCCGGCCCCGGGCGCGCAGGAGCGCCCCACCGCGTCCAGCATCAACGTCGACGAACTCATTGGGCGCAAGGTTATACGGTTCTGGCCGGACGAGGGCGGCTGGCACGAGGCGGTCGTGACGGACTACCGCAAGGAGTCGGACGAGCACTGCCTCACGTACAACTTGGGGCTCGGGCCGGAGAAGGAGAAATGGGAGTGGTTCCAACTGCGGAAGAAGTGCGCAGGTGGGTGCGGCGGTGCCGCGCTGCGACGACGGCGCGCGTGGGGACGGCGCGCGGTGTGCGCCGCGGGGTGTGGTAGCGGGCGCGTCTGCGGCGACGGTGCCGGGCGGCTCCCTGGGGGTGTTTTGTTTTGGGGGGGGGGCTCTGACGGTGTGCGCGTTTTCGTCGTGGCTTTGCTGTGCAGCGAACCCGAGCGAGATCCGGATGACGTCGGAGTACGTCAACCTCCTGGACGCCGTCGTCCCGTCGCAGGCGCTCACCGTGACGCAGGTCGAGGCCATCTCCAGTGCCACCAAGATCGAGCCCGGGTTCCAGTCGCGCCTCGCGCAGGCCACGCAGGTCGGCGAGGACGCCCTCAAGCGCCTCAAAGGTGCGCCGCACCCCCCCGGGCCTCCACGTCGCTCTCGCCGGCCGTCCGCGCTCCGCCGCCGCCACGCGCCCTCACGGTCGCCGCCCGGCCGCGCTGCGCTGCAGACGAGGTGGACATGAGCGGGCTGAAGCTCAAGTCGGAGATGATGGTGTTGGACATGCTGGACGCCATGCCTGACGGCAGCACTAAGGACCAGGAGGTGGCGATGCTGGAGGCGAAGCTGCGGGAGGTGTCGGCGCGCGAAGCGCAGCTGCGGCAGCAGATCGAGACGGTGATCGAGCTGTGAGGGGCGCGCGGGGGCCGGCTGGAGGGCCCGCGGGGGCGGAGGTCTGTCAAGTGCAATTGGGGAGGGGGGGGGGTTGTGGGCTGTGGCGATGTGGGCGGGGGGGGGCCGGGAGTGGAGATGGTGCATGAAGATTGCATGACGTGGTGGAAAATGCCCGGAGGGGCGGCAGCAGAGAGAAGGGACGATATCAAAGCACGAGCTGAAATGATACGATTCGGTGCGATGCGGTGCTCGTCGCGGACAAGGAGGCGCCTGCGCGCGAAGGCGAGCGTGTAAGGACGCTCGCGGACGCGCCTGTTCTGTTCATCTGGGACTGTGCCGCGGGCTTTGAGCAAATGCAGTGCTCGTGTACGTTGCCAGGTGGCCGCATGCGAACGCAGTCGAGGCGGCCCGGTTGGGGCTCGCGTAGCGAACACGCTGTCGCAGGGGGCGGCCCTGCGCGGCGGACATGCGCGGACCGCTGCTGCGTTGCGATTTGTTGATTGATATCGCATCTTGCTATACGCATGACGTAGCAACTCAAGAGAATCGCATTCCCAGACATGACGCGGCGAGAGCCTCCCCGGCATGTGGTCGCATGGCAGTGCGCGCGACAAAACCTGCCACGATGCCGCATTGATAAGGACGACAGCGCCCGCATGTCGTATCTTGGGTGAATCAATAGCGCTAGTGCTTTTGCGGTCGAAGCTGCGCAAGTGACTCCGCTTCGATGCTTCTGCACACGATGTTCCCGCAGTCATGCTACTCTCACAAGCGCAGGGCGCCACACGCCCGCGTCCTTTCCACCCTCATTTCCAGGATGCCACACACCGCGAACCCCCCCGCGCCCCCTCGTGCCCACCGTCGCCGCCTACCACAGCGGGTTACCCATCCCCGCGCCCACGCCCGCCGGCTGCCCGTACGTCTGCGCCTGCGGGGCGCCGTACCCTCCGCCGCCGCCGCCATACATCCCGCCGCCGCCCGCCGCCGGCGCGCCGCCGTACCCGCCGGCCCCCGCCGAGTACCGCCCGCCGCCGCTGCCGCCGAGCGACCCGCGGCCCGCGCCCTGTCCCCCGGGCGGCGTCGGCCCCAAAAACACCTTCTCGCCGGCCTCCGCGCGACGAATGAACTCGATGTACTCCTTGGCGTCCTTCACCCAGTCGACGGGGTCCGCGGAGAACACCTCGACCCTCTGCTTCTGCTCGCCCTGGTACTCGTCGAGCTTGCACTTGAGCTTGAAGCGCAGCTTCTGGAACGAGGCGGCGCGCAGTGCCGCGGCGTGGCGGTCGGGGTCCTCCTGCTCGAGGACGCGCAGGTCGCCGGCCTCGACGCCGAGGAGGCCGACCGCGGACTCCTGGAACGCGGTGACCCACTGCAGGCCCGTGTGGTCAGCGATCGAGAGCCCGAGGATGTAGCGCCAGCACGGCGTGCACGCCGCCTGGCACGCCTCGCAGTAGTAGCTGCCCTCGGTCTCGTCGTTCGGCGTGACCTTCTTGTTGCAGGGGCGGCCGTTGCGGAGCTGCGGGCACGCCGCGTACATCATGTTCTCGCTGCGGATGAAGTTGACAATGGCGTTGACGGTGACGAACTCGGCCCGGCCGCCCGGAACGTTCGTGCCGTAGCGCTCCTCCTGGAGCATCGCGAGGTCGCAGCGGCCCTTGCCCGTGCCGGACGCGCCCATGCGGCCGCCGGCGCCGGACAGCGCGGTCGCCGCGGCAGCGCTGCCGCCCTGGTCGTACCACACGCGGAGCGCCTGCGCGGCGGGCTCGTTCTCCGGGTTGAGGAGGATGTTCGACGAGCCGATCGTGGACAGGTTCTTGCCGTTGAAGTCCCCGACCCTGACGGCCTTGATGGCCACCACGGGGCGCGCGCCGGAGCTGACGTCCGCCTCGATCTGTCCCCCCGGGGTCTCCACGAACTTGCCCCACAGCGTGAGCTCGATCGACGCGCCCGAGGAGTCCTTGATCGTCATCGAGCGCTTGTCCGCCGGCGACCCGTCGCGCCGCGTGATCTGCGTCGCGGGCATTGCGGCCTCCACGACGCCGACGACGTCCACGACGTCGCCGGCGGGCACGTCGGCGAGGCTCGCGATGGGCTTGAAGTTGAACGAGATCTCCGGGATCGCCGCGCCGTCCTCGTTGGGGCACAGCTCCACGACCGAGTCGCGCTCCAGCGAAATCTCGTAGTCGTTGTTGAGGTGGTTGAACTGCTTCTTCGCGGGCTTCAGGCTCGCCTTCGACAGCCGGTAGATGCTCCCGACCTGCGCGCGGGCGCCGGCGCGAAGCGGCGGCGTCTGCGGTGCCGTGCGCAATTCGCACACACGCGACGCGTGCGGGGCGCGGCAGCGCGGAGCGAGCGGCGCCGCGTACGTGCTGGCAGCCGTGAGAGCTCGCGGCCGACCGGCGCGCCGCCGCGGCGACGTGGCACGCGAGGGAGCGGCGGCGGCGCAGCACGAGGCGGCGGGCGGAGGCGCGGTGTCGCCGTGGCGCACCTGGACGGTGTCGAAGTGCTTGTCGACCTGCTCCCCGAAGGCGGTGACGCGGATCTCGCCGCTCTGCTCGTCGAGGAGGTCGAACGAGAAGAGCTTGCCCTCTCCGCGCGCGTTGTGAAACCGCCGGATGTCCGACTTGCTGGTGACGCGCGCCTTGATGGTCCAGCGGTTCTGGTACGGGTTCAGGTTCTTGATCGGCATGATGCGCACCGTCGGGTCCAGCCGCGCCGTCGGACCGGAGCCCGTCTTCTGGAACTTCTGCGGCTGCGCGCCGAAGTCTGCGGGGGGGGGGGGGGTGTCAGAGGACGGCGTGGCGCGCGCGGGGCCGAGGGCGGGGGATGCTGCGGGGCTCGAAGCGGGCTGTGTGCGCCGCGGCGTGCGTTGGTGCGACGTGAGAGGGGGTGTGGCCGTGGGAGCGGTCGGGGGCGAGGGGGGGAGTATTCGCGTATTGGCGCCCGTGGCTACGCAGGATGGTGGGGGGCGGACCGAGGGTGCTGTGCGGTGCGTGTCGCGGTGGGACGAGCGCGGGGCAAGCGTGTGGCGGGGGTCGTGCTGCGCACGCTGTGGGGCGCGGTGCAAGCGCTGGGGCGCGATTCGGCGCACCTGCGCTCTGACCGTAGCCTCCAGGCCCGCCAACGGGCTGCCCGTAGCCGCCGGGCCCGCCAGCGGGCTGCCCGTAGCCGCCGTGGGCGGGTGCGGGGGCAGGTGCGGGGGCGCCGGCACCAAGCTCCCGTACGGGCTGCGGGCTGCCGATCTGGTGGCCCGGGTTGCCGACGTACTCGCACCCGACCACGATGATCATCTGCACGGCACGGCGTCGCGGGAAGAGCGACGTTGCTGCGCTGCGGAGGCCGGAGAAGGGTTTTCGCGCACCGCACGAAAAGAAACGCGGCCTCCGGGCGCGAGGGTCTCCGAGGCGGTCCTCGGGCGAGCCAGGCGGGCCGCGGGTCGTACCAGCTTGCCCTTGAGGTTGTTGATCATCCAGTTCGTCAGCTTGATGACCGAGAACTTACTGAGTTCCTGGTTGTGTACCTGCATCACACGGACGCCGCGCACCGTCAGCACGCGCCTCGGACGCCCGCGCACTCCATCGCAGACGCCTCTCCGCCAGACGTGCTTCGGTTTGCGACGCGGTGCGGGCCGCGAGAGCCGCGGAGTCGCGAGCGCGCGGAAATTGAGCAAGTGGCGGTTTGGGCGGGCGCGCGCCGCGCACGGACCTTCTCGACGATCTGGGCGGCGACGACGCCGCGGGCGGAGCTCGTGCCGTCCGAGAGCTGCATGGTCCAGCGCGGGGGGCTGCCGCTGCTCGCGGGCTTCATCTCCCGGACCTCGAGGACCTGGAGGACGGGCTGGGCGCCCGTGCTTTGGCTCGAGACGTCCGTGTTCGCCACCATCCAGTCGATGATTTGCGGCGTGAGCTCGAACGTCATTGTGCGTGCGAGTTCCTGCTGCCGGGTGTCCCGGGGCGCCCGCTGAGGCGACGTTCGAGCGCTCGGCGCGCGACGGGTTTCCGCGGTAGTCAGGGCCTGTGCGTCCGACCTCGTCGCGAAGAACGAGCCCACGCAATACAGGATTCGAAATTCTGCCCCCGCCGCGCCGCCTGCGGGCCCCACGAGACGGCTGGGGCCGGACCCACCCCATGCTGAGACCTCAGCACGCCTGAGCCCGCACCACCGCCCTTCCCCGCAGCTCCCGCGCGCCCGCGCGCGCGCCTCCACGCACCGCAGTGCAGTTCGGAATTCTGCCCGCGCGCCACCAAGCCGCGCCGTGGCGTCTGGACCCGGCACAAGCAGCCAACAGCCCTCACACTGCGCTGCGCCCGCAGCCCGACACCGCGTCGCTGTTTCCCTACTTCCCGGCCTGCGCGGCGGCGTGTCCGTCGAGCGTGGCCTTCAGCGACGCCAGGAACTGCTTGTTAGCCATGAGGATCACCATGCAGTCCACCAACAGCTCCTTGTCCTCTGTGTTGTTCATCGTGATGCGGAACTCCTTGCTGCCCTTGAGCCGAATCACGACCTGGCGCTCCGCGTTCGGCGTCAGCGCGCCGTCGCGCCCGCTCGCGCCGCCCGTCCTCGCCAGCGCCCGCTCCTCCAGCTCCGCCACGTCGACGACGCGGATGAACGACGACACCTTCGCGCCCGTGGCCTTGTACGCCAGGCGGGAGAAGTCCCGGCTGATGCAGAGGTGCACGGCCTGCGCGGCGCCCGCGTTCCCCGCGGGCCCGCGCCGCGCGACGTTCATGTTTACGTTTATCTCGCGCAGGTGGCACGGCCGGCCGGCCTGCATCTCCTCGAGGAGGGCCTGCGCGGCGCCGAGGTCGTCGTTCGGCACGGCCAGGCCCGGGCCGGAGCGCTGGGGGATGCGCACGATGTTGCCGCGAGGGGACTTGGCCGGGGGCGCGCCCGCGGCAGACTGCGAGAGGGGGGGGGAGTAAGGGGGGGGAGTCGCGTGAGGATGCGTCGACGGGGCGGCGAGATCGCGTGGCGGTGGCCGGAAGCGCGGCCGAGCACGCGCACGTCGGAACGCTCACGCTGGCTGCGCGAGCAACGCAGGGGGCGATGCACAGTTGTGTGTGACGGCATGTGGCGGCGGCGGGGCGCAGGACTCACCGCTCTCGGCTTGGCCTTGCCCGGCGTGCTCGTCGGCCGCTTCGCCTGCGGCTTCGCCGCCGGCGCCTTGGCTTTCACCATCCCTGCGATGCCGCGTGCCGGCCGCGACCCCGCGCCGTACGGGTCCCGCATCAGCGTCTCGAGGTCCTGCTTCTCCGGCGCGGCCTTCGGCGGGGTCGTCCGGGCCGCGGCGCCCGCCTTCGGGCGGCCCTCGGGCTTCGCCGCGGGCGGCGACGCCGGCACTCCCCCCGGGGGTCTCTTCGCCGCGTCCTTGGTCGACGACCCGACCGCGGAGACGTTCTCGTCCGCCTGGGCCGCCACGGCGCCCGCGCCGCCGGACGCGACGCTCCCGGAGGACTCCTCGGGCTCCTCGACTCCCCCCGGGGCCTCTGCCAGGGGCCTGTCCCCCGCGCCAGCCAGGGGCCCAAACACCCCCCGCTCCGACCCCCCCGCGCTCGAATTGCGCGCCGAGCCCCCGCCCTGCTCGAACTTCTTCGCGTACGACGGCCCGCGCGACGGCGCCTTCCCGACTCCCCCCTTGGACGACGGCACGCGAGCAGGAAGCTTCGTGGACGGCACCTTCGCAGGAGCGGGCTTCGCCGCGCCCTTTCCGGCCTTCGCGCGCGCCGCCGCGGCCTCCTGCTTCGCGAGCACGGGGCTCAGGTTGATCCGCAGCTTCTCGCGCATCGACTCGGACAGGTTTGGCGCCCCGAGCGGCGCCGCCTTCGCAGCGGCCTCGGCGGCCTCCGCCGCCGCCGCGGCCTCCTTCGCCACTCGCGCCGCCTCCTCCGCCGCCGCGGCCGCCGCGGCCGCCGCCGCGGCGTTCCTGGCCTCCTCCTCGGCCCGCAGCCGCTCCGCCTCAGCCTCCGCCCTCATTGCTGCGTACGTTTTGCGCGCCTGGTTTCCGCGGAAGGCCGCCTGGATCTTCGTGACGGAGGACTTCGTCCGCTCGAGCTCGCGCGTCGCGAGCTTCGTGCGCCAGCGCCCCTGGATGGTCTGCGCGGCGGCCTTGGCCTCAGCGTACTCGCGGCGGGCGCGGTGCCCGCGGAACGCGGCCTGGATGCGCACGGCCGCCTGCCGCACCTCGAGCTCGCCGCCGTCGACGAGCGTGTCGGGCTGCTTGAACATCGACGCGCCGAGCGGCCCCGGCACCGGCGACGTTCCGCGCCCCGGCGACGACCCCACGCCGCTCCCCTTGCGGCTGTGCGCGGCCGCCCGCGTCGACGGCGACTTCGACGAATGCGAGTCCACGCTCCCGACCTTCGCCAGCGTGCTGCTCGACCCCACAGTCCCCCCCCGCCGCGACCCAACGCCCCCCCCCGCCTCCTCCACCACCTCGCGCATGCGCGCCCAGAACGCGTCCCGGATGCCCTGGTACTGCGCCGACGCCTCCTTCAGCTGCCGCCAGCGCGTGTCCAGCAGCTCCCGCAGGTACGCCACGCCCACGACGGACCCGGCGATGTCCTCTCGCGCCGCCTTGTACCTGTCGAGCACCTCCTGACGCAACTCCTCCCACGCCTCGCTCGCCTCGTCCGCCTGCTGCCGCGCCTGCGCCTCCACCTCCAGCGCCGCGCGGTCAACCTCGAGAATGTCGTTCTCCCGCTCCCCGTCCGTCTCGAGCGACGCCTGCAGCAGCGACACCTGCGCCTCCGCCGCCTTCCGCCGCCGCTCGATCGCCGCGCTCACCGCCTCCGCGGTCCCCGTCATCGCCGTCGCGCGCACGACGTCGATCTCGAGGCTCGAGATCTCCAGCCGGACCTTGCGCAGCCGCGAGTTGACGTGCGACGCCAGAGAGTCGCAGCTCCCGCGCACGCCCGCCGGGTCCTGGTTGCGCCCGGACCGCCCCGTCGCGGACTCGCGCTCCGACGCGTCCTCGGCCTTCGAGGCCGCGTCCGCCCCGGCCTGCACCTCTGACAGCATCTCCGGCAGCGGGAGCGCGTCCAGCCACTCCTGCGCCCGGGAGATCCCCGCGGCCTGCATGGACCCGACCTGCTCCTCCAGGCGCTGCACGAGCTCCTGCAGCGTCGTCGCGATCTTCTCGACCTCGCTCTGCAGCGACGCGAGCTGCGCTTCCAGAGCCTGCCGGTCCGTCGCCACCTGCTGTGCGGCCTTGGCGCTCCGCGCCGACGCCTTCCCGCGCGCGCTCTCGCTCCCGCTCTCGACCCCGCTCTCGGGGTCGATCAGCTCCTTCACGGACTTGTCGACCGCGGCCAGCCGGAGCGTCGACATCGTCAGCGGCTCGCGCATCCGCCCCCACGCCGTGTAGGCCTCCGAGAGCTCGTACAGCGTGTCGCGGAACCGCGTGAGCTCGCGCTCGCGCGCCTGCGCGCGCTGCACCGCCTGGTCCGTCTCCTTGACCTTCTGCCGCTGGTGCGACGCGATGGTTAAACACTTGTCGTACTCCGCCTGCGCGGCCGCGAGCGTCGCCTTGGCCTGCTGCAGCTGCAGCGCCGTGTTCGAGTGCTCCGCGCGCAGGGCGCGCACCGCCTCCGTCTTCGCGCGCTGCGCGTACCGCGCCCCGATGTGCGCGGCGGAGTACGCGATCTCCGCCGCGGCCGCCTCCGCCGCGAGCGAGGCCACCGCGGACGACGACGCAGTCACCTGCGACTGCCACTCCTGCCAGTGCGTCGCCTGCTCGACCAGGCGGCGGTGGTGGTGCCGGGCAATCTCCGTCACGGAGCGGCACGCCACGCGCAGCTCCTCCGCCGCCGCCTCCGCGTGCTGGTGCCACTCCGCGAGCGCGATCTGCGTGAGCCGCGGCATCACGGACCGGTACTGCCTGCAGAGCGGGAACACGCGGGCGCGTGCGGCGCGTGAAGCAACTGCGACTAGCGCAACGCCATCGTTGCGGTTGGCGAGCAATGCGCTCGCGCGGGGTGGCCTGGCAGGGCCGCGGGGGACGCGGGGGGCTCACTGGAGGTGCTCGGACATCTCGACGTGGTCGTCTTCTACCTTCTTGAGACTCCCCTCGATCCCTGCCTGCCACTGAGTCAGGCCCTTGACGTCGGTCGGGAACCCGCGCGGGAGCGGCCGCGCGCGGCCCGCGGGCAGCGTGTTGCCCGGGGACCCCCCGCTGACGTGCGCGAGGCCCCGCGCGAGGTCCGGGAAGCCCGTCGGGGGCGGCGGTTGCAGCGGTGCCGTGTGTATGCCAAGGCGGCCTGCCGAGCGGGCGCGGACAGGGCTGCCGGCGTTGTCCTGGGTGCCGGCCGACGAGCTCTGCATGGCGGAGCCGGGCGCTTTCCAGTGCGACATAGGGGAGCTGTCTCTGGACGGAGTCTGCAGGAGTAAAGTTGAGAGGGGGGGGTAAACGTGACGTCAGGGGCGCGTTGGTGCCTCGCAGGGGGCGGCGCTGCATGTTTGGGGTACGTAGACGGCGTTGCGGGGGCGGGTGACGGTGGGGAGCGGGCTGCGGAGGCGGAGCGGGGCAGGCAGGGAAGAGAGCCAGGGTCACCTCAGCGGGGCTCTGTTTCTGCATGTACTGGTCTTCGCCGTCGCTGACGTCTTCAAGCGCGAAGGATCGTGGTTCGGGGTAGCGCATCCGGGGTGCACCGACGTCGCCGTTGCTCGCACCACCGGTCGTCTCCGAGTCCACCACCGTGGAGGGCACAGCGCTCGGCGTGGTCGAGCTCGCACCCGGGGACGCCCAGGGAAAGGAGACTGCACCGCGGTGATCGGCACGCGGGGGCGAGGTGAGGCCGCGGGGCGCCCCAGGCGCGCACAGCGCGTCAATGCTGTTGTCACTACACAAGGCTGGGCTCGCAGCCCGCGGGTGCGCGACGGGCGGGGGCGCCGTACGTGGCATACGCTAGCGCGCAACACGATCGCGCAAGTGCGTGCGCGGGAGCGTGCGCCGGCCGCGGGAGAGGGAGGACTCGTGCAGATCCTGCAACTGCTACGTGGACGCGCGGGCCTCCCTGCACCGCGCACGAAGAGCCACTTGGGCGGTAGCCCTGGCACGTGGGGCGTGGCCCGCCTCGTGCTGGGCGCCGGCCACGGCCGAGCGGGCCAGCGCGCGAGCTACTTCGGTTTTGCTCGAGCCCGCACCGCACAGCCCGCACAAGCCGCTGCAGCGAGTCCGGGCGGGGCACGCGACGGCTCGATATCTGAACTAGCGACGCGGGGCGGCGGGCGGCCGTGAAGCGCGCGTACGCGGCCTGACGGGGCCGGTAAGACTGGCAAGAGAAGCGTCAAGGCCCCTCAAGCGCCACTGTGGCCGGCGGGGCCGCGGTTCCGGCCCAGTTTCGCCTCCTCTCGCGCACGACGGTCGCGTGCAGCAGTCGGACCGGTACAGGCCGGCTGAGGGTCCGTGCGGGGCAGGTCGTTTCACTGCTGTTCTGTGTAGCGGAACGTGGGGGCGATGGGTGGACCGACGCCGTGCATGACCGGCGCCCTGCCTAGGAGTGCCCGCCATGTAGCCGCGGGGACGTCGCGGGTCCGCGCAGGGCCACGGACAGCGCGCACGTCGTGGATGCAGCCGTCAACGGTGTGCACACTCGCCTTGGCCGCGGCTGCGAAGCGCCAGCGGCCCCAACGTGAATTCAGCGCCGACGCAACCCTAGACGACTATGTTTGCACCACGCCGTGCGCGAGAACTCCGCGGATCCGACGCGCTCGAGCGCGTCCGCGCGCGTCGTCTGCTGCTGGTGATGCACCGCGGCGCTGCATCGCTGTGCGCGTCCACGGCAGCGCCGTCCGGCGCTGCCTCGAGCCCAGCTCCACAGCCTACTCCTGCCGCGACCAGCCCTGCACGACCGCCCGCCACGACTCCGCACGCCGCGCTCCATCCACCCAGCCACGCGCCGTCCTCCCGGCGCCCACACGCGGCGCATTGCGTCTCCCATGCAACCACACCGTCACTCGCATCATCTGCCACGCGAACCGTCCCGTTTCGGCGCGCACGGACCCCCACCGGCCCCGTCAGGCCCGCTCTCACGCCGCCGCAGGAACACGCCCGGCGCGCACGGACGGTGCGGCGCCGCATCACGAACACGCAGAAGGAGGTCTGGGGCGAGGACGGCTCCCGCGGGAAGGACGCCAGGGACGAGGTCGAGGTCGACGAGTACGCCGGCGTGCTCCACCCCGAAAAGCCAGCGCTCTCCCGCACGGTGGAGCGCACGTTCGAGGATGAGATCTTCGCGGACGAGTCGCGCATCAGCGAGGCGGACATGGAGTACTGGTTCAACCCCGACGAGGCCGAGGGCCCCATGGGGAGCGTCCAGGTCAAGCTGCCTCCCGTCGAGGACGGCGACTTTGCCACCGCGCAGCACCCGGGAAAGGGCCGCGGGCCGATCGACGACGTCGCGCCCGGCACCGTCCTCCGCGGCACGCTCGTCGAGGCCAACTTTTACCACGGCCTCAAGTTCGACGTCGGCCTGGAGTTCGACGTTTTGGTGCCGGTGACGCAACAGCAGTTCCTCGGACCCGCGCCCGGGAAGCCCCGCGACGCGAAGACGGTGGAGGAGGTGCTCGCGGAGGAGGCGGTCGACGAGGAGGCCGAGGGCGGCGCCGCGGCGGTCGTGGAGGTGGAGGAGGCGGGGTGGCCGGAGCTGGGACAGGTGGCGGTGCACATGCTGGGGAGCGATATGGAGCTGGAGGTGGTGGTGACGGGGGACCCGCTGCGGCACCGGTGGCCGCTGGTGGCGCGGATTCGGAGCTGCGAGTTCGAGGGGTTCGCGGAGGAGCTGGATGCGTGGCGCGGGTGGAGGCCGCAGGTGGTGGCGCGCGCGGACGACGACGTGGGGGAGGTGTTCCGGTCGGTCGGGCGGGAGTACCGGCCGAGCAAGTACATCGTGCCGTTCAGCCAGGACTACAAGCACGTGGCGATGCAGGACGAGCTCGTCGCGGAAGGTGCGTCGTTCGCCATGAATAATAATAACAATAATAAATGAATGAATGATCACAACTACCATGCACGATTGTTTCGTTTCGTTTGATCTGAGGGGTGTATTGCCCGTGTTTGGGGGCGGGCGCCGCGTGGCGGGCCCGCGTCGGGACGCGCGGCGCTGCTGGGTTGTGCCTGTGCTCGTTCCGCGCTGCGAGTGCGCTGCGCGAGGAGTGTGTGTTGTTGTCGTTGTTGCGCGGTGCAAATGACGGCCGCGGGAGCGTTCGTTGTTTCACGGCTGCGCCGCGGTGCGGAGTGTGCGTGTGCAGATGAGCAGGAGGCGTGGAGCGGGCAGGCGGAGCCGCTGAGCACGTTCGACGCGCAGCAGGTGCGGCTGAGGAAGATGCTGCACACGCAGCGGATGGACGACCGGCGGCGCAGGCGCGCGCAGGAGCGGGCGTAGGAGTGGCCAGCGCGGGGGGCTTGTTCCGCGGCGTGCGTGTGAGCGCGTGAACATGAAGCAGCTGCGCTGTGGTCACATGTGCGGGATCCTGCGCTGCACGAGTGCCCGTGTCGTCGCCGCGCCCCGGTCCCTCCCGCCGTCTGTTGCCGCGCAGGCTATGCCAGCTTGCAACGTTCTAGGCTACTCGGTCTTGACCGGACCCTCTGTCGAAAATGGTTGCCCGCACAGCTTCCTGGGCCACAAAGCAACGTCGCCTCCCACCGTCCTGTGGTGCACCCTGCCCCCGGGCACCGCGCACGCGATGCTGCAGTAGCGCACGACTGTCAACGATCTCCTCGCCCTCGTCGATGGTCCGTGTCGCCACCAGGTGCACGGCGCCTTCCAGGACCGCAACATTTGTACTTCGCTGACCTACAAGCACCCTCAACGCGAGGACGCTTGAGCGACCGAAATGGTACGGCAGGCGAGACTCACACAGCAGGGACCAGGGTGCGGACACAAAGCGCAGAGCAGTCGAGCGCGACGTCGTTCCACGAAAGAGCATTTACAGCGCGCAGTTCGAAGACGAAGCGTGGCCCGCTTCGTTCATATGTACACGTCTGCGCGAGGGAAAAAGCGTCTGCGCGCGCCCACGTGCTGCAGCCCGGCGTCGCGCGGAGCCGACGGCACGACGCACAGCGCAACGTCGCCGTGCTTGCACACGCCGTGACCACGACATCGTGCGCGAACGACGTCATTGCGAGCTACGCGCGCGCGTGTCCCGGCTTCCGTGCTCCGCTCGCCGCCGCGCCGCGTCGACCGCGGACCCGCCAGCGTTCGCAGCAGCTGCGAAGCTGCGCTGCACCACAACATCACGCTTGCCGCGTTTGCCGCGGTACGACGGGCGCGAGGCGCCGCCCGGACCACCGCGGTGGCGACGTCCCGCCGTGCACGCTCTCCTGCGCCACCGCGAGCCTGTCGTCCTGCAGCTGCGTGCGGGCCTCCTCCAGGCTGCTCCTCGCGACGTCGCCTACGAGCTGCGTGGGCGCGCGCTTGAGCCCAAACAGCACGAAATGACCCATCAGAATGTGAACCGCCTTCCTGGCCGGCTCGACCGCCCGGCAGTCCACTCCAGAGAGCCCCTCCTGCGCCAAACAACGTGGTCGAGGTGCGAGTGAGTTAGGTTGCCAGCGGGGCCGCGCTACGGGGCCGTCTGGCCCGCCTGGGACGGCGCGGCGTACCTCGATGCGGGAGAGCTCGCGGGCGAGAGCCAGGACGGCCCTCCCAGTGTTCCGCATTGCCTCGGGTCGGCCCGAGGAGAAGCTGTGCGCCAGGGTGTCTAACACGCGCTCTGCCGCCTCAATGAGCCCGTCAAGGCGGCCAAACCACACGTGTACGTCTGCACCGTGCTGGCTGCGGTCCGCAGAGAGGAAAAACGGTGAGTGGACGGCGCGGTGGGCGGTGCGCGGGCGGGGCGAAGGGTGCCGGTTCCAGGTCAGTGGGACCGTTTTTCCCGCCGGCGAGGCGCGGTCGACAGACGGCAGGAAGATCAACGAGCGATAATTCGGCACGGCGCGACCGCTTTCCGCGCGAGGTCGCGCCGCGTCGAACCGCCTCGACAGCAGTAGCAACCGCTGCGCACGCGGCACGCGCACCTTCCGGAGTCTGCGCTGAGCGCCTCCTCGCACTGCATCGCCGCGTACAGCGACAGACACAGAGCCATGACGTCGTCCTGGTTCGCGCTGAGCTTCACTGCGCTCCTCGCGAAGGGAGCCTTGAGGTGGTGTGGGCGCGCGCCCGGCGCCCCCGGGTGCAGGAGGGGCCCCCACGGATACACGGGAGCCGCTAGAGGCATAGTTATCGCGGTCTCGTTCCCAAGCGTACGGCCGAAGCGCCTTCTCTGGACCTGGCCTGGCGGCGCGCCGGCAAATAGGGTCTAGAGACTCCCGTGAGCATCAACAAACACGCGCCGGGGGGACTCGGCGCACGCGCCCCCGATGGCCGTAGGTGTCCGTGGCGGCCCTGCCTGCTGCGCGGGCAGGCCGGGCTCGCTCGCCACGCCCCCGCGGAAACGACGCCGTGACGCGTCACACGACAGCATACGTGCGCAGCAACCGCACTCGACGCGTGTGACGCCGCTGGCGGCTCGGAGGCCGTCTGACGCGGCTTCGGGGATCGTGCAGGTGGCTCGGCGTCGCCTGGCGTGGCGGTGCTGGGCCCGGCGGGCCGCGTCGGTGAGAGCCGGAGTTGTGCGTGCACGGAGATGCTGTTTACTCGATTGCCATGGCGCGCAGGGCCTGCTGCACGGCGTCCAGGAGCAGGACGGTGTCCTCCGCCGCGGTGCGGTCCTGCGGGGAGGTCGGGGGCGCTCAAGTGCTCGCGCAGCGGCGAGCGGGGCGCAACCAGCGGTGTTCGTTGAAAGAACAGAGCCTGTTCGGTATCTGGGGTTTGAAGGCTCACGTCGTTGGTCGGTTCCCCCGCGTCGTCGACGTCGACGTCGCGGATCCCCAGGAGGATCTCGGCGATCCGGCTCTCGTCCGCGTCCTGCGCAGGCGAATCGCGCAAACGTTGACGCAATCGACGGAATTCACTCGGCAACGTTCAACTGATTCCTGCGACCGCCACGCACCTCCGTCGTGACGCCGGGCAGCGTCTCCGGCGCCACATCGCCCCCGCGCTCGACGATCAGTACCCTGATCTGCTCCTTGGCCACTTCCTGCGCGAAAACGACCCGCGATCCGCGCTCCCTCGCGCGGATGTTGCCCAACAAACACAGCGCACCATGCACGGCCGTTCCGGACGCTTCGGCGCGCACCAGCGCCGCATCGACCGTGTCCCGCATCGCCGCTGGCATCTGGCACGTCTCGCCGCGGTCCAGCGCGATGTAGTTCGTGGGAAGCGAGTCCGGCGCCGTCCAGTGCCCACCGCGACACTTGGGGCAGCGACGCTGGCTGCTGTGGCGGCCCTGCTCGGCCTTGAGGCAGCGGAGACAGAAGGTGTGGCCGCACGCGAGGACCTTGGGCACCCGCTCGTCCACGTCGAAGCCCATGAGGCATATGTCGCACTCCATCGTTGTTCTCAATTGATTTATCAATATAATAAAACGCAACAAGATACGAGGCCGCCCGAACGCTGCGGACCGGGCGAGAGGCACCGCGGACCGGTGACGCGTGCCAGCGTGCTTCCAGTCATATCCCCCGCGCCGCGGCGCACGCGTGTCGCGCAAAACACACCGGTCTTGTACCACTGACTCAGTCCGTCGCGAATTCCGACGCCGTCGCCGCGGACGAGAGCCAGCCGCGGCGGCCGCCGCGACCACTTGCATGCCCGCGACGCCTCGAGCGTACCAAGGCGACCCAGTGATCCTGCGAGCGCGCAGCAACACCTGCGCCTGTCGCGTCACCCAGGTATCGATCGGTTCCGCCGCTCCGGCCGCTCACCGTGCCCGTGCGGACGCTCAGGGCCACATCTAGGTACTGAGAGGCCCGGAGGAGTCCTTCGGGGACTCACGTCCGGAGCTGAGCGGCGTCAACGGGCGTCCGCTTTGCCCGCACTGCAATCACGACGTTCCTGCGGGGCCAGGTGCCGTCCGTTCGCTGAGAATGACTCTCTGAAGCGCGTCTGAGATGGACGCGGATACCATCGAGCGATGGCTGCTCGGCGCGGCGGACCGCATCTGGAGCGGAACGGACGGGGTGCGTCCTCTCCCGAGCGCATCGGAGCGGCTGGGCACGAACGGGTGCACCGCGTACAGCGTGTTCAGCAGGACGATCGTCACGAACGATGAGGAGGAGTTCAGCCTGCGCGCGGAGGACCGCATCGGCTCCCTGTCGCGGCACCTGGCGCCTTCTGGCGCGCAGCTGCATGAGACGACGGAGGCGTCGCCCGCGGCCAGGCGGGAGCAGGACAGCGACGACAACAAGACCATCGTCGTGCTGCTCCACGGGCTCGCGCGCACGTCCCGCTGCATGCGCCCTATCGCCCACTACCTGTGGAAGGAAGAGGGCTGGAGTGCCATCTGTGTCGGGTACCCTTCGCGCAGGTATAAAGCCTGCACGCGCTGTATCGCGGGAACTATCGCTTTGCACATAGATGATACACCAGGCGGCGGCCTGAAACAGCCACTCCGGCTTCGCAGCGGCGCGTTCGAGGGCAAAGAAGCCAAATTGCCTTTCTCTTGTTTCCGGCGCGCGGTCGAATGAAGGTCGACGCGTTTTCGTGGTAACGTGCTCTCCAGGTACCGGTTGAGCGAGCTGGTGTCTCGCGTGGACGCGTTGATCCGCGAGGAGCTCGCCACGATGGGCGTGGAGTTGCTGGAGGACAGGCGGCCCAAGGGCGGGGCCAGGCTGCTGGGCGTGACGCACAGCCTCGGCGGAATCATCATCCGGCACCTGAGCCAGAAGCTCCACTTCGAGCGCATCTGCATGCTCGCGCCGCCGAACCAGGGAAGCACCGTCGCCCGCCAGCTCCTCGCCCGCGGCGCTCTGCTCTCCTCCGCCGTCGAGCGCCTCTACGGGCCCGTCATCCACGACCTCGCGGCGCCGCACGACGAGGCGCAGCAGTGGCCCGTCCCGCCGTGCCCCGTGGGCATCATCATGGGCACCAGGTGCGCGAACACCTCGATCCTCGACTGCCGTTCAACTTGTAACTTCCGACTCGCGCCGCTCCGCCGCAGCGCCACGCAGCGGCGCGCGCGCGCGCCCGCGCACGCGAGGCCGCCCCGCCGACCGCGCCGGCGCGTCCGCGGCCCCGCAGGCGCACGAACGCGGTCCCGACGTCGTGGGTGACCACGTACCTCGACATGTTCCAAGGCCACGTGTCAGACGGGACCGTCACGCTCATCGAGGGCCACCTCGGGAAGCTCCAGTGCCTGCCGCGCACGCCGCGCCCGTCGGCGAACGAGGACGACGCCGGCAGCGACCGGGGGGAGTCACGGGGGGAGTCGGTGCGCGTCAGCGGGACGTCCAAGTCGCGCGCGCCGCGGGACGCGTCGCCGCCGTCGTCCCCGAACGACAGGCCGCGCGGGCGCTCGAGCGAGCGCGCGTCCGTGCGCGAGCGCAATCGCGGGCGCTCGCTGCGCGCGCCCAAGGCGGCAGCATCGCACGTGTCGTGCCTGTCCTTTCTGTCCGACTCGGCGTCGGAGTCGGACGGCGACGGCGCGGGCGGACACCACCGCGTGTGGGACGAGGCGCGGATGGACCTGGGGGACCTGGAATCGTACCGCGGGGCCCTCGCCGTGCGCACGCGTGGGCAGGAGGCGCAGATGGTCACCGTAGACGCGACGCACACCTTCATCATGGCGGACCCGAAGGTCCACGAGCTGGTTCTGGCCTTTTTGAAGCGCGGGACCTTCTCGCACGTGCACCCGGAGGTCGTCCCGCGTAAGAGCCACGACAGCGACGTGTTTTTCTCGGCAGCGTCGGCGCCGCGGCGGTCGGTCGAGCTGCGCGCGGTGGGGGGCGCGGAGGACAGCTGGGAGCCGCGCGGGCTCGAGAAGGTCACGACGATCGCGAAGGCGAAGCTCGGGGAGCTGCGGGAGCGGCGCGAGGCTCGGGTGGCGCGGCGCGGGCACAAAAAGGCGCGCCGGAAGACGCAGAAGAGCCTGCGGTCGCGGAGGTTCTTCGACGCGATCGAGGAGGGGGTCTCCGACAGCGACAACGCGCGCGCGGGGGGCGCGAGCTTCTCGGAACGCCGCAGGCACGTGTTGTTGCTGCAGCGCACACACGCACACACACACCGCCGCAGACGCAGACGCAGCGCCGCTCGCCCAGCGGATCGCGACCGCCTCCCCCTGCTGAAACTCGCGCAGCCCCTGGCATCCGCACGCAAGCACACCGCGGCTTCCGTCAGAACGCACACACCCATCTTGCAACCCCCTCACGACGGCTCCCCCTGCTTCGGCGCTCCGTCTGCAGGGAGTCAGTTGGCGCGGGCGTCTCGCCGCTGGCCCCGCAGGCGACAATCAAGAAGAAGCCAGCGCGGCCGCCATGGACGCTGATTGGCGCAGTGTCGCGGCTGCGTGCCTACGTGCCGTCGTTCCGGCTCGTGCCGTCGCGCAGCCAGGCCGCGCTGCCTTCGGCGCCCTCGACGCAGCGCAACGGCACCGTGGCGTCCTCGTCCGCGCGCGCACCGGCGGCGCACAGCAGATCGCTGCTCGCGCGCCTGCGGTACGGCCTGGCGGACGCCAACCGCAAGAGCGACCGCGAGCGGGAGCCCGGGAGCACGCAGAAGCCGTTCCTGCGGAAGTCGCTGCGCGAGAGGTTCCGGCGCAGCCAGACCGGCGTGGCCAGTCAGACGGAAGGGGGGAGTCGGGCCGAGGTCGGACAATGCGACGCCGACACCCCCAGCGGTGCGAAAAGGGCGTCGGACGGCTCCGGCGGCGCGCAGGAGGGCCCGCGCGGGCCCGCGGAGCAGCCCCGGCGAGCGACGGGAAGCGAGAGCGAGCTGCGCGCTAGCAGCGGCACCAGCGACGGCTGCAGCGCCAGCATCGTGACGGAGTCGCCGGACGAGCGGTCGGGGGACAGCAGCAGCGATAGCGACGGCGCGGCGCGCGCCGACGTGCGGCTGCGGGACACGGCGCGGCGGAAAAGTGCCCTGGAGGTGGCGGGGGTGTCGACGCCGCCGCCGGGCGGCGGCGATGGGTCGCAGCGCGGGGCAAGGGGCGCGTCGCTGCACGAGGGCTCCGCGGGGCGCGAGCGGGCGGCGGAGGACCGAGGAGGGGGGGTATTGGTGTCGATGTGGCAACGGGTGCAGTCCCTGGTGTCAGACACAGAAGGTGGCAACTGAGGGGGGGACTGTCGCGGACGCGGGCTGCCTGCGTCGGCACGCACGATGTGAGTTCGAGGAAGACGATTTGCGCAGAGAACGAACGCACTGCGCCGCATACCACTGCCTGTCAGGCAACAATGTTCTATCTGTGCCTCATGCAGGTTCTTGGGGGGGGTCTTGATGCCGTTTCGTGCGGTACCGCGCGGCATAACGCCGCAGTTCCGAGCGCGCTGGCGCACCCGCTGCTCCACGACGGCGCGCGCACACAGCACGCATGACAGTTGTAATACTTTGCGTTCAGCGTTACAGACTACTGTCCGCATGGATTCCATCAGATGCTTCGCGCGGAGATGATGGCCCGCTTCGTGCTGCTTGTCCGCTGCTCGCGCGCGCTGCGCACACACCGTGACGTAAGCAGCACGTCGCTGACTGACCATGTCAGGTCGCTCGGTGGCCGGCCGCAGCGCGGTCATGAGGCCGGGCGGCGACGGTGGACGCGGCACGTTGTCGAAGCGGATTGTTCTGAGTGGAACGGCAGCACACGGTAGCGCGAGGAGAGCACCTTCACGCTGCCCAAGGGAGGGAGGCGATCCCTGCGGGCGCGCTGCGCAGGACGACGCGAAACGACCGGTTTTCTGGGTGCTTGGAGCCTGAACGCGCCGAGAGATCCGCGGAACTCCGCGCTCCGCGCGCGAACGTCGCGGGCCGCGGCCCTTTCGAACACTCCTGCACGCGTGTCCAAGGGCGACGCGAATTCTCCGACGCCGCGACGCGAACTCGGCCCGTTCGGACCCCCCCCACACGCCGACGCATCTCTCCTGCTCCGAGAACAGCGGCCAAGCGAACAGCACGCACCAGGCACGGCCGCGCGGGGCCACCCTCGACACAGCACACACGCGGCCGCCGCGGCGCCGCACGGGCCCCACCTGGCCCTCCTCGACCCTCCCCGGACCGCTCACCTCCGCACCTCCCCGCAGCACCGCCCCCGGCGGCTTCGCCCCGCACCGGCCGCGCGCGCGGCGCCGCAACGGTCCAGCCCCGCCCTCCGGCACCCGTGCCGCGCCCCGCGCCGTGACGCGACGCGAACGCGGCCAAGATGGAGCCCCAGGGAATGTTCTACATGCTCTGGCTCATCGCCACCGAGCTCCTCATCCCCTCCGTCCTCGTCGCGGCCGGCCTGGTCATAGCTCTCCAGCACGGACCGGGGCTTCCCTGGGGCCTGCTGTACGGCCTGGGAATCGCGGTCGCGGCCGACTTCCTGTGGGTTCCGCTCTTCGCGCTGTACCGCCGCCGCCGCGGCGACGCCGGGCCGTCCGCGCTGCCGCCGCTGGCGGTACTGGACGCGGATGGTGCGCAAGACATGCATCAGGAGCTGTGTGCCCTGGGCGAGACGGGCGCGGCGATCGGGGCGCCGGAGGTGATGACGCAGTGGTTCAAGAACGCGGGCGGCATGGGGCCGTCGCCCAAGTACGGCGACATGGTCGAACTCACCGTGTTCGGCCACTATTATCGCACGGTGGACGAATTGAGGTGAGAACATCCGTGGGCCCTCTCGCGTCGCTGTCCCGGCCGTTCCGCCCCGCGCGGCGCCCGTGGCGCTTCGCCAGCGGTCGGCTCTGCGCAGCGGCGCCGTGTGCGCGCGGCCGCGGGCCAGCGCCGTGCGTCCAGGCGCGCCGGAGGTGTGTGTACGCAAGCGATGACCTGCTGCGCTCGCGTGGCGCCGCAGGGCGGAGCCGGACGGGGAGCAGCGGCTGCAGCACATCCACGAGGAGCTGGCGGAGCTGCAGGAGCAGTGGGGCCACCAGTTCCCCAAGGGAAAGACTCCGGGGGTGTCTATTAAAGCCTACATCCACGACCCCTGCTGGGTGCGCCCCCGCCCTGCGCCGGGACGAACCCGCCCCGCCCGCGACGCGGCGGCAGCGCCCGTGCAGTGCCAGACGAGAGCCTCTCGACTGCTGCGCCGCTCGCGCTGCGCCGCTGCCGCGGCGGGCGTGCCCCACACATCAACAGCACAGATGCCGCCGCCGGGGATCGCTGGCCGTTTTGTCTCCGGGGTCACGCCTGCGGGCGCGATGTTCGTTTCGTGCGCGCCGCTGTCGCGGCGCGGACGACGCCGTGTGCTGACTGCGGTGGGCGATTTTGTGCCGTGACGCGCTGCAGGGCACGTGGCTGCCGCTGTGGCTGTACGTCGTGTCGGAGGTGGCGCAGATGTGGAGCTGCGTCGTGATGCTCTTCCTCGGCTACAGGCGCGTCGCGCCGTGGACGTGGGCGGTCACCGGGACCCCCCCCGGCAAAACCCAACACACCCCCAACCCCGTCTGCGCGAACCAGGGCCCGCTCGGGACCCAGGTCACCTCCTCGTCGCACGACGAGCGCGTCCCCCTCGCCAACGCGTCCGTGGGGGGGTCTCCCGCGGGCAGCGACACGCAGCCAACCCTCACCATGGCGGGGTCCGGCTCCCACTCCCCCCGCAACACCCCCCTCAAGCCCCCGGCGATCGTCTTCCTGCACGGCATCGGCATCGGCCTCGCGCAGAACATGCTCGTCCTGCGCCGCCTGCGCGCCCGGTACCCCGCCTCCGACATCGTCGTGCGCGAGATGCCGCACGTGTCCCTGCGCTTCCCGCGGTGGCGCGACGCGTCGCCGCCGTGGGCCCACGACGTCGCCGACGACGTCGTCCGCGACCTCCGCGCCCTCGGGCACGCGAGCGCGGTCTTCGTCGCGCACAGCTACGGCACCTTTGTCGCCGCCGCCGCCCGCAAACAGCACCCGGCCGCCGTCGCCGGCATGGTCCTCCTCGACCCCGTCTGCTGCCTCCTCAACCTCCCGCGCGCCGTCTCGGGCTTCCTGTACGAGGGCCCTCGCTGGAACATGGGCATGCGCGCCTTCGTCAAGGACACCGTCGTCACGGCGTTCGCACGGGACCCGATCGTGCGGTTCTCGATCCAGCGGCGCTTCATGTGGCACCGCTGCGCGCTGTGGCCGAACGAGGTGCCGCCGGGCTCGGTCATGTGGGTCGGCGCGACGGACCCGCTGATTCCCGCCAACCATATCGCGCGGCACTTTCGGAACGCGCGCGTGCTAGAGCAGCGGTGCTCGCACGCGGACGTGCTGTCGAATCCGGAGTTCGTGGACAGGATTCTCGACGCGATGGGCCCGCTGATGGCGCAGGCGCCCGAGGCGGCGCCGCGCAGGGGGGGGTCGGAGCGGGACGCGGGGGAGTCGGCGCGCGGGCTCGGGCTGCGCGGGAACGGACGCAGGCGGCGAGCGGGCAACGCTGTGCGGCGGTCCGTGGCCTAGACAGGCGACGCCGCGGCGGCGCTGTAACGCACGCAGTTGCACATTGCTATACGCGGGTGGCCAGTTGACACTTTGCGAGGCGCTGCAGGACAGCGCCGGGACGGCCGCGACGCGCAGCACAGAGTTGCTCCGCGCGTTCTGCGGCGGAACACGCGCTGCGCAGGGCGGAAGCGGAGCATCCATGCGGCGCAGGAGCCGCATGTTGTTTCAAAGCGCTGCCGAGTCGCCGACGACGCCCACAGCGCACGCGACCGCCAGCTCCGCAGCACCGGCACGCCGCACTTCGCCTGCGCGAGGGTTGCGTCACACCACCGCGAGCGCAGCGCTGCTCCACACTTTCAAGTCAACACCCCCCCACTCCTGATTCTGCTTGCACCTGAGTCATCCCGCGGCGCGCACCGTCCGCGGCGGCGCCGCGCCTCCAACGCGCACCTCAGATCGTCACCGGCGCGCCGTCCTCCCACTTCACGCCGAGCTCCGACAGCGCCTTGTGACTCTCCGCGTACTCCTTGAAGAAGTCCTCCTGCGAGGCGGCGTACTTCTCGGCGTGCGGCTTGAAGCCCGGGTCCTCGAAGAGGCACGCGTCCGTCGGGAGCACGAGCAGGTCCGCGTCGCGGCGCTCCTTCACGTCGACAAAGTAGTGGTTGTTGAACTTCAGCCAGTCCGCGGTCCACGACTGCCCGCCCGGCGTCTCGCCGCCCTTGGGCGTCACGTCCGCGGGCACGCCCTTCTCCGTGTGCCGCGTCGTCGGCTTGTCGTTCGCGCCCGAGCGGTCCGAGTAGGCGCGGCCCATGGTGTGCGCGCCGGACAGCGCGACGATGTCCTTGTCGGAGAGCCCCATGCGGTGGAAGACGTTGCGGAGGTGCTCCGCGGGCGTGGCCTCGTTGTTCGGGAACGGGGGCTTGGCGCCGGGGAGGTTACCCTCCTTGACGCACTGCTCGGGGCCCCCCGAGTCGACGCGGCCGTACTGCATGGGGATCGCGGGGCCGCCGTTGCCCTCGATCGCGCAGGCCGACGACATCTGGAGGAGGTCGGCCCACCCGACCTCCGGGAACTGGTCCTTGATGGGCTGCAGGAGCTTGATGGCACCGACCAGGCCGGCGTTCGCGGCGTGGCCGAGCTCGACCTCGTGGCGGATGGAGCCTGCGGCGGGGGAAAAATCGGGAAAGATGAGGCGGCGGCGCGCGGGGCCGCGGGCGGCCGCGGTCGCGGCGCGGGGAGCGCGCGCGAGTTTGTGGCGAACGACTTCGGGCGAGCGCGCGGCGTAGCGGCGGCGGGCGGCGCTGCGCGGCCGCGGACGGGCCGCGCGGGGCCGGGAGAGGCGTGCGGGGCGGTCGCACCGTTCGCGCCGCCGCAGGTCGGCCACTTGTCAAGCCCCATAGCCTTGTCGAAGGTACCGGCGTCGTGCCATGCGGCGCGGATGAGGATAGGGCCGCAGTTCTTCTCGGCGACGAGCTTCAGGCACGCGGCCTTGGCGCCCTTGAGCTGCTCAACGTTCACCCTGCGCGGAACACGCCCGGCGCGGGGCTGGTGAGGCGTCTGGCTGGCGCGCGGGCTGCTGGCGAGGCGTGCTGCGCGGGCGAGGGGCGGAAACTCTGGAGGCCGCGCGGGGGGCGGCGTGGGGAGGGGTGCGTTGAGTGTGTGGGCGCGGGCCCGGGGCGAGATGTTGCGGCGCCGCGGCGCGGGAGGCTGGATGAGCTAACGCAGCGAGGTGAGTGAAGCGGCTGGCGCTGCAGGCGGCGTGGCGGTCGCAGGCGGCGGTTCGTGGCGCGGGCTGGGCTGCCGGGAATGCGAGAACGAGCGTCGGGGGCGCGCTGCAGCGCGGAAATCCCGCACGCCGCCCCGCGGCGGGGGCTGGGATGGTGGTCGGGAAACGTCTTCGGGCCCCGCGTGTGTACGGGGCGTGGGCGCGCGGACGCGCCCGCGGGCGGGCGTGCGGGCGTGGGATCTGGGCAATGCGCGACGGGAGCGGGCGCGGGGATCGCGAGGCGGTCGCGGGAACGCACATTGCGTAGGTGGCGAAGGAGCGGCGAGAACGGGAGAGGTGCTGGCTGCGGAGCCTGGGCGACCGCTGGAAGTAGCTGGTAGAGACCTTGCTCGATAGCTGCTGAACAAGCATAGGCTTGTCGGGGGGCCGGGTCGAAGGAATCGACGACGGACGAGCGTGTAGTTGGTCGGCGAGTGCCACCTGGATGCGTTGAGGGGGTGAATGAGGGGTACAGGGAATCAGAGTTTGACCTCGGCGGCGCGCATCGCGCCTATTCGTAGCCCGCGACCCCCGCCCACGGACCCGCTCGGAGAGGCCCCTCAACCGACTCAGGCTGGGCCCGCCTCTAGGGGCCTTCATTCCCGCGCCCGCCCCGACGGACGCGCGCAGTGCGAGGCGCATGAAGGCCGGGGCCCTCGTTCTACCCCGCCGCTGCCACAGAGAGGCGCCGACAGGAACCGCCACCTGCGCTGCGCTCTCTCCCGGCCGCGCGATGCCGCCCCCGGACCTCGAGCCGGTCCGCAAGGCCTCGGCCGCGTACGCCAAGGCCGACGCTTTCAAGCCGTCGTACGGCACGGGGGGGTTCCGCTCGGAGGCGTCGCAGCTCGACTCGACTCTGTTCAGGTGCGCCGCAGACACTGATTGCTGCGAAGCGCCGCGCAGCGCGCGAACGCGTCGTCGAGGCGCCCTCGCCGCAGTTTCACAGTGATGTGCAGTGCTTCGGGCGCGTCCATGTCGATTTATTCGCACGGATGCCGCCGGAATTGGCCGCCTAGGTTGCGGGGCAACGGCCCCGCTCCCGGACGCAGCCGACGCGGACGTCCCACGTGCGGCCGCGGGCCATGCTCTGCAGATGTGGAGTTGTCGCTGCGGTGCGCTGCCTCGCGACGGGAGGCACCACCGGCCTCATGGTCACCGCATCCCACAACCCCGCTCCGGTGCGACCCCCCGCGCAGGCCCCGTAGCGGCACCGATCACCGACGCTGCGCGCCCAGCACCTTTCACGATGTTAACCCGAAGCTATGCTGCCTGATTGGGCCCGCAGGACAACGGGGTGAAGCTGGTGGAGCCGTCGGGCGCTATGCTTCCTATGGACATGGAACCCTGGGCGACGCGCCTGGCGTGCGCCGACGGCGACGACGCGCTGGTCGACGAGGTCGCCGCCATGTGCAGGCACGGCGGCCCCGCCCCCCCGACCTCGGGACCATATTCCGTGGAATTCACCATCAATCTTCCCTCGCAGTCTCCCGTCGCGCCCGAACTCCGTGTCTCCTCCGACCCCGCGCGCGCCCGCCCCAGCGCGAGCCCGGCCCGCCCGTGCACCTGCCGTGCAGCGCCCTGGGCGTCTCTGCCGCGCCTGGCCGCGTGATCATCGGCCACGACACCCGCGACAGCTCGGAACGCCTCACGCGGGCCGCGGCGGCGGGCGTGGCCGCGATGGGCCTGCATGCGGACGTCCGGGGCCTGTGCACGACGCCGCAGCTGCACTTTTATACCGCGGCCGCGAACGCGGGGGAGTCTGAGGCCGAAGAGCACTACGTGTCGACGCTGGTGGGGGGGTTTACGGACGCGGTGGCGGGCACGGAGCCCCCCGGGGGGGTCGCGGAGCTGGTCGTGGACGCGGCGAACGGCGTGGGCGGCGCGAAGCTGCGCGCCATGGCCGACGTCCTCGCGCTGGCCGGCCTCGCGATCGAGGTGAGACGGAACACGAATCCTGCGTTCGCCTCCAAAGCCTGAACCTCGATTCCCATTTCGAAAATCAATCGAGAGGAGTGCGATGCGTTCCGCGGCCAACCCCTCCCCGCGCCCGCGCAGGTCCGCAACGACGGCGCCCCGCCGGGCGTCCTCAACCACCTCGTCGGCGCGGACTTCGTCCAGAAGGAGCGCGCTCTCCCGCAGGGCTTCTCCGCGGCCACCGACGCCGGCAAGCGCTGCGCCACGATCGACGGGGACGCGGACCGCTGCGTCTTCTTCGTCCCGGCGGCGCCCGGGGGCCCGACGGCGATGCAGCTGTTCGACGGCGACCGCATCGCGGCGCTCGCGGCGGGGTACGTCGCGTCGCTGACGGCGCTGGAGCCGACGACGTTGGGTGGCCTGACGATGGGCGTGGTGCAGACGGCGTACGCCAACGGCGCGTCGACGGCGTACCTGAGGGCGCAGGGCGTCGAGGTGGTCGTGACGCCCACGGGCGTCAAGCACCTCCACGCCGCCGCGCACAAGTACGACGTGGGGGTGTATTTCGAGGCGAACGGGCACGGCACGGTGCTGTTCTCCGGGCGCGCGAAGGAGGCGATCCGGGGCGCGGAGGTGAGCCGGCGCACGCACAGCGAGACAGACAGACAGCACGACCATCTGACGCCGTTTGATATCATTTGATAATTGATCATTTGATATCATTTGTTGGCTCTTTCTTGCTTCCTATCGTTTCGTGTGGAACGCGCGGGTCTGGCGCCGGTGCCGAGGCCGCCGGGCGCGCGCGGCGCTTGTCTGCGTGGCCGCGCGACGGTGCGTTGGTTTCGGCCGCTGCTGCAGGCCCAGGGCTCCGTAGCAGGCCGGAAGCTTGGTGCGTTCTTGCGCATGGTGAACCAGACGGTCGGCGACGCCGTGTCGGTGATTCTGCTGTGCGAGGCCGTGCTGCGGTGCAAGGGCTGGACCATGGCGGACTGGGCCGCGATGTACGCGGACCTGCCGTCGCGGCAGCTCAAGGTCAAGGTCCAGGACAGGACAGTGGTGACGACGGCCAACGCAGAGACGACGTGCGTGACGCCGGCGGGCGTGCAGCAGGAGATCGACGCAGCGGTCGCGGCGGTGCCGAGCGGCAGGGCGTTCGTGAGGTGCGCGCCCCATTGCGCGTCTGCGGCAGCGGCGGCGTTGCCGCCATCGACGGCGCGGGCAGCCGCACGTGCTCGGGCGTCCGAGGCGCTCACACGGCGGGCCCGAGGTAGCGCGACGGATGGCGTGGGGTTCGCGTGCGTTGCAGGCCGTCCGGGACCGAGGACGTCGTTCGTGTGTACGCGGAGGCCAAGACACAGGAAGCGGCCGACGCGCTCGCAGACGCGGTCGCGGAGATCGTCCGGCGCCTGGTGGGCGGCGTGTGATTTGTGCGACGCGGGCGCGCCATTGTTGGGCCGTTTCAGCGCAGGAACGCGCACCGCGGAGGGATCTTGGACAGGCTGTCCTTTGAGATGTTGGCGGCGACTGCGGTCCGGCGCGACGTTTCGAGGCCCTGTGCGCGGAGCAGAGGATCTCCCACATGCACGCAAGCTCGCTGGGAGCGTGTCAACGAATCGGTTGCGTCGGACAGGCCGCGGCGGCGCCTGATAGGGTTCCGTTGCGCGCACCGCCGTTTCCGCGCCAGGCGTCGCGCAGGTGCGATTCCGTGAGCTCGCGGCGGCCGGGGGTGTCGTCCAGGTATGTGCGCGTCAGTGGGCGCGGAGATCGCCGGATGGCACCGCGGCAGCGCCACGTACGCGCCTGTCGGGCCGAGAGGGCAACTGACCCCTGTAGGGACATCTTCGCGTGGGGGCTCGTGGGGTGCCGGAGCGCCGCCGCCGGGCACTCCCTGGCTCGCGTGAGATTGTGTCGTTGCCTGGGGTCAGGATGCAGGTGCTCAAAACCTCTGTGCCGGCCAAGGCCGGGGCGCGCACGCTGTCGTCGGCGAGACGCGTCGCCGGGACGCGCGTCGTGGCGCGCAACGCCGCCGCCCGCCGGACCTCCGCGAAGCACGTGACGCAGGCCGTCTCCTCGCCGCAGCGCACCATCAGCGAGCACAAGTACATCGACAAGGTGCCCGATTCCCTGCTGCGCGAAGGTACGCGGCGCGCCCGGCGCAAACGCACCCCTTCCGACACCGCCGAACGCGAAATCGAATATCACCCTCCCCAATCGTGCGCGCGCGGCCCCGGCAAAGCCCGTCCGAGGGCGCCTCGGGACCTCCCAAGGCACTCGGCTCGCCTCGGCTGCCCCTGGCAGCAACATCTGGCCCACGCGGCTCGCTCCGGCGCCCCGGCTCGGCGCGCAGGCACGGACGACACGAGCGACACCAAGGTGCGCATGGAGCGCATCATTCGCGAGGGCCAGGACATGATCTGCAAGGCTATCGAGGAGATTGATGGAACCAGCTTTCACCAAGACGCCTGGGTCAGGTTAGGGCGCTTTCCCGGCGAGCTGCCGCGCTCCCGCGCCGCCCGAGCGCCATTCCCGGACCGTTCGCGATCTTGGCGAGGCCTGGCCGGCGCGAGGCGCGCCTTGAGCCAGTGTGCGGCGCGCACGGCGGCGTTTACGTGTGGATGCACCGGCGCCGATTCGTCGCGTTTCCTGCTCGTTGCGGCGCGCAGGGATGAGGGCGGCGGCGGCATCAGCCGCGTCCTGGCCGACGGCAACGTCTGGGAGAAGGCCGGCGTCAACGTGTCCGTCGTGTACGGCACCATGCCGCCCGAAGCCTACAGGTGCCGCCCCCACTCATCCTGCCCGCGTGCCGCCCCGCCCGTCCCTCCGCGCCCCGCATCCTGCATCCCACGCAAGCTCCCTGTCTCGATCATGCCTCCCAGCCCCGCAGCTGCCTCGTGGCGCCCCCCAGCGCCCCGCGAGGCGCCGCTGACCTCCTTGACTTGGCCGCGCGGGCGCTTCCCGGCGCGTTCCGGCCGACCGCGCGCCCGAGGCGCCCTGCGCCGACCGATCGCTCCATTTCCTGCGCGCAGGGCCGCCAAGGGCTCGGATGTGCAGGTCCCCCCGGACGCACCGCGCGTCCCCTTCTTCGCGTGCGGCATCTCCTCCGTCATGCACCCGCGGAACCCGCACTGCCCGACGATGCACTTCAACTACCGGTACGGCCCCCCCGCCGCTGCGGGCGCCGCGCCAGGCGGCCGCGCGGCCGCGCGCCGAGCTCAGGGCTCCGTTGGTTGTTTTTTCCCTCCTGAGTCGAGGATTCTCGAGTGGCTGCAGGTACTTTGAGACGGAGGAGTGGTGCGGGATCCCGCCGCAGTCGTGGTTCGGCGGCGGCACGGACATCACGCCGTCGTACCTCGACAAGGACGACATGAAGCACTTCCACGGCACCTACAAGGACATCTGCGACAAATACGACTCGTCCTGGTGCGCGCCGCCGCCCGCCGCCCGCCGCCCGGCCCGCGCGGCGCTGTTTGAATATTTCGCGCCGAGCGGTGCGCGTGAGGCGGGCCAGCGCCGCCCGGAACGGACCAGAGAGCGCAGAGGCTCGGTTGCGTGACGGTTCCCGCTCGCAGCTGCACCGGCGCTCTCTTCCCCGCGCTCCGGCCGCGCGTGCTCTTTATTTCAGGGCGATTTGCGACGTTTCGGCGCCGGTGTCGCGTTGTGCGCGGCGCAGGTACCCTCGGTTCAAGGAGTGGTGCGACGACTACTTCGTGATCAAGCACCGCGGGGAGACGCGCGGGTGCGGCGGGATCTTCTACGACGACCTCAACGAGAAGCCCGACGACACGCTCCTGTCCTTCGCCAAGGACAACCTGCAGGGCGTCATCGACGCCTACCTCCCCATCGTCCGCAAGCACAAGGACGACGCCTACACCGAGCAGGAGAAGAGGTGGCAGCAGGTACGCGAAAAAGGTCCTGCCCAGCGCGCGCGCGTCGCCGCGCTCTCCGCGAGCGAGGCTCATGCTGCGACCTTGTGCTTCCGAGCGCAGGTTCGCCGCGGGCGGTACGTCGAGTTCAACCTGGTGTACGACCGCGGGACGATTTTCGGCCTCAAGACCGGCGGGCGCATCGAGAGCATTCTCATGAGCATGCCCCTGACGAGCCGGTGGGAGTACGACATGAAGGTCGAGCCCGGGACGCCCGAGGCCGAGATCATGGACGTGTTCAAGAACCCCAAGTCGTACAACTGGGTCTGAGCCGTCACGCGCGCGGAAGACGGGGCCCGCCCGCGTTGCTGGCGGCGGGGGGCGCCTGTGCACCTAGCAGCACTGCAGGAACGCTCTAGCTTGCCACCGCGCCGTGTGAGCGACCGTGGACGCACGGGGACGTCGCTCTCGCTCGGACACTCGCAGGCGGGGAACCGCAGCGTCGCGCGTCGCGTCAGCGCACGCGAACGCCAAACCCAGCTGCCGCTGCAGCTTGCTCATCCTGCGTGCGGGGACTCCACCGCGCCGTTGCTCTCGGCCACCCTTTCCTCGGTCAACGTGACCTCCGGTCCGACACGTTTGTCCATTACACCCCCTGTCGCACTAGCAGCACCTCAGTGTGGTCGGTTGCCGATCACCAGCTGAGTCAGTGTCGCCGAACGGCTTCCGGCAGCTCCGCAGAAGCGGGTGCTCGCGTTGACCAGCGCGCGCGTCTACCAGCGCTTCGTGAGGCTCCCGATCAGCTCGAACATCTCAAACACGTTGCCCTTCTTGTTTCCCTGGTTCTCTTTGGCGGCGGCGGCCGCCTTGGGGTTCAGGCGCGGGTCGATCGTCTTGCTCGCGAGGAACGACCGCCAGCCGCCGAGCAGGACCAGCGTCGCGACCATCGCCACAATGATGAAGGGCTTGGGCGGCACGCGGCCCTTGGCGACGCCGCGCAGCACGAGGCCGACGGGGACGCCCGCGATCCACGACTTTCCGGTGATGAGCCACGCGTTGAGCGGGTCCTGGGTCTTCTGCGGCGAGCACGCGCGAGGCGGGACGCGCACGGAGCGGTCGCGGAACGTTCGTAAGGAACAGTCGAGCGAGGCGGTGCTGGCGTCGTCGTGGGGCGTCGGGAGCGCGGGCGCGGCGGGATCGGTGTGAAATAATTGGGAGTGCCGGGCGCACCTGCGCGTCTTCGCTGTAAGCGCCCGTGAGGGGCGACGTGGCGAGCCAGCCGAGGATGAAGGGGAGAGCGGTGCCGACGACCTCCGCCACGGCGTTGCCCTCGCCGTGGTTGGCGCGCCCGATCGCCGCGAAGATGAGGAACGCGGCCACGTCGCCGGCGACCAGCAGCGCGACGCGCCCCACGTCGGTCGACTGCACCAACACCCATCCGTCAAATATCAACGTCGGCGCGGGAGCAGTCGGGAATCGCTCGATCCCAGTGCACCTTTGCCACTACCACGCAGTGTGGATCCGCTCAGCGCGCCCTGCCGCACCGCATGCGAGGTGTTTCGCCGCGCACGCAAAGCGCTGCGCGAGCAGGGAGCATCGCGGCTGCGCGTAGGCGTGGAAAGGGACGTACGTTCGCGTCGTTCTTCACGAAGCCGACTCCGCTAACAGCATCTCCCTTCAGGTCCTCGACGCGCACGAGCTCGAGGTTGGGGTCCATCCCGGGCGGCATGGGAGGCAGCTTCTTGGGAATACGCTGCGGCTTGGCGCCCTTCTCCTCCGTCCCGGCTCCGCTCTGCGACCCCTCGGACGCAGCCACTCTCAGGCTGCAGCTCTTCCGCCCCCCGCGCCGGCCCACGCGGGCCGCGGCCGGCGCGAAAGTGCACCTGACGGCGAACATAGCGGCAAAGACCGAGACGCGCGCGGTGTTGCGGATGTAGAGCCCGCGGCGACGCGAAACGAGCGCCTGTAAGAAACCGTGAGAGGTGGTGGGCGTGGGCTGCCTGGGACGGTGCTGCGGCCGTCGCGACTGATCTCCGGGGCGGGCCTGCGTGATCTGCCCAGCGCGTGCCGGTCGCGGCGCAGTGAGTCGCGTGCGGGACGCCCTGAGGTGGCACTATAACAACACACCCCAGCCTGACATGGAGAGCGCGCTCGGGCCTGACGCCGGCGTGGAAGTCGCACCTGACGCCAGTTTCGAGCGCACTGAGAGCGCGCGAGAGCGTCTCGCGCGTCCACGTACCTGCCGCTGCCGCCCAACACAAGTCTGCAGCAGTCCGCGAGCCCGAGCATCTGTCCGGTGACAGGAGGGGGGGGGTCTCGGATGATCACGCCACCAGACACGCTTCGTACACAAACACTCGGGCTCACATCGTCCAGACACACACGGCCGATCAGCGACACCCCCACAATGGACGAAAAACACCCCCCTTCCATTGTTCACCGGACGCCAACGAACCGCACGTCCGTCCCGATCGTCCGCGCGATCTCCTCGACCCTCCGCGTCAGCGCCGCCCGCGCCGCCGCGAGCTCGCGCGACGCCGCCGTCACCTCGTCTCGCACGCGCAGCGCCGCCGTCGCCCCCTCCTCATGACTGACCGCCCACGGCCGCTCGCCGCCCTCCAGCGGCACCCCGCCCCCCGGCACCTGCCCCACCGTATACCGCACCACGCGCCGCTCCTTCTGCGCCGCGGCCGCGCCGTCGCTGGCCGCACCCCGCGCCGCGAGCGCGCCGGTGATGCAGCGCTGCACGTCCGCCGGCAGGGCCGCGACGTCCGCGTCCTCCGCGCCGCACGGCGCGTCCATGGGTACCGGATCGCGCGGGAGGCGCCGGACGGCCGCGGCGGCGCGCAGGAACGCCGAGAGCGGCGGAACTGTGTCGGCGACGGTGCCGGAGTCGTCTAACGCTGCCTGCGGTCAGCAGGAGGCCGGGAGTGACGAGTTCGGACGTGCGTACGGCAGGGAAACGCTCGTGGGGACAGGATGTGCGACGTTGGGCGTCCACGGCGCAGCCAGGTGGGGGGTGTGAGGTGTTTTTGGCTGTCAGGGGGTCTGACGGGAGGTCCGCCGCGCACGCACCTCTTGAAGCAGTGCCTCGCATCGGTCCTCGAGCGCTGCGATGCGCGCCGCGGCCTCCGCGGCGCCAATCACGCCCCCGACACCCCCCCCCCTCGCTGACACCGCATCGCGCGCACACCGCGCGAGATCCCGCCCCGTCGCGCCCAGCCCGGCCGCGGCCCACGCGTTCAGCACCGCCGCCGCCTCCTCCCGCGCCGCCGCCGCCGACAGCGTCGCGGTGGCCGCCTCCAACGCCGCCTGGTGCCGCTCCGCGCTGCCCCGGCTCAGCGTCACGTGCAGCTCGTAGGGGGTCATGTGGCGCCCGTGCGCGGTCGCCTCGGCTACCTCCGCGATCCTCGTCGCGCGGCACGCCACGGCGGCGCCCAGCGCGGACATCGCGGCCCGCGTGCGCGTGTGCAGGAATATCGCCCGGTGCGCGAGCGCCTCGACGCCGGCCCAGTCGCTGGCGTCCACGGGCGCGCGGCATTGCTGAGCGAAGCGGTCGGCGTCCTCCGCGGCGTCGAGCGCGGCGCTCAGCGCCGCGGGCGTCGTCTCGAGTGTGCACGGCCATGGCGGGAGTGGCTCGGACGCGGAGCTGACGGGGTCGTAGAGGGCCGGGCCGGTGCCGAGGAGGCCTGCGAGGTCGACGAGGAAGATCAGCGCCGCGAGGAGCTCCTGAGGGGTCGACGGCGCGGCCGTTTCGGCTGCGCGCGGGCTCGCCGCAGCACCGTCGTCGTCTTCCGGGGGCGGTCCGGGGCTGATGCGCGGCCCCGGGTATCCCCACGCGTTGACGTAATGAGCTGCCACCTGCTTCGCCGCGTAAGGGACGCCGACGTAGCCCTCGAGCTCGGCATTCGCCCAAAACCTGCAGAAAACAATGCACGAATCAGCGACGCGGCAATTTCGGCCCCGTCCGCGCGGTTCTGGCGCCGCGGGCCATCCCTGCTGGACCGTCAGGTAGCGCACGGTCCCAGCAGCGCTATCCGAGTCGTTGCGGCCGCGGTCTCACCTCGCGAGCGCCTTGGGATCGTGCTGCGGGAACCCAGCAAGGCGCGCGAGGCTCACGTCGTGCAGGACGCGCCACAGGCCCTCTCCCGCGGCCCGCACGCCCCGGTGCGCCGCGACCAGCACCTCGGGCGTCGCCGTCGACGCCCCCACCGCCGCCAACCGCCCGCACAGCAGCCCAAGCGCCCGCTGCAGAGCCGCGCCCTGCGCTTCCGTCCCGCGAGAAGCACCTCGTGCGCCCCGCCCCGCCATCTCACACTATCGTCATACCACGACGGACCGTCCAAACGTGCCCGAGAACGCGCACTCGACGAGAAATCCGCGCGGCGGTTACTATCTACCGTGCTTCGCCGCCGTGCAGGCACGCCGAGACCCCCGGGGACGTCTTTCCCGGCCCTCGACCTCCGCATCACAGCTGGCCACCACGCCGCGCGGCACCGCGCCACCTGCGCGGCGCAGCGCGCCGCCCAAGCCGCCCCCCCCCTGAGCGCACACGCCCAGCACGGTCCACGTCCGCAACAGCGCGGTCCGCCGGCGATCGCGCTGCGCCGGCGCGGCGCGCGCGCAGTGGCTCGCCGACGGAAGCCAAGCCGTGTCGACGCAGGCATGGCCACCGCAGCGCTGACGACACGCTAGCTGCACGCTGTTGCCGCACCACGATGTTTGTGCCGCAATTGCTCCTCGTGGCGCTCGCCCTGCTCCTCGCGGGCGCGCACGGCGCGCGCAGATGCGCCGATATAGACGTCCCCGGCGTACGGTGCGCCCCGAGCGGCGCGGAGGTCGTCGCAGCTGCCCCGGGAAAGGGTCGGGCAGCTACTGCCTTAGGTGAGCGCCGCCCTGCGCCGCGCGCGCCGGTCGGCCCCGGTCGGAACGCGTCGGCGGCGTGTCTCCGCGAACTGAGCCGCGCGGTGCGGGCGTTTCGGGCCCACGCCGGCGCCGCGCGAGCGCGCACGGGCCGCCACGCTCGGCCCTCCAGCTGCCGAAACGTTGCCCCTGGCGCGGCGGTTGCGCCCCGCGTGGCCGACCCGAGGCGCCGCCCCGCGACGGCGTTGCAGATGGGGGCACGGTTTTTCGGTGGAGCGTGCTGCTCCGCCCCGGGACGGACCCACGGCGCGCAGACGTGGTGTGCGGATGTCCCAGCCTCGTCCGGTGCTCCCACGCCGGGCTGGGGCTGCTCACGGTGGACGCGTCGGCGGGGGACGTAGAGCAGGTGCGGGGCGGCGGTATCGGCGCGCGCGCGGCCCTCGCCGCGGCGCCTGCGTGGCTGCACCCGGGGGGGCACGCACGGTCAAGAGCGCGCGCACTCCTCGCGAATACGACGAGTTTCCGCCCGTGGCTTGTCCCGCTGCAGTGGCTCCGCAAGAACGAGCGAGATCTCGACGGCGCGCTGGTCCAGCAGGCGCACACGGCGCTCGCACCGACGCTCCATCGTGCCAGCTTGCTCACGTTCGCCCGCGACGGCCACGGGCGGCGGCGCGTGCGCGAGTCCGCGCTGCTCTCCGGCGACGCGTGCTTCTCCACCAAAGTGCGACCACGCCCCGCGCGCCCCGCGCGCCCCCGCCCCGCGTTCCTGAGCAAACCACCATCGCCACCACCGACGCCCTCCCCCGGCCCGCAGGCGGGCGCGCTCGCCGCGGAACAGGTCGCGAACGGCAACCTGTACGACGAGAACGGCGAGCGGCGCGCCGGAGACGCGGAAACCGACCTGTGGGGCCCGGACAGCGCGGACAACTCCCACGCCGCGAGAGACGGCTGCCTTTCGCGGCGGTACCGCGGGCGCGGCGTGTCGGCCTTCGTGGTCGACCACGAGATCCGCTACAGCCACGACGAGTTCCAGCCCGTGAACGACACAACCGGCCTCGCCTCCCGCGCCTCGGAGTTTTACGCACGCAGCGCGCAGCGCCACGCGCGGGGCGTGCCGCTCCACGGCACGCACGTCGCGGCGACGATCGCGGGCCGGTCCGTCGGGTTCGCGCCGGACGCCAAGGTCCTCGGCTGCGCGGTCACGGGCGACCTGGGCGGCGTACGCGTCATCGACTCAGCGGCTGTGGCCGAGGCGCTGGTCGCGGTGGCCAAGTCGCGCGCGCGGCCCGCGGTGGTCAGCATGACCGCGGGCGCGACGGAGTACAGCTACGGCGCGCTCGACGCCGCGATCGACCACATCCTGGCCGAGGCGGGCGTCGTCGTGGTGCGTTCCGCCGGCAACGGCCGCGCGCTGTCGCACCTGCTCGCGGGCGGGCACTCGCAGCGCGCGCTGCACGTCGCCGCGGCGCGCAAGGCGCCGGACGGCGTCGCGCAGGACGACTCGTACACGAACTTCGGGCCGCTTGTTGGGGTGTTTGCGCCGGGCACGGGGGTGCTGTCCGCGTCGAACGCGCAGGACGATGCGTACGCGGAGCTCACGGGGACGTCGATGGCGGCGGCGGCGGTCGTCGGGGCCGTCGCGCAGTACCTCGAGCACTCCCCCGAGACGGCGGCGGACGCGGTCCGGCGCATCGTGCAGCTCGCGGCGGCGCCGCTGCTGCCCGCGCACGCGCGGCGCGGGCGCGAGGCGTTCGGCGGCGCGGCGTGGACGGACGGGTACCTCCAGACGGGCCCGCTGGAGCGCGCGGCGGCGCTGTATACGACGGCTACCGCCGTCGACGTCGTCAAGCTCGGCGCGACCGCGTACGTCACGCTGTACCTCCGGCAGCCGCTGACGGGCGCCGAGAGCGTCACCGTCGACGTGTCGGTGTCGCACCCGGACGCGATACGGGCGACGCCGGCGCGCGTGACCTTTTCGCGCGGCACGATGCCCTCGCCGGCCGGCGGCGTGACGGTCGCGATCGAGACCAGCCGGCTCGGCGCGAGCGCGCCCGTCGCGTTCGTGGACTTCCGCGCGCGCAGCGCAGACCCCGCGTTTGACGGCGCGGTTCACGCCGTCGCCGTGCGCTGGCGCGCCGGGCCGGCCCGCGGCGCCACCGTCGGGAACGCCGTCGCGCTGACGTCCCTCGGCGCCCCCGGGCGCCCCGCGCGCGTCTGGCACGACCTCAACGAGATGGAGCTGGTCTCGTCGGTGCGTGAGTTTGGCGACATCGCCGACCGCTGGCTCGCCGGGACGGTGAAGATCCTGTCGCGGATGGACCCGCCTGGCCCGGACCTGCCGTTCGTGTGCCGCAACACCACGTCGCTGGTGGCGGACCGGGACTACTGGTTTGCGTTCTTCGTCGAGGGCGGGTGCGACGGCGGGTGCGCGCTCACGGTCGACACGTGCGGCACGCACTTCGACTCGGCGCTCAAGGTCTGGGACTACACCGACGTGCGGGCGCCGGAGGTGGTGGCGGACTGCACGCACAGCGGGCCCGGGGACGACGTTGGGCCCGGGGCGCGTGTGGAGTGGTTTCCGGGCTTCGAGGGGGGCATGGCGGGGGAGGAGCGGTGGGAGGACGTGGAGTGCGGCCGTTTGGCGTCGAGGATTGAGGCGCGGGTGTTCTCGGGGCGGCGGTACATGGTGCAAATTGGAAAACTGCTGTCAAGTCGGGCGCAGCGGCTGCAGCGCGTGCTGTCGCTGCACGCGCAGCTCGACGCCGCGAACGTGACGCTCTCGCAGTCGGAGAGCCGGATCCTGGGCCACGAGCGGGGGCTGGAGGGGGGGAGTGTCGGGGGGGGTGTGGAGCCCGCGGAGCCCGACTCCCCCGTCGCGCCGGCGTCGGTGTACGGCCTCTCGCTGTCGATCGTCGCGTCCTTCAGCACGGACGCGAAGGACGGCACGCTGACGGCGCGCGAGCGCGCCGCGATCGTGACGGCCATGGCCGGTGCCGCGGGCCTCGGTTCGACCGCCGCGCGCTTCGCGACGAACGTCTTCGTCCGCCTCGGCGCCCCACAGACCGAGCTCAACGCCACGGGCGGCCTCGCCGCGGAAACCGCCGGCCCGGGCCCCCAGCGGGCCAGCCGCGCCCTCCGCGCCGGCTCTGGGCACTACAACGTCACCGTGCGGGTCAGCGTCGGCACGCTCGCGCAAGCGAGCGTCGCGCACACGCAGTTCCTGAGCGCCGCCAGCTCCGGCGCGCTCGCCGCCGGCATGCCCGGCCTGGCAACGGTCGAAGCGGCCACCGCAGACATCGTGGAAGTTCCCGCCTATGACGCGTTCGGGCCGAACCGGCCAGGGTTCCAGACGCAGCCGGCGGACTTCGGGGAGGCCGCGAGCGCGCCGGCGCCCGCGGACGGCTTCTCGCTGTTCGGTCTGCCCAAGCTGTGGTCGGTTGTTGTCGTCGCGGGCGGGGGGGTGTGTTGCCTCGCGGCGCTCGCGGGCGTGGTGGTCGTCGTGACGCACCGCCGCGTGCAGAAGGCCGCGCTCGAGCGCATCTCGTCGGACCGCGCCCGCGTCGCAGATATCGAGGACGAGGGCGCGGAAGTAGTCGATGGAATCCGAATCAGAAATCGCCGAGCGACTGGTTGGCCCACCGACCCGTACACGGTCGGCGTCCCCGTCACGGTCCAGGACGCCAACGTCTTCGCGATCGTCAGCCCCACCGGCGAGCGCGTGCGCGTCGACGACGCCCCCCCGCTCCCCGGCACCCCGCGCCAGGAGACGGCCGCTGCCCCTGCCGGCGGCGGCCCCTCGGGCAGCGACGACGGGGCCGTGCCGGCCGTGTCGAGCCCCCCGCTGCGCACGGGCAGCGGCGGCGAGAGCCGGCGCGCGCGGAGGTCCGCGTCGGTGACGCCGGCGGACGCGCGGCAAGCGCTGCCGGGGTCGCCGCCGCTGACGCCGTCGGGCGTGAGCCTGCCGCGGCTCGCAGGCGAGAGCAGCTCGACGCACAGGGACGCTGCGTCGTCGCGACGGAGCACCGCGAGCGCGGCGGGGTCGAAAAAGCAGGACGGCGACGACGCGTGACGGTGGCCGCCGCCGCGGCTCCGCACCGCGCACACCGCCGCTGCGGCGAGACAGGGGCGCTGTCTGGTCGGTCCGTGTCCCCCGCGCAAGCTCAGCTTCCGCTTCTGCGCACCGACGCAAGGGTCGTGACGTACATAAGCGCATTTTACAACATGCGTGAACACCTGCCGAGGGCCTTCCTCGCGCCTCCGCAACCAGCAGCCGGCGCGTGCCTTCATGCGCCGCGCCTGCTGGCCCCAAGAACGACCTGCAGTCCGCCCCATAGTTTCTACCCAGCGCCAAGGGACCCCCCTCCCCCTGCGGCCCTTTGCATACATCGCGTCTGACCGACTCGACGCGGGCGGCGCTGGCGCCGGCGTGTCTGCACGCCAGCTGCCCCAGAGACACGCGTTGCCTGCAGCGCGGTCTGCACAAGTACGCAGACTGCACGCTGCAGCTCGACTGCGAAAGAAAAGAATTGATGTTGTTGTTGTACGACAGGACGACGTCCTGCTCCCGAGCTGCCACCGCAGCCACCACATCAAGCCCACCACCCGCTCCCTCCTCCCCCTCCCCCGCGTGCTAGACAGCCCCTGTTGTTGATAGTGGGCCCGAAAGGTGGAGCGCTGGCCACTCCCAGGCCGTAGCGCGCGCACAGCGACATGCTGCACTGCGCCTCGTGCTTGTGATCCGCGCGTTCCGCATCTTCGACGTGCCAGCCAAAAAGACGCACGGCGGCGACCGCCTCGCGTGACGCGCGGCTCCGGTTGTAGCAACAGGTGAGGGTGCTCGTAGGTCAGCGAAGTACAAACAGGAAGGCTGGACAGCGGGTTCAAGGCGGCGTGCCGGAGCAGATTCCGGAGTGAGCACCCCGCAGGACGGTCGTCGCTTGCAGGGCTCGCTTTCCCCTTCCATGACGCAGCTGCGGACGGCGCGCAGGGTGCCGGTGTGTTCTGCGGTGTTGGCACCAGCAAGACATAGTACTTCGCTGACCTACAAGCACCCTCGCCGCGAGGACGCTTGAGCGACCGAAAGCCGTCATGCTGAAACGGCCGAGGGGAGGAGCGCCCCGGTTCGCCTGATGTCACAGCATGCGGGGCGCCCGAAAGCATGACGGCTCGGTGGCGCCCAGGCGCAGGGCCGACGAAGCGAGCCGCCCGCGTCCCCGACGGCCGACCGAGTGCGACGCCCCGGGCACGCCCGGGTCGGCAGCGTGCAGCTCACGTCACATGACGATCCCCAACGCTGTAGGACCAATGCACGCATGCAATTTCGGACCACGCCTCCCAAGATACCCTGCCGGTGCCGCAACGGCGCCGCGTGTCCCCATCCCGCGACGAATACATCGCTGATACGCGCCCCTGCGGTCCTGGAACATAACACCCCCCAGCCCTGGCCATAACACCCCCTCATTTCTTCGCGAGGGCAGCCTGCATCGACGTCGCCTGCATGCTCACCCGCCTCGCGAGCGGCGACATGAACAGCGGCACCTCCTCGTCGTCGCTCTCCTCGTCACCCCCCGCCGCCGCCGCCGCCGCCTGCTTCCCCAGTGTTGGCACCATCCCGTCCTCCTCGTCGCTGTCCGGCGCCCCGTCCGACGGCCGCGCAGGCGGGGACTTGGCGCGCCGCCGCGGCACGGGCCCTGTCCGCGTCTCCGCGTCCGGGTGCGCGTCCCGGCCCAGCGCATCCTCCTCTCCGGGCGACGTCAGCGCCGTCCCATCCTTGTCGACGCCCACGTCGCGCGCGTGCTTGCTGTGCTCCATGTCCGAGTCCTCCCAGTCCTCCTCGCCCTCGGACAGCGGCGCGAGCGCGGCCTGCGCGTCCTCCGGCACCGCCGTCAAACTCCCCTTGGAGTGCGCGGTGTGCGCAGAGTCCTGGGCGCGGCGCTGCGACAGCGCGGCCTTGCGCGCCTCCTCCTCCTGCAGACAACGACGACGACGCACACGCGGGCGGTGAGAGGAGGCGAGCGGAGGCGGCGCGCAGCGAGCGCAAGCGGCGACGAACAGCAACACCGGCGCGTCGTGGGCGACACGGCGCGGACCTTGTCGGCGTCGTGCTTGACGCCCTTGAGCGCCGACTTCAGCTGGTTCGACTTGATCAGGCGGTGGCTCGTGGAGTACTTTCGGAGCATCCGCTCGACGGGGTTGACGTCGGGGATGACGGCCCGTCCGCCGAACGCCACGAGCGGCTGGTGGTCGAGGCCCGTGCGCCACGTCACGCCGCCCGTGGCCACCGTCGCCGCGCGCCCGGGCAGCGGCCGCGACCCCCCCGCGCCGCTCGTCCTCCGGAAACTCAGCGCGGCGAGGGCCTTCTTCCGTCCCAGCGCCATAACGTGGCCCTGGCTGCCGACGCTGTCCGTGCTCGTCCGCCTCTCGCCGTCCTGCGGCGCCGCGGCCGCGCGCGCCGCGAAGTCCGACCCCTTGAGCGACTGCAGCCGCCCCATCAGCGGCACCTTCGCCGCGCCGTCGCCGGCCTTCGCGGCGTCCTCGACGAATGTCCGCACCTGGCTCGGGCTCTCCGGGCCGGCGTCCTCGCCCTCGAGGCCGAGCTGCCGGTTGCGCAGCGCGGTGCTCGAGATGCCCGCGCGCTGTTGGCTCCGCAGGTTGAAGCTCATGGACTTGACGGGCTGCGATGCCATGCTGCCTGCGAGCATGGCGCGCTTGGAGTCGGCGGGGTCGTCCTGGCCGATGCCCTTGGCGCGCTCCTTGTCGCGGAGGAAGTGCGAGGCGTCGAAGTGCGTGAGCATGTCTGCGAGCGCGCGCGGCGTGAGGCCCTCGCTGTCCTGCGCTTGCAGGAGCGCGGGGCACCGCTCGACGAGGACGGAGAGGATCGTGACGTCCGAGTGCCGCGCCGCGACGGCGTTGTGCAGCGGCGTCCACCCGCGCACCGCGTCCTGCGTGTTGAGCTCTGCACGGCGGAGAGGAAGGAAGGAACGTCGCGACAGCCATGAAACGAGCATCGCCAGCACCGCGCCGTCAAATCTGCCCGCACTCACGCCGCGGAGCGGTACGCGCTGGACGGCGCACCGCTTCCGCGGCGCCCGAGCGAGCCGGCAAGCCGAGCTCGCGATCGGCCGGCTGGCACCGGCAGCACCAGCGCAAGCAGGAGCTGGGGGGCGTCGCACTTGCTCCGCGGTCGATGAGGATGCGCAGGATGTTGACGTTGCCGTGGCGCGCCGCGAGGCTCGCGGGCGTCGCGCCGAGCTTGTCCGCGATGTTCACGTCCGCGCCGGCCTCGAGCAGCGCCCGCACGCAACCCTCGCTGCTGTGCACGGCCGCGGCAGCCAGCGGGCCCGTCCCGTCGCCCTCCTGCACGTTCGGCGACATGCGCTGCTGCTGCACGAGGTACGCCGTCACGTCCGCGGCCCCCGCGCGGCACGCCGTCGTCACGATGTACTCGGCCACCGGCGGCGCCGGAATGCTTGCGACGGACAGCCCGCGCTCCTCCACGAGGGTGCGCAGCACGCCGAGGTTGCCGTTCTGCGCGCACACGTGCGCGACGGAGCGGTTGTTGTTGTCCGTGGCCGTCAGGCTCGCGCCGGCGCCGGCCAGGAGCTTCACGACGGCGTCGTGCCCCTCCTCGGCCGCCCACATGAGCGGGGTGCGGCCCTGCTCGTCGGCGACGTCCGCGTTCGCGCCGAGCGACAGCAGACAAGCCACCGCGTCCACGTGCCCCTCGCGCGCCGCCAAGTGCAGCCCGCCCAGCCCGTCGCGCCCCTGCGTGTTCACGTCTGCGTGATGGACCTTGACAGCAACGACGATTCGCCGCACCGACCCCATCTCCGCCGCCTCGAGCAGCCGCTTCTCGACCTTCCCCTGCCCCTCCGCGATCAGCGGCGGCCGCTCCGCCTCGTCGCGCTCGGTCGCGCTCGCCTCGCCGCCGCTCGAGGCCGTGGGGGACCGCTGCGACCCAGCGAGCACCTGCAGCTCGTTCGCGCGCAGGGACGCGCCCGCGCGGAGCCTGTCGAGGAGCTCCGCGTCCGGAAGCGCCCCGGACGCCGCGCTGTGGTCGCTCGCGCCCGGATCCGGGTCGCCCAGCACCGCCGCCGCCGCCGCCTGCGCCGTCCGCGCCGCCTGCGCCGCCTGCGCCTCCGCCGCCCGCCGCGCCTCCTCCTGCGCCCTCCGCTCCTCCGCGGCCCTCCGCTCCGCCTCCGCGAGCTCGGCTTGTTCTCTCAGGGCTTTTTCCGCTTTCGCCGCGGCTGCCGCGGCCGCCTCGCGCTCCTCGCGCGCCCGCCGCTCGGCCTCCGCGCGGGCCGCGACCTCGCGCGCCTCCGCCTCGGAGCGCTCGCGCGCCCGCCGCTCTGCCTCCGCTTTCAGACGCTGCTCTGCGATGCGCTCCGCGTCACGCGCACGGCGCTCCGCGGCCTCGCGCGCGGCGCGCTCCGCCGCGAGGGCCTCGGCGGCGGCGGCGCGCTCGGCTTCGAGGCGCTCGGCGTGGGCCTGCAACGCGCCCGAAGAAGAGGAGGGGGGGGGTTGTGGTGCAGTTGCGGGCAAGGGGGGGGTGTTCCGGCGAAGTGGTGTGCGCGGAACTGGGATGTCGTGCGTGATTTGGGAGGAATGGGCGGCCGTTCGGAGCGGTGCGGCGGCGGATGCGGCGGATTTGGCGCGGGGTGAGGAGCCGAGTGAATCGGCGGGGGCAGGCGGGCGCCGCAAAGCACCAACGGGCTTTCCGGGCCAGGGGATTCGGAGACGGGTGGTATGCGGCCCGGACGAGAGCTGTCGCGGCGCGGGTCGCGCGCGTGCGAGAGCAGCGGCTGCGGTGGGGGGCTAGATGAGCTGGGTGGCCGCGTCGCGCGCACAGCCCCGCTGCGGGGTCCACGGAGCACCACGAGGAGCACAGCGGGAGAGAGCGTCCAGGCGCGGTGAGAGATCGCGGGCCAGGCGGCAGCACCGCGCAGCAGCGCCGAGTCATTGACCTGGCTCCAGTGGGCAAGCGAGCTGCGGGGCAGCGCGCGGCCGGGCCGGGAACTCACCGCGGCATGCGGCTCGGATGCTCCGGCGCTGGAGTTGCGGTCCGGCGTCTGCGTGCCCTCGCTCTCGTCCTCTGCATTGCCGCCTGCAGTGGGGTGCGGCGGAGGGATGGACAGGTCCGGCGCAGCCAGGGCGGAAGGGGGACGGCGCTTTTGGGCGCCGCGGGGCTGTGCAGCGTATGTGCGCGCGGTCGAGGAGGCTTTGCGGCCGCATGGGGCGCGGTGCGGGGCGCCGCGGGCGACATAGGCAGAGGAGGGTGGCTGAGGGCGGGGTCGGGTGGCGCGGCAGGAGGAGCAGGCCGGGCTGACCTCGAATCTTTCCAACGATGAAGCGGCCGGCGAGGAGGCCCCCGGCGAGGAGCAGCCCTTTCGGCCCGAACATGGCGCTCGGCTCGGCGAACGACGCCCAGCGCGCGTGAACGACGCCCGTGCGGGCCTTGCGCGAACCCCGTGACAGACAACGCGCGGGCTGCGATTTCTGACCGCCCACGCGCCGGCACGCCGGACAACGTAGCCCAGTTGCAGCACGGCACTGTAGTCAGGCTCCGAGACGCACTCACTCACGCGGCGCGAACACCTCACGTGGACAATTTCAGTCAAACCAAACAGAAACCATCGTTTCCTGCCCCATTTCTTCACATGGAACTTGCACAAGGAGCCGCAGGGACGGACAGCAGCGAGCGATTTCACCTGGGCCGTTCCCACGGATCCGGTGCACCCCCATCGCGTCCCACAGACCCCACAACCTCATATCCGAATCAGAACCCGGCCACCCGCGCTGCACGACCCCGCGCCCGACCGCACCGACCCGCCTGACCACCTCCACGCACACCTGTCGCAACGGCCACCCGCGCGCATCGCCGCGCCCCTCCGCCCTCGCAGCGCCTCAGTCGATCCGCACCGAGCCATCAAAGCCGTCCCCGAGGCCTCCGAACAGCCCTTTCGGCGGCGCGAGCTCCGCACAGTACCTCGCCCACGGGGGGTTCCCCAGGCCGCTCGAGCGCACGCGCCCGTCCATCCGGAGGCCGATGAAGATCCCGCGCTCCCCCGCCTCCGCCTCCGTCTTCCCCGCCTGCGCGAGCTGGTCCACGACCCAGGACTTCCACTCTCCCGTGCGCGACGCCGCCACCGCCCATGGCCGCTCGCCGCCCTTGCCCTGCGCGGGCGCCGGGGGCGCCTCGGGCGCCTCCTCGGGCTCCGGGATCGACGCGAGGAGCTCCCGCGGGTCCTGCGCGAGCACGGGCGGCGGGCCACGCGGCGTCAGCCCTCCTCCATTCGTCCTCTCTCAGATATATATTTCATATATTCATATTTTCTCAATATTTAATATATTTAAAACAACAACATATTGGCTGCTGTCCGGGTGGCGTGTGCGAGGGTTGCCGCGAGCGTCGCGCGCGCGCAGTCCGGCAACGCACCTGCGTGTCTCCGAAGCACGGCAGCGCGACGACCGTGATCCCGCGCTCGGCCATCTTCGCGCGGAACGGCCCCGCCGCCTCCAGCGCCGCGCGCACGTGCTCGGGCGTGCCGGCAACGACGACGGGGCGCGCGAACCCGCGCAGCTCGGACATCCGCCGCATCGTCCCGGACGGCAGCTCGACCCTGCGCAGCGGCACACCAGACACGGCGCGGTGTCGATCGGCGCGGCAACGCTGCCTTGCGTCGCCGGGATGCGGCCTGGGCGCAACGGACGGCACGCCGCGCGCTCGCCGCGCCGGCGAGGAGCGGGGCTAGGTGCTGCGGTGGTGTGCGGGCGCTCGATGCGGCGGGGGCGGCGCGTGCCTGAGCGCCCCGAGGCGTTCCTCACGCGCGAGGCGAACCATCTGTGCGTCGCGAGCCTTGAGGTCCCGGCGGAGGAGCGTCGCGAAGAGCACGAGGCCCGCGACGTCGATCGCGAGGGTCTGCGCGCAGCTCTCGACGGTGCCGACTGCGGCGGCGGAGCCCGCTAGCGCGCCGACGAGCTGCGTGAGGGCGATGAGGGTGCCCGTGGCGACGGAGGCGCACGAGAACCCGAAGATGACGATGCGGAGGGACCGGAAGGGCGCCTGGACCTCGGCGCGCATCTGGAGGTACCTGTCGTCTGCGCAGGGGCCGGGAGGTGCACGCGCAACGCATGGGTGGGCCGTTCGGCGCGTTACAAGGCGTAGACCTCGCTTAAAAAGCAAAGAGGGTGTGGGAAAGTGGGGGAAATGATCGGCTGGGGATGGAGGACGCGCTGGGATTGCGGGAGCGCCGCGTGGTGGGCAGGAAGGAGCTGCGGCCACTCTCTGCTGGGGAGCCCCCGCTCCGCCGCTCCCGAGGACGAAACCGCGCGTTCGAAGCGGGAGAGGCCAGAACGGAACTGTTGCGAGCTTCTGAGCAGCGCGGGAGGTCACGTACCGGTCGGGTCTGGCGGGGAGCCGCCCTGGGCACGGCAGAGGTGCGAGGCCCTGGGCATCGGTCGGGCGTCGCGCAGGACGTGCGCTCGGCGCACGGGCGGCGCGGCGGGCCGGGCTGGGAGGCGGAGAAGTCCGCATCGCGACGCCGCGGGGCACCGCGCGGGCGCCGGAGCGCACGTGTGGGCGGCCATGGCCCGTGCAGGAAAAGCTACGCGAGTCGCTCGGTGATCAGCGGTCGCTGGATCGCAATCACGTGGCAGGTTTCGGTCGTTGTGTGGCGGGAGGCGGCTTGGGCGGGGAGTTGAGGGCCCCTGCGCGACGCAGCGGGTCCCCGGAGGGACTGGCCTGTCGTCTGACGCTCCGGAGGGGCGTGGGAGGGGCGGTATCGGGCTGCTCGGGCGGTCGCGTGCGAGAACTGCGTGCAGAGAGCGCGGCGCGAGGTCGAGGAGGAGCGGAAACGTCTCGTTCGCGCAGCATTCCCAGCGCGACGGTCAGCCACCGGGAAACGCAACTCGCGCCCGCCCTGACGCGCCTGCGCCATCCGAGGCGCCGTTCTGCCCAAACACGAAGAAACTAGGTGTGGTTTCGAAGGTAGCGAGCCGCATTTGGCGCGCACAGCAGCCGGGAGCCGCCCTTGAGTCCGTTTCTTGCTTCAGTCTTCAGTCGACGGATCGCGATGGAGACGAACCTGCAGCTGGGCAGCCAGCGCAAGGGCATGAAGCTCGCCTTCAAGCAGTACTTCGCGCAGGACTTCGAGGCGTGCAAGCTCCTCGTGAAGCTGGCGGGCAGCCTCGAGTCTGCCACCGATGACTATCCCGTGCTCCGGGGCCACGGCGAGGCGCGGGTGCGGACACAGTCGCTCCAGCGTGACCAGGCGGAACCTCCATTCCACGACGCTTGCGCTCCCAGGCGATTGCGCCGAAAAGGCCGCACGCGGGGCAATGCGCGAGGCCGCTCTGCGACGCGGTACGCGCAACATGCGACGTTGCCGCCGCCGTGCGACCCGCTGCGCAGCTGGGGCGGAAGATCGGCCGCTCGGGCATCAACCTCGACGTCGGCGCGGGGTACCGGCCGAACACGCGGGCGCAAGCGGAGGACACGACGGTGTTCGTGGGCGCGCAACGGCGACAGCGGCTGCCGGCGGACGTGGACAACCTGTTCGGGAAGCTGCGCGGCCGCGTGACGTACAGCGCGACGAAGCAGCGGCTGTTCGCCGTGGGCACGGCAGGTCGGCAGAACGCTCCCGCGACGCGCGCAACCTCAGTTCTTGTTTCGATGTCCCGCCGCCCGCGTGTGCGGCACACGCCGACTGACGCGCCGCCGCCAGGTAGCGGAGAGATGCGGCCGCCGAATATGCTACGCGCCGCCCCCATCGCGCCGCGCACACACACCGTTTCGAGCCCACTGGTTGCGTCGCGACGATCATCGTGGTTGTGTACCGTAGAGGCCCGCCGCAGCGCAGCAGCTCGTGGGCCAGGGTCGCGTGCGATCCGCACCGACGCGAGGGCGCCGCCCACCGTCAGGCGCGCGGTGCGTCGCGCAGATTGTTGCCTTTCATGGCGGTTGAACAATTGGTGCGTCGAGTGTTGTTGCAGAGCTCTCGAAGACGGTGTACAACTTCAAGAGCGGGCAGGACCTGCGCCTGAAGGCCGGCGTGAGCTTCGCGAGCACCGGCACCGTGCGCGGGCGCGGCGGCGACGCGTCGCTGCACTGGTCCCCCGTCGACGTCACGTACCACGCCAAGGCGCGCGAGAACAACTGGTCGCTCGAAATGAACCACGGAACGAGGTGGTCGTGGGAAGTCAAGTACCACCTGTGACGGGCGGTTGGCGCAATATTTGCCGGCGAAGTCGCAACATCTCAGCGCCGCGCGTTGAGATGCCGTGCGTCTGTGGACGGTGACTCGTGTGTGATTGAGGTTCGAGCGAGGCGACGGTGCGTGCAGTGCTGGGTGTCTGCGTGGCTGCTGCGGGGCGGATGGACGGGGGCGCCTACACACTAGTGTCGCTTGTGCTGCAATGAATTCAGAAGTCATGGCGCTTCTGAATCAGAACCGTGTTCGTGCCGTTCGCACGCGTCCGCGCGTCGTGAGAAGCAGACCCGGATGGGCTACGGGCACACGTGCGCCACACTCTGTGCAATCTCCATCTGCTGCGGCGCAGGCACGCGCTGCCAAGAGGAGGAGCAGCTATCTCGCCCGGCAACTCCACGCCTCCTCAGCTATCGCAGAGTAGTAATTGACCACCCGCGCACGAAACGAAATGCGGGTGTGCTATCGTCCTGATCAAGGCGGCAGCGTGCTAGGAGTACTCGCGCGAAATGCCATGTGAGCATGCCATCATGTGCCCAGGGAAGGCTCTGACGAATCGCAATCCCCACCGAACAAACAGGGTCTGATGGCACCAGAGGGCGAAAAGAGCAGGTTCAGTCGAGTTTCTCGAAACGACGACGACCGCTGTACCAGCACAGCTGCGGATCTCTCTCGTGACGCTCCAGTCACACGCCAAAACACCCCAATCACTCCCCCCCCCCTTCCGCTCCCTCCCCCGCCTCCGCCTCGATCGCCAGCACCTGCGCGCCGTCGTCCGTCACCACCGGCCGCTCCTCCTCGGCAACGCCCTCCAGCGCCCCCAGCGCCGCCGCACCGTGCCGTTGCATCCCCGCCAGCTCCCTCGCAGCGTCCACGTCCGACCCGCGCGACGCCACCAGCCGCCGCGCCACCTCCATCGCGTGCAGGTCCTCCGCCCGCGGCTGGTCCGCCACCTCCCCGATGAGGTCGCCCAGCAGCTTGTCTACGTGCGCCGTAATGGGTCGCTCCGCCGTCCCGACCGACTCCCGGCCCTCCGCGACCGCGTCCTGCGCGAGAACGAGCTCGTTGATGAGGTCCCCGACGACCGCGTCGACCTGCGCGCTCGTCCCGGGCCGCGCGCTGAGCCCAGCGAGTAGGTCGTCGACGACGTCGTCCACTTGGCTGGTCGCCGGCCGCGACGCGAGCATGCTCGTGAGCTCCTCGCGCGTGTACCCGGCCGGCTCGCCCATCGCGAGCGCGGTGCCGATGACGAGCTCGCGCACCACGCCGTTGACGGCGGCGGTGTCGGGCGACGGCTCGCGCAGCGGGGCGCCGACGACGTGCTCGCCCAGGACGCCCGTGGCCGGCCGCGACGGCGCGACGTCCGACAGCAGCGCGCCGATGACGCGGTCGACCGTGCCGTCGTCCGCGGGCGTCGCGAGCTCGCGCCCCAGGATCGTCGCCGTCACCGGCCGCAACACGCCCGCCGCCGCGTCCGGCGCGCCGGAGAACGACAGGTGCTGGCTCTTCCGCAGCGAACTCATCAACTCCGACCCCTGCGCGCCGTCCTCGCCCTCGTCCCGCGACGCCGAAACCACCCCCTCTCTCCCGATGCCCGGCGCAATCCCCGCCAGGAGGTCGTCCGGGATGCTCTCCTTCCCCGGCGACGCCGGCGCCGCAGGCGCGGGCCCGGGCGACGGCATCTCGTCCCGCGGAGCGTCGCGCGACTCGGGCCGCGCGACGGCCTTGGCCGCCAGTGCCGCCTCGGCACGCGCCGCGTTCCCTCCGCCGCCGCCGCGCGCAGCTGCCGGTACGACGCGCCGGCCTCGCGCGCGCGGTCCTCCGCGGACCGCTCCCCGCCGCGCGCGAGCGCCTGCAGCAGCGCCGCGACCGCGCCCCCGATGGTCGCGTCGCACGCAATCGCCTCGCGCTCCAGCGCCGCCTGGCCCGCCGCGTGCCCGTGCGGCATCTCCTGCTGCAGCCGCAGCTCGTGGAGCAGCTCCAACCGCTGGCCCTTGGCCATGAAGAGCCGGTTCTGCGCCGCACGGCCCCGCAGGAGCCGCTGAAGCAACGTCGCGGCGGCGTGCAGGGCGGCGTCGGCGGGGACGGGGGGGCCCTCGGGGGTCTCCGGGCGCGCGAGGGCGCGCCGCGTGGCGCGCTTCCCGCCGCCCGTGGCCACGTCGCCCTGCTTGCGCTTCTCGAGCGGCGCGGGCCAGCAATCGCCGAAGCCGCGCCCGACGGTGGCCTTCGACGTCTCGAGGAGCGACGACACGAACTTGACGTCGCGGCTGAGCGTCTGCGCGCGGCGCTCCTGCCACGGAATGTGCCCCGCGTGCTTCGGGTCGACCTTCTGCGGGCACGTGTGTGCGCTGAGTTGGCGAGCGGGTTCTTGACACGCGGGGCCGGCATGACTGATTCGTGCGCGTGCGTCGCGCGAACGGGCGGGCGGCGGCGCCGAGCAGTGCGCGAGAGACACGGCGCGGCGTGTGCGTTGCGTTGCGCGTCACGGTGCATGTGTGTGTGTCTCTCTCTCACCGTCGTGCGCGGCTCGAGCGCGCCCTGGTGCAGCGTCCCCTCGAGCATGATGACGTCGTCCACGGTGCGCGGCAGGAACGGCGCGGGGTCCACCTCCGCGCCGCCCTTGGGCACCGCATCCGGGAACCGCCCCTCGCGCTGCAGCGGCGCGTACACGCGCGACGCGAAGTCCGCGTAGTCGTCGATGATCGACCGCTTCGCCGTCGCGCCGGGCTCCAGCTCCGCGCGCCCCTTCGTCAGCTGCCGCATCGTCCGCATCCGCCGCCGCTGTATCGCGTCAAACGTCCGCTGCTTCCCGGCGAGCCGCCGGTCGCGGATGCGGTCGACGCGCTCCGCGGACAGCTGCTCGCGCTCCTCCTCCCGGCGCTCCATCGCGCGCTCCAGGATCGCGAGCCGCTCGTCCTGGAGGTGCATGATCTCGCGCTCACGCTCCTGCCACTCCTTGCGCTCCCACCGCTCGAGCATCCGCCGGCGCATCGGCAGCCGCGCGGCGTCGGCGAGCGGCGGCAGGCTCGCCTCGAACTCGCGCTTCTCGCGCAGCCGCTCGATGCGTTCGATCTCCGCGCGGCCCGCGGGCAGGCCCTCGCCGAACTTGAGGTCCGTGAGGTGGAGCACCTCGGGGACGCCGCCGGTCGCGTAGCGGTCCATGAGCGCGACCTGGTGCGCGGTGGGCTCCTCGTTGATCGTGAAGTCGGGCTCCCACGGGGTCGTTTGCGCCTCGGCCTCACGGTAGTCGGACTGGGTCGCGACGGTGCGTCCGTCGCCGCGCGGGCCGGCCGTGGTCTCCGCGATGGGCTCCGCGATCGGTCGGAGCACGCGGCGGCGCGTGCCGGCCGCGGGCGGGAGGCCGGGGCCCATGGGGCCGCGCGGGCCGGCTGCGGGGGGCGGGGCTTTGGCCTTGCGGACGGTGCGCTGGCCCGGGAGGAGCGGGGACTGGCGGGGCTGGTGGTGGAAGGTGGAGACGGGCGGCGGCGCCGGGGCCGCGCCCGTGAGGACCGGGGGGCGGTAATAGAGGTGCTGGTGGGGGCCGGTGACTTGTGCCGCCGTGCTGCGCGAGGCGCGGGCCGCGTGGGTCTCCTGTTCCGCATTGTATCCGCGCTCGACGTACTCGGGGACCTTGTTCTCGGCCTTGATCCTGCGTGGCGGGCCGGGCGAGCCGGGGGAGCAGTGATGCTTGGACGGGGCGCTGGGGGCGCTGGGGGCCGCGGGAGGGGGGCGCGGCGCGGCGGGAGGGCGGCGTGTGGGGAGAGGAAGGCGGCGTGCGGCGTGCGTGGTGGGAGGAGTGCGCTGGAGGGCGCGTGGGCCGTTGGGCATGTGCGAGGGGCGTTGAAGGTCGCCTGGGGAGGCGGTGCGCGGCGAAGTGGCTGGTTGAGGGCGCCGCGTGGTGGTAGGAGTCAAGAGGGAGGGGCTGCGTGGCGTTGAGGCTCGGGCTTGGCACCTGAGCGACGAATTCGGGTAGTGCCGGAGCTCAGAGAAGAAGTTGTTGAACTCCGGGACCTTATCGACGACGTAGTTTGTGGCCTGCTGCTCCTTGAAATGGTCCTTGGGCCCCGCCAATGTCAGCGTCTTGTCTGCGAGGGCACACGGGCGAGGCGAAGCGCGTCGACTTGATGCGCGAGAGCTGTGCGCCGGCGCCGCCGCGAACGCGACTCGGCACGGCGCCCCGGACAGCGCGAAGTATTCGTCCGACTTCTCCGCCGCGTCCAAGCGACGCGCGGGCCGCGACAGCCACGCAGCGAGACAACCGAGCCCCTCCTTCGCACAGACCATGGCCGGCTATGCGTGCGGCGCCACGGCCCCCGCGCCCGCATTCCCGCCGACACAACGTCGGAGCACATTGTAACTCACCGTACAGGACGTCGAAGGCGCGCTGAGGAACCGGCATCCTGGCGAAACAGCCGGGGGCCAGGCCCTCAACACGCCAAAGTCAGCTGCGCCCACTTTTCACGGCCGGACCGTGTTCCGCGACATGCGCAGCGGTGCTATACCCCAAGCTGCGCGCGCCGGCGACTCTCCACGCGCCACGCGCCCCCGCACGCGGCGTTCGCGAGCCCTCATACTTTGCACGTCCCCGCAGTGCCCGCACCACGCCACATCGGCCCACCGACGCCCGCGGCGGCCGCAGAAGCGCATGGCCGCCAGCCGATCGGCGGAAGCCTCTCGGGCGACACAATGACGACGCGAAGGTGCGCGCGCAACCGCGTAGCGATCCCCGTGCCGCGGCGCAACACACAGGGCTTCCGCGCGACGTGTATCGCGCGCTGCGCCGTCTGACCGCCCTGGGCGCTCCGAGCCCGTCAGTGTGTCTCAGCGCGCATCGGGCGCGGCTGTGAGGCGCGCTCCGCGCGCGCGGGCGCCCCCCGCGCGTTGTGGCTGAACCATCGAGCCTCTCCCGTGGTGCAGGGAGCCCGCGGGGCTGTCCAAGCGGCTCAAGGACGAGGCACTGACCATGGAGGTGAGCAGCGGGCGGCCGCGCCGGCGGGAGCGCGCGCGAGCGCCGCGGGAGCCCGGTCCCCCGTTGAATGCGCTGGGATGCCGCGCGCCGGGCGGTGCGCCGGTGCGCGGACCGCGACGCGCCGTATCCGACCCCCCGCGCCCAGCTCTTTGCGTCCCGCAGGCCACGCTGAGCGAGTTGCGCACGCAGATGGCCGCGGAGCGCGCAAAGCGGGAGCAGGCCCGGATGAAGGCTAAGCAGCAGGGCAGCATCTGGCGCACCGGACAGACCGGCGCACTGCGCGGGTCGTCCGTGAAAAACATCGTTCGGGACGGTGCGCCGCCCGCCGCGCCCCGCCGCGCCCGCCCCGCGCCCCCACAGCGCCGCTTGTCCTGCACATCTCACCGGCCCCCACGCGCTCGTCCGCGGCCGCACGGCCCCCCGCGCGCGCCCCCTCGCACTCCCATCTCCAAACATCCCCAAACCGTCGCCCGTCCGCCGCGACGCCCGCGCCTCGCGCTCACAGCCCCCCCCTCCCCTACGTCTCCAGGCTCCGGCCGCTCGCGCCCGACCAAGTCCAACTCGATGGCCTCGCACGCGAAGAACCGCGCGCCCTCCGCGACCGCGCCCTCCCCGCCGCCGGGCGTCGTCTCCGGCCGCACCGTCACGCCTCCAGTCGGGCTCAACCAAGACGCCTCCGCCACCACCCGAGCGCCCCCCGCGGACGAGTCCGCGTGGGAAATGCCGTCCTTCATGCAGGGCCCGCCCGTGGCCACCGGGATCGGCGTCGCGGGCGCGCAGACGGGCCTCAGCGACGCGTCCCCGCCGCGCGCGGCCCACGCCGGCGGTGCGCAGGCGCAACAGCGGCGGTTCGCGGTTCCCTGCGGCGCGGCAGCGCGGCGGCGGACGCGGCGCGCGGCCCAGCGGTCGCGGAGCTCGTGCTCGACCCTCCGCGGCCCGCGGATCGCGCCTGCGCCGGGCGGAGCGATGGGCGCGAGCCGCCGGCGCCGGCGGTGGGGATGTTTCAACCGTCGGCGAAGGGGCCCGGGGCGGGGCAAGGCGGGCGGCGCGGCGGCGGGCGAGGCCGCGGAGGTGCCGCTGACGCACGCGCGCTCGCGGCGAAGCGCGAGCAGGAGGGTCCGGAAAGACCCCATGCTCATGGCGACTTCTACCGGGAGGTGTTGGAGGTCGTACGACGGGGGCGCGGCCGGGCCCGGGGGGGCGCTGCTGGACGGGGAGTTCGACGAGGAGGCGAACGCGCGGGAGTTTCAGGCCGCGCTGGCGGCGTGGAGGGACGGCGGGGACGGCGGCGGCAGCCGGGCGTCCGCGAGGGCGCGCACGCCGCCGCGGACGCCGCCGAAGCTGCGCGGGCCGTCGCTGCTGGACGGGGAGTTCGACGAGGAGGCGAACGCGCGGGAGTTCCGCGCTGCGCTGGCGGCGTGGCGCGGCGAGGGCGACGCGGTGCCGGGGGGGGCGGCGGCCGACATCCAGACGGAGGGCTCGCAGCCGCTGCGGCCGCTCGCGAAGCCGGCGGCGGCGGAGGCGCCGAGCAGCTACTTCGAGCGCATTCAGTCGAACATGATGGCGCGCACGGCGGGGCGGGCCGCGGCGCGGATGACGACGTGCGCGGCGCCGGTGGTGGCGGCGGTGATGGCGAGCGCGCGGGCGTCGGAGGCGGGCGAGGGCGAGCGCGGCGAGGCGGCGGAGGAGGCGCAGGATCGCGCCGCGGAGGCGGTGCGCGAGTGGGACGGCGCTGAGAGTGAGGCGGGGGTGCAGGATGGGTCGGCGCGGGCGGCGGCGGGGCCGCGAGCGGTCCCGGACGACGACAGCGACGACGACGCGCCGCCGCCGATGCCGCGGGAGCTGCCGCCGGCCCCGGACGGCAACGTCGCGGAGGGGGTGTCTGCGCCTGACGCTACACACCCCCCCGAGGCCCCGCCTGAGGCCGGGCCGCCCCCCGAGGCCGCCACGCCAGCACCGCGCAGCGATCCCGAGGGCCACGGCGGGTACGACCTCCTCGCGATGCTCCGGGAGGGAGCGGCGGGCGACGACGCGCAACCCATCTCAGCATCGCTGCCGCCGCCGCCGGCGCCGCGCGCTGGAGCCAGCGCGGAGCCCGCGCCTCGCGCCCGCGCGCCGACGCCCCGCCGCCCCGCGACCGCGCCGCCGGCACTCCCAGCGGCGGCTCCGGCGCGCGCCCCGCCGTTGGAGAGGCCCCCCGGAGCACCACGGGGGCGTCTCCGCGGACGTCGCGGCCGCGGCCAGAGTCCCCGCCCGCGGTGTCCCTCCCCGCGTGGCCCGCGAAGCCCGGCCCGGCGCCCAGCAGGGGCACCATGGCGTCGTCGCTCCTGAGCAGTGCCGGCAGCCCGCGGCCCGGGCCGACGCGGCGGCAGCCAGCGGCGGCACGCCGCCGCGCCGCGCAGCCGCCGCCCGTCCTGGCCGCGAAGACCGCGAACGCGGCGCCCGCGGCCGAGCGCCTGCCGCGCGGGAAGATGGCGGGGCTGCTCGGCACATCGCCGCGGCGGACGGCTCCGTCGCCGGACGACGAGCTCGCGCCGACGGTGTCGTCCGTCGTGCTGGGCGTCAAGGACGCGGCCGCGCGCGTCCCGGGCGGCCGCGGGCGGCGCGGCAGCAACGACGTCGACCCGTGCTGGTCGCTCGGCGACGCGGTGCTGTCGGGCAGCGCGAGCCCTGTCCGCGCGGACGACAGCGGCCGCGCGGGCGCGGCCGTGGCGGCGCCGGAGAGCGGCGGCGAGGGGGTCGTTCGCGACATCGACGACGACGACGACGACGACGACGACGTTTGCGACTCCACGCGTGGCGACGTGGTGGATTCGGGCTCGACGGTGCACGCGAGCGGGCACGTCGGGGCTGCGGCGGAGCGGGACGTGGGCGGCGCGGCGGCGCCGGGGCCGGGGGCGGCGCAGGCGACGTCGCCATCGAGAGCGAAAGTTGTCGGGCGGTCCGACGGGGACGAGCGAAGGCTGCGGCCGCGGAGCGGCGTCCCGGCGGGCCTGGCGCTGGCGCTCGAGACGAACGAGCAGCTGGACGGGTGGGGCGTGACGTCCGCTTCGGCCAAGCGGCAGGCGGAGCCGCTCGACCTTCCCAGGGTCTTCTAGGGACTCGAGATTCGAGGATTCCTAGTTCCTGTGCACGCGCGATGTAAACACAGTGTTAAGGCGCGCAGTTTTCGCCGGTGCGTGCGTGTGTGCTCCGATTGCGCAGAATCTGCGCCGGGCAGCGCGCGAACGGCCGATCCGCGGCGGACGCGCGGCGCGGCGCGGCACGCACGCGTCGCACCGCGGAGGGCCTCCGGCCACCGCAGCCGGCTCCTGACATCAGGCGGGCCCCGCGGGTCGTGTCGGGCCGCACCGCGGTCCCCGGGCGGGAAATCGGGTCTCTGAGTTCCGCAGCTGTCCCATTCGCACCGCCACAGCAGGTTTGCGCCTTCGATCCGACCGGAAGTCTCTACGTGCAGCGGCGACCATGCAGCAGGTGGGCAAGCTCGCGCGCCCGTCCAGCGGCTGCATTGGGCAGCAGAAGCGGTCGACGCGGACGACTCACGTCCCGCGGGCCCTCAGGGCGCGCGACGGCATCGCGGCGGAAGGTGAGCGCGCCAATCGAGCCCTCTTGAGCTCCAGGCAACATTGTAGACTCTCAGCCGGGGCCTCAAACGGTCCCAGCAGACCGGGCCGAGGGTCCGCCGGGCGCGGATTCCGCTCGTTTGCGCCGCGAGAGGCAGATCGGGCGCGGCGCGAGGTGTTGGCACGGCCCCGGTGGGGCTCCCCCGGGCGCATGTCCCTGCCGTCACCGGAACGTCTCATCAGTGCCGCCGTGTTGCGCGCAGGTGCGGCCCGGCTGGCCGAGTGGAAGGAGTCCGTCGGGAAGACTGCTGCTTCCCTCGCCCTCGCGTCCCTCGTCGGCCTCACCTCCGTCGCCGCGACCGTGCCGCAGGCCTATGCCGCCGATGCACAGTCCAGGTGCGGATTCCGGCCCGGCGGGCCGCTGCGCACACGCACATTGCCCAGATCTGCCATGCTCGCGGTGCGATCGTCGCGCCGCGGGGCTGGTTACGCGCAAATACGCCCGGAAAACGCCACGCGCCGCCCAACTTCTTTCCTGCGGCTGCGCCAACCGCAGGCTCTCCGCGGCCGCCAAGACCGCGTGGGTGCCCGAGCAGTGGAGCTACGGGCAGCAGGTCGGACCGGTCGTCTGGGGCGGCATGTGCGCCGAGGGCGGGCAGCAGTCCCCGATCGATCTCCACCCGAAGCAAGTTGACAAGGACCTCCTCCCTACGAGCAAGAACGCGACGCCCACGGTGATGCTCATGTACAAGGAGGTGCCCGTGAAGGTCGTCGACACCGGGCACGGCACGATGCAGGTCAACTTCCCGACCGGCGAGAACAAGGCGATGATCAACGGCGAGGAATACACGCTTCTGCAGTACCATTTCCACACGCCGAGCGGTGCGTTTTCCCGGCCTCTTTCCGCGCGGCGTGCGCCGCGCGGGGACGCCCACTTCGGCGCGGTCCGCACGCGCCGGGCGCCGGAGCGCAGCGGCGCGCGGAGGCGCCGCGCGGCGGCCCCCAGCTCGAGCTCACGAACAAAGCGTGCGCGCGCAGTCGGGAATTCCCGTCTCCCGCGACCGGATAAGGTCCGACTGAGCAGCTCGCGCCCGCACCTCGCCGCCCCGCAGAGCACACGTTCGACGGCAAGCGCATGGAGATGGAGGTGCACTTCGTCCACAAGAGCAACGCCGGGAAGCTCGCGGTCGTGGGCGTCATGATGCAGACGCCTCCGATTCAGGGCGGCAAAGTGGACGGCAACAACGGGTCCAACCCCGGGTTCGAGAAGACGCTGTCGATGTCGCCCCGCAACGGCGAGGTGATCACGGGCAGCATGAACCCCGCGCAACTGCTCGGCCGCGACGCGTCGAACATGAATCTGGCCATGTACGGCGGCTCGCTGACCACGCCGCCGTGCTCCGAGAAGGTGTCGTGGTTCGTCAACACGAAGCCCGTGACGGTCTCGGCGGGGCAGGTGCTCGCGTTCCAGTCGTACATCGGCAAGGGCATGGACCTTGGGCTGAACTCGCGGCCCGTGACGCCGCTGAACGGCCGCACGGTCATTGGCGTGAACGGCGCGGCGGCGAGCGCGACGGACCTGAAGCAGTTCGCGCTCGGGCGGAGGTGAACGGCGGAGGCGCTACGCGCGGCCTAGGGCGCCCGCGGGGGCGGCTGGGGGCGGGCGGTTGACACGTAAGCAATTTAGAGACAAGCAGGATTTGACAACGCTCTGTGAGTGACCACTTGACAGCGCGCGGTGGGGCAGGCGCGGGGGCCGGCGGGACGTGCGGCGCGGCGGTCGCCCGGCCCGAGAGATCGCGTGCCTCGCGTCCGCCGTCATGTCCAGGCGCGAGGTGCGTCGGTGGTGGTTGCACTGCACACTGCGCTTCAGGGGTTGTCGGGCCGGTGAGGACGCGGGGAGTTGGCACGGCGACGTCCTGCGCGCTGCGCCGACCGTTCGGACGGCGTGCTGCCTCGAGGGGCGCGTTTCGGCGCTGCAGCGGGCGTCGCACCGTCATGCACATAAAGCGGCGCCGCGACGCGCGTGCGACGTGCGAGCCATTCGCCTGCACGCTCAGTCACGTTACACGCCGTCGCGACCGACACGCGCCCTCGCGCGTCCACCCGTCCCCTCGCGAACGCGCTCCTGCGTCATTGTCGCTGCGCCTTCTCTCACCGAGCCGTGTCGCCGCGCCCGCCCCGCCGAGTTCGGCGCTCCTCACGACGCCACGCGCGTGACAGCGCCCTCGGAGTCCAATTTCGTGATCAGCGCAATGTTGACTTCCAGACCCCCCTCGTTGACGAACGCCGCGCACATCGCGTCGCGCACCTCCTCCGCGACCTGCTCGTTGGGCACCACCGCCACGCACGTCGGGCCCGCGCCGGAAATCGTGCACCCGTACGCCCCCGCCGCCTGCAACACACGCACGCGCACGTAGCCGCCGCGTCGGAGCACGCGACGCGCGCCGCCGCGGTCGCCCCCGCCGAGGCGCCGCGAACGCCGGGTGCGTCGCGGGGCCGCCGCGGAACGCAAACTCCGCAGCGCGTCGTCGACGTTTCGCTCGTTTGCCACTTCTACCTTCGCGCTCATGCGTCGTGGTGGCATCGCACCTTGGCGGCCTTCTTCACCGCGAAGAAGCCCGGAATGAAGTTCCCCCGCACGGGCTCGACGACGACGTCCGAGTCCAGCGCCTCCCCTATCATCATCGCATCGCCCTTCAAGATGCCCGCCACCAGCATGCCGCCCGCGGACGAGTTCGCGATCCAGTCCTTCTGCGGCACCGTGTCCCCGAGCGCGGCGCGCATCTCCGCCGTCGGACACTCGTACTTCGGGTTCACCAGCACGAAGCACAGCTCCTGGGACCCGTACGGCAGCTCCACAAGCTCCAGCGGGTCTGCGGGACATAGCGCGGCGCGCAGCGGCCGGTCTGGTGCTCTGTCGCTCGCGCGACGACGCGCGTGGGCGGTCCTTGAGCCGCCGCGCCATGCGCGGCGGTCACCGGGGGAGCCACGGGCGCGCCGGGCGGGCGGTGCGTGCGTGCGATCAGGAGGGGCGGCAGCGGCCGTGGGCCGCGCACCTGCGGACCGGACGAGCACGAAGCCGCCCCAGACGGCCGGCGCGATGTTGTCCGCGTGGTACCCGGACACCGTCGCCTCGCTCTGTAGCCCCGCGTACACAAGCTGGTCGCGCGTCAGCGGGTCCCCGAACAGCGCGTTCACGGCCTGCGCGCCTGCGAACACGTAGCGAATCCGGCGCTGGGGTCAGCCGCAGCGCGCAGCGCGCACGGCGCGGGCGCTGGCAAGCGCAACTTGGGCAAAAGGGTGCGGGGGGGGTCCGGGCGCGTGCCTGCGGCGGCGGACGCGGCGGAGGACCCGAGGCCGGAGCCGAGCGGCATGCCCTTCTTCACGGTGAGCGCGACGCCGCAGGACGCGCCGCCCATGAGCTTCAGGCACTCCCGGGCAGCAATGCCGGCGCAATTCGCGTCCACGTCCTTGCTCAGGCGGCCCCCGTCGCCCTCGATGGCCTCGATGAAGAGCTCCCCCGGCTTGTCCGGCACCACACGCGCCGTCACGAAGTCGCCCTGGCCCTGCGCGGGGGCCGACAACACGCACGGAGCGTTGCGCGGGCACTCGCGCGCTTTTCCGGCCCGCTCCTCAGCAATGCGACGGCCTTGCAGCTCGCAGAACATCTCAACATGCGAGCGCGATAGAAAAACGCCAAGTTTAGCCGCGCGCCGAGGTGCTGCAGTAGAACAAGGCCCACCTGCACCGCGCAGCCGAGCCAGTCGTAGCCTGGGCCCAGGTTCGCGACCGTCGCGGGCGCGAACGCCTCCACCATCTTGTACTTCGGGTCCACTGCGAGCACCGCGACCGAGCGGCGCGCGGGCGCCCGGGACCTGCAGCCGCAGCGGGCGGCGGTGGCTCGCAACGGCGCCGCATGGGCGGGGCCGTGCAGCGCGACAGCGCCGGCCATGGTTGTCAGCGCGAGTTTCGACGTCGGGGGGTCCGGCTCTGGCCGCGGCGCTCGCCCTGGCGCCGGAACGGGGCCGGTGGGGGGCGGGAGGTGTCGCGCGGCCCCGCCGGGGAGTGCCGCGGCGCCGCGCGCGGTTTCAGTGGGCCCGCGGCGCCCGCGGACGGCCGCCGTTTCTGAGGGTTGCGTTCCCCTTGCACGTGGTCGCCCGGCAGTCGCGCCACAGCGTCGTAGGTAGCTGCATTCCGCGCGGGTTCACTGCAAGGCGCACTTGGGACGCCGTCCTTTGCTGCTGCGGAAGGTACGCCCGAGCCGCCCGGCCTCGGCCGCCGTGTCATAATGTGGGCATTCCGTCGGCGATCGTCTCGCGGCCGGAGAGCCCCGCGGGAGGGCGTGGCAGCGGTGGTCGACCGCTACATCCATCGTGCGCGCCATTCGCAGGAGCCATGAGGCAGGCCGCCACGTTCCGGCAGGCGGGCAGCCTCGTGCCGAACGCGCAGCGCCGGCAAGTGTGCGCTCGGTCAGCTCGCTCGATCAGGGATGCGGCCATTAAGCGAGGTGCGAATTCCAAGTGCGCAGCGTCGCGGCCTCCGGGGCCCTCGCGCGGCCCCGCCGGACACGCCGGCACAAATCGTACTCGAGCCATGCCGCCGTTCATAGAGCCGCCACTTTCGGCGCCCACGCGGCCGCCTGCGCCGGCCCAAGCCACCGGCTCGGAGACTCTGCGGCCCACGCGCCGCCCAGCGGCGCCGACTGCCACTCCCAGCCGTCCCCGCCGACTCCCCAATATGTCGAAACCCAGTCGCGCTCGCCCCTCGCCCCGGCAGCGCCGCACGCGCCCCGCAATCCGCGCGGATGGGTCGTTCAGTCACCGCCCGGCGCCACCGCCCCGCAGCGCGCGCCGCGCCGCCGCCCGCCCCTCCGGCCCACCCCCGCGCCCCCTCCCCGCCCCGCAGAGCACGCCTCCGAGGACTTCAACGCCAAGTTCGTCCCGTTCGACGCGGTGCGCGCCGGCAATGGCCACGCGGCCACCGAGCAGTACTCGCTCGACGAGGTCGTGTACCGCAGCAAGGACGGCGGGCTCCTGGACGTCTACCACGACATGGAGGCGCTCGCGAAGTACGACGCCAAGTACTGGAAGAGCCTCTTCGACTCGCGCGTCGGCACCACCAACTGGCCCTACGGGTCGGGCGTGTGGAGCAAGAAGGAGTGGGTGCTCCCGAACATCTCCAGCGAGGACATCGTGTCGATGTTCGAGGGCAATAGCAACCTGTTCTGGGCCGAGCGCTTCGGCTCCGAGCTCGGAATGGCTGACTTGTGGGTGAAGCAGTGCGGAAACAGCCACACCGGGTCCTTCAAGGACCTCGGCATGACCGCGCTCGTGTCCCAGGTCAACCGCGTGCGCAAGGCCGACCCCTCGAAGGTCACCGCCGTCGGCTGCGCCTCCACCGGCGACACCTCCGCCGCACTCTCGGCCTACTGCGCCGCCGCGGGCATCCCGTCGATCGTGTTCCTCCCCGCCGACAAGATCTCGATCGCGCAGCTCGTGCAGCCGATCGCGAACGGCTCGCTCGTGCTCTCGATCGACACCGACTTCGATGGTTGTATGAAGCTCATCAAAGAGGTTACGTCCGAGTTCCCGATTTACCTGGCGAACTCGATGAACTCGCTCCGGCTCGAGGGGCAGAAGACCGCCGCGCTCGAGATCCTCCAGCAGTTCGACTGGGAGGTCCCGGACTGGGTCATCATCCCCGGCGGCAACCTCGGCAACGTGTACGCGTTTTACAAGGGCTTCAAAATGGCAATGGAGCTGGGGCTGGTGGACCGGCTGCCGCGGATGGTGGTCGCGCAGGCGCACAACGCGAACCCGCTGTACCAGGCGTACAAGAAGGGCTACGACAACTTTGAGCCGATGAAGGCGGAGACGACGTTTGCGTCCGCGATTCAGATCGGGGACCCGGTGTCGATCGACCGGGCGATTCTGGCGCTGCGGGAGACGGACGGGATCGTGGAGGAGGCGACGGAGGAGGAGCTGATGGACGCGGCGGCGCGCGCGGACCTGACGGGGATGTTCAATTGTCCGCACACAGGCGTGGCGCTGGCGGCGCTGATCAAGCTGCGGGAGCGGGGAGTGATCGCGCCGTCGGACTGCACGGTCGTGGTGAGCACCGCGCACGGGCTCAAGTTCGCGCAGAGCAAGGTGGCGTACCACGCGGAGGAAATCAAGGATTTCGTTCCCAAGTTCGCCAACCCTCCGGTGCCGGTCAAGGAGAACATGGGCGCGGTCGTGGACGCGATCCGGGGGAAGTTCCACATCTGAGCGGGCCCGCGCGGGGCACGGGGCGCGGCCCGCGCCCGAACCGCCTTGCGCAATGCGCCGGAGCGCCGGTGCGTGTGTCCTGGCCGTGTGATACGCGACGCGGCCCTAAAGACGACGAACCGCTCGCCGGCGCGCAGCACGCCGCGTTCCGCGCCACGCTCGCCCCCTTCGGGCCGCCAACGCGCTCCGAACAAATGCAACAAATGCAACTAAGACGGATGTTCTCTTGTTGTCCTGCGCTCGCGGGCATCGCTGTCTCCGAACGCGCCTGGCGACGCAGACGACCTCGCGGCTTGCAACACGGTCACACGTCGCCGCGCTGACTCAGGGGGTCCTCTCGAGATCCTGCCCGCGGTGCAAGCGCGCCCGCCGCGCGCCCCCGATCCGCAGCTCGCCGTCCGAGTCCGACCACGTCGCCTCCTTGCGCCGCCGTGCTCCGCCGCCCCCGCCCCCGGTCACCCCCGCGTTCGCCACAGCCTCCGTCAGCCCCGACACCCCATGACCGCCCCCCCTCGACTCCCCCCGCCGCGGCGCCGCGCGCCGCGCCCGCCGCTCCTCGAACGCGCCGTCCGAGTCGCTCTCCGTCTCCACCGTCCTGCGCCGCGCCCCGCGCCCCACCGCACCATCCCCACCACCACCAACGCCCCCGCCGCCGCCGCCACCGCCGCTGCGCCTCCCGGCGAGCTTGCGCCACTTGAGGCACTCGTCCTCCATCGCCCCGAGCTCCGCCTTCATCTTCTCCGTCAGCGCGCGCATCTCGTCCCGCAGCGTCGCCCGCTCGTCCAGCAGCTGCCAAATCATAGCGTCTTTGATTGCCACCAACTTGTGCAGCGAATCGTACTTCTCGCGCAGCTCCTCGTCCGCAGACATCACCGCGGCCTCCTCCGGCCGCGGCCCGAGCACGGACGTCGCGTCGAGCCCGTCCAGCGACACGGGCTCCGTCATCGGGTGATCGCGCGACGACAGGTGCTTGCAGTGCGACAGCAGCGACGGCGCCGACGCGAGAAACTGGAGCTGGTCGAGCATCCGGGACGCCTGCGCGGAGCGCGAATGCGGCGCCGCGACGCGTGAGCGGCGGCAGCGACAACGCGATGGTCAGCCAGCGTCACGCGGTGCCGGACACAGCGAGATGCGCGCGGGGCCGCCGCGCTCGAGCCAGGGCCCGGCAGCGCCCGCACGACCTGGATTCCCGCGCCGGCGCGGCGCCGCGATGTCCGCGCGGCGGCGACAGCGCTGCCAGCACGCGCTCAGCGTGTGGGCGACGGCGACGACGACGTGTGTGGGCGGCGCACCTCCACAGCTTCGGAGACGAAGGCCCGGATGTCGTCGAGCTGGCGCGCGAGCTCGTCGCGGTCGCGGCCGAGCATGGCCTGCTTCACGCGGTCGATCGCGTCCAGACGTGCTAGCGCGTCCTCCGCGCGCGCACGAACCTCGCGCTCCACGCGGCCCCGCGCGGACCGCACCTCCTCCGCGCGCGCCTCGACGCGCGCGGCCTGGTGCAGCAGCGCGTCGCGCTTCACGAGGAGCTCTGCGGCGCGGCGCGGCGCGTGCGCGAGTTCACGGGAGCTACACGAGTCCACGGGCTCACCCGCATTCGAGAATCCTCGACTGTTTGTGCGCGCATAGAAAAGGAAAGAGAGGGGCGCTGCGCGCGGACCTTGGTTGATCGTGTCCTGCAGCTGCCCCATCTTCCGCCGGTACGCCTCCCCGAGCGGCAGCAGCGCGTGTCCCGCCTCCTGCAGCGCCTGCACCGCCCGGGCGTTCCCCATCACCGCCTGACTGTCGGTGTCATCCCACACCACGGGGCCGTACCGCACCGACGGCGCCGGAACGGGCGGGTGCCGCTCCGCGCCGCCCTCGCCCACCCAGCCGCCGCCCTGCGGCGGCCACGCCGTCGCGCTGGACTGCGGCGCGGCCGCGACATGGTACGCGCTTGACGCGTGGCGTTGTGGCGCCTGGGGCGCCGGCGCGGGCTCGAACTGCTGCGGCGCGTCCGCGGCTGTGAGGTAGACGGGCGCGGAGGGGGCGTAGCGCGGCCACGGCCCCGCGGGCGGGGCGTCCTGGTGCGGCGCGGTCGTTGCGGGCGCGGCGTATGGATGGAGCGGCGCCGAGGGGCTGTTGAGGCCGGGGGGCGGGTCGAGGTTCGCGAAGCGCGCTCCGTGCAGCGTGGGAGCTCTGTGCGCCGCGAACGTGCCGGTGCGGGGCTGGTGCGCGCCGTCTCCGCCCCCCTCCGCTGCAGGGTCTTCCAAACGAAAGGTTCCGTGGTACGGCTCGGGCTGCGCGGCCGCCGCACGGACGTACCGCACCGGTGGCGCGGCGTTGCGGTATCCTAGGGTGACGTAGTCGCCGTGCGGGCCCGGCGTGAGCACCGCAGCGGGCGGGCGGCCCGGTTGTTGCTCTGCGGGCGCCGCGGCCGTGCTCGTCCTGGGCTGTGTCTGCGCCGCGGGGGCGTGCGCTTGCTGCCGCGGCTCGCTGGGTGCATGGGACTCCGCAGGGCGGGCTTCTCCCGGCGCAGACGACGACGGGCCGGCCTGGAGGGCCGGCGCAGCGCCCTGCTTGTTTCCGGGCCCGGACATCGCGCCTCCGCCGCCTGCACGCCGCATCGCGCACGCGCCGCGCGCTTACACGATCGTGTATTGCTCGAACATCTCCGCCGCGCCGCGAAAACCGCCCGGGACGCGCGCAGACGGGCGTTTGCGGCAACAGAAGTCAGCGCGGCAGGCTCACGCGCACTGCCCTGCGCGCGCCCCCACGCGGCGGCAACGCACCTCAACCGCCCCCACGCGATCCCTCCCGCTCGGACTCCGTGCAACCGCAACGAAACGGCGCGGGAAGGCCGCGAGCGCGCCGTGCGAGGCCGAGCTTGCACGGACCCTGCAGAGAGCTGACGCTCCTCACTTGAAACCGAACCGCCGATTCCGCGCGGCGGCGACGTCCGCGCGCGGGTCTAGCGTGCGGCCTGCGCGCTGGACTATCGCTGCGTGCGAGTGCGGGGCTCGCGGGGCGCGGTGGCGCGAAGGCGACGTCGCGGGCCGCTGCTGAAAGCTGCTGCCCGACTGGAGGCAGTATGACAGCCCGTGCGCGCTGGACTGTCCAGGACAGCTCCTCCCGCGCGCATTGGCGGCGCCCCGCTGCTCGCCCGCGATGTTTGCTTGCTGCACGCGGAACCGGGGGGGACTGAACTCGTCACCGCCGCCCTGGCCGGCACACCTGCCTAGCGCAAGTAGAGAGCCTCTCCCGGCGTTTCGTACGCGGTATTCGGCGGCCCTGTCACGCTTTGGACTGAGAGTAGGCCGGAGCAGGGATGGGCGGGTGCTTCTCGGCTCCCAGCACCGCGCAACCGGCCAGCGCGGCGCAGCAGGATGCGGCGACAGACTTCAAGGCCGTCGTGCCGCAGGACTATAGTCTGTTCTTCCCAATCAAGGCGATGCCGTGCCGCTGGTGGCTCGAAGGAAAGGGATGCAAGTACGTCCGTCCCGTTTGCCGCGCTGTCCGCCCCTCAGCCCGCACACTGGTCATCGGCCAGCAGCCACGGCGTGCGATTCCGAAGCGCCCACGCTCCGCATCGATCGCCCTCGCTCGGATCGAGGTACCGGTGGACCATGCCACGCGTCCGCGCACCCGACCCGGCCCCGCAGGCGGCAGGACTGCCAGTACTGGCACGACCACACCAGCCTGACACGTCTTTTGCGCATCATCGACGGCGCGAAGGCCACGCTCGACGTCTGCGTCTTCACGATCACGTGCAACGAGATCGCCAACGCGGTCACGGCCGCGCACCGCCGCGGCGTCCGCGTGCGCATCATCACCGACGACGACCAATCCAACGCTCAAGGCAGCGACATCAAGGCCCTGCGGCAGGCCGGCATCCCGGTCCGCATGGACAAGTCGTGCTACCACATGCACCACAAGTTCTGCGTCGTCGACGGCGAGCGCCTCGTCACCGGCAGCTTCAACTGGACGCGCCAGGCGTGCCTGAACAACCAGGTGCGCGCCACGCCCGCACCCGGCTGCGAGCGCGCGCGCGGAACGCAGGGCCGCGGGGCGCCGGCGCGCGCTCACGGGCCGCGCTGCTCGCTCGCGCAGGAGAACGTGGTCGTGCTGCACGGGCCGAAACTGGTCAAGGAGTTCACCAAGCTGTTTGACAAGCTGTGGGCGGACTACCGGCCGTGAAACGAGCGCCGGAACCCCGCCGGATGAAGGCCTGCCTGCCGCCCGTGCGAGCCGCACGCCACAAACGCCTGATAACTACCAACAGCGGTTCCAAGTATCGCCTTTGCTGCATGCATGCACTCTCCAAGCGCACTGCACGGGCCGCGGCGACTGCGCGCTGGGCGGAGCTCGCTGCCACCTCTGCGCCCGACTCACGTCCCTCGCGGCAACGGACCACAGTCACTCCCTTGCGCCAATCTCATCATATCATGTCATTTCATATGCGCGCACCAAGTGCACAACGCGCGTTCAGCTGCCTGCTGCCCACCCCGCCAGCTTCGCGGCGAGGACGGCTGCGCATCTTCCGCGCCGTCCGCCCCCCAACCCGCGTCGCGTCGCCTCAGTTTATCGTAGCATTGAAAGGCACGGCGCAGCAGCGCGTCCAAACGTTGTAAAACGCCCGCAAGCGCGCCTGAAACGAGCCCGCGTCACGCAGACAGCGTTGTGTAAGTGCCTGACGGCGGAGCCTTCCAGAAACATCAACGCCCCTCAGCACGCTCGCTCTCGCTCCGTCTGTCACTCTGTCAGAGAGAGCTGCAGCTGTTCAGTGCACCCTGTCTCCGGAGCTGGTGGGACGTCTTGTGCGCGCACGGCGTCGTCACGGCACGGGTGGTGCGCACGGGCACGCCGCACCACGGCGCTCCATCTCGCGGAGAGAGAGTCGCCGACCCGGAGGCACATTGGCGGTGTCGCTGCGACGGACGGCTAGGCCAGGCCAGCGCGCACCGAGCTGTGGGACCGCACTTGCCGCGGCGCCCGCTTCTTACGTGACTCGCTCACCTACGAGCACCCTCGCCGCGAGCGTGCTTGAGCGACCGAAATAGTACTTCGCTGACCTACGAGCACCCTCACCGCGAGGATGCCGGAGCGACCGAAATGGTACGGCAGGCGAGACTCTTTCGTGGCTCGTACTTCGCCAGTGATTCGCTGACGGACAAGCACTTCGGGCGAGCACGTCGCGCGCGCCAGACACCGACCGGGCGCGCAGGGCACGAGTCACTTCTACTGCTATGCGGGGTCACACAGTGAGCCATGCAGCGGCCCAGCAGCCGATGCACAAGCCTCGCTGTGCGCCCCGGACTACATCCGCAACCTGCGTGCACCGGCGCCAGGCACTGTGCGGGCGGCGCGGCGGCAGGGGCCGTTCGCCCCTGCGCCGTGGGAGGCGCCGCGCCTCTTGGAGTGTCAGGGCCTGCCGCCGCGGCGCAGGTGGGTGGAGAATCTTGAGGGGGACACGCCCCGCTAAGCTCGTCTTGTTCTTGGTCTAGTCGTGTGCAACCAGCCGCTGCGGTGCTGTCAGCCGTCGAGCGACACCCCCCCTCTCGGGATTCGGGTGCCGCCGTCATCCGGGCAGCGCTGGCCGGCCCAAACGCCCCCCCCGCCTGTCCGACCCGCTGGGCGTGCCTGGTCAAGCTAGTGGCCAGCACTCTCCGCAGCCGGGCCCGACGCACGCGCGCGCGGGCAGCTGCTACGCCGCCGCGACGCTCGCGTGAGGCAGGGGGGGGTTAGCCGTTAGGGATCGTCCGTCTAGTGTGTCGGCCGAAGTCGGCGCGACCGCCGGCGCGCACACGATGGCCGTGGAGTCACGGGCGATCGATCGCTGCGTGCCGGGCCGGTCCCGGCCTCGACCAAAGCTTGCGGCGCCAGAGACGTCCGCGGTGGCGCGCGGCGCGACGCAACTACATCCCGGGCGCCCTTGGTGGCGCGTTCGTGGGACGGGAGGTGCGTCGCGCGCGCCCGCGCGCCCCGCGAAGCCTCTGGCGTTTACCTAGCTCAGCCGCCAGGGGCTGCGCCGCCGCCCATCTTCCGCAGGCGGTCCATGCCGGAGATGCGCGGGCCGCGGGGGCCGCCGCCGCCGCCGCCGCCGCCGCCGCCGCCTGCGGGACGCGTCGCGCGGGTGGGCGTGACGTGGGCTGGGCGGGTCGGACGCGTGCGTAGGGTTGGAGGTTCGAGGTTCGAGGCCGGACGGCGCGGGTGCGTGGCGTTCCGGGCGCGATTGCGGATGTGCGGGTTGGAGGCGTGGATTGTTGTCGATGGGTATGGTTTCGGGGGCTTGCGAGGGGCGCGGTGGTGCGGGATGGGCGAGAGTGTCGTGCCTGGGCCACCTCCCGAGCCGAAGCCGTTCACGTTGCGCTGCTTCTTGTTCGCGTAGGCGTCCTGGGAGTCAGCGGAGAACAGCGTGGCGAAGAACGACCACACGAGGTCGAGGAGCCAGAAGAAAAAGTCGCGAATGGAAGAGAGCCGAAGAGGTCTCCGGCCGCCCTCCACAACCTCACCTGCGCCCAGTGCTCGCGGCGGGGACATCAGGCTACGCGATTCGGTCTCACTGGCGGCGCAGAAGCGCGTCTGCGCCCAGGCGCCGGAAGATACTTAGGCAGTGGTGTAGGTGAAAGTGGAGCGAATCCCGGACGCGAGGGCGCGAGCCTTCGCCCGCACGCGACGCGCAAGTATCCCGGCTACTCCGGCGGCTCGCCTCGGGGCGCCGGCGGACGAAGGTGCGCCGCTGCGGCGCCGCGACGCCCGCCAGCGCAGACAGGCGTGACACGCGGGGGCGCTGTGCGGCCGCGCGCGCCACGGGCGCGCTCGCGAACGCGCGCGACCGCGAGGGGCCGCGTGCCGGCGTCCGTGAGTGGCGGACTCACCATTCCTGATGTACGGCATCGTGCGTGCCGTGGCTGCTTCCCAGTGCCTCGCAGCGGTGCCGCCCCTCTCGTGCTCCTCGGCGACCACTGCCTGACGGTAGGGCCCCGAATGACCTCGCTGGCGCGCGCGCGGGCCCGTGAGCGCCGCAGGAACCAGCGGCGGGCGGCCCGGGGCCCTAACTGACAGCCTCAGTAAACATCACCGGACGACACGTTTCGCCGATTCACGATTCCGCACAATTCACGCGACCACGCGCCTGCCGCGCGGTCGCGAACCGCTCCCAGACGCATCTGTGCGGTCAGGCCGCGCCGCACCACGCCCACGGCGGCAGGGCCAGGTTCCACCGAGCTCTCAGACACATGAGACTCTGAGCTCTCATGAGAGCCCATGTTCACTTCTAGGTCATCTCCTGCTGACTCAGCGCGGTTCCCGGCCACTTCTGGCCCGCCGAACGCGGCGCCAGCCCAGTCCGGCCCGCGCAGACCGCCGAACGTCGCCACCTGCTGCCACGGAAGACCCAACACGCACATCAAAACTCTTCTTGTGCCTTGTTGTCTTTATGTCCACCATGATTGCCTGCCTGGGCCGCTCCCGGTGCGCGGGCGTCGCGGGCGGGGTCGATGTCGACGAGGTCCGGCGCGGGGAGGACGAGTTCCCGCTCGGCGAGGCCCGCGCGTCCCCGAAACGGGGCGTTCTGGCAAAGCTGGTGGCGTGGCATCCAGGGGCCAGTCCGAAGGGCAGCGCGGGTTCCGGGACCGGGCCGTCCTCCCCAGGCGGGCTCGTGCTCCAGGACCAGGCGGGGGCGAGCACGTCGGTGGCGCGGCGGCGCACCCGGAGCCGGTCTGCGCGATCCGAGACGACTGCGAGCGCGGGGATGCTCGCTGCGCTGTCCGGGCAGGCGGAGGTGCGCGCGGAGCCGGCGGACCATGGATCGTCGAGAGTTCTGCGCAAACTAACGAAGGCCCGGCAGGTGCGTCGGCTCCGCGCGCGCAGGTCGATGCCGCGGTGCCGTTTTCGGCCTGGGACCAACCAGGCGATTGACGCCTCCTCGCGCGGCCGCAGGACTCCTCGCGCGGGGACGCGGCGGCCCGGACGGAGCGGGCCCTGGTGGACCAGTTCCACAAGGCGTTCGTCACGGCGCTGCACACGGCCGACAAGACGTGGGCGCAACGCTGCGAGTGGATGCTGGCGCCCGATTGCAAGATGGTCCTGGAGGGCAAGAAAGGGCAGGCCGAGCAGATCACGCGCGGGAGGAAGGACATCATCAAGAAGCTCAACGCGGGTAAGCGCGACCCCACGCCGCCACGGATCGCCATGTTTGGCTTCACACCATCATGAGACGGCGACGAGCCGGTGATCGGCTTGACGGCTCGTTTCAGGGCGTGCCGCCTCGGTATGGACGTGGTTATTGCTGGTAGGGGCGGGAAAAGTCGCGAGAACGCGGCGCAAGCCCGCGATCGCGCTGCGACGACATCCATCCGGTTGCAACTGCATCCACCTCCCTTGCTGACGCAGCGATCGAGGCGGCCGCGGGGATCCTGCTGCAGAACAACGTCAGCGTCGCGGACCTCCACAAGATCCTCCTCGTGTCCGACCCCGAGCCTCGCGGCCACGGCCGCTGGCTCCTTGCCCTGCTTGTCAAACGGGGCCTCGTGCGCTACTCGTCCGAGATGACCGTTCGCATCAAGGGCGGCCAGATCGTGCGGATCCGCCAGAACCGCTGAGAGCCCGACCGCCGCGACGGAGCCACGGCCCGCTGCGCTGTCTGCGTCTGCGTCGCGCACGTACGTGTGTCGGCGTCAACCGCCGGCCGGGATTGCGTGCCAGACCGCGCACGGGCGACCGGGGCGTTGCCGCGTGCTGTGCCTTCCCGTGTGAGTGAGACCTGCGTGTCCGCTGACGCAGAACCGTGCCGTTGGGGGGGTTGTGTAGGACGTACGTATACGTGTGCTGTTGTAAGGCGTGCGGTCGGATCGCGTGGAGCGCGCGGTGCGGTCCCAGCTGAGAGAGGCCGCTCCTGGGCGTCCGGGCGTGCCGCTGGACCCTGACGCGGGTCCGGGAGTAGAACACGCGGAGCTGACTCAGCTCAGTGTTCATGGGGGCGCCGGGGGCGCGGCGCCGCGGCAGTCTCGGCGCGCGACGCCGGCGAGGGGAAGTGCGGTAGAGTGTTCGATTCTAGGCTGATTCTACGGCGCTGAGTCGCGCTGACCGGGGCTGGCTGGCCCTGTGGTTTGCCTCGGTCGCTCTGCGGGCGTCTTAGACTCATACCGCGCCGAAGTGGCCTGCCAGGGGACAGGCAGGGACCTCCGGTGGTACTGGTTGAGGACTGATCGCGGCCATGTTCACGGGCGACTGGAAGACGCAGTCGCGGGTGTCCTTAGCAGGCCGCGGTGGTGTGGCGGAGACCAGGGAGCAGCTGCTGCAGCGCAACAGGCTCGAACGCGAGCAGCGGCACCGCAATCGACGTGAGGCTGCAGCGGCATCCACGATTCAAGTGAGCGCGCGCGCAATTCCCGCCACGCGCGTCATTCCACACACGCTCGCACGAAACCCACCCTCTCCGGCCGCGCCCGTCCCCGCTGCGCCGCGTTCCGGCCACGAGACACGCGTACGCGCGTCCCACACCATCCGCAGCGTCACTGGAAGGCGTATCTCGCGTGGTCGAACGCCGCACGCGAGCTCGCGAGGCGCTGGACGGTCGACGATGCCTCCTGCCGGCCCTCCGGACCCTCCGGGGCGTCCGAGCTGGCCTTCGCGTGCCGCCCCGACGTCTCCACGGACCTCGCGCACCTCATCTCCTTCAGCTGCGCGGTCCTCACCTCAGCGCCGGCCGCTGGGACCCCGCTCGCCATCTGCGTCGTCGGTGCGCCGCAACACACGACCCCGACGCACCAGGGCGCACGCGCGGCGCGCCTCGCGCTGCTCCTGATCCGCTCCCTCCAGCACGCCACCTTCCGCGGCCGCCCGCTGCTCGCCGCGCCGCTCCGCGACGTCGTCACGGCTGAAATCGACTCCGGCGACGACAACACGAACAGCGCGGCTCTCGTCAAGCTGCTGCTCTCGCTGCTGTCCGCCGACACCTGGCGCGCAGCGCTGGGCCCGGACCGCGCCCCCGCCGTCTGCGCGGCGCTCTCCGCGGGCCTCCGGGACGGCCCGTGGCGAATCCGATCCTTATGCAGACTTGGCGCGGCAGCGGAGGAGCTGCGAGGCGCCGTGACGGCCGCTGCGCCGCCAGACGGGCTCCTCGCGGGCGCGCTGAAGGGCACGGTCGGCGAGGCCGTTCTGCTGCACACGCTCTCGCGGAGCTACCCGCAGGGGGTTGTTTTGGGGACTCCCCCGCAGTCCGACGCCATGGACGTCGACGGGGGGGGGTCTCGCACGCAGGGCGCGCCGGGGACGCGCACCCGAACGATCCTGCGGCTCATGTCCGCCCCGGGCGTCGTCGCCGCGGCGCCGGCGCTTCGCGCGATGCCATCTCTGCTTCAGCGGCTGCTGCCGGCGACACTGGCGGCGCTGCACTCGTACGCCGTGGCGAGCGCGACGGAGGCCGTGGAGATCGCCGCGAACCTCTCGCGCTGCGTCGAGTACCTCGCCGCGGCCGACAGGCGCGCGGACGAGCCCTCGAGCGCCCTGCAGCTCCTCGCGGCGCCGTTCTGTCAGACTCTGTCAGGTCTCCTCGAGTCAGGCCTCCCGTCCGACTCCGCCGCGACGTCCGCGCGCGCCGGCGCGCTCGATCACGCCGCCGCCGCCGCGTGGCAGCGCGCCCTCGCCGCCGTCGTCAACGGCACTGTCCTGCCGTGGCTCGTCGCGGCAGCGGCGCGCCCCGCGGACACCGCCGGCGCGGCCGCCGACCCCGCGCCGGTCCAGGCGATGTGCGCCCTCGTCCTCCAGATCCTCGCCGCGCCCGCGCTGCGCGAGCCCGCCCTGCGCGAGCTCGCATTTCACCCCGGGTTCCTGCCTCGACTCTGGACCCACCACCTGCGCCACATCCAGTCTGACGCGACGTACGCGGCGGCCTGCGGCGCCGGGGAGCCGTGCGTCGCGCGGCGGGACCCCGGGTGGATGCTGCCGCTCGCGGCGTTCGCGCCGGCATTGGCACTCAACATGCAGGTCCTAGGGACATCGGAAATGTACACGCACCAGCGCCCGCTGCGGCTCGCGGAGCTGTACGAGGCGGGGCGCGGGGGCGCCGCCGTGGGGCTCGTGCCGCTGCTACGGTGCGTGAGTCGGCCGATCGCAACGAGCCGTGCAACGGAACATATGCTGTTGACGAATGATCGCGAATTGTCGACTTGGTTCTGAGCCATGGTGCCTTGCTGCGTGCGTGTGCGTGCGAGGGGTGCTGACCGTCGCGGCGCTGGCTGTTTGGTCCGTGCAGGGAGGCGCTGATGCACGTGTTGTGGCGGGAGGCCCCGACAACGGTCAGCTCACTCCCCCCCCCCGCCGCGGAGGTGCGCGCAGCCGTCCGCGACGGGTGCGGCGGCCTGCTCTGGCAGCTCTACCTCCGCAACCTCCGCCAGCCGTTCGCGCCCGCCACCGCCTTCCACGCCCCGGAAGTGTCCGGCGACGGCTTCGCACGCGAAGCGGAGGCGGCCGCCGTCGCCGTCGAGGCCGCCAGCGGCCCCGCCGTGGACGACGCGTCCAGCAGCGACGACGACGACGACGACGACGCGTCCGCGATGCCCCTCGGCGCCACCGCGGGCCACCGTCGCCGCATGCGCCCGGTCGCCGGCAGCGGCGACGACCGCGGCCGCGGGGGCCGCAGCCGGGCGTGGCAGCTGCTCAAGCACGCGCCCTACCTGGTCCCGTTCGTCGATCGCGCGCGCGTGTTCCAGGCCGTCGTCGCGAGCGACCGCAGCCGGCCCCGCGCGCGGCAGCCCGAGGCGCTCCCGCTCGTGCCGGGGGACCTCGGCGGGTCCCGGAGCTTCCTGCGCATTCGACGTGGGCACGTGGTCGAGGACGGGTACGCTGCGATGAACGCGCTCGGCGACGCGCTGAAGTCGCGGGTGCGCGTGCAGTTCTTCGACCAGTTCGGGGCCGCGGAGGCCGGCGTTGACGGCGGGGGGCTGTTCAAGGACTTCCTGGAGGAGCTGGTGAAGGAGGCGTTCGATCCGCAGGCGGGGCTGTTCACGAGCAACGCGAACCAGGAGCTATACCCGTCGCCTGACTCGGCCGACAACGTACCGGACGTGAGTGCCGCGCAACGCACCCCCCGACACCGGAACAGCCCGGCTGCACGCGCGTCCTCCCATGCTTTGCAACAGCGGCCAAACGCGTCGCGGCGCAGCAGCGGCGCCGGTCGTTTGCGCACCATTCACAAATATATAGATATATATATATCCCGCAATCGACCAACCTTGACGCACAAGGACTTCGTCTTTTGACATTTCTTTTCTCTCGTACCGAACTGCAGGGCGACGACCTGCGGCTGCTCGAGTTCGTCGGGCGCATGGTCGGCAAGGCCGTGCACGACGGCATCCTGCTCGAGCTGCCGCTCGCACCGTTCTTCCTCAAGAAGCTCACGCGCGTGGCGTGCGACGTGGACGACCTCGACTCCCTGGACCCCGAGCTCTCGAAGAACCTGGCCTTCCTGCGCACCTGGGTCGCCGAGGGGAAGGACGTCGCGGACCTGTCGCTGACGTTCGCGGTCGAGGGGCGCCGCGGGCTCGTGCCGCTGCGCCCCGGGGGCGCCACCGTCAGCGTCGGGAACGGGAACGTGATGCAGTACATCCACCTCGTGGCGCATTACAAGCTGAACCGGCAGATCGCGCCGCAGGTGAGCAGGCCGGCAAACGCAACCGCAACGCACGCTGCGCAGCCAATTGCGCGCCTTGTCGCCGCACGACGCGCGTGCGCGATGCGCGGGACGCGCCGCTCGTGCGAACCGCCGCGGCATCGTCCTCGGCCCGACCCCGTGCGGCGTCGCACCAACCAAAAAAATACCCCCCCCCCGCTTCCCCGCTTCTCCGCAGTGCGCCGCCTTCATCCGCGGGTTCAACCAGCTCATCAAGCCGCAGTGGATCCGCGTGTTCGCCCCCGAGGAGATCCAGACGCTCATCGGCGGCTCCCTCGAGGCCATCGACCTAGCAGACATGCGCGCCCACGTGGAGTATCATTCGGGCTACGCCAACGGACACCCCGTGATCGAGCGCTTCTGGCGCGTCGTGGCCGCGATGACCCCGCAGGACCAGGCCGCGCTGCTGCGCTTCGTCACCAGTTGCTCGCGGCCGCCGCTCCTGGGCTTTTCGCAGCTGGAACCGAAGATCGGCATCGCCATGGCGGGGGGGGTCCGGGACAAGGCGTCGCACAAGCGGCTGCCCACGGCCGCGACGTGCATGAACCTGCTCAAGCTGCCGCCGTACCAGTCGGACCAGGTCATGCGCGACAAGCTGCTGTACGCCATCAATAGCGGCGCCGGGTTCGATCTCAGCTGAGCAAGGAGGGGGGTGTTTGCGGGCGGGGAGCGGCGCGAGGTGGTGCGCGGAGGCGCGGCTTCCGTGTGGGCTGGAGCGCGTCCGAGCGCTGTGCGGGGACGAGGGCGTGTGTGGCGTTGCATGACCGTTGAGAGAGCTAATGCTGTGCGTGGTGGTGATTCTCGTCTTGATGTAATGGGCAATCAGGCTGACAAACGTAACCGGACGTCGCATTGACCAGGAAAGGGGTGGCCGAGAGCAACGGCGCGGTGGAGTACCTGCGCGCAGGATGAGCAAGCTGCGAGTCCGACCGTGCGATCAAGCGTCGAGTGAGCGCGACAGCTCCTGTGCGCGGCCCGACGAATACCTGCGGGGAATTAGTGCGACCCGCCGTCTGAAGCGTGGCGCAAGACATGCGTGCTCGAGGCTGGCGTTGCCGGTGGTCCCGAAGCCCGACCCGAACACGCACAAGAGGCCGCGCGCCCCTGGCGGCGCGCGCCTCGCTACCGGGCCAGACGCGGCGGCGCTCGCGCTCCACCGGCACGCACAGCGAGACGGGGACACGCGCGCCCACCAAACGAAACGAAACCACACTCGGACAGCGACGCAGCGGCGTCGGAAGCGGGATCACACGCACAGCCGGTACGTGACGTAGCGTCCCGCGGTCTCGGACCGGCGGATGATCCGCACCACGTCCCCGCGCCGCAGCCCGTAGTACCTAGCCACCGCGTCAGCATACTGGATCCTTGGGAGCTGCGAGTCCTTAATCTTGTACCTGGACGACGCACGCGAGCCCGGAACGCGCGGGGCTGAGTGCCGCGGGCCGCGGACGACAGGCGCGGCCGGACCAGTCGCCGTCTGAGACGACCAACGTCCACAGCAACACAGGTATGATATGATCACGGGGACACAGATTGCGCTCGCGAGATCGCGTCCGCTGCCGCGGACGCGGCGCGCAGGGCCAGCGGCGGCGCGCCACTGCGTGGCCGGGCGGCACCGGCGCGCAGGCGCGCTGCAGGGTCTGTTGCGGCAGGCGGGGGTGTTATTACCTGTCGAGGAGCTGCCGCTTGCCCTCGGGCGTGAGAACCTCGTGCCGCGGGACGAGGTCGTGCTCGGTGATGTTGACGACGAGCTCCTGCTCCCGGAACAGCTCGATGCGGTAGTCTCCGGAGAGGTTTTCCATTGCCAGCTTGAAGTTGTTCGTCTGGGGGCCCCGCGTGATGAGGATGGCGTGGTGCAGGCTCTGCGGCAGGAGAGAGGACGCAGGTCGCGGTTCCGGGGGCTTTCGGGCTGTGCGGGGCTCGGACGCGTCGAGAGCGCGTGTACCAAGGAGCGGGGGGAAGGGGGGCGTGCCTGCTCTTGCATGGTAGAAAGAATCCGTTTGGTGGTCTGGGCCGAGGGCTTCTCGTCCGAGACGAACATGACCGTCACGCGCTGCTCGCTGTCGTCCTCCTTCGCGGCAATGAAGGCCAGTTGCTCTCTGCATGCAAAGCGGGCCGCGGGGCGCCGGCGTCGCGACAGTTCCGGGCGCACTGGCCGCGAACGCACCGGAACAGGTTTGAGGAAGCCATCGGCGGGGCTTCCAGACGCGTGGCAGCGGCGCAAGCGTCGCGGGGCGGCACAGCTGCCGCGGCCCGGAGCCGGCGGGCCCCAATGCGCCGTCGCGAGCGCGACAAACGGCACGAGCGCCGGCGCGCCGCGTAGCGCATGCCCACCACGCGCGCTGGCGCGCGCGCCCGCGGCGATGACGTCAGCGGCGCGAACGGGCACCGCCGTTGAGCGCCGCTCGCATTCCGCACCGTCGCGCGAGCGCAGCGCGCGCCGGCGCGCGCAGAAATCAAGCCCGCGCGCCGCAGCTGGTGCGACGTAGTCCCTCCAGCGCGCTCCGAGCGCCCAAACGCCCGTGTGGGCCGCACCTTGAGGGATTGTCCCCGAACTGATCTCTGAACTCGTCCAGCGTCATATGGAGGTCGTCTTCCGACACGACGTAGCCGCGGTCGCGCACCATCTGGAGGCACGTTCTCCGGATCTTGAAGAACGTCACCGCGTCGCCCGCCCCTATGCCCTCCATGGTGCTCTCCGTTCACCGCCTGCGCCAACGCCGCGCTCCACGCGCCCCCACGCCGCCCTGGAAGCCCCCGCTCGGTGGCTCTCGCTGCGTCTGTGAGTTTCGCTGCGGTCCGCCGCCCCTCGCGCCGGCGACGCGCCTACGCCACGACAAGAAGCGGTCTAGTTGTGCACTGGTGTTGTTTGGCGGTGCAGCAGCGCGGGCGTCGTGAATCCGCCGTGTGACGACCCCCGCCCGCCGCCACAGGCAACGTGCGCGTCCGGCGCGGGCCGCGGGGGGGCCTTCCGGGCCGCTGCCAGGCTGCTGTCGGACTCGGAAGCAGGTAGGAGCCTTGAGGCTTCGAGGGCCGGTGCGTCACGGTGCGGGCGCGCGCGGCGCCGCGGGCATTCGGCGGAGCCGCCGCACGTTCGTTCTGCCACGGGCGCGTCGTCTGGCCGTCGGCCCGCCGCGCACACGGGCCGGAAATGCCGCCGGAGGGGGGAACCGCCAGCCCCGGTGGGGAGGACGCTGCGGCCGCGCAGCACCGCGAAATGCAGCGCAAGATCAAGGAGATCCAGAGCGATGCCGCCCTCGACGACCGCGAGAAGGCGCGCCGCATCCAGGAGCTCCACGGGTGGCACGCGGGGGCGGACAGCGACAGCGACGGTGAGGACGACGAGGAGACCCGGCAGGCCAAGGTGCGCCGTTTCGGCCGCGTGGCTCCCTCCGTGGAGGATGCACGCGACCATGAGAGCGCGGAACCCGCGGGGCGCGGCGCTGCGGGGGCCCCGGCGCGCCGCGAGGAGCCTCCCGCCCTGGCAGCGTGCAAGCGCCAGTGTGCGGTCCCGCGCCGCATTCCGGGCCCCGCGTGCGCCGCGCGCCGACGTGGGAGCCACTGTGCGTCCGTCTGGCTCGCGGGGCACGAGCGCGGCGCGACGTGCGATTCCCTCGGGCGCGTGCGGGGGCGGGAGCTCAGCGTGGTGTGGCGCGAACGCGTTCCCGGGGCGCTGCGGCGCGGACACGGTCCGTGGTTGCGCGTTCCAGCGCCCTCGTCGTCGCGAGTCGCCCGGGGCGGTTTGATTGCGCCGCTTCTGCGGCGCCTGGCGCCGCGCGGGCATCCTGTGCCGGCTTCACCGAGCCACGGCCAGCACGGCCGCCCGGCGCGCGTCGCGGCCGCAGCGCACGCCGTTCCGACGCCCCCCGCCGGCGCGGTGATTTCCTCGCAGGAGATGCTCGGCTGCCCGGTGTGCTTCGAGTTCTGCGAGCGCCCCGTGACGGCTCGGTGCGGCCACTCGTGCTGCCTGGCGTGCTTCAAGCAGCTCCTGCGGCACAAGACCGGCCAGCTCAAGTGCCCGAAATGCAAAAACGTCATCAGCGACGACCTCGCGCACAACCCCCGCATCAACGTCGCGCTCATCGCGGCGATCAAGGAGTTCAAGCGCAACAGGAACAGACCCCTCACTGCCTGCGGGCCCCGACCCTCCCTCTCCGGCCGCGACCGCCGCATCTCCATGCTCGACCGCCCGGACCAGGTGCGCCCCGCGCGTGGCCGGCCCCGCGCCGCCAGCGGCCGCGCAACACCCACACATCGCGCGACGACTGCGTACGTGACGCGTTGACGCTCTCTCGCCCCGGGCTGCCGCTGGCTCGCGCGCCCGGCGCCGTCCCGGCGCGCCGCGTGCCGGCCGCGGCCCGGGGCGGCGCCGCGCGGCAGCGCCGTGCGCAGTCAGGCGGGAAGCGCTGGTTTGTGGTTGCGGTGACGATGACGAGTGCCGGTCGTGTGCGCGCAGGCGTTCCGGTCGGAGCGCGCGGTGCGCAGCGGGCTGGCGAACGCGGCGTCGGGCAAGATGCTGGTGTCCGCGGAGAAGAACCACCTCGGTCCGATCGGGCCCGAGTATGACATATCGGACGAGGCGGTGAAGAGGGGGTGTTACGTCGGGCGGGAGTTCACGGACCGCATGAACTGCCGGCAGTGGGGCGCGCACCTCCCGCACGTCTCGGGCATCGCCGGCGGCGCGACGGGCGCGCCGTCGGTCGTGGCGTCCGCGGGCTACGACGACGACGTCGACATGGGGGAGTGGATGCTTTATACCGGGTCGGGCGGACGCGACCTCACGGGGAACAAGCGCACGAACAACTACCAGGAGTTCGACCAGGAGTGGGTCCGCGGCAACGAGGTGAGACCCCCGGAAAACGAAAAACATCCACGCAACACCCTCCCTGCCCCGCGACCCCACCGCCCGGCGTGCGCCCGCCCCTGCAGGCCCTGCGCGGGTCGTGCAAGCTCGGGCTGCCCGTGCGCGTCGTCCGGTCGTGCAAGATGCGTCACTCCAACTACGCGCCCGACCCGACGCGCGCCGCCAAGAAGGTCGCGTCCCTCCCGGGCGGCAAGGGCACGCGGCTGGTCGACAACGACCTGCTCTGCCGCTACGACGGCGTGTACCGCGTCATCAAGTGCTGGCGGCGCCCCACCAGCGCCACGTGGGGCAAGCGCGTCGCCAACAAGGACACGGGCGCCGAGGAGCTCGTGCTCGAGCCCAAGGGCGTGAAGCCGCCGCTCATGTGCCGCTACCTCCTCGTGCGGTGCGACAACGAGGGCGCGCCGTGGACGACGCAGGAGGGCCCGAACCTCCCGCTCGCGCAGTGGCCCAAGGCCGCGCGCGCCGAGATGGACCGCATCATGGCGAAGGAGCTGGCGGAGGCGTGCGACGTCGAGTCGCTGGACCCGAAGGAGGAGCACTGGGGGTTCGAGGACGGCAAGTGGGGCTGGGTGCGCACGCCGCCGGCGGCGCCGGTGAAGAAGGCGCGGAAGACTGGGGCGCCGCGGCCGCGCGGGCCGGTGTCGATGGCGCGGCGGCACATCTCGGACCCGTCGCTGGCGTGCGGGCTGTGCGACGACGTGCTGCAGGAGCCCGTGCAGGTGCGTTGCCCCCCCAACCGCACGCGCGCCCGCACCCGTTGCTCGCCCCGCGCGCCTCCCAGCGCGACTGCACCACCACTGGACGCGACTGCACCGGTGCCTGCAGGCGGACTGCGGGCACAACTTCTGCAAGTCGTGCATGGAGGGGCACTGGCCGAACTTCCAGAGCACGAAGGCGGCGAAGACGGACACGTACAAGATGCGCTCGCGGAAGAACGTGGCGACGTGCCCCGTGCGCGGGTGCGAGAAGGACATCACCGCCACGATCACGCGGCCCGTCATCAACCGGGACCTCGAGGTGCGCGCGCAGCGACGACGCGATGCGTGCGCGAGCCTGCTGTGCGTCCGCGCGGGTGCTGCGCGGCCGCGGTCGGCGGCTCCGCCGTCGTGCGCGAGCGCACGTCGCGTGCATGTGCGTGTCGCACTCGTGTGCGCGTGTGCGCGTTCTTCCTCGACCGGCGTCGCGTTGTTTCCCGGATGCGTGCTGTGCAGCAAGTGATCGACAAGATCCGCGCGAAGATCGACGAGCAGGCGGCGCGGCGGCAGCAGGCGGCGGCGCAGAACGTGCTGGATGCCGAGGGCGGCGACGGCGGGCGGCAGGACTCGGACAAGGAGAACGCGGCGCTCCGCGGCGGCGACGGGGGCGCGTCCGCGCCGTCGAGCCCGAAGGCCGCGAGGTCTCCGTCGCGCGGGCGGTCGGTGCCGCTGAGCCCCACCACGCAGGCGGCGGCCGCCGGGGCTGCGGCGGGCAGCGTGCCGCGCGCCGCGTCAACGCCGCGGCAGGCCACGCCCGCGACGCGCACGACGCCCGCGCGCGCCGCCGCGCCTACCCCGAAGGCGAGTGCCGAGGTCCCTTGCTTGCCACGTGTATTTAATTATGACTATGTTTCTTGGAATTCTGTTTATGATTCCACGACCGTCATGATCGATCTTCCAGTCCCCAGCGCGGGAGCCGCTGGCTGCGCGTCGCTGCGCTGCGGTGCACACGCCTGCTGCCGAGGGACCGCTGGGAGACCTGGATGATTGATTCGCGATGGTTTTCTGCTTTCTGTCTGCAGTTCCCCAAGCCGGTGGCGTCCCCGGCTTCCGAGGCCCCCGCGGCCTCGCGGGGCGCGAAGCGCGCGCTCGACACGGCGAGCCCCGCGGCGGTCAGCCCGCCCGGGAAGCGGCAGCGGCGCTGACAGCGACAGTGCAGCAGCAGCAGACGCAACACGCGATGCTGGGGCCCCGCGCCGCGCAGGGCCCCGGGTCGGAGCCGCGGAACCGCAAAGCGTAGCGCGAAGTAGGGCGGGGAACACGGAGAGCGCTGTGGCGGGCGGACGGAGTGCGAAACATGAGAGGGCTCAAGTACGGGGTTCCGGGTGTCTGCTGTGACGCAACAACCTCCTGGCGCCGCGCGGGCAAGCGGGGCATCGCTGGCGGGCACCCCGCCGCGGGCGAGACCGGTGAAATCGCAGTCAGGCATCTTTTCCTTCATTTCTAATTGTTTTCTGATGTCTGCTGGGACCGCCTTGTGTGGACCGCCCTGGCACTCCGGCCTCGCGGTGCTGCGTCCCGTCTGCCGCGTGGCCGCGGCCGCAGGTCGCGCGCGACCGCCCCGGACAGCACCGGCGCGACCCTGTCGAGCGTCGTGCAGTGCGCGGCGCGGAGGCGGAGACGCCATCCTCGGTTCGGCGCGTGGCGTGGAACTGCGATGCGCCCGGTGATGGTGAGCGAGTTCGCGCCCCCGGGGCCGCCCGCGGTCCCCGCGGACGGGACGCGGGGGGTGGCGTTGCAGCGTAGGGGGGGGTGCCGTTTCTGGGCTCGCGAGGCGGGGGAAGTGCGGTGCGGCGCGTGGAGGAGGTGCAGTTGGCCTTGGAGCTTTGGGGCCGGGCACGCAAAGTTCGTTTCGGCTCCTGCGCGGCACGGGACGGGAGTCAACCTCCCTGGAGAGAACGTAGCCCCCGCGCGTCGCGCGCGCCGGCGCAATGATGATGAACGCGGCGTTTCTGGTGGTTTGCGGCCTTCTGGCGTCGGTCGCGTCGGCCGACGTGCAGAAGGTCTCGCTCAAGAAGTCCAAGCACGCCTTCCACCACCGCGACCAGCACCCGCTGGGCCGCCTGCACGCCGAGCTCCGCGACGACGGCGACGATGTGCCGCTGTCGAACTTCATGGACGCCCAGGTGCGTTCTGCGAGCCCGCGCCCCGACGCGGCTCGGAGCACGCGCGCGTCCTCGGGCTGTCAAGGGTCCCGTCCTCGGCATCTGCCCGCGACGGCGCGTATCGTCGCCGACCCGCGCGTACCGCTGCGAGAAACTCAACTCGCGAGCCCAGCCGCGCGACGGATCCCGCGCGCCGCGCCCCTCGCGCTCCGCAACGACCACTTGTGGCGTGTAACCGTCCTCCCCCCTCCGCGCCCGCCCCGCGGGCCCGCCACGCCCCTCCTCTCCCCGCCGACGCTCCACACCGTACCCCCCGCCCTCCCCGACCGCGCCCGCGTGTGTGCGCAGCCCCGAACGCCCCCACTCACCTCATGTGAACATCCACCCCCTCTTTCCCCGTGCTCCCGCCCGCGCCACGCCCTCACCGCCCCCGAAACCCACGCCAACCTCGAGCCCTGTCCGCCCCCGCGCCCCAGCGCGCCACACCGCCCTCACAGACCCCCGCCCCCGCCCGACACGCCCGCAGTATTACGGACCGATCGGCCTAGGCACGCCCGCGCAGCCGTTCACGGTCATCTTCGACACGGGTTCGAGCAACCTGTGGATCCCGTCGTCCAAGTGCACCTTCTCGAACATCGCCTGCTGGCTGCACCACCGGTACGACTCGACCAAGTCGAGCTCCTACACAGCCGTGGGGGACGACTTCGCGATCGAATATGGATCCGGGTCTATGGAGGGCTTCGTCTCGCAGGACTCCCTGGCCTGGGGCGACCTCACGTGCCCCGACCAGCAGTTCGCGGAGGCCGTCAAGGAGCCCGGCATCGCGTTCGTGGCCGCTCGGTTCGACGGCATCCTCGGAATGGGCTTCAAGGAGATCGCGGTCAACGGCATCAACCCGCCCTTCTACAACCTGTTTGAAAAGGGCCTCGTCGACCAGGACGTGTTCTCGTTCTGGCTCAACCGCAACGAGGACGACGAGAACGGCGGCGAGCTCGTCCTCGGCGGCGTCGACCCCGCGCACTTCACGGGGGAGCACACGTGGGTGCCGATCACGCACCCCTCCTACTGGCTGTTCACGATGTCGGGCCTGACGGTGCCGGACAAGGGCGGGAGCTTCTGCGTGGGCGGCTGCAACGCCATCGCGGACACGGGCACCTCGCTCATCGCCGGGCCGCCTGAGGAGGTGCGCCAGCTGAACAAGCTGATTGGCGCGCAGACGCAGACGACGCTTCTGGACCGCCTGGTGGCGCTGCGCGACGCGTGGCGCGCGAGGGAGGGTGCGGACGGCGACGAGGAGGGCATGTCGCGCGAGCAGTGCTACGCCCGCGTTGGCGCGATCGTGCCGAAGGTGTACAACATGTGGACGAATGAGACTCCCCTGGAGGTGTGCATGGAGCTCAGGCAGTGCCCCGTGGGCCCGCCGGCGCGCGGGCGGGACCTGAAGGCGCGCGAGGCGGGCGCCGGCGCGTTCCTCGGCCACCGCAAGGTCGCGCCGGGCGCCGAGAAGCAGACGCACAGCGTGCACTTGCACAAGGGCGCGCACGGCAAGCTCGGCGGGAAATTCCACCTCGGCGCGTCGCAGAAGACGTGCGACGTGTGCCAGGCGCTCGTGGCCAAGGTCCAGGAGTCGAAGCCGTGGTTCACGGAGGCGGAGCTCGAGGCCAAGCTCAAGCACTATTGCGACATGCTGCCGGAGGACCCCGAGGGCCCCGGCGCGCTGGACGCGGCGATCTCCGCGCTCCAGGACGACCCCGACGGGCCCGGCGGGCAGGCGGTGGTAGACTGCGACGCGATTCCCTCAATGCCGGACGTGTCCTTCAACATCGGTGGGCGGGAGTTCAAGCTGACTGCGGAGCAGTACGTGCTGGTCGTGGACGCATTCGGGCAGAAGCAGTGCGTGTCGGGCTTCTTCGAGTTCCCCACGCCCGCGCGCATCGGCCCGCTGTGGATCCTCGGCGACGTGTTCCTGGGCCCGTACCACTCGGTGTATGACATCGGGAACAAGCGGGTCGGGTTCGCGGACGCGGCGTGACGCGCGCGGCGGCGGAGAGCCAGCGCGGTGGCCGCCCCGGGCGGGGCGCCCGAGGTTGCGCTGTGAGTACACCACGTCGTCGTGCAGGTGTGCGTCAGACATGCATGCATGACGGCTCACCCTGTTTGCTGTGTGAGTCTCATCTGCCGCACGGTTCGGTCGCTCAAGCATCCTCGCGGTGAGGGTGCCTGAAGGTCAGGGAATGACAACCCATTCTTGCATCATGTTCACGGTGGCTTTTGAGGTCGAGAGCGGAAGAGTTTCTGCGTGTGCGATGCGCGGTGGGTGCGGGGCTGCGTGCGTGCGCCCGGGCGTGCCTCTGGTGCGTTGCGGCGCTCCGCTGCGACCCCGCGAGTGTCCAAAAGGGCGCAACTGCTTGTGCAGCGACACCGCGTCATCGCGAATCTCCTGTCTTCTGAAGGCCGCATGACGAAATCAAATTGACTGTCAAATGCATGTCAGCGCAAGAACACCGCGGAATATGCCCGAAACACCCCCGTGGGCGCCGGTCAAGTGGGGGCGGTTCGGGAGTGAGTCAGCCGCTCGCCGTGGCGCACTGGCACGTCGCCGCGGCCTGCACAGCGCCGTTCGCAGTAGCTGACACCTCCTAAAATCCAGGCGCGCGTCTGAGTCTACAGGACACGCGCAGAGGCCGCACATCGGCACCTCCAAAGCACACCGCGCAGGTAGGTACCGCCCACGGCGCTCCCGTCGTGCTTCCTGGATGTCTTGCACCAGCGCTCCCGCGGAGAGATTGTCGCATCTCTGAAGATATCGTACGCGCAGTGATGGTGGGGTTACACGACACCGAGGGTGCTCACATGGCCCTGGTCGTCGGGTTCCCTTCTCCCGGCGCCCGCCGGCCACCTAGCACGCATTTCGCATCGTTCCGTGTATCTGCGGCCAGATTCAATCAAAACTATTCCTCGCGTCTGAAACAACAGTGGCATACGGCTCGATACGCGCGGTCGCCGGCGAAGGAACACGTGGCTTCTCTTGCCGGTCCTCGCAGGCCCCGCACGGCCGCACACACCCGCACCACCGCCTCACGCGCCGTGCCTTAGCGTATCCTACCAGTTAAGTTGCCCTGAGCGGCCAAACCCGCGCTCGCACACCCTGTGTTGCGCAGCAATGCCTTTCGGGGATTACCGCTTCAACGGAGGCCTCAGGCCCGAGGGCTCGCCCTCTCCGGACGAGCACCACAAGTGGGCGCGCAACCTGGCCGAGTGGCACGGCATGAGCGAGTACTACAAGCTCGCAAAGCGCGACGTGCTCAAACACGGAATCCTCAATTACTGGGACATCGAAATGGCCTTGACGAGCCCCGAGGTGCGCCTCCGTGGCGACGCTTGCTCGCGCGCATAGGATTTTCAGGCTCTGAGCCGTCGCACCGATCCCGCGCGGCTCGCACCTGCGCGAACCGCGTCTGCGTGTGCCCGTGCGATACGCGGCTGCAGAAGGTGATCGACCGCATCATCCGCGGCGTCGAGAAGTCGTCCCTGGTGTCCGGCCTGTTCCTGGCCGGGACGATGAAGCTCCTGATTCAGCCGCCCGCGGTCATCGCGGCCCTGTCGTCGAGCAGCGGGTGGAGGAACCTGTTCCTCATCGCACTCAGTGCCGCCGTCATACTCCACGTCATGGTCATAGGCCACGGCTTCGTCTTCGTGTACGCGCTCTGCTCCTGCCAACGCGAGGTCGACTGGATGGTGCGCGACGCCTGTTGCCGTACACACGCACCGCTTCTTCCGCTTTGAACATGCACACACCGCTTCGTTCCGCAGCATCGCACGCGCCGACCGCCACCCGCCGCCCCGCCGCTGCAGTTCTTCCTGAGGAAGTACGGCTTCATGACGAGCATGGTGTACTCGCTGCACGCCACCGGCAACCTGCTCATCGCGCTCGCGCTCGGGACCGCCATGACTCAGGCGTACGAGGAGGCCGCGGGCATCGTGTTCATCGTGTTCGCGATGATCCTGTGCGGCGTCGTGCCGCTCGCGCTCAGCGTGCCTCTTCAGAACGCCGCGGGGGGCGTGCGCACCGACAAAACCACTAGTTCGAAGCTGTCCGTTTATATCCTGGAATACTATCTGCGGCCCCTCGCGGAGGACGACGAGAAGTACGCCGCGAAGAACATGCGCGACGCGCTCCTCAAGGTCGGGCAGAACGAGCCGGACCTGATGCGGCTGTGCACGGAGACGGCCGTCGCGTGATCGCCCTGCTCCGCGCCGGCCGTGCGACGCCGCGGTGCGCGCCTGCTCGGCCGTGAATGCGCCGGGCGCGATGCCCGATGCTTCTTTGTAATGCATCCGGAACAGCCGCCCCCCTCAACGACAGGAATCACAACTCAGCTGGCGTATTTCCATCCACAACATCGTATCTATCTCTGAATCGCATGGTTCGTAGTTCACGCCACGCCTCTTCGCGCCTCAGGCGCACGCACTGCGACCCAAGCGAGCCCTGCAACGTCGCGGAGCACTGCTCCCTACAATCTGGCGAGCAACTCAATTGAGTTGCCAGGCCCACGTGGCACTGGGCGACATGCGCAGGAGCCGCCCTAGTGGCCCGACAAGCCGCCCGCTGCGGAGCCGCGCTTGGCGACGCGCTGCACGGCGGCCTTGACGACCCGGTCGTTCGTGGACGCTGTCCCGCTGTTGATCATGTTGTGATGGGCGGTTGCGAGCCGAGCCTCGAGCTTGGCCTCGAGGCTCAGCATGCGGTTCGAGACGCCGGCGCTGATGAGCTGGTCCTTGATGCGCCGCTTCGACGGGCTCGCGCCCATGTACGACGGCAGCGGGTGCCCGGAGAGCGTCCTGCGAAAACAACCACACAACGTCCCCACGCAGTCATGATCAACAACGAGAGCCAACGCGGTGCCAGCTCTCACGCGCGGCCGCACAGCCCGCGCGTACACCGACGGGCCCCGCTAGTCCAACGCGCCCCCGCAGCGTCGCAGCGTCGCGCTCATTCTTGCACCGCATCAGATACCAAGCAGAGGGGGGGGTTGAGGACTCACGCGCGGCCCATGTGGCTCTCCAGCGGCTTCTCCTCCTCGTCGGCCCCGGGCTCCGCGTCCGTCGCCTGCGGCCGCGCCGCCCCTTTGTTGAAGTTCGACAGGTTGTCCTTTTTCCCAGGTCTCGCCTGCAGGCGCTTGGTGACTTTCGTGTCCATGACGTCGCTGCCGCTCTGGTTGGACCGGAACGAGCTCCCGGACATGGCCTGGCCGGCCTTGGAGTTCTTCGTGACCGACGACACGCCGCCGCGCATCTTGGTGTTGTTCGTGTTGGTCGACGTGGGCAGGCCGGTCGTCGTCTGCGCCCACTTCGCGTTCTTCAGCTGCCCCCAGTCCTCGCGCTCGATGTTGACCTTCTCCGACAACGAGATGAAGAGCTTGCGCGTCTCGTCGTACTTGCTTGACTCCATCACCACCGGCGACACCTGCGCCAGCCGGCTCAGGAGCATCCCGATGATGGTCACCCCGCCCCGGTGCCACCACGTGCCGCGCAGCTCGACCGAGGACATCGCGCCCCACGCGATGAACAGCTCGCGCATCGACAGCAGAATGTACGCCGCGTACGTCGGGTGCGTCAGGTTTTCTGGGAGGAGGTGCTTCCACACGGCAGACAAACTGTGCAGGACGCCGCCCTCGTCCGCGGCGCCGTGGACTTCCTCCGCGCCGACGCCCTCCGGGTGCAGCATCGCGAGGAGCACTTCGAGCAGCCCGACGACGACGAGGGGCGCCCAGTTGGCCTCGCAGGGCTCCGGAATGTACTTGAAGTCGAGGTCCATGAGCACGCCCTCGGGGATCTCCTTCAGGAGGTGGTTCATGTCTTCCGCCGCGGGCACGTGGAAATGTCGGCTCTGGTTCTCCTCGGTGCACACCCGCAGCCACGCCTCGAGGTTGCCCTTGACGTTGACCTTCTGCCCTGCGATCGTCACGTCGCCCCGCGACGCCACGATCATCGCCTTCGCGATCTGCACCGAGAAGACGTCGTCAGACACCGTTGGCAGGAAAGCGTTCGCAACGACAGTACAAAACACCTGCAGGCTCGACCGCACGTGCGCCGGGGCGGGAGCTTCTCGGCGAGGCTCACCTCGACGGCCTTCTCCGTCGCGTTGGGGTACGCGATGCACTTGAGGGCGTCGCCCATCATGTCTGGGTTGAGTACGCACTTCCGCAGGTGATCATATTGCTGCAGGACGTCCGCCCAGTGGTCCAGGGACTCGCGGTAGCGCCCTTGCCGCGCGAACCACCCCGCAGCCATCGCCAGCTGCATCGTCGCGGAGTCTCGCGCGTCCACTGCGGGGCGGGGAGGGTTGCAAATGATGGCACAGGTGAGCTGTGCGTCCGGGCGGAGTGTCAGCGCGGTTCGGAGAGCTGCGAGGGGTCGGGCATGCGCCTGGCCGTGCGCGGCAGGCCGCGGCTTCGCGGCGCGTCGAGGCAGGTTCGTGCAGGGCTGTCAGGAAGGGCGCGCACCTGAGTAGGCTCCGCCGAGGCGGCCGAGCCTCTTCCGGTCGTGGAGCACGTCCCGCTCATCGCGATTCTCCGCAGCTTTCTTCTCCTGCGCGAACCAATCGGTGTCACGCACGTCGCAAGCCGTGCTACGCGAAAGAGTCAGTGCCGTCGTGCTAGCCTGCCGGCGCCACACATGCGACGTCGAAACGCGTCGACGGACCCTAGCGCGACCCCCTCGACTGCAACCGCGTGCGGGCCGTCGCAGCCCCGAGCACGCCGGATTCCGACGAAACCGGCGCAGGCACCATGACATGCTGCAAGGTCGCTCAGGGCGCTCCGCTGCCGCGCTCTCCCGGCGCGGCGCTCCGTCGACACCTTCTGCGGGCTAAGTAGAGGCCCGCGCGCCGGAAACGGGCCGCAGCGCGCGTTCTCCGTCGACGCACGACGCAGGTGCCCCAGCTGCAACAACTCTGCCCTGTGTGCGACCCGCTCGCGCCCGCGCAGCCTTCGCAGGTGCGCGAGCGCGCCTCACGGCACGGAACCACCCCCGAACGACCTGGAAAGAGCACTGAGAGCGGCCCCAGGGGCGTTGTCGACCCATGCGACCGCGGTGAGTGACGCACCTCGAGCTGCTCTTCGAGGCGCGCTTGTGGCCGCGCGATGAGACCGTTGAACTCGCCCACGTGAAGCTCGGTCATAGTTGCGGCGCAGCTGTCGCGCGGTCGCGGTGCGCCCGGGCCTGGCTGGGCCGCAGGGCGCGACGCTGGCGTGGGCGTGTGAGATCAAGGCCAGGGGCGCTGCGCGGGGCGGCGCGGTGGCGCCGCGTGTTGACGTAGTTCGCGCTGCTGTGGGACGCCGATGAGGCGGTCGGGGGCCGGGTGGCTGCCGCGCGCGAGCGCCGGAGGTATCGAGGGCGCCGTGCCAGGGTGGCAGCTGAGCTGGTATCAGCCGTGACGCACTTACTCAGTATCACTGAATCTCGACTAGTTGGCGCGCAGGTCTCCGTTTGTCTACATGTCTCTCTCCCTGGGCTCTAGCGCGGCCGGCCTGCCGTCCTCCGCGAAGGCATGCGCACGCGCCCTCGCGCGACCTGGTCGGACCACCTGCGGCAGTCGTCCAGCCGCTCTCCGGCCGCGTCAGTGTCGACTGCAACGGTCTCGCGCCGGCGCGCATCACAGCAGTGGCACGAATCGTCACAGCTCTGTGGTTCATGCCACGCCGTGCGTACGTCTCGCCGCGCACGGCCCACCGGCACCGCGAGACGCGCGCCGCAACGTCCACGGCACGCGCACACGTGAGACATGCGGGGTGCAACTGCTGCACGCAAAACACACCTCGCCGCCACACGACGCACCGCAGCAGCCTGGGCGGGACCTGCACCGCCCAGCCACGTCCCGCGCGCGAGGCCGCGCGCCAATACTCCCCCACCCTCGACCCAAACACCCCCAAACACTCCCCCGTCGAATCAGTTGCCGTCGTCGGACGACGCGTCGTCGGACCCTGCCCGCAGCGAGTCCCGCGGCGACCCCTCCTCGCCCGTGGTGTCCGCGAGCGACCCGTCCACCGACGCGTCCTCGTTGCCGCCCGCCAGCCGCCCCTCGCCGCTCGCCTGCGGCGTCCCCGCCTCCGCCTCCGCGTCCGCGTCCGCGTCCACGTCCACGTCCACGTCCACGTCGTCCGGCACGAGCGACCCCGCGCCCAGCGACCCCGCGCCGGCCGCGGACGCCGCCGCTGCATCCGACGCGGCGTTGCCTTGGATGAACGGCAGCAACCCGGGCCCCGCCGCCTTGCGCACGTAGCCCGGGAAGGTATCCACGACGCTGTCGACGGCGGCGACGACCGCCGAGAGCGGCGCGGAGTTCCACGGGACCTTGTCGACGCCTTCTGGGAGCGACACGTCCGTGAGACCCGTCCCCTGCGCCTCCAGGAGGACGCGCATGAGGTTCGAGCCGTCCTCGACGAGCCCCGCGAGCGCGGCGCCCTTGAACTCCGGGCCCCAGCGCGGACCGCCCTTGCACGCCGACGACGGCACGCGGTAGAACAGCTGCGTCAGGGGGTGCTTCGAGAGGTGCGGGGACTCCGCGAGCAGCAGCGTGACGACCACGAGCGCGGACCGCCGCACGCCGCGGTCGTGCGCGCGCCTGATCAGCGCGTACAGCGCCAGCAGCATCGCCTCCGAGCTGTCCGGGACGCAGTAGTTGATCACCGAGCAGCACGCGTCGCGCAGCAAGTCCTGCAGCGCCATCTCCTCCATGTGCCGCACGGACTCCACGCTCTGGCTCGCGCGCACCGACCGGAACGCGTCCAGGCCGTGGCGGTCCGTGCTCACGGCCGGCGCCGACGACAGCGAGCGCCCCGAGTCCTGCAGGCGCTTGAGCACCGAGGCCAGCGCGGGCATGTTCGCCGTCGCGGCGGCCGCCGTGAGCTGCCCGACGAGGTCCGGCGCGCGGTCCGCGCGCTTGTCGCCGTCGCTCTCCGACGCGGCGCCGTGCATGTAGGCAGCGTGCACCCACGGCAGCATGGTGACGAAGCAGATCGCGAGCTGCTCGCGGCACCCGGAGAAGAGCGACTCCCGCGACCTGCCCTTCTTCGGCTGCTGCTGCGCCTGCGCGGCGAGCACGGGCGCCATCTCCGACATCAGGTCGCACGCGTCGTCCTGCGTTGCCGGGAGGTACAGCCCTCGGAGGAGGAGCTGCGCGAGCGAGGGCCCGTCGGCGGCGCCGGCGTCGGTCTGCGGCGTCGCGGCGCGCTCGGCGTCGCGCGCGGTCGGGCGCGAGGACAGCAGCACCGACTGGACCGTCGGGTTGAGCATGTCGACTTGGCTGAGGAAGGATCGGAGGAGGAGGAGTCCCTGGTGGTAGATCTGGACGTAGGGCGTCTTGAGGAGCTCGAGGCCGAGCCAGAAGACTTGCGGGAAGAGCAGTAGCTTGGTGGTCTCGAGCGAGCACACTGTGAGGCGCAGCGTGAGGAGAACCTCTACGCACACCGCGGTGGCGTGGTGCGTGCCGGACTGGAGGCAGCGGTGGATGGACTGCATGAGCGTGCCGCAGTGCTCGATGGAGATGGCGGGCTTAAGGGCGCGGAAGAGCTGCAGGGAGCGGCACGCGAGTTGTTGGTTGCGGGCCTCCGTCGCCCAGCGCATGGCCTCGGCGGCCCAGCGCACGGGCACCGCGCCGTCGTCGACGTACGGGATGGCGCTCGTGATGGAGTTGACGAGCGACGAGAGCGAGGTCTCGCTGGATGTGATGTCGCCCGTCAGCGGGGTGGACTGGTGCGCCCACATGCGGCGGCCGCGGATGGACTGCAGGTGCTTGATGAGCTTCGTGGCCTTGGCGTAGTCGTCCATCGTCTGCTTCTCCGACTGCGCCGCCGAGAGCGAGTACACCATGTTTAGAGTGAGGTGCTGGCAGTGCTGGAAGACCGTTGGGTTCTCGCTGTCCATGCATATCAGCGCCAGGTGCAGCACGAGCGGGAGGTGGTTCCCGAAGTCCTCGTCGTGCTCGTACGCGATCTCGCTGAGCAGGCACAGCGCGAGCTCGGCGCGCGACAGCACGGTCCGCGCGGCAAGGCCCTCGTCCGTCCGGAGCCGCACGAGCGCCTCGAGGTGCTCGCGCTCCGCGGGGTCGTCGCTGCAGACGACCACGCGGCCCTCCGCGCGCCGCACCGTCGTCGCGGCCGCGTCCGAGATGAGCTGCCCGGCCTCGTACACCAGGTGGTCGATGGTCTGCTGTGGCGCGACGCGGGCGAAGTAGAGCGAGATGCGCTTCGCGACGGAGAAGTACGTCGACATCGGCGCCACGTCGGCCTGGCTGCAGTCCTCCACGCCCTTGGAAATGAGAAAGTCGAGCACGGGAATGATGTTGCGACGGTTCTCGGCGATCGCGATCCACAGGCGCTCGATCTCGTAGGGGAAGTGGCTGCCGCGGTGCCACGTGACCCAGTAGAACGACTTGAGCAGCCGCTCGGACATGCCGTGCTCCCACTGCGCCTGGAAGGCAAGGTTCTCCATCCACGGCGTGAGACACGCCAGCACCTGGTGCTGCGAGACGAGGTCGACGGAGTCGAGCTGGCGCTGCATCATCTCGAGGATGAGCACCTCGGTGAGCTCCTGGTGGTCCTGGCTCAGCTTGGCCGAGAGCTGGTACTGGAACTGCTGGTACGAGTCCTGGAGGGCGCCGATGACGATCGTGGACATGCCGTCCGGCTCGTCGGCGCCGCCGCCGCTCGTGGAGTTCCAGTACTTGCGGTCGAGGTGCTGGAGGACGTGGATCGCGTCGTCGCGCACGTCGTGGTCGGGGTCGACGACCTTGTACAGCACCAGCGACAGCATCACGTGCGGCTGGACGGGCACGTCGACCTCGGCGTAGACCTCGCTCAGGACCTGGAAGTACCCGTTCGAGATCGTCTTGTCCGCGGAGTAGCAGTGGTTGATGCACGCGTCGAAGATGTCGGGGTTTCGACTGAGGTGGTTCCGCAGCCCGTTCTTCCCCACCTCGCGCCAGGACGGGCCCCACACCGCCTCCCGCGCGCCGCCGCGCCGCTTCTCGCTCTTCTCGCGCTCCTTCTCGCGCTCCCCCGTCTGGAACAGCCGGTCGATCCACGAGAACACGCGCCCCTGCAGCTTGCGCGCATCCAAGTCGAACGCGGGGCCCGACAGCAGCGACGCCATCGCGGCGGCCGCGGCGCGGCCCGCGTGCAGGTTCTGCAGCTTCAGGTCCGCGATGATCTGCTGCCGCTCCGCGGGGTCCTTGATGCGCGACAGCTGCGCCGTGCTCAGCGACCGCGCGGCGCTCTCCTGGAACAGCCCCGTCTCCTCGACCCACGTGGCGAGGACGTCGAACGCCGCGCGCCGCTTCTCGAGCGTGAAGTTCGGGTCCCCGGCCTCGACCAGGTCCCCCGCGACGTTCTCCATGATGGACGCAACACAGAACCGCAGCGGAAGGACTTCCGCGGGGTCGAGATTCGGGTTCTGGAGGTGCGAGAGCGTGTCCGCGACGGTCGCGGAGATCCCGCGCTGCAGCTCGGGCTCGCTCTGCAGGAACCCGACCGGCCCGTTCGCGGCAACGAGCCGCAGCACCTGCAGTGCCGCCAGGCGCAAGTCGACGCGCTTCGCGCGGCGGGAGGGCTTCGCGGGGACCGTGGGGAGGTCCTGGAGGATGGTGACGAGCGCCTTGAAGAGGTGCGGGTACCCGGCCTCGTTCATTTGCCCGAGGGAGGTGATGACTGCCTCTTGGGTCATCTCGGACCCCCCCCGGAGGACTGGCAGGAGGATGTCGAGGAGGCGTTTCTGCTGCGGCGCGACGCCGAGGCCGCTGGGCGTGGCCTCGCGCGAGATCGCGCGCGGCGTGCCGCCGTTCCGCGACGCCGCCGGCTCCTCCGCGTCGTCGCCCGCGGCCTCGGCCGACCCGACGGCGGCGGCGCACATGGTGCAGAGGGTGCGCCAGGAGAGCTTGGTGTCGGACGACACGTTCACGCGGCCGGCCGAGTCCGTCACGAGCAGGCCCTGGATGATCTTGATCGCCGTCTCGAACGCCATCGGCACCGACCGCACCGACAGCTCGGCGGCGCGCTTGACCAGGCCGCCCAGCACGAGCGACCACCGGATCTGGTCGTGCTCGTCCTTGCGCGCGCCGGACATGAGCTGCTCGAGCGAGCACTCGTCGACCTCGCGGTACCGCCGCTGCATCTCCGCGAAGGGTCCGAAGTTCCAGTAACTCGACTTCACCAAATCGTTCCCCTCCTGCTCCATGATGTCTACCAGGTACACGTCCGGCTCGACGTCGACGCCGAGCTCCTCGCCCCACTCGCACAGCTGCATGTGCAGGTCGCGCACGCGCTCGAGCAGCGGCCAGCACGCCCGCCGGATGGACATCTGCCGCGAACAGAGCCCGATGATGCACATGTGCTCGACGGGCGCAGTGTCGAAGTACAGCATCTGCACGCCCTTCACGGGGTCCTCCAGGAGCGGCTGCATCGCCTCGGACACCTGCTCGGCCTTCGCGGCGTCCGACCAGAGCTGCAGGAGGCCCGTGACGATCCCGACGCCGCGCTCCGCGTCCGCGCCGCCGGCCCGCAGCGTCGCGAGCGCCGCGCGGCACGCCGCGGAGATCACCTCGGACCGCAGCCGCGGGTGCGAGAGCATCGTACCGTGCAGCGCCTGGAGCGCGTCGGCGCGCACGCCCTCCTCCCTATGACAGACTGCGTACTGACTCAGCTGCGGGAAGTCCTCCTTGCGCGGGACGTTGATCACGGGGAAGCACCGGATCATCTCGCGCAGGACCTCGCGGACCTGGAGCCGTTCGAGCTGCTCCTTGGACGCGGAGGAGAATAGGCCGGTGCGTACGGGCCCGGTGCGCTCCATCTCCATGACGGACCGCAGGAGCTCGCGGAGGCGCACGCGGAGCTGGTCGGAGAGGCGGGAGCCCGCGTGCGCCTCCAGGACGTCGACGCCCGTCTTTATCGCGTCCAGGACGGCCTGCGACAGGTCGGGGGAGCCGTGCAGGTTCGGGCGCTTGCTGCGGCGTGCACGCGTGTGTTGGGCGCGGGGGGGTGGACGTGGAGAGGTGCGATGAGTACGCGACGGTGCGGGGATGTGCGTCGGGCGGCGCGGTGGAAGAGTGGTGCGCGGGCGACGCAAACGCGAACGGCGCTATCGCGCGCTGCGCAGGAAGCCCGCTGACGCCGCGTGTCAGCGCGCGGCCCTGCCCCGCTTCACGGACGCCGAGCGCGGGCGCCGCAGCGCCGACTCAGGGCAGGAGAAGAGGGGGAGGGGGTGTTGCATTTCAGTCCCCGTCAGCGCACCTCCTCCGTCTCGAGGTGCTGGTGGCGGCGCGCGACGATCTGGCACGCCTGCCGCAGCGCCTGCACGCCCACGACCGCGGTCTCCCACGCCTTGGGCGTCAGGATCGTCTCGAGCAGCACCTGATGCACTCCGACCTGCGGCAGGTGCACCACCACGGCCGTGCACAGGCGCAGCAGCGGCGGCTGCATGGCGTCGTGGGAGAAGTTGCCCTTCGCGAGGTGGATCTGCAGGAGGTTCGTCGCCTGAGTCAGCACCTCCCTGGAGTTCTTTTCTCCGATTCGTTCAAAGTAGTGCGTCGATAGGATGTCGATGGTCCCCGCGAGGGACCGCAGGCCCGACAGCCGCCGCTCCTTGTCCTGCGAGCAGCGCGCAGCGTCGGCGACCGCGTCGGCGGCCAGCCACGCGGGCGGAGCGGCTGGATTGCTGCGGCGCGGTGGCGACGGCGCGGTGCGTGCGCGCGGCGCGCGGGGCGGCGGCGCGGACCTTGAGCATCTTCGTGACGCAGTCGATCACGAAGGTCCGCACGTCGAGGAAGTCCGCGGGGTCCGAGCACGTCCCCGACAGCGTCACCAAGAGCGGAATGCCGTCCACCAGATGCTTGTTGTGTTTCGGGATCCAGGAGCGGATCTCGCGGCGCAGGAGCCGCATGTGGTCGTACCAGCGCTGCTGCGTCGCCGCGGTCATCTTCGACGGCACCTTCTTCGCCACCAGCGGCTGCAGCTGCGCGTCCAGCATACGACACAGCCCGTGGTGCAGATTACTCTTCTTGAACGGCGCCGTGAAGTTGAACGGAAGCATCCGCCCGACGTAGCTGCGGGGATCGCGCACGGGGTGGGACCGCAGCGGGCGTGAGCGCGGGGGCGGCGGCGGTGCTGTGCGCGCGCGACGGTGCGGGGGGGGTCGCGGGGCGCACTTGATGGTGCGGAGGACGTCCTCGTCGGTGTCGTGCGGGAGCGCGAGCGCGTGCATGAGCTCCGCGATGTTCAGGAGCTTGGACCGCGTGATCAGGCTGTCGCTGGGGAGGCACGTACGCAGCTTTTCTACAAACTTCTCGACGACGTGCTCGAAACACAGCTTGGACAGGAGCCGCAGGACCTCCTGGCACTCCTCGAGGAGCGAGCCTGCGGGCGCGGCGCGGCGGCGGGGCGGTGAGGCGCGGGTGTGTGCAGGGGGGGTGGCGCTGCGGGGGGAGTGTGGGGCGTACCGGAGAGGGACTTGGAGGTCTCGCCGCGGTCGCGGATGTCCGCGGGGAGGTCCGCGGCGCGGGCCATGACGTGGTTGAGCAGGGAGTCGCGGACGTGGGTGTGCGTCGCCGACGGAGGGGCGGAGCCCGCCTCCTTCTTGAGCGACGACTCCGCAACGACGCGGCCCGCGCGCACGTAGATCCATTCTGCGGCGCGGACGTGCCGAAGCAGCGGGTCGGCGGTGCGAGCGCTGCGTGCTAGGGCGCCTCGTAGCGCAGGTCGAACTGGCCGCGTGGGCGCAGGACGGGGGCGGCATTGCGGCGATTCAGCCCAGCCCGATATACCCGTGGAAGTGCGGGATCTGGGCGTGCACGGAGAGCGCAAGTGGCGCGCTGGATCGCGCGGTAGCGGCGAAGGTAGGCAAGTGATGGGACTTGGAGGGCGCGCACCTACGCATGCGTTGTGCGCGACGGGCGCGAGGGGGTCCACAGAAGAGTCGAGGCTGGTCCCTTTCAGCGTGCGCTTCCGCCACGCGGACAGGCGGTTCAAGACCTCGGACGGGAAGTGCACTGAGACGACCTCCAAGGCTCGCCATTGTGCCGGCGAAGATCCGTCGTCCTGCGAGGAGATCCAGGGTGAATGCGCGCGCGAGGTCGTCCATGCTCGTCGGAACGCCCCGGGCCGGCGAGACGCGGGGCGCGCCGCACGGGCGCGGCGGGAGAGCGCACTGAAGTGGTTGCACAAAAGGGCGCCGGGCGGACACGACGCGTGAGGAAGCGAGGCCGTGGCCGCGCAGGGAACGGTCGCCGTGAGGGTCATTCGAGCGGGGCCGCGGGGGGGGGGAGTTACGGCCGGGAGGCGTCTGCAGCGGACCTGGAGGGATCGGCTGGCCGTTACGCGTCCCAAAAGGACGTCTAGCTCGGCCTCGCAGTCATCAATCGCCGCGCTGGCGATAGGGTGGACCCCTGAGGCGGACATGGCGGCGGCCTGGGGGCCGCGTGGCGCCCGGGCCCGAGCTAGCGGGCGTGATTCTGTTGCCGCAGTGCTTCAGCTCCGCCTCCCTTCGCGCGCAGAGCGGCCATGTACGGGGTGGGAGCGGGGGGGCGCGGGGACCTCACCGACGCAGATCTTGGCGGGCGTCTCGCGGCGACGGGCCGTCGAAAGGAGGCGAGCGGGGCGGTGGTCTTCCCTGGGGGAGGGAGTGTGTCTTGGGCGGCGAAATGCGGCCTGCCGCGGGGTCTTTGCGCGAAGGCGCTGCCGCTGGCGGGACGAATTTGATCTGAAGAAGCGGGTCTCGTGCAGAAACGCGTCTGTCCTGCACGGTCGACGGCGCGTGCTCGGTTGCACCTCTCTTCGGGCCGGCCTGGGATCGGGCGGGCGAGAGGTCGGCGTGTTCGAGGCGGCCGGGTTCCAGCGTTTCATAGAGAGAGAGCTGAGAGGGCGGCGGAACCATGCTTCGCAACATCCAGCTGCCGAGCAGGGCCCACTCCGGCCCAAACAGCTTCCGGGGACGCGTCGGACAGGCCGTGGCGGCGCCCTCGCGGTCGGGATGCGCCACCAGGAAGTCCACGAAGATGATGCCTATCGGCGTTCCGCAGGTCCCGTACCGCAGCCCCAAGGGGGACGGCTGGCTGTGGATCGATCTGTGGAACTGCCTGTACCGTGAGCGCATCATCTTCCTCTCCAACGCCGGTACGCCCCCAGCGCCCCAGCGCGCTCCCCCGACCATCCCGCGTCGCCATAACCCGCTCCAGACCAGCCAGCACGGCGCCCTCGCGCACTCCGCTTGCCGAGTCTCACCGCCCTCCCCGCGTGCACATCCGGGCGCGACGAGAGCGCCATTCGCGCGCGCAGCAATGTATGGGACCGCCTGCACCGCTCCGGGCGGCCGCACCGCCGCGTAGTTGCGCGTGGAGGCCAGTAACGCGGATTTGCAGCCAGTGACCCCGCACTAGCGCGCCGAACCCGCTCCTGCAGTGGACGAGGAGCTGGGCAACCAGCTCGTGGCGACGATGCTGTACCTGGACAGCGAGAACAAGAAGGACATGAGCATCTACATCAACTGCTCGGGCGGGGACGTGGTGCCTTGCCTCGCCATCCACGATACCATGCGATTCATCAAGTCGGACGTGGCGACGGTCGGGTTCGGCGGCGCCATGGGCATGAGTGGCTTCCTGCTGGCCATGGGCGAGCGCGGGAAGCGCTACTGCCTCCCGAATACGCGGATCATGCTGCACCACCCAGCTGGCGGCGCCCGGGGCCAGGCGTCCGACATCCACCGCGAATCCAAGGAGCTCATGCGCATCCGGAGGTGCGATCCCAGAGCGAACTCCCGCATTCTGCGCCGTTGCCCGCGGACCGGCGCGCGCGGGACGCGCCTGGACCGGGTCGGAGCGTGCTGTGGGGGCCCTGCGGAGACCGCGCGCGCGGCGGAGGCCGATCGGTTGCCCGGGGTAGCTCGCGCGGCGTCGGGGGTGACGCGATGCGCCGCCGCGTCGTGCGTGCGGGCGCGCGGGCCCGCGAGAGCGCCGCGTCGCTGGCCGTGTGTGCGTCTGCAGATATGTGACGACCCTGCTGGCGGAGCAGTCGGGCAAGGTGGACTACGAGCGGTTCTTCTACGAGATCAGCCGCGCGCGGTACTACTCCGCGGAGGAGGCGCAGGAAACAGGTGCGCCGCGAGCGCTGCGACGCTGCTGCTCCCGCAATTACAACCCGCGCCCCGCCACGAGCGGCCGCTTGCTCCAGGGCGTCACACCCGCCCGCCGCCCGTCGCGCCGCAGGTCTGATCGACACCGTGGTGCGTCCACGCAACGCGAGCGCCAAGGCCGGGTATGCGTGAGGAAAAGCATCAGCACCACGCGGAGGTCGTCTCCGCGGCGGCGCAGCGCCGTGCCGACATAGCGAACCACGCAGGGACTGCGCTCTCGCTGTAAGAACGGAGCCCAGCGCGCCGCCGTCGCCGTCGCTTCGGCCACGATGCAACCATAACCACTCGAGTCTTCTACCAGTTCTGATTCGCCGAGCTGTGCGCCGGCGCGGCTTCCGCGATGTCGGCCGACGTCACGGCGCGCGCGCCCCGCGCGGCGCGTGCGTGCGGATGCAGCACCCAACCTCCCACGCACATCTCCAAGACGGAAACTTCACCGATCTCATCTAATAATCATCAATCAAGAGATCTCGAGCACCCGTCCTTCGCTCGCTCTCTCTCTCTTCTGCACCCCCGGCCCGCGCGCTACGCCACGCCCGCCTGGAACAGCACCGACAGCGGCCGGTTGCCCACCTTGGCCGTCTTGAAGTCGTCCCGCAGCCGCAGGAGCTCCAAAGCCTCACTGCGTCCAATCCCTAGCGAATGGTCAACAAGGCTCGGCAGCGACTCCGGAGGCACGACGAGCAGCGCAGCCTGCTCCGCGAGCGCCTCGAGGCGCGCCTCGGCGTCGCCGTTCCGCAGCGCGCCGGCCGCGGGCGCCCCGGCGCTCTTGGATGGTGGCGCGATGCGGCGCACTGTGTCAAGGTAGTGGCTGAGGTCGCACTTGAGTTGCAGGGCGCCGAGCTCGCAGAAGGTGAACCGGCGGACGTGGGCGTGCACGCAGGACGCGAGCGCGGCGGATATCTCGGCCTCGACGGCCGATAGGTTGCCTGCGCGCACCGTGGCGGGTCGCGGCGTGATTTGTCGAGAAAGGGCGCGAAGGAACGTCGAAAATTCATGTCTCCGAGCGGTGCCTATCGACGGCTGTCATCTCGGCGGCACAGACGCGCGGAGCGACCCGGAACTCGCAGCGTGGCGGGACGCCGTGCGTTGGGGCTGGCTGCCAGCGGCAGGCGCACCTGCGGCGCAGAGCACGCCCCGGGCGGACATCGTGCACTCGAGGCACGCCGACGACGCGCCGCGGCAGGCCGCGGTGGGCCGCGACACGTCGATGTTGGCCCCGGCAGCGACTTTAAAGTCCGTCTTTGTTTGTGCGCGCAGCAGGAACGCGTCGAGCGACGCGCGGAGCTCGGAGACGGCCCCCGCGAGCGCCGCGTCGATCGCGGAGCTGGCGCCGCTGCGCGCCGCGGCGAACGCCGCCTGTGCGCTCGCGGCCGCGGCCTCAGAATCTCTCAACATAGCGACGACATCCTGCACAGCGGAGCGGACAAACGATGGCGATCGAGGCAGGGATCGTCGAACCATGTGGCATGAAGACCTGCCACGCTCGGCGCGCGCGAGTTTGCGGCGTGACGGCACCGCCATCAGCCGACCAAGGCACCACGCAGTGTAAAAGCGTAGCTGGCTGTGCAGCAGCGCAGACACAAAGATCCGCCTGAGAAGATCCGCGCACCACGCGAGAGACCGCGCGCGCTCAGAGCGATCGCGCACACGCAGGCGGCCTCGCTCCACACACACACATGCGCACCTCCTCGTAGTGCGCCTTGAGCGCCCGCATCCCCCCGAGCACGCCTCCCACGACCTCCATCGTCCGCACGAACGCCTGCGCCGGCTTCGCGCCCGCCGCGCGCGCCCGGCGAGCCTCCGCCTGGAACGCAGCCGACACCACCACGCTCACTCCCCCCAACAGGTGCCCCGCCCCGCCGTCCCCGCCCCGCCCTGCGTACAGCTCCAGCAGGTCCTCCGCGACGCGGTCCGGCGCCGCCAGCGCCCTCACCCTCTCCGCAGCGTCCCGGAAACCCGAAACCAAAGTCCAGATGAGGTCCCCGACGGTCGCGCCGCCGTCGCCGAGGCAGCTGCAGAGGTCCTGCGCGAGCTGGCGCAGCACGGTGCGCTCGATGGCGAGGTGCTGGCTCAGGGCGCGGTCCAATAGACCCCGGGGGAAGTGAGTGGAGTACGCGGAACACGGGAAAGGGAGTTGCGGCTCCGCGGCGGCGCGGAGCTTCTCGATGCGCTCGAACGCGCTCTCGAGGAGGTTGACGAAGCGCAGGAGCTCCTCGGCGTTCGCGTTGTCGCTGATGTCGGGCACGGCGAACACCCCCTGCGCCAGCTGGCCCAGCCACCCGTCTCGCCCCGCCACGCGCGAGAGCATGTCGCTCAGCGCCTGCTCGGGCTCGGGGTAGATCGACTGGAGCACCTGTGCCTCCTCCTGCAGCGCCGAGAGCAGCGCCTGCGCCACACCGCACACAGGGCCCACACGCAGGTCAGGAACCACGAAAACAGGTTCCCCGACGCCTGCGTAGCTCCAACTCACCCAGACCTCGCGCACCGTGCCCGGTCTGGCGCGTGAGCGCCTCCGCGCGCCGCCCAGGCACGCACGCACCTTCGTGGCTCCCAGAAGCAAGCTCAATCGCTGATGGGGCTCTTGCGTTGCCACCGAAGAGACACTGATCTTCTCCTCGTCCAGCCCGAGCCCCTCCGGCGACAACGCAGGCGCCTGCGCCGCCAGATACTCCTCCTGCACCAGCTCCTCGCGCCCCAGCGCCCGCAGCACGTCCACCGCTCGCGACATCCCCTCGACGTCCCGCGCGGCGCACCCGCGCCGGAACGCCTGCAGCGTGCGGCGCTCGAGGGCGGCCGCGTACAGCTCGAGGTGCTCCGAGGCCGCGCGGAGGTTCCGGAGCGCGGTGCTGCGCGGCGCCGCGGCTGCCCCGGTGGTCGCCGCGCTGTTGTTGTTGGCGGCAGCGGGGGCGAGGATCTCCTGGAGGATGGATCGGAGCTTGACGACTTCGGCGGCGGCGTCCTTCTCGTGCTCCTCCTCGACGAAGAGCGGGCTGAGGCCGACGAGGCTCCTGCGGCGCGGCGGCAGTCGAGGATTCCCTTGTTCAATTTCGACGTAATTGAGGTGTTCCGCCGCCGGCAGGAGGAGGACTCGTTCCTGCATCAAGAGCACACGCGACGCCAGATCGCGCGACAGCTCGACCCGCGGGACATGGCCATCCTGGCGCCGCATGGCCATCCTGTCAGCGTCACCAATGCTGAACGCCGCCAACGCCCGACGAAGTTGGCCAACGCTCGGGCGTTGGCGGCGTTGAGCATGGGTGATGCCGACAGGTGCGGCGCCAGGATGGCCATGTCACGCGGGTCGAGCTGTCGCGCGATCTGGCGTCGCGTGTGCTCTTTTTGCAGGAACGAGTCCTCCTCCTGCGCGGGAGGCGGGCGTGCGGGCGCCGGGTGGTGCGCGCGGGCCCTCACTTGTTCGTGGTGGCGAATTCGAAGAGGTGCGCGATGCAGCGGCGTGCTTCGTTGGCGGTCTCGCGCAGCGTGTGCACGCTTTTGAGGCGGTTGCCGATGCGGGACGCGGTGTGCGCGACCATGCTGAGTCGCATTTCGAGGCGCTCGAAGGCCGACTGCGCCGAACGCATTTTCTCGCTCAGCATCTCGATGCCAGACGCTTGCACAAGAGGGTGACTTTGCAGCTCCGCGTTCGCCGCGTCCAAGCGCGCGATGGTGTCGGACCTGAGCGCCTGGAGTTTGCTCTCGACCTCATCGAGGTGTGCTAGCGTTGCCTGCGGCGTGGCGAGGCGCTGCGATGTGGGAGCGCGGGCGAGGAGTGCCCAGGGTTGCCGGATGGGCGACGGCGACGCCGGGGAAGATCGACGTGGCTTGACGACCTGAACAACTAAACCCCGCAACTGAACGGTCACGTTCACTGCGGAGGCGCACTCGATTGTCGCTTTCCGAGCGCTGCACGAAGGCGTGCGTGTGCTCAGCTGAAAGGGTCGCGGTGACGCACCTCGAGCGAGTTGTCGCCGCTAGGCCCCTCTACCGCAGCCTTCCATATACGCTCGTACTCCTTCTCCCCAGCGTCCTCGTGCCCGTCCATGGCCGGCGCGGGACGCGGCCCAAACGCCCTTCCCGCCTCCTTGGCAGTGTCTTCGCACGATCACCAGCAAAACGCAGTCTTTCTTCCTCAGCCGAACCGGCGTGCCGACAGCGGCTGTCCTGCGCCGCTCCTCCAGCCCGCGCCCGCCTTGACTCGAGCACCAGACACGCAGGAGGTACAACTTGAGGAGCTGTCAGCAGGAGACCTCCTGCCCACCGAGCCGCGCTCAGGAGGCCCGGCACGAATGCCCACAGCGCCGTGCCTTCCGTCCAGTGGCCTGACATCGCATCGACTGTTCCTCGCAGGGTCGACAGTCGCAGAGACCGCACCTTTCAGCCTCAGCCGGTGCAATTTGCGTTTCGCGGCCGCCCTACGCGCCGCGCAGGAGCCCCTACGCCCGCATTATGCTCCGGCGAGCTTCTCCATAACCACACGTCTCCTTCCCTTGAGTCCCCCGCCATGAGGCGGGTATAACAGCGCAGCGCGGGCCCTCCGGGGCCAGCGAACCGCACGTTCCCCGCGCCACCGCGCGTGTGCGTCGCGCAGGGGCCTCCGCGGGCCACCACCGGACAGCATGGACCCGTTCACGCAGCTCTTCTCGCAGACGCAGGCCCCGGAGGAGGAGTCCCAGGGCCCACGCTGCGAATACTGCCAGTCCGCCTCGTTCCGCGTCGTTGAGGGCATCTACGTGTGCGCGGAGTGCGACCGCGCCAGCCAGCTCCACGGGCCCACGGTCGAGGAGGAGGCCAACCTCGCGGACCTGCGGGGGGCGCCCCGGCGCCGCATTCGCACCAAGAACGAGCACGCGCGAAAGACGACGAGACAAGTGGCTCTGGAGGAGAAGGCGGGGCGCGCGGCGACGTCGGTGGACACGGCGCGGGCGTACTGCTACGGCGCGATGCGGGCGCTGGTCGGGTCGCTCGAGGCGATGACGCAGCCGCCGCTCGCGTGCAGCCCGCATGTTGTTGCGGTGGGGCGGCAGCTGTGGCTCGCGGCGGTCGAGGCGTCCGGTGCGCGCCCCGGGCTTCGCGAGGGCTGGGTGCTGGCCGCGTCGCGCGTGCTGTGCCGGTGACGGAAACCGTCTGAACATGACGAATACTGAATTGTGGTTGCTGGCGCTTTGTTGTTCCTAGCATCGCCGGTGCTGACGAGACGACGCGAAGGACCGCGCGCAGGGATCCTGAGCGATGCGTTCCACGAGGAGTTCAAGGACTGGGTTGCCCTCGTCGCGAAGATGCGACCGAAGAAGCGCCGCGTGACCGACGCGCCGCAAAACGCGACCACCGGCAACGACGGCGGACCGCCGCGCGAGCCCGACAACGCCATGGACAGCTCCAGCGACAGCGGCAGCGACAGCGACGCCTCGGCCACGTCCAGCAGCAGCTCGGACCCCGGCGAGGGCGAACAAGACACAATGCCTCTGCGTACAAAGGCCCAGCTCGGGCCGCGCTGGGCGCTCGACAGGGCGCTGCCGCTGCACAGCGTGCTGCCGTCGGTGCTGTTCGTGGCCTGCTGGTGGATGCGCGAGGCCGTGCTTCCCGGCGACGTCGTGCGGTGGATTGCGGACGGCGAAGTGCCGCTGCTGGCGCTCACCGTCACGGCGCAGGAGTGGGCGGAGGACCGTCTCGGCTGCGTGCTGCCGCGCGGGCTCTTCGGCCGCGGGTCGCGCACCATGCTGCCGACGTCGGTGCGGCTCGCGCAGGAGGCGGTCGGGTTTGCCGCGTCAGTCGGGATCAAACTCCCCCCCGTCCACTCCCGCGCGGTCTGCCACAGGCTCGTGCGCGCGATGGAGCTCGACGAGTCGCTCGCGGAGGCCGCGGCGCTGCTGGCGGCGATGCACGTCGACGGCACGGCCCGCGCCGAGCTGTCGCACTCAGGAATACCCCCCCAGGCATACCTCGCGGGGTGTGTTCTGCTGGCGCTGATGATAGCGGGGGGGCTCGGAGTGGGGCCTGAGGACGGCGGGGGCGCGTGGCGGCCGCCCGAGGGCTGGGAGGCGTGGGCGCTGGCGGCGCTTGAGGCGGCACCCGCAGCTGGCGTGTTGCCGACCACCTCGCGCGAGGCGCAAGGGCTGGACGCGACGGCCGCCGCGAGCCTGCTGAGGTTCCTCAGGTGCGCTGCCGGCGCCGCGGGTCGTGCGGATCGTGCTGCGAGCCTGCCTGATCGATCATGTGTCCTGGATCCACAAAGAATCGCCGAATCACGACGTGTTTTGAGTCGCAAAGTCGTCGTGCGCGTGCCCCGCCTCGAGCCACGCGCTGACGCTCCCCGGAGCCAGGCCGCGCCGCTGCGTCGCAGGAACAGCGTGGCCAGCGGGGCCAACCACATTCCCGATGCGGAGGGCGTCCTGGCCGCCCTCGACGCGGGCGCGCGCAGCTACGTCGGCGCCGCGGACACGCCCGCGCAGTGCGCCGTCTGGCCGCCGACGGACCGCGCCGACCTCGCCGCGGCCGCGGTGTGGTCAGGCCCCGCGGGAGCCCCCCGGGGGAGTGTCGTCGCCCGCGTCAAGCCCGAGGCCCTCGTGCCGACGCCGAAGAACCCCGACGCGCTCATTCCGCGCGAGGAAGGCCGGGAGTCGCTCGTCGCTGCGTCGTTGTCGCGCCGTTACGTCCCCCCCCGCGTCGAGAGGGCCAGACCCTTCATTACCACGTGGGGCGAAGGCGCGCGGCCGCGCGGGCAGATCAAGAAGACCGGCGTCAAGCACGCTCCCACGGCGTTCCATCCGGCGTACGTCGCGGTGCTTGCCGTGCTCTCGGCGCAATGCTCCCTCCAGGTGCGCTGACGGCCGCCGCTGCGCGCCTGCTGCGCTGCCGCTGCTTTGCTCTGTGCTGCGCGTCGAGTCTGTTCGTGCTCGGTGCGTCAGGGGGTTGATTTGCGCGACCGTTCGCTCGGTGCGGAGAGATAACGTTGCCGCTGTGTGCTGCGCGGTGCAGGCGGGCGTGCTGCACGCGGCGACGCGCGAGCTGGAGCTCGAGGTGCATGCGGTGGAAGAGCGCGCGCAGCACCTGGAGAGGCAGGCGGGCGCGTGACGTCGTCGGCGCTGACAGTCAAACAGCCCAAACCCCCCTCGCCAGCTCGCAGCCATAAGCATTCGTCCTTCTGCAGCCCACGCGGCGCACGCCGCGCGCACGCGCGCACGGTTCCGGACCCCAGCACGTCCGCAACCACCTGCGCAGTTCTCTCTCTCAGCGAAACGAGGTGAGGTGTTACATTCTTCGCGGTGTGACGCATTGATGACGCGCTCCGTGCGCGTGGTCGAGCCAAGCGACTCACGGCCGCCGCAGCGACGATTCTGGCGCCTCCTGACCGCGCGACGACGCGAGCGAAGCCCTTGACACCTCCAGACAACGTCATACATCAACGTGCGTTGTTTACACATCCGCTCATCCGCGGCGCCGCGTGATGTGGTCGTAGATCACGACCTGCGTGTACTCGCCCCCCTCGAGCTCCACGCGGCACGAGTTGTCCCCGGGCGTGCTGCGCGGGTCGACGTTGATCACTTTGCGGTCGCGCTTGTTCTTGAACAGCAGGCCGAGCTCGGGGTCCGCGATGACGAGGAAGTTCGGCGTGTGGTTGAACGCGCTCATCTTCGTCTCCCAGTTGTAGTAGCTCAGGTCGGACGCCTTAGGCATCAGCCGCCGCCGCCCCAGAAACACCGGCTCGAGGTTCTCCGTGCGCAGGCGGTGGCCGAAGTCGATGTACCCGGACACCTCCTGCCCGCGCGAGTTCCGGTCGCGCACGAAGATGATCGTCGCGAGCTTCCCGTTCAGAACGGCCTCCTCGCGCACCGAGAGCGCCTTGAGCAGAGGCGAGTGCTCCACGTCCTTTCCCGCGCTCACCAGGATGCGTGGCCTGCGCTGGCGGGCACCGCGGCGACACCGTGAGGGCGAGCAGCGCGCCGGCGGCGGCTACGTCGCGCGGGGCGCCTCGGCCGTGTGTTGGAGGGGCGGGCAGTAGGTGTGCGGAGCGACCGGGCAGCGGCCGTGTGGTGCGGGGGCGTACCGTCTGGAGTAGCGTTCCTTCTTCGCGAGCTCGGCGGCTTCTTTCCGGGACACGAACTCCTCGCGCGAGAGCACCTCGCCGTTGCCGCGGTACCCCAGTTCAACAAGCTGCCTCGCCAGCTCGACATCGTCGAGGTAGAACAGGTCCGTCGCGGTGATCTGGCTGTCTAGGTAGTCCTCGTACCTGCGGGCGCGCGGGGCCGGGAAGGCGGCGCGCGGTTAGGCGCCGCGCTCGAGACAGCCCGCGCTCATGTGTGGCGCCGTAGAGCGCCAGCGGGGGCAGAGTGGCCGGCGTCCGCCGAGGATGTGGTACGGTTCGGTGGGGCGGGGGGCGGAAAGGCGCTTGGAGGGCCGAGGAGTGTCAGGGCGCGCGGCGTTCGCGCACAAGGGTGCCCGCGGACACCCGCCCCGTCCGGGCGGCGTGGACGCGGACGTCCGCTGGCCGAGCCGGCACAGACGGCGCTCGTATCGAGCGTTCCGCTGGTCGCTGCTGGCGCTGCGCGTGCGCGCAGCAAGCGACGAAACCGGCGGCCAAGCGCAACGAGGACAGCGCCGGCAGTGCAGCGGAGCGCCGCTGCGGCCATTCCGCGCCGCTTCCGCGGCCGCACGAAGACGACAGGGCGCTCCATCCACGGGCCGGACGCGCGGGGGCGAGACGCCGCGCATCCGGCGTCAGCGCGGCACGGCATGCACGTCGCGCACAGAGAGCGGACCCAAACGCAGCCGCTCCGTGCCGGGGCTCGCCCCTGCTGCGCCGACCGCGGCACACTCGATCGATACGAGCCCCTCGCGCCGCGCGCGCGCGTCGCCACGCGGACACAGCGCGCTGAGCCCGTGCGTGGCATCCGGCGTGGCTTTCGCGCGCTCATGCGGGGCGCTCACGTCGCGAACCCCTCCACGAGCGCATCGAACGCGCCGTGCTCGAACTCCGGATCGTCCAGGTGCGCCATACTCGCCCGTCCCAGCCAAACCTCCTAACCGCAACCTTGGTGTGTGCTAGGGATTATGTGTTCCCTTGTGCGCCTTCGCCCCACCAGCGCCGGTTCGCCTGGAAGCGCCCCAGGGCGTCGCGAGCTGCGCCGGAACGAGCGGTTCGTCGCGGAAAACCGCGGCTAGGCCGCGCGGCTGCGGCGCAGGGAGGGAAACGTGACCAGGCTGCACCTGCCAGTGCTGAACGGCGCTTCTGCGTCGAAACGTGCCGTGTTGCCGGGAGCGGACGTGCGCTTCGACGAATTGTGCGCGGCTGCGCCGCCGCGGGGCCTCGAGGCGGCCGCGTCGGCCGGGGACGACGTCGAGTCCTCCTACGGGTGTAAGTCGAGGCCCCGCAGCCGGCGACAAGGCCGCGGCGCGCGCGCGCGCTCGAGGACTTCTTGAGGCGGATCTCTTCGCGCGAAAGGAACCCACAAAGCTCGCCATCATGAACGACATGGTGAGCACACGGCACCTGTACGGGACGAGCCGACACATGCCGCTCGCTGCTCTGCGAGGCGCCGGCCCGCCGCGCGCCCCACTCCCCCGGACGCTCCGTTGCTCTCTCCGCGTACGGAGTCGATCATTGCGCTCTCGTGCGGCCCTGCGCGCCCGTGACGCGCTGTTCCCTCGTCCGTGCCGTTGGCTCCCTGTCCCTGCCTCCGCCTCGCACGAACGGCTTCGCGCCCGAGCTGCGTCCGCTCCTGAGCTACCCTCCTCGCCTCTCGCGCGCCGACTGTGGCGGCTGCGCCCCCCACGACGTCGCGCCCCCGGTCGCTGGCAGGCCTCAGGCACCTCACCGCGCCGCGCCGTCCGGTGGCCCAAACGCAGGTTTTCGGCACCCAGGAGCAGATCGTTCCGATCCTGGACCCCGTGGTTACTCGCAACCTCGAGGCCCGCTTCGACCAGGGCGACAAGGTGAGCAACGGAACGCAACACGTGCCCGGCCATTTCCCCCGCCGCCACGCGCCGCGCGAGGGATCCGACCGCGCCGACACAGAGAACTTATTGCGCACGCCACCGGAGCCGCGTTGCATCCCGCGCACGCCCACCTTGCGCGCCAGGACGCGACTCGTGTCCCCCCTCCATTGCGGCTGGTCCCCACGGGGCGCCGCAGGCCCCTCCCGCGGCCCGCAGCCGCGCTCCACGGCATGTTCACTTCTCCGCCGCACCGCGGCGCGCCGTGCAACCTTCCCCGGAGGGCCTGCGACCCACGGCGCGGCCCACACGCCGCACGACATGCCCCGCCGCCCTGGCCGACCTTCCGCGCCCTCCACCCGCCCGCGCAGATCATCGCCGAGTATGTCTGGATTGACGGCACCGGCATGGGCCTGCGCTCCAAGTCGCGCACGCTCGACAAGAGCAAGGCCAAGGGCCCCGCCAGCGAGCTCCCGGTGTGGAACTACGACGGCTCCTCCACCGGCCAGGCCCCGGGCGACGACTCCGAGGTGCGCCAGCGCCCCTCGCATATCAGATCCTCCCGCTCGGACGGTCACCCGCGCCGGCCGCCCGCCGGCGGCGCCCCCGCGCCGCAAAGCCGTTGGCCGCCCGTCACACGTGACCGCTCCTGCGCCGCACAGTCCCCGCGCGCCCCCCGCGCCCCCTCCCCACGTTTCCATCATGCTTCCCTCCCACGCCAACCGCCAGATTCGCCTCGCTCGGCCGCTCCACGGTCCACCTCCACGGATCCAACCCATCATCGACCAATCAATCACGATTTCTCGACTGATTCCCCACTCACCAATCAACCCCTCCACCACACCGCCACGCGCAGGTCTACCTGAAGCCCCAGGCGATCTACAAGGACCCCTTCCGCGGCGGCGACAACATCCTCGTCATGTGCGACACGTACGAGCCCCCGAAGATCGTCGACGGGAAGGAGCAGCCCATGAAGCCCATCCCCACCAACACCCGCGCTCCGTGCGAGGAGGTGATGAAGCAGGCCATGCACCAGGAGCCCTGGTTCGGCATCGAGCAGGAGTACACGCTCCTGCACCCCAACACGCAGTGGCCGCTCGGGTGGCCGACCAACGGCTACCCGGGGCCCCAGGGGCCCTACTACTGCGCGGCGGGCGCGGGCCGCTCGATCGCGCGCGACGTGGCGGACATGCACTACAAGGCGTGCCTGCACGCGGGGATCAAGATCTCGGGCGTGAACGGCGAGGTGATGCCCGCGCAGTGGGAGTACCAGGTCGGGCCGTGCATTGGCATGGAGATGGGCGACATGCTGCAGATGTCGCGCTACATCATGCACCGCATCTGCGAGGCGTACAACGTGATCTGCACGTTCGACCCGAAGCCGGTGCCGGGCGACTGGAACGGCGCGGGCGGGCACACGAACTACTCGAACAACGACACGCGCGCGCCCGGGACGGGGTACGACGCGATTATCGCGCAGTGCGAGAAGCTGAAGAAGAACCACGCGGCGCACATCGCGGCGTACGGCGAGGGCAACGAGCGCCGCCTCACGGGCCTGCACGAGACGTCGAGCATCCATGACTTCTCCTACGGCGTCGCCAACCGCGGGTGCTCCATCCGCATCCCGCGCGCCGTGCCCGTGGACAAGTGCGGCTACTACGAGGACCGCCGGCCGGCGTCGAACCTGGACCCCTACGTCGTGACGAAGATGATCGTCGCCACCACGCTGCTCTAAGCTGCGCGCCGGGGTCGAGGCAGCGGGCGGCGGCCACGGGGCGCGGCGCGGGCGGCGGGGCGTGCGCCGGCGTGAGCGCCGCGGCCGTGTGAGCTGCGTTGTCAAACACGACGTGGAGCGTCACTTTGATTTCGTTCTGTCTTGTTTCCGGCGGCGGTTGCGTTATGCAATGAACAATCAGTTATGCGACTGCGGGTCCGTGGCCTGCACGATTCTCGCGGCGCCCTTTCGCCCCGATCTGTCGAACGCACTGACCGATACTGCGACCTCACTCTCGCGCGCGCGGCATCAAGCCGCCACCCAGCGCAGACGCCCCTTGACACGCGCCTTGCGTCGTTGACAACCGCTGCGTCACATGCTCCGGTCGCCGCCAGCGCCGCGGCGCGCCTACTTCCCGGCCCCGCCCAGGCGCAGCTGCTGCAGGATGCGCCCGCCGCCGGGCACCGGGTGCGGGCCCTTGAACTGCCCCAGCTGCGCCTCGCTGTTGGCCTTTGCCAGCTTGACGAGGATGTCGTGCGCGGCCGCGACGTTCGCCTTGTCGCCGCCCCACGTCTTCAGCGTCGTGCTCTGCAGCGCGCGGCCGTACGAGAACGTCAGCGCCCAGGGGGAGTTCGGGCACTCCTCCTGCAGCGCCTGCAGGTTGAGCGTCGACTCCTCCTCCGACATCCCCCCGGACAGGAAGTGGATCCCGGGCACGGCGGCCGGGATCGTGCGCATCATCGTGCGCACGGTGTACTTCGCGACCTCCTCCGGCGCCGCGACGGGCGCGTCCAGGCCCGGCAAACACATGTTGGGCTTGAGCAGGATGCAGTCCAGCATGACGTCGTACTCGTTGAGGAGGCGCATCACGTGGCTGTACACGCGCTCGGAGATGTAGGCCGTGCGCTCGATCGAGTAGTCGCCCGGTCCGAGCGTCACCTCCGGCTCAACGATCGGCACCAGGCCGTTCGCCTGCGCGATCTGGGCGTAGCGCGCGAGGCCGTGCGCGTTCTCGAGGATGCCCGTCGTCGTCGGGCACGGACCGTCGTCCACCTGCGCGACGTTGTCAGGCCACGGAGCTCGCGTCACGGCCATCAGCGACGTTTGCGTGCGCGCGTGTGCAGTGGGACGGTGGCGCGCGTACCTTGATGACGGCGCGCCACTTGGCGAACCGCGCGCCCTGGTCGTAGTAGGCCTTGCAGCGCGCGCCGAGGCCGTCGAGGCCCTGCGTCGAGGTCTCGCCGTCCGTGCCAGGGATCGGCTCCAGGCCGGTGTCGACCTTGATGCCCGGGACGATGCCCTGGTCCTTGAGGATGTCCACGAACTGCGTGCCGTCCGCGGCCTTCTGGTACAGCGTCTCCTCGAACATGATCGCGCCGGAGATGTACTGGCCCAGGCCGGGCGCGGTGTACAGCACCTCGCGCCAGTCGCGGCGGTTCTCCTCGGTGTTGTCGACGCCGATCGTCGCGAGGCGCTTGCCCGTCGTCGCGTTGGACTCGTCCGACGCGAGGATGCCTGCGCGCACGCCGCGGGCGGAGGGCGTGGGGGCGAGAGAGGGGAATGTTCGTGCGCTGACGTCCTGCGAGGCGCGAACCCGAGGGTCGTCCGCGCAGAGGCAGAGGAGAGATGTGGAGTGCAGGCGAGGCACTTCGATCGAGCGGAAAGGTGTGATGGGAGATTGGGATTCCAGGATTGCCATTGGGTGTCTGGTCCGTGGGTCGCACCCTTGCCGCGCTGAGCGATGTACTTGGCGGTCGCGCGGAGCTCCTCCGTGTAGGGGTTCTCCTTCTGGAAGCGCGAGGTGGCCATCACGCGCACCATCGAGCGCGGCCTGCGTGGCAACGGGCGCCCATAGCATCTCCTGGTGTTTACCGGGTGTTCTACTCCTGTCAGACCAGCGCAACCTCAAAATTTGCTCGCTGCGTCTTTGCGTGACGCTGAACAACGAATCGCGGTGCACGAAACGGACAGGACGCAGCGGAGCGCGTCGCTGCCGCTTGGCTAGGTTGCCAGCGCTGGGGAAGCATCAAGCGACGTGAAGAGCCCCGATCGGTCGCGACACGGTGCTCGGGCGGGCGCCAAGAGCTCTGAAGAAGATGAAAACTCGCGCTGCGCGATCGCACAGGGCCGGACGTACCGCTGCTGCGCGCCCTGGGCCTGCGAGCGCAGCTGGGTGCCCCTCATCGTGGCGCTGAATCCGGACATCTTGCTCAGAGAGTTGCAGGCTGTTCGTCCCCAACGGTCCGGCAGGTGGCACGCAACCGCGCCGGCGCGCGGCAACAGCTCGCCGCTGCGCGCAGGGCTGACCAGGCAGGAGGAACGCCCCTCGCGCGGCATCCGGGCAGAAAAAAACAGATGAAGAGAGTTCCTGGATACTGCAGTTCAAGTTGGCCCATCAGCGGATCGGAAAGGTCGCCCCGTGCGCACGATCATCCCCGCACGCACCCATAGCAGCCTTGCAGCAACATCATCGCCACCGCGTCCGGCGCGGCGCAGCGTGCCGCGGCCCGTGCCCCGCCCGCCAGCTGGACCGTCCTGGCACCGCAGCCCGCACCAGCGTCCGCCGCGCGCCCGCCTCAACGCTGCGCGTCGCCATCACATGCATGGAACGCAACGCCGCCCCATCACGGCGCGTCCGACCACCCCTCCTCCGCCCACACCGGCAGCGGCGCCTCGAACGCCCAGCCCTCCCCGCTGTACGCCCGCGCGTGCAGCCACAGCGGCTCCAGCTCCAGGGGGTAGTCCATCGCCGGTACCCCGGGGCAGTGCGGGCACCACTCCACCGGCTCGCACGCCCCCTCGCCGCCGCGGCCCTCCAGCGGCAGCGTCAGCGCCGCCGGCAGCTCCCCGCGCACGTCGTCGCCCTTCCGCGGCAATACACCCCCCTCCCCGGCTGCCACACCCCCCGCGCCGTCCACCCGCGCGCGCTTCGCGCTCGGCTCCGCGCCGGCGTCGTCCCGCGCCGCGAGCCGCGCCGCGCGCAGGTCCTCGAGGTCTTTCCGGCCCATCGTGCCCCCGTACAGGCTGTCGTTCGCAATGGGGTGACCCAAACTCTTCAGATGCACTCGAATCTGGTGTGTGCGGCCCGTGAGGGGGCGGCACTCCACGAGGCTCGTGCCGCGCATGTCCCCTTCCGCGGCGTCGTCGGGGCCGTCGTAGCGCAGCAGCCGGCACACCGTCGTCGCCTCACGCACGACGGTGCGGCGATCGAGGGCGTCGTCCGCCGTGGGCGAGCCGGGGGCGGTGCCGACGGCGCCGGGCGCGTGGCACATCGCGATGCCCTCGCGCGCGTCCCAGGAGAGCGCGGCGTCCGCGACGAGCTCCGCGCCGCCGCCGGGGAACCTGCCCAGCACACGCGCCACGTAGACCTTGCGCACCGACCGCTCCTCGATCTGCTCGCGGAGCCTGCTCGCGGCCTGCTTGTTCCTGCAAGGCGCCACGCGTACGACCGCCGTTCGGTCCGAAACGGCCTCGCACGAGCATGGCAGCAGCGCTGCTCCGTGGCAACACCCGGCAGCGCACACGACGAGCCGCTCGGGGGGGATGCGGGCGCACTTGGCGAGCAGGAGCAGGCCCGAGACGGGCCGGTCGAGGCGGTGCACGGGCAGGAGCGTGCCCAGGTCCGGGCGCAGCGCCGTGAGCATGCCGATGACGGTGTTTTTGTTGTACTGGCCGCAGGGGTGCACAGGGAGGCACGGCGGCTTGCACACCGCCACGACGCCGTCGCGCTCCTCGATGACCTCGACGTCCTGGTCCAGCACGGGCGGTTCGTGCCGGTGCAGGGCGTGGAATACGCGCTGCCCTTCTTTCAAAACAGGGTCGGATCCCTCCGCGTGGCCGTCGGCGCGGAGGCGCCCGACGCGCACGGCCTCCTCGTAGTACGCGCGCGGGCGCACGGAGAACTCCTGCGGACGGTGCGGGGCCGGTCGAGCGTCGTTCGGCGAGCTTGAGCGCTGACTGGTGTTGTTGTTCGCCTCCAGACGGTCTGTGGGGGCGCAAGGGACGGCGCGCGCCCTGGACGGTGCGCGTTTGGATGGTAGCGCGGTGGTTGGAGCAGGGGAGCGCGGATCGTCGACGTACGTCTGCAAACAGGTCAATGAGTTTCTTGCCAGCCCATCTCTTTTTGACGTTGGCGAAGAACTCGAAGTGGTACGGCCGGACGAAGCGCAGGCCGCCGTGGCTCATGTACGGGCTCTCCTCGCCCGCCATCCTGGCCGGGGGCCGCGGCCGCACCTCGGTGGAGGCTGCCGCTCTTGTGGAAACCGGGCTCCTCGGGCACCCGGCCCTCGAGGCCTGCGAAAACAGACAACCAAGGTTTTTCTGATCATCATAGAACATCTCTTTGACAAATTCAACGTCGTGTGGTCAATCGCGGTGCCGCTGTGGACGCAGGAGCCTGCTGGCAAGAGCGCGTAATTGCGCGCGCTGCGGTACATCAATGCGACGACTGCGGCGCCACCGCCCTCTCTACAACTTTCCAAGTGCAGATTCGCCGGAGAACGATCGAGCCCTGCAGTGCACAGCGCGTGCCCCGCCGGGCCTCACCTGGGCAGCCCCCACGGCGCGCGGAATCGTGGCGACGCGAATCGTGGTGCGACGCCGCTCCGCGTATCTCCCAGGACGGCCACGCCGCGGCTCCCGGCCGCCCCAACGACCCGTCCGCCGCGCCCACTCCGCAAAAGTACCCCCCAAACACCCCCCGCAGGATGAGGCTGCCTCGCGCGGCGGCCCTTTGGCGCGGGTTGCGCATCGCAGCGACACTCACGGCCCCCGCGCACCGCCCGGCTCGCCTAGTTCGACCTCTGCCGATCCTGTCAGGGCCGTGGGTGTGCCGGGCGCCTTTCAATTGAGGCGCGAGAGGTGGACGACAGATACCACCAGGAGTCTATCGATGCAGGCCGGGGCAGTGAGTGCACCGGCGCGCCCGTGCGGGGCGGTGTGCGGGCTGCGCAGCCTCAATGCGACGCGCACGGGCGCTCAGGCGGTGGCAGCGCGGCGCGCCGCCGGTGCGGGGAGGGGCGGAGTGAGGCGTGCGGGCGTGGTGGCGGGGGCTGGGAACGGCGCGGGCGACTTGATGCTGAGGTCGCTGAGCGACAATGGGCAGGTGTCGGTCCTGGCCGTGGACAGCACGAGGCTCGTGGCGGAGGCAGCCTCGCGGCACGGCACGGCGCCTACCGCCACGGCGGCCCTTGGGCGGGCGCTGACGGGCGCGGCGCTGCTCGGGGCGTTCCGGAAGGAGCGCGAGGCCGTTCAGCTCAACTTCAACGGGCGGGGCGAGCTGGGCTCGATGATTGTCATCGCCGACACCGCGGGTAACGCGAAGGTGTGTGTCAAAGTGCTGGCAGCTCGCCGGCCCTGCAGACACACACGTGGCTCGTTCCGCAGATCTCTGCGGCGCCCGCTTGCACATTTTACGTCCCAACGGAGATTTGATGAATCATTCTCCACGTGGTGGCCACACCCCGTCGTTTTCGACCCAAAGCCCCCCCCACGCACACACACGCCTTCTCCACGTGCCCCACGCGCGCAGGGCTACGTGACCAACCCGCACGCGGACCCCCCGCTGCGCCCCGACGGCAAGCTGAACGTCGGCGCCGCGGTCGGCACGGGCGTCCTCTCCGTCGTGCGCAGCCACCCTCTCATGAAAGAACCCTTCACGGGCGTGGTCCCGATCCGCACGGGCGAGATCGCAGAGGACATCGCGCACTACCTCGCGGACTCCGAGCAGACGCAGAGCGCCGTCGCGCTCGGCGTCAGCCTGGGCCGCGACGGCTCCGTGCTCGCCGCGGGCGGCTTCCTCCTGTCGGTGCTGCCGTTCGCGGAGGACGAGACCCTCGACCAGCTCGAGAAGAACCTCTCCGGCCTGCCGTCCGTCAGCGAGCTCCTCAAGAGCGGCGGCACGCCGGCCACGCTCACGGAGACGCTTCTGACCGGGCTGGGTCCTGTGTCCTACGTCGGGGAGCTGGCGCCGCAGTACGGCCCGTGCGACGAGGAGGACTTGAAGGTGCGGATGAAGCGCGCGGTCGCGACGCTGGGCCGCAAGGAGGTGAGGTCGATTATCGAGGAGGAGGGGTTTCTGGAGCTGACGTGCGAGTTCTGCCGCCACACGTACCGCATGGGGGACGCGGACATCGAGGAGGTGCTCATCCGCGCGGAGGAGTTCGAGTCCACGTGACGCCGTGTGAAACCGGAAGAATCTGCCCGAATGACGACCGCAGCGCGGCTCATACTTGACGGACCGTCATCATGTCGAGCATGACCGGTGCGGCGAGCGCGGCAACGCAAACGCGCGCGGTCCGTTCCTTACACCTTCCTGTCACAGCTGCCGAACCATAACGGTGGGGGGTTCGCATGACTCGCCACCTAGTCGAATGATCTTTTCAGGTGCCAAAGCCTTTATGGCTGACGACGCGAAGAATGTAACACCTCACCTCACGGGAGCTTCGTTTTCTGCGAGTCCCGGCGGCGCGGTCGCGGCGCTCAGAACCCCTGCGACGCGCACAGCTCTCCCTGGGCAAACAGCGCGCAGACCACGTTGCCAAACTCCGACCGGTGCGCGAGGAGGTCGTCGTGCGTGAGGTCGCGGAGCGCGTCCTTCCCCTCGAGCCACAGGTGCAGCGAGAAGATCTGGCAGAAGCCCTCCCACGGCGCGTCCGTGCCTCTGTCGACCATGAAGAGATGGAACATATTAATTGGCGGATACACCAAGGTGTCGATTGGAAAGACCTTGGCGAACCGGCGCACCGCGGGCTCGCCGTGCTCCGCGACGAGCGCGCGCCAGCGCTCCGTCGGCCGCCTTATCGAGTGCAGGTCGTAGTCATTCCAATCGAAGTCGTGATACGATAATACCCAGTCCCCAACCCACACAGACTGCGGCTCGGACAAGAGCACGCACGTCGCGATGCCGTGCGAGCGCTCGCCGTCGAGCGTCTGCTCGCCCGCGACGAACGCGTACCGCTGCAGGTCCGCCAGGGACCGGAACAAGACTAGGTCGGTGTCGACGTAGACCCCCCCCGCCCAGAACAGCGTCAGGATGCGGATCACGTCCGACTTGTGCGAGTACCTGCGGCGCGCGCGGAGGGCCGGGGCGGTTCACGCCGCGGGGCCTGGGACGCGTGCGTGCGCCCGCAATCGAGAACTCTCAACTGGGAATCAGCCAGCCGCATGTTTGCGTGGTGGGGAGGGCCCGCGGGCGCACATGGAGATGTTGCGGCCCATGATGGTGTCGAAGTCCGTCCACACGCAGCTGCCGAGCGCGCCCTCGCTCTGCAGCTGCGCCAGCACATGAGTGTCGGCGATAGGGTGTGTTCGGTGCAACACCACCCTCTCCACGCCCACGGCCCTCTGGGCGCCGTGCACGGCGTAGTACGCCGGGCGGCCTAGCCCCTCGTGCCGCCAGCTCGGCCCCAGGCCCCACACCTGCGCGGACAGCGCCGAAGAATTCACCGACTCACCCGGAACCACGAATCCTCGATTGTCGTCGCACGATTGGCGCAGGTGCGGCGAAGGCGGGCTGCCAGGGGCGGCGGAGGGTCGCACCATGTGCACGAGGTCGGGCACGCGCTGTCCGTGGCGGTTGGGCCGCGTGTGCGGGCGCTGGAGGATGTCTTGGCAGTTGTCAGACACGTGGGGGTCGGGAACGGGGAAGTCGTGGAGGCCGCGGTCCACGAGGGGCTGTATTGCTTCGAGGAACGCCTGGGTGGCGTTGAGGTGCTGCGTGCGCGCGTGCGCCGTGCCCAGGAAGCGCTGCGATGCGCCCGCGCCCTGCCAGGCCGTGGCGCCTGCGAAGCGGGCCGTCGCGGCTGTGATGCAGAGAAGGAGTATGATGTACATTGTCGCGACGAAGTGGGAGCTAGAATCCACGGAAACGCAACATGTCTCCGCTGTACAGGCCCCAGGCGAGGTCGCCCCCACACAGTCCGGTTCTTCCGAGACGCATGGGGCAAAATGACGCCGCGTCCCTCCGCGCCCGTCGATCTAGAGACCTAGTGCATCGCCACGTATTGGATTGAGATACCGGCGAAGCTTCCACGACCTGCGCGCCGGCTCTGGTGCACCTCACCGCTCAACAGTGCGCTGCCGACGCATGCGCCGCACCTCGCAACGCAGACGTCTGCCCGCCGGTCCCTCGTGCGCCCGTGCGCAGCGGCGCAGGCCCATTATCGCCCAGACACGGGCGCCCGTGTCCGCCCGCCTACATGCTCTACTCAGTCTGTCGAACCCGCCGCTCACGCGACAGAGGGCGCCGCGATCGCAACGCACCGCCACTGCGCGCCCCTCGCGGATGCGAAGCAGCGGCGTCGCGTACGAAATCCCGCACGCCGCGTTCCGGCGCCGTGGAGCTCAGCTCAGAGCCTTGCAGGCTAGCATCGCGCTCCGAGGCCCGGCGGGACGCAAGTGCGCGGTTCCGCCGCCGGCGCGATGCTCAGGCAGCTCACGGGTAGCCTGAGCCGCGTGTGGTCGGTCGCGGACACGCAGCCGGTCCAGGATGGGCGGGAGGAGCCCGTTGGTGACGGCGGTGAGCTAGCGGGGGTGCGCGCTGAGCTCGACAGGGCCCGCGAGGACCTGAAAGTCCGCGAGATGGAGCTCAAGAGGGTGAGTTCGCAGAAACTTCATCGAACGGACCGGGGCGTGCGCACATGAGCCGCGGCGAGCGCGCTCCGGAGCTTTGCTTCAATTCAGCGCCCGCGGACGGAGCGGCACCGGCCCCTGGACGTGCGAGAGGCCGCGTGGCTGGCATCTCTGAGCCAGTGGGCAGCGGACGGCGCTGTTTCGTCGGCTCTGTCTGCGTCCAGAGCGAGAAGCGCGGGCGCAGGAGCATTACTGAACAGCGCGCGCCTGGCGCGCGCAACGGCCTCGGCATCGCGTCTTGCATCGCGTCCTGTTGAACTCGTGCGGTGCAGGTGTGGGAGCAGGCGGAGGAGCTGAGCGCCGCGCTCGAACGCGAGCGCTCGGCGGCCCCGCCCACTGGCGACGCACACGGTGCCCCGGACGCGGCCGCCGAGGACCGCACGGCCGCGCTGCGCGCGGACCTCAGCGAGGCGCGCAGGGAGGCCGAGCAGCTGCGGCACCAGCTCCAGGAGGCCAACAGGCAAGCCCTCGCTTTCGTCTCGCTGTGCACCTTCTCTCGGCGACGCACCGTGCCATCCTCGCGCCGTTACTGGTCCAAGACGGTGCAGTTGGATCGCTGAGGGCGCTGGCATCGTGTCTGCGCGCCGGCGCAGCCAATGTGTGTGGCGCGCGTCCGGAATCGAGAATTTGCAACTCCCAAGGCGCACATCCTGTGTTTGCTTCGCAGCCGCATCTCCGAGCTACGGAGCGCTCGCGACGCCGCGGAGGATGCCGTGCGGGACGCGGAGAGGCGCCTGGCGGCCCTGGCCGAAGCCACCCTCTCCACGAGCCAGCTCCACTCCCGCGCTGCCGCCGCCGAGGCGCAGTGCACGGCCCTCGAGGCACAGCTGCGGATCGTGCGCGCCGAGAGCGCGGACCTGCGCAAGAAGCTCGAGGCCTCGCGGACCATGGCGGCCGCAAACAGCACCGCGACGAACAACGAAAGTGCGGCAGCGGACCCCGACGGCGTGTCTCTGGTGGTCCACGTGGACGGCGGGGCCTCCGCGAGGGAGATGGAGCTGGTCGCGAACGTGGGCCGGCTGGAGCGGAAGGTCAGCGTGCAGCAGCGCGGGTACGAGGCGAAGATTGCTGAGCAGGTGCGCAACGGCAGATACTGTTTTCCCTTTTCAGGTTCCCTGCTCAGACCAGGGGGGCCGGGCGCATGACGCGCGTGGCTGCTGATGCCATCGGTTGGGTGTGTGTGTGCGGGGGGGCAGAAGGCGTGTTCTGTGGCACGGAAGGTCTTGATTTGATATATGTTGGCGTGCAGGAAGTGACTATCTTCCGGCTGCGGTCGAAGCTCGAGGCGGCCGAGGCGGCCCGGCGCGCCGCGGCGACGCACCCCGCCACGCCGATCGCCAAGTCGCCCGCGGACTCCGCGGAGAGCGCAGGCACCCAGGTGCGCCCCAACCCACCAAGAACTGGAAATTCAACACCAGACACGTTTCCTCGACTGCTTTTCCACCCGCCACCTCCACCGTCGACCACCACGCTCCCCTCACTCCGCACCACGCAGGGCGTCGCGCCCTCCCCGCAGGCCCTCACCGGCGCCGCCGTCAGCGCCTACACAACCCCCCGGCAGTCCGCGCAACACACCCCCTCCCTGGCCGCCCACGTTCTCGCGGCCACGCCCTCCTCGGCAGAACCCCCGGAGCAAGCGCCACGCCGGCGCCGCCGCGGCCCGCGCCGCATTGCAGGCGCGATCGTCGCCGCCACCGTGGGCGCGGTCGGGTTTGGCGCAGCGGCAGTGGCAAAGGCCCTGGGCGGAGGGCGCGGGGCGTCGGCGGCGGCGCCGGCGGCCAAGAAAGGCTCCAAGATCGCCGTGCCGGTCGTCACGGCGAAGACGCCGAGTCCGAAGCCTAAAATGGTGATTCCGCGTCTGGCGCGGGCGTCGCCGGGTGGCAGCGCGAGCGAGGCGGCGTCGCGGCGGGGGGCGGAGGCGGGCGGCGAGGAGCGGCGCAGGTTCCTCGGGGAGCGGTCGTGAGTGCTGGCGGCGGCGGGGGCGCGCGATGGGGGCGCGGGAAGCGACGACGAGGGTTGCGGCGGGGAGGATGCGCGCTCTGGCCGCCATCTGCACGCAGATTGCTCCTTGGTGTAACGAACGATTTGTTCAACAAACGGCGCTGGTCGGGACTGCGTTGGCCAGGAAGTGGGCGGTCGAAGGAAAGGACAGCGCCGGCGTCTCGCGCCGCTGCGATCGCCGGGAGCGCTTTGGCTCGCTGAGCCACGGCGGACTACTTGGGGGCGCGCTCGAGGCCGCTGTGCGGGAGCCGCAGTCCCAAAGCCCCCACTGATTTAGAAGAGAACAGATATTTTGATATGTTGATAATAATTCATCATGGGACGGCATCTTGGACGTTCGATTGCCTCAGAGAGCGGCCCCGAACCGAGCGCCACACAGAACGAGTCTCTTCACAGCCCTTGCGACCGACCCAGCGCCTGTTCCCTCTCCCACAGTTACAACCACGTCAGTTGTGACTGTCCTCGTGCGCGGGCCCCGCGAGCGCCTCCTCGAGCACCTCGTTGGCGAGCTGGCCCTTCGGGTCCACCTCCCGGCGCCGCGCGTGGAACCGGCGGATCGGGTACTTGTTTGCGATGTAGCTGCGCAGCCACCGCCGGCGCTCCTCGCTGCTGGGCAGCTCGAGCTTGGCCCAGTGCCAGTACGCGCCGTACTTGGGCATGAGCGTGTCCTCGCACATGCGGACGTAGTCGCGGAACTTGGACGTGATCATCGCCCTGCAGGTTCGGAAAAAGGCCCACTGAGTCAGATGAGACCACAAAAAGGTTCCAAATTGGCCAAGGGCGCTGGATAGTCGAGGTCTAACGCGAGTCAGCGTGCCGAGTGCTATGCTCTTCGCGAAGGACGCGGGCGAGCGTCTCGTCTCCGCGCATCGAACGCTCTCCGCGGTGGTGTTGCTGCGCAAGGCGCAGGCGGCGTTGCATCGCTCCGCGCGCAAGCAAAAGCGGGGCGCACCTCTCAACGGGGTCCGAGGTCGGGAGGTACATGATGACCCCGATCCACGAGAACACGGTGTCCGGGTTCTCGCTGTGCGCGGGCGACATGAGCGACGACGAGCGCGCCGACCACCGCTGCTCAATCGGCGCCGGCGCCGGCACCTGCCGCCGCTCAATCTCGTCCAGCAGCTCCTCCATGTACGCAATGTCCGCGCCGGACGGGCTCTTCAGCGTCCCCGTCGGGAACGCCACCTCCAGCACCCACTGCTGTCCGCCGCAGTCAAAGCCCAGAATCTCATCCGACCACCCGATGCGGTACCCCTGCGACCGCCGCCAGAACTCCGCCTCCGCCTCGTTCACCTTGCTCACGAACCCCGTGCCCAGCGGGTTGAGCGCGAGGAGGTGGTCCCGCAGCTGCGTCGCGCTCAGCCCCAGCACGTCCTGCAGCTTGGCGTCGTTCATGCGGAGGTAGAGGTCGCGGAGGGGCTCGAGGCGCTCGGCGTCGGTGAACTCCTTCTCCGGGAAGGGCTTGGAGAACCACCCGGACCCGCGGCCGGGGATCTTGCCGTCCCTGGACTCGTTGCACTGAACGACAACCACCGTATCAGTATATGGGATCCACATGTAGCGGAGGTGCTTGTTCTCGCGGAGCCACTTGCTGTGGTTCTTCTTCACCTCCGCGCGCGTCGCCGTGAAGGTCTTCTCGAGCAGCCGGTGCGCCGGAACGCACTGCAGCGTCACCTCCGACACCACACCTAGCATTCCGAGTCCCACCTTAGTCAGCTCGAACAGCGACCCGTCCGTGGCGTCGAGCGTGATCGTGCCCTTCCCCGGCGTCACGACCTTCATCGAGACCACCTGCATGTCCACGGGCGGCAGTTTTGCGCCCGTGCCGTGCGCCGACACCTGCGTGAACCCTCCGATCTGCTGCTCGCGGATGCTGGCGTAGTTCTGCAGCGTGAGGCCGTGCGGCCGGAGCGCCTCGACGACCTCCTGCACGCGCGCGCCGGCCTGGACGGTCACGCGGTTGCGCTTCGTGTCAATCGAGAGAACCTTATCTAGTAGCGCAAGGGAGATCATGCCCTCGGACTCGAACGCGATGCCGTTCGGGGACAGCCCCGAGCCGACGGGGCGGATCTTGAGCGGGGGGTCGCGGCTGTACGCGTCCTGCGGGGCGCGCCGGGCGGTGCGTCGCGTGTGAGTGCGGAGCGGTGCGCAGGTGCTGTTGTTGATTTGGCGCGGGAGAGGGGGGCGTACCCGGACGATGCGCTCGAGCTCCTCGACGGTCTCGGGCTGGAAGAGGTTCGTCTCTACGGAGTGCGTGCCGGACCAGTTCTCGATGGTGGACGTCTCAGACGTTGGGCGGTTGGCCCTGTCCCTGCAGGGTGGCAAGGAGCGCAAAGCGGGGTGCGCGTGGGCCGGCGCATCGCGGTTTCCTGCTGTTGTCGTGTCCCGGGCGGTGCTTGGCGGCTGTTTGGGGGCGTGGGAGCGCCGGGCGTGCCATCGCTGGAGGAAATTCGTGCGCGTGCGTCGCAGAGGAGCCAGCAACGGCGCTGAAAAACGAGGACTAGCGTGTTCGGGGGATGAAGCGGCTGCAGTGCGGAGAGGTCATCGAATCGTGGACGCGCGGCGCGGCTCCACCGCCGCGAAGGGGCCAGGCTGCGGCCACAGGACGTATCACGGCGGTTCCCCGCCCATCGAGCGCGGACCGCGGCGCTCCGCCAACACCCCCGCGATATCAGCCACGTGCCCGCCCCGCACGCACCCCAGCGCCCCGCTCGCCCGTCCCACGGCGCCCGCAGCGCCGGGTGCCGCACAGGTCGAGTGCGTCGCTGCAGCACGCGTGGGGGGCCGATCGCGGCGCACACTCACTTGTCGCGGACGACTGCGTCCGTGTACAGGACGGCGCACGTCAGGAGAGACCCCCCCACGGCCCAGGGAAAAATCCTCGACCAGGGCCATCCTGTTGAAGCCGGGTCTAGGTTAGCACCGTCCTCCAGACCCTTCTTGGGGCCCTTGGGGCTGAAATCCTTCGCGACAGCGTCCTTCGGGGCGCTCTTGACCTCGAGCGCCTGCGGAGCCTGCGTCGCTCGCCCGCGCTTCGGCACTGCGCCCGGTCCGGGCTTCAGCTGCTGGAACAGAGCCGCGGCCCTCCTCGCAGCGCTGCGCATTGTCGCCGCCCGCAGCCCAGGACCCTATCTCAGGTCTTGTGCGACGCAATGGGGCGGGAAGCGGTCACCGGTGGGGCGCGGTGCAGTCAGGCCGCCCAGATGACCACACAAGCGCTGGTGTCGCGGGCCGCCCTGACGCCTGCTTGCGAACAGCTCGCTCGCACGCCGGTGCAGACTCGCCGGCGGCCCGTGCACGGCCCCGCAAGGAAACAGGAGCCGCGCGCCACCCCTTGTTTCTTAGTCGGACAGACACACCGTTGTCAGGTCCGACCCTGCGTCGTGCGGTGTCGCGAGGCGCGCCGCGACAGAGCTGTCGCCGCGTCGCCCGCCTCGCGACACTGCACGGCGCCGCGCCGTTCCTCACGTTTCCGCGCGCGCTGCGACCGCGGTGTCGGCTCAAAGAGCACGAAACGCTGTCGTGCGTCAGCGCCGGCGCCTCACGCGCCGCACCGGCGGAGGCCCGAGCGGGGAAAAACGAAACAGTAGCCCTGGGCCGTTCGATCTTGCGCGAGATAGGCGTGTCTGACCGCACGGATGCAATATGGGCTTGTTTCGGGGAGCGACCCGCGACGGAGCTGACGCGGGCCGACACGGGTCTTCCGTGCCTGTGGACGATCGTTCAGATGTTCAGCCGGTTATGACGCCGCACAACGGCGCCCGGAAGTCCCTCCTGCGCTCAGGGAGCGCCTACTCGAGCGACGAGCTTCCGAACGCGCACGCGCCCTCGTTCGCGAGCTCCTCTTCGAGCGACGACGACCGCGGCTGGGTGCTGAACGGGCCAAACGACGCGGAAGAGGCCGCATTCGCGCTCACCTACATCATCAGGACGGTCGCAGTGTCGCAGGTCGACTTTCAAAAGCTGTCCGAGCTCCCAGGCAGCCGCGTGGCGCACAGCTTGCGATCGTTCTTCAGCATGCCGAAGCCGCTCTTGACCGAACCGTGCGAAGGCACCGCGCGGAGCAGCATCGAGGAGGCCCTCAAGTGCGAGACCCCCCACCCTCGAATTCAGCTACAGCCCGCGTTCCGCGTGCGCACCGACGACGCACGACCTCGCACTGCTCCACCGCCTTCCCCAGCGCCTCGTCCATCCCCACCACCTCCCGCAGCACCTCCGGGTCGCCTCCCGCCCCGAACACCCGCGCACATCCCGGCGCGCTCGCAGGCCCACACCGCCCGACGACGCCGCCGCGCCGGCGCCCCGCTGCGTGCTCCCGCCGACGCACGCGCTGGCGCACTGGTGGACGGTGACGATGCTCGCGCTGGACTGCACCTACGTCGCTTTTCTGGTTCCCATCAGCGTAGCCTTCTCGATCCCAAACGCGCACCTCAGCACGCAGTGGGTCGCCGTCCTCGACATCATCGCCGGCCTCATGATTCTCTCGGACATCGTCATCAATTTCCGGACCGCCTTCTTCGCGACGAACGGCCTCCGCCGCGCCCTCGTAACACACCCGCGCGCCATCGCGAGGTACTACCTCAAGCACGGCAGCTTCGCGGTCGACGCGGTGTCGCTCGTCCCGTTCCCGTACACGCTGGTCGTGGGCACGCTGCAGCTGCACCACGCGGTCGACGTGTCGCCGGAGCTCGTGAGCGTCATCCAGGCCCTGCGGCTTGTGCGCTTCGTGCGCGTCGCGCGTGTCGTGCGGTTCGCGTACCTCGTCTCGCGCGAATGCAGCAACGCGCCGGCGCGCGTCCTGCGGTTCCTGTCGAGCGGCGCGGGGCTGCTCCTGCAGTTGTTCTACGGTCTCGCCATCCTGATCAACCTCCTGGGATGCATGATGTGCTTCGTGGCGAACCGGCAGGGCCTCGAGGACAGCTGGCTCAGCGAGGTCCGCGGGGAGGACTTGAGCGACTCCCCCGCCAGAATCCAGTGGTTCCTGGGGGTGTATTGGTGCGTGTTGCACAAATTGTTCTGCCCACGACGTGCGCAGCAGCGCGCGGGCTGCGACGATGCGATGCGCAGGCCGGGCTCCATGTCTGACCTGTCTTCGTGTGGCTGCGCGGCGTTTTGCGAGGTGCTGCGCGTTGTGTCGATCGCTGCAGGGCGCTGACGGCGGTGACGACAATCGGATTCGGGGAGATCACGCCGGCCACGAACGCGGAGCGAGCCGTCACGATGCTCATGGAGGTCGTCGGCGTCGCCATGTTCGCCAGTACGCCTCCGCCCCTCTGCAACAACATTCACAACTCTATAATCAATCAATTGATGTTTCCGTCGGTTGTATGTTTGTTAGGAGCCGCTCCCGTCCGCCGCGCGTGATTCCTCCGCCCCCACGCCGCGCCGCCGTCCGCAGCCATCATGGGCGCCATCACGGCGGCCATTTCGCGCGTCGGCGAGGAGAGCAGCGAGCGCCAGGAGCTGCGCAAACAACGGCAAGCACTGGAAACGATGATGCGTCGCCGGCACTTCCCCGCGTGGCTCTGCAACAGGATCCGGCTGTACCACCAGGGCCTCGTCGCGCGCGCGCACGGCGGCAGCGTCCGCGAAGACACCCTCCTGGCGCAACTCCCCAAGGCGAGCATTCATTTATTTATTACACCCCTGGGTGTTCAACATAGAAAATTCGAAACTCCCCCACCATCTTCCTGCGTCCCCGCGCACCGCCGACCCTCTGCCAGCTGCCGGCGTGCGCTGCACACCAGGGCGCCCCGCTGCGCCGGCAGCACGTGAGTGCGGTGCCAACAGTGCACCCTGCGTTGGTGTGGGCGTTGCCCGTGCAGGCCCTGCGGAGCGACATCGCGGAGGTCGTGGGCAGGGACCTGCTTCCGCGCGCCGACGCGCTGTCGGATCTGCCCGCAAGGATCCTGAGGGCCGTCGCGGGCACCCTCGAGCCCCTGGTGGTGATGCCTGGCGACGACCTGTGCTGCGAGGGGGACCAGTGCGGGTCAATGTACCTCCTGCAGGAGGGCGAAGCCGCGGTCGTGCGCGGAGGCAAGGTCCGTGCGCTCGCGCACCCACGGCCGCGCGAAGCATGTTCGCTGGCTTTCGCGTTCGACGTCGGTTCGAACACGAACGGTCCGATGCGCTCCCGGGCGAAGCCCAGCGCGTGCGGTGCGTCGCCGGCGCGTGCGAGCTCGGAGACGCCCCGACACGACGCCCGCGCCGTCGCCGTGGGTTCGCAGGTGGTGGAGATGGTGTCGGCGCCGGCGGTGCTGGGGGAGTTCGCGCTGCTGGACGCGGTGACGGACGGGTGCGGCGCAGCGCGGCCGCAGGGGTACCGCGCGGCAGCGACGTGCACGGTGTGGGAGCTGTGCGTAGCCACGCTGCGCGAAACGCTCGAGGGCGACGCGGCTGCGATGCTGTCGGTCGTGCGGAGGATGCGCCGCTTCGTGGAGAGCCGCATCCACGGCGTCCCTGAGTGCTTGCCGGCGCTGCGCAGCCTGCGGGAGCGCGAGAGCCTCCTGACAGTGCAGCTGAGTCAGGGGGGGGGGAGTTCGCGGCGGCGGATGCGGGGCGGGGAGTCGCGGGGGCAGGTGCGGGGCCGGGCATCGACGCGTGGCGCTCTCGGACGGGTGATGTTTGTATTGCTTGCTTTCGTAGTCTTGTTTTAGTGGTTGTTTGTTCGAGAATGAGTCATGGTTGGATCGTGCGTTGCAGGAGGTGAGTGGGAGCACGGTGCGGTCGCAGTCGGTGCACGCGGCGCGGTCGGACGCCACGCTCACGCCGCAGTCGGACCCCAGGACAGGCCCGACTGACAAGGTGTCCGGCGACAGCTGCGCGTGACATGGGGCGAGGGCGGCGAACCGGTCACGAACACCGGCGAGCACGGCGTCCACGCAGACGACAGGCGAGGGTAGAAGCACGTACGGGAGACAGAAAGGCGGGTCACTCGAAACGAAAATAGAGAAATAAAGACTGCAACAACATTCATCAGCAACGTAGTCACGATTCGGGCCCGTCGCGCCCTACACGAGCTGCGCTAGCAGCAGGCCGACTTCCCGCGCGATTCCCATCAGCTCCGGAAGCCCGACTTCGCGGATCCGCGCTTGCTTTTCGTCGTCGCACGTGCCGCCCATGAGCACCACCGTCCCCACGAGAGTGCCGCGCACGCGCAGCGGCACGCCGAGGTACGACCTGGCCTTGGGCCCGAAGTCCAGGTGCAGCCGCAGCGTGTCGTGATCCGGGTGCTCCGGCCCGCTCTCGAGGATCTCTTGAACTTGTGCACAAAAGCGCACGAAGCCCACGTCGACGCTCTTGACGATGTCCAGAGACTCGCCGCCCCCGAAGCTGAGCGCGCCGAAGTCCTCGTCGAACAGCGCCACCGGCTTGCTCGTCGCCAGCACCCCCTGGCAGCCCGTGGTCTTCCGCGGCAACGGCACCGGGAACCTCGCTGCGCTGAACTCCTCGCCCTCCGCGCCCGCCTCCCGCGCCTGCACAGCACCGCACCAACCACGCGCGTCCCGTCCGGGCCGCCGCGGCCGCCGCCCACGCAGCATGCACAAACCGCGGACCCTACGCCTCATATCTGTTATGGATCTGTTAATATCTGTTATGTAACTGTTAATATCTGCCACATAGATGGAACTTACCACATAAATAGGGACGTGGGCGTTCGTGTAGTCGAACAGAACGACCATGGCGCGGAGCTGCTCCGTCGCATGCAGCGCCTCCTTCATCAGCTCGACCACGTGCGCCCGCCCGGCCTCCGGCATCCCGCCGACCTTTTCGAGCAGCCCTAGTTCGCGGAACCCGCGCATTCGCTCCGCCTCGTTCCCCGCGATGGGGAACGCATGGCAAAACGCCTTGGCGTCGAACGCCTTCCCGCGCTCCTCGAAGGCGGCGGCCGTGCGCACGATGTCGGCCACGCGCGCCTCGAGCAGCGTCTCCACGTCGACGATGCGCGCTTCGAGGCGGTCGCCGAGGGACGCAACGGCGCTGTGCATCGTCGACACGCCGTCCTCGAGCTGCGCGGAGAGCACCGCGCTGCCCGGGTCCATGTCGTCGCGCAACGCCGCGAGCTTCTCCGGGTCCGCCGCGACCGCGGCCGGCCCGCCGAGGGCCTCGAGCTTCGCACGGAGCGCGCGGCTCTCGCGGAAGTCCTGCTGGAGCATCGCGGTGGTGTCGATCGCGCAGAGGGTCGAGAGGCACGAGGTGGCCTGCTGGAGGCCCGTGCGGAGCTCGTCGAACTTGCCCGCGGCGGAGAACTGCGCGGGGCGGGAAGCGGGCTGGATGCGGGGTGGGTGGTGTGGTGAGACGCACGGGGCAGGAGTTGAAGAAAAGAAAGTCGAGGAAAAAGTTGGGTGGGGACGTCGGGGGACTGAGAGTAGCACCGAGTCTGGCCTTCCGCGCGGTGGGGGGCGTTCCTACCTGGAGAAAGAGCGCAGTATATATCACGTTTGCGTTGCTGAGCTGCTTCACGAACCGCAGCGCCTCGTCCAGCAGCGTCTCGATCTTCGCTATGACATCTCTGTGCTCTGAAAGGTCCCCGGAAGCCAGGAGGATGCGCTCGACGTCCTTGAGAGTCTCTGCGAAGGCTGCAGCGTCGTCTTTGAGAGCCTTGGCGCTCCAAATGAAGCTGGCCACCGCAGCCAGTAGAGCGGCGGCCGGCGCCACGAACGGGGCCTCCTGCACGAATGATGGGATACTAATTGTTCGTCCTGCGCGAGATCTCGACCGGACAAGCGAGTATGGTGGGCGCTGCAGGCGGTTCAGGTTCCCCGTCAACTGCCACGGCATCCCCGTGCGCACCTGTGCGGCTGCCATCAGCCCCGCGCCGAGAGCGATCGCGACTGGGACTGCGCTGGCCTTGACGACGCGATTCTGAGCCGCTGCATCGTGCATGGCGACGTGGGCTTGCCCCTCGGCATGCTTGGACGCACCGCACCCCATGTCCACCCTTTCCGCCCGCGGCTGGACGTTCCGCCTCGGTCGACCCCCACGCGAGCAAGCCAAGATCAAATGCACGCAGAAAGCAAAGAATTGTTGCTCGCGCAGGCCTCTGTGCCGGCCAGCAAGCTAGTTGTATGCAGCGGTGTCAATGCAATGCAGTGCCGACGGAGGGGGCGGAACCGACTCGCCCCGCGGCTCCGTGACCACGCGGAGGGGGGGCGCGGCGAGGCATTGAGCGGCGCCCGGGGTCGCCGGCGCCGACGTCTGTCAGCCGGAGGTATAACCCAAACCTCGACGTACACCTGACGCAGGAAATGGATCGACGGGCGGGATGGTTGCCCGCAGGCGCTGGCCGCAGGCAGGGCATGCGTCGAGGCGTGGGCGTGTCGGATATGAGGCTGACGGGGGGATCGCGTATCGAGGAATTCCGGACTGGTGTGGGCCGTTGAAACGAGGGCTCCGTCTGTGCCGCAGCTCGATTGAAACGGCGCGCGCGCAGCGGTCGCGAGCTTGATAGTATTTATGAGGGCCTGGATGCGGGCGAGGGCGCCTGGAGGACCGGGAATCGTCGTCATTCTCTTGATGCTGTTTCAGCTTCAGCCGGCCCCCCTGGCGGCGGTTCACGCCGCGACGACGCGCCGAGAGTGCGAGGACTTCATCGCCGGCTTCGACCTCTCGGCCGCCCCTCGCATGATCCTCGACGACCTCAACACATGCTACTCTGGTGCGCCTGAGTCTTGAGTTGAGAATCATAATAACGATTCGATCACACTCCAGGGACGACAAGCGCGACCTCTCGGCAGCTCCTCCCCAGCGGTGCGCCATTCTCCATCCGCTCGCCGAACTTCATCCGCTCCATCCTCGCAGGTGAGGCCTCGCGGGCGTGCTGCGCGGGGCATCGCATCCTGTACGAACGGAGTCCGCTGCGAGGCTGTTTCTGCCACGAAGAGTTCGCCGACCTGGTCCTCACGGGCCTGTACGAACAGGTCGAGCGCCACCTCGTCCTCTGGGAGCTCCCACAGCCCCCCCCCGGACTGACCTACTCCCCCCTTGTGAAGGACGCGTTCCTACGAGTCCTGCACGACTGCGGAATCGCAACCTTCCGACACGCCCCCGAGCGGTGCGGCCGTGCGGACCAGGGCGATGGCGCGCCTTGAAGCTGCGCCCACGTGGCGGTACCTCACTGCAGTCTGTCTCGTGTGAACCCGCCCGTCCGACTGAGATCGCGCGGCGCTCGAGCCCATCTCTCGCGCACAGGCGCAGACAGTAGTGGACCGTTGTTTTCTGCAGTGCGTGCGTTCGTTTGGCTCCGAGAATTCCCGCTGAGGCATCGAAAGAAGTTTCAAGCGCACTGCGCTGCACGAGGCTGAAAGAAATCTCCTGGCCACGCGTGGCAAGGAGATCCTCACAATCGAGGCCTGCCGATATTGAGCCGAATTCGAGGTGCCATGGGCAGAAATCCTGGTGTTCATCTGCTGTGTGTTGTAGCCACGATCGCGCTGCTGGCGGTCTGCGCGATCACGGCGGCCAATGGGACGCGTATATCGCGTCCGCACCACGGAAGGACGAGGCGATTTTTCGTCGTGCGTGCCCGCCCGCGCTCACAACACCGTCGCACGCTCCCACGGGTTGCTCAGACTCTGTCCGGCAGACTCTCTCTCCGGCCCTCCCGCGCCTGTCCTGGCCATTGCGGTCGCTGCCACGCCAAGATCCTCTCGGCACGACCTTCGCCGCGACGTCCCTTACGTACAGATCGGCGACTGGGGCAAACACGGCAGCGACGGCCAGCGCGCAGTCGCAGCGTTGATGGAGGCCGTGGCGGGCGTCATCGAGCCGGAGTTCGTGCTGTCGACGGGCGACAACTTCTACCCCTCGGGCCTCACGAGCGCGAACGACACCGAGAACTTTGGACCTTCGTATCTGGAGGTGTACTCAACGCCGCGCCTCGCGCGCGTGCCGTGGTACGCCGTGCTAGGTGAGCGCCCGGACAACCGCGACGCGGTGCTCCATCCTGACGCGCGAGATCCGCGTAATCAACTCACGCACGCGACGCCGCGCGCGCTCGCGCGCCGCCTGAGTGTCGGAGCGGGCCTCAGCTACCCGCCGACGCCCGAACGGGTCCCGGGGCGATCGCAGGGAACCACGACTATGGCGACTCGTTGGAGAGCGATGCCATCGGCTGCAACTGGCACAAGGGCACGTGCACGGACGACTGCTGCCACAGCGCTCGTCACCAGCTCAGCGTCGCCCTCCGCGACCCCGCGACCGACCCGTACCAGCGCTGGCACTGCGAGCGGTACGTGCGTCGCTGCCCGGTGTCATGCGCTCCCAGCCAGCCAAAGAATGCGAGAATTTCTTTTCTTTTTGACTTTATTATAGTCTTTTAATTAAAGTCAGAATGCACCGTCATGCGCAGTGCTGCTGCGGTCCCGGCTGCGAGCGTGAGCAACCCACACGTGTTCGCGTCGCAGAGCGATGGACGTCGTGTTCGACGAGGACCGGGGTGCGTTGGGCGCCCCCGCGCTGCACATCCTCGGCCTCGACACGTCGCCGTTCGTGTCGTACTACCGCGACCGGCCGTGGTTCCACGGCGGCCCGGGGGGGCTCGGGGAGCAGTCCGCGGCGTCGGCAGCTGCGGAACTCGCCTCGCGGCTGGAGCGGTCGCGCGCGCCGTGGCGCCTCGTGTTCGGCCACCACCCGATCCACGCGTTCGGGAAGCATGGGTCGACGTACGACCTGCAGCGCCTCGTTGAGCCGGCGATCGAGAAATACAGTGTCCAGGCCTACTTCAACGGCCATGATCACAGCCTGCAGGTGCGCGGGACGCCCCCCGCCGGGCACGCCGCAGCCGCACGACGGTGCCGAGCACGCGCCGCACCGCGATCCCGACCGCAACGCAGGTCGTGCGGCGCAACGGCACTGCGTACGTTACGAGCGGTGCCGGCGCGAGCATCAACACCCACGGCTTCCGCTGCCCAGAGTGGGTCGAGGCGGGCGGCGACACGGCGTGCGTGTGGCGAGCTGGGACGCAGAACGGGTCGTCTGCAGTGCCGGAGGACCTTCTGCCGTCGTTCCCGGCTGCGCGGTACCTCGGGCAGCACCTCGGCTTCGTGTCCGTGTCTGTGGCGCGCGACGTCATGGAGATCCTCGTCCACTCCACCGAGGCACGCGCCCGGTCGGTCTCGACGCTCGCACGCACGCTCGCCGGGCTCGAGCGCGTCGCTGTCAACAATCACAAAATTTGCAATTTTTTTATTTATAATTTCATGTTTGTCTCCTCCACTTGATGGCTCCGGTGCTGCGCGCAGGACCCGTGCCGCCCCGTGCACCGCGAGCTCGTGCCGCGGGACCCTCGCGACAGCCCGGGCCTGGTCGCCCGGCGGGCCCGTCGTGCGTTCTGGCGACACCGAGTTGGGTTGCAGATGCTGTGTTCGGCGGGGCCGTGCGACGCGGCGGACAAGCGAGGATGCGGGCGCGGCGGCCCCGATGTGGCCGATGGCGTGGGCGCCAGGTGACCGGGGCGTGACGCCCCGGGGGGGTGTCACGTCTCGTGTCGGGCGTGGTCAGCCCGCGACGCACCGAGGTGCGACGTTGCTGCGTCGCCTGTGTGAAGGCGTGCAAGTCCTGGGCAGCTACGACCGGTCGTAGGCAGGCGAGTGACGAACGCAGACGTTCGACGCGCCTGTGTGTTGCCGAGGCCACAGTGCGCGCTGTTGCTTCGTTCCGGCGCGAGGCGCGCTGCTTGCACGTGCTGTGCGTGTGGGACACTTACCTGTAGACCCCAATCACGCTAGCCGCGACGTTCAGAGACGGAAGGGAACATGGCGGTGGCAGGAGGGCTGCGGCACACAGGGAGCCGCAGGGACCTGTTCGAGGAGGAGTTGACGACTAATGCGGTGAACCGGCTGAACAGAATGCGCGGCGCGAGCCGCATCCGGCTGCACGACGTGAGGGCGCCGGCGGTGCTGGAGGTACGGGCCCAGTTCCCCCTCCATGCTTGGCGCGCGATGTCGACGCACAACAGGCACAAAATACACCGACCTGGCGCGAATCCAAAACAGTAGGGATCAATGAGGAAGAGCGCGGGGGTTTCATACCCCACGCCTGCCTGTGGGGTGGGCTTCGTGCCAGCGTGTGGGTCGCCGCCAGCGTCGAGACGTGCGAGCCGCCCTCCGCGCACCTTGCGCGTTCGCGCTCAGCTGGAACCGCCCCAGCTTTCAACCGCAGGGGTGCATCATGAAGGACCTGACCGAGTTCATTTTCCAGACCTTCGACAAGTGCGAAGTGTTCCCTCTGCCACATGCGCGCCTCGCCAGGGCGCCCTACGACGTGTTCGCTCCACGCTCACCACTCAATCTGGCACCTTACATCCCAATACGGGCAGAGGTCCGGCACAGCGCGCCACATGTCCGCACCGGCGCGTAATTGCGCACGCTCGTTGTGCGGCACTTGTGTCGTCGCAGGAACGGGTCCGGCAGGATCGAGGGCGACGAGCTCATCGTCGCGATGCGCAGCCTCGGCCTCATCATCGAGGAGGAGCAGGTCGACGAGATCCTCGCGCAATATGACCGCGACAGGTGCGAACCACCTCGGCAGCAAACAACACCCACAACCGGCTGCAAAACGCACCTTTCCTCCTCCTTCTCGCACACGCCCACGCCGGCCACCTGCAGCCACGCCCCTGACGCCGGCCACCCGCCCAGCCGCCACGCGCCGTCCAAGTCCCCCACGCCCCCCCAGCACATGCCACAAAACACCCCGTGCTCGCTGGCCGGGCCGTGCAGGGACGGGAGCTTCGACCTGAACGAGTTCACGAAGATAGTGGAGTCCTTCGTGGTCAAGATGCACGACGCCAAGTTCGAGGAGAAGCTGCAGAAGGCCTTCAACGTCCTGGACAAGGACAACTCCGGGTTCCTCGACCGCGCCGAGCTGGAGCAGATCCTGGTCGTCAAGGGCCGCCCGCACAGCCGCCTGAAGCCCGAGGCCGCGCAGGCGCTGCTCGCCGAGTTCGATTCCAACCTGGACGGGAAGATCAGCGTCGACGAGTTGACGCGGCTCATGCTGCACGGGCACCTCGTGGGGTTCATGAAGGAGATGCACGCGCAGGGCAAGACGCTGACCAAGGCCGTTGCGCCCGAAGAGGCCAAGGCGGCCGCGACCGCGGACGGCAACGCGCCCGCGCCAATCGAGGAGGGCGACGGGGAGGGCGAGGGCGAGGGCGAGGGCGGGGAGGAGGAGTGAGGTGCGCGTCGTCGCGCGGATGCAGGCGGCTGTGAGGACGTTGAGTGGACGTGCAACCTGCGTCGTGCGTGGCGTCGAAGCACGCGCAGCGCCGCGCCTGTTGCGGGCGGCGCGTCCGGCTGCGTGCCGCGGCGACAGCAGCGCGCGTGGCTGCGTGGTCGCGCCCTTCGCGTGACGTCAGGCGTGGGCGCGCTCGCCGCGTCGACCCGGTGAGGCACGTGCTGTCGTGAGCGTTGTCTCGCCTTTACAAAACCGGTTTGAATGTCTGTGCGGACGCGCCGCTCATGTACACAGAAAACGCGTTTTGCAGCGCCGCCGGCGCCAGGTCGCGGGCACATGTGTCGCCAGGAAGGGGGGGGGTCCTCCCGCCTTCCGCGAGGTACGCCTGGCTCGCGCGGTCGCAGCGACGGGGGTCAGAGGGGGAAGTGTGTTGCGGGCAGGGATGGGCGGGGGCTGTTCTCGAAGTACACGGAGCGACAGGCGAATGAGCGAGTGTGCGAGAAGCATCATCATCATCAGCAGATCGAACGTCCTTGCGTGTTGCTGTCCACGCGAGCGCGGAGCTCTCCGTGGCTGCGTTGCGTTGCGCTGCATCTACGCGAACAGGTTGAGGCTGCTGCCGCCGCCCGGGGGCGCGAGTACGCGGGAGCTCGGGCGGTCGGTCACGAAGTTGCCCACGTTCTGCCCGTTCGGCCGCGCGTAGTTGTTCCCGGGGCCGTTGATGGCGCTCTCGCCCGGCATCGCCAGGCCCGACGCGGCGGCCGCCGCGGCCTCGCAGTCCGCGTTCGACTTGGGCAGGTCGTAGTTGTTGGCGAGGCGCTCCACCATCGAGTCCTTGCAGCCCGCGGGGTTGAGGCCGCGCGAGCGGAGCTCCACGCGGAGGTCGCGCGGCGTCATGCGCTTGAGCTCCTGCGTGAGGTCCGCCATGTGCTTGGCGTCGGCGGCGGCGGCGGCGCGCTGCTCCGCGGTGATGACGTTGTGGTTGACGGGCGCGTGCGGACCTGGAGGGGCTCCTCGCCGCGGCCGAAAATGTTGTTGTCGCCGCGGCCGCCGGGGGGCGCGATGACGCGGGACGACGGGCGGTCCGAGATGAAGTTGCCGTTGTTCTGGCCGTCGACGCGCTGGTGGTTGTTGCCCTGCGGCGCGGGGCCCTCGTCGTCGCCTGCAGGTGGGAAAAGCAGCCCTGCTGAGTGGCCGGGGCGCGGGGTGCGTGCGGGGCGGAGCGGGGCTCCGCGCGGGCGGCGCGCGGAGGAGTCGAAGTCATCTACCGATGCAACGCTGCGCGGGCGGCGTTCGGTCGGCGTGCGGGCCGCGGGCTCGACGCACGCGCAGCAGGTCCTTCGAACGCGCGTTCTCGGCGCGCGGCGGGGGACGCACCGAACAGGAAGCCGAGCTGGCTGGCGCCACCACCGTTGGACTTGCCCCTCATGGTGAAAGAGGTCGGAAAGGGACGACGAACGCGAGGAAAGTCGACCGGCTTGTTGACAGATCGTCACGTCGCTCACGTCTGCACGGGGCGCGAACCGAACGAATGCGTCGCGTCAGGGACTCGAATGAATGCGAACTTGCGTCGCAGCGCGCCGCCGCTCGCCCGGACGGCCCCGCGCGACCGCGGGCTGGCGGCAGCGGCTCACAACAGCAGGGCGTGCGGGGCCAGGGGGCACGGGGGCCGGCGTGCGGCCGGACGGCGTACCTGGGGATGTTCCCGGCGAGCTGAGGAGGCGGTGCCGGGCGCCCGCAGCGCGCTGGGCCCATGTAGCGCCGCGGCGCGCCCGGTCAGACCTGCAGGCGGACCGACGTGCGTGCACGCGCGTTTCCGCGGCGCCCGGGGCTTCTTGCGCGCCCCGAGCGGTCGCACGCGTCACACAGATTTTCCAGCTCGGCGGAGCGGCAGCACACCCTCATTTTCGAGCGAGCACGCGGACTGGCGGACGCAATCGGTGAGGCCCGTCTCTCGCGCTGCGGGCCTTCCCGGGGCGCGGCGCCGTTCCCGGATGCGCGCGCGCCCTCGTGCGTCCGCGCGCGTCGCCCTCGACGCCCGAGCGCCCTCGTGTTGCCCGTTCGTGCCCGCCCGTAGCGCTACGAGCCACAACTCAACGGTTGGCCGGCGCTCACGGCGCGGCGCGGGGGGCACGCGCCGCGAAGCCCCGCGCACAGCTCCCACACGAAGCCTAGAGGCCGGCCGCGCGGCTTGCTCCGTCTCCGCGTGACCGTGCCCCGCGGGAACGCCATGGTCGCTGCAGGGGGCAGGGCCTCCCCGAAGCGTGCAGTCACGACCCTACGCGTGCAGGTGAAGTGCGCCGCGCGTACTCCTAGGTCGGTTTGTCCGCGCAGGCCGTCGGGCGTACGCGTGCTGGAACCCAGCTGCGTCGCAGCGGGGTCCCAGAAAGGAGCAGCACGTCCCTGCGGACGCGAGGGTGCCCGGGCGCCCTTACTCGCCCTGACGCGACCGGGCCGATGTCCATCTAACGGGCAGCGCGCCAGGGGGGGGGCGCAGCCGCGTTTGACGGCCTGCGCGCGAGGCCAGCGCCTCTGAGCTTGCTGGCCTTTGTCGCCGCACGCGCGCGGCCAGCGCCTCGAGGGGCGTTCCGTCGGCGGGACCCGCGAGGAACATGTCCGGGGAAGGGCAGTACCTGCAGCTTCCGCCGGCTCATCCCCGCGGCGCCGAGCGGGCGGCGGAGCAAGGCGTGGGCACGCACAACATGGGCCCAGGAACGGCCCAGCAGCCCGCTGCGCACCAGTCTTCGCAGCCGCAGGCGCCCTCTAGCAGCAGTGCGGCGACCCTGCGCGCCGGCGCCGACGGCGCGCCGCCCGCCGGGCCCGGCGCTGCCTCAAGACACGCCCACTCTGGCAGCGCGTTCGAGGCCGCGGAGGGCGCGGCTGCGCCCTCCGAGGTGTCGTCCGAGATCGTCAGCATCGCGAGGAACACCGTCGACGACGAAATCGACGCGGACATCTTCGACGACGTCGACGACGCGGACGTAGGAGTCGTGCCCGCCAACGGAGGTGAGGACCGGCCCCGTGCTTGCCGCGGACCCACACGGCCGCAGGCGCCCCGCAGCGGCCCACGAGAGCTATGCCGCCCTTGGACGCGGCCTGCGGCGCCCCCTGGCCCCGCGCCGGCGGCGCTGCTCGGTCGTTGTTGTAGCGAAACGAAGTAGGTCGGTTCTGTGGTTGCAGGCGTGCCGGGGTGGCAGGCGAGCGGCGTGGGCGACGAGGTGGCGGGCGAGACGGACGACGAGGGCGCCGCGGGGGAGTCTGACTCGGAGCGTCTGACCACGGTGCAGAGCGAGGCGTCGACCGCGGGGGGCAAGAAAACGAAGCGGCGGACGCGGCGGAAGGGCAAGTACACGATCCGCATCAACCTCGAGGAGTGCAAGTACGAGGTGAGTGCGCCACGGACCGCCCCGCAGCGTCGCGGCGCTGAGACGCCCCCCTCGCCTGCGTGCGGCGTGGCCGTGACGGTCGCCGCGAGAGGCGCCGGCGTTGCGTGGCTGCGCGGCGCAGGTGATGCGGAGCGTCCGGAAGCAGGTCGGGTGGCGGGAGGCGTCGGGCGACCAGTGGTGGGACGTGCGGTGGGTGGACACCAGCGTGGGCCTGGAGCGCATCATGCGGCTCCGGCGGCTGCAGAAGATCAACCACTTCCACGGCATGCTCGAGATCTGTCGCAAGAACCGCATGGCGCGCAACATCCGGCGCATGCAGCGCGTCTTGCCGGACGACTTCGCCTACGTCCCCAAGACGTACATTCTGCCGGAGGACTCGAACGAGCTGGCGGACGCGATCCGGTCGCGGAGGAAGCGCACGTTCATCGTGAAGCCGGACGCGGGGTGCCAGGGCAAGGGCATCCGGCTCGTGCAGACGCAGGAGCAGCTGGCGCGCGTGCTGGCGGAGCTGGAGATGCTCGGTCAGGCCAACGTGGTGGCGCAGCGGTACCTCAGCAAGCCGCTGCTGATCAACGGGTACAAGTTCGACCTGCGGATCTACGTTTTGGTCGCCGCCGTGGACCCGCTGCGCGTGTTCATGTACGAGGACGGGCTCGTGCGGTTTGCCACGTCGCCGTACGAGGCGCCCAAGGGCGGGAACTTGGACACCGCGACGATGCACCTGACGAACTACAGCCTGAACAAGCGCACGGAGGGGTTCCAGGCCGCGTCGACGCTGGACGGCAGCGACGGCGCCAAGTGGTCGCTGTCGGCCCTGCGCGCGTGGATGAGCGGCGAGGGCCACGACTACGACAAGCTCATGGACGAGATCGGCGCGATCGCAGTCAAGACGGTCATGTCCATCCAGCCCCTCCTGCAGCACTACTACTGGTCGGCAGGTCCGCGGCCCACGCGCACGCACACGCACAGCCTTCCCGCCCGCGATTTGTCCCGCGAGGCCCGCAGCTGACGTCGCGCGCGCGCCCCCTGCCTAGCTGCAGTGCCCGCGCAGAACGACGGGTTCTCTTGCTTCGAGGTGCTCGGGCTGGACATTATGATTGACGAGTCCCTTCAACCAGTGATGATCGAGTGCAACCACTCGCCGTCGTTCTCGACCGAGTCGGACCTGGACCTACAGATCAAGGAGCGCCTCCTCCGCGACACCCTCGTCCTCGTCGACGCGGACCCGCGCCGCGCCGCGCAGGCCAAGACGCGCGAGCGCAAGGACACCGCCTCGCGGCTCCTCACGAGCAAGCCCGCGTCGCTCTCGTCCCAGATGACCGCGGAGGACGTCGCGGAGCTGCGCGCCAAGGCGCAGCGCCGGAGAGACAAGCGGGAGGCCGTGCTGCTGCCCCAGACAGGATACCAACGTGTCTACCCCGACCCGCGCCCGGAGCGCGCGGCGATGTACGAGCGCGTGATCGCGGGGTCGCGGGAGGTCTTCGAGGGCATCTCCGCGCTCGCGAAGAGCCGCGCGGGGCTGTCGAAGGCGGCGTCGAAGGCGGCGGCGGCGAAAGCGGCGCTGTCGGGGACGGTCGGGAGCGCGCCGCCGAAGCGCAAGGTGATGCTGACGATGCCGGACGGCTCGCAGGTCGTCGCGCACGACGACCCGTCGGACCAGGACAGCGACGCGGTGCTGCGCGCGCGGGCGCGGCGTGCTAGTGGCGCAGCGCTGGCGAAGCCGCCGGCGCTGCCCGCGGCGACGACGCGCGCCGCGAGCGGGCCCGGGTCGCGCCGGCCGCAGGCGAACGGCGACGGCGTGTGGACGCTGCCGACGACGGTCACGCCGCTGCTGGTCACCGGCGAGAGCCACCGCATGGTGCCCGCGCCGCAGTCGGACTCGCAGCCAAGACCCCCCCCGGAGATCGACGTCGTCGCGCAAGCGCAGTCCGCGGCGGCAGCCGCCGCGACCGCCGCGCAGCAGCACCTGGCGTCGCGCGAGTCGGCCACGATGGCCGCGGCAGCGGCACTGCTGAGCGCCGCCGTCGGGGGGCCGCTGCAGTCCGCGCGCCAGCCCGGACGGCGCTCGAGCCTCCCGGACGTCGATCCGCGGCGCGTGCTGCAGTCCAAGGCCGGCATGTCGATCACGCAGATGCAGGACAGCCTGCGCGCCGCAGGGCGCAACGCGACCCCGCCGAGCACCGGTTTGCGGCTCGCGTCGTCCCTGCCGGACACAGGCGGCCTCCTGAGCCAGCCCGAGACGCTTCCGCCGGGGCTTCCGTCCGCGATCGAGGCCCTGTTGGAACGCAGCGGCGACGCGAGCGCCCACAGCGACAAGTGGGTGCCCTCCGCCGCGCGCGACACCGGCGTGCCCCCGCGGCCCGTCGTGCGGTCGAACTCGCGCACGCGGTCGCCGAGCGAGGGGCCGCCGACGCGCAGCGCGGTGCCGCCGCAGCTGCTCTCGATCCCCACGGGCAACAGCGGGGAGTCCCTCGGGCCGCGGCAGGTCCCGAACGCGCTCAGCGCGCTGCTGCGCCGCGCGTCCTCGTCGTCGCAGAACGCCGACGGCCCGCCGGCGGCGCCGGTTCTCCTGCGGCAGCCCCCGGCGGGGGCGCCGGCCAAGCCCGCGTCGCTGCACGTGCTCAGCGACGGCAGCGGCGCGCCGGCGCCGGCCGTCCCGGCGCGCACGGACTGGATCGGCCGCGTGAGCGTGCGGACGGGGCGGACGCTGCAGCGGGCGGGGAGCGCGGGCCGCGCCGAACCGACCGCCGCGCCCAGCGCAGGAGGCAGCGCTCAGGACTCGGTGGCACTCGGGGGGCGCGCCGGCGGGGCGACCGTGGCGCTGCCCGCCGTACCGGGGAGCTCCGCGCACACGGAGGGGGGTGTTTCGGCGCCGCAGTCGCACGGCGTCGGCCATTTCCACTCCTCCGGTATGATACTGTCAGTGCCCGCGATGCCGGGGCGCACGGACCGCGGGGTGCGACGTGCGGGGTCCTCGGTCGGCCGCACGGCGCGCAGCGTGCTGGACAAGCCCCGGGGGGCGTTTGACCCGCCGTCGCTGCAGAGCGGGCTGGTTGTGGAGGGGATGGCGGGGGGGCGCTCGGGCAAGTCGTTGATAGGGGACGGCGCGCGGAGGGCGATTGCGATGCCGAACACGTCTCTGGGGCGGCGGTGAGGACTGCGTGCGCGCAGCGACGTGGCGTGCCGCGCGACCGCGGATGCGACGCGTCGCGATGCTGTGACAACGCGGACGAGGCCGCGAGCGGGTTGCCCCCGCGTGGCGCGCGTAGGTCGAGCACGATGCCGCGCTGTTCGGGAGCCTCGAAACGCGTGGCTCTGCGCGGGTGCGCTTGCTCTGTTTGCGTCGGCGTGCAACATCCGGTGCAGCGTGCGCCTTCCGTGCGGGTGTCGACTGCTGCGACTCACGGTGACCCGGGCTCGCGTGGTGCGTCTGCTTGCGCATCGAGCTAGCGTGCTGGACGCCGCCCTGTACATGCGGAGGTGAGGATGGCCTGTGGAGGTTGCTGGCGCTGCGCACAGCTGCCCGCCTGGGCGCTGCGCACAGCTCCTCGCGGCTTCTCGGCGTCGCATGCAAGCGATATGAACGAGCTTTTCGGGGATGCAGGGCTTGTCGGGCACCGACCCTCAGGGCGCCTCAGCCTGGCCCCAGTGGACCCCCAAGGGCGCCCGAAACGGCCTTGTGCGGCCTCCAAGTAAAGCTCTCGCATGTTCATCGCTTAAGGATCTCTCCGGGATCCCCTTCACGCGGTTGGGGCGTGTCGTGGCAGGGGGGTGCGGGCCTCCCCCTGTGAGCTCCTGTTGCCGCGTCGCGCGGCACTTCGAGCGTTTATCTTCGCTCATGCGGTAATCCATGCGACGTGATATATTGTGTTGCTGATGCTGACGCTACGTGCGGCTGCTTGACACGCGTGGCATCGACCATTACCATTATTATTGGCATCTTCTGCACTACCACGTTTCTCAGAAGTGGCCGCCCGCCGAAGGACTTGGAGCTCCTACAAATACATTCATCCTGTGCACACGGCGGCGCTTAGTCGTTGGTACTGGTCATATTCGTCTTTCGCCTTTTACTAAGGACGACTGAGGACCATCGACATTGATAAGCCTGAAAGAGTTTTTGGAGTCCAATCGGACCAACCCAGCGTCACTCGACGCTACCCCTCTGGAGACAACACACCGTCGTCCCGTCTCACCTCCGTGTCACCGAAACCGCACACGCACGCCGCACGTCCCGTCAGATACGCGTACGCCCGCTCGCGCCGCGTCACCGTCTCGAACTCGCGTCGCATGCCGCGCCTGCCCCTGCGCGATCGCAAGATTGCATGCCCTCCGGCTCTGCGCGGCCCCCGCCATGCTCGCTGCGGGCGCGGCACCGTGCCTGAGCGCGCCCCCGCATCCGCTCCGTGCCGCTAGCCGCCCCCTGCGCATGCGCCGTCACCAGCAGCTGCCACGCACAGCCCAGCGGGCCGCTTGCGTCGGCGCCTCACCGCCGCCGCGGCTGCGCGCGCAAGCGAACGGCCGACACACCCCGCGGTAGTCGTCGTCGTCGTCGGTCTCACAGCGCGGCGAGGCGCGTCGTCGCGTGCGTCGCTGCGCGTCTCACAGCGTGTGCTCGGGCTCCGCTGGCGGCTCGGGTCGCTTGTCGAGGACCTGGTCAATCAGCCCGAACCGCATCGCGTCCTCCGCCTTGAAGTACTTGTCGCGGTCCATCTCCCGCTCTGCAGCACGCCGAACGCGCGTCCGTCAGCGTCGCGGCGCCACCCAGCGGGCGCGTCAGTTGCAGGGGTGACGTGCGGCACGCAACGCAGCCGCCGCGGCGCCCGCTGCCCCGCGCCGCGACGCACGGCGCCTCCCCGCACCGCCAGCGCAACGCGACGCAGCCGCGCGGCCGCACGCGCCGCCTTGTGACCCAAACGATTGCGATCGGTGTTCCGGCGCGCGTGCGCGGCGGCGGGCCACGCACCGATGGTGGCGAGGTCCTGCCCCGTGAGCTTGACGTACAGCTGGTGCAGTTCGTCGCGCGTCTTGAGCAGCTCGTCGACAGCGATCTTGACGTCCGCCGCCGAGCCCTGCGCGCCCCCGAGGGGCTGGTGGATCATGATCTTCGAGTTCGGGAGCGCGCGGCGCTGCCCGGGCTCGCCGCCCGCGAGCAGGAGCGAGCCCATCGAGAAGGCACGGCCCACGACGGTGGTGTGGACGGGACACTTGATGAATTGCATGGTGTCGTAGATGGCCATGCCGGCCATGACCTCGCCGCCGGGGGAGTTGATGTAGAGCTCGATCTGCGCGGGCGGGCGCGGGGGCCGGGCGGCGTGGGCGGGCGCGGCGATGCGATGCGAAGGTGCTTGTGCAGGGGTGGTGCGGGGGCGGGCGGGCCGGCACGCGAGCCTTGGGAGCGCGAAAGCGCGGACAGAGTGGTTGGGTTGCGCGGGGATGGGGGGCGGCTGGTGCGGGGGCGGGATGCGGGCTGCCGAGGGCGGAACGGCCACCACAGGACGGCGCTCGTCCCGTGAACGCTGCTTTCGCGGCGTGCGGGGAGTAATCCGTCGTGCCGAGGCTCGCTGAGGGCGCTCCGGTGTCTCGTCCGTCAGGCTCGTGCGCGCGATGGCGTTTTTATTGCAGAAAAGCGATGTGATTCGCCGCTGAGGCTCTGAAGTTCACCAGAGGCATTCGGGGGCCGGGGGGCGCGCACGGGCTTCTCCGAGTCGTCGGCCTCGAGGAAGAGCAGCTGCGCGACGATGGAGCGGCTCGACAGCTCGTGCACGGGGCCGTAGAGCATCACGACGCGGTCGCGCAGGAGTCGGGAGTAGATGTCCATGGCCCTCTCAAACATTCCCTCCTCCCGGTCAACCACGATCGGCACGAAGTCTCTCGCCGCGACCGACGAGTGGAAGGACCTACACAGAGGCGCGAGCCGCGCGGCGAGCGATCGCAGGCCTGCCATCGCGACACCCTAGCGGTTCCCGCCTGCCACGGCCTCCGAGCAGGGGCCTCAGCGGCTCGCACGCCCTCGAACTCGCTCCTGACTCAGTTCCGCTGCTCGCACGGAAGAGTGAAAGCACGAAGGACGCAACGAACCGCCGAGTGGCGCTGCGCGCTGCCCGCGCGGCCCCGAAAGAGGCCAGTGGACGGCCTGTTCTGTCAACCTGACGCAAGCCCAGTCGCTGTCAGCCACGAACCACCGCCGACGAGCACGCAGGCTCCAGCGGCGCCGTCCACCGGCTCGCGCGCGCACCGCCCCTCCTCGGCAGCCGCTCCGTCATCCGGTGATCTCTGTTCTCCCCAAATACGATTTCTTGATCTTCGCGCCACAACATCCAAGGCACACAATCGACACGACCGCGCCCACCGGTCCCTCGAACCGCCCCCCATCTCTGCACCAGCACGCGGGCCCCACAGCACCCGACTCGCCGCACCTCACAGTCGCCGGCCTGTCACTGCCAGGAACAGGGCCATGATGAACAGACCCAGAGAGACGATCTTCTGCATGCTGTCGACATAGAAGTTCCCGGCGTCCGCGGCGACGCCCAGGTACGCGCGCAGCACGCCCAGCTGCCACGCGTACGCGAAGTAACCCCCGAACATAAGGACCAGGCCCAGACGCACCCAGAGCTCCGGCGGGGGCTGCTCGGCGTCGCCGAGCTTGGCGTCCGCGCCGCCGGGCGCCGCGGCGAGCCCCTTGCGGCACCGCGCGCGGATGTCCTCGACGATGCGGATCGTCGCCGCCTGCACCTTGCTGTCGGGCTGCGCGCCGAAGCCCTGGCACTTGGCACCGATCTCGCCGGCGAACTCGTAGAACACGCGGTACAAGTCAGACATGCCGTTGCACTCCCCCACGAGCTTCGCCGTGCGGCCCCTGCGCAGCACCGCACACCGCCGCACAGCGTCGCGCGTCGCAGGGGAGCGCGCTGCGCAGGTGGAGGTGTGGCGGGGCTGGTGGGCGGCGCACCTGCGGAGCTTGACGACGCCCTTGAAGACCTCGTTGTTGTTGTAGCAGAGCGCGAGCGTCCCGATGGCCATGATTTGCGGAATGGCGCAAAAGCGGAAGACGCGCTGGTTGCGCAGGCCCGCCATGTACTCGAAGCACTTGGGCACGTGGCCAAGCGCGCTGTTGATGAGCTCGTTCAAGCACATGACCGCGTTCTGCGATGCACCGCCCGGGACAACGCAGTGAGCGCGCAAGGCGCAGCAGCGCTGGCACGCGCGTCACGGGCCACGGCGCGCTGCCTCGTCGCCGCCGAGCGCGGTCCGCGGCGACACAAGCTCACGGCGAGGCACCGGGGGAGCGGCAGGGGGCGAGGGGGGGTGTAAACACCTCGTCAGCGGTCTTGAAGTCCTCCAGCTTCTTGGCGTACTGACGCCAGACGTCCTCGGGCCAGAACATCCTGGGCTTGGGCTCCTCGTTGATGTCTTCGAGGTAGTCCCGGATGATGTTGGTCTTTTGCAGGAAGAGCCCCATGTCGTTGCTCAGCGCCTCGAACTGCTTGCTGCCGTACACGCGCGCCTCCAGGCCCGAGGACGAGAACAGCTTCGACAGCCCGACGCCCACGAGGCCCGCGACGTAGTGGCAGTACAGGTCCCAGTCTGCACGAGCACGCACGTGCGGCACCGCCCCGTCTCACGCGCAGGAACTTGCGTACAGCGCGCACCCCGCTCGTCGTCACCTCGCCTGGCGCCGCGGCAGGCGCGCTCGCGGCAACTCACCCTGGATCGACACGACGCGCTCGTCGCGCTCGTCGCGCTCGACGAACTCGGCCATGCCCGCGCCCATGCGCTTGGTGATGTCGCGGATGACCATCTGGAACTCCCGGTCCATGTCGTTGAAGCACGCGACGACCTTGGGGTACTCGTCCATCAGGAGGAGCTCGTGCGGCTTCACGCCGGCGCCCGGGACGCGGAACTCCGGGTCCGACGTGTGGGCGTAGAACTCCCGCAGGAGGGGCAGCTTCTCGTCCGCGGGGATCTTCATGTCGTCCTCGACGGTGTCGAGCGCGCGGAGGACGAGGTAGAAGATGCACACGGCGTCGCGGAGGGGCTGCGGGCGGAGCGGGGCGCCTGCGTCAGGGCAGGGCAGCAGCACAGGGAGCAAGGGCGCTGCGGCCGTCGCGGGGGGGAGGGGTTCCGCGGACCTGGGGGAGTTCTTGGATGACGACGGCGAAGGAGCGCGAGACGCGGTTGAGCATCTCGTAGCAGAAGGCCCAGTTTGGGTCCTTGGGCAGCTGTTTAGCCCGTCTCGCAGCCAGGTACATCTGCGGGCGCGACAAACGGGGATCGAAGGCCCGCGATGAGCTTGGGCAGATCGTACCATGCACCGCGCCGCGCACGGGGGCGGGAGGCCGCGCGACCGGCGCGCACGGGCGGGCGGGCGACGTCCGCGACGCACGCCAGGGCGGTGGGGGGCGTTGCGCGCACCCTGAACAGCGGGACGATCTCGTCCGGGTGGGACAGCATCTCCCTGAGCTTGCCCATCGCCTCGAGGTTCGCGGCTGCCCGCTCAACGGAGCTGCGCCGCGGACACAGGCAGCGTCACGCCGCGGTTATCTGAGGGCCGCGTTTGCGCTGGCCAGCGGCGCTCCGCTCCGTTCCGGGGCAGACGGAGCGAGTTGAGATCACGGTGGGGGGCGCGAGTGCACGGAGGACGGTAGCTAGGCGCCGTGGGCGGCGTGCACGCGAGGCCGCTGTCCAACAGGTGCAACAGCAGGTTTGGTGCTCGCGCTGGGGCTGCGCGGCGCTGCGAGCTGGATTTCGATGCTGAGTGTGTGTGGACGCGCGAGTGGGGGTGGAGGGTCCCGCGGACGGGCCCGTGTGGCGCTGCGGGGGCGCGATCGCGGGGTGTGAAGGCGACTGTGGTCAGGTGCGTCAAGTGGCCGGTGGGGCGGCGGCGGCGAGTCGTGCGCGCTACGGGGGCGCGGGTGTGCACTTCCTCTGTCCGTGGCGTGCGCGTGAGCGGGTCGTGGGCCAGCGGGGCGAGGCATCGAGCCCATCAACCAATACTTGCTGCCTGCGCAAGCGGCGTGAGAGCGGCACGGGTCGATTCGGGCGCCTGCACGCCTCCATCCGGTCAGAGTGAGGTCGGAGACCATCGCGACAGGGCCTTCGCGCGCACCACCCAACGAGCCAAGCCCCATGAAGAGCCCAGCGCCCCATAGCAGCGCCAGCGCGCGCCCGGGCGGGACCATAGCGTGGGTACGACCCCCGCGAGCGACCGTACGCGAAATATATCACGCAGGGTCTCAATCGCCGCGTACAGATCGCCGTTCCCGGGCCGTACGCGCGACGACGAGCTGCCTCCCGGGCGCCCCGCGTTCCACGCCCTCGGGGCCGACACAGACACTGGCCGCGACGCTGCAGCACGTTCATCCACACACCGTCGCTCCAGTCCCGTCATTGAGCCCAGCTCCGCCCTCCTAGCGCCCCCCCGGCTCAATCCCACACTGCGCTGCCCTCTCTGACCTCCTCCCGGGCTCAAAGCACCCCACGTCGAAGATACGCGCGCGAACCCGAGCGTCACAGGCTCCCCTGCCGCCTCACGCAGTCACCGCGCGCTCCCCCCGTGTGCAGGACCGCCTCTCTTCGGTGCTCTGGTTTGGTTGCTTCACGCTGTCACACTTCGTCATCACGCAGACCGTCATGCAGAAGTTCCCGGTACGCACCGCGCCCGAGCGCCCCCTCCTCCCCAATCAGCGCGGCCAACCGCGCACGCACCGGCGCTCCGCGCACTCAAACGCGTCGGCGCCGCCCACGCTCCGCAGATGCCGTTCACCATCCTGGCGCTGCAAGCCGCGGCGTGCTGCGTCTTCCTCGCGGTGCCCGTGATCATCAACCGCAACACGCGATGGACGGCGGGCCTCGCGGCGTCGGCGGCCACCTCTGGCGCGCTCTTCGCCGTCCTGCACGCCCTCGTCCTGACGCTCACGGCCATCCAGGGCACGGCCACCGCCGTCGCCTGGTCGTTCTTCGCGCCGCTCGCCACGTGCATCATCGAGTCGGGCTGGTCGCGCCGCCTCGTGACCTCGGGCGCTGCGTTCGCCGTGCTCTTCCTCGCGGGAGTCAACGGCCTGATGTACTGGGTCCTCACGGCGTTCGTGCCGCTCGACTGGGAGCTCGCGCTCATGATGGTCGCCGCGAAGGCGGCCACGCACTTCAACATGCGCCTGACGGCGGTGTCGGTCCCCGGCGCCGAGTCCGCGAAGTCCTTCCTGACGGCGCTGGCGCTCTGGGGCGTCGTGACGCTGTCGGGCTGGGTCACGGGGGAGTTCGCGGGGCCCGCGCAGGCCGCGTTCGGGCAGTCGGTGCTGTCCGCCGGCCCTCTGATGCTATACTCCCTCGTGGGGGGGCTCGCCGCGGCGGCCGCGCTCGTCCAGGGGTACCGCGTCCGCGCGATGATCTCCGCGACCGAGGCGTCCGTCGCGGTCAACATCTGCGCGGGCATCGGGCCGCTCCTGAACACCATGCTCCTGTCGCCCTCCGCCTGCGTGACGCTCGTGTCGGCGGTCGCGTGCCTGTGCTTCTTCGCGAAGACCATGGTCGAGCGCCCCGCGACCGCCGCGATCGCGATGGGCGCCGTCGACGACGAGGAGTCGCAGGGCCTCGTCCAGGAGAAGCTGGCGTCGCAGGCGACGCACGATGTCCCGCGGAAGCTCACGCTCGCCGCGGGGGGGCTCGCGGCGCTCTCGACGGTCCTCACGGGCCTCGCGGTGCACGCGGAGGGCTGGCCGCTGCGCGGGGTCCACGAGGCCGGGGTCGTGTTCGGTCCGCAGGCGCTGACGGAGGGGCACGAGCTGCAGCGGGACGGGACGGACGGGAACACGGCGCCGGTGATGGCGCAGCCGTTCTTGGCGACGAAGGCGGCGAAGGCGGCGGCGCGGGCGCGCGAGTGGGAGGTGATTCGCGCTGCGAACGTGGCCACGCGCGCGGCGCGCGCCACGGCCATGGCGGAGACGCTGGCCGCCAGGGCGACGGCGATCGCGGAGACGAGGGCGGCGGAGGCCGCGGCCGCGGCCGAGACCGCTGCGGCGGAGGCGACGGCCGCCGCGCTGGCGCGGCGGAAGCGACGGCCGCGGCGGAGGCCGCGGCGGCGGCCGAGGCCACTGCTGCGGCGGAGGCCACGGCTGCCGCGAAGGCCGCGGCGGGCGAGACGGAGGAGGAGGACGAGGCGGACATGGAGGAGGAGGAGGAGGAGGAGGAGGAGGAGGAGGAGGAGGAGACTCCGAAGCCGAAGGGGAAGAAGACGAAGAAGTCCAAGTCAAAATCGAAGAAAAAGAAGAAGTCTTCGAAGGACGAGGACGAGGACGAGGACGAGGACGAGGACGAGGAGGACGAGGAGGAGGACTGAGGTGTTTTTTTTTCCCTGGGAGCACTGTCTGCCTGCGGCCACAGTGACCAGGAGGGCCAAGGGCAACGGCAGGGGGGGAGTCCCCGAACGGCAGGGGGCGAGTCCCCGAACGGCAGGGGGCGAGTCCCCGAACGGCAGGGGGGGAGTCCCCGAACGCGGCACAGCAAGGGATGCCGAGGCCCGGACACGAGCAGGGGTCCCGAAGTGATTGTGACTGACAACGAAGCGCGCGCGCCTCGTGATCGGAACACATGCATGACAGCGGGAGTGGGGGTGTGTTGATGCAGCGATGACCGAAGGGCTGCTCTCGCGCCCGTGCGGCGACGGAGCCTCGCGGCGTCGCGAACGGTCGGAGTCCCGTTTCCCGTGTTTCACGTCTCTATCACCCCGACAACAACCGTCACGTGCGCTGCTCTTCACAGGCGTCGCGCTGCTAGCTGTTCGCGGCGACCCACTCCGCGATCCACTCCGCGTTCGCCTCCACCTCCTCCACCTTGTCGCTGCGGAGGTACTTGACGATCTCCGGCTTGTATGAGTCGGACGCCTCCTCTGCAACAACCATGAAGATCTCCGCCTCCACGTTCTCCTTGACCTTCGCCTCCGGGTACCCGCGCCGCTCCAAGCGGCCCCACAGCTCCGTGTTGTCCGTCTGGAGCACCACGACCAGCTGGAACCACCTGCGGACCCGAAGCGCGCTGCCCGGCTCTCACGTTGCCTCACCGCCCCTTCGACGCGATTCCCGGCGCACGGGCGGCTTTGGGAGCGTGGGCGTTGCTCTAGATCGGGGCTTCTGTGGATGTGTGGGCCCGGGACGCGTGTTTCGAGGAACGTCGCCTTCGTGGTGGTGCGAAACGTGGCCGTACCTTTCTGGGAAGAAGTCGCACCCGTGGTGGTCCACGACGTTGCCGCCCTCGCCCAAAAGAGGCTCGAGTTCGTCCACGACCTTGTCTTCGTCGATGATGAAGCTCTGGTGCTCCTGGTCCCAGCCCTGCGGCGGCGCAGCGCGCGTGGAGCCGTCGGACGGCTGCGGCGGTCGCGCCGAGCGGCAGGAGCCCGGAAGCCACGCACGGGAGGGGGGTTCCGGCCGAATGCCCGGCGCGCGCGCGGACCTGGTGCAGTTCCTTGTCCTTGACCCACTGTCCGACGTTGATGTGGCGCAGGCCCGTCATGCTGGCGACGAGCTCGGCCAGCGTGGTCTTTCCGGTGCCGGGCGTGCCCGTGATCAAAATATTCGGACCTCCCATGGCCTACGACCTTCTATACACCGCTACCCGTCCGCAGCGTGACGACCATGCGGCTGACCGAGGCGACAGGACAGCGCAGCGGTGGCTGTTGCTATGCACACTCTGCGGGCTTCGCGAGAGCAAGGCCTGTGCGTTCAGCAGCGCGCCCCGCGTCCGACTCGATGCTGCAGGTCCGCATCTACCCGCCACGCACGCCGCCGCGGCCCTGCCATCCCACGCCAGCAGCCACGTCACTGACTCATCAAGTATAACAAGTATCAAGTAGAACAACCGCTTGCCACGTCAGGCCCCGCCGACAGCTCGCACCGCCGCGCAGACGCCATCAGTCTGTGTCGTGCGCGGCCCGCTTGCGCCGCTCGGCCTCCCCCGCGCCGTCCCCGTCGTCGTCCCCCTCGCCAGCACTCCCCGCGTCCTCGTCGTCCAACTTGCGCTTCCGCGTCGGCACCACCGCCTGCACTGCCTCCGCCCAGCTGCCCGCCTCCTGCACCGCGCATCGCACAGCGATCGAAGCCGCGTCGACGCCCCCTAGCATCGAGGTGCTGCGTCGCGCAACTCTCGGCGCGGTGACGCTCGGCGCCGCGCATGTGGCGCACAGGCGGGCGGAACGCGGACTCCCCGCGCCCCGCCTTGTCGGGAGAGTGTCGTACCTGGTAGCGTATGAGCATTTCCATGACGTGGTTGACGGTCAGCACGTGCGTGCCCTTCATCTCCGCGAGGTGCTCGCGGATGGGCAGCTTCGCCGCCTGCACGCCCAGCTCCTTCGCCCGCTCCAGGCAGATGCCCTGCGCGGCGCAACACGACGGAACCAAGCTGCCAACATCAGCCGCAAAACGCAAATCATCGATTCACCTCCACGCCCGTGCTGTTCCGCCCGGGCTCTCCGCGCCGCCGCGCACGCACCTTGTGCTTGTTCCTGTCCACCATTCCCCCAATCACATATACTTTCCCCTTCTCCAGCGTCTCCAGAGTGTCCTCTGCGTCGGCGGTCAGGTACACCACCTGGCCCGCGCGGTCCGCGAACGCCGCGCCCACGCCGCCCTCGTGCTTCGTCACGCACCAGTTGTCCACCCCGGACAGCCGCTGCACGACGCTCTGCGCGTCCGACCCGGGCGCCAGGCCTGCAAGGTGCAAGTGCAGCGGCGTGGCTGCGCGGGAGTTGGCCGAGTAGCAGTACGACACCTGCTGCGCGAGGGAGCGCAGGCCGCGGTCGTTGTGCAGGCCCGGCCAGTCGAGGTCGATGCACACGTCGATGCCGTCGGTCAGACTGCGCCTGACGCGGGCCCGCCGCTGGTCCTCCTCCGCGCGCAGCTGCCGACGGTGCTCCGCCGCGGCCTTCCGCCGCTCCTCGCGCTCCTCCTCCGTCAGCGCCGCGAACTCCGCGTCCCGCGCCGCGCGCTTCGCCTCCCTGCGCGGCCGCAACAATGGTAGACATCATTTCACGACTCACGCGCGAAGGAAGCTCTCGACTCCAGCGCCCGCCCGGGCCCGCACAGCCACGGCAACCACGCACGGTCGCTGCGCTCGGTGCGCATCCGTCGCACCTCGCCCGGGCCTTCTTTTCTCTGTCATGCTGTTTTCGCTCCTTCCTGCGCTGCTCCCAAAGCAGCTGCTTGCGCAGCTTCTTCTGCGCGTTCTTCGAGAGCGGCTGGCCGTCGGGGCCGGTCGTCGGAACCGCGACGTCCGCCGCACCTGGCGCCACGGGCGCGCCGGTGGGCCCGCCGGCACTCTCGTCGCCCTCCTTTGCGCTCATTCCCAGCGCAGACATCCGCGTGGCAGCGAGTGTCCAGAGCGTCTTCTGGCCGGAGCGATGAAATGGACCGTGGAACAGTGCCCAGGGGCGCGCCGTCGGCCGTGCTAGGCTGCCAGAGCAGCAGGCAGCGATGCGAACAGATCCCCTGGACAACGCAGTGCCCATGGAGACGGGGAGACGCTCCCCGATCGCCCCAGAAACACCTGTCGCCGACCAGGGCCGATGGTTGACGCGGGAGGCGCACGAGTCTCCCGCCAGGAGGTGACAAGAAGTCCTTCTCGACTGTTTTGGGGCTTTTCCGCGCAGTTGTGGCCCGGACTGGGAGCACGCAGGACCGTATGGATCACCTGCGATGCGGTGCGACCAGATTACGGAGCTATACTGCACCGGGTTGCTTCGCAGGGTCACTGAGAGCGCCCCACCAAGCTCCCTCCGTCAGGCGCCCATGAAACAATGATTCAACGGTTTCTACGATGCTGGCCGTGCACCGCAATCACGGTATGCGAGTGAGCACCCCAGGCGCACCGGAGCGCCCTTCACTGACGCACACGCCGGACCCATTGGTGCACTCCCCTGGGAGGAGTCCCCGCACGCCGGCGAGCCGCGCGCACGAGGCCCTGCGACGCCGGCGTGTGCATCATCATCATCATCTATCTCAAGCATGTTCGTCGGCGTCGGGGCAGCGTTGTGAGGGCTTGGAGTGGCCCCCAGAAGGGCATTGGTGTCTCGTTCGTCGGACTGGCGAGGCAGACGGCCGCCGCACATAGGCAGCGTGTGCACTGGGTGGTACAGAGTGTCTCGCGATGCTGGGAGGGCGCGCTCCGGGGACGTTCGCGCGGGCTCCGCCCAGCAACTGGGGCCCGGTCGGAGCCCTGGGCGAGGGCCCGTTCCGGCGGCTCCCGAAGTGGGTCTACGGCGTGCTCGCCATCGTCGGTATCGCGGTGGCGCGCTGGGTGTTCTTTGCGGGCCCACCGCCCCCGGGAGGGAACGCTCCGATCCCTGCCTACGATGGCGCCCCGGGCTCCGACGAGGCCTTCCACGGCCAAGCGAGCGTCCGCCGGGCCGCGAGCACGTTCAAGTGGGCGCGGGAGGCCCCGCGCATGGACCCTGCGCGGATACGCAAGGCGAAGGCGCCCAAGGACGGCAGCGGCCACCTCACGGTGGGGTCGATGGAGAAACCGGACGAAGGACTGCTCAAGGGCTTCTACGAGCGGCCCGAGTGCATGCACTGGGCCCAGAGCGCGGCGTTCGTGGGCGGTGGCTCGCGGTCGCACATCACCACCGCCGAGGGGCGCGTGGTCACCTCCCACGTGGACGCGCGATCAGGTGTGCGCTCCGCTGCCAGCGCGGCCGTCGTGCAATGGCGCGTGAGAACGGTGCCCGCGGCCCCGCGGTCGCGCGCGGCGCGGACGCGACGCGCTCCGGGCCGATCTTGCCAGGTCACACGCACATACTTTGCTGCCGCCCTCGTGCGTCGTTGCTGTGCAGGCAGGACGTCCGTGTACGTGTACGCGATGGACCCGAACGTCGCAGCGTGGACGGAGTCCCAGCTCGAGGACGTTCAGATCCTTCGCGGTGCGCAGCGCACGTAATTTCATGTGCATCGTTCACGTTCCACGCCGGCACGCAAAGCGCTCGTGCCGGCCCGTTTCGCCCACGAGTGGCACGGCGAGCTTGCTCCGCGTGTGCGCGCAGGGCACGGCACGCCGAGGTGGCACCGGTGGGGCGAGTCGATGGCTGCGGGCGGCAACAGATTGGCGGTGACCAGCCGCATCTCCTGGTGCCGCGATCTCCCCGGGGCGGAGGGCGACGACGCCGAGCGCGCGAAGGCGCCGAGCACCTGCTTCAGTGAGTGTCCCCGCGAACGCTCGCCCGCACGCCGGCGCATCTGACACGCGGATTGCGTTGTCGACCCTACGCATCGCGGGAACGCTCTTGCGCGTGCAGTTGAGTCGCGCGTGGTGCTGTTCGAGTGGCAGGAGAAGCGCAACGAGTACGTGCTGCTCGCGGTGTCGGAGAACCTGGCCGAGCAGGGGGAGGACGAGGACCAGTCGGACAGCGTGGCGCAGGATGGTGGGCCGATTGACAGCAAGGGCGCGGTGCAGGTGCGGCTGTCCGAGGAGGGCATGATCACGGTGCAGGACGGCAACATCAAGCTGTGGGAGTGGCCCAAGGCCGGCTCCGCGCCGGAGGTGACGGAGGAGGTCCTGCACGACGACACGCACGAGGTGATTGACGCCGATCTACACAGGGACGTGCTGGTGGTCGTGCTGAAGCTTTCGAAGCTCTCAGGTGCGTGTGCTGGGTCGGAGGGGGCTGCGCGAGCGCGGGCTGGTCGGTCGCGGGCAGCCACGACTGTTGCGAGGTGGAAACAGATGTGTTTTGACGACTGGATTTGGATTGTTGTTGTGTGTTTGCGTTCGATGGCCGAGGCCGCGTGGTGGTTCGTGCGGCTGCGGCGCAGATCTGTGCGAGCAGTACCGCGTGCACGAGAGCGAGGAGCAGCCCAAGTCGTGGGGCGTCATCGGCGGGCGCCCGAAGATCCAGCCCCAATGGTGCAGCTCCTACGTTCAAGTATACCTCAAGGACGGCGACAAGTGGCGCCCGAACCAAGTGCTGCTCCCGAAGACCCGCGACTACGGCGGCAACCTCCACGCGGCCATCGGGGACGGCCTCATCGCCGTCGGGGAGCCCGAGGGCGACGCGGGCACCTTCACCGACTCGGGCCGCGTCGTCGTGTGGGCGCGCGGGCGCGGGATGAGCTACCGCAAGTGGCTCGTGCAGGCGGTGGTGTCCGCGGACGCGAACTCCGCGCACGGTTCCGGCTCGATGGACGGGTTCGGGCAGGACGTGGCCATTCAGGGGTCGCAGACGCTGGTGGTGGGCGCGCAGGACTTGTACGGGCAGGGGATCGTGTACGCGTTCGAGCTGGACCGGTCCGGGGGGTGGCAGGAGACGGCGAACTTCGTGTCGACGCCGCAGGCGCTGCTGTCGACCGAGGACATTTCGCTGTCGGGCGACCGGCTGCTGGTGCGGTGCGACTGGCCGGCGGCGCGGGTGTTTGTGTTCGACGCCGTGCGGGACAACTGCCCGCCGCTGCCGGAGACGACGACGCCGCCGGCGGCGGAGGCGCGGGCGGGCGCGGACTCGCGTCAGGGGGCGCGGTGAGGGGGTTGCGCGAGCGCGTGTGCTTGTGATGCTTGCAGGGTTGGGACGTGACGCGTGGGGGTCGCTTCGCTGTCACCGTCGTTGGCACGCCGGGGTCGGCGGCGGACGTGGTCGATCAAGCAAGGAGGCGCGGCTGTTGGAGTGGTTTTGGTTTTGGTGCCTGTTGCGGCACGCGGTGTGGCCTCGCCGAGCCGCCGAAGACGTCGACTAGCCCCGGCGCTGCTGAATTAGCGAATCCCCGGAGGTAGGTCTCGGCAGCAGCGGAGCGGAGTGGCGCCCCTTCTAGCTCGATAGATTTGCGGCACTGCAATGCTGCAAGCCCGCCCAGGCGAACTGCGCATCTACAGAGCAAAAATAGGCTCACCTCGCCCAGCTGGTGCCAAGCGTCGCGGCCGTGAGCGCCATCGCGGCCTGCGGAGGCACACAACCTTCATCTCCTGCACATGGATAGGATTGCACGGGTGGGCGGCGTCACCGGAGATCGGCTGCAGCGTCTGCGCGGATGGCGGCTTGCCAAGCAGCGCAGGCTGAGAGACGATGCGGCGCAGGCGGCGGCAGGAGCACGAACGAGCGATCTCGGGCAAGCGACGGGATTTGAGGTCGACGGCGCGCGCCGCGGGGTGAGACCGCCCTGCTTCCGGCCCCCCGCGACACTGCTGATGCCCACGGCGCGGCCGTCGGTCGGACCAGCGAGCGGGGACGACTTGCAAGCTCAAGCGCGCTTCTCTCACCGCCACGGGATCGGGAAGCCTTCTGAATCCCGCTTCCGCGTTTGACAAATTCTATCTTACAATGTCGCTGCGCGCTGCAGGCCAACAGCCGTCACGCGGGCGTCTGCCGCCGGCCAGCAGGTCTCGGTAGAAACCTTGGGGACGTCGAATCGATTTCGACGATGTCAGGGGGCGCCCGGGCACCGAACGAGCCGTTCGCGCGACAACACGGGCTCGAGCGGAGCGGCTGCGGCAGTCTGGGTGAACGGAAGCTTGGTTGACTTGATTGTTCGCGCGCTCTTTCTCAGTATCTCTCTGTCTCAGGCCGCGGCTGGTTTTACCGCGTGTTCTTTCCCTCGTCCTGGACACGGGCTGCCAGGCTGGACCGTGTGGCTATGAACGGGCACGGCGAGAAGGAGGAACGACCGAATGGGGACGTTGCGGGCGCTGAGGACGCGGCCGCGGTCCAGCGATCGTGGGCCGCGGCGTTCTGGCAGCAGCTGTGCGCCCTGCTGCGCAAACACTGGCTGACGAGGTGGGAAATATTCCAGCAACATGCTCACCAGACACAAACGCCGCCCCACCCGCGAGCGCCGCGCTACCACCGATCGACTTGCCCCACATCGTCTCTGTGCAGATCCCGCGCCCGGCAGGTCAACGTGCTGCAGCTGATCCAGGCTCCGCTGTTCATGTTCGTCGTGTGGGTCATCGTGAGGAGCATCCTGCAGTCCAACCGCCTCACGCCGGGCATCCAGGACAACCCGAATCCTCCTGGTGAGCACAAACACAAACACCCCCGACGACGCGGCAAGACATGCACGCACGACCTCACCACGCCACCCGGCCGTACAAGGTCCACCCTGTCTATTCCTCCCGTGCCCCCACGCCGGTCCAGCCCCGCTGCCAGCCCGACACAAGGCAGCCTCATCCCGCGTCGTATACCACGGCCGCTTCCGTCACGCTACCTCATGGCATCGCCCGGCTCACGCCGACCGCTGGTTCCTTCCTCCACGCTCTCGCAGCCAAGCCGATCGGCGGGATACCGGACTGCACCTCGAACGTGTATCTGCGGCGCGACCGCGCGTGCCTGGACTTCATTTACTCCCCCGCCGGACACCCCTTCGTCGAGGACCTCGTGCGCGACATCCGGCGCGCCAACCCCGGCGCCGCCATCCCCGAGGAGCGCGTCCGCGGCGTGTCTGACATGTGGGCGGCGGACGACTTCCTACTGGCCAACTGGGGGACTGTTCTGGGGGGGCTGCACTTCGTCCTCCCGGACGACCTCGCGGGGCTGCAGCCCGGGGACGCGTACAACGCGTCCGCCGTCCAGGACGTCGGCTTCGTCGTGCAGACGAACAGCACGACTCAATGGTTCAAGGGCCAGTTTCAGCACCCGAACTCGTACGCGCAGCTGCCGCTGCAGCTCGCGGCGGAGTCGGCGCTGTACCGCGCCATGACGGGGCAGCACGGGGCGGACGGCGAGGCGCACCAGCCGTTCAAGATCGCTCTGGCGGAGTTCCCGGCGCCGGTGTTGGTGACGGGGAACATCGAGGGGCAAACGGCGCCGATCTTCGTGTTCGCGAGCGCCATGTTCAACCTGGTTATCGTGCTGTACGGCGTCGTGCAGGAGCGCCACCTCGGCCTGCGCTCGGGTACGCAACCGTCACGCAAACCTCTCAACAACGGCCGCCGCTTGTCGGCGCAGCGCGCATGCGGTCCGCAGCACTGCGCGCCCGCCGACTCGATGCAGCGTGTCGGTGCTTGCAAGCCTCGCCCCTTCTCGCTGAAACACCGAATCTCCTCCCTTTCCTCCATTCAACAATGCCTTCCTCCTGCCTATGTTATTCATTGAGCTTCGTGCCCACGCACGGCGCGCGCACCACAGAATCGCCAACACCGCTACTTCCCTGCCTTTTCTGTGGCGCAGCGATGCGGGACATGGGCCTGCTCGACAGCGCCTACTGGGCGTCGTGGTGGATTGCGGAGTCCGCGTACGCGGTCCTGTCCGCGTGCCTGATCGTCGCGCTGGGCCACGCCTTCTCCTTCTCCATCTTCACCGGCAACTCCACCGCGCTCGTGCTCCCGCTCGTCGTCCTGTACTACCTGGCCGTCGTGGCCTTCGGCTTCCTGCTCGCGACACTGCTGCGCAAACCGGGCGCCACCGTGCCCGTCGGGTTCGTCGCGTTCTTCCTCGGCTGGATCATGATCGTGGTAAGTGTCGCGCGCGCGCTGCCGCCGTGGCGCTGCGGCGGCTGCCGATGGGCGCTCACACACAAAAAAACAAAGTTGTGCGCTGCCTCGTAGCACCTCAGCAGGATCCTCGGCCACTCGAACGCCGAGGACCATGCTGAGGTCCTGCTAGTCCGCGTGCTACCTCGCGTCCAAGCTGCTCCCTCCCACTGGCAGTCGCTGCACCGCATGACTGACTCCTCACCCGCGCCGGGCAGCAGAGGGCCTTTGAAACACCCCCCCCGCCGGGTTCTCCGCCGCCGCAGGTCGTCAACCTCTTCGCGACCACGGGCATCACGAGCCTCCCGCGCGCCGCCCTCGGCGTCCTGTTCGCCTTCCCATGGACGGTGCTCGGCAAGTCGTTTGTGGACCTCGACGAAGCAGCCTCGGGATCCGGCGCCAGCGGCGGCCTCACCTGGGCCAACCGCATCTCGTACTGCGTCTCCGACGCCCCCACGGTGGACATGCTCGCCGGAATGGACGCCCAGGGGACATACGTGTCGACGCAATGCGTCCTGCCGGTCGGCGACGCGCTCTGGGTGCTCGCGGTGCAAGCTGTCGGGTTCCTCGTGCTCTCGCTGTACCTGGACAACGTCCTGCCGGACCAGTTCGGCATGCGGCGGGGGCTGTTCTACTTTCTCCAACCGTCGTACTGGCGTGAACCGGAAGGGACCGCGCGCTCCCGCGCGGCCGGCCGCGCGGCGCTGCGGGACGCGGGGGAGCGCGAGGCTCCGAAGGACGCGGCCGTCGCGCGCGAGGAGGCGCGGATGCAGGCGCGGTGCCGTGCGTACTGCAGGGGCCCGCTGGCGCCGAGCGCTGATGATGCGAGCGCGGGCGCGGGGCGGAACACGGCCGAGGCGCCGGTGATCGAGCTGTTCGGACTGTCGAAGGAGTACTCCGTGCGCGCAAAGGTGGGACTCCGTGAATGCGCCTGCGGCTGCGCGTCTGTTGCCTGCAGTGTGTTTGAACCGCTGTTCCGAGGCCGCGGCCGTGTTGTTCGTCGACGCGTTTCCGGTCCATAAAGACAGCAACGATCTGTGGCGGCGGTCTGGCTACCAAGCGGCGGCAGCACACTTCGCCGCTGTGCACACTCCGGTGTATACCTGAACATGTGCACCGTTGCAGCCGTCTCGTCCGCGCAGTCGCTGACTCGCGCCGCCAGCTCCCGTCGTCGCAGGGCCAGCGTTCCACGATGCGCGCCGTCGACGGCACCTGGCTCGGCGTCCAGTCGGGCACGTGCTTCTGCCTCCTTGGCCACAACGGCGCAGGGAAAACAACAACCATCTCATGTACGTCGCGCAATAATACGACCCCCCCTCTCCTCCTCGCTGGTCCACTGCTGCCGAACACTCACGACGACACTCCCTGCCACAACCCCCCCACCGTTGACTGACATACTGCAGGTCTGACCGGCGCCATCGCTCCGTCGTCCGGCGACGCTCTCGTCCACGGGGAGTCCATCCTCACGCCTGCGCTCTCGCACATCCGCTCCGCCATGGGCGTGTGTCCCCAGTTCGACGTGCTATGGGCCACGCTCACCGGCGACGAGCACCTAAAGCTCTTTTCAGCGATCAAAGGCGTGCCGCGGCGCCTCTGGACCACGGAGGCCGCGCGCCTGCTGGCCCTCGTCGGCCTCGAGCGCGCCGCGCGGCAGTACGCGGGCGGGTACTCTGGCGGCATGCGGCGGCGTCTGTCGGTTGCCGTGGCGCTGCTGGGGTCGCCCAAGGTGATCTATCTCGACGAGTGCACGACGGGGATGGATCCTGTGTCGCGGCGGCACGTGTGGGAGCTGATTCACCGCGTCAAGAAGGGCCGGGTCGTCATCTTGACGACACACTCGATGGAGGAAGCTGATGTGCTTGGCGACACGATTGCCATCATGGCGCGCGGACGGATCCGCGCGCTCGGGTCGTCGCTGGAGCTGAAGGGCGCGTATGGCTCCGGGTTCGCCGTCTCCGTGGTTCTGAAGCCCCCCGGCGAGTCAGGGGGCGGAGGCAACGTTGCCGCTGACGTGGGCGCCGTGGTGGCGCGGGCGATGGGCGGCCTGAAGCCGACCGAGTCGAGCGCGCGGCTCGTGCGGTACCACGTGCCCGCAGGGATGCAGAGCGACCTGCACGAGCTCGTCCGAGTCCTGGAGGAACAGCCGCAAGTCAACGATGTTCAAATCTCGATGGCGCCGCTGGAGGACGTCTTTTTGGCGGTCACGCGGCGTGCAGAGCTCGAGGCAGCGCAGGACGCGGGCGACATGGCCGACGCGTGGCTCCCAGCCGTGGAGGGGGTGTCTGGTGACACCCCCGGGGGAGCTGCGGTGCCCGGGACGCGCGTCAGGGTGCGTGTCGGGGAGGAGCGCGTGCGCGGGCCCGACGGGACGGTGTATGGGCTCACGTGGGGCCAGGACGAGATGGGGCAGCTCAAGCTGCACGACGTGGCGCCCCTCAGCGCTCAACAGCTGTCAGCAATGCAACAAGACCCCTCCGGTGGCGTGAAAGACGCCGTCGCCGCGGGAGGCAGTGCGGCGGCGTGTGCGCTCCCGGTCTCGTCTCAGCCGCCGCGGCGCGACTCGGACACCCCCCCTGCCTCGCGGTGGTGGCAGCGGGCGCACGCGACGTCGCCGAAAGTGCGCCGCGGGCGTGCCGGACGGCCCCCGCCGGTCCGGGTCGGAACGCTGAAGCAGCACATCCCTCCGACGGCGTCGAACGTCGCGGCGCTGCCGATTCCGGCCCCGCCTGTGCCTGCGGCCACCCCGATGGGGGAGCGCGCGGACAACAGGTTCGAAGACGCGGCGGTGGTGCCCGACGACCCCCCCTCGAGCCCCGGGACCCCTGTGGCGCAGACGCAGAGGTCGGGTGCGCTGCACAGGATGCGGTCGGCGACGACGAGCAGCATTGCGGGAGTGATGCGGGCCATCAACGGCCGCAGGATCGGCAACGTTGGCGAGGGCGGCGCTGCGCAGGACGTGCCCGGGGAGGCCGGTCCGAGCGGGCCGTGAGCGGTGCAAGGACGCGAAGCTTCCGGCAGCGAGGAACCGTGCGCCCGGTGCGGGTGGCTGTCTTGAAGTCTAATTAGAAGAAAGTTCAAACTGTGAAACAAGAAACCGGAGATTTCGGGGTCCTTTCGTCCCGACGACGGTGCCCGATCACGACGCATCGGGATCTTGTAGCTCTCACACGGCGCCTAGGCACCGCCGCATGTTCAGCCACCCCTGCGGCGGCCACAAGCATCCGATTCTGTTCAATCGCGGCAGTTGGGGTTGCGGCACTCCATGTGCACGGCCGCGATGTCGTCGAGGACGGCCTGCGGGAGCTCCTCGTCGAACGCCTGGATGTTCTCCTTGAGCTGCTCGAGCGTGGTGGCGCCGATGATCGTCGCGCCCATGAACCACTTGCTCTTGCAGAAGCCCAGCGCGAGCTTCGTGGGGGAGATGCCGTGCTTCTTGGCAACCGCGGCGTACTTCTCCGCGGCCTTCATCGTCGGGGTGTCGTGGTAGCGCGCCTGCGGGGACGGGGGGAGAGGGGCGGGGGAATGAGGATGAGCTATTCGTATGATACAAAGGACGTTGCGTGTTGCGCTGTGCAGGGTGGTGATCGCTGCGAGGCTGGCAGAATATGAGCGTAAGAGGACGCCAGCGTGTTATCGATGGAAGAAGTAACCGGCGGATTTCGTGGCAGTGCGCGCCGCATGCAGCGAGCGCGCATACTGCTGCAGTGACCTGCCCGCTGCGCCACACAAACGATCCCAGGTAGAAGGCGGACCTGTCCACCTATGCGATCGCATGCGGCTGACGTTCCACCGAACGGGGTCAGCCGCACGCGATCGAGGTGCAGACGAGATCGGCATTCTACCTGGGATCGTCTGCGCGATGGTGTTGTGCACACACGGGCAGGTCACCGCAGCTCATGTGTGTCCGGGCGTCCAGCTTGCACACCCTCGCAGCCGGCCGCGCCAGGTTCGCGCATCGGTGTCGAAGAGCGCGCCCTGGCGCGGCAAGCTGTGGAGCGCGTGCTAGCTGATTGTCCGGACACACGCTGGCCGAGGCGACCTGCCCGCTGTAAGCGTACACAGCCACAGCCCGTCTCCAGACACGACCTCGGCACCGAACGCGCGAACAGGCCGCGAGTGCAGATGCAGCTCAGTGCGTGGCCGCAGTCCTGCGTTCCCGCTACTCCGGATGCTCTTCCGCGTCTGTCGCCCCAGGGGACCATTCGAATGCGGCGTGCCCCGAGACATAGACCTCGTCGACGACGCGGAAGAGCATCCAGAGCGGGAAAGCAGGACTGCGTTTGCTGCACTGAGCTGCATGGGCCCAACGCAGCCGGTGCGTGCGCTCGGTGCCACCGTCGTGTCTGGAGATGGGCTGTGGCGCCGTGCGCGTCGATCTGGCGGGAGTCCGCGGGCAAGCCCTGTCGGAACTTTGATCCTCCGGAACATCATGCTGGAGGCCAGGAGATATGACGCTTTTCGAGTATGGGGCTGTGCTACCACAGACTCGGAAGGCGTCATCGCTTCCTGGTCCGCCATCATGCTGTCCGGCGGATCCTCGCTCGAACAGACGCGCGGCCTCACGCCAGAACGAGGCGAACAGCGCCGCACAGGCCCGATGGTGCGCACCTGGAAGTTGGGGAACTTGACGTGCCGGGAGCCCGGGTCGGCCTTCCCCGCGAGGTGCTTGCCGGACAGCGTGCCGCCCGCGAGCGGGCCGTACGCCAGCAGCTTCACTCCGTAGTGGTAGCAAGCCTGCGGATAAGGCAACCAACTGCGGCCGTGACGCGTCCTCGGGCCCGTTCGCCACGCTGCTTGCACGTCAACGTGTTCCGTGAATTTCTACGTGGCGATTCCGGCGAACGTCGTGCCAGGAGCGGCGCGCACCTCGGCGGTGTCGACCTCGAACTTCCTGTCGACCAGCGAGTAGTCGTTCTGGATGGTCACGGGCAGCGGAACGCCGAGCTTCTTCGCCGTCTCGCACATCATCGTCACGCCGTACGCCGTTTCGTTGGACAGGCCCCAGGCCTTGATCTTGCCGGCCTTGATGAGGTCGCCCATGGCCTGGACCTGCTCCTCGAACGACACGCCCGCCTTGTACTTGCTGGGGTCGAACTGGCTGAAGCCCCAGAGCGGAGCGTACCGGCTCGGCCAGTGGAGCTGGTAGATGTCGATGTACGACGTCTGGAGCCGCCTGCACGAGTCGTGAAGGCGACTGCGTCGCTCATGGTCGTTGCGCGCGACTGGCCGCCCGGGAGAGTCGAAGCGCGCCCGGAAGCGCTAGGAAAAATAGCGGACGGTGTGCACGTAGCGCGGCAACGTCGGTCAACCACCGTGGGGGGACCACGGGGGTGTTTTCTTGAAGACGGGTACTTCTGTGCATTCTGGTTTGCGTGTGGGCGTGGAAACACGGCGGCTTCGTGCGTACTTGAGCGACGCGTCGCAGGCGGTGTGGATCTGCTCCGCGGTGAGCTCGCACGGGTCGCCCACGGGCGCCGGGGGCTCCGTGCGGTGCGCCTTGACGTGTGCGGCGCCGGGGCCGGCCACCTTGGTGGCAATGACGACCTTGTCGCGGTTGTTGCGCGCCTTGAGCCAGTTGCCGATGTAGCGCTCCGTGCGGCCGCAGGTCGTGCCGTTCGGCGGCACGGGGTACACTGCGAGCACGCGCCGCGGCGAGGACGGCATCAGTGGGCGGGGGGTGGCCGAGCGTGGCAGCTGCGGGGCGTGGGATGTGCGAGGACAGGCGGCGCGGACGCACGTTCAGCGGTGTCGATGAAGTTCACGCCCATCTCGAGCGCCCTGCGATGCGAGGATGGCGGGCGTGGGGCAACGTGAGCAGCAACACAGGGCTTGGAGTGCGGAAAGGGACGGACTTGGCGTCGCAATCGGACTGGTTCGTTGGAATATGACGAAGAGTGTGTCCCATGAGGGATCAAGAAAAGCCACGTCGCGTGGGAGGGTCGATGCGGGCGGGGCACGGTAGCAAGGGTGGCGGAGGGAGAGGGTGCGTGCGTCCCCCGTCACGCACATGTCGAGCTGCGCGAAGGCCTCCTCCTCGGTGTTCTGCTCTCCCCAGGTCATGGTCCCGAGGTTGACCTCGCAGACCTTCTGGTCGATGCCAGCGATGGAGTGATACTTCATAGGCATTGTGGCCGAAAGAACACGAATGTCCTCAATCCCTGCGCTCCATAAGTGACGCGATGCAAGGATGACTAATGTGAGAGTTCAGCAGCATGCCGAACGTGCGCAGCTGCGGCAGGATTCTGCGGTGCAGCGGCTCATCCGCTGTGCGCGAGCGAGGGCGGGCCCGGCGCGGCGCGTTCACAGCGGCGCATTGCGGTTCGGCTTCGACGCGAAGCAAAGGCCACGGTGCGACGGACCGAGATTCGCAACACGCCGGCGAAACCGCTCGCGAACACGTACCGAGGGTGCGGCGGGGGGGAAGCAGGACCTGTGCTGTCCTCACACGAATCTATCAACGAACACAAGCAGCCTGCGCTGAATATGTATGCCATACGCTTCCGGTTCGCGCCCCGAAGGCAGCTTCACGGCCCGTCCGTACAGCGCGTTCGAGCTGACTGACTGGGGCGCCACTGACGTCAGGCCGCCCGCGCGTCTCACCATCCCGCGGGGTGCCCGCGCGCGTCCTGCCGCCGCCGCGCCGCGTCCACGTACTCCTGCCGCCCGGGCAGCGACCCCGCCTTCTGCTTGCCCCGCACGATCGCTGCCGCCCAGCGCCGCTCTGCGTCCTCGCAAACCGACTTGATGTCGCGCCCCGCGAACCCCTCGCACTCCTCCGCGACCACCTTCCTGCACCACGCATCTGGGCCGCAAGCCAGCCTCGATGTGTCTCCATACCGTGATGGAATAAAAGCAAAAAAGAGTTCTGTTCTCTGGATTGGGGTTGCGCCGCTTCGCGCCGCACCTGTCGCCGGCGGAGAGCTGCGCGGCGTACTCCCCCACGATCGCCACGCGCGTCTCCGCGTCCGGGAGCCCGAACGGCACCGTCAGCGCGAACCGCGACAGCAGCGCGGGGTCCAGGTCAGACTGCCGGTTCGTCGCAGCAACCACCACGACCTTCGAGCCCTGATCGAACCCGTCCATCCGCCGCAGCAGCACGCCGAGCAGCCGCCGCGACACCTCGTGCGTTTCGTCCCCGCGCGCCACCGCCAGCGCGTCCACCTCGTCCAGGAAGATCAGCGCGCCCCCGAGCGTCTCTGCGGCGTCGAAGACCTTCCCGAGCGTCTTCTCGCTCTCGCCGAACCACTTGCTCACGATCGTCTCGAGCGGCACGTACACCAGCGGGACGCCGGCCTGCCCCGCGATGGCGCGGGCTGACGCTGTTTTGCCAGTCCCCGGGGGGCCTTCGAAGAGGATCGCGCGCGGCCGGCTGCTGCCCGCGGCGCCCTTCTGGCGCCGCGTGCCCGCCGAGACGGCGTCGTAGACGTCCGGCCGGATCAGCGGGAGCAGCAGGGCCTCGACGATGGCCGCTTTTTGATTGTTGTACCCGGCCAGACTCCCCCAGTCGACGTCGAAGTCGTTGCGCGCGCCGTCGCCGTCCTGCTTCGGCATCACCACTGTCACGCCCATGCGCTCGAGCTCCGCCACCGCGGCCTCCTTGGGGTCCCCGGAGGACTCAGCAACACCCCCCCCCTGATGTGGGCTCCCAGGACCCTCCCGGCGCATCCGTGGCCCCCCCGGGCCGTCTTGGCCGTTGGACCCGCGACCGTGCGGGAGGCCCCCCAGCGCACCTCCTCCGAACATCGGCCCCAGCAGGCCCCAGGGGTCTAATTCCGCGTCATCAAAAGGGTCCCCCCCGCGGCCCACCCCCCACGGCCACACGAGCCCAGCGGCCCCCGTCGGCTCGTTCAGGCCCGACGACGCGAACAGCACGCCGCGGAGCGTATCGTGCGTGGCCGCCGCGCGCTGCGAGCGCAGCAGCGACAGCGGCACGTCAACCTCGACGGCGCGCGCCGCCTCGCCGTCGCCGGCCGCAGCGATCCGCCCCCGCACGGAGCCCCCGTGCAGCTCCGCCGTCGCGACGAACGTCAGCGCGCCGTCGTCGCCCTCCGTCACAACGATGGACCGCATGCCCGCACCGCTTCCCGCCGCCGCGTCGATCACCGCGCGCGGGTCCGCGGTGGGCGACAGCGGGATGGTGACGCGCACCACCTGCACGAGCGCGCACACGGCAGCGGTGGAGGTGGGTATGGCACGCGTTGAGCGCGCTTCAGTCTGCCCGAGGTGTGTTGGGAGTTTGGGGGGGGGTGTTGCCGGATGGAGGTGGGGAGGGAGCGGACCTGTTCCCCGGTGTCGGCGTTGGTGGCGAGCTGCGTCGCGACGCGCGTGACGGTCGTCAGGTACTTGGTCCAGGCGTCGCGCGTCGCCTGCGTGTGCGGGCCGTCCTGGACGAGCCACCGGTCGACCTCCGTGGATATTTCGTTCGCCAGCGGACGCAGGGAATCGAGAACAGCCTCCTCCTCCGCCGACTTGGCCGGCGGACGCGCCGCCGCGGCAGACGCCGCTCCCACGGCCGCGAGCGTGAGCGCGAGCGCGGCAGCGCTGCGCTCCCGCCCTCCAGCGAGCTCATGCGACGCTGCCGCTGCGCCTCGTGCAGCTCCGCGAGTCGCTCCTTGCGACGGGCCCAGCGCCGCGGCACAGAACTGCCGGGCGTCGCACGCAGCTGACGCCTCCGGGCGATGCAGCAGGGCGCGTAGGAGAGCGCGCGACAGGGAGCTGATTGCGGAAGACCTGCGGCTCATCGCGCTGCTGATCCCGCCCCGCACATACGGAGAACTGCCTGCGATTGGATGCAAGTGCAGATCATGTTTCTTTCGGTGCCTTTGGGGTGTTTTGGAAGACTTCTAGCGCTGTCAGCCCCACGTCACGGAAACGCGCCGCCGCCGGTGGTGACGTGGCCCCAGGATCGCTGCGCAGCTTGTGACTATCTTGTTCACGCCTCCGCCGATCGAAGGCCTCCGGCACCGCTGAGGCTCCAGTGCTGAGGCTGCGTTGCCTAGGCTGCATCGACAACGCGACCAGCGGTGGAGATATTCGCCATGGTGGCAGCGAGCGTCGACGTCTCCGAGCTGAAGAAGCGGATCTTCGAGATTCAGGCCCAGAAGGACACGGTCGAGGCGGAAATGGACGCCTGCCTGGCGCGCCTGAACGCTCCAGGGCAGCCCGGCGAGACCGAGCCCCTCGTGGACCGCGAGGGCTTCCCACGCGACGACGTCGACATCCCCCAGATCCGAACCGACCGAAAGCGGTACGACTCGCCCTGTCAGACGACCGTACCCACGCAAATCCGCCCTGCGCAACTGACGCGAAAGGCCCCTCGCGCCTCCCGCGCCGAACACGACCCGCACGTCTCAAATACCGCTGCGACGCGGTGTTACCTGCCCTCAAGTCCGCTCCACGCCGCGTTTCTGGGCCGTGCAGTGTCATCGAGCTCCGCAACGACCACAAGGGGATCATGAAACAGCTTGGCGAACTGCTGACCCAGCTCCACGCCGCCGTGAAGCACGAGGTCCCGCGTCCGTCCGCAGCGGACGCAGCGCAGACCGGCGCCGCGCCGCCGGACGCGCCGGCCGCCCCCGCGACGGCGCCTTTCGCCGTCATCGACCAGGTGGCCGCGGACAGCCCGGCGCAAGCTGCGGGGGTGCAGCTCGGTGACAGAGTCGTGGCTGTCGGCGACATCCGCGGACCGCCGGTGCGCAGCTCCGCCGCCGCCGATCCCGCGCCGGAGCACGCCAAAAACGCATGTTGTCAAAAGGTTGCGTTTACCCGCGAATGCGGTCGCGCGGTCCGCCGAAACGGGGTGCGCACTGTGCGTGCGTGCAGGCCGAGGCGTTCGAGCGCGTGGCGGCGTGGCTGCCGACTGCGGAGGGCGTGAAGGTTGCCTTGGTGGTGGAGCGGGAAGGTCGGCTGGTGACGCTCGCGCTCGTGCCGCGGCGGTGGGGCGGCAGGGGGCTCCTGGGCTGCCACATGAAGCCGCTTTGATTCGGCCGGGGCGACGGGCCGGGCGCTGCGTCGTGGTGGCGTGCGCCGCAGGACGTGGTGCCGCGCACAGCTGCGCCGTTGTGAGATTGAATTGCGTCGCGGATCGACCGAGCTCAGACCGATACACGACTGGAACCGGCCACGTTCGCTCGCATCGCGCGCTCCCGCGTGTCGGACGGCGGTCTTGCTGACAGGTGGAACGTGGTCCGCGGCGCGTCCGCGGGACCGCCGGGCAGGCCGGGCTGAATGGTCCAACGCGCGCAGCAAGCCACGCAGGCCGCGCACGGATCGTCCGCGCGGTGCCACGCGTTCGTCTCGGCGGCATGCAGCGTCTCTTCACGCAGGGCCGCAAGGAGGCCGAGGCGCCTGCGACGCCCGAGGGCGTCACGGCGACCAGCGCGATGAGCGGCGACGCGGGCAGCCCCGCCAGCGCGACGGAGGAGGTGTCCTCGGAGGGGAACGGGTCCACGAGGCCCGACGAGGGCGCTCTCGAGGGCGGAAAGAGCGTCATGGACCACCGGAAGCACAAGCTCTTTACCGAGGAATTCGGGCTCCCGGAGGACGAAGTGTACCTGGACGACTTCGCCTGCGCGCTCAAGGCGCGCTTTCTGCAGCAGGTAGGCCGGCGTGCGCCGCCGTGGCCCTCAAACTGCCCAGTCGTGGCCAGCGGGCGCTGGCGGGGCCGTAGACGCGCGTCGATCGCGGAGGGCGATCGGGACAGATAGGGATGATCGTTGTCGTCCGTGTGGCGTCGCTGCGCTGCGCGCATTGCCGCTGGTGACGGTAAACGGAGGCGCCCGGGCAACCGCCGTGCTCGTGCAGGGGCGGCTGTACGTCTTCTCGAAGCACGCGTGCTTCCACTCGAGCCTCTTCGGCAACACGAAGATCATCGTGTTCGAGTTCGCGAAGATTGTCGGCATCGACAAGGCCAAGAACGTCGGTACGGGTCCCAACCACCGCTGAGCCCCCATCCGCCGCCCTGCGGCCTGCTGCGCCGCATGCACCACGCCAGAGCGCCCGCGCAACACGTACAGATCTGCAGCGATCCACACTCGCCGGGCAGCGGCGCACCGCGGTCGCCGCAGCGCCAGGAGCGGCGCACACGTTTTCACTGCAGCGAACCCGCGCCTCCGCCACGCAGGCCTGCCAAACACGATCAAGATACAGTACAATGGCAAGCAGCGTGCCTTCACGTCGTTCATCAAGCGCGACGCCGCGTACGACATCCTCGCTCGCGCGTGGAGCACGAACTCGGAGCTGGGACGCAAGTACCTCCTGGGCTCGGTGCGCACCCGCGCGTTTCCCTGTTGCCACCCCTCACCTCCGTCCCTCCTACCACCTATCCGTCTCTGGCCGGTCGGCTGTCCCGCTCGGCGAGCCGCCCACCCCTGCACTGCACCGTCCACCGCAGATGAGCAAGCGCGACCTCATGCGGGCCGCGGAGTCCTCCGGCCTCGACAGGAAGGACGGCGACGACTCGGGCGACGACGGCGATTACGACGACGAGGCGGACGCGCACGGCATCGATTGGGAGCCCCTTGCGGAGCCCCTCCCGGCGATGGACGCCGCGGTCGTCAAGGACGCGCAGGTCGTCGTGGAGAAGAACTTCCGCTGCTCCGCGATGCGCTTCTTCAACGTCCTGCTGTCGGACGAGTCCAACTTCCAGCAGTCCTTCTCTGCGGATGTACTGGTGCGATACAACCCCCGCCTTCGGGCGATGGCGCGCAGCTAGGGGCACGCGCGACTCATTCTGCCGTGCTGCCGCGAGCGCTGCCGAGCTGCGCGGCCCCTGAGGCCGCGAGAGGCCTGGCTGCGGCGCATGACTGTTGTCGTTGTAGTTGCTGCGTACATCGTACGTGCGCATGTTTTCTGTGCTGCTGGGGGCGTGCGCAAGCGGGTACATGGGGCGGACCGGGCGGTGTGGAGCTGCGCGGCCTCTGAGGCCCAGCTGCGGCGCACCTTTGATGTTGTTGTTGTTCGACGTGCGGGCGTGTTTCGTGGTGTCGTGCGCGGCGCAGAAGGACTGGGACATCGCGATCACGGACTGGAAGCAGGTCAAGGAGGGGGTGCCGAAGTACGTCCGCGACTTCTCGTTCATGAAGGCCCTCAAGGTCAAGGCCCCCGGCGCGCCCTCCAAGACCATGTGCCAGCAGTCGCAGCAGCTGCAGCTCTTCAAGGACGGCGAGGACGACGTCGTGCTGCTCGAGTGCTCCCAGATCATGCCCGACATCCCCTTCGGCGACTCCTTCAGCGTGCAGCAGCGCTGGGAGATCACGGAGTCGTCCGGGGGCAACACGTCGCTCAAGATCTGGGTGTGGATCCCGTTCACGAAGAGCACGATGTTCAAGGGCATGATCCAGAAGACGACCTTCGCGGAGACGCGCGAGGTCATGGCCAAGTGGGCCGCCAACGCCGACAAGCGCCTCAAGGCCGGCCGCCGCAAGGGCGGCGCCGCGGACGAGGACGAGGAGGAGGACGAGAGCTTGTCGCCGGCGGTGCGCGCGCTGCTGAAGTCGATTCCGAAGGAGCACCAGGCGACGGTGCGGCAGATGCTGGTGCTGGCTGGCGCCAGCAGCGGCAGCAACGACGCGGTAAACACGGCGGGCGGGCTCGGCGCGATCTTCGTGAACGTGGTCGAGGGCTTCGTGAAGATCCTGAACCGCATCGTGAGCACGCTGCTGATGCGCAGCGGCGACGAGTGCGTGGTCATCTCGCGGCGCACGCTGGTGGTGATCGCGAGCTCGCTCATGCAGGCGCTCTTCCTGTTCCACACGCTGACCGTGCTGTGGGTGTTCCACTCCAACAACGTCGTGCGCATCCCCGGGTTCAGCGCTGCGGGGAGCCTGCTCGGGGTGCCCCACGCGGAGACGCCAGCGCTGAGCGGGCAGCCGCCCGCGGACGCCTGCGAGGGCATCGTCGAGCAGCTACAGGCCATGCAGGAGCAGATCGCCAAGCTAGGCAAGAAGTGAGCCAGGGCGGCGCTCGTGGTCCCGCAGCAACGGCGAACAGATGTGCAGTTTACCACGAAAGTGATCATTCCCCCCCCCTCCGCGTGTGTGGAGGGAGGGGCGGCCGAAGATGTGACGAGACACGTGTTGTGACGTGACGGTGCGTCGCAGTTCGTCGATGCGGGGAAATTCGCGGCTGCGCGCCCTCGACGACAACGTTGCACCTGAGGGGGCAGCATCTGCGCGGGTGGTCAATTACTACTTTGTTGAGGGCGCGGAGCACCGCGGCACCTCGCTCCGACCTTTGACACTCCACATGTCGTCACAGACGCCGCCCGCGACAGGGCTATTCCGCCCCCTGAGTCATTTCGACACATCCCTCCCTCTCCCATGCAGCGCCCTCCCCCCTTTCCTCCGCATCCCACCCAGTCAATGTACATCACGAGGACACGCCACTCGCCAGCCTTTTCCCTCCACTTCAAACCGCCGTCTCCCTCCACGGCAGCCCCAGCGCATCGCAGGACGACGTCAGCAGCTCCAGCGCCTCCTCCGCACCCTCCGTGTCCGTCTCCTGCGTTCCGAGCAGCCCCGCGACCACGTCCGCGCGCGCCACGTTGCGGCCAGCGCCGCGGCCGGTCGCGGTCGCGGCGCCCACCGCGTTCGCCAGCGCCACGGTGCCTGCGACCGACCGGCCGCGTGTGTAGCCGAGCGCGACCGCGGCGGCGAAGGAGTCGCCGCAGCCGACGGTGTCAGCGACCTCGACGGTGAGCGGCGCGGCCCGGTGCACGCGGCGCGTGTCGGGGGTGTCGTCGGGGTGCAGAACGATACTCCCCTCGGGGCCGAGCTTGACAATGGTCCAGTCGATCTGGCCGCCGCCGCGATGCGAGACTGCGCGCCCAGCCTCGACGGGGTCCGCGTGGCCGGTCAGGGCGCGGGCCTCGTCGGACGTGAGCAGCACGATGTCGGTCAGGTGGAGGAGTGAATCCAAAACATCCCCCCGCGCCCCGTCCGCCATGGTCCACGCGCGCGGTCCCGGGTCGAACAGCACCGCCGCGCCGGCCGCCTTGGCCACCTGCACACCGCAGCACCAGCCCACACGTGAAACCAGTCTGACAAGGAAAAAAAAAACATTCGAGGATTCTCGATTGGTGTGCCATCGCGGCGAGGTAGCGCCCGCACCTGCGCGGCCTGCAAGACCACCTCCGGCGCGAGCTCGTCGAACGTGAAGCCGTTGATGAACAGGGCGCGCGTGGACTGCAGGCACTGCACTGCTGCGTCAGGGAGGTGGTCGCCCACGCCTTGCAGGAGCGGCCACGGGCCGAAGTCGTACTCCGAGCAGAACGCGTGGCCGCCGTTCGGGTCCACGAGGACGAAGCACAGCAGCGTGCGGTCCTGGTCGCTCCCGCGCGACTCCGGCATGACCTGCACCGACCACGCAGTAATTCACCTTCGTCCCGGGGGAACGCTTCGCCCTGACAGCTCGCTGTGTGACTGGCCGGCAGGTAGGGTGGGGGCGGCCGCAATGCGCGGCGCGTGGAGCCGGCAGGGGCGCCAGAGGGAGCGGCGTGGGGCTAGGTGCACACCTCGTGAAATGTGTGCACGCCTTCGGCGCGGAACACGTCGAGCATGAACTTTCCGTAGATGTCGTCTCCGATGTGGCCGATCGATCCGCACCTGAGACCGATCCGCGCGCCTGCGAGGCATGTTGTGAGCCACCGCGCTGAGCGCAAAAGGCCGCCTGCGAGGGCGCGCACGCGATGGCTTGCGCTCCGCAGATGCGCGATCATGCAAGATATATGGATGACCGACCTGCCAGGAGCGTATTCGTGGACCCGCCGACCTCCCACTGGTGGAGCGGCGGTGGGTTTTTGGTGAGGTCATGCAGCAGTTTCCGTCGCGCCTGCTCGTCGCCCGGCGGCAGGACTGGCACCTGCTGTATGATGTCAACGCAGAGGTTCGACAGCGTGACCAGGTCGAGGCGCGCGCCGTGCAGCGTCGTGCCAGCGCGGTGACGAGCTGCACGCGCTACACAGGCGTCCCGACACCGCGGCTGCAGCCTGAAGATGCTCCGTGCGGTCACGTGCGGAGGTATCCGCGCTTCTATGTGGTGGGGGAGCGCCCCTGAGAGCGGGCGGGCAGCCGCCGCGACGCGAGGGGCCATGAGGCAGCGCGACGCCGGAGGGGCCACGGACGCACGAAGCGTCGTCATCGTGGCATGCAGCGACCTCTGTCTGGCAGGTCCTTGCGCCTAGCTATCAGTGTGGCTGGTTCGTGCCAAATAATCGATCAGAGATGAATGTGGCGCGGCTGTGGCCGCGGGCTGTGCTGCTGCGCTGCACGGTGCGCCGCGACTGCGCAGCCTCAACCGCACCAGCTGAGCCGCGACAATGCCCACTCGCCGCCCCGTTGGCCGGCAACGTGCCGCGGATGCCGGTCGGACTTGCAGTGGCACCAAAAGACCCCCAGTGAAGAACCAATAACCCCTCCCCACAAGGCGGCGGCGCTTCCGCCTGGCTAAGAGCTCGCGCAGCTCTGGCCTCGCACCGGCCAGTCAGCCCCGCGCCTAGGCCGCACCGTCGACACTGCGTATCGTGTCGGTACTGCAGCTCTCACATTGTGCGCCGTCGCCTGCGCTGCTACCGCGACCCGCCGACGGTCGTCGGCGGCCGCGAGAACAAGTTCAGCCTGACCTTCTGCCGCGGCGGCGCCGTGCCGCCCGTGTTGCGCCCCGCCTGCGCCTCCACCGCCTCCGCAGCGCTCTCCACAACAGCTTGCTGCGTAGCTTGCGTCACCAACGACCTGCGACGCATCGCACGTGCGCAGCTAGCATGGACATACAGTGGACGTGTCAGCCACGTCGTAGCTGCGGCCGTGGCTGCTCCGTGCGACGGTTGTCGGAGCCTCGCACCTAGACGTCGTCAGCAGCGCAGCGAACGCCCGATCCATCTGCGCGTCCGAGCCGTCCACGTCCATGTCCGCGTCCTCGCCGCCTGTGTCCGCTGCGCCCGTGCCTGCGCCGACCCCACGCGCACCGTGCCCCATCGCGTCAAGCCAACTTGAAGCACAGCGCGCAACGCAAGTGCGGGCGGCCGAGGTTTGCGATGTGTTTCGCATCCGTCGCAGGCCGTGACTGCCGAAGCTGCGAGGCCTGGGCCAGCTCTCGCACCTGTCGGCGGCCGCCAGACCTCAGCTGCGCGTCCGCGTGACAGCAAGTACAGAGCTTCCAGCTTCGCGCCCCGTCCCTGCGCAGTCGCCCACTCCCGCAGCGCCCGCTCCTCCACGCTGCCCTTCTCCCACGGCAGCGCGAACACGACGTCGATCTTGCCGTTCGCGTGCCCCCACGCGCACATCTTCTGCACCAACCGCCCCGCAGCCTCCCGCGGCAGCCCCCGCTTGCACGCCGCCCGCAGACCCGCGAAGGCCTCGTGCAGAAGCCCGCAGTCGAGCCGCACCGCCATAGCGACGTCCTGCTCGTCTGCTGCGCCCTCCGGCCCCGCCACCCAGTCCATGCCAAGCACGCGCAGCAGCTGCGCGGCCACGTCCGACAGGCCGAGGTCCTGCGCGTCACACAAACACAGAGAGAGATCCAGGGGGTGGGAACTGCGCCCTCGCGTCAGAGCGCAGACAATCAGAGTGTGTGCGTCAAGGGCGCTCCGCGACGCCGCAGCTGGTCCGCAACGCACGCCATCCGCGCAGCTGGCGCCGCCGAGCTCACCTTCAAGTCGGCAACGAACGCGAACGGCAAATCGCTCGCGCCTCGGTCCAGCAGCAGTCGCCCGGCGCGCGCAGCCAGCTGCGCTCTCTCCGCCTCGCCTGCGCCCCGCGCCTGGTCCAGCAGCACCGCGGCGTGCACGTGCGCGTACGCGTCCTCGCCGAGGCCCAGCGCTGCGCAGAACGACCCAGCGAGCGCCTCGTGCCCTGCGTCCACGAGCGCGTAGAGCACCAACGACAACTTGGCCTGCCGGACCGCAGGCGCCGTGTCGCCGCCGAGCATCGCAGCGCCCGCGAAGCTCGCGAGGCTGCTCGGCGGGTACGCCGCGTCCCTGACCGCGACGGAGTCGTCCTCCGCTGCCGCGCTCGCGCCCTGCCCCGGACCGTCCCGCGCCGCGTCCGCGTCGGCCGCGCCTGGCTGCGCGTCCTGCTCGCGTGCGAGAGCCCTGGCTGCGCACGCTTGCTTCAGGCGCGCGAGGCCTGGACTGCGTTTGCCGCCAGCTTCCCGCTCCAAAACTTTCGCCTTCCAGCTCGGCACGGACCCCCACTCCGCGAGGAACCTGTCGCCCGTCAGCTTGTGCGCGTCGGCCCACCGGAGCACCTCGAGGAACTGCGAGGCCTGCAGCGTGCGCCGCGCTGCGTGCGCGAGGGTCTCCCTCGCCTGCGGGGCCGCCGCGGGCCTCCGCGCGCGCGTCTGCGGCGGCGGGGAGGAGGTCTCGGCAGCAGCGAGCGAGGTCGCTACGGGGTGGAGCCCGCGCGCGGTTTCCCCGGCGGAGAGCGCGCTGCGGAGCTGCGCTGGCGATGGGTCCTCCGCGCAGCGCCTGCACCGCTCGTATACGTCCGCGGCGACCTCGCGGGCCCACCGTGCGACGACGTCGATGCCCATGAGTATGTGCTCCTCGGGGTCGCTGCGGGAATCATGCGCGGACGGGAGCGGGGTCGCGGCAGGAAGGGGAGCTGTCGTTGCCGAGGCGAAGCGGAAAGGCTGCTGCGGCGGTGCGCGGGTCGCAGCACGCGATCGCGACGCGCCAGTCACCGTGGAGAGCTCTCGGCCACGCACCTCGAGACGGCGCGGTCGTCCAGGGACACCTCGCGCACGTAGTCCAGGACGTACGACCCCAGGCCGTGCTCCAGGCACGCCGACAGCAGCATCTGCAGCTTCCTGGCGCTCGCCTGGACGTTCACATCGTCGTGGATCAGCCCCGCCCGCGCCCACTTCTCGCAAACGTCGTCCAGCGGGAGCCTCCCCTGGACCTTGTGCACCAAACTGGCCGGCGGGCTCTCCAGAAGGAGCCGCACGGCGTCGCGCTGGCCGACCATGGCGGTGCCTCCCAGCGCCCGGCCGCTCCTCGCAGCGAAGCTGCGCGCCGCCCGCGCCCTGTCCGTCCCTCGACCGACGCGAAGGAAGCTGCCCACGCTGACAGCGGCCCTGGAAACGCCCCCAGAACACCCCCAGCCCCCGCGCAGCCAGGACGTGCTCTCTGTCCGCCCGGACGCCCGGTGCTTCAGCACACAATTCACATCGGGGCGCCGCCTGCGCGCGGGCGCCATCTCTCGGCCTGTGGCTGCAGTGCCAACTCCCCCCCCAACGTCTCCGACGCGTTGCTCTGCGCTCCCCGCAACAGCGCAGCTTCGACCGGCACGCCAGATCGAGCAGCCTGTCCGTCTAGCTGCGGCCCGCCAGCGCGTCGCAGCGGCCAGGGTGCAGCTCGCTGGCATGAGGCTGGCGCGCGCACTCTTAGCTGCGGCCCGCAGTCGCAGTCGAGGTGCGGCGGGTGGACCGCCGGGGAGACTTCATCTCCGGCGTGCGAGCGAGCGCGCGGCCCTTGGCCGGCGAGGTCACCCTGCGCGGTTGCGGGGCGCGGCGGACAGCCTTCAAGGTGCGACACAACAACAGCAGTTGTGTTTCCTCGACTGCGGTGCCGTCGGAAGCGTGTTGCCGCCGAGCAGCGCGAGGCGGACTCTCTGCACGCGCTCACGCTCGTCGTCGGTCGATCCTCGCGCGAACGCAGCGGCAAATCGCAGTGCTGCCGGCGCGCGACATCGGGACAGCTGAGGGCGTGGGAGGGCGCCTCACTTGCGGGCCGGAGACTTGACGTTCTTGCGAGGGCTCACGGCCCGCTTGGCCGCCGACGCGGGCTGCAGGGCGAACACACGCGGGCGCGTGAGATGCGGCAGTGGCAGGTGGGGCTGTCTAGGCGCGCGGACGGCTGTGTGGGCCGTGGTTGGGCCTGAACGCGCGACCCACGCGCGGGTCCGCGCTCGAGGATGCACCAGGTAGCGCCGTGCGGCCGTGATAGTGGCGGCACGCGGACGTATTGTGGGCGGAGCAGGGGGGGTGCCGCGGGGGGCAGGAGGCGAACGCTGCTGCGTGTGCGCTTGGAGCGCGGGAATTCTCTGCCGGTGAGGGGATCTGAGAGTGTGTGGAGCCGCGTGGCTGCGCGCGCGGCGAGAAATACGCCGCGTGCTGCGCGTGCGTGGCCGTGAGAGCCGTTTCCAGCTCGCCCGCGCTGGCGCGAAATGCACCCTCGACGGCCCTTTCCAACGCTCAGGATACCACGGTATGGCCATGAATTCAAAATTCCAGGGCATCCGCGGGGTCGCGCGGCCGCTGCGGCGGTCGGCGAGCGCGCGCGGCCGAGCGAGGCTCCTGGGCAACAGAGCTTGCACACCTCCTTCGCCTTCTTGGCGGGGCTTCGGACCGGGCTCTTCGCGGTCCTCGCGGCAGCCTTCTTCTTGCCTGGGCTCTTGACCGGCGGCGAGCCCGCCGCAGCCTCTGCGCGCACGGAACGGCAGAGGCGCCTGAGCTTGCCCAGCGCCCCCCAGAAACGCACCAACAGCGCACCACGGCCCAGCGAGACCGCGGCGTGCCGCTCCGGCGGCCCTACCAGCACCCCACACGAACATACCACACCGCTGGACGCACTTCCGGCCAGCTACGCGGCCAGGCCGCGCTGCACGCCCAGTGTTCCATGCAAATGCCAGCAGCAAGGACCTCGCGCGTGCTTGCTCGTGCGGCCGTGAGAATGCAAGGAAGGCGCGGTGGCGGGCGCGCCACTTACGTTTCTTGGGGGAGCGCGCGGTCCGGCGCACCGAGACGCCGTCCTTGACCACCATCCGCGTCCCAGCTGGCTCCACCTTCTTCGCCCCGCCCGTGAGGACCTGGAAGAGCTGCGGGGGCGACGGAGCGGCGCGGGGGAACGTTCGCGGGCGGGAGAGTCCGTGCGCGTCGGGGCGGAGGCGGCGGGGGGGTGTTGCGCACGTGGAAGACGGCAACGATTCCGCAGAAGATGAGCAGGCCGAGAACGGCCGAGGCCGGGAGGGGGCCCTCCGTGATGCTCTTGATTACGGCGTCCATGGTCGTTTGGGTGTGCCGGGCGGGCGGGCGCGGGCCCGCAACGAGCGCGGCGGCGCCTCGTGGGGCACAGGGGGACTGTGACGGGCCGGGCGTGCCGCAACGCGGCGAATTCGAGCTGTGACTGTGCCTCGGACAACGAACACGATATGTTTGTCGTGTTTGGTCGCCGGTTCTCCCGGTTGATGCCGCATATACGCCGCACTTTGCCTTTCCCCTCGGTGGTTTCTTCTACTGCAACAGAGGGCTCTTGGTGCGGCGTCGGGCCCCGTTGCGCGGCGTGTGTGGCCGCCGGGGGCACTTGCTGCTCCCCTTAAGCTGTGACGTCGTCCACGGGGCCTGCTCTGCACGGGAGCGCGCGCCAGACGTAGATGATGCAGCGTGCGGGCTCTCTCGCGCCGGCGGGGCTCCCGCAGCTCCGCCGGGACGGAAGGCGCGTGAAGTCGCGGACGACACGGCCAGTCGTCGTGGCCGCGGAGGGCGAACGAGTGCGGGTGAGCGTCGCCAGGCCACAGCTTCTAGCCCAGGCCCCGAACCTCGCTGCGTGGCTGGATTCACCGCACCGAATCCATACCGAACCGATCCGAAGAATGTACCTCCAGCGCCGTGTCGCCGACGCGCACGTTCAGCGGCCTCGCGGCGCCCCACGCGCGCCGTATCATCCAGCTGCGGGCGCACCGGCTGTATGGGGTCGCTAGCGCACGAACGCCGACATCCCCGCGGCAGCGAGACCCAGAGCATTTCATCATCCCGCCGCCGCCGCGGGGCGTCGTGCATTTCTCCACAGCTGCCGTGAAATCCGCGAGGCCACTGACGTCGTGCTCCGCCCTCACCTGCGCCGCCTCGGCCCCCGTGCTGCAGAACCCGTACTTCCCGCCACAGCGTGATGGCATCGACGGCGCGCTGGCGTCCATGCCGACGCCCGTGGCTATGGGCGTCGCCGGCCTGCTCACTGCCGCTGCGGCGGCAGCAGGTGTCAAGGTCGGCGGTTCCGCTGCGGGCAAGCCAGGACAGGCACGAGCCCCCCACCCCCACCCTCGCCGCTCACTCTACGCGCCACGCGCAAGAGACCCCGACGCAGCGCCCGGGGCTGCGCGCACGCCCAGAAACCACCCGCGCAGAGTCGCCTCGCACGCGCATCCCGCCGCGATCCTCCGCGCCGAGCGCGATCACCTCCCGCCTCGCGCTCCGCAGCATCTCTGTCGCATCGCCGCGCCCCCCGCACGCGCGCGTCCCGCCGTATCCACGCCGTTCTCGTCGGATGCACCTCGGTCGCGCCGACCCCTCCGCCCCCCGCGCTCTGCCCCGCAGGTGATCGGCGGCGCGGCCGCGGCCGCTGCCGTCGTCGCGGGCGCGAAGCCCCTCGCGGACCGCCGCAAGAAGCTCTCGGTCGGCGAGCTCCAGGAGGTGCTGTCGGGCCTCGACGACCCGCGCGAGCTGACGCCCGACATGGTCGCGGCCGTCGCGGCCAAGTTCGGCGTGGACCTCCCGACCGAGATGGGCTTCGAGCTCCGCCCGATCCTGTTCGCGTTCATCGACGCCGTCATGCCCGGCACCGGCGGCAAGCTCACCGGCAGCGAGCCCGCCACCATCCGCGCCTTCGCGGCGACGATCGGCGTCCAGGACGAGGACCTCGCGGCCGCGTTCATCGACTACGGCCGCCAGATCAACCGCTCGCGGTTCGAGACGTCCTCGCGCGCCGCCAGCCGCGACGAGGCGCAGTCGTTCAAGCGCTGCATCTACGTCGCCACCCGCACCCTCGGGGAGCAGAAGTCGGCCTTCCTGCTGCCCTGGGCGCGCCTGTTCGACATCTCGCCCGAGCTGGTCGTCATCGCGAAGCGCGACTGCGCGAAGCAGCTCCTCCAGGACACCCTCGGCGGCTCGGAGATCACGCTGGACGACGCCTCGGTGTCGGCCATCAAGGCGCGCGCCGCCGACCTGGGGCTGCAGGAGGCCGTCACGGGCGAGGTCGTGAACGAGCTCGCGCGCAAGCAGGTCGAGGGCGCGCTCGACCGCGCCGTGAACGTCGTCAAGGCGCGCACCCGGGAGCGCGACGACGCTGCCATCATGAAGGAGCTCACCTTCGCGCTGGGCTTCAACGAGCGCCTCGCCGCGCTCGGCGCCGCGGGGGACGCCGGCATTCCGGGCCTGCGGCCCGTGACGATGCTCGAGTCGGACAAGGTCGGTTCGTGGGGCTCGAACCTGCGCGCGCTGTTCCGGGCGTACGTGGAGCACAACACCCGCGACAAGATGAGCGACGCCGCGGAGGCGTCGCTCGGGCCGCTCCAGAAGCTCCTCGCGATGGGCCCGAAGGACGCGGACGCGATCTCGCTGGCGGTCAAGTCGGACGCGTACCGGCGCAAGCTGCGGGAGGAGTACCGGTCGGGCCGCCTCGAGGCGGCCGAGTCCCCCGCGGGGGTGTTGAACACGCTGGTCGAGGACCTGCACATGGACGGCGACGTGGCGATGAAGATCAACCGCGAGGTGTTCGAGCTGCGCTGGGACCAGCTGCTCGAGGGCAAGAAGCTGACGGAGGAGGGCGAGGCGGAGCTGACGTCGCTGCGGCGCGTGCTGTGCATCACGGACGAGATCGCGGCGCAGATCCGGAAGGACAAGACCGGCAAGTTCTACACGCGCGCGCTCGGGGAGGCGTTCGAGGCCGGCGCGGACGGCTTCGGGCTGCCCGAACGCAACATGGTCAAGAAGGTATTACACCCCCAATACACCCCCCCCCTCGCACAAACGAATCCGAAGCACAAACGAACCCCGCCGAGGCCCTGCGCGCGCGAGTTCTCAATCGAAAGCCACTCCCCCCAACACCCCCCCCAGGTGATGTCGGACTACCGCATTGCGCACGAGACGGCGGTGGACCTGCTCAAGGAGTCGGCGCGCGCGGCGTACATGACGTTCATCAACCAGTCGCGCACGAAGGGCACGCCGCTGGAGCGCGCGCGCGAGCTCAAGCGGCTGGTGTTTTTCAGCGAGTCGGTGGTGGCCCCCCTCCTCGAGGACGCCAAGGGCGAGGAGTGGCTGGAGCGCGACAAGCAGGAGGCCAAGGAGAAGCGCAAGCAGATGAAGGAGATCCAGAAGATCATGAAGGAGGCCCAGGAGAAGGCGAAGAAGGAGGAGGAGGAGGGGGAGGGGGAGTCGGCGGAGTCCCCCGCCGCGGAGGCGGAGGTCGTGGAGCCCGAGGTGGCCGCGGAGGCCGCGCCGGCCGCCGAGAAGAAGAAGGAGGACGACGAGGAGGAGGGCACGATCACGATCGAGGCCGAGGAGGCCACGCCGACCGCTGAGAAGAAGGAGGAGGAAGAGCCGAAGCCCGAGGCTGCGGAGGCCGAGGAGGACGAGGAGGACGAGGAGGACGAGGACGACCCGGCGATGGCGATGATGATGGCGGGCCCCGCGGACATCAACCTGTCGGAGGAGCTCGACATTCGCGACCGGAAGGACATTTACAAGAACTACCTGCAGTACGCGATCACGGGCGACGTGGTGACGGGCCCGATGGGGACGGTCATGCAGACGGAGCGCGACCCGAAGGAGTTCGAGCGCCTGAGCTCGCTGGGCAAGGTGCTCGGCCTCGGGCAGCAGGACACGGTGGAGATCCACCAGGGCATGGCGGAGCAGGCGTTCCGGGCGCAGGCCGAGGGGCTCGTCGCGGACGGCCGCGTGACGGAGGACCGCGAGGCGCGGCTGAAGGACCTGCAGACGCAGCTCGGGCTCCCGGACTCGTCCCGCGAGAAGATCGTGAACGGCATCATGAACAAGAAGCGCGTCGAGGAGCTGTCGTCGCTGCGGGCCGCGGGGCAGCTGACGCTGGACAAGGTCATGGAGGTGGTCGAGGCGTCGGGCGACCCCGAGGGGCTCAAGACGTCGCTGCCGGAGGACGTCCGCAAGGGGCTGTACCGCGACTACTACGAGGGCACGATGCAGAACGGCAAGGGGGAGTTCTCGGCGGAGGAGGTGTTCGTGAACGTGCCGACGAAGCTCGGGCTCGAGGCGGACAAGCTCAAGTGGCAGGTGACGAAGGAGGCCGGGACGCGGAAGAAGCTGGCGGTGACGCAGGCCATGTCGGACTACCGGCAGGGCCGCGCGGCGGACGCGGAGGCGGCGCTGAACAACGTGGTGAGCTGCCAGCGGGCGAACCCGGACGCGGAGTACGGCACGCAGAGCGAGGACGACCGCAAGGACATTGTGTGCTTCTACGTGTCGCGCGTGGAGGATGCGGAGAAGCGGGGGGACCTGGTGGCGGCGCTGCGGCTGCCGGAGGGCGCGCTCGCGGAGTGCGAGGCGGCCGTGAGCAGCGGCGCGTGGACGCCCAAGCAGATCGTGGACGACAAGTCGTTCTTCTAGGTCGCCGCGATCGAACGCGGCGGTGTAACGAACGTTCCGTAGCAAAGTATCTGCGCGCCAGCGACACACCGCGTGAGCCGTGACTCATGTCCTAGCCGCGCTCGAACCCGTCGGGGGGGCCCGCTGGGCGTCCGAGGCCGGGCATCGCGTCGGCCACCGGCGCCATGGGCGGCCATACGGTCTTCTGCGCCGCCTCGACTGGGCGCGAACGACGCGGGACAGACGTACAAGCACATGAGGGGCGCGGTGCTGGTGACGCACATGTGGTGGCCGCTGTGTGGGTGCATGTTGCTGTAGTGCCAGTTGCGCGCATTGCATGACGTAATGAAGTGGTGTGCTTGCCGAGCGGGTTGTGACGGTTGTGCGCAGGACGCAGCAGGCGGTCGCTCGCTCACCCGGTCACGCATCAGGACGCGCGACGACATGTGTGCCGCGGACGCAGCGTCGGAGACACCCCCATGTTCGCTCAACTGCAACAACATTCGCTGACAGCGGGAGCGAGCTATCTGGCCGGGAACGGAACAGCCGCGAGAAGCGCCGCGGGCAGCCATGATGTCCCAAGCTCACAGCTCGTAGCCGGCCCTGCACCGGCTGCAACGCTGCGAACACTTGCAGTTCCACGCCCGCATCCCCGCCGGCAGGACCAGTGCAGCCCCCCGGACGTCCCACTGATGCAGACGATTCGCGACGCTCTGCTCCAGCACGGTGAACGGCTCGCAATCTTGCACGAAGAGCGCTTCCGGTGCCTGCAGTTTGTCTATTGTCAGGCTCCGCATGCCGCTACAGAATGCCTGGAGCACCCGCAGACTCGCAGCGCCGCCCAGCACCTCCGCTGCGTCCTCCCAGTCCAGGAATTTGCACTCCTCCACGTACAGCTCCTCGAGCGCGTCCATGCCCCTCGGTAGCTTCCGCACGTCGTTGCACGCGACTCTCAGCACCTGCAGCCTCGCAGCGCCGCCCAGCACCTCCGCTGCGTCCTCCCAGTCCAGGAATTTGCAGTTCGTTACGTCCAGCTCCTCGAGCGCGTCCAGGCCCCTCGGTAGCTTCCGCATGCTGCTGCTTGAGGCTCCCAGCACCCGCAGCCTCGCCGCGCCGCCTAGCGCCTCCCTTGCGTCCTCCCAGTCTAGCTCTTCGCAGCAGCTCGCGTCCAGCTCCTCGAGCGCGTCCAGGCCCGTCGGTAGCTTCCGCACGTTGCTGTCTGACAGCACCACAGAATCTGTGGCTCTCAGCACCCGCAGCGTCGCAGAGGACGACGCGGGCAGAAACAACTCGCCGTCCAGATGGCGGCACTGTGTCACGTCGAGCTCCTCCAGCGCCGTCAGTCCCTCCGGCACTCTCCTGATTCCAGGGCACCAGCAGACACTCAGCCCACGCAGCCTCGCAGCGACCGGCGCCGGGAAGAGGGCCTCCGTGATTTCTCCCGGGAAGTCGCTCAGGTCAAGCTCCTCAAGCGCCGTCAGCTCCTCCGGCACCCTCCGCAGCCCAGCCCTGTTCACCCTCAGCACGCGCACCGTGGGAGCGTTGCGCAGCGACCCGACGTCCAGCGACTTGCAGTACTGCACATCGAGCACCTGCAGCGCCGGCAGCCCCTCCGGCACCACCCGCATCCGCGTGTGCGCAGCATCCAGCACCCGCAGCTCCGCAGCGCCCGTCAGCGCAAGCTCGGGCTGCAGATCCTTGCACCCGTACAAGCAGAGCTTGCGCAGCGCCCGCATGCCCGCGGGCAGCCCGTGGAGATTGCTGGAGTCGGCCACCAGCACGCGCAGCCCCGCGGCGGACGACGCCGGCAGGCACGCCTCGTCCAGGCTCTCGCACCGGTGCACTCTGAGCTCCTCAAGCGCGCACATCCCCTCGGGGACCCTGCGCAGGCTGCTGTCCTCGGCCGTCAGCACCCGGACCCGCCCAGCGCTCGACGCCGGCAGGAACGAGTCACCCTTGAGCCTTTTGCACCCGCTGACGTCGAGGACCTCGAGCGAGACCATGCCCTCCGGCACGCGCGTCAACCTCGTCTTGCCCACCCGCAGCTCCGTGATGCCCGCTGCCACGCCCGCAGGCAGCCAATCCCGCCCCCACACACCCTCCACGTCCAGCCCATACACTGCCACGTCTACGTACTGCAGGCCCGTCATCTCCGCCGTCACCGCCGGCGCCGAGGCCAGCTCACGCCAGCCGGCATCCGTTAGGGGCAGGATCCGCAGCAGATCCCGATCTCCCGCCTCCAAGCGCACCACCGCGGACGGCACGCCCATGTCGGAACTGCCTGCGCGTTGATACACCACCCACTCCCCGCGCCCCGTCGCCCACCCGACCAGCGACCTCGTGCCCTCCGACATCCGCCCCTCCAGCCGCCGCGCCACCGTCTGCGCCACCCGCCACTCCGCACAATGGCTGTGTGTGTCCCCGGACCGCCAACTCGCGCCGTCGCAGCTCTCCAGCACCGCGGCCATCATTGCCGACGACGTCGCCGCCAACGCGACGCGCGACTCGCGCGGCAGCTCACGGATCACGCTGGCCAGGGGACCGTCCCGCCCGCACTGAATGTCCTCCAGCTGATGCTGCTTGAGCCGTGCGCGTCTCAAGCGCTTGGACGCGCCCGCATCGCTGCGCCGTCCCCGTGGCATGATGATATGACCGCCTGAAGCTGCCGTGCCGCGTTCTCGCGCCCGTATTCCGCCTCATGCGCGCCCACGGAGACAACGAGGGTGAGGGGTCACATCCACTGGGGGCGCAACGGCGTTGCACGACGACAGCGGCGCGCGGCCGACATCGAGCCATGCTCTGCTAATACTGTACGTCGTAGCGCGCTGCTTGACATCCGCCTCGAACGCGGCAACCGCTCGCGGCAGCGCGGCAAGCACCCAGGCTGCGCTGCATCGCCAGCGGTGCTGCATGCAGGCGCGTTCCCGACGCAAACGCGGCGCCACACTGCCACAAACGCATATCACGCACGTTGAGGAGGTATGCACGCACACACACCCGTTCACTGTCCGCAAACGCACGAGCACGACTCTTGATATGCCGTGCTCTGGCGTGTTGGCCGACGCGCGGTGCAGGTGTCGCGGTTTCGTACGACCGTGACGCTGGACGATCTCTAGTGTACGCGGCCGGCGCGGCGAGGAGCTCAGATCGGCTCTCACGGGCTCAGTCGAGGACACCTCCCCCTGACCGCTTAGTCGCCCCACGTGGCAGATCGCATGGGGCAAGGCGTGCGCGCGGAAGTACTGCATCGACTGCGCACACTCGCCGCGGCAAGGTCGTCGCTTCCTCAGCCCCGCCTGCACGTTCGGCGCCGGAGGCTGCACACGGATGTGCATTACGCTGGGGCGCAGCACCCGTGTTCACATCGCGTCGATTGCGTGGACATGAGGCGGCGTGCGCAACGGCCTCACCCCTCTGCTCGCCCCGCTGCGCCACCGCCCGGAAGCCCGCCGGAGCAACCCGGACAGGTGCTCCGCGCCGCCGTTGTTTTCCTCCGCCGTCTGCTTTCATGGTCAACGCGGCCCGCAGCAACAAACGCGCTGACACGCCGATCACTCGTCACAGGTCCACGCGCGCGTTTCACTCCCTTTCCACTCCTCCAGACACCACCCGCGCCGCGATGGGCCAGCAGACTCTGTTGCTAGAACTTCGCGAGGCCCCACAGCACGCTCAGCAGCGCGATCTGCAGGAGGAACCGCACGAAGTGCCCCGCCGGCGGAATCACCTCCGGCACCGGCCCTGGCGCGTTGTTTGTGTACATGTAGATGTTTGCCGGCGAAACAGCGATGACTAGGAAAAAGAGCCCCAGCGCCGCCGCGGGCTCGACCCACGTCGGCAGCAGCCCGAGCGAGAAGGTGCGGTCGATCGCTCCCAGCAGCAGTCCGGCGCCGCCGACCAGCTCGGCAACGCCCGTCCACTCCACGTGAAACTTGTCGCTCCCCGGGAGCTGCCAGAGGCCGCCGAACGCGCCCTGGTGGGGCATCATGTCGAGGAAGCCCTGCTGGAGACCGAAGTGGGCGTAGCCTGCAGCGCAACGCAGCGGCGCGGTCGGACGCGTGCTCCCGTGGACGGAGCGCGGGCCTCACACGGCGAAATTGCGAGCCTTGTGCCGCGATCGAGTGTTGATTTTCACCGACGTGCAAAGTATGCTGGCTATTCGTGCTGCAGAGCGTGGAGTTCGTGACGTCACGCCTCACCTGCGGCCATGAACGTCAGCCCAAGGATCCAAGGCTGGCTGGCAGCGTTCAGCTGGTACAGCGTGTTCCCGCCAAACGCCTGCTCGAGCACCGGCACGACCTGCGTGAGCGTGACGTACGTGCCGAGCCCGAGCCCCGCGAAGATCCCCGCCACGACGGCCTGCTGCTGCGCGTCGGGTAGCGCGGAGACTACAGCATCAAGGTACCCAGGCTCCGACCACGGCGCTGGCTCGCCGGGGGCCCGCGAGGCCTCGGCGCGGGCCACGAGGGAGCGGCGAGGCGCAGGCCGGCCCGCGGCCGACGTCGCGCGGGACGCACGCGCCGAGAGCCGAGCGCCCAGGGACGCGGACGGGGTGGGGAGCCGGGCAGCCTGCATCGCGCGTCACGTCCAGCGGCGTGATCGAGCTACGTTGATGACCGGCTGGCGCGCTCGGACTGTGCAGGACTAGACTGTGGCGCATCTATTTGTGGCGGCAACGCGCGTGACATGCGGCACCGCGCCGGTCGGACCTGCGGACGCGCGCGGTGCGACGCGGCGGCTCCGGTCGCACGTCGCGGGTGCGCGGGGGACACCGGGCGTGCGTGCGCGGGCTTGGCGGCAGAAGCCTGCTGCGTCTCGGACGGCAGGGGCGGGTTCCGAGCTCGGCGGCGCGACGCTGGAGCGTCTGGTTGGCTGCGGCAGCGGTGCGAGTGTGCGCTGTGGGGGCCGAGAGGGTCGGGCGGCACGATGGCGTCGCTCAGCGGGAACCTCCACCAGTATCCTCCCGCTACGTCCCTGGACGGGGAGCTCATTCTCGTTCCTACGGGTGCGGCCCCGCAGTGTTTTGGTGTGACTGGAGGCGCTGCCGCGACCTCGGAACGCGGTCACCGCGGCTCCCGCGCGCCCCCCTGGATGGCACAGTGCTGGTTGTTCTGCAGCGGTGTCGGAGCGGAACAATGCCCGCGCGTATGGCGCGCCGTGGGCCGTTCGCTGCCATGTGCAGCCGGCAGACGCGCTTGCGGCCTGTGGCGGCACCGGGGCCGCGGTTCGGCGCCCAGATCGCTCAACGAGACCGGTACTACGCGCGTGTGCAGGATATACCGTGCGGGCGTATCACAGCGCGACGGGGACCCACGCGTTCACACTTAGTGGGCACGGCGCGGCCGTCACGGCCGTCGTGCCGCACCCGAAGATCAAGACGCACGCGTACACCTGCTCGCTCGACGGGTTCATCAAGTTCTGGGACCTGACGGACCAAACGATCGTCAAGGTGCGCGCCCGCGCGCCCGCAACGCCGCCGTCCTGCCTCGCGCAGCGCCCACCTCGCCCCGGCGGGCCCTCGCGGCGCCCCTCCGCGGCACCGAGCCGCAACACGCACGCTGCATGCGCTCTGATCCTCGCAGAAGTGGAATGTCGGGGCGCGCCTCCAGAGCATGGAAATATCGGGGCGTGAGGCACTCCTTACAGCTACTTTGCGCGACGGCGGCGCGGGACGCGTGATGCGGTACTCCCTGGAGGACTCCAAGCTGCTCGGCACGCACCGCATGCGCACCACGCAGCCGCGCACGATCTCCGCGTCGGCCTGCGACCACGCGAACACGGAGACCGGCGCCGACACGCAAACGGTGCTCCCGGCGTCCCGCTGCGCCGCCGCCGTGGACCGCGCGACCGCGTGCATCTTCGACGCGGCCGCGGGGTTCTCCGCCGGGCCGGCGCGCGTCCACCACACCCGGCCACTCACCGCCGTCGCGCTATCACCTTCCGGCACAGTAGCCGCGGTGGGCGACTCGTCCGGGAGGATTCTGCTCATCCACGACGTCCCGAAGCTCCTCGCGCACGTGCCGGAGTTCCTCGCGCGCGGCGGGGGGCCCGAGAGCGCGAGCGACGGCGACAGCGACGGCGAGGGTGGGGTGCGCGCAGTGAGAAAGCAGCGCCGCGGGGTGCGCGTGAAACCCGTCGTGACGACGTGGCACTGGCACCCCGCGGCCGTCGCGACGCTGTGCTTCAGCACGGACGGCGAGTACCTCCTTTCCGGCGGCCAGGAAGAAGTCCTCGTCATTTGGCAAACCAAGACTGGCACGCGCACGTACCTGCCTCGACTCGGCGGCGCCGTCGCGCACGTCGCCGCCGTCCCCGCGCACCCGGGCCGCTACCTCGTCTCGCTCCGGAGCAACGCCGTCCTCCTCGTCGACGCCGCCGCCATGGCGGTCGTCTCCACGGTCGCCGGCGCCCGCCCGTTGCCGCGCGCCCTCGTCGACGCCACGCCCGCCATGTCGGACCTCGGCCACGGCGCGGTCCTGCTCCCCGCGGAGCACAGCGCGATCCAGGCGTACAGCGTCGCGAGCGACCGCGCGCTGTCGGTGCTGCAGGTCGGCGCGAAGAGCGCCGCCACGCCGTCTGACATCGACAACCTGACAGCGGCGTACGGGAAGGGGTTCGCGCAGCGCGTGGAGCCGCACGTGTGCCGCGTGGCGACGAGCGCGGACCGCAGCGTGATGGCGGTCGTCGACGTGCGCCCCGACGCCGGCGTGCACGGCGAGCGGCGCTACACGTTGCGGCTTCTCCTGCGGTCGAGTCAGGGGGGGAGTGTTCGGTACGACGTGGCGACGGAGGTGCCGGACCCGCACGAGGGCGGGGTGACCGCGCTCGCCGTGAGCACCGACGGCCGCCTGTGCGTCACCGCGGGCGCGGACGGCCGTCTGAAGTCGTGGTGCTGGAGGGCGCGACGCCCCGCGGGGGGGTCCCCGGCCGCGGCGGGGCCGGAGGGGGGGTACTGGGTGTGCCGGTCGGTCGGGGGCCTCGGCGGGCGCGCGATCACGGCCGCGGCGCTCAGCAGCGACGCGTCGCTCTGCGCGGTCGCGGCGGGGCGGCGCGTGGGGCTCTTCACCAGCGACGTCGCGCAGGGAGTCGACAACTCGAGCCCCGTGGACGTGCTGGCGCTGCCGCCGTCGTGCAAGAGGTCCGCGCTGGTGGCGTCCCTGGCGATCGCGGACGTGCCGCGCGGGGCCACGGTGGTCGCGCGCGTCACGGGGGGCGGCGCGGGCGTGGTGGCGTGGGACGCCCTGACTGGACACGTCGTGCGCGACGTCAAGGCGAACGTGTCGGCGTTCGCCGTGTGGCCCGGGGCGGGGCAGGACGCCGCCGCGGCGTACGGCGGGTTGCCGCCCTTCGCGGCGGTCGTCAGCGCGAACGACGGCGCGCAGCGCAAGAAGGAGGGGGGGGGTGTCGCGGGGGGGTCCCGGCCGCTGCTGCTCGTGTCGGACGGGACGAGCGCCGAGCCCGAGGTGTTCGAGGTCGCTCGGAGCGACGCCGACGGCGCCCCCGTCGGTCTCGTGTGCGTCGGCGGCGGCAAGGCTGGGGCGCCGCGGTCCGTTGTCGTCGTGACGCGCGGCGGCGAGATCGCGACCACGGCGGGCGCCGGGGCGCCCGCGGACGGCGCTGCAGCAGACGAAGAGGCGAACAAGGACGCCGAGGCGCGGCAGGTGCCGCTTGAGGGCCTGCTGGCGCCGGCACGTGGTGCGGGCGACGTCGAGATGGGCGCGGCGGCGGGCGGCGGGGACGCGGGGGAGCGGGCGGACGTTCGGGCGCTGCGGGTGGTGCGCGGCGTCCCGAGCCACGGCCTGCCGTCGATCCACACGCTGTGCGGGCAGGTCCTGCTAGGGCTGTCGAGCAAACCTACAAACACTGAATAGAGATAGCGTGTGACTTTTCTCAACCATGGATGCGGCTCACAACGCGCGCACCTAGCGCCGGCCCCGTCCCCGACCGCGCCCCCGTCCCCCGCGTCCGCCCTTGCCGCCCCTACCCCCCCCCTTCTGCTTGCCAGCCCCCCCCCCGTGCTCCAGGTCCGGAAAGACCCCCGCGAGGCACTTGCGGTACGAGAAATCCTCCATCGTGCCGTCCTTGCGCACGACGAAGAAGCAGCGCGACGGAGGGTCGAATGCGTGGTTCACGCGGACCTGGATGGCGCGCAGGCCGTCGCCGACCTTCTTGGCCGAGTCAGGGTGCCCGGACGTCAGGAGCGACTCGACCACGTTGAGCTCGTACGGATTCAGGTCGACGTTCGCGGGCCAGTCCTGCGCGGGGGCGGAGCGCGACGCAGCGTTTCGGTGCAGCACGTTGCGATGCTTGCTTGTGGCCTTGGCAGGTACGGGTGCGCAGTTCGATGGAAGCAGGGGCCGCGGCTGCGACGAGCGGACCAAGACGGCGTCAGTGCGGGCGGTATTCACGGCCACCGCGCGCGACGCGGCCGCAGGAAGCGTGGCAGGGTTGTAAGACAACGCATTGCGGCGCGAATGTGTGCGTGGTCACGCCCGGGTGCGGCGCGCGAGGCGCGGCTGTGCATGTCGGCGTGCGGGGGCGTCGCCGGTGCCGTGCGCACGGGCGGCCGAGGCGCGTGGGGGTCGCGGTGTGCGCGCGCGTGGGCATGCGGGGCTGCGGGGCTGACCTGGACCAATTTGTGGAAGTAAACGGTGGCCTCGCGGCCGTTCTTGAATGTCTTGTATCCTAGGGCGACGGGCTCGGATCCCTGCGGACGGAAGCGCACCCGCGCGCGCAGTGGGTCCGTTGGCTGCTGACGGCGCTGTCGGGGCACCCGGAGCACAACGACGTGGTTCAGCACCCCCGCCGGAATGTATAGGCTCTCTGCTTCCTCCGTAACGGAATTTCGTGGAAGAAGGACCAGGGAGGTGCGCGGGCCGTCCCGTGCAGTGTTCACCTGCTTGGTCTTCTTCGCGTCGGGCGTGTCGGCTTCCGGTTCCGCGACGGGCGGGCTCGCGGCCGCCCGCTTGTTGCCCGAGGGCGGGCTGTCGCTCATGTCTCGCGCCCGGCCGCTACAACTGTCACAACGGTCGAGGTGCCTGCTCTGGTGCCTCACCTACGCCCTGGGCGCGTCACGTGTGCTACCTTTCGCGTGCGCAACTGCGCGATGATGCGCTCTCTGATGTAGGGATCGTGCTGGACGCGACTGCTCCCGCTGTGCGTGGCCGTGGCGTGCTGTCCAGGGCCGCGCAGCCGCACCAGCTGAGGTCCCAGACTCCCCGCGAGGCGTTTTGCGGGCGCCCCATTGCCCGGGACCGGCCGCCGAGGCTCTCAGACCACGGACATAGCTTGAGACCACTCTGATACGAGCGAACAGAGCCAGATTTGCAAGGCAGCGGCACAGGAACCGCGAAAGCCTTTTGCGTCCAACAGCTCGCTGCGCTCAGTGACGCATTACGGATTTCCAGGCTTGCAGCGGAGCGACGCGATACCTGTATACTCAGAGCACGGAATGATCAACTGAACGCGACGTCCGAATGCGTCAATAGCAACAGTCCTGGCTGCTCAAGTCCAGCCAGCCCATGTGCTCCATCGACGCGGCCGGGCTCGAACAGGACGACCCGGCAATCCTCCTATACTACAAATATGTCGATGTACCCGAAACAGCCTCGCTGGCGGAATGGTACCGCGCCAGCTGCGCAAAACTCACCGGCAGAGTGAGGTGCGTGTCACAAGGGCCACCACCGCGACGCCCCCGCGGATCGCCCCGCCCCTGAGCCCCCTCCCCTGCGCGCGACCTGCTCCACAGGGTCGCTCCGGATGGCGTCAACGCCACGCTGGGGGGGAACGCGGGCGACTTGCAAGCCCACGTCGACGCGCTGGTCGCCCACGACGTCATCCGCGGCGTCGACATCGACTTCAAGTTCGCGCGCGACACCGGCCCGCTCAGCCCCGCGGTGCTGCGAGAGAGCAAGCTCGACCGGTGCGGCGGACCCCCCCTCCTCCTTGTATACACTCCCTCCCTTGCAGCGCGAGCCCACGGCAAGACGCAGCCCGCTCCGCCGTGCCGTCCGCGCCGCAGCCTCACCGTGACGGTCTGCAAGGAGGTCGTCTCCCTGGGCCCGCGGGCGGCAGCCGCGTTCGGTGGTCGCGATGCAGCGACCCTCGCAGGTCGCCACGTGTCCCCTCAGGAGTTCCACGACCTCATTCTACACCCCCCCGCGCACGGGCTGGTGCTCGTGGACGCGCGGAACCTCTACGAGACGCGCGTGGGGCGGTTCGAGGCCCCTGACTCAGTTGTGCCCACAATAGACCCCCGCACGCGGTGCTTCAGCGACCTCCCCGCGTGGCTGGACGCGCACGCAGAGCAGCTGCGCGGGAAGACCGTCGCGATGTACTGCACGGGCGGCGTGCGCTGCGAGCGGGCGTCCGCGCTCGTCCGTGCACGCGGGGAGGGGTTTGCCGACGTGGTTCAGCTGAGGGGGGGAGTCCAAAGGTACCTGGAGGAGTTCCCTGACGGCCTCTTCCGCGGGCAGAACTTCGTGTTCGACGGCCGCGGCGCCGTCCCGGCGGAGCCGCTGCGGCCGCTGGGTGTGTGCGCAGTCTGCGACGCGGATGCTGGCGGGGCGGCAGGGTACGCGGCGCGGGTGCGGTGCACGCGCTGCCGCATGCTCGTCCTGTGCTGCGACGCCTGCGCGCGGGCCGAGAGCGACCGGCGACGCGCCGTGACGTGCGAGCTTTGCCGTGGCGGCGGCGGCCGACCGGTGTCGCGCCGACTGCGCGTCCTCTGCCTGCATGGCTTCCGTCAGACCGCGTCAGGGCTCCGCGGTCGCACGCACGCCCTCGCGAAGAAGCTGCGGGACGTCGCGGAGCTCGATTTCGTCGACGCGCCGCACCACCTGCCTGTCTTCATGCGCGCAAGCACCCGGGCCGGGGCGGCGGAGCGCGCGGGCGACAGCCCGCCCCGAAGCAGCGGCAACGGCGCGGGGCACGGCCCGGCGCCGCGACGGGCGTGGCTGCGTAGCAGGGCGGACGCTGAGGCGTTCGCTAAGCATGGGCCGGCGCCGGTGCCGGCGCCTGCGCGCACGGAGGGCGCCGCGCAGCTGTTGGAGCAGACGGAGGGCTGGGCGGAGTCCGTGCGCGTGCTCGAGGAGGCGCTGGCGGCCGGGCCGGCGTACGACGGCGTGCTGGGGTTCTCGCAGGGGGGGGGTGTCGCGGCGGCGCTGGCGGCGGCGTCGCGGGGCGGCACCGCGCCGCTGCGGTTCTGCATCTGCGCGTCGGGGTATCTGCCGGGGTGCGCGGAGGTCCGCCGGGCCGTGGGGGGGAGTGGGAGCGGGGGAGTGGACGTGCCGTCCCTTCATCTCTACGGATCGAACGACAGGTGCGCCAGCGAACGAGTATCTATATCTATCTACACGAAAGTCTACTTGTGGCAGGGGACGATCGACTTGCGTGTCCCCCCCCGCCGCCGCGCGCAGGCAGGTGCCGCGGGAGATGTCCGAGGAGCTCATGGGGGCGTTTCGGCCCGACTGCGTCACGTCGTACGTGCATTCGAAGGGGCACATCATTCCTGCGGACGCCGCCACTCTGCGACGCGTCACCGCGTTTCTGCGGCAGTTCCTGCCGGCGGACGGCGACGCAGACGAGTGCGGATGACGGCCTCTGCGCGCCCGCGCACACCAGCAGGCGCTTTCCGTTTGGAACGCGGTAGAACATTTTATTGCGCCGACTGACTGCGTCGCGGGGGGGGTGTTGAATGCTTCGTTGTCGCGGCGCGCCGTGCATGCGACAGACTTCGCCACTGCGCGGCCGGGTACTGTGACGCGGTTGACGATGGAGGCGGCCGCGGCCACTCCGCCGCCTCCGCAGGCGCCAGCGCCGCGCGTGGAGCCTCTGAGCCCCGACGCCGGGAGCATCATGGCCGACGCGTTCTCGTCGCCGGGCTTCATGCTCTCGGGAACCATGGGGCGTTCGTTGGGGGGCCCGCGCTTCGGCTCGCAGCGCTTCCACGCCCCGGAAGAGCCAACTGAGGAGAGCACCCTGCCCCCTCAGCCCGTCTTCAGCGACGTGGAGCCGCCGCTGAACGAGCAGGGCGGCGCGCAGGAGTACATCATGCCCATGGCTTCCGTGGAGGCCGAACCCTTGGAACCCTTGCGCCCGCAACGTTCCGTGGAAGCTCTGCCCAACCTCCCAGACGAGGGGGAGCCGGACGCTGCGCCTTCGCCGCCAGAAGCGCCTCCAGCCCCGCCATCTGAGCCTGCCGCGGCCAGAGAGCCCTCGGAGGCAGACGTGCCGGGACCTGCGCCAGAGCCGGCGCAGGAGCAGGCCGAGGTGGACTGGGACACTGAAGCCCACCTGCCGGACGATTTCGGGCCAGCCGGGCAGTCGTACGAGCCTTTGGGCGCGGCGCCGTGCCGCTGGATCGCGTGCGGAGCCTTCCACACCGCGTGCGTGACCGCGTCGGGCTCGGTGTACGCCTGGGGGTCGAATGGCTACGGCCAGTGCGGGCATGGAGACGGGGCCCGGGCGGCCTGTCGGGAACCACGCTGGGTCGCGATGCCAGGCGACGAGCGCGCTACGCAGGTCCGTCTCCCTCGCGCTCGGACCCGGCGGCGACCGCGCCGGCGCGTCGGGAGGCGACGACGTTGCGTTCACCCGCACGGCATGGTTGGCGTCTTGCCGAATCACGCCCGGTACGCGCCTGAACCGTGGCTTTCGTGGCGCCACCGCAGGTGTCGTGCGGTAGGCTGCACTCCGCGGTGGTTCTCGCGAGCGGGCAGGTCGCCACGTGGGGCTACGCGCGCGCCTTTCTCGGACACGGGGACTTCCGGGTGCCAGAACACGCCCCGAACCTGCCCTCCCCGCGCATTCTGCACCTCCCAGCCGGCGTCAAGGCTCTCCAGGTCTCCTGCGGCGACCAGCACTCGGCCGTCGTCACCGACGACGGCCAGCTCTTTGTGTGGGGCTGCGGCGCGGGCGGGCGTCTCGGACTGGGCGACGAGTCCGACCAGCCGACGCCCGTGCGCGTCCGGAGCATCGCGGGCACGCACGTCACGCAGGTCGCGTGCGGCGCGCGCCACACGCTCCTCCTGGACGACGCCGGCGCCGTAATGGCATGCGGTGCCGGCCCCGCGACCGGCCTCGGCGCAAAGGCGGCCGCCCCGGACGCCGCAGCCGCGTGCGTGCCGTGCCCCGTGCAGGGCGCCGTCGTGGGGCAGAAGTGCATCGCGCTGGCGGCCGGGGCGCGGCACTCGCTCGTGCTGACGCAGCACAGCGCGGTGTTCGCGGCGGGCGAGAACGCGCACGGCCAGCTCGGGGTCGGGGACAGGGAGACCCGCGCGACGTTCACGCATGTGCCGCTCGCGGGGCCGGAGGCGACGGCGGAGGGCAAGCAGTTCCGGCGCCTCGGGGCGGTGTCGATCGCTGCGGGCGCATACCACTCTGCGGCGGTGACGCACGCGGGGGACCCGGTGACGTGGGGCGCGGCGGGGCCGAGCAGGGAGGCGGCGCCGTCGCCGGAGGCGCTGGCGAAGGCGAGGCCCACGGACATCCTCGACAGGGAGGTGCAGGTGCGTGCCTGGGGTGCAGATCGGTGCTGGGCCTCCCCCTGGACACGAGCGACGTGTTCGGGGGGGTTTCGGAGCGGGGGGGACTTCGCGCAAGCGCTGTCCGAGCGCACTCGTCTCGGCCGATTGACATGATTCTTGAAAGGGAATAAATAAATGAATATGGATATGGATATATGTTTGTTGTTTCGCGTTTGGGTCGTTCGCAGAGGGAGCAGGGGAAGGCGCACGGGTCCAAGGACGACGACTTCGACGGTCTCCTGCGGCCGCAGAGCCCCGACATGCCCGCGGAGGCGAAGAGGGACGGGTACGGCATCCTCAACTTCATCACGGAGGCGGACGCGCGGGAGCTGGCGGGCGTGGAGGTCGGCCCCAACGGCGAGGCGCTGCGCCTGGGGTACAACAGCCTGGGTCACCTGCGTCAGGAAGGGGCCGGCGACCGGCTGCTGCCGATGCTGCTGCAGGGCGGGTGGATGGCGGACGGGCGGCACTTTGCGTGGGTCGCCGCGGGGGGGTATCACACCGCGGCAACGACGCTCTCCGGGGATGTGTTCACGTGGGGGTCGGGCGGGGGCGGGCGGCTCGGGCACGGCCACGAGAAGGCCGCGGTGACGCCGACGCTGGTCGGGCCGCTGGCGGGGCGGCTGCCGCGGCCGCAGCACGTGCTGTATGCGGCGAGCGTGAGGAGGGCGGACACGGTGCTGGCGGTGCGGGTGGCGCGCAAGCGGTCGACGTGGGACGTCGGGGCGGCGAAGGCTGCGTTTGCGGACTGGAAGGGCAAGGTTGTGCCGTGGGGGGACGGCACGGGCGACGGCGACGACGGAGGGCTGCTGGGGATATTGCCGCGACGCGGCGTGAGCTCGTTCGTGGTGCGGTCGCAGACGAAGGCGCCGGGGCGAGATAAGCTGACGGAGGCGGTGCGCGCGCAGTCGCGGCCGCGAAAGTAGAGGCTGTGACGCGATGTTGTAGTCATTGACCGCCCGCGCGAGAAACGAAATGCGGGCTGGGATCGTCCTGATCAAGGCGGCAACGTGCTAGGAGTACTCGCTCCAGCTTGTACCTAGAGGGCACAGCCGTCGCGTGCGCAGGCTGGGGCTCAGTGCTGAGCCCGCGTGGTGTACGAGGACGGCGCCGCACTGTTCGACACGCTCCGCTCGCACGCCGCGTTTCCCCTTCGAGATATCGTATCATGTTTCCCTTCACATTGTTTTTCCCTGTCATATGTTTCTAAGAGCTTCTACGCTGCGTACGCGTGCATGACAGGAGGAGGCCCTGCGCGGCCGCACCATGCGCCCTCCCGCGGCTCAGATCGTCCAGGGCGCCGCGTCAGTGCTCGTGTTCGGCGCGTTCTCGGCACACGGCGCGCTGTGCGGCGCAGACAGCGCCTCGCCGCCTCCCGCCCCGCACGGGCCGCCCGGCGCCTCGCCCGGGGAGTCCGGGAATGTCCCGTCAGCTCACTGTCCGTTGCCGTTGCGCGCGAACGCCTTGTCCAGGGGCAGGAACTGGTACGACGACGGCAGCCGGCTGTTCCCGCCGCCGCCGCCGCGCCCGCGCTTCTGCCGGGGGCCGTTGTCCGCGCCGCCCTCGGCGGCGCGCTTCCGCCCCGACGGCGTGCTCGGCGCGGACTTCCCAGCCGCGCCCGCCGCGGCGGCGGCCTGCGCGGCGGCCACGGCGGCCTGTGCCGCAGCAATGTCAGCGTGCGTGGCCTGCTGCGCCGCGGCGGCCTGCGCCGCGACGTTCAGGGGCAGGCCCATCTGCTCCAGCAGCGCCCGCCTGTTGCCCGCGTCGCCGGCGCCGGCGACCTGCTTGTCCGCGGCGGCGGCTTGCTCGATGGCCTGCGCGGCCTGTGCCGCGAGCGCCGGGTCGCTGCTGCGCGCCTTGTGGATCTCGCGGACGTGGCGGACGACCTGTTTCTTGCACTTCTCGCGCTTGGTGACGAAGGACATGAGCTGGCGCACATTCTCGAGCTCGAACCGTATGTCTGTCAGGAAAATCAGCTCAGTCTGACGCTCCTTCAGCTGCGCCTCCTGCGCGGCGCGGGCCTCGGCGTCCGCGTTCGGGCGCCCGCGCTGCTGGCCCTGCTTGCTGTGCCGGTCGCAGAAGGCCTTGTAAGCCTGCACAGGCATAAGAAGAAAACACAACTACCAATCAGCGCCCGAGCAGCCTCACGCGGCGTGCGGGACGTGCGGGTCCGCGCGCGGGCGCACGCGTCGAGCGGCGGCAGCAGCATGCGCTTGCGTCGCGTCACGCGCGCACCATTTTGCCTCCCGGGAGCGCCTTTGCCTGGAGGTTGAATCCGAGGTTCCGCCCGCACATCGGGTGGAACACCGTCTCGCAGTTCGGCGCCGCGCAGGGCACCGGCGCGCCATCCGACAGCTGGCACACCACGCACGGCGGCGACCCCCTGTTCGCGCGCCCGACCGGCAGCCCCTCGACGGCGCACGGCATCACGCCGGCGAGCCCCGACAGCACCGTGTCGTTGATCGTGACCGTCGGGTGGTACTGCGCGCACACGACGTGCACCCACTGGTCGCCCGCCATGTCCTGGAGGTACGCCCCGCGCCGGTTGGGGCACAGGGCGCACTTGACGGTGTGCGCCCCGCCGGGAACCTCCCCGCCGGGCTCGCGCAGCCACCGCGGCGGCCGCAGCTGCGACTCCGGCACGCCGTTCGAGGCCAGCACGGCCTCGTGCTTCCGGCACGGCCAGCACAGCCACGCCCCGTGCGGCAGCTCGTGCACGCCGTAGCACGCCTGGTGCACGCCGAGGTCGCATCGCTCGCAGTACACGATCTGATTCGGCGCCTCGCTGCGGCCGTCGCCGCACACGCAGCACTTGTCGGCCTCGCAGTCGCCGTCGGGGCGGTGGTCCTCCTCGCGCTTGACCGCCAGCAGGTCCACGAGCCCCAGAGACCCCCCCCCCGACTCCCCCCCGTCGCCGCCGCGCCGGGACTTCTTCGTCGCGGCCTCCGCGGCCTGGAACGCCTCGCGCTGCGCCCGCTCCCGCGCCTCGCGCTTCTGGTTGCGCTTGATCTCCCGCATCGTCGCAATAAAGGACGCGATCGCGTCGCTGTCCGCCTTGTCCGACTCGAGCTTGGCGTGCACGCGCGGGGCCTCCTCGAGCGCGGCGTTGAAGAGCCGCGCCAGCCGGACGCGGTTCATGGCCGACACCTGCAGCAGCTCGCCCTGCAGGGCCAGGATCTCCGCCTCGACCTCGTCGGCGGGCGCGCAGCCGAGCGCGGCCTCCTCGGGCGTCGCGGCGGCCGTGAACCCCGCGCGCGCGCGCCGCCGCGACGCCCGCGTCGTCCGGGCTGGTCGGCGCCGTGCGCCGACGCAGGGGCGCCGCGGCCTCCGCCGTCGCCGTCGGCCGTCACGCGCGGACACGCCTGGGCGGCCTGCACGCGCGCTGCGCCGCCGTCCCCGGCCATGTCCTCGTCCTCCGCGTCGCTGTCCGGCACCGTGGCCTTCTCGACCGCGACGGGCATGCCCAGGTCGGACGTCAAGAGCAGCGCCGTGTGCGGGTGCAGGTACTCGTCTCCCGCAAGCAGCGCGCCGCCGTGGACCTTCGCGCCGAGCTGCTCCGCGGCGTCCGGCGCGCCCATGCCCAGCACCGTGCGCCGGAAGTGCGGGTTCGAAGACTCCACGTAGTTCATCAGTTGCAGAAGGGACGGACTGATGCCTTTCGACACGCTTGCCAAACTGGCATTGTTCCCGGACCCGCCGCCCGCGGCCCCCGCCGCGCCCTGCACGCCCGCGCCCCTGACGGCCAGCGCCCCGGCCGCCGCGCCGGCGTTCGCGCCCGCCGTGGGCGTCGCGGCCGTGCTCTCCGGCACGTCGGCGGCAACGGCCGATGACGCGACCTCGCGGACCCATCGGAACACCGCTTTGCCCGTGGCCTGGTCCTGCTTCGAGAGCGCGCTCGCACGGCCGCCGTCGGGGTCGTGGCTGCGCGTGCGCGACGCGGCGCCGCGGTGGGGCGCTGCCGACGCCGCGCCTGCACCGCAGCACGCGACCAGCCACGAGTCGATGGCCGACTCCGTGACCTGCGCGCCGTCCGCGACGGCGGCGGGGGCGACGAGGCCGAGCTGGAGCGCCGTGCGCAGCCACCGCGCGAGGTCGTCGTGCGCGATCGTCGCCAACAGATCCTCCTGCGAGCGGCGTACAAACAGACACGAATCCTCGATTGAACGCGAGCCGGCCGAAAGGAGGCAACCAGGTCGCGCACGACGCGCAGCACGCCACGCACCCGGTCCCCCGCCGCGCCCCCCGGCGTCAGCAGCCCCGGCGGCGTCATGACCTCCAGCGCCCTCCCACCCGCCCCCGCCGTCGGCGTCGTCGCCGCCCCCGCCGCCCCCGCGCCCTCGCCCAGCGCGACCGCCTCCGGCCGCGCCCCCTCCGCCTCCGGCGGCCCCTCCGTGCTCTCCTGGATCTTCATGTCGGTGTGTTTCCGGCAGTACTGTTTCATCTCAAAGTCGTCCGCCCCGGGCTGCTCGCAGACGTACTCGAACCACAGGCCGTCCTTGACGGCGCACTTCGGGTGGAACGACGCCCGGCACGCGGCCTTCTGGCACTGGATGCACGCCCCGACGCCCCCCTTCTGGCAGACCTGACACAGGAGCTTCTGCCGGGCCTTGACGATCTGGTCGAGGCCCGCGACGACGTCGCGGCCGTCCGGGCCCGTCTCGATGCGGACCTCGGGGATCCACTGCACGCAGAACGTGTGCGCGAACTTCCCGCAGAGCTGCCCGTCTGGGCCCAGAGCCTCGCGCATGGCGCCGCCGGGCACGGTGCACAGGCAGCACTGGCGCGGCTCGCCGCCCTTCTCGCGCGTGTACTTGCACGCGTCGCAGAACCACGGGCCCTCGGGGACCTCGATCTTCGCCCCCGCGTGCCCGTAGCACCCCTGGTGCACGGCGCACTCGCACCCGTCGCACAGGAGGATGACGTTCCCCGCGATGGAGTCGCCGTCCATGCACACGTCGCACACGACGTCGTCCTTGTCGTCCGTCGGCGGCGGCACCGGCGCGCCGTTCAGGACGGCCTGCAGCGGCCCCACGACGAAAACCTGCTTCCCGCCGCCTCCGTTGCGCGCCGCGCCCGCGCTCATCCGCCGCTTCTGCGCCGCCGTCGCAGTCCCGGAGCTGCCCCCCGCTCCGCCCTTGCTGGACCCGCCGCCCCCGCCCTTCTTCTTGCTCTTCTCGTCCTTCTGCAGCTGCGCCGCGCGCGCCGCCGCCTGCAACAGCTGCAACTGCTCGTCCTCCTCCGCCCAGATCTCGGTGTACGGCCGCCCGAGGGGCGCCATGCGGAGGTCCGGGTCGCGCAGGGGGTCCGCGGGCGCCGGCAGCAGCGATGCGAAGTCCTCTCGCGTGATGGGACGGAAGTAGTCGCGCGCCACCATCCAGAACGCGGTCGTGTCGTGCTCGTACCCGACGCTCGCGCCCGGCGCGGAGCTCTTCACGGGGTCGCGGACCACCTGGACGCGGCCCGCGGCCTTGCCCTTGGCCGTGTTCTGCGGGGTGCCGCGCGGTGGTTGGAGGTAGGTCGGCGTCTGGGCGGGGTCGGAGCGCCGACGCGTGGGTGTGGGCGCGGCCGCGGAGGAGCGGCGGCCGGGGCGCGCGTCGTGGGCCGCGGGCCGCGGCGCGCGCCGGCGGCGATCGGCTACCGCGTTGGGCGCAAAAAGCGCTAGTGGTGCGCGCGGGGGGGTGGGGGGGGGTTGCGGCGCGGCGTGGGCGGTCGCGGAGGCTGCGTGAGATACGTGTGGGCGGGGGAGGCGGCGAGGACCGTGCCGGGCGCGCGCGTGCTGGTGCGTGGGCGCGTCGGGGCGGTGCGTTTGGACGGTGTGCAGAGGGGCTTGCCTGCTTCGTGGCCTTCTTCTGCTCCTCTTCGCGCAGGCGCATGAACTCGAACGCGTCGTCGAACGTGTCTGGGGCGCGCGCGTGCGGCTCCCAGCGCGGAAACAGGTGCAGCTGATCGACGACTTGCTGGAAAACGACATTGCCGAGGCAGAGGGCGTCCTGGGCCCGCCACACATTGACGCGCCCGGCTTGTTTGGACTCGTCCATTGTGTCCTCCGACACGCGGGCGGAAACGCCCGGCGAGGTCCAGCGAGGACGCTCGCGCGCGCGCCTCGCGAAGGCGCGCTGCGGCAGTCGCTCTCGTGCGTGCGAGGCAGCCCCTACGAACGCATCCTCTGCACCACTCGCGATGTTTCTGACGACCCGGCGCCGGAACCTCCCCGGGTTCCAGGTGTCCCGGCACAGCGGGCCTTGAGTGACCTCCTAGGCCAGCACTCCGTCGTCAGGCTCCGGCCTCACGGTCGCAGGCGGCAGCCGAGTCTTGCCGGGGGCGTGCGCGCGTCCCGGCGATCACGGCCTTGCGCCCGGGCGATCCACGCACGCGGAAATACGAAGTAGAAGTCATGAACACACTCATGTGCCTGTACCGCGCGCAAGGGCTCGGGCGCGCGCGTTCGCGCCGCAGAGCCATCGACGCGCCGAGCAGCTCGCCGAATTGCGCGCGCGAACCGCATCCTCACGTGCGCACGCGCCGCCAGCTGCGAGGCCACACGCAGCCGTGCCGTGGCGCCCCTGCGGCCCGAAGCATGCGCGGAGCGCTGCGCATTTCGTCCTGCAGCGTTCCCTCCCTCACACTCTGCGCCGTGCAGAGGGCACCGCTGCTGCTCGCCGCCCGAGGCTGGGCCGTCCGCCGACCAGGCACGCACCGCTCCCCGCCCCGCTGCCGGCCCCGCTCCCGCCACGCAGCCGCGGCGCGCTTCTGCGCCGCCACCGCCCTGCACGAGCACGGAGCACCGCCGCATCCGCCTCACACGCCCACGGGCCCGCGCGCCGCCTCGCCCCGCCCTCTCACACGCCGACCTCCCTCCGGGCTGCCTCGAGTAACCAAGCCGAGTCAGGTCCCCGCCCCCCGCGCACGCAGTCAGACGAATGGTCCCCAACCCGCGCGTGGGCGCGGAGAGCCCACGCCGCGCCGTCTGCGCGTCCGCGGGCGCACACCCTGGTGCTACCGATGCGCCCCACTCCCGCCCGCTTCTCGCGGTCGCCCCGATGATGGACTGGACCGACGTGCATTTCCGGCAGCTCTGCCGCCTCATGACGAAGCGCACGACGCTCTGGACGGAGATGGTCGTCGACAGCACGATCGTCTACACGGACGGAAAGCCCCTCGCCTGCGTCGCCAGTGGCAACGGGGAGGGGTTCGACGGTATGACGGAGCTCGACAGGCACCTCTGGTTCCCCCCCGAGCAGCGCCCGCTCGTCCTGCAGGTCGGCGGGTCCGAGCCGGAGCAGCTCCGGAAGGCCGCGGCCATCGCGGCGCGGTATGAGTATGATGAGATAAACATCAACTGTGGGTGCCCGTCGGACCGCGTGGCGGGGAAGGGGCGCTTCGGCGTGTGCCTCATGTTCAGCCCCGAGGACGTGGCGGACTGCGTCAAGTGAGTTCCCCCCGCGCACGTCCGCGGACGGCGTCCAGTGTTTTGCGCTGTGTCGTGCGTTGCGCGACCGTGCGATCGAGGGCGCGCCCGGTGCTCCCGCAGGGCGCTCGAGGAGGGGCAGACACGGCCGGTCACGGTCAAGTGCCGCATCGGCGTCGACGACAACGACACGTACGACGAAATGAAGCACTTCGTGGCGACGGTGTCCTCGCGGACCAACTGCCGGCACTTCATCGTGCACGCGCGCAAGGCCTGGCTCCAGGGCCTCAACCCGCACCTCAACCGCACGATCCCGCCCCTCAAGCACGAGTGGGTGTTCGCTCTCATGCGGGACTTCCCCCACATCGAATTCTCACTCAATGGGGGCGTCGGGGGGTGCCACGAGGCCCGCGACGCCCTCGCGTACCGCGCGCCCGGGGTCGACCGCGGCTTGAACGGCGTGATGATCGGCCGCGCGGCGTACAACTACCCGTGGCACTGCCTGGCCGACGCCGACCGCGCCGTGTACGGCGAGGCGGACAACCCCGCGCCGAACCGCCGGTGGCTCCTGCGCGAGTACGCCAAGTACGGCGACGAAATGATCGGCCGCTTCGGCACCGACCGCAAAGGTGCGTGCTCCTCCCGCGCTGTCGCAGCTCGACGCCTGGAAGACGACTATTGGCGCTGCGGCGCCGCGCGGCTCCGCAACACGCCACAGCGCCGAGTTCTTGCTCCGTATGCGGAGCTCACGGCGCAGATTCGGCTCGGTTCGAGCCCCGACGCGCCCCGCGCCGGCTGTGCTCGTGCGCGCAGGTGACAAGAAGCCTGATGCGCGCATGATCCTGAAGCACACGCTCAACGTGTTCCACGCCGAGCGCGGGGCGCGCGAGTGGCGCCGCCGCCTCGAGGACCTGTTCCACAAGCCCGGGCTGTCGTGCACGGACATTGTCGAGGAGGCCATGGCGTGTATGTCGGACGAGGTTCTAGACTCCCCCCCGCCCCAGAACTACGTCGAGCTCGAGCGCAAGGGGTACGTGCCCGTCGCGGGCGCCAAGCCCGGGACCGACGTGGACGTGCAGCTCCCGGAGGACGGCAGCGAGCGTGCAGCGCCCCCGCGCATTGGCAAGCGACTCGCGACGGAGGAGGAGGCTGCGCGGCTGCGCAGAGCGCCGACGCCGGCGCCGGCGCAGCAGACCGTGGGGTCGTCGTCGTGACGCGGCGATCGTGGCTGGATGTCGCGGCGCGCGTGAACGTGTGAGACTGATTGGGTTGGGTCACAAGAGGAGGCCTGGAGGCGCTGCGGTCCGGGTCGGCGCGCGTGCGCATGCAGGGACGCTCCCGAGAGGCGCAGCGTCCGGCCGTCCGTCGGCGCGGGGACGCGACGAGAGGGGACAAAATGTGGCAGAGTGCAGGAGTGAAAGTCGAGGTGTGGAAAAAATCGTCTTCGGCGCAGCGCGTCGCTCACGCGGCGCCAACGGCGATGTCGTACGTCTTGGCCTCGCCCTCCACGGCCTCGACCTCCATGCCGGCAGCAGCGCCGCCCTTGCCCGCAGCGATCATGCCGGCGGGGCGCACGCGGTCGTCGTACCACCTGACGACGCTCTCGAGCAGCATCGTGCTGCCCTCCTCCTTCGTCAGCACGTGCCACATGTTGTTCATCAGCCGCAGCGTCTTGTCCTTGGTCGCCGCGCGGTGGTAGAGCATCTGCGACAACAGCAACACGGACGCGACGCGAACCGATATCAGCACCGCACGCCGCTCCTCCGCCCTCAACCGCCCACAACGCAGCCCGCGTCAAAGCCGCCCGCGGGCCAAAGATCAACACCCCCCCTCCCAGACCTCGCGCATGCGGGGCCGGCGTCGCAGAGCGCACGCGCGCACCTTGGAGCTGTCCGGGTCCGTCATCGTGTCGCGCTCCGAGTGCACGGTCATGAAGGGCGTGGACACCTTGTCCATGATGTCACTGACGGCAAACTCGCTGGCGGAGAGGTACTCGGACGCGTTGCGCGCGCGCGTCATGCCGCGGTACACGATCGGGTCCGCGTCCCACAGGTCCTGGAGCTCCGGGTACATGGTGTTCTTGTTCGTCGCGGCGACGGCGAGCCACGGCGCGATGGCGGAGATCGTGGACGCGACGGGGCGGAGGTAGGGGTTCAGGCCGGACTTGGCGATCTTCTCGAGGGACAGCATCGGCGCGAGGAGCACTGCGCGGGCGGGGGAGCGCGCGCGGCGAGCGCGTGAGTGGCAGTGCGCGGAGCAGGCGGGGGGTGTGCGTGGCGTGGCGCGGCGGGGAGCGGGCGCGCACCGGCGCCGTTGACGGCCCCCGGGTTGTCGTGCATGAAGTGCACGGCGACGCAGCCGCCGAGGGAGATCGCGAGGAGGAACTTGGGCTGCCCGGGCGCGTCAAAACCAGGCTCCGACGCGCAGCAGTCCTTGACGACCTCCAGGTCGTTGACGTAGTCCTTGAAGCTCTTGATGTAGCACCGGAGCCCGTCCCTTCCCTGCGCGCGCGCGGATCCGGCCGGAATCGCGCACTGGCACCACGGGGGCTACGGGGGGGTCGAGCGGCGGCGAGGGGCCGCCGCGGACGCGCGTTGGCCGCGCGATGGGACCTGCGGGGGGAATGCGCGAGGTCGCGCCGGGCGCACCTCGGAGCGGCCGTGGCTTTGGAAGTCGCACGCGGCGCAGGAGTAGCCCGCTTGGTTCAGGCGCTCGACCCAGGAGCCCTCGTACACGGGGGGCTTCCCGAGGCCCTGGTCCTTCAGGTACTCGTAGTCGACGTAGCTGCCGTGGCCGTGGACGATCAGGACCGTGCCCTTGGGCTTCTGCGCGGGCCTGCGACGCGATGCGACGGGTGCGGAAGATTCAGGGGGCGTGGGGCGACGGCACGCGCTGCTCCGCGACGCTCGCGGGCAATCCGCGCGCGTGGGCGGCGGGAGTGCTTGGATCGACCGAGCGGGGCGCGCATCGGGGGCCCGCGTCCGTCCGCGAGGCAATGCCGCGTCGTTTGGACATGAGCGTGGCGGTGAAGGGAGAGGGGGCGCCGGGGCGTGTAGGCGCGTGCACGGCCGCGGAGGGCTCGGCGCCGGGGAGGGGTGGCGCGGAAGGGGGCGGGAACGGCCGGAGGGGTGCGTACCACCAGTACGTCGCGAGGCGGAGGCCCTGCTTGTTGTACACGTACTTCTGGCGTCCGTGCGGGCCGAGGGATTGCTTGGAGGGGGCGAACTCGCTCGCGTTCAGCGACTGGAGGAGCTGCTCCTGGAATTCGGCGCCGTCGGCGACCGGCGAGCCGGGCACGCTGTCAGCCATCGTGAGTGCTGTCAATGCCTGAGGTTACGGGGGGCTGGAGGGCCGAACGACGGGCGGAAGACGCCGAGGTCGGAGGCGCGACGAGTCTGCAGCTGGAGGGCGCCGTAGCACGCGGACGCACGGACGGGCGGGGGCGGAATGTGCGCTTCGCTGCAGCAACAGGAGCGTGCCTGAACGGAAGAGTCGGTGCCGTTTCAGGGAACTTTGCGGCGAATCTGACGCAGACTGATCGGTGCCCGCCCGTGCAGTGCCGCGAAAAGGGCGTGACCGGACCACGCGAGGCAGGACACGAGTCCCCGAGGCCTCGGTCGGTCACGACCGAGCGCCTGCCGCGCTGCGCCAATCGGGACCTCGACGACCTTCGCGATTGTTCGCCCCTCGAACCTCCCGAATCCGTCTCACGAAAGCGCTCCCGAAGATTGCGAATTCACGACCGGGCGGCGTCCCTCGCGCAACGACCAGGGCCGCAACGTGGCGCAATTCGGCGCCACGCTCCCCCGCAAACTGAGACATGGGCACACCCGCGCTGCGCACAGGCGCCCCCGGACGCACCGCCGTGCTCGCAGCGCTCGCGTCACAACACCGAGCACCCTCCCAAGCAGGGAGCTTCACTTCAGAGTCTTCATTTCCTATCTAGTAGTCCATGCCCATGCCGCCCATGCCCGGCGGCGGCCCCGCGGGCTTGTCGTCCTTCTCCTCCACCACGATCGCCTCCGTCGTCGCGATCAGCGACGCCACCGACGCCGCGTCCATCAGCGCCGTCCGCACCACCTTGAGCGGGTCGATCACGCCGGCCTGCACCAGGTTGCAGTACTCCCCCGTGCTCGAGTTGTACCCAAACTCCTTGTTGTCCTGCTCGAGGAGCTTCCCGACCACCACCGCGCCCTCGCCGCCCGCGTTCTCCACGATCGTCCGCGCCGGCACGCGCAGGGCGTTGGCGATGATGTCGACGCCCACGCGCTGGTCGAACGACGTCAGCTCGGCCTTCAGGGCGTCCAGCGCCCGCGACGCGTACAGCAGCGCGCAGCCGCCGCCCGGGACGATGCCCTCCTCGACCGCGGCCTTGGTCGCGTTCAGCGCGTCGACCACGCGGTCCTTCTTCTCCCCAACCTCCACCTCGCTCGCGCCGCCGACCTTGAGCAGCGCGACGCCGCCCGAGAGCTTCGCGAGGCGCTCCTTGAGCTTCTCCTTGTCGTAGTCCGACGTGGCGCGCTCGTGCTGCTCCTCGATGCTCGCGCACCGCTCCATGATGGCGTCGCGCGTCCCCGCGCCGTCCATCACGAGCGTGTCGTCCTTCGTCACCGTGACCTTGCGCGCGCGCCCGAGGTGCTCCGGCTGCACGCTCTCGAGCTTGAGCCCGAGCTCCTCGGACACGACCTGCCCGCCCGTCAGCACGGCGAGGTCCTGCAGGTTGGCCTTGCGGTTGTCGCCAAAGCCCGGCGCCTTGACGGCGCACACCTTGAGGCCCGCGCGGAGCTTGTTCACGATGAGCGTCGTGAGCGCCTCGGACTCGACGTCCTCGGCGACGATCAGCAGCGGCCGCTGCTGCTTCACGGCGGCCTCGAGGATGGGCAGGATTGACTGCAGGACTGACACCTTCTTCTCGACGATCAGGATCATCGGGTCGTCGAGCTCGCACTTCAGCGTCTTCGGGTCCGCGAAGTACGGCGAGATGTACCCGCGGTCGAACTGCGGACGAACGACGCAAACACCCCCCGCGTCAGCACACGGGCAGCAGCAGCCGCACCAACCCCGGCGGCGCGCTCGCACGCGCGACCCCACGAGCCTGCAGGCGGGTGTATTGGGTGTATTGGGGGGTGTTCGCACCTTCATGCCCTCGACCACCTCGAGCTCGTTTTCCAGCGTGTTGCCGTCGGCGACGGTGATGACGCCCTCCTTCCCGACCTGCCGCATCGCCTGCGCGATGAGCTCGCCGATCTCGCGGTCCCCGTTCGCGGAGATCGTGCCCACCTGCGCGATCTCCGTGTCGGACTCGACCTGCCGCGCCATGCTCTTGAGCTCCTGAACCACGCGGTCGACGGCCGCGGAGATGCCGCGGCGCAGGTCCATGGCGTTCATGCCGGCCGCGACCGACTTGCAGCCCTCGACGAGGATGGCGCGCGTGAGCACCGTCGCGGTCGTCGTGCCGTCGCCCGCCGTGTCGTTCGTGGTCGACGCCACCTGCTTCACCAGCGACGCGCCGACGTTCTGGAACTTGTCCTTGAACTCGATCGACTTCGCCACCGTCACGCCGTCCTTGGTGATCTTCGGCGACCCGTACGGCTGCTCGATCAGCACTTGCCGGCCCTGCGCAGCAACAAACACACAAAGACTTAGCACGCCGCGTGGGCGGGCGCCGCGGCGTCGTTTCGGCGCAAGGCGGCCCCACGCGGTGCATCGGGGTCAGCCCCGTGACGGACGGTGCGGCGGCGGGGCTGCGGCGCGTCCGAGCGGCGGTGCGGCGCGCTGGAAGGTAGCATCCACCAGTCCAGGGTGGGGGGGGGCGATGGCGCAGCGGGCCGCGGGCGCGGTGCGTTGCGGCGGCGCGGATGGCGAGGTCGCGGCGGTGCGTGGGCGCCGGGCGCGGCGGGATCCGCGGTGCGGCGGCGGGCGAGGGGCTAGGGTCGGTGCCGGAGGAGAGGCAGGGAAGGCTGCCGTGGTGCGTCGCGCGGGTATATTGCCGCGCGCGCGGCGCCGCGGGGGGACGAGGGAGCGGTGGTGCAGGGTGGGGGGGTCACCTTGGGCCCGAGGGTGACCTGGACAGCATCCGCGAGCTTCTCGACACCTCCCAACACAGCAGCTCGGCACTCCACGCCGAACCGGACCTCCTTAGCGGCGAAGTCGCGGGTCTGGAGGAACGGCGAAACCTGCGAGGCGGGCGCGCGGGCGGGCGCATCGATGTATCACCCGCGCGGACCGCGGTCGGACGCTGTTCTGGAACGCCCTGGTGGGCGGGCAGCACGCGCGCCCGAGGCTCCCCCCGCGCGATGCGACGCCGCGCGGACGTCGAACAATATGCATGCGGGCGGCCGGGGAAGGCGCGTGTCGCCGCGAATGCGCGAGCCGGGTGTGCGGGGCTACTTACCAGTCCTCCGCGCCCGCGGAGCTGCCTCCCGATCTGCCTCAGCATTTCCCCGCCTCGCGCCTTGTCTCGTTGCGTCGCGCCCCGCCGCGCGCCGCGCCGCGCCCCTCGAGCCCCCGCGAGGCGCCGCGCGCGCACACCCCTCTGGAGGACTGAGCAGTCAGTGACCCGAGCTGGTCCGTCAATGCGGCGCGCGCCGGGGCCCCGCGGCGCCTTCTCCGCCACCCGACCAGCTCGAACGTGCACCAGGAACCACCCACAGGCCCAGGAATAGCGGCTTGTCGGCTGTTCGCCGGGAGCTGAAGCTCCGCCTCGGTGAGTTGCGTCCCGCCGCGCGGGCCCGCCGCCGCCGCCGCGCCCGCCGCGCACGCGGCGTTCTCCGTCGTCTCGTGCGGCCGCGCGCGGGGCGCCGGAGGCCGCGGGCACGCGTTTCCTCGTCGCAGTGGTGTCCCGGACGGCCGCGGCAGCCCTCGCGCGGGCGCCTTCGGGGCGCCCCGCGGCGGCGCAGGACGTCGCGGGCCAGGCTCGTTGCTCGCGGTCGGCGTGCGACGGCTCTCGCGCGCTGCTGGGGCGGAGCTCGGGCTCCGAGGTGCACGTCCAGCTGGCTGAGTCGCTCGCGTCGCTCCCGCGCCGACGCAGGTTGTCGCCAGTGCGTTTTTGGTGCGAGGAAGGATGTCCGTCTGCGCTTAAGCCCCGGGACAGGGTTGCCGCGCACTCGCTGCCCCGTGGGCAAGCCACACACAGACGTCTCTCTCCCCGCAGGAGCACCGTCCTCCGCCTCGCGCTCCGTCTCTCTTCGCGAATGAGCGCCAACCCCGCGACCGCCTTCATGGCGCCGGCGTGCGCGACCGTCGGCCACCAGTTCTCGGCCCCGTTTCCGGCCATGCGCCTGGGGAACGAGGGGTCGACGACGACGGGCGCCAACCATGGACGCAAACGCAGAAATGACGCTTTCATCGACCAGAGACCGGCGAGCAAACCGGCCGTGATGCCGCAGCCCGACTACGGGCTGCAGCCTTCCGCTGGCCACTCCCACCACTCGGCCGGGGCGCAGAGCCAGCACGGTCACGGCGACGGCCTTCACAGGCACGTCCTGACCAGGCAAGGAGTTCAGGCAGCACAAGCATGGCAAGTTCCCGTGGCCAACCAGGACCTCCCGGACCACACCGCTGCCCACCTCCCTGCGCCCTACGCCGCCCACGCGGACGACCAGGCCCCCGGCCGGATCGCCTGCGACCTCTCCTTCATCGGGGGCAAGTACTCCAACGGCGCACTCGCCGAAACCAACGTCACCTCGCCCGCGCGGTGCGGCTTCCCCCCGGCAGCGGCCTTCTCCGACGCGTTCACGCGCCCGGCGTCCGCCGCGTCGACCAGCTACTTCGCCAACCCGTCGAGCGACTCCATCCTCAGCATCCAGGACCCCTCCCCGGACAGCACCGGCTCCGCCGTGGACGCACCGCTCTGCACTGCCCCGCAGCTGGCGCACCTCGCAGCGGCCTCGGCTCACGCCCAGGCCCCCGCGCCCCAGAACTACCTCGCTTCCCTCGCGCCGGCCGGGGCGCCCCACAGCTACCCCGGGGCGCCCCCGGCCGCCCACGCGTGGCCCCAGCAGCACCAGCAGCAGCAGCAGCACGTGCCCAGCCTCCACGCCGTCGGCTCCTCCACGGGCCTCTGCTACGAGCAGGCGCAGCAGCAGCACTCCGAGCACTCCACGCAGCTCCACGACGGTACGCGCCCCGCCCCGCGCACCCCCACGCGCCCCACCGCCGCTGTAGTAGGCCCCTGCAGCGCGCACAGCCCACGACCCGCGCGGCGCCCCGCTCCGCGCCCTCGTCCTCACGTCCTGCGTGCCCGGCCGCCTCGGTTCGATGCGCAGGGTCGCAGAACGACCTCACCGCGTGCGGGAACGCGCCGGCGGACGCCGCGGCGACGGCGACGGGCCTCACCATGATGTCGGCGCTCAAGTGCCTGCACCTGCAGCCGCAGCAGGCCGCCGGGGGCGCCCCGCAGCACCTCCCGGCGCAGCAGCTGTGGCAGGCCGCGCAGCCCGGCGCCGCGTGGCCGCCCGCGAACGCCATGTGGTACCGCCCGCACGTGCCCGCGCCGGCCGCCGGGCGGCTGCTCCAGGGCAGCCAGCTCCTCGAGCCGTCGTGCGCCGCGCCCGCGGTGTCCGTGCAGCAACCGCCCGCGCCGCCCGCGCCGGCCGTGGCCACCTCGGCCGCCAGCGACGCCGCCGCCGCCGCTGCTGCGACGCCCTCGCGCAGCGGCATCCGCGCGTACCACCTGAACACGGAGAAGAACCTGCTGCTCGTGACGCCGAACTACACGCGCCACGTGCAGTCGCTCGTCGCGTCGTGGGCGGTCCTCGCGCGCGTCACGGCCCGCGCGACGGTCACGCGCGCCGTGCGGCTCTGGCGCGAAGTGCTGCCGAAGCTGTCGCTCCAGCGCTGCGTCGAGATCGACCCGGAGCAGCCCGTCGTCGCCGTGCTCGCGGCGTGCTTCTGGACGGCGTGCAAGCTCGAGGAGCCCCGCAAACACCAGATCAAGGGCGCCGCGCTGGCGCAGCTCGTCGGCGTCCGCGGCACCTCGGCGATCCCGCGCGCGGAGCTGTACATTATGGACCTGCTCGACTGGAAGCCGCTGCTCGGGTCGCTCCCGGACCGGGAGGCGCCCGCGAAGAGCGACGCGTGAGCGGCTGTGCGCGCTACCTCTCGAGGAGCCGCACCGCTCGCCGACGTCGATGTGCCTCGCCGCGCCCCGCCTGCCGCTGCCGCGCCCCGTTCGCGCCCGCGTTGTTTCGCCGCGGGTCGAGCGCTGCGTGTGCGGCGCGGGGGGGGTGTCGTGCGAGTTGCTGTCGTTGGAGACCTGCAACGATGAAGGACACCCTATCTCCGCACCGTTGTCTCTGCATCCTCGCATCTGCAACACACCTGATTGCGCGGTGCGCTTTCACCCCCGTCATTGCAACCCCCACCCCTCTCTCTACCCCCCCCCCCTTGCACCTCCATGTCCAACTCCCCCTCCCCCCGTCAAGACATGCAACCCCAATCGATTGAAGCATTGTAGAGTAGTGGCCCCGTCCTGCCTGCCCCTCGCGGCACAGTTTGCCCACCGCCTCGACGCCCGCTGCCGCGCCACGCGCCCGCGCCGGGCCGTGCCGCGTGCAGCCGCGACGTCGCCACGGCGGCAGCGGACGGCGCCAGCCATCTCTGCCCGCGTGTCGCCTCGTCGGGCCACGCTCTCGCACTCGGGCGCGCACCGCAGGCCCGAGAAGGCCGCCACCGCCCCCGTGCTCGTCACGTACGCGCACAAGTCGTCCGGGCACCGCGTCGGGCCTCCGCCACACCGTTTGAGGGAGCTCTCAACCACCTGCACGCCCAGGTTGGCCTCGCCAACAACGCTACAGGACTTTCCAGCTGGAAACGCCACACGCCGCGCCCCGGGCTGCCACGCCCCCTTGCGCCCCCTCCGCTGCGTGCACTCGACGTGCGCGCGTGGTGGCGGTGGGCAGGAGGGGGGTCTGGTGGCAGTGCGGGGTGGAGCCGCCTGGTGCCATGCCACGGGCAGCGCGCTCGGCCCTCTATCCCAACCACTTGCTCTATTTGCGGCCGCGCTCTCGAGCACCGCTCTTGCCAGCACCCGCCCACCGCGCATGCGGCTTGGCTCCGCTGCAGCCCACGGGCATCAGCAGTCGCGCTGCGAGCAAGGTGCGCCCGCGCCCTCTCGCCGCGCGAGCAGGTCTGGCCGCAGGAATGTGAAAAGTTGTTCAGTTGCGTCGGTGATCGCGGAGTCGCGCGCGCGTGGCGCACCATTTCGGTCGCTCAAGCGTCCTCGCGGCGAGGGTGCTTGTAGGTCAGCAAAGTACTATAGCGAAGAACTATCCTCGCGGTGAGGGTGCTCGTAGGTCAGCAAAGAACTTTCCGAGACACGACGGACTGGCAGCGGCGATACTGGTCGAGTCGGTTGAGGGCATGCGGCGTCAGATACAAGCTTGCGCGGCAAGCAACGGACGAGCGCAGCAGTGGCGGTTTTGCCAGGCTGCGGCGTCTCCAACTCTTTCACTATGTGCGCAGTCAGGATCTGGGCGGTCATTGCTATAGTCACGGCTCGTCCAGCGCCACCGCGGTTGCAAGGCAGGTCACATCGACACGTTCGAGCCCACTGCACTGCTACGGCGTCGGACCCATCCGCGCGCCCCCCAGGACGCAGCTCATGCGCGCAGCAGACAGCGGGGCCTTTCGCGACGTCCTGCGCGCCCCACGTGGAGCATCATCTTCCAGCCGCTACCCGATGTACTGCCACAGCAGCGTCACGCGCACCACCGACGGCCTGTCTTCTTTTCGCCCCCCAACGACCCCCCTGACCATCAACGCCAGGGTCCCCACCACGGCACGCGCGCGACAGCGCCCGTCCGTCACTCCGCCTTCGACTTGGCGCGGAAGAACCCCCGGCGCTTCCGCGGGCTCGGCGCCGCCAAGTTGCCGCTGCCGTCGTCGATCGTGTGCAGCTGCGACCCCGCGACGCGGCGCAGCTTCATCGAGTTCTCAGCGCTCATCTGCGACCCCTCGACCGCCCCGGCCTCGCTCTCGAACCGCATCCGGTTCGACGGCCTCGCCGACAAGTCCCACCGCCTCAGCCCCGTCCCGCGCGACGGCGACGACGACTCGCTGAGCAGGCGACTCCGCTCGTAGTTCGCCGTGCCGTTCCGCGACATGGCCTTCTCCTTGGACCCGCCCTTGCTCGCCGAGGGGCCCTGCGCGCCGCCGGCCTCGGTCCTTTCGCGCGCCTCGACCTCCCCGCTGAAATCGAAGATGCCGTCCATTCGCTTGTCCATGGTGTGGCAGGCGTCCAGGAGTTCGCCGGTGACGGCGAGCTTGTCGGCCGTGCGCGCCACGAGGTTCTCGCTCTCCAGGAACGCGATCGCGCGCTCGGGCTGGAAGTCGATGTCCATCCCGAGCGTGGTGCTGGCAAACTCCTCGACGCGCAGGTCGAGCTCCTTCTCCGTGAGCGGGCGGCGCGCGGTGCGGAGCGCGTGGTACGTCAGGAGGATCTCCTTCATCATCTGCGACTGGTTCTCCTCCATGAGCGCGTGCAGCGTGCCCTTCCCGGAGTCCATGGTGTGCGTGTACATGAGGGTGGACATCACGTGCGTCGAGTCGCGGATCTCGCGCTGCACGAGCGTGTACTGCATGTACACGCGCCCGAGGACGGCCCCGAGCACCGTCAGCACGACGCTCCGGTCCACGTCCGTGTTGAGCAGCGTCCACGCCGCGCCGCCGACAGCCACGAGCGTCGTGACGACGAACTGCAGGAGCCGCAGCTTCGAGACCGTGACCTTCTTGTCCGGCATGACCATCTCGAGGTCCGCCATCGGGATCTCGCGGAAGCGCTTCACGTACAGGTTGCGCGTGAACGGGAGGTGCGTCACGCGCTCGCCCTTGAGCTTCGCGCGCTTCAGCTTGAGCGTGTCGCGCCGCGCGACCGTCCCGCGGTACGCCGCCTGGATCTTCGTCGCGGCCGCCTGCGCCGCGGCCTCCCCCCCGCGGTACGACTTCTCGCCCAGCCGGCCGTACGTGGCCTTCTCGCTGGGCCCCTTGGGCTGCGGGGGCTTCTCGCCCGATATGAACACCGCGGGCGTGAACGCCCCGGTGACCGCCTGGTCCTCCGTCGGGAACTTCCGGCGGTACACCGTCACCACGGACTCGAACGCGGGCTCCGTGATTTCCACCTCTCGGAAGAGGTGCTTGAGGACCTGGCCCGCTGACGTCAGGGTGCGGCGCAGCGTCCGGCGGACCACGTACCGCACCGCCGTCGAGTGCGGCTCGAGGTGCGCGAGGTTCGGCTCGTCGTCGGCGCCCCAGCGCAGCGTGAGCACGCGCCCGATGGCGCGCAGCGGGCTCCAGACGATGTAGTCCAGCAGCAGCTCCGTCTTCTCGGGGATGAAGCGCCCCGTCGTGCGCAGCTCGCCGACGCCGCGGTAGAACACCATCACGCGGTCGAAGAACTCGGCCAGCTGCGCCCGCTCCTTGGGCCTGCAGCGCGCGGCGGAACGGACGATGACGCGCGGCGGTGGGGGCGGCGAGGGGCCGCGGCCGCGCGTGCGGAAGACGCGTGCGCGCGCTGCGCGGGGGGCGGCGGCGCGACCGGCGCACCTGCGGTTCCAGAACGTCGACAGCAGCCTGTCGTCCAGGGTGCTGTACTCGACCTTGAGCGGGAGCGCGAAGAGGAACTCCTCCTCGCCCGCGAGCTCCCACGCCCGCTGCGTCACCCCGCGGTACCCGCAGATGTCGAGCACCCCGACCAGCTCCTCCAGAAAGTCCTGTTCGAGCTGCAGAACACAAGGCACAAAAACGGACCGCACGCGGACCCGGGTGGGCGCCTGCGGAGGAGGCCGCGGGCTCTGCGGTGGAGACGCGTCGGCGCGGGGCGCGCCGCCGGCGGGGGCGGGTTTCCGTGCCCCGCATGCGCGGTGCCGGGGCTGGCGCGGATGGTGGGAGAGGCGCGAGCGCGAGCGAGGTTGTGGGTGCGCTGGTGGCGCCGATCGCGGGGGCGGAGCGGTGTCTTCGCAACGGACACGGGGGTGTAGCTGGGGGTGTCGCTTTGGGGGCCAAAAGGCCGGCTGGCGCTGTGACATTGCGTTGTGGCAATCCAACTTGTGGGCCGGGACGGCCGTGCGAGGTCGGTGGAGCACAGGGCGTGGGAGGTGGGAACATCTCCTACCTTGTCCATGAAGGCGCTGTCGTGGTAGTCGAACTCCCCCGTGGTGAAAATGGGGCGGTCGTTCCCCGCGGAAAGGAGGAGCTCGAGCTTCTGCAGGAGGTCCCGCTTGGCGCACGACAGCTCCCAGCCGAGGACGCCCTCGAAGAGGGTGGCGAGGTCGATCCAGTACTGGACGTCTTGGCCGCTCAGCTCCCGCCGAATCAGCGCATTGAGGTCCGCGACGGTGAGCGGGATGGAGCTGGTCGGGGTGCACGCCACGGTCAGCGGCCTGCGGAGGGCGGGGGGGGAGGGGGCTGGTTGGCTGGAGGGAGGCGCGGCGTGCCGTCGGATGGAGGGCGGCCGGGCGTGGCAGCGGCCTGCGGGGCGGAGGGTGGAGTGGGGGCACGCTGGAAGCATGGGCGTGCAGCGGGGGCGCGCTTCGAGCCGCTGGGCGGCCCGCTGCGCCTCGAACGCGGGTAAGCCGGGCGTTGGAGCGGGCGGGTGCGTCGGCCGCGGGAAATGGGCGGCGGAGTCGGGAGAGATGGCTGGTGGTGGTTTGGGGGGGGAACAGCGTGCTTGCGCGTGCTCGGGCGCGGCGCCGCCGTGGCGCGACGTGGTGGGGCTGCTGTGGAGGGAGACGGGTGCTCTGGGCGGGAACATCGCGTGCGGGAGGCCCCTGAGGTGGAGCTGAGAGCGACCACGACAACACGACGGTCGTCCTGGCCGCGGACAGCGCCTCCGCCCGCGAAGTCGGCGACGGAGCGAGGACGCTTGTTTTTGGGCATGCTGGGTCGGACGTGCTGACAGGAATCCGCGGCCCGCGCGAGAGGTGGCTGGAGCGGAACGCAGGCGACCCGCAACGGGGGCTCGTCGTACGCATGGACACGGGCCGATGACGCGAGCACGCGGAAGGACGCGTACTGTGCTTTCGCCAAATCCCGGACGGGGCCTTTTTCGGCCTTCGCCGGCGCCCCCGCCTCGGAAGCTCCTCCGGAAGCACCCATTTCGCCCGTGCTGCGGGCACCGCGGGCTTCGCGCCAAAACAAGACCGCGAGGTGCCCCTCCCGGTCGATGCGCGGGGCCGACAAGCCACGGAGCGCCCAGAACCTGCGAACGCCGCACTCAGGGGGGGTCCGTTTGTTTTTTTGGATGACTCACCACCGGCCCGGCCGACACACGCGCAGGGGCCCGCCGACGAGAACGACGTCCTCGCTGGCGGAGCCATGCGAGCCGGCCACCGCCTCCCGACCGCCAACGTTGTACTTCTGCCCCCACGGATGGCCGTTCGCATGACGCTACGCTTGCCACTCTTCATCTCCGGCGAGTCCCTGCTTCGAGCGCGACTCAGTGCCCACGGTGGCCGTGAGCGCAGCAGTAGGACAGCGTGCGGCGCTCGCGGACCGCTCTCGGGGGCCAGTGTCGGCTGGATGCAGCAATGGAGTTGTTGCAACATGGACGGTAGAACAAGGAATCAAGGCAAGATAAGTCATGGGACGTCCCCGCCGCGTACCGCCAGCACACGCGGACGAGTCGTCCCGCATGCAGAGCTGAGGTGAGGTGTCACATTCTTCGCGTCGTCAGCCATAAGGCTTTGGGACCTGAAAAGATCATTCGACTAGGTGGCGAGTCATGCTAACCCCCCACCGTTATGGTAGCAACAGGTTCGGCAGCTGTGACAGAGTCAGCCTGGAGCAGATCCTCGATGCCACGAGCAAAGATCGCCATGCCTCGCTGATTCGGCAGGTTCAGAAGATAACGCACTGCAGCGTTGGCAGCGGCTTCCGAGTCGAGTGTTGCAGCGCCGTACAGGTCCTCGAGGTGCTGGCGTAGCCGGCGGTTGAGAGCGAAGCGGCGGCGCTGTCCAACAGTTGCCGTGGAAGACAGGGGCGCATCGGCAGCTGGCGGAAGTGGCAGCGTGGGCTGCCCAGGCGAGTCCATGGCCAGGCCCGCTCGTTCCCGGAGAGAGCGTACCGCCGGGGCGCAGCAGTCCAACAGCAGGTGGCGGAGGTCCTCCGGGGCGGGCGATGCCGCCACGTCCACGCAGAAGCGGCAGACTTTCGATGGGTGCGACAGCGGCGTGTGTTGCCACTGCTGTTCCTGGTCCGCCATGGCCATCGTGGAGGTGCGCAGCCTCGTAGCTCCCACACGCAGGCGGGACAGGGCACGGCGGTCCGCGTGGTAGATCGCGGTGTCGAGCAGATGTGGAGGGATGGTGCGCGGTGGTGGCTGGCACCACCAGGCGTACCTGGCCCGTGTGCGGCCAAGCCCGTGCTGAGTGACCTCGGTCCGGGGGTCCGGGGTTGCCGCGGGCTCGTGGTCCGGCAGCACGACCTGAGCGATCTTTCGTACCCTGCCCACAGCAGGTGCCGGGTGTGGCTGCTGCGGGGTCCCTGGCGTGCCGCCTATCTGAATGATGGCCGCCGCGATGTGCGCTGCCCACGGTAGCTCGCGTTTACGGAGGCGGTGGGCTGCGGATTCGGCGCGCCTTGTGCTCGTACGAGTTGTCGACGTCGTGCGTAGTCCCCGTCGGCCAGCGCCGCCCCTGCCTCCCCCGCGCCGCCCGCGACCCCGTGGTCGTCCGCCTCGCCCCCGTCCCCGGGTGCTCCGTGGCTGCGACCGCTGGCCCGGCTCATCCGAGTCCGTCAGGGACGTCGTTGAAGACGCAGTAGCGTCGTGCGACCCCTCGTATTCTGATTCGCTGTCGCTGTGTGTCAGGCGCAGGGCTGGTTGTTCGGTCACACCAGGTGCTGGTGCGTCACCAGGCAACACGCAGGCCACGCTGCCCCGGCGCAGGCCCCCCCTCTGACAGGCTCCCGCTTCCTGGAGGGCCTGTCCCCCGCAATGGATCCATTTCCACGAGATGCGCCCCGTCCCCGGAAATCAACGTCACGCACGCGCAGCCACATCAGCTGTCGCTGTCGATCTTCCGGTGCGGAGCGCGCACCTTGGCGACGAGCTTCTTGCCCTCCGAGCCGCCCTTGCTGAACCGCTCCTGCACAAGTGAGCCGCGCACCGCCCAGCGTTCACGACACGCACGCCGGACACAAAAACATGCGCTCGCTGTTGTTGGCCGCACTGCTGTGCACGTCCCGGCGATTTCGGCGCCGCACCTCCTGCTCGTAGCACTTCTCGACGCCGATGATCTCGCCGAACTCCTCGAACGTCGCGAGCGTGTCCAGGCGGTCCTTGAGCGTGCTCTTCTCCCGCAGCGTGCCGTACGTCCACTTCAGCGCCTTGGTCGCCGCGTACAGCGCAGTGAGCGGGTGCACGACGAGGTGGTACCCCATGTCGTGCAGGTCCGCCTTGGTCATCAGCGGAGTGAGCCCGCCCTCGAGCATGTTCACCACACGCAGCCCGCGCGTGCGCTCGCAGATCTCCTGCATCTCGTACTTGGACCGCGGGGCCTCGACGAACGTCGCGTCCGCGCCGGCGTCGTAGTACAGGTTCGCGCGGGCGATCGCGTCGTCGAGGCCGTGCTTGGCCGAGAGCGCGCGCGCGTCGGTGCGCGCCACGAGGAAGAAGTCCGAGTCGCCGATGGCCTCGCGGGCCGCGCAGACCTTGATCGCGAACTCCTCCATGTCGATGCACTGCTTGCCGCGCATGTGGCCGCACTTCTTCGGCCATTGCTGCACACACACACACACACGATGAACGCACCCCACGTGGGTTCGATGCGCGACACGCCCCGCCGGAGCGCGATCGCGGGAGGTCGTGCGAGCCGCGCGGCGCCCAGCACCGCAACAGAACGCAGGGCGCGGCGACCGGCGGGCAGGGAGGAGTTGCGGAGCGGCGGGGGGGGGTGTGTTGTGTTGCACCTGGTCCTCGAGGAAGCAGCCCTTCGCGCCGGCGCGGATGAGCGACTTGATCGTCCGCTGCACGTTGAGCACGCCGCCGCCGCCCGTGTCGGCGTCCGCGATGACAGCGACGTTTGGCACCGCGCCGGTGATCTGCCCGGTCTTGCGCGCCATCTCGGGCGGCGTCAGGAGGCCGACGTCCGGCTCGCCCAACAGCGCTGCGGACGGAGGAGGGGCGCTGCGCGGTCGGCACGCGACCGCGCCTGCTGGTTGCGTGCTGGGAGGAAGGTGAGGTGCGGCGCACCTGCGCTGACGGCGTAGCCCGAGACGAAGCTGGCCTTGAAGCCGCTCTTGGCGCAGATCATGGCGGTGAGCGCGTCGTACACGCCCGGGAGGTCCAGGATCGCGCCCTGCGAGCGGGAGAACACCTCGAGGCAACGATCGTCGTGTGCAGCAGCGAGGGCAGGAGGCGACGCAAACGTTGGAGCAGGATCGAGGTATCCGTAGTCTCGCGGATCCGGAGCGGCGGAAATCGCTCGCGACCGAGGCGACGACGTGCGCGGGGCGCAGTGATGGCATGGCTGGTGATGTAGCGCGTCCCATGCGGTGTCCACGCGGTGGTATGCCCGAACTCGCAGCATCGTGCATGGCTTGGCATGTGAGCGTCGATTTCCGGGTGCCGTGGCCGGGGCGGACGGCGTGGTACGCCGGCGGTGCGGGCAACCGACTGCAAGGAGAGCGCACCTGCTCCAGGATCAGCTTGTGGACGGTGGTGTCCTCTCTGCGGCCCGAGAACGACTCCGCTCTACACCGGACCTGCCGCGGCTTGGTCCGGGGCGGCTCGCAGCACCCTACAAAGCGGCGGGCGGGGGGGAGATGAGGCGAGGACGCAGAGGCCGTTTCCGACGGCTAGGAGGCAGTCGTGGGGGCTTGTGCGCCCGAGATGGAATGTCTCATCGTGGTCAAAGTTATATACGAGCACGCATTCCCATATGATGGCCGGGCCGGCGCAGGCGGGGTCGTCGCTCCTCGGTCGACGGCTGTGCATCGGCCGGGCGCGCTCGTCGACGCCGGTGCGGCCTGTTTCAGCGGCGCACCTGCGGGCTTGCTAGCAGTCACGCAAACACGCTGCATCATGATGAGCGGATACGCAGCAGGGCCCTCTGGATCCCGATCTGGTCAACAGCAGTACCGTCTCTTCCGCCAGTGAGCGCCGCCAACGACAAGATGCTCGCACCTCTGACACTGTCACAGACGACAAGCGCTCCACCGTATCGCGCGCACCGCCCCCCGGCGGCCCAACGAGCCCCGAAGCTGCCAGCCAGCGCCGGTGGTATAATTCCAGTGAATTATACACCCCCCCCACGCCCCGCACACCTGCCCGCCCTCTGTCGCCGTCCCGCCCACGATCCCGCGCGTCCACAGCAGGCCCGCGCGCCGGCCGCGCCCACAAACGCCCGCTCCTGCGACGCGCACTGCTACGCCCGCGCACGCAGCACCGGCACGGCCCTGCGCAGCGCAGCGCACGCCCGCCCGCCTCAGTCGCGCCCGCGCCTGCGCACGGGCCCGCCCTCCCGCTCGCGCGGCATCCCTCCGCGCCGGGTGCCGCCGCTCCTGCGACACTCCCCCCACCTCCCCGGCCGAGACGCGCGCCGCCGAGCCCCGCACGCGCCGCACGATCACCAGCGAGCCCCCGGCCGCGACCGCGAGCCCGATCGCGAGCACGACCGGGATCGTCGCCAGGCAGCTCTCGCCGTCGCCGGAGAAGCCCCCCACCGTGACGAGGCCCGCGGCGAGGTGCACGGCGGACACGCTGCCGGCGCGGAGCCAGTTCATGCGCGGGAAGCCGCGCGGGGCGCCGTCGCCGAGCAGCGCGGCGCCGTGCGGGGCGGGCGGGAGCGCGTCCATGAAAAGCGGCATCGAGAACGTGTGCAGCAACGTGAAGCCCAGGGTCTGCAGCGCGGCTGCGAGGAAGTAGTTCATGCTCCTGCGGCGCGGCGCGGGGGCGGGGCGGGGTGGGGATGCCGTCTGTGGGGTGCGGAGGGTGCCGTGGGCGGGGTTGGGGCCCGCGCGGGGGGGGTGCGGCGCGGGGACGCGCCTGCAGGAGGGGGAGACGTAGGTTGCGTCCGAGAGCGCGATCTGGAGCGGCGCCAGGAAGAAGAAGACGGCCGTGGTCGCCGCGTGGCCGACCCCTTCCGCCAGCGCAAGCTCCTGCGTTTCGAGCTCGGTGAGCTTGCCGGCGGGGCTCTCCACCGCGACACGCTGCAGCGCGAGCAGCATCTTGCTGTGCGCCCACGCGAGGAGGAACCTGCGGCGGCAGGTCGCACGCACGCGCCGTGACGCAAGCGCAGACGAACAGACGTAGCAGAATCCGCGGCGAACACCCCCGAAATCGCTCCATTCTCGGACGCAGAGCGCTCTCCTTCTACCAAAGAAGCTGCACGGCGGCATTGCGACCCCGCGGGGCGCGATCACGCGGCGCGGTGCCGGGCACTTCGCTGTACCTGAAGGCTTCTTGTAACGCCACCGCGCAGATGACGGCGCCGGCGTACGGTCCGGCCTCGGGCTCGAGCGGCGTCGCGGGGCGCGTGAGCGCGGCGGCGAGGAGAAGCGGCAGGAGGAACCACGTGGCGGTGAACAGCGTCACTAGGATCAAGAAGCTCTTGTGTGCTATGTGCAGGGAGAACAGCGCGGCGAGGGGGCCCAGGCCGAGGAGGCCGTAGCCGAAGAACGCCACGAGCCCCATGATTCACCCCCTCGCCAGCCTCGCGGCGGCGGGACCGCGATCCAGCCCGCGTGCGCGCCCCTGTGCAAACGTCGCTGCGCGGGGACCCACGGCGCGAGCGCCGAGCTCTCGATGACCCACGCGGATGGAAAGGAAAGGTGGGCTCGCTGGAACTCGGCGCAGAAGGTGCGAGTCGCCGTGCTCGCGTCGCAGCGAGCCTGCCACTGTGACACGTCTACTGCCGCTGTCGCGACGTGACGCGCCTGAAACGATGCGTTCGATGCGTCTGCAGGTGCGAATGTGACCTGCGCAGGCCGCGATGGCGCCAACGGGGCCGGCCGAGCCCCACCAGCCCGCGCACGACGCACCTCCCCCCCCCCCGGCACACCCTCCCTCCAGGGCCCATTGCGCGAGCGCGGCGCTCCCCGCGACACTCGCCGGCCGTGCATCGCTGTCGCCGCTCGCAGAGGTCGACGCACCGGGTGCCGCTGGTGCGTGTGCGGTGGGTCGTTCGCGTGCAGCAGTTGGGAGTCAAGTTGCGCTGTGGGGCTGCCTTTCGCGGTCGCTTTCCGTCGGACGGGCATCTTTGCGTCGTACACGCTTGAATATTCGTCCACGAACGACCTCGCTGCCCGTGCGGCACGGACACAGGTGCGGCAGCGGCCCGGGATGCCCGCAGCACAAAGATCGGGCTGCACGGCGTCGTTCGCGCGGTGCAATCGGATACGCGCTGTCTGGAACGTTGAAGCAGCTGATGTGCGCGTGCTGGGCCCGCGGCGGCACCAAAGGACGGCCGCAGTGCCGTGGCTGCCGCTGAGAGGCCGGGCCCGGACCAAGTGTGCCCGCGTTCGTCCGTGAGGGAGCGCTCGGCCGCGGACGGACCGTCGCGGCGACGAGACGCATCAGGAAGAGGACGCGTCCGCGCGTGAGCTCCCGTGCTTCCGTGCGCAACCAACCCGAGCCCCCCAGCCATCTGGCGGTGTGCAGGAAGCGCCGCACGCGGCCCGCCGGGCGCTCGAAGCCCTCGTTTCGGGCGGTACCGCGGTGTTGTAGAGTAGAAGACGGCATCACGTGTGGATTAGCGGCCCGAACAAGCGTCCTGAGTCAGGAGCGGCGTCGCACAGCTCCGGGTCATGTCTTGGGCCGCGCAGAGCCGGTCCGGGGGCCGTGCGGGGGCGGGGGATTCTCCAGAGCCCGAGGAACTCGAGGACGACTCCGTGGAGGCGATCGGGCAGCGGTAATCCCCTCTGTCCGCGCCAGCAACGCCCACCCACTGCCACCTTGCTGAGCGTTCGAGGCGGCGCTGACGGCGTCTCCGGCGCCCCAAATCGCCGCTTTACGTGCGCACCGCGCTTGCAGAGTGAACAAGCTCCTGGACGACGCCAAGCACGCGATCGCGAAGCAGGAATACGCCCGCGCGGTGAACATTCTCACCGTGGCCCTGGACTACCAGCCCTCCGTGGTCCTCTGCCGCCGCCTGCGGTGCATCTCCGCCGCGGCGTCGGGCCTCTACTCCATGGCCCTCGAAGACGCGAAGCTCATCCGCGAGCTCCGGCCCGGAAACCCCGAGGGCGCGACCCTCTCGGGCCACATCTACATGCGAATGCAGCGCTGCGCTGACGCAGCCGCGGCGTACAAGTGCGCAGGCCCCGCCGCAGTGCGCCCAGCCTCCCCCCGCGTCCTGCGCGCCTGGCCGACCGGGCTGCGCGCGTGGTGTTGGTGTGCAGGGAGGCGCTCGACATGGACCCGGGGGACGTGGTCGTGCGCGACAGCTTTTCGCGGGCGCTGCTGATGATGCGGTCGTCTGTGCCGGGGCGGTCGAGCGAGGACGGGAACGGGGGCGGGGCCGCGCGGGTGTCCGCGAGAGGAGCGCCAGAAAGCCCCCTCAACAAGCTGCGGCATCCGAGGCAGCCGCTCCTGAAGACGATCGGCATGGACGACGTCCTGGAACAGGTGAGCGCCTTGGGCGGAGCGGGACGGCCGCGCGTGCTCGCGACGCTGCAGCGCGTTCGTGTTGCTTGCTGTGTCGGTCGCGCTGGGGGCGAATGTCACGCGGACTGCGATCGGAATGGGCGAGGAAAAAATGAATAATTCGCTGCGTCGATGGCAGGAGCTGCAACCGGGGATGCGAACTGCGACGGTGAGAGATCCTTCTCAGAGTCGTGTTCGTCCTCATGTCTGCGCCCGGTGCCCCCCACGCAGACGACGAACCTCGCCGCGGTGATGGAGTCCCTCGCGAAGGAGCAGAGCGAGGCCGAGGCCGCGTCGCGGCCCGCCACGGCCCGGAAAGAGGCCCGCCGCGCCGCTGCAGCAGCTCCAGCCGCCGCTGCGCCCGCGACAGCGCCGGGCCAGGAGGACGGCGAGCCGGCAGTGGACGCCCCGACGGACGGCACGGCGGTGGTCGTTCCGGCGACCCCGGGCGCGGCGCCGGCGTCCGAGCCGGGGGCGTCAAACCACGGCAGCACATCAGTCGACAACAGCGCGCACCTAGAGCGGACGCCGAAGGGCAGCATGCGCGTCAAAAAGTACGTAGCAACCCCGCGTCTGCCTTGGCTGTGCCGCCGCGTGCTCGTCGAGACCGCAGCCCGACAGCCACTGGGGATGTTTGAGAGCCGAATGATCGAACCATGCACACATTTCTATTCTTTTTTACATGTCTTATATGTCTGATGCTTACACGTCCAAGCATGAATGGCGAAACAAAGCGCGACAACGAAGCGGCGTGCCCACCACGCGCGTCTGTCCACTGCCGCGTGCATCCCGGTGCCTGCGCCCTCGGCGGCCCGTGTCGACCTCTGCGCATCCACCGGCGTCGGCTCTGTGCAGGGGCGGGGACAAGACGCTCGGGCCGGGCGGGCGGCTGGAGGCAAAGGTGCCGGGGACGTCGATGGCGGGCCAGGGGCGGTACGCGGCAGTGGCTGGCGGGCGGTAGAGCGGGCCGCGGGGAAGCTGTCCGCGCGAGGATCGCGCTGGTTGTGGCGCTGCGCGGGCGGTGGGGCGTCGGCTCGGTTCGGAGGGCTGATGCACACAGTGGAGGGAGAGGGGGGTGTGTTGCCTGCAGGTGTGATGCTGTGGGGGTGTTCGCGCAGTGCTGAAGCTTCGCTGTCGCGGTGCGCGTCCGGCTGCGGCTCTGGTGCGCGGTGCGGCGCTCCGGGGAGGGGGGGGTTCGGAAGAGTCCCCCAATGCCGTGTCCGGCTCTGTCGTGCGCAGCGCTCGCGACGCATTGCGCTGCTGCGGCGAGGCTGGCGGCCAGAGTTGTGGCCAGGAGGAACGGTGTGCGCTGCGCGTCGAGGTAGCAAGCGTCTACGAGTGCCGCCGGCCCTGTGCAGCAGCTTCCGCCCAGTGCTTCGCACCCGCCTCGTAAATTGGAGGTTTCGAGCGCCGGCTGAATCGAACAGCTGCGAACAGTGCCCGTCCGCTGCCCAAGAGGCCGTGAGTTCCTCTCTGGCTTCAGTTCGTGGAGCTCTGAGATAGGAAGGAGGCTGTCGTGCTGCTGGGCGCGTTGTGGGGGTCGCGCCTGGGGCTAGGGGGCGCGCCGGAGGGAGCGAGAATGGATAAGGACGGCAGTGCGGACCAGCCCGCCGTCGGGCACGAGGTGCTGCCGCAGCGGCAGCGCCGGCGGGCTCGGTACGCCCCCCGCCCGCGCCACCGCGTCGCCCCGACGATCGAATGACGCATACATCGAACGGAGAAGCAGCAGCTGATGCGTAAAGACGACATTACTTCACCTTTTCCGCCATATCTTGGCCCTGGTCCGCCAAAGAGCACAACGCAAGTGCCCGTCAGTCTTGCGCCGCCCTCCACGCCACGAATCGCGGCACCCCGACGCCGCTCTCCGCAGGGAACGCCCCGCCAAGCGCGCCCGGCGCGACGAGGGCCCGTCGGGCGAGCACGCCGCCCCGTCTGACTCGCCTGCCGTCAGCGACGTCGCACACAGGATACACGACACGCGCGTGGACTCCCCCGCCCCGCAAGGCGCGGAAGTCCGCGGCGACGGCCCCGGAGACGCCGCGGCGGGGCCGTCCGGCGGCGGCGAGGGCGCCACGCTGCGGTGGAGCACGCTGCCTGAGTACAGGAAGGGGTCTGTCAACGGTATGAATTTCGAGTATTTGGATCACACGGCCGACATCCAGGTGCACTCGTGGGGCAAGCGGCTCGAAGAGGCGCTCGAGGGCGCGGCGCTCGGGATGTTCAACTACATGTCGGACCTGCAATTCGCGACAATAGACCCCTCCATGACCAGGTGGGACTCCCCCCACCCCGCCGCCAGCGCATTGCCGTGCCGTCGCGCCCGCGAGTGAGCGCCGCGCCTGTCCGAGCGCCCTGCGGAGCAGCGCGCACCTGTCACCCGCGACGCAACGACCGTTGGTGCCCCGCATCCCGTTGCAGGGAGATCGAGGCGACCGGGCACGACGCGTCGTCGCTGCTGTTCGGTTTCCTCGACGAGCTGCTGTTCACGTTCCACACGGAGAACCTGCTGGCGAAGCGCGTCACGGTCACGGAGCTGCGTCGCGGGGGGGAGTCGTGGGCGGTGCGCGCGCGAGTGGAGGGGGAGGCGTTCGACCGCACGCGGCACGAGATCGGCACGGAGGTCAAGGCGATCACGTACAGCGCGATGCAGATCATCGACGAGCCGGACAACGCCGAAATATTCGTCATTCTAGACATATGAGGCAGCAAATGTTTCTGTGTGTGCTGACCTGCTCCTGGGAGCTCCGCGCGCGCGCGACGTGTGAGAAGCTCATTCGCTCACAGCCGGACTCGTCGGCCCGGTACATTTGCCCTGCGGTTCGTCGCTAGGGCCTGGAAGCCAAAACTGAAGCAGCGCCGCAACTATCGCGGAATACTACGCTGCCTGCCTCACGTCCGGCCGGCGCAAAGCTCGCACAGCATCCGCCGCCCGCCCTCGCACAGCGGCAGGGCGGGGGGCGCCAGCACTCCACCTGCCAGCGGCAGGCAGCAGGCATCTGCCACTCATTGCTGTGCCACCCTGACTAAAATGCAGACGATCAGATTCGCCGGGTGGAAAACCATCCCCCCGCTCTCTGGATCCACGCGTCGCGTTCAGAATCGCGAGATGTCGCGGCCGAAGATCTTCGAGCGCAGCCAGTCGGTGGTCACCAGCGCCTGGTTGCGGAAGGAGATTTGGCTCAGGGTCTCGAAGGCCTTCCAGCCGACGCCCGCGCCCTTGCCCATGATCGGGCCGATGACGGGGATGTCCATCACCGCGTTGTCGCGCCCCACGTATGCCAGCGACCCCTTGTGGTTGTAAGTGAAGGGGCGGTAGGTCTTCTTGCCCGCCTGGATGGCCTCCGCGCCGACGTCGTCCGGCTTGCCCTCGACCTTCGTGCTCGTGAACAGCTTCGCGAGGTACTCGCCCTGCTGCCGCGCGACCTGCGCGGTCGGCGGCAGCAGCCTGCACGCACACGCACGCGCGACGCACACCGTCAGGGCGCGGCGCACGCGAGGCACGGCACGGCCGACCGTCTAGCACTAAAAGGCGCCACCAAACACACGTTGGAAAATGAGGTTCGTGTATCGGGCGTGCGTGTCCCGGTCCCGATTACCGCGGCGCCACGTGCGCTGCCCGGCGGAAGGATCAGAAGCCGAGCAGCGCGCGGCTGGCGGCCGTAGGGGACCGGTGTATCTCTCGCAGGGGTGTCCAACGCAGCAGGGGGTCGAGCACCCCCCTGCCGCCCCTAGTCCCTGCACAGCCATCACTCCACCCGCATCGCCACACAACCCCCCCCCACCGCGCACCTGAGGTTCGAGTCGATCTGCGCGAGCAGGTCCCGGAAGCCCTCGAGGTCGAGCGCGTTGTTGTCGTCGTCCACCGTCCTGAGCAGCTTGTCTGCGCCCTTGAGCTTGGAGGGGTCCGTGGCCTTCCCGCGACGCTGCAGGATCTTCTTCACGAGGCCGCCGAAGCGCAGCTGGCCCTCGCCGATGAGGTCCGCGTACGCCTCGAGGTGCGGGTACTCCTTCTGTGCCTCCCGGATGATGCTGCGGTCGGACGGAGGGGGGGGGGTCCATTGTGGGATGCGCGGAGGGAGGCGCAGGCGCTAGTCGTGAGCGAGGGCGCCGTGGCGGGTGCGCTGTCGCGCAGGCGCTCGGGGTGGCCGTGCCCGGGACGCCCGTGCACCCGGCACGCGGCGCTGCCGCGCGGCTGCAGGCGAGCACATCGGCTGCGACGACGCCGCCTTGGACGACGAATACAAAGTGTTCGCGGGAAAGGCAGTCCGGCTGCTTTTCAGCACACCGGGAAAACCTTGCAGCGACACAAGCAAGCGCAGGGCGCACCTCCGGAGCTCGGGGACGCCGACGACGCCGTCCGCGTTCGCGTCCGCGCGCTGGAAGAGCTCCTCGCACTTCTCGAGCGCGCGCGGCTGGTAGATCGTCGCCGCGTCGCCGATCGCGTAGATCGAGCCGTCGGTGCCAAGCACGCGCAGGTGCTGGTCCGTCACGATGGACCGCATATTCCGCTGCACGCCCGGGTTCACCTCGTTGATGGCCTCGATCAGCGTCTCCGCGAGCGGGTTGAGCCGCACGCCCGTGCACCACACCGCCGCGCCGAACGGCAACTGCTCCTCGCTGCCGTCGGGGTTGACCAGCGTCACGGAGCGCGGGCCGACGGCCGAGACCTGCGCGGGACGGGCGAGGACGCGCACCGGGAGTCGGGGCGCGGGGCGGGGCGGCCGGCGAGGGGCGCGCCGGGGAACACACAGCCACCCTCAGCATTGCAGAATCACTGTCTTCACTGCGTCGCTCGTATGTAATTAGATATACGTGTGATGTCAAGGTCTTCACTGGGCGGCCCGCGCGGACAGGGCGGCACGGCACGGCGCGCCGCGCGTCTGCGGCCGGCGCACCTTGGTGTTTAGCCGCGCGGAGATGCCTGCTCGCTCGAACTGCTGCTTGGTGAAGTTGCTGATCTTGCGGTCGTACGTCCCGAGCACGTGGTCCGTGAGCTCGATGATCGACACCTTGGCGAGCTTCGTGAGCTCGGGGTAGAGCCGCGACAGGTCCTGTTCGATCTTGTCGTAGATCTCCGCGGCGACCTCCACGCCCGTGGGGCCGCCGCCGACGATGACGAAGGAGAGCAGGCGCCGCTTCTCCTCGAGGGGCGTGTGCGGGAGCGCGGCGCGCTCGAACAGCTCGGAGATGCGCGCACGCAGCGCGCGGGCGTCCTCGATGGACTTGAAGAAGTGACAGTGCTCCTCGACGCCCTGGACGCCGAACGTGTTGTTGACGGACCCGACCGCGACCATGAGCGCGTCGTAGGGGACCTGCGCGCGGGGCGGCGGGCGGGTCGGGCGCCGTGGGCGCCCGTGCGGTGGGTTGCGTGCGCGAGGTGTCGAGGCGCCGGTGCGGGCGCGGGCGGCGTGCCTTGAAGCAGGCGCTGTCGAGGCCGGCGTCGGCGGGGAAGCAGCAGACGAGCTCCTTGTTCTTGACGTCGATCGACTGGCACGCGGCCTCGTAGTACGTGCCCTTGCCCACAATCTGATTGCGCACGGGCTCGACGATGGACCTGCGGGCGGGGGGCCGGGCGCGCGATTCGGAGTGCTGCGTGGGGGGCCGGGACGGGACGTTCGGGGCGGTGCGGCCGGGGGCGGCCCGCGGCGGGCTCAGTGGCATTGTGTGTGTCGTCACGAAGCTCGCATCGAGCTGTCAGCCAAACTGTGAAATTCATGCTACAATCACTGCCCGCTGAGCGGTGCGGTGCCGCCGTGCGCGCACAGCGCGCCGGACAGCGCAGCCGCAGCGCATTGCGCCACCTGTGAGCCCGGGCGATGCCGAGCTTTGGCGGTGCGGGGCGGCTCACCGCGGCTCCATCGTGCCGGACGCCAGAGCTGGCAGGAGAGGCGTGTAGAGGAAGTAGTTCCGGGGCGAGATCAGGACCAGATCGTAGGTGTCGGCGATGGTCTTCGGCAGAGCCTTGACAAAGGACATTGCGCCCCAGCCGGACCCGAGGACGACCAGGCGCGGCTTTCCGGAGCTCGGGAGGCCGGGAACTTCGTCGAGAGTGCTCGGGTCCACATTGTCCGTGGTCTGCAGCGGGCAGCGGCCGGCGCGCAGACCTAGTGAGGTGGGAGAGCCTCTGTGGACGCAGCCGCCGTGTCGTGGGGGGGCTCTTGCCGCATCAGGCGGATCTGCGGGAGCTGGAGGCCCGCGGGCGGCGCTCAACGGCGCCGGAGAGCGCTGGCTGCGCGACTTGGCACGCGAGCCGCCCGTCCCTACGAGACGCCGGCGCCCGGCCGCGCACGGCTACAATTGCAGGCGGCGGCTCGGGACGGATGTGCGTCGTTCTGTGGCTCGCGTTTCGCGCGGGAACGCGCGGATGTCACGCTCCGTGGCCGCCGGGTCAGCCCGCGCGGAAGATGCCAGGGAAGCGCCCGGCGCGCGGAATCCCGCGGCCGCGGAGCTCCACCGCCGCGACCGGCCGCATGAAGTAACACGTATCGCGCGTTGAACCAGCTCGCCGCGGCTGCCCCGGCTCTCACCTGCGCCTGCCGGGTCTCGGTCTCCGCCACACGCACGACAGCGCGGTCCCCGCGGCCCAGTCGCCGAGCACGCCCCGCCTCCGCGCCCGCGCGTACACCGAGCGCAGCTGCGCGCGGCCGTGCCGCCGCGGCGGCGCGCGGCTGCGCCGCGACCGTTGGCCGGGCCAGGGAGTGCATGGCAACAGGCCACACCAGGAGCAAGGGGGCCGCTGGGAGCCTCGGACGCGAACTTTTCGCCTGTAAAACGACCTCAGCCGACAGTCCGAGCTTCGAACTTGCCACGCACCGTCGCCCCGAGGGGACACATCGCCGTCCTGGCCCGCGGGCGCGCGTTTGGTATAACCCTTCGAGCAATGCTCAGCAGGAACGAGCCCGGTGTCGCTCGAACGCACGCTGGGCGATCGCCGACGGGCACTCTCGCGCCGTCCCATCATTCAAGGAGTCCGCAGGGTGCGTTTTCGGACCGCGATCCATTGCGTTGTCGCGAGGAATGAGCCGTTTGTGCGTTGGCGCGCACGTCGCGCCGGTGCACGTTGCGCGGGCGCGAGTCCCGGGGCGCGTGCGGCACGGAGCGCGGCCCTTCCATGGAGGAGCCCTCACCGCGCGGCCGGAGGCGCGCATCGTCACGGTGAGCGCGGCGCCGCGCCCCCAACCACCACGGGCCGACCAGTTGCTTCGCGGCGCTTCCAGGCGCGACGCGGCGCGCCCCGCGCCGTGCGGCGCGCCTCCCGCGACGCCTACGGTCGCAGGCAACGCCCCCTCGCTGCAGCGCGCGGCGCTGACCGGCCGCGCACGGAGCGTGTGTGGTGCAGGCGCGCGCGACGAAACAGTCCTTCGGGTCGTTCGACGAGATGATCGCCGGGTGCGACGTCCCCGTCCTGGTGGACTTCTACGCGAAATGGTGAGGATGTGCCATGCACCGGAGGGCTTCGCGGCCCCGACGAGTGCGGGCGACGCAGTGCATCACGCGCAGCAGCAGTTGCCGCGTTTCTGGCTCTCGACGGGAGGCGCGTGGTACCCGCCCTTCACGTTGATGCCGGAGCGCGGGCCGCCAGAGGGGAGATAGGATAGGCAGCGCGAGCGACGATTTCGTTCGTGATGTTCCGTTTGCGCCTGCGTGCTCTCAGAACGTGCAAGCGCCGCGCTGAACGCGAGGAACGAGATCGTCGCTCGCGCTGTTCCCTGGCGACCTGTTCTGCGTCATTGACGCGAAGAGCAGCCACCACCACGCAGTCCCCGACACGAGCACTGCTGCCCTCCGCGCATCCTGTGGGACCCGCCTGCCGCCGCGTTCGTGGTGCTCGCGGACCGGGCGCCCAGCGCGACGCTGCTGTCGCACGTCGCAACTGCCCATCCAGAGCAGAGCGGCGTGCGCCCTGCGACGACGGCGACGTTGTGCGCCTGCGACCGCCGTGCCGCTCCCCGTGCCCCGCAGGTGCGGGCCGTGCCAGCTCGTGTCCAAGGAGGTGCTTCCGCAGCTCTCGAAGAGCCTCGGCGACAAGGTCAAGATCGTCAAGATCGACAGCGACAAGTGCGAACACGCAGAATCAGATTCACCATGCCACGCACCGCCAACCGGCAGATTCCGCCGCAGCACCGCTCCTCCTACCTCGCTCGCGCTTCGTCACGTGCTCCTCGCGCGCCTGCGCGACCGGACGTGCCGCCAACGGCCTGTGACGGCGCACTTATGCTTTTGTGTGTGATTGTGTGACTTCGTCGTGCAGGTACCCCGATCTGTGTACGCGATTCCGTGTGGAGGGTCTCCCGACGATGGTGCTGTTCGTGGACGGCAAGGAGGTCGAGCGGATCCCGGGCGCCATGCCGGCGTGGCAGCTTGACGGGCTGATTCGAAAATACATTTGACAGCCCGGTTCATGGACGCCCTGCACATGCTGCACCCTGTGAACCGTGAGGAGCATGCGGCGCGACGAACGCGACCACTGGACGAGAGCACGTGACGAAGTCACGTGCCAGCCATGAACGGAGCTTCCATCCTTGATCCTTGACTAATCTTGATCAAGAAAGATGAATAGAACATAGACAGATTGACCGCTATCTCGTGCGTTTGTAGCGCCTCGCAGACCCCCTTCGCGGGACCCTGAGCACGCAGGCAGGTCCATTCGAACGCAGGTGCACGCACGGCACGTTCCGCACCGTCACAGCTCCGGCGCCCTCCCAGCAACACGGGCGGCGCCCATCCGCACGTGCGCGCGCACCGTGTTCCTGTCCGCGACCGTCAGCTCGACGGTGCCGCGCTGCGGCTGCCGGTCCCTGGGCTTGACGTTCAACGACAGCCCGTGTCTGGCCAGCTCCCTCCGGATGGCAACGGAGACGTACCGCGTCACCAGCGGTGCCACCTCGCGCCCCCCCTCGACGCTGAACTCCCCCGCGTACTCCACGCGCGCCGCGATCCACGCCTCGAGCTCCCGCGGCCACGACAGCGCCAGCCCGACCCTCTGCAACCAGAAGAAAAGAAACCACAATAACATATATACATATATATCCAAGACATCGGACGGACACACATGCGGCACAGCGCGCAACCGCGGTGCCTGTTCCGCACGCAGGCGCTCCCGCGCCCGCTCGCACCTGCCGCAGCTCCCTGGCCCAAACGTCCAGCTCCATGCGCGCAATCTCCCGCACGGCGTCGCGGTCCAGCGGGAGGAACGGCACGAAGTGCCGCACCATCGACAGCGCGCGAGCCGTCTCGCCGTCGTCCCCGAGGCCCCCGCCGTCGTCCTGGCACTGCGCGCCCGCCGCGTCGCCCCCCGTCCAGCGCTCGAAGACCAACTCCTTGAGCGCCCGCTGCGACGCCTCGCGCGTCACCGTCCCCGCACGCAGCCCCGACGCGAGCTTCTGCACGAGCCCGAGGCCTAGGTTGGACTCCAGAATCACGATGCTGCGCGGCGCCGTGGCGTTCAGCGCTCGTCCGTGGTCGATCAGCCGCCGCAGCACCCTCCGCGCCTGGCACGGCATTCGGTCGTACTCTTCGAGCACGACGAGGCTCTCGGGATAGTCCTGCATGTGCTGCCGGAGCCGCTCGGAGACGGCGCGCCACTGCGCGTCGCCCTCCGCGCCGGGAGCGAAGTCGACGCCGTACACGACGTCGTAGCCGGGGCACGAACTGCCGGGGCACGCGCGGAGCTCGCCCGGGCGCGAGAGGCCGTAGAGCGCGCGCGCGGCCAGGAGGTGGAACAGCGACTTGCCGACGCCTGCAGGCACGCGCCACGGAAGCAATAAGTGAAAAAAAAGCACCGCAGTCTGAAAACAAGGTCTGACTGGCCGTGGTTCGGTCTGAGATGCAACGCATGGGTCGGCTGGCGCGCTGCACGTCGCCCTGGGTCGTCGCGGCCGGCCGCGGCCCGCGGGCCCTCCGTGCGCGTGCGGTGCGCGTGTTGACGTGCCTGGGGGCCCGTGGAGGGAAATCGCGAGCGGGCGCTGCGGGGCGGGGTCCGCGAGGTGGTCGCAGATGGCGCTGGCGATCTCGCGCGCGGCGTCGTCCTGGCCGCGCAGGTTCGCGGCGAGAGCCGCCTCGAGGTTGCTGCACGCGTGCGGGTGGAAGTGGGGCTGCCCAAGGCGGAGGAGCTTCGGCACGGAGAACAGCGCGAAGTAGCTGACGGCCACGGTCACGATCTGCGCGAGCGGGAGCGGCATCGCTGCTGCGGATGCCGCGGCGCGCGGAGCCGCGGGCGGCCCGGGAGGGTCAGGGCGGCGGTTGCGGGGCCTCGTTCATGGCCGGAAGAGGGCCGACGTCGGCGTCACGGCCGCATAACTGCGACGGCGCGTATAGTCGGCTCGCAAGGCGAGATGATACGTCGAGGGAGCGACGGCCTGCGTGCGCCCACGCCCTGCCGCACCGGCGCCAAGGAGCAGCCGTTGCGCACGAATTTACGGAATGCGAGGCTCTTCTAAGTCGGAACCTGCGCTCGATCTCGTAGTCTGCGCGCGCGCCGTGCAAACGTGCCGTCATGTCGCGCTGCCGGCGAGGCAGCTGCATCGCGGAGGGTGCGGGGTGGACTGTCCTTCGGAGTCCCCTCACGCGGCCGCAGGCGCGCGGGACGCCGCGACTACGACGCCAGCGCGGGCCCTGCCGCAGCAGCACACTCTCGCGGGCCGCGCCGGGAGCCAGGACGTGCGTGGACGTCAGACAGGGGCCGCCACCGGCGCAGCAAGAACGCACCGACCGCGATGCCGAAGCCTCAGAGGCCCGAGCTCGACATGTTCATCGACAAGCGCATGTCGGTCACTCTCAACGGCAACAGGCAGGTGGCGGGGACCCTCCTCGGCTTCGATCCGTTCCTGAACATCACGCTGGACCACGCCGTGGACCTCAAGCAGGACAACGCGCCGCTGGGGCGCATCGTCGTGCGCGGCGCGTCTATCCTGCACATCGAGGCGCTCGAGCAGATCTGGGAGAAGCGCACCAAGCAGCACTTGTAGGCGCAGGCGCGCCGCGCGCCCGCCCCAGGGCATCGCACGGCCTCGCGGGCGGCCGTCCTAGCAAGGGCAGGCGGCGGCGAGCGTCCACGGACCTCCCGGCGGCTGAACAAGATAGATGCACTTCGTCCGGACGACATCCAGTGGATGCGGCGCGCCGGGCGTGTCCGCAAGCCTACATAGATCTCTCCTGGCCCACTTCCCGCTGGCGGGAGGCCGCGCGGCTGCGGCACTGCGCGCCCGTCAGCCACAGGACCAGTCTACCTCATCGTGGGCGGCGCGTCGCAGCTCAATCATGACTGGCCGCCCGCAGGCGAGCCGCGGCGACTCGCCCCCAGCCGCCAGAGGCAACAGCGGCTCCTCCGCGGACGGATCTCCGCGCCGCTCAGGCGCCCCGGCGCGCACGAAGAAGGATCACAAGTGTGCGGTGTGCCTCGTGCCGCCAAGCAGCCTGTGGGACCCCATCCAGCGCGTCAGGGTCCGTCACGACAAGGGCTACGGGCGCTGGATGCCGCACATCAACCTCATATACCCGTGCGTGGAAGCCTCAGGTAGGCTCTCGCTTCCTCCGACGTCGGCGAGGCTTCCCGGGCGCGTGTGACTCCGCAGCGACGCCAAACGACCCCACGTGCTCACGCAGCCTCTGCTCCCCCCGCCGCCGGGCAGCGACGCGGCCCCCTCCCTTCCGCCCGCGCAGATGAGAGCCTGGACCGCGTAGCCAGCGCCCTGGCGTCAGCCTCGGCGTCCTCGGCGCCCTTCGCGGTTCCAGTGGGAAGTGACTCGCTCGGCCTGTTCCGCCACAGCGCCCGCAGCAGCACGGTGTGGGTCGGGCCGCAGGAGGGCGCGGCGCTCGAGCAGCTGCGCGAGCTGCAGCGCGCGCTCGCGTCCGCGCTGACTCAGGCCTTTCCCGACGTGGCAGGGGGGGGGTTCTGGGACCTCTCGAACGACCCCTCCCGCGACATCTCCGCGTTCGCGCCGCACCTGTCCCTCGGGCAGTTCGGCGGCGGCGACGGGCCGCAGAAGGGCCTGGAGTTGTGCGCGTCAGTCTTGCCCCCCCGACTGTCGTTCCTCGCGCAGGAGCTGGTCGTCATCACGCGCGCAGGCTTCGACGCGCCGTTCGAGGTGCGCCGGCGCGTCCGCATCGGCTCCGGCGCGGCCTCCGCGCCCGCGTCGCAGCCGTACGTGTGCCGGGCGGTCCCGCAGGACGCCGTGGCGGCGCATTTTGCCGCAGCGCGCCACGGGACGCGGACGGCGGCGATGGACGGCGGGGAGGTGCCCGGGAACGCCGGCGCGGACGTCGCGGGCGGCGCGTGGGACGGAGAAGGCGTGTGGTACTTTGCGTACGGGGCGAACATGGCGCCGAGCAAAGCGGAGGGTGCGCGCGGCCTGCGCACAGAGATGTCGTCGCCCGCGGTGCTCCGGGACTGGCGGCTGCTGTTCGCGCACCGCGGGGGGTTCGCGACGCCGCTGCCGCGCGCGGCTGTCGACGAGGTGTGCGCGGCGTCGGGCCGCGGGCTGATCGACGGGTAAGGGCGCAACGCAAGACAGGAAACTCTGTCTGTCGCTGTGCCGTGCAAACATGTTCGAGCCCGAGCAGCCTCGGCGCTCCAGACAGACACAGCACCGCCGTACTTGGGCACTACCGGACTTCGTCATCAGCATGCCATGAACCGAAACAGAGACATCTGGTAGGGTACAAACATGTTCATTCATTCCCCTCACGTTTGACCCCCCCTCGTTCCCCCCCCACGCGCGCACAGGACGCCGCAGGACGTGCACGGCGTGCTGCACCGCCTGACTCCGTCCGACATGCAGCGCCTCGCCGGCATGGAGCACGAGTACTGGCCTGTGGAGGTACAAGTCGAGCCGTACCAAAACTCCCCCGCCGCGGCGGCCGCCGGCGCCCGCGTGCGCGCCGTCGCGTTCGTCACGCCCCCGGAGCGCTGCGTGGCGCCCGACGCGCCGCCCACGGCCCGGTACCTCGGCCTGCTGCGCGAGGGCGCGGCACACTGGGGGCTGGACGCGGCGTACGCGAGGTGGCTCGAAGGGGCGGTGCCGAGCGTGGACGGCAAGGAGCGGGGCGCGGCGCACTATGCGTCGGCGTTCACCGGGGAGGACATGGCCGCGTGGCCCAAGATTAGAACAGGCGCGGACGGCCGGCGAAAGAAGGGGCGCGGCGGGCGCGGCGGGGGCGGCAGGGGGCGCGGACGGACGCCGCAGTGACGCAGCAGCGTGTTTGCTTGGGCCGGCGACGCGCAGGTTGGAACGGCGGGCATGAGCTTCGCTGGCGGGGTGGTGCGCGGCGCGCGATGTGGCCCGCCGCCGGCGTCCGCGCCACGTGCCTGGCACACAGCAAGCGCGTGAACTCCGTGTAACGAGCGATCAGCAACGCACAGCCACATGTTCTCGAGCAACACGCACGCATTGGCGCAAAAAAAACAAACAATGGCGGCGAAGCACCGCCGCCCGCAGGGCCGCGGCACCAGCCACACGTATCGAAGCAAGCTTGTTGACCGCCTCGCGCGCCTCCCAACTCTCAGTCGGCACCACCCGCGCCCAGCCTGGCTCCCCGGCACACGAGCGGCCGACAGCTATTCGCCGCGTGGCAACCTCGTTCACTGCGGATTCGTGACTCCCTCGCGCACGGCATCATTGTTCCTCATATCTCCACCTTCACAGCCGCCGCGCACGCCCCGCCTCACCCGTACCCCTTCCACAGCTGGTCCATGGCCCTCACCGCCGCCAGCGTGGTCTCCGCGACGTGCTGCCGGAACGGCGGCGGCGGCACCTTCCCGCTGCGCACCTCGAGCCACGCGCGCACCGCGCGCTGCAGGATCACCACCTTCCGCCGCACATACAGGAAGGGTTGTTTATTGGCGAGCAGCCCAACAACCTTCTCGCGGGCCTGGTTCCGGAGGGGGCGCGCCATGCCCATCATGCCGATGCGCATGCACATCTCGACCGCGAACGCCTGCCGGATGCGCCGCGCGCGCCACCGCCGCTGGATGAACACCGTGGCCTTCACTTGTTTCTCCAGCACCTGGTTCATGACCTTGGCCATTCTGGCGCGCCGGTACGCGATCTCGACCTTCGCGACGGCGTCGGCCATGTCGAGGATCTCGCAGCGCGTCCTGTGGCCGCGCCAGAAGGACTGCAGCGTCACCGCGGCCAGCCAGCGCCGCAGGGGCGACACGTCGTCCGCCACCTGCATCGTCTTCACGTTGAACCAGTACAGCCGGCCGTACCCGTCGCGCACGTCGATCCACGGGCCCGTGAACGGGATCTCCTTCGTCACCATCGGCTGCCCCGCGCTGTCCTTCTGCCCCGAAAAGTACCGCGGGGGACTATACTTGTACAGCCGCGACTTGTTCGAGAACGCCGGGCGCTTGAGGTTCCGCAGCGTGGCGACCTTCTCCTTGTAGAAGTTCGTCCCGGGGTGGCTCCGCGTCATGATGCCGGACTCGGGGTCGCGGTACACTGCAGCGGACGTGCAGCGAGGGGGCGGGCCACGCGGTCAGGGCGGCGCGAATCAGCGCGAGCGCGCTCGGGCGCGGTTGCGTGGCGGTCTGTGCGGGTTCGCGGGCGCAGAACGCGGGCGGTGCGCGCACTCTTCATTCCGTTCTGATCGACCTCCTCCCAGCCTGGGGGCAGCGGCTCTACGACGTACGCCTTGGCGATCCAAATGAGGTGCGGCTCCGCGTCCGGGTTGATCATGAGCTGCGCCACGGCGCGCGAGATCGCCTTGGGGTCGTCGATCGGGTGCAGGAACTCCATGACCAGGTGAGGGTTGATGTGGTGCCCCCCGAGCTGCTTCTTCCACCGCTTCGCGGCCTTGAGGTACTTGACGAGCTCCCGGAAGCGCGGGGTGTTCGGGTGCTCGTCGGACTCGACCTTGTACTGCTGGTTGACGTACCGCAGGGACCCGTCCGGGAACGCCATCTTCTGCCACGAGGGCGGGAGCTGGTCGCGCTGGACGAGGAACTCGTTCACGACCCACGTGACGTCGAAGTCGGCCAGCGGGTCGATGTTGAGCACCTTCATGATCAGCGTGGACTCCTGCGCGACCGCATCGGCGCAGGGGACAGCGACCGACGGTGAGCCGGGCCCCCCGGCTGACGCCTCGACACGAGCTAGGGGCGTTCCGGGCCGTGTGTTCGAGGTCTGGATGCAGCGGGTGGGGGCAGGTGTGCGTGGCTGGCGCTGCAAGAGCGGACGTGGGGGGCGAGGAGTGCATACGTCTTTCGCCGACATGACCTCCTCCGCCATGTTGATGTGCGAGCGCGCGGCCATGCCCTTGGGGCCCAGGGGCGCCCTTGAGACCGCCGCCATCGTGCCCGGCGCCTGCCTAGCGGGGGGACGCTGGCTCTCCTGGCACCTGCTCCGCCTGCAGCGCAACGGTCGCAAGAGGCCACCGTGTCATGCCGTGCGCGCACGTTTGGGCGATCCCAGAGCGTCGCGAGGACGAAACGCCCCCTGCGAGGACGGAGGGCGGTGCGAGAGAAGGTACAGTAGTGCCGCAGGTGGTGCTGCTCCGGGGACGCACCGGGACCGAGCGGCTCTGTACGCGGGGGGTCCCGCGAGGTCCTGGTCGCTGTAACTTCTGGGCCTGCGAAGCACGTGCGGTGGGGGCCGGAGCGCAGTGTTTGAGGCGGTCTTGCTTCCAGGTTGAGCTCTCGCCCTCGCTGTTGCAGCACATGACGGGGGTTCCGACGCGCTGCGACGCCTGGCACGTGGCGTGGAGGTGTTCCGAGACATGCGGCGCGGCGTGGTCGGCGGCGTCATCAGGAGCTGGGCGCTAGACCCGCAGTCGTGTCTCATTCCCGGGATGATGCCTGTGAAGGGCACTGTGGCCAACTGCTGCCCGTTCGGGCCTGAAACCACTCACCAGAACGTCGAGCGCGTCTATTTTGTGACGATGAACTACGAGTCCAGGCTATCTGACCGTTTGAGGACCTGCACGAGCCGAAGATGCAGCTGGGACGAAACGAATTGCCTTCTCCTCACGCGCCCGGGGCGTCTGAACCGGCGCGATACCACCGAGTCACCCTCCAGAGTCTAAGACGTCGACGCGGCTGCGGTGCCGCGGCAACGAAGCGCCGCACGGCCAGCCTGACAGGTCTGCCAGGGGTGTTGGGGTACTTGTCACGCAGCCCCTCATCCGCGAACACATCGAGGGCCGCTCGCGCCGTGACTCGCGACTCACGGGGACGGCCCCACCACCCTCGACGGCTCCCGCTCCACCCGCCGCTGCACTTCGCCGCTCGTCCCCCTCTGTCGGCCGTGAGGCGCCCTGCCGTCCGCGCACGGGCTCGACGCCGCGGCATCGACGGCTCCACCACATCCACATGGCGGCACGGGCCTGCCAGGCCGCCGCCGCGTCCACGTGGCGCCCGCTCTGCTGCTCTCACACCGCCCTGTGCCAAGCGCGCCGGGCGCCGCGCACGGGCCACCGCAGCCTCGCCGCGTCCGCGAAGCGCTCCAAGAAAGGCACCGAGCGCGCGGGCGTCACGGGCGTGCACGACTCCGTTGCTGAGCTACGCCGGGCGTTCCGTCCGACCCCCATCAAACTCGTGTGCGTCGCCAAGGGCGGCGCCGGGCCCGCACAGGCGGTCTGCGCGGAGTACTTCGAGAAAATCGCGCGCTACGCGCCGTCGTTCGAGGAAGTCACGATCCGGCCGAATCCGAAGGGTTCGAGGGACGTGGAGCAGCAGGTGACGGGGGAGGCCGACAAGATACTCAAGGCGATCGACGGGGCGGACATGGTGGTGGCGCTGGACGAGCGCGGGCGCGACGCGACGAGCGAGGGGTTCGCGGAGCTGATTGCGCGCGCGGGGGACGACGGCGCGCGCTCGCTCGTGTTTTGCATTGGGGGGCCGTACGGGCTGAGTCAGGCGGTGCGGGACCGCGCGGACGTGGTGTGGCGGCTGTCGGCGTGCGTGCTGAACCACTCGGTCGCGCGCATCGTTCTCGCGGAGCAGCTGTATAGGGGTTATACCATCTTAAGGGGGGAACCATACCATCACTGAAAGGCGTGTGAGAGCGCGTGCTCAATGTGCGTAGCCTCGGGGCCGTACTGGAGAAACGCTGCGGCTGCGGGGAGTGCCGTCCCTGAGTCAGGTGTTGGATGAGACACCTCCCTGTGCGGCGGCGGGGCGGTCGCGGCGGCGTCACGGGGCTCGCGGTGTGCCGGCATCGAACACGTCGAGCTGGCTCAGCGGGCGCGCTGGACATAGGAAACACGATCTGCGCGTGCCTGTGTCCTGCGAGCCTGTGCCTTGCAATGGTCGCTCTCGTCCGCCCATGCATGGTCGGTGCGTCCCTGAGTAGACACGTGACCACACTGCTGATACCTCACAGCCGTTCCTGGCCAGCGTGATCCTCAGTTGACACGCATATATTCACATTGAGTCACGATTACTGCTTTGTTGCGACAATGTATGCGGCAGACCCGAACATCATGTCAACGACCTGCACGTCCACACACCCGAGCTTGCGCAGCATCGCCGCGACGTCCGCGGCGGGCGTCGACCCCTGAATGCTCTCTGCGAGGTACTCGTACGCCCGTGAGTGCGACAGCAGCCCCGCGATTGCCGGCACGATGCCCCGCATCCACACGCGCAGCAACGCGCGCACAACGACGTTCCGGGGCACGAACGCGTCCAGCAGCAGGACGCTGCCCCCGGACCGCGTCACCCTGACCATTTCCTGCAAAGCAGAGCCGAAAACCGTTCGATAATAACAATTACAAGAATGTGCATGTTTTGTTGCTGTTGATATGCGTGGAACGCGGGCGCTACGGCGGCGGCGGAGCAGACCGCGAGGTCGTGACCGGGGCGTCCGTGCGGCGCCGCGCGCACCTTGAGCGCGATGGCGATCGTTCCGAAATTGCGCAGCGTGTACACAGAGAGGACGGCATCGAACACGCCGTCGCGGTACGGCAGGTTCTCCGCGTCGCCGCGCGTGTACGTGCAGCACGCGTCGTCCTTCGTCTCCCCCGCGATCCGCAGCATCTCCGGGCTGCAGTCGAGGCCCTCGACGTGCAGCTTGAAGCCCCGGATCGCTGCACATGCCCGCATTCGGCGGGCGGCGGCGCGCGTGCTGGCGCCGGTGCCGCACCCGACGTCCAGGACGCGGATGTGCGAGCGCGAGAGCGCGCACTCCTCGTCGTCGGAGTCGTCGCACCGCTGGCGCCGCACTCGCCCTGGTCGCGCGGAGACGTGGCGGTCGTCGCAGGATTGCGGGACGACGCGCTTCCGCAGCGCCGAGAGCGCGAGCCAGCGCCACACGGAGGTCATGCCGAGCGAGATGAAGATGTTTAAAAGGTCGTATGTCCGGGCGATGGTATCGAAGAGGCCGGTGACGAAGTGCAGCTTCCGCTGTCCGCGCAGCGCGAAGCCTGCTTTGGGCTCTATCTCGAGGAACGAGGGCTCATTCGTCCTGCGAGCCTTCGAGCGCGTCTTCATCGCTTCAGAGTTCCATGCGTGTGCGGGAGCGCCCAGATGGCTGGCGGAATGCGCGCTTGTCCTTGTCACGGCGAGCTGGTCCACCGGTTGCTGTCGAGGCTGCGTCAGACACGATGTCTCGCTACGAGTGATCTGTGCCGCCGCGCGCAAGCGGCGTCGTGCTGTAGCCGCGCCGCAAGAGAGCGTTGGGGCGTGGGGCGTGAAGATGACATCATGCATCGCAACACGCCTGACGCAGGGCCGAACGTTGCTGGCTTCGCCGACGCTGCACGGACAGACCCGGGACTTCAGCTGGGGCATCGTTCGCGTCGTTTTCGGCGACAAATCTCTAGCCTAGGGCCGTCGCTTTGCTCGAGGAGTGGGGCTCTCGAGTTCCGCCGCGTCGCGCCGTCAGCGCCCGTGTGCGCTCGCGGTGAGGTGGCCATGGACGCCTCAGCGGCGCAGAAGCGATGGGAGTTGGAAAATGATGTCCAGGTACCGCTTGACACCAACATCCGAGGCTGCTTACAAGCGCAGCGGCCTCCTGGCTGTCCTGCGCGCCTGTTTGAATCTCCGCACGAGGTTTCCCGTTCAGGCGGTATATCCTCCCCACTTTGCGGCGCGGATTCACTTGCATGGGCGCCCGGTGTGCTGAGGAGCGGGCGGGAAGTGTGCACGTCCTCTTTCGCGCCCGTTTCGGCTCATGTTGCGCTGATCCCGGCGCATGTCGTCGACATAGAGAGCGAATGATCACTGCTCGTCCTTTCCATGATCCGAACCAGCGCGCGCCGTCCGAAACGCCACGGAAACGGCCCCATGAGTTCCCGAGGACGTCCCTTCCGCCCGCAGCGCCCGATCCCGCCCCCGTCCCTCGCCGCCCGCCGTCCCCGCAGGAGGTAGAGAACGTCGACCAGCTGTTCAAGTACGACCCGCGCGAGCAGCGCCACGTCCAGCAGCTGCAGCCCTGGAAACAGAACCCCCACTACTTCACGAAAGTCAAGGTCTCCGCGCTCGCCCTGCTCAAAATGGCCATGCACGCCAAGTCCGGAGGCCGCCTCGAGGTCATGGGCGTGCTCCAGGGCAAGGTCGCGGGCGACACCTTCGTCGTGCTCGACACCTTCCCTCTGCCAGTCGAGGGCACCGAGACGCGCGTCAACGCGCAGCAGGAGGCGTACGAGTACATGGTGGGCTTCAAGGAGTCCTCGGAGCGCGTGGGGCGGCGCGAGCAGGTCGTCGGGTGGTACCACAGCCACCCGGGGTACGGGTGTTGGCTGTCGGGCATCGACGTGAGCACGCAGCTGGAGCAGCAGGAGTACCAGGACCCGTTCCTGGCCATCGTGGTGGACCCCGTGATGACGTCCGCGGCGGGAAAGGTCGAGATAGGGGCGTTCCGGTACGCCAGCGGCCCGGCACACGCGTGCAGCAATGACTTGGTGGTCCTGCGCTGTTCGATGATTGATTTCCTTGTTTGTTTCACCGCGGTTTGTTCCTCGATGTCGTCGGGCGCTGCCCTTCCTCGCGTCTGGTCGCCTCCCCGGGCTGTGGCGAGTCGACCGCGAGCCGCTAGCATCCTGGCGTGCCTTGAGTTGCGGCGCGTCAGAGGGCGCGTCGGCGGGCACCACCGCTGACGCAAGGCGCCTGCGTGCTCGCGCGATGTGCGACGACGGCGGCACGTTCTTCTTATCGTGTCGCCCGGGTTGGAGTGTCGCGAGGTCCAACACTCCAACAGCACTGGCTCGGGCGACACGACAAGAAGAACGTGCCGCCGTCGTCGCACATCGGAACACGGGCTGCGAGCGACGTTCCCCACTGCAATGTCTGACTGACAAAGATAATGACTATATATGTATTTTTCGTTTCCCACTGGATCTCCTTTGGCGCACGTGGCCGCAGGACGTACCCGAAGGGCTACACGCCCCCCGACGAGCCTCAGTCGGAGTACCAGTCCATTCCCCTGAGCAAGATCGAGGACTTCGGCGTCCACGCCAAGCATTACTACCCCCTGGAGGTGTCCTTCTTCAAGTCCCCCCTCGACAAGCACATGCTCGAGGTGCTCTGGGGCAAGCACTGGGTGTCGACGCTCACCGCGAGCCCCGTGCTGGGCGCGGGCGGCGCGTCGAGCTTCGTCACGGCGCAGATCCGCGACGCGGCGCAGAAGGTGGAGCTGGCAGAGCAGGCCGCGGGGTCGCGCGGCGGCGTCGTGGGGCGCGGGAAGGACGGCATGCTCGACAGGGCGGTCAAGGACGCCCGCAAGGTGCGAGCCCGCGGCTGTGCGTTGCTCTGCCGGGCGCTGCGTGCGCCTGCTGCGCGCGTGTGCGTGTGCGATCGCGCGAGAGGGACCGCGCCGAAGCCGCGGGCCGGTGTCTGGTCTGACCTGGGCTCCCACGACGTCACGTGCGAGGTTTCGTTCTGGTTTTGTGTTGCTGCGCAGATTGCGATCGAGTTCAGCAAGGCACAGAAGACGCAGGAGATCCGGCAACAGCTGTTCGGCAGCCTCCAGCCCTGCTCCGCGGGCCCCCAGGCCACGTCCTGACGCCTGGACTTGTTTGTGCGCATCAAGGCACTCGAAGACATGCATTCTCTTCTGTACATGAGCCACTGTCTGGTGGTCGCGCTCGCGCGGTGTGACGGGCGGCTGCGCGACGCTGCGTCACATGTGCTTCGCGAGGAACGCCTCGACCGCGCCCAGCCGCGGCTCCGTCGCAGACACCCCCACGAACTCCACCGGGGACCTGCACGCTGCAAACGAAAACCCCCCCGCCTCCTGCTGACCCAGGTCCAGCTTGTCCGCCGCCCCCGCCTGCTCCAGCGCCTTCCTCGTCTGCGTGCACGTCGGCGCCACGCCGCGGCGTCACCAGCGCGCCTCGCACGCACAATGCAACACACAGAGCGAAGTCGCAGATTGTTGCTGTTTCGGCGTCGCGGGCGTCGGGGCGTCCGCACCTCGATCAGCCCCGTTATTTCCTTCTCCATGCGCTTCCGGATGAACTCGAGCGAGTGCGCCTTGAGCCCGAGGTCCTGCATGCTGCACGCCACCAGCACCGGCACCCTCCGCCGCGCCACCGCCGCGTGCCCCAGCACCGCCATCAGCGCCTCCGCCGTCTCCCGGGACACCTGCGCCGCGCCCGTGGCGCAGCAACCAGTTCGGACGGCGTTCAAAAAGCATCAAACTTGTCATGATATGTTATGGTGCGATGGGGCGGGATGCGCACCGGGAGGACGTGCGTGGAGTCGATGGCGAAGACGACCGCCCCCGCCGCCGGCGCGTGCGCGTCGAACGCCCTCGCGCGCAGCTTGTTGTGCCCTGGAACGTCGACCAAAAGCACCGACTTGGGCCCCACTTTGACCTCCCCCTGCGAGGTCAGGGTATGAGGCACTGAGTCGATTACTGTAACGAAGTTTGAGGTGTGTAGATGAGTTGGGAGTCGCGAAACGTCCGCTTAGTCGTCTGGAGGCGGCGTGGGAGGCGCGAAGGCACCGCGGTGAGCTGCGCACCTCGTTCGGCTCCAGGGACGGGACGAACGCGACGGGCTGCGATTCCGATGTCAGCCTGAAGAACATGGCCGTCTTGCCCGTGCCCGAGGTGCCGACCAGCACCGCTCTCCGCCGCACGCGGCCGCTCCCGCCCCCTCCACTCCGCAGAGCGAGCCCCGCCGCGCACGCCACGAGCAGCGCCGCCGCTGCCAGCAGCACCAAAAGAAGCACCTCATCACTGATAGTAGACGACGCGTCCCCCGGAAGCCTCTCGTCCAGCAGCTTGCGCACCATCTGCAGCACAAAACCGCGGCGCCGTGCGGCAGTGCTCAAAAGGAGCGGAATCTCCCCGGAAAGAGGCCCGCGTGCACCGAAAAGGCGCGGCTCCGCACGTGCAGGCATGCAGGGACCGTGCGGGCGCCGTACCTGGAACGCCCCCTCCGCAGCGGGCACGCGCCGGAGCGCAGCCCTCACTGCAGCTAGCCCCTCCATCCCGCAGCGCCCAGAGCCTAACAATACAATGTTCCGCGGTCCTGAGGATCGCACAGTGCTGCTGAAGCCCGGGAGCGGCCCGCTATGGCTCCGTGGGGATGCACAGCGGAGGCTGAGCCGCCTGAGGCAGTAAATGGCCCCAACCCCCCCTGAGACCCGTTTCGCGGCGCACCAGAACGTCGGGAGGCGCTTGCGGCGCCGCGGCGCATAGCCCAGTCGCTCATCTCGCCACCGACGTGATCGGCGCTGTTAGCACGGGCTCCAGGAGCTCGCAGAGCCGCGCGGAGGAGCTGCGGTTGGTTTCTAGGGTCACGCAGCGCGCGCCCCGCCCGCGTGAGCCGCCGAGAGGCACGTGGCTGCGGTACTTAGCGCGTTATCGTGCGTCGCGCTGCTGGAGCGGCGCTGAAAGTGCCCTGAGTCAGAGCGCGCGCGTCCCTGCATAGTTCGAGTGCTGCAGCCCCGCCATGTCGCCGCGGCGGAGGCGTTTCATCCTCACGGCGCTCGCCGTTGCCGGTGTGTACGGTGGCTACCAGTTCTTCCAGTCGGAGTACCTCAGGCGGCGCCTGCGCCAGGTGCAGCAGCAGGTGGAGGCTCTCTACTCCTCCGTTGGCCACGTTGCGGACGCGGCAGGCGCCGTTTCGGAGATTTGGACGATCCTCTCGCAAGATATCGCGGACTTCCTCGTGTCGGGGCAGACGGACGTGCCCGGGACCCTGCGTCAGGCGTCGCGGCTGGTCCAGAGTCCAGAGGGCGTGGCGGGACTGGCCGCCATCGTGCAGGCGTTGATGCGCGCCTTCGAGGGCGCCGCGCAGGCCACGGACGAAGCTGCGACTAGCGCGGACGGCGGCGCTCAGCAGCCTGCAGGGGCCCCTCAGCCGCAGCGGTCGCCTGTGGAGGTACGGTCTGCGTTGTTGAGGACAACGCCACGTACCCGTCGCGCAACGCGCACACACGCAAGGACACGCCGCGTTGTGCCTCGCTACGTGATGTTCCTCGAGGATGGCGCCTGAATCTGGAAGTTTCGCGTCTTGTTCGCCGCGAACGGCGACACTTCTTCCTTTTGCTCTTCTGCCCTCGCATTCCATCGAACGTCAGCCCGGCACGCTCTTTCGGCGATCACGGCTCGTGATGCTCACTCAGCACCCCGCTCGATCGCCGCGCAGACCATACTGGACGCGCTGCTGTCCGACAGAGGCCGCACTATATTGGAGCTCGTGGTCAGTCGTGTAGCGCGGGAGAGTGCGCTCGTCATGGCGCAGCAGATGGCCACGACCGAGTCCCCCGGCGTCGGCGAGGGCCTCGCGTCCTGCCTCGCGGCCATCGCGGACCCCGTCCACAAGGAGGCTATCAAGGAGGTGCGACGAACCCACACCCATCTTTTCCCAACTGCAAACTCGCGCCTTCCATCGGTCGCACCAGCGCCCCCTCGCACTGGACGCTCCGCGCCGTAGCCACCACGACCCGCGCCCGCAACCACAATAACACCCCCTCTGAACGCCAACACTCCCCCCCCTTCTTGCAGATTGTTTCGTCAGCGGCGGCCGCCGCCGTCGACGCGTACGTGCGGGCAGGCACCGCCCCGCCCGCGCACGTCGCGGCCGCCGCGTCCCCGGCCCGTCCGCCGGCGCACCATCCGGCGCGGTACGACGCCGCGACCCCCGCAGCCACCCACAACGCTGCACCTCCGACGCCGCAGCGCTCCCCAGCGACGCGCTTGGCGCCCCCGGCCGCGTGGACGACCCCGGCGCGGTACGACGCCGCGGGCACGGCGGCGAGCGCGCCCTTCTTCGACGTCAACGCCGCCACGCGGTCGCCAACGGCGGACAGCGTGTGCGGGCCTGCCAGCGTGCCCGCAATGTCGCACTACGCCTCGCAGCGCACGCCCGGGGAGGCGTCGTCCTCCGGCGCCACGACCGCGACGCCCGGCGCCTCGCACACCCCCTGGCAGCCGCCGCCGCTCCCACAGCCGTACCACGACGCCACTGCTGCCGTGTCGCCAGCGCGGTGCCCCAGCAGCGAGGCGGAGAGCGTGCCGCCGGCGTCGCTGCAGCGCGCGGGCGGGAGCGAGGCGGCAGCCGCTGTTGCCGCTGGAGCGCAGGCTGCGAAGGGGGGTTGGGCGGCGTGGATGGAGGAGCTAGCGGTGCTGGCGCGGAGCCCGGAGGCGCGTGGGTTGGTGGTGGAGCTGGCGGGGTCGTGCACGCGGGAGGCGGTGGTGGCGGCGATGAGCACGGTGGGGCTGCGGTGGTGGCCGCGCGGGCGGGAGCGGCGGCCTGGCGCGTCGTGGTGGAGGGCGGCAGCGACGTCGGCGGGGCTGTGGGCGGGCAGCGCGGCGCTCGCTGGGTCGAAGGCGCGCGTGTGAGTCTCAGGTGTGCTCGTGCATCGAGGGTCGGCGGTTGATGCCCGGGAGAGGGGGGGGTTGAGTAAAGATAAGGGGGGAGGAAAGTAGAAAGTAGGAACAGTCGATTGGTGTGGGATGTGCTGGGGTTCGCCGATGGTCGAGGTGACTGGGCAGCAGCGATGGCGCGCGCGCGAGCGGCGGCGACGACGTGCAGCCGGCTCACAGCTTCGATGGTCATCTGACCTGGCAGGTATGGAAACATGGTTGTTCAATGGTTGCAGTCTCTGACATGTACAGGCAACATGGCGCACGCAGGCGAAGCGCGTCAGCTGAGCCGGATGTTCTCCACAGGGGCGATTTCCGTCGACCCCCCCAGGCACCGAGAGAACTCCCCACTCCTCCATGCGCATGGACTCATCGTCGATGTCGTACGGGTGGTGCAGCATGTCGTGCTTGCCCACGGGGAGGCTCATGATGCGGTAGACGTCCTCGCCGTTGATCGGGCCGCTCAGCGTCACCTCGCGCGCCACGGTCGCACCATGCACCAGCACCATCGACCGGTGCAGCCAGCTCACGTCGCGCCCGTCCGACTTCAGCTCGGGCTTCCCGTCGATGCGCACCGGCTCGCCTGCACACCACCACCGCCACAATATTCGAACATGTAGATAAGTGTACGAAAAAAAAGATTCGAATCAACCTACTTCTCTGCGATACGACACAGCAGCACCAGCGCGGGCGCGTGCGGCCGCCACTCACCTGTGTGCCGCCCCGACACGGCGTACTCCACGAGGCACCACCCGCTCGGGAGCACCTCGAGCTGCAGCGAGCCCACGTCCATGTGGAGGTCGGGCATGTACAGGAAAAGCTCCGCCCACGCCGTGAAGAGCTGGTCGCGGTCTCCGAGAAGCGATGGGTCCCGCGTGGCGCTCCACTCGAACGACGGATGCAGCGACTTGAGCGCCACCTCGCGTCCACGTGCATGCAGCTGCTGCTCTGCGCCCGCCAGGTTGAACCGCTCCATGCACGTGCGCACCACGTGCAGGTAGACGTCGTGCAGGGACCCGCCGAGCTTCTCGTAGATGCCCAGCTCCGTGCCCGACACAGGGTCCGACGCGATGGTCCACTCCGCAATCTTGCCCCCGCTGTCGATGTAGACCAGGCAGCAGGCGTCGTGCACGAGCGGCGTGTTGGCCGCGGGGATGGCCGGGAGGCCGAGGGCGCCCCCGAGCGGCGAGAAGGGCTCACCCGTGTGCGTTCCCTTTAGGCGCGTGGTCACGGGCGTCCACCCGTGCTCGTTCACGGACCCGTCGGTGTAGCAGTCGACGGTGAGGTCCGGGAAGGAGCGGACGAGGCTGTTCATGTTGGCGATGAAGGCGTCCGCGTGCAGGGGCTCGACCGAGCCGTCTGCGAGGTGCGGGCAGTTGGATCCTAGTAGGGAAAGCGTGCGGCGCTTGAGGGCGTTGAGACGCGCGTCGGTGCATCGAAACGCATCGGTCGAGCAGCAAAAATGCGTCGTGAGGGAAAATCACCGTCGTAGGAGGAGCCTGCGCGGAAGGAAGTGGAGAGGAGCTTTTCCCAAGTCTTGAGCGAGTCCTGAACGTTGCCGTGGAGCTGCCGGATCACCTTGAGGTTCTTCCTCTGCGGACGTAAGAAGTAAGGGTCCGTTGAGATGAGAAACCAGGCGCATCGGATCGTCCATGCGGCGTGGGAGTCATCGATGCAACTGCAGAAGGCATCTTGCCGTTTGGGGCGTCTCACCCTCGTGTCCGTGTCGGTCGTGCCCGCCGGCCGGAAGCAGACGACCTTCATGGTCCGGCGGGAGCGCCTCGGCAGCTGAACGCGCCCCACACTGACGCTGGCGGCCCTGGTGAGCATGGTCCGTTCGAGGTGGTAGTTGGGCGCGTAGCCACTCCTGTCGAAGGCAGGAACCGAGTTTCTCGATCGAACTTCGATCGAATCTGCACGTACATCGCCCTGAGCGGCAGCAACGACGCAGACCGACCCCACCCAAAGCGCGAACGCCGACTCGAGTTCAGACTGACTAGGATCACACAAGGTGGTGTGTCCCTACGGTACGTTCGGCAAAACAGCGTTTCGCTCCCTGTATCGACGAGCCTACCTTCTAGCTCCCAACAACCCACCTATTCTGTCGCGCTTCGATCGGTCCCCGCCGCTGTCTCGGGCACCTGGATCCGCCGCAAACTGCCCTGCGTGGTTACCCGCCGGAGCTCGCGCGCGCTGTCCTCGGGGAGCCAATCGTTCTGCAGGTCGTCGCAGTCCCGCGCGAAGACGTCCCGGAGGTGGCGCATGCCCGGCGGCAGCCGCTGGAGCGCGCTAACGACGTTGGCGGCGGAGGTCGCAGGGAGCCACGTCGGCGCCAGGGACTTGCATCCGCTCACGTCGACTTCGCGGAGGACGTGCATGTCCGGCGGGAGCTGCGTCAGCCCGGACGCCGACGCGTTGAGAGTCTCGAGTGCCGCCGCGCTGGAGGGGGGCAAGAAGCGCTGTGCGGCCAGCGCCGGACAGAAGGCGACGACGAGGAGGCTCAGGCTGGCCATGCCCGGCGGCAGCCGCACGAGCGCGCTTCCTGCGCGCCAATCAACACGCCACGACTGTTCCCGGTGAGCTCGCAACATGCGCAGCAGGTCGCGATGGCACGCCGGGTATGTGTTGGCGAGGGACGTACCCGTGGCGATGAGGGTCTGCACGCTCGCGGCGGAGGAGCTGGGAAGGAAGTGCTCGGCCAGGCTGCGGCACCGCGACACGTCCAGCTCCCGCAGCACACGCATGGCTTCCGGGAGCTTCGCCAGCGCGCTGCCAGCGGCGTGGCACGTTTCCACCGCCTCCGCGGAAGACTCCGGCAGCCAGGACAGGCCGTCGAGGTGCGGGCAGTCCACGACCGACACGTGCGTCAGGTGCTCCATGTCCCCCGGGAGTCTCACCAGGCAGGACCCCCCCGCGTCGAGCCTGCGGAGTTTCCGCGCCGAGCTCCTCGGCAGCCACCCGTCCGGCGGGTCGCGCAGGAGGTTCTGGCACCGGCTGACGTCAAGCTCGGTCAGTTGAGTCAGTCCGTCTGGTACCTTGACGACCCCACTGCCCGCTGCTTTGAGCACCCGCAGGCGCCCGCCGTCCGGCAGCCACGGCGCCCCGCCGGGCCCGAGCTTGAAGCAGCCGCTCACGTCGAGCACCGCGAGGTTCGCGGTCCCCGGGGGGACTGTCGTCAGGCCAGTGTGCTGCGCGCGCAGCTCCTCGACGCGCGCGGCGGCGTCCTCCGGCAGCCACGCGGGGTCCCTGCCCACGTACCGCGACTTCGCGCAGTTCAGCCGGCGCAGCGACGTCAGCCCGCGCGGCAGCACCTGCACCGCGCTGCCCGACACATCCAAGCGCTGCAGCGCCGGCGCCGCGTCCGCGCCGATCCACTCGTCGGGCGAGAGACTGATGCAGTCCGACACGTCGACCTCGACCAGGTCCCGCATCGCCCCTCCGCGCGGCAGGCTTCGCAGCAGCGACCCCTTCGCGTGCACGCTCCGCAGTCGCGGGGCCGCGATCCACGACAGGTCGAGCCCGGGGATGCCGACGCCGCGCGGGAGGTCGCGCTCGACGTCGATGCGCTCGAGGTTGGGCAGTTCGAGGTGCTGCGTGTTCGCAGGCAGCGACACCAGCGGCTGATTGCGTATGCGCAAGAGCACGACGCGTGCGAGCGAGGCGGCGCCCCCCGGCGCGGCGGCGATGGCTCGGAGCGCGTGCGCCCAGGTGCGCGGCGGCGCGGCGTGCGCGTCCCCGCGGGCGCGCAGGGAGAGCAGCACGCGGGCGTCGCGCGCCGGGACTCCGATGCCGCGGCACAGGACGACGCTGGCGTGGGACGCGGCGCCGTGGCCGGGCTCGGGGCCGGGCGGGAGCCTGTCGCGGCTGGCGGCGAGGAGGGAGAGGAGGAGGCCGTCGGGGGCGGCGTCGAGGGTGCAACCGCGGTGCGTCAACGTGAGAATCAGGAGGTCGGAGGAGGAGGACGCGAGGTTGACGGCGGTGGAGGAGTGGAGGCGCGGGAAGAGGGCGGATCCTGCGGCCGAGGCTACGTCCAGGAATGTCGGATCCGGGTCATCGGAGCCACGGTCCGATGGGGGAGCAGGCATTCCTCCTCCTGTACGGTCGGGCTGCGCGCGATTCCAGGAGGGTGCGTGCCGAGTTACTTAGATTGAAGGCAATCTCGTGGAAGAGGGCAATCTCGTTGAAGTTGGCTGAGCAGCGCCGGAGGGCGGTGGACCTACAAGGGGCTTGAGACGTGGCGCCGCAGTGCCAGCGTGGGGCGCCGAAATCACTGCTAACTGCGTGCGGAGATACACGTGTCCTTGTTCTGCGCCGCTGAAATAGCGTTCCGGCTTGAGGTCTGCGCGAAGGCGCTAGGCGCGCAGTGCAAGGGCGGGGCTGTGCGCCCAGAAACAGCGGGCACCCAACACCGCGAGCAGCGGTGCGCCGCGCTCCATCCTACGTTGTCAGCGCACCACGATGTTCGCTTGCCGTGCGCTGCAGCCCACATCACGTCAAGCAGCATCTGGGGGGAGTCTGCATTCCACTCCCCCCCGTCAAAGACACACATGTTCCCGTCGTCGTGGACGAGCGTCGACATGGCGGTGCATGTCCAGGGACAGGCAAGACGACCTCGGTTGGGGAGCTGTAGCAAGCCATCGACCTTCTCATGCGCACTCATTAATTTATAACATCATTTCTTTACTCAAAGCTCTCTAACACGCTCCGAAGCACGTCGAAGAACAGCGACCGCACGTTCACCGCTGCCCGACCCTGTCCCGCGTCCCTCACGACTTCCCACCCACCGTCAGTCGCGGGCGTCGCAGACAGCGTGGCACCAGAGCCGACGCCCCACACCTGCACCTCGCCGCCGGGCAGGAGCGACACGACCCCCGCGCCCTGCCCGAGCATCTGACCGACCAGGTCGGCGCCCGCATCGTCGGACCACGCGTCCCCAACCACCTCCCCGTCACCTGCAAACGCCAAACACTCAATCATTGTCGCACAAACCTATCCCATGCGTTCATCCCCCCCCATGCACGGCGCAGCCACCCGCCGCGACGCACCTCGTCCAACCCCCCGCGCCAGGACGTACGCGCCGTCAAGACCCAGCAATGCTTGCACCTGATACGCGCCCCCCTCCAGACTCCCCGCCAGGCCGCCGCCGAGGCCCTCGAGGCCGCCACCTAAGGACCCGCTCCCCGCCGACTTAAAGACGACCCCCACACCGGGCTCGAATCCCACGAACTGGAGGAAATCCGCGTTGCCGCCAGACGGCACATACGGCGCTATGCCGCTCGGCCCCGTGATGCCGTTGTTCACGGCAATCAGAAGGCCCGGGACGCGCAAAGCGTTCTCGACGTCGTCGGGCGGCGCGCTCTGCGCAGCCGCGAGCGGGACGGTGCTCCCGAAGCGCTGTGGGAGGTCGCGGAGGGCCTGAATCGTCGTGACGTCTCGCGCAGGGTCGATCCAGTCGCTCCCTTCGCCCCAGTCGCGGGTCCCGGATGCGCTGGCGAGGAAGCGGTCGTCCATGGCGCCCCCGACTGCGTCACCGGGCTGCGCGAGCTGCAATGCGATCGTGCGTTGCGCCAGGAGCGGGGCGGTGTTCGACCCGATCTGCGAAGTTGTCGCGACCTGCAGCGCCTGAAGTGCCCTACGCCCATGACGAAGCGCCGAAGACTGAGCGTCGCTGTCCGTTGCGTCGACGATGCTTTCAACGCCACGCATTGCAACATGGGGGTCTGTAGCGCCGCTGCAGAGCCCCACCAGCGCTAGCAGCACGACCAACAGACCGCATACGCACTCTGCGTGCGCGCCGCAAACGTCCAGCCTGTTCCGACGCCAAAACATCCCCGCGTGCCGCGCTGACGTCACACACCGCGCTAGCCGATGTGCCAAGCAGGACGCTCAGGCGCCGATGCTCGATGCGCAGCGTCGCGATCACTGGCACAGAAGCTGAAAGTGACTCCTGCGAGCCACGAGGCGCCCCAGAATCCCTCTGCCACGCCGCCACGCGTCGCCGAAGCCCCCCATGACGTGTCATGCCACATGGGGCACAAACACCCCCCCCCCATCCTCGCGGCCCGCGAAGAAACCGCGTGCCGCGCCGCCGCCGGCTCCTGCCTCACCAGTGCGACCCCTCCTGCTCACGACGCGTCCTCCCACCCGCCCCAGTCGCGCAGGAACGGAAACACCGCACCTATCGCTGCCTTGCGTTGGCCGCGCGGGTCGTCCCTCAGCACCCGCCGCGCCCTCGGATCCACGTACCGGTCGCCGTCCACGCTCCCCGCCGCGCTGTCGTACGCGCTGCTGTTCAGCGGCCCGCGCACGGCCTCGTCGACGGTCCGTCTGACGGACGCGAACAACGCCCCCATGTCGTTCGGCGTCATACCCGGCGTGCTCGCTGGGTACCCCCCGGGCGGCATGTCGAAGCTACCTATCGGCGAGCTCGGCCAGGCCGTCGCGTCGTCAGCTGCCTTCGGCGGGCGCTGAGAGCCCTCGACGTCGTACACGCTCCCGCGCGGAGTTGTGGCGCGGAACGTCTGGGCTTCGGTTCGCAGCGACGGAGCGCCGGACACCCACCGCAGGAAAGAGTCGATCGCGCGGCCCGTGTAGTCCTGCGCGGGCGGCGGCGGCGGCGCTCCCGTCGCCCCCTCAGCTGCGTACACCTCCGGGGGGACTATTTCAGGTTCTACCACGTCCTGCGAGCCCCTCGCCGAGCCAACAGCGCTGCCACGCGCGGATTCGCCGCGCTGCGGCTGCCGACGCGCCCTCGCGCCCCTGTAACCGCCTCCTGACGACCTGCGTGCGCGGGTGGCTGCAGGGGCCCGCCGCCCCCCCAGAAAGTCCTCGCCCCGCGCCTCGGCCGCCGTAAGATCCTCGCGGAGCTCCTCGCGCCGCGGCGGCACGGCCCCGTCGATACGCCGCACACACCCCTCTCCGGCTGTGTCAGTGCCGCGCTCTTTGCCGCCCTCCTCGCCCGTGCCTGTGCTCGGGAGCGCGTCCTCCTCCAGCGCTGCTCCGCGCATTGCAGTGACGTCCTCCTGCACCGCCCGCGGCACGCGGGTCCGCACCGTCGCTGCCGCGCCGCTGCCGGGCGCTGCTGCTGTGGCTCTGGGCGGAGCCGCTTCCGTCCGCTCCGGGTCGCGACGGTCCCGGCTGTTCGCGTCCTTGGGGGACGCAGCCACTTCCTCGGCGTACTCGCCCTCGCCGTCATCGCGGTCCCAGCCCCCCCAGCCAAGCTCATACCACTCGCCACGTCTGAGACTCCCCCAGGACTCCCCCCCCTGCCCGTCGTCGTCCTCGGCGTCCCCCCACGTCTCTCCCCGCCTGTCCACCGCCTCGTCCCACCCTGCGCCGCGCAGCCTCGCCCTGTCCGTCACGACAGGCGCGGTGGGGTCCTCCGACCACGCCAGCACTCCCCCCCCCCTGATGTCACCCGAACGACCGCCTCGGACCCCGTCGGTGCCGCCCAGGAACACGGTGATCGCGTAGGCGACCGCCCGGAGCGTCCTGGCCGCCGCACGCCGCGCCACCGGGGACAGCAGTGCCAGCAACACCACCGCCAGCCTCAGGGGGTTGCGGAAGACCACGGGGAGGGCGACGACGAGCAGCGGGAGGCCGATCGCCGCGATGACCTGTGGGGCAGCGAGCGGCAGGGCGGACGTGGGTGCGCGGCGCAGGGAGCGTGCTCGGATTTTGCGCCGCAGCGTTCGACCGCTGCTCGCGGGCGAGAGAGCCGGACGCGCTGCGCAGTCCGTGTCGGGGTACATCGCACGTGATGTATCTGGGCCGTCGCGAGCCGGGCGGCGCGCCAGGGCCGGGCACCGGCCGCAAACGCACACATGGTGGCAAAGGCTGTGGGCGCACCTCAGTTGCTCGATCCTCGGAGAGTCCTCTGGATCCGAGTCCCTGGGACGGTGGCCGGCGTCTCGGACTGCGCTGCCGCGGCTGGAGGCGCGGCTTTGGCGACGGCGGCGGCGCGCGGGAGGGCCACGACGTTGGCGACCGTTGCGGGGGGCTACGTTGCCACCACGGGGCGCTGCCCGCGGGGCGTCGGTCCTCTCGCTCCGCGTAGCTCTCTCGCCACGCGTCGAACCGCTCCGCGTGCCTTCGGACGGACGTGCGCGCCTGGCGCGCCGCGTGCGGCGCCCGTTGCTGTCGGAGCAGTGGGTTGCAGGGCTGTGCGCTCGCGCACGCGTGCGCTGCGAGCGTCATTGTCACGCCCGAGGAGAGGAGAGGGCAAAGATTCGGGAAACGTCTGTTTGGGAGGTCCAAGGGCGAAGCCGGGGTGCCAGAGCGCACATCCTCTACAGAGTGCAGGAACCAGCGCCGCCGGTGCGTTATCCAAGGCACGAACGCGGATACGATGATGCGCGTCCAGGCCCAGAGAATGCCGGCGAGGCTGCCGGCCCGGCCACAGAAGCCCAGCGCCCCGTGGCGCGTCAGACGGGCCATTGACTCGAGCGTGCATAGCACCGGAGGACTAGATGCCGCGAGCGCAGCGCAGCGTCGGCGGGAGCTTCGCGCAGCCCTCCGCACTGCGTCTGCTACCACCTGCGGTCCTGTAGTTCGTCGGTTTGACAGTCATATCGCGCACGTCGTGGCTGTCTGAAGTCCTCGTGTTGCTGCACACAGCATGATGATGGCAGCGCGACGCCGATGACGCTCGCTGAGCCGCGCGCTATACCGGCGCGCGAGGGCCCGACGCTCGAGCTCTGCACCGTCGCGGTCGCAGACGTGAGGCCGCAGCAGGCTGGCGCGCTCATGCGGCGCCTGAGTGCGTGCGTCCCTCTTCCCTCGCTCGCGCACCTGAAGCGCGTGAGGAAGAGTTCCGACGGCGCATCCGTCTCCATCATTCTCTGTGAGCTCGCAGCGTCCACAGGCGCGCGCGGAGATGACGGCGCAGGCGGCCTGACCGTGGACGCCACTCCAGAGCCTGCACTGCAGCCGCGGGACCTGCCCGGTGGCGCTCAGGACGCACTGCGCGACCTCGAGCTGATGGGCCTGTCCCGCCGCCGGGTCCCGCGGCTCGCGCCCGCCGACAAGGACCAGCTGCGGCGGTGGTGCGAGGTCTGGCCGACTGCGTGGAGGAAACCTGAGTCGAGTTTCGACCTTTTGGCGGAAAAGGTCCGCGCCCTTCTCCGAGCACGGCCGCAGCGATGCAGCCATGGCAGCAGCAGCCGTCCCGCCTCCTGAGCGCTCGTCCACGCCCGCACTTGGCCATCGAAGTCTCGAGTTGAACGTTTCCAGATAGACAGGACATGTAGTGAAGGGCGGGAAGGAGGGGTAGATGTTGTGCACGTGTTGAGATGTGGCTCAACCGTCTCCGGTTCTGGCCCGTCCCGCTCCATTCAGCCACATCTCAACACGTGCACAACATCTACCCCTCCTTCCCGCCCTTCACTACATGTCTTAGATCTCTGTTCTGGCATCTCGAGGGTCTTCCTCGGCCTCATCAACGCCGGTCTTACGATCGGCGGAGCAAGTACATCCGTGAAACTCACATGGACAAGGGCAACGACGACGGGCACGCTTCAGACGGATAGCGTCGCGTTGATCACGCGTGGCGGGGCCAGAACGGCGCGCTGTCTCCGCCCGTGGCTCGCAGATCGACGAGGTGGAGGCGGCCGTCATGCGCGCGAACATGCAGCACGCGCTCGACCGCGCCTCGGCGCCGAGCGACGGCGGAGCAGCGACGAACTCGTGCGTGATTGTGGATCCGGGCTCCGGAGAGGTCGTGGCCTCGGCGCGCGACATGCGGCACGTCCACCCGCTGCACCACGCGGTGATCCTCGCGGTCGACGCCGTCGCGCGGGCGCAGGCGGCGGAGCGGAGCGCTGGGGCGGCGACGCAGGAGGGGGGGTGTCAACATAAAAGACGCCGTGTCGAGGCGGACGAGGGCGCCGGGGCCGCGTCGGACGGGCCGTACCTGTGCACGGGATACGACGCGTACGTCGTGCGCGAGCCCTGCGCGATGTGCGCCATGGGTGAGCGCGCGGACCTCATGTTGTGCGCCGGCACCTCTGATCACGTCTGCTGCGTGGTTTCGGACAGCATCGTCTGGTGCAATCCATCGTCGCCGCGCGGACGGACGCGAACGCCGCTCCGTGCCCGTGCCGCCGTGTCTCCGCAGCGCTCGTGCACTCCCGGGTCAGACGGGTGGTTTTTTGCGAAGAGGACCCCGGGGGAGTGCTGCGGGGCCCCGCGAGGCTGCACGGCCGCCCGGGCATCAACCACCGCTTCAGGGTGTTCCAGGTCCCACGCCGGCAAGACCCGCCGTCCTAGCACACGCACAGCGCTCCGTCAGCATCATCAAACCCCCCCCCCGCCGCTCCCTGCCCACAACCCTCTATAGTCCCCGCTCGCGTGACATCGCCTCGCGACCACGGCACGCGCACTTCCTGGACCGGGCCACGCTCCACGTCTCCGTTACGCGCCGCGCGTACCCGCCCGCCGTGCACGTAGTTACAGGTGCGAGGGCGCCTCGCGTCAGTTCTTCTTCTTCGGCTCGATGTCCGTCTTGCTGCAGCCGCGCACGGTGATCTTCGCCGGCTGTCGCGCGAGCTGCGAGTTGTGACCCTGTTGCCAGTCGTACCCCTCCGCAATGGCCAGCAGGCAGGGCCGCGCGTTGTTCGCGCACTCGTTGTACGCCGCGGTCGTGATCGGCTGCTGCTTCATGTGGCTCTGCGCGCGGCGGCCGGGGGCGGCGCGGAGCGGACGGTGAGCGTGCGCGTGCATGTGCGTGTGTGTTGGAAAGGGGTGTGACGTGCGGCGGGTGCGGGGCGCACCGACAGCTTGGACTTGTTCTCCTTGTCCCAGAAGCTGACGCCTCCGTCGCCGCCGACGGTCACGAAGGTGCCGTAGTCCGGGTGGACGGACATGGCGTTCACCGGGTAGCACTTGGGGACGCTGCCGCCCGTGGTGGACCGGTGGCACTTGAACGTGAACGTGAACTGCGGCGTCTTGTTCGGATGGACGTCCTGCGCGGTGCGGCGAGGAGGTCGGCGCCGTGGGGTGCGCGGACAGGCCGGGCTTCTCTGCTCTGCGCCTTGCGGCCGCGCGTGGTGCGCCGCTGCCGGGCATTCGGGGTGCGGTGCGGTGTCCCGAGCGACATATCATGCGAGGCAGCAACGAGGCGGGTCGTGTGGGTCGGGAGGCGCGCACCTGTAGCGAGTGCACCGCCACACGGCCCTCAATGGACCCGGCGAGGTACCCGGCGGAGTTGTGCCAGACCTCCACGCAGCGCATTTGGTGGCCGAGGTCCGAGGGGTCGGCCCGGTACAGCGTCTGCGGGTTGCTGATGTCGAAGATGAGCACTTTTCCCTTGTCAGGCTGCGCGCCCATCTGTGCCACCGCCGCGCCTGGCGCCGTGGCCGCGACCAGCAGCCGCCCGCGGAGCGCCATGCTGTAGATTCTCTCCTCGGCCTGGAACTTGCACGCCTCCCTCGGCTGCCGCGCGTCCCAGTACCGGATGGTTTTGTCCCACGAGCCCGCCACGACGCAGTTGAGCTCCGGGGCGTAGAAGATGCTCTTCACGGGCGCGTCGTGCTTCCCGATGACCATCGTCTGGTTCGTGCCGAGATCCCACGCGTAGACCTGGTTGTCGCAGCCCGCAGCGAACGCCCGGAACTCTGTGTTGTGCCAGCACACCGCCAACACCGGCTGCGGCAGCGTCGTCATCGCGCGAGCCACGCCCTCGCGCTTCCCGACCCCCTGCGGTATCTCCCAGCACCTCACCGTCTTGTCCCAGGACCCCGCCACCAGGTAGTCGCCCTTTGGGCTCCAAGCCACGCTGCTCACCGTGTCCGAGGGAGGCTCGGGCAGAATCGACTCCCACGCGTCCCCCGCCACCGCTGCCATCGTCCCTAGCGCCATTGCTCTCTACCTATCCGGCACGGCCGCAGCCGCGCGGCCGGCGTCGACCAGCCACGGCGCGCGTACGAGCAGTCGTTTGCTGTGCGAGAAACACAGGCGACCAACACGCGCCGCGAACGCACCGCTGCGAGGTCCCCAGCTCCGCTGCCGCCGGCACAGTGACACGGCAGCGCGGCCGGGCAGCCACGAGGCGCCGGCCCGCGGGGCCGGGCGGCCCGGGACTTAATAGACCCCCGCGGTGCAAGACGTCACTGACAACGGGCGTGTGGCGGCACGTGCGTCTTCCGCCGCGTCCGGGACGCGCGCGCGGGCCAGGCCGGCGTCGCCCCTGCGGCCGGGCGCAGTCGTGCGCGTCGCGCGGGCCCGCAGTCGAGGCAGAGAGGTCTGCTTTGTTTCGATTCGAAGGCTTACAAACATGCCAAGACATCTTCGGTGCTGGAAGCACTCTGTGGGTTGGAGCGAGGCAGGACGGGGCAGGGGAGGGGCAACGCACGAAAAATGACGGGGGCAGCGGGCCTGCACTGGCGCAGGCGCACGTGCATCCTCATGCACCGGTCTTCAGGACCGGCCCGGCGGGCTGGCTCGCGACGGGCCCGCGCTCGCTGTCCAGCGCAACCATGAGCACGCGCCCGGGCTGCGCCCCGACCGGCCCGTCGCGGTACAGCCCCGGCAGGTACGCCCTGTACGCCGGCATGTACTTGGCGACGAAGTCGCGCACCCCGGCCTCGTCCATCCCCGGCCGGCCCGCCGCGACCATCCGCTGCTCGGCCTCGAGCCTCCACTTGAACACCCACTCCGGGTCGTCCACCTGCACGACGATCCACGCGTCCACGAGCGCGTCCCAGTTGCTGCCGTACTTGCGCAGCTGGCGGTCGATGGCGACCAGGCCCGGGTGCACGGCCGCGGCGGCCTCGTCGCCGACGGGCGCGAAGCCCGCCATCCACCCCTCGAACAGCACCACGTCGACCGGGCCCGCGATCGTCGGCCACGCGTCCTCGGGGAAGCGGTCGCCCTTGCCGCCGTGCGCCGACTTGTCGTACCGCGGGATCTTGACCGACTTGTCCGGGGAGGTGCACGTGCGGAGGGCCTCGAGCGTGCGCCGGCCGAGGTCGAGGTCGTGCGTGCCGGCGTTGCCGCGCACTTGCAGGAGGGGGTTGGAGGGGTCGGCCTCCGACACCGCCACCTGTTCGGCGCGCGTGAGGTAGAAGTCGTCGACGGAGACGGACGCGGCCTTCACGCCCGCGGACGCGAGGAGGAGCTCGAGCTGCTCCACGAGCGTGCTCTTGCCGCAGCCCTGCGAGGCGCGGGCGGGCGGGTGGCGCGCGTCGTCGTGACAGTTGCTGCGATGCCGGGCCGGCGCCGCGGTGGCTCGGGCTGCCGCGGCGCGTCGCGGGATGCGCAGGGGGAACATCGGCCAGGGGCGGCGGTTGCACGGCACTGCACCGCGTGGTGCGCGCGCGCAGCGCAGTGCTAGGCTCGGCGGGGCGCGGGTGGCAAGCGGCGCGGCGCGGCGGAGGCGCGCGCGCGTGGCCGGGGGCGCGCGCGGCGCGCAGGGGGCGGCGCGGGGGGGCAATCGCTGCGCGGCGCACCTGCGGGGCGGAGATGCCGATGACGAGGGGCCGCCGCGCGCCCGTGGAGCGGTGACGGGAGATCTGTCCCACGCACCACATGTACACGGGGAGGTAGTACTGGAACACGCGGGAGCGCGCTTGTTCGGGCCAGGTGGAGGGGTCGCCGCTGAGCCCGAGCTGCTGCGTGATCTGCTCGGCCGTCGAGAGCCAGGTTCCCCAATCCTCGCGGATGTGGTCAGTGGTGAAGCCGCAGTTGCTCAGGAGCGGGCTCTCGCAGATCATGACGAGTCGCTTCTCGGCCTCGAGGGATACTGCGGGGAGGGGGCGGGGCCGGGGTGGCGTTTCGCGGCGGCGCGAGGGGCGGAGCCGCGCGTGGGATGGTGGAGGGGGCGGGCGCGGGCGCCGGGGGCGTGGGGGCGCGGGGGCGGGGCGCGGGGGCGCGGTGCTGGGGGCGAGAAAGAGAGAAGCGTGGTCGAGCGGCGAGGAGCGGCGTCGACGGCGCCACGAGGAGCAACGGCGCCGACCTAGGTCGCGGCAGGATGGCGCACCTGCGGACGATCCGTTGTCGGGTCCGGCGCGCGCGCACTGCTGGAGCGGGCGGCAGGAATTCGCGTCGCCCGCGAGTCCGCTCGGCACGGGCGTCCAAGTCTCCGTCCGCGCGGCGACCGGGGTTTTCGAGCGCGACGCAGAGCGGGCCCTGACCGCCGCGAGGTCGCCGGCGCTGCGCGCGGTTCTCACGCGGGAGCGCATCGAGACCTGAAAAGTACCGAACGTTGTGGGCGGCATGGTGCCCCGGCCAGCGTACGTAGGCGGCGGAACCGTCGGAGGTGGCCAGGTGCTCTGCCTCGCACTACCACGTAAGCCTCCGATGCGAGGTTACGAAGGTGCCAGTCCCCCCGCCTAGGCTACTGCCCGGGGCGCGCCCGTGGCGCCCGCCCAAGCCCGCACCGCCGCCCTCCTCGACGCGCGGGAGACTCTCCCCTGAGTCCTGTGGCGGCGCGCAGCGCCTTCCAAGGCCGCCTGGCAGCTGCACCGAGTTGACTTGCGCCGGCGACGCGGCGCGGGGCGCGGCCAGGAGCAGCGGGGTCGCTGTGCTGGCGAGGAAAGGCCGGAAACGTCGAATTAGGGCCGGAGGATGCGCGCAGAGGGCTGGAGGAGAGGAGGTAGTTGCTGAGGGGCTCGAGGGGGAGGAGGGGGGAAGCGAGGAGGATGAGCTATTTGTCCAGAACGCACCGCAGGCTGCGGGACTGCAGCGTCGCGCATAGCGCGTCGAAGCGCAGGAAGCGGCGCGGGCGGAATCGCGAGGACGATCCAAGCACCCACGGCAGCGGACCGCTCACGCGCGGAGACGCGCCGAGCGACGGGGCTTTCGGCGCGTCGTCGTCGCTAAAAGCATCCGGGTACCTGTCCGCGCGGCTCACTGCACAGCAGTTCCGCGAGGTGTGTGCACGCGCCCCTTGTGCAGTGCGGAATGCACCCTCTGTCTCTCCGCTGCCTGCGACGTGGCTGCCGCGCCACAGGTACGCTTGCGTCCGCGTGCATCCGGGACGTGCGCTCACGCGCAGCGCCGCGTGGTGCGCCGTGCAGGGAGTGCGGTGGCTGTCGTCGTACGCTGACGTGTCGCGCTGGGCGCGAAAGCTCGACGTTCCCGCGCGCGTCGACGCGGCCCGCGGGATCCTGCACGTCCGGAACCTCCTCCCTGCGCACGTACGCCCGCGGCCCGACGCCGCCGCACCACCGCGCAACGTCTCGCGCCGCAGCAACGGCCGTCCGTGCGTGCCGCGGGGCTCGCAGGTTGCCTGGACGGCGCTGCGGATCCTCGAGGAGCTCCCCCGCGAGGCCTGGGTGCGCACGGCCGCGGCGTCGGACCTCGCGGCCAACAACATCGCTCATTGCTTCCGCTCTGCACGCGGGGGCTCGCAGCACCTCGACACCCTCCTCCGCGCGCTCGCCGCGCTCAACCCCACGCAGATCCCTTCCCTCTCGGCAGGTAGCCGCCCCGCCACGACACACCGGCAGCCCTGCCGGGCCCCGCGGTCGCGTGTGTCGCAAGACCCACACAAGCACCGCACCTGGTGCTGCCTCGCAGGGTGCTACACAGAGGGGCACCACATCGCGCCGCACGACGACCGTCAGTGCACGGACGTCGCGATGGACGACGGGACCGTGCAGCGCTGCTACCGGGACCTGACAGCAGTGTTCTACTTCACGCCCGCCTGGGAGCGCGCGTGGGGGGGTCTCTTCCGCGACCTCGAGCACGGCGCGCGCGCGGCGGACTCGAACCCGCGACGACGCAAGCGGGGGGGTCTCAGGGCGGTGTCCGACACGGTGCCCCCGCGCACAGGCCCGACGGCGCGCGAAGTGGTCCCGGAGTTCAACAGCGCGGTGTTCTTCCGGGTGCCGCACTGGCACGAGGTGACGGCCGTGCGGGCGCCCGCGGGGACCAAGCGGTTCAGCGTGTTCGGGTGGTGGCTGACGGAGGAGCGGCTGTACCATCTCAACCTGGGAGGCAGCACGTCGTACTAGCGCGACGCAAGGCGCGCGGTGTCGCGGCGATGTTCGGTGATTGTCGTCCGTGCTAGCGGTGCAAAACGGGGCGCATGAGACGAGGGGGGGGGTGTTGGGGTTGTCATTCACAAGGGTGGGCTCAAAGTGCGGGGTTAGGCGGCGGGGTTGCCGTACAGGATCTCGAACGAGTCGACGACCGTCTTGACCTTCTTCTGCATCTTCCCCCACCGCCGCTCGTTCGCGCCCGTCGACACGATGTAGAACTTCCCGTTGGACACCGTCACCACGCCCAGCGCTGCACACACGCGCACGCACGCAGCCCACGCGTCTCCGCACCGCAACGCACTGCGCGGTCGGCACTTCTCCACGCAACGTGCCCCCACCAGCGCGGCAAGCAGGCGCGCGCGTTGTATCCAGTGCGTTGCTGAAACACGAAGCACGTTCGCGAGCGGGTGCGCACCGTGGCGGGTGTAGTTGGGCGCCTCCGCGAGGAACTCGAACTCGACGTACGGACGGCCTTGGCGCTCGACGCGCTTGGCGTCGAGCACCTTGGTCTTCTGGCGCTTGTTCGAGAGCGCGGTGGCCACGAGGGTGTCGGCAATCTCCAGCGGCGTGCCGAACTCATCGACGCTCTCCTTGTCCGTGAGCACCAGCGACACCGACACCGACTCCAGCGGCTCGATCACGTCCTTGTAGCACACGTCCAGCCCCTGCGTCACGCGGCGCGGACAGAGCGCGTCAGCCAATATGTCTCAAGACAAGGATTCCAGTCTCCCGGCGCGCCGCAGCCCAAGGTCCGGGCACGCACGTCGACGGAGACCTCCTGCCAGCCGAAGGGGTACAGGAACGTGTAGTTGTCGTTGTCGTCACGGCAGATGTTGTATCCCTTGGGCTTCTTGGCAGCGGCGGAGGCCGGACCGGCCGCGAGCGACGCAGCGAGGAGCGCCGCGCCCTGGAGGACCTCGCGGCGCGAGCCCTGCGGCACGGCGGAGTCGCTGGGGGCCGCGCGGCACACGGCGCCGGCGGCGCGCCGGGCGGGGGCCACGGAGGCGACCTGCACGGCAGAAGCCAATCGCGCACCCCGGCATGCAGTGAGGCTCCACCGACGCGCGTGCGTTGCTTCCAGCGCGCAATTTACGACATGGGGGAGCGGGACAGATTGAGTAGGGGTCCGAGGAGGGAAGCGCGGGCCAGCGGGCCGGTGGGGCGGTCGGCGGGGCCGGGTGCAGCAGTGCGTGGGCGCGTGATGGCACACGGGCGCCCGGCGCGGCGTGGGGCGATGCGGGCTCGGCGCGACGCGGCGGCGCGCACGCGAGCGCGGGTGCGGTGAGGGGAGGCCGGGAGCGCGCGCAGGTCCGCGCTGGACGGGGCGGGCCCACTGCTGTCGTCCACCAAGCTTGCTCGGCGCGCGCTCGGTTTCGGTGGGCATAGGCGCGCGGCGATGCACGTCGCGATGCGACAGGTGGGATTGTTGAACGCGTCTGGGGCGGCCAGGCGTGGCTGGAAGGCCCACCGGGCGTAATGGCTGGGCGAGCGACACCCGAGCTACGCGCCAGGTGCGCCGGGAGCGTTGATGGCTGGGTGTCCGCGCAGCCGTTCGGGCCGTCTGCTTGTAAACTCACGGACGACGCGCGCGTGACATCGTCCCGGTCAAGCGCGAGAGAGCTTTTCGAGCTGCACGCACCTGGGGCGCGACAGCGCTGCGGGCCGCGAACGACATGCTTCCTGCGATCTCCTTTCCACACAGACTGAGCAGCCACAACCTGCGCCGCCCTCCGCGCCGCCCCTCGCCATCAGCGGGCCACCAGCCTGCGCCCGGGCCGCGGCACACCCCCCCACGGCGACGCACTGCGCACGCAACCGCCACACTACGCCGCACGGTCGTCCCGAGCCCGGGACGCGCGCTGGGGACCGCCGCAGGCCGCCGCAAGCTCGCCGGGCGTCGCACGCGCCGCACCCCGCGTTTCCGGCGGCCAGCGAACGTTTGTCATGTCACATGTGTACATGCGCGCTGTTGTGCCTGGTTCCGCAGAAACAGCCCCTTTCGACGCCGCCGCGGCCGTGCCACGCCCTCCCGCGTCTCGCCCCGCCGTCCGTCGCGGCCCCACCTCGGCGACCCACCGCCGCCAGCGCACACTGCATGTACAGCCCACCTCCGCAGCGGGCCCCGCATCTCCACGCTCCTCCGTCTCCGCTCCACCCAAACCCCGCCTCACGCCTTCCTGGCCCGCTTTCCGCTGTCCCGCCCCACTGCACGTCCCCCCCCTCCGCGCTCTCCACGCAACCCTAGACCAGCCAGCTGGCGCCGCGCGTCGCGCGCACGAAGCGCCACCCGCCGCGGTGCCGCCCTCCCGACACGCGATCCGAACTGGGCATCCGCCCCGCGCCTCGCTGCGCCCATCGACCGCGGCCCCAGCGCGCCAGCCGCGGCACCCCATAGGGTCAAGACCGGCGCTCCACACCCCCCTCGCGGTATCCGCGCCATCCGGGCGCAAGGGCCCCCCGCGACGCCGCCCGCGGGCACTCGGCCGCGATTGCCCCGGCTCCACGCTGGTCATCGATCGCGACAGCGTCGTTGGCCGCACGCGCTCCGCCCCTGGAGCATCTCGCCAGCAGCAGGCCGCAGCTCGCGTCGTGGCCGCCGGCGGGACGTTCTTGCGGCCCCAGCCGGTCGATCTCGGTCCCGGGCGCCCCGAAACGCGGCCGCACCCCTCACGCCCGGGCCTGGCGCGCTCGCAGCGCCGCTCGATCCCCACAGTGCCCCCACGCCGAGTGGTCGCCGGCAGCGATGGGGGACGCCCGCAAGTACATCCGCCGGATCGTCCGGCAGGTCCACCCCGATCTGTTCGCGGAGTTCCCGCACGCCCGGGCGGCCAACACCGAGGCTCTCAAGGCACGCGGCCCCCTGTGTCCCTCCTGTGCTCCTGCTGAGCGCCCGGCCGCTCCCCCGCGGCCCGCGCGGCCACCGGTGCTGCGCGCGGCGAATTTCGCGCGCTCACCTCCTCACGGAACGCCGGCGGCGCCCGCGGCGCCGCTGAGCGCGCTGCCGCTGCGCGCGGAGCGCCGTGTGTCGCTGCAGCCTCGAGACGTTGAGGGGCGGGGCTGAGCGCTGGCGTGCGTGCGTTTTTCGCGTCGCAGGAGCTCAACGCGTATCTGGCGTCCCTCGAGGACCCGGAGGGGCGCGCTATCAGCGGCCACGGCGCGTCGCGCGTTGAGTTTTGGGTCAAGGATGGAGCGGGTGGCGTGTCGCAGGTGCACGCGGAGCTCCCGGGCGGCCGGGGGTCGCTCGGCCCGCTTTTCCTGGCGTTCGGGCTCATCACCGAGGAGGAGATGGAGCGAGATTTCGCGGTCGGGCTCGAGGTGAGCGGCCGCGCCAAACCGCTGGCATGCTGCCCCTGCAGCAGAGCCGAGCCCGACGCACGCCGCCGCTTTCCCTGCCCGCTGGCGCCGCCCGGCGGTCGGCCTCGTGCCTGCGGCCCGCCGCGTCCGCCCAGGCGGCCACGTTTCCGCCGTGGTGCGCCGCGCTGCGCGCAGTCGTTATCCCGTCGCGCAGCACGTCACGCCCGCGCGTGACGCGCGCCCGCGGCCGCGCGCTCCGCAGGGACGGCCGGACCACAGCAACGTGAATCTCCTGCACTTCCTCCGCGAGACGGTCGCCGCCGCGGTGAAGCAGGCCGCCCAGCACGAGGTGCTCCGTGAACAGCTGCGGGGGCTCTCCGTGCAGGTGCGCACGCCCCGGGATGCCGCGCCCGGCGCCCGCGCCCGCTCAATCCACGCGTGCTCCGCGCGAACGCGCCCCTCCGCGGCCGCGGAGCCCCGCGGAAGAGCCCCCGCGCCGCCCCCCTGGCTGCGCAGGTGGAGCGCGAGCACGGCCTGCTCGTCGTGGAGGTCGCGTCGGACTACCTCGCGTCGCCGACCGAGCAGCTGCACCACATCGAGGCCCTCGAGCTCCTCCGCGACTCCCTCGCCGACCTCAACGCGCGGTGCGGCCCTCCCGCCCCCCCTCGTTTCAACCACCCGCGTCGCCCGCGCGCCCCCCGCCGCCCCCAGCGCGCCGCGCCGCACCGCGCCGCCCCTGCAGGTCCCCGGGAGCCCTCTCGGGCCTCGCGATCCGCCTCTACCCGCCGGGCGCCCACGCGGCGTCGAGCTACGTTGGCGACGACGGCACGCTGCATCTCGTGGCCGAGGACGGGCACCTGCAGGAGGTGCTCGAGTGCCTCGACCTCGAGAAGGCGCACCTGCTCACGAAGCTCAACATGTACTGGGCGCGGCGGGTGCGCGAGCTCGCGGTCCCCGCGGCGGCGAAGCTCGGCGTGCGGCAGGTGTGGTGCGACTCGCGGTCGGAGCAGGGCGCGCAGCAGTTCTCGATCTGGGCCGGCCGCGTCCTCCAGCTCGACGAGGGGCAGTCCCCCGCGCCGTGCGAGTACCGCAGCCACCCCGAGTCGGGTCTGACTGTGCTGGTGCACAACGACCCCACTAGCCCGCTCCTGGAGCACCTCCCGTCGTCGTCCGTGCTCCAGGTCCGCGCGGACTGCTCCGTCGAGGAGCTGACGAGCTTCCTGCAGTCCGACACGGGCATCCAGGCGTCGGACCGCGCGGCCGAGGTCGTCGACGAGCGCGCGGAGGAGGAGCGCCGGCTGCGCGAGTGCGGCAAGGCGCTCGGGTGCAAGCACCTCATCCGCATCGTGACGCTCGCGCAGCAGGACGAGATCTACGCGGCCATCGCGCGGCTGAGCGACTGCGCGGCGCGCCTGCGCGGCGCGGTGGACCTGTCGGGCGCGAGCATCGCCATCGACGACTGCTACGAGGTGTGGGGCACGGGGTTCATTTCGATCCCGTACGACTTCAAGGTCGAGGACCTCGAGCCGCAGCTCGTGCGGCTGCTCGGCGCCGCCGACAGGGACAGCACCGTGGTCGGGGGGGACGCCCTGGCCGACAACAGCGCCAGCGACGACGACAGCGACTTCGGCGGCGGCGCCGGCGCGGGCGTCGCGGAGGAGGCGGCGGCCGTCGACGGCGACGCGGCCGTGCCCGAGGAGCAGACCGTGCAGCAGCGCGTCGACTTTGAGCACGCGCCGGAGGCGAAGGCGGCGGCGGCGGCGGCGGCGGCGGCGGCGGCGGCGCCGCGCCCGAAGATCAAGCGGGTCAAGAAGGCTCCGGCGCGCAAGAAGAAGGCGAAGGCCGCTGCGGAGGTGGCGCCGCAGACCGTGATGGCGGCCGCGGCCGAGGTGGCGCCCGCTGCGAAGCCGGCGGCCGCGGAGCAGCCGGAGGCGGCGATGGCCGCGAGCGCGGAGACTGTCGAGGAGAAGGACGCCGCGAAGCCGGCGGTTGCGGAGGAGGCTGTCGCGGCGCAGCCGCAGATGGCGGCGCGCGCGGAGGCGGCGGAGGCCCCCGCGAAGCCGCAGGTCGTCGCCGCGGCCGCAGACGAGGAGGTGGCGGCGGCCGTGGCGGCCGAGGCGGCCGAGGCGCCCCCCCCGCCCCGCCAGCGCGCCGCGATCGCGTCGCTGGGCGCCGTGGGAGAGGAGCTGCTGGAGAAGCCCCGGCGGATCGTCGCCGCGAAGCTCGGGCAGGCGATGCAGCAGGCGCGGTCCGCGGCGGAGGAGCTCGCGCAGCCGGGTCGCGTGGCGGCGCCGAAGCCGGCCGACGATCAGCTGCTGATCAAGCCGCAGCGGATCAGCGCCAAGTCGCTGGAGCGGTCGCGGCTGAAGGCGGAGGCGCGCGCGGCGACGCTGAGGGCGGACGCGGAGCGGCTGCGCGCGGAGGCGAAGAAGGCGGACGCGGCGTGGCGGTCGGCGCAGGAGCAGGCGCTGGCGGACGCCAAGGAGCGGAGGCTCGCGGCGGCCGCGCAGGCGTCCGCGCAGGCGGAGCGCGCCGCGGAGCAGGCGAGCCGGCGCGCGGAGATGCTCGCGGAGGCGGAGGCGCTGCTGCACGCCAAGGGCGGGTCGGACGACGAGGCGCAAGTTCTACTGGACCTGACCAAGTCGTACTGGGACCTGTCCTCGGACTCGGACGACGAGGCGGTGGGCCTCGCGCCGCCCCCCGTGCGCCACGCCGCGGACTCGGGGCACGCCGCGCCGCCGGCTGCGGCGGGCCAGGACACGCAGGCGCGCACCAAGGTGCAAACGCAGGCCACGGCGCCGGCGAACCCCGGGTGGCGCGGGCTGGGCGCGCTGGTGGCGGTGCGCGTGACGATGGAGCGCGCGTTCCAGCAGGGGCTGCCGGCCCCGAAGTGGATGGGGGAGGGAGTGCCGGAGCGCATGCGGGAGTCCCTGGGGGGTCTGTTGCGGCGCGGGGACCAGGCGCGGTCGAAGGCGTCCGGCGGGCTGACGGGGCGGCCGCCGCAGAGCAAGAGCGGCGGGTGGCTCGGCCTGCGGAAGCAGACGCGCTCGTCGGCGCCCCCGCGCGCGCACCTGGCCCCCGCCGCGCGTGCGGTGCGCAGCTTCGCCCTGCTCTGAAGGGACGCCGCGGAATCAGACATGGAGCGCCGCGGAAACGAAGAGTTGGCTGCATTGATGCCCTGAAAGTGCACGCGCTAGCATGTGACGTTACACGCGCAACTCAGGCGCCGCCGACGCGCGACACGCAGCGCGCCGCCCCGTCACTTCTCCCTCTCCCAGTCCTGCAGCACGCGCACGAGGTCCTGCACGCAGTACCCGCTCATGGTGTCCAGCAGCGACACCTGCTTCCTCCCCCCCCCCAGCGACAGCGGCACCTTGGCCAGCACCGCCTCCACATCGCGCTCGTCGACGCCGTCGCGGTCCACGCGCTGCCCGAGCTCGTTCGCGAGCGCCTGCGCCATCGTCCCGCCCCCGGCCTTGAGGTCCCGCAGGTACAAGTGCCACCCGTTGAAGTCGCAATACACCTCCCTCCCAATCTTGTCCTCGAGCAACTGGTACGCGCCCTTCCCGCTCCCGCCCCCGGACGTCACCAGCTTCGTGATGTCCAGCCAGGCGCCCGCCGCTGCGCGAGCCACCGGGGGACGGGCGGTGCTTGTGCGGTGGTTGGCCCAGCACGGGGCGGGAAACGGCCGACGCCGCGCTCCGTGGTTAGCGATGCGGCGGCGAGGATACCATGCTGTCATCGCGCTCGTTGGGGCGCCGGAATCGTGCCGCGCCAGCAGGTACGAGCCCGGGCAAGGTGCTGTGCGGGGGGAGGTGGCTCTGGAGCGGTGCGTCGTGCGGGGACTCACCGTCCTTCCCGAGGCCCCGCGTGACGGCGCTTCGCGCGCGGTGCGAGCGACTCGCCGGGGTCCGCGCGGCGAGCCCGGGCCGCGGGCGCACGCCCACCAGCGCCGAGGTGGTTGTCGCGCCTCGGAGCGCTTGCATCGTCTCACGGCTCGCAAGTCCGTACCTGCGTGCGGTGTGGCCGTCGGAAGCAGTGGAACAGTGCCTGGCGCGCGTTGATGGCCGTATTCCCGGTGTGCAGCGACAGGGGAGGGTGACTGGGTGCACGCGGGCGAATGGGGCGTGTAGATGGGGGGGCACGCAGGAGACGCGCGGAGCACGGAGGGACGGCGATCGTGATCGCCGCTCGAGGGCCCGTGTGGTGCTCCCCCGGCGCGGGCAGCGCGCTCCTCAGTGGGTGTTGGTGGACGAGCGCACCTACGCGAGGACAGTCCTTCGCAGCAGTCGTTTGATTCGCGCAGCGATACCGGACGAATCGTCTAGCTACGTGCCGCCGAGCCCCGCGACAATGAGCCGCCGAGCAGGCCGCGAGCAGGGGGCGCGGGACCTTCCGTGGGATGTCCCCGGAAGCACCGCCGACGCGCCTCCAACGGCGCTGCCGCGCGCCGCGGTTCGCCACTCTAGTTAAAGTACGCCGTACGGCGATATCGCGACGCTCCTGCAACCCGGCAGGTGCGGTAGCGCGCGGTGTTGAATACATAGGAACAAAACAGCCGCAGCTCTGCGGGCGCGCTTCTCGCGAACGAGGAACCGGACCTCGGGAGATTCCTCGCGCGATCCTGCGTCTCTCCGCCGAGCCGCGCCGCGTCTGGCTGGCCACGCGGCACGGCGTCGCGAACACAGTGCCAACGTCCTGCACATGCTCCTTGGGCTCGACGTTTCGCGAACTTGAGCTGCGCGGTGTCAGCCTGACCTTGCCCTCCGTATCGTCGTCGGTTGGAGGCGCCCCGATCCCGGCAGGAGGGCGGCACAGCGGCGATGGAGAACGGGCACGTCGCGGGTGCTCCGCTCCCGGAGGCGAAGCAGCCGGACCCGTTCGAGAAGTCCCTCACGACGGGCGAAGATGTCCTGCTGTGGCCCATCGATGACGTGGCGAAGAAGCCCATGAAGGTGCGCGCGGCGCGACGCGGGCGGCCCAAGCAGGCTCGCCGCACGAGGCGCCCCCTTCTCCCGTGGCCCGCACACCCGCGTCAGCGCCGCACTCGCCCTGACGCGGCGGGATCCGCTGCTGCTTCCTTCCTCGCGCGTCAAGAAACGCCGCGCGAGCGCATCCCTCAACGGTAGCGCCCAGGGTCTCCTCCGCCACTGCCATTTGCCGCGCTCGCGCGCACTGCGCCCCTGCGCGCCCCGCCGCGATCCCCCGCCCTCGCTCACGAACAGCCCCACGCGCAGGCACGCGTTTCGCGGCGCATTCCCGCCCCCGCGCGTCCCCCACCGCCTCCGCCTGCCCCACCAGGTTTCCAAATGGTTCGCCGCCGTGCGGCGCCCCGCGGCCCCCGCCCCGCGACTGCCGCGCCTCCCGCGCTGCTGGCGTCCTGTTTCACACCCGCAGCGCGCCGGACGTCCGCGCGGCCGCCCCAGCGCCCCGTTTCGGCGCCCAGCGCGTCGCCACATGTGCCGCATCGCGCGGCGTCCTGCCCGCGCCCCACGCGCGCGCCCCGCGCTCGCCAGCCCGCACGGGGCTTCCCGGCCCCGAATCTTCGCGCGTTCCGACCCCTGCGCTCCGTTTCGCCGCGCGGCATGCAGCTGGGCCCAGCGCGAGTGCAGCCGTCCTTCCCGCCGCCCGAGGACGGGCTCGTGGCGCTGCACAACGAGGCGGTGATGGCGAAGGAGGTCCTGCAGTCCCGGCGGAGGCTCCCGCCCATGGTGAACGACCAGTCGCTGTTCACGCTCGCGGCCACCTACGGCGACACCAATGACCCGTTTTACCACTCGCCGTCGACGCGCATCGGGTCCTCCCTGTCGATGCCCGCGTCGCTCGCGTCCGCAGCGCTCGTCGAGGAGTTCCCCCCGGACCCGCAGCAGCCCCAGAAGGCCGCGGGCGACCGCCAGGTGCGACGCAGGCCCCGCCTCCCACCCCAACTGCGCCGCGCAGCCGCGCCGCCGCGCGCCCGCCTCGCGGCCTCTGCCCGCCCCCGCCGCCCCCACCGGCCCCGTGGCCCCCCCTCCACGCCGCCCACGCGCCCACGCGCCCGCCGTGCCGCCCGCCGCGCGCCCCCACTCCCGCTGCCCCTCCGCGCGCCCGCCGCAGTTCAAGGCGCTCCGCGACCAGCACGTGATGCGGCAGACCAAGATCAACGCCATGGGGGGCACCACCCCCGGCACGCTCCACCTCACCGTCGGCCCCAACGGCCTCCAGGACGCCGAGCCCGACCACCTCGTCATGGGCATCACGCTCCCGGGCGGCCGCGGGCCCGACGGGACCGTCCGCGGCATCGTCGTCGACTGGGGCCGCTCCGTGGAGATGGACCCGTGCGTCACGCTGCCCAAGGACATCAGCCCGGAGGAGAAGGAGGTGATCGCCGACGCCATCCTGCGGTACTGGTACTACGTCGAGTACGGCGTGCCGGACCGCCACGTGGCGCCGTACCGCGAGGAGTGGGCCGCGAACGCGCTGGCGATGGTTCCGCAGCAGGCCCCGGCGAGCCTCCCCGAGGAGCGGTACTTTGCGCTGATCGAGGGGTCGCTGCAGGAGATCCACCGGGACTACGTGCGGTCGGCGTCGCGGAGCATCGTGGACTACGTGCTGCTGTCGCCGATGGAGCGCGAGCGGCTGAACCTCCAGGCGCTCGAGCGCGTGTGGCCGGAGTATGACTTGTGGCGGCGGTGGTGGCGCGGGGTGGTGTACCGGGAGCTGGACCCGGCGTGGCACGACCACGTCGCGCGCGCGACGCACAACCTCGCCTGGTCGCTGCAGACGCTCTCGCAGAACGCCGCGGAGCTCAACGGCGTCTGGCTCAGCCAGGGGTTCTCGCAGCGCCTCCTGGTGGAGGTCAAGGCGTCGTCGTTCGTGCGGCAGTGCCCCATGGCCGTGGAGAGCTTCCGCGCGCTGCAGGTGCAGCAGTGCGAGAAGGTCAAGAGCTCCCTGTGGTCGATCTGGGTCCCGAAGACGGCCGAGATCTTCCGGCGCCTCCCGCCGGTCTTCATCAACAACGACGCCGCGGCGTACTACCGCTCGATCGCGACGCTGCAGAGCAACCACCTCCGCGGCCTCGTGCAGGCCAGCCTCGACGCGTTCGTCGCCTTCTTCCAGGCGCACAAGCGCACCGAGGAGGTCGACCCGCACGGCGACACGCTGATGTGGGCGCAGCCCGCGGCGTTCCACCTCGAGATGGTGCACGAGCCGACGGCGGGGATCGCGTTCCAGCCGGCGCGCGCGGACTTCAAGGACCAGCTGAACAGCATCATCGAGAGCGTGGTCAACGCGGTGATCGGCATCCCGCGCGCCGAGTCGATCAACCAGGTGGTGGGGTCGACGACGGGCATCGCGGACGTGGCGTCGGGGAGCCAGATGGTGCCGTGCATGCGGCTGGAGGAGGACCCTGTCGCGGAGGCGCGCCAGGCGGTGATGCGCGCCATCGACGACCACTTCGTCGCGCCGACCGAGCTCGCGGCGATGTTCGCGCCGTACGAGTTCCTGCTGTCGATCGACGCCGGGGAGTACGCGGCCGCGTTCCAGGACAAGGACCCGTCGCTGGAGCAGTACGCCGAGGAGCTCGACCGCTTCCTGGGTGCGGCCGCGGCGGTCGAGGCGGCGTGCATGGGCAGCGTGCGGCTGGGCATGTTCGAGGTCTCGACGCACGGCATCAAGGCGGCGATGGTCGGCAAGGCGCGCGAGGTCGTCGCGCAGCTGCTGGACCAGATCCGCGCCGCCACCTTCGACTCGAACCAGCTCATCTGCGACACCTTCCAGGAGATGATGCAGGAGTTCTCCAAGGTCTCGAAGTCCGGCGAGGAGGTCCTGGCGCTGAAGAAGTACATTCAGAAGCGCACGGTCGACCAGGACAAGCTGCGCGACGACATTGCCTTCAACAAGGAGCGCGCGGAGTTCCTGGAGCGGTACCGCTTCGCGACGCCGGACGACGACTTCGCGCTCGCGATCCGCGCGTACGAGTGGCCGCGGCGCATGGTGGACATCCTCAAGGAGGCGGTCCAGAAGGCCAACAGCGAGCAGCGCGTGTTCGAGGACGAGCTCAAGAAGCAGCGCGCGGAGTTCCTCGAGCGCCTCGCGGAGTTCGAGGAGCAGGTCGAGGCGTTCGAGACGTACGGGGAGCTGGTGAAGCGCGACCAGCTGGCCGGGCAGGCGCAGGAGCTGATGGTGAAGCTGCGCGAGGCGCAGACGGTCGGCGAGGAGATCAACGCGCAGGAGCGCATGTTCAGCTGGGCGATGACGAAGTTCGCGGCGATCCCGCAGATGGTCGCGAAGCTGGACCCCTTTTTGTCGCTGTGGTCGACCACCGCCGAGTTCTACAACCGGTACCACGTCTGGATGAACGGGCCCTTCGCGAAGCTCGACCCCGAGCAGGTCGAGTCCGGCATCACGGAGGCGTACCGGAAGATCTACAAGCTGTCGAAGGTGTTCGCGGGGTCGGGCGGGCAGACGCCGGAGCTGCCGGAGCCCCTCAAGGTGGCCGAGACGGTGAAGCAGCGCATCGAGGAGTTCAAGGGGTACCTCCCGCTGCTCTCCGCGATCTGCAACCCGGGCCTGCGCGACCGCCACTGGGCGTCGATCGCGAGCGTGCTGGGCTTCGAGGTGAAGCGCGACGAGGTGACGTCGCTCAAGCGGCTGCTCGACCAGGACGTCGGCGCGCACGTCGAGGGCATCGCGGCCATCTCGGACAACGCGTCGCGCGAGTGGTCGATCGAGAAGCAGCTCGACAAGATGCTGTCGGACTGGGAGGGGCTCTCGTTCGAGCTGGGCGAGTGGAAGGACACGGGGACCTACATCCTCAAGGGCGGGCCGGTCGACGAGGCGCAGACGCTGCTGGACGACCACATCGTGAAGACGCAGGCGATGTCGGCGTCGCCGTTCGCCGCGCCGTTCAAGCAGCGCCTCGGGCCGTGGGAGCGCAAGCTGGAGCGGCTGCAGAGCATCCTGGACGACTGGCTCAAGTGCCAGGGGCGGTGGCTGTACCTCGAGCCGATCTTCGGGTCGGAGGAGATCGTGCGGCAGATCCCGCGCGAGGGCACGGCCTTCCGGGAGATGGACGCCACGTGGCGGCGCACGATGCAGCGGGTGCGCGAGAGCCCCGCGGTGCTGAGCGTCGCGGACTTCGACAACCTGCTCGAGGACCTGACGCAGGCGAACGAGCAGCTGGACGTCGTGGAGAAGGGCCTGAACGACTTCTTGGAGACCAAGAAGCAGCAGTTCCCGCGCTTCTACTTTTTGTCGAACGACGAGCTGCTCGAGATCCTGTCCGAGGCCAAGGAGCCGCTCAACATCCAGAAGTTCACGAAGAAGATCTTCGAGGCCGTCAAGGAGTTCCAGTTCGAGGCCTCGGGGGACATCACCGGCATGACGAGTGTCGAGGGGGAGACGATTCCGTGGATCGAGCCCGTGTCGCCGGCGAAGATCGGCGCGGTGGAGGCGTGGCTCCTCGAGTGCGAGAACGTCATCAAGCGCACGCTGCACAAGATCGCGCGCGACGCCATCGAGGCCTATGCCGACACCGAGCGCTCCCGCTGGATCCTCAACTGGCCGGGGCAGCTGGTGCTCAACTGCTCCCAGGTGTACTGGACGTCCGACGTGATGCAGGCCATCCAGAGCGCGGGCGCGGCCGGCCTCAAGGAGTACGCCGGGCAGTGCTCGGAGGAGCTCAACAAGATCGTCACCCTCGTGCGCGGCCAGCTGTCCAAGCTGGAGCGGGCGACGTGCGGCGCGCTCGTGGTCATCGACGTGCACGCGCGCGACGTCGTCGCGCAGATGGCCGAGGACGGCGTCGAGTCGGTCAAGGACTTCAAGTGGGAGGCGCAGATGCGCTACTACTGGGAGCACAACGAACACCCCCCCTCGAACGTGGACCCGACGGACACGATCGTCGTGCGCATGATCAACGCGGAGGCGCTGTACGGCTACGAGTACCTCGGCAACTCGTCCCGCCTCGTCATCACGCCGCTGACGGACCGCTGCTACCGCACGCTCATGGGCGCCATCCACATGAACCTCGGCGGGGCGCCCGCGGGGCCCGCGGGGACGGGGAAGACGGAGACGACGAAGGACCTGTCGAAGGCGCTCGCGATCCAGTGCGTGGTGTTCAACTGCTCGGACGGCCTCGACTACAAGGCCATGGGCAAGTTCTTCAAGGGGCTGGCGTGCAGCGGCGCGTGGGCGTGCTTCGACGAGTTCAACCGCATCGAGCTCGAGGTGCTCAGCGTCGTCGCGCAGCAGGTCCTGACGATCCAGCGCGCCAAGGCCGTGCGCGCCAAGACGTTTGTCTTCGAGGGGACGGAGCTGAAGCTGGTGATGACGAACAACGTCTTCATCACGATGAACCCGGGGTACGCCGGGCGGTCGGAGCTCCCGGACAACCTCAAGGCGCTGTTCCGCGACGTGGCGATGATGGTGCCGGACTACGCCATGATCGCCGAAATCATCCTGTACTCGTACGGGTACCTGGACGCGCGCGCCATGGCGCGGAAGCTCGTGCAGACGTACCGGCTGTGCTCCGAGCAGCTCTCGAGCCAGTTCCACTACGACTACGGCATGCGCGCCGTCATTGCCGTGCTGCGCGCGGCGGGCAACCTCAAGCGCAAGTACGGCGACCAGGCCGAGGACGTGCTCATGCTGCGGGCGATCACCGACGTCAACCTGCCCAAGTTCCTCGACCAGGACGTGCCGCTCTTCGAGGGCATCGTGTCGGACCTGTTCCCCGGCGTGGCGCTGCCGGAGATCGACTACAGCGACCTGCTGGCCGCGCTGCGGGAGAACAGCGTGAAGCGCAACCTGCAGCCGCTGGACAACTTCTTCACGAAGACGATCCAGCTGTACGAGATGATCATCGTCCGCCACGGCCTCATGCTGGTGGGGGAGTCGTACGGCATGAAGACGTGCTCGTACCAGGTGCTCGCCGCGGCGCTCGAGCAGCTGCACCAGAAGGGCCTGATGGGCGAGAACCCCGTGAAGACGTACGTGGTGAACCCGAAGAGCATCACCATGGGGCAGCTGTACGGGCAGGAGGACGCCGTGTCCAAGGAGTGGACGGACGGCATCCTGGCGGTCAACTTCCGCAACGCCGCGCGCGACGAGTCGAACGACCGCAAGTGGGTCATCCTGGACGGCCCCGTCGACGCGGTGTGGATCGAGAACATGAACACGGTGCTCGACGACAACAAGAAGCTCTGCCTCAACTCGGGCGAGATCATCGCCATGAACGCGCAGATGAACATGATCTTCGAGGTCGAGGACCTCAGCCAGGCGTCCCCGGCCACGGTCTCGCGCTGCGGCATGGTGTACATGCAGGCGCGCCTGCTCGGGTGGAAGCCCATCCTGCAGTCGTGGATCGACCAGCTGCCCGAGCAGATCGCGCCGGAGATCAAGGAGCAGATCCAGGCGCTCTTCGCGTGGCTCCTGCCCCCGATGCTGCGCGTGGCGACCAAGGAGGTCCGCCGGCCGGTGCCGATGCAGGACATCAACCTGGCGTCGTCGTGCATGAGCCTCCTCGAGTGCCTCCTGGACGACTTCGCGCACAACCCGGAGGTGATGAGCATGAACATGAACCTCCAGGCGGTGTGGGTGCAGTCGCTGATGCTGTTCTCGCTCGTGTGGTCGGTCGGCGGGTGCACGGACGAGGAGGGCCGCTCGCGGTTCGACCAGGTCCTCCGGCGGCTCCTCGTGAACGACCCCCCGGCGGACATCAAGCCGTACATGGAGGCGCCGGCGGTGCCGATCACGCAGGTCTACCCCGAGGGGCGGCTGGTGTACGACTTTGTGTTTGACAAGGCCAAGGCGAAGTGGGTGCCGTGGATGGACATCGTGGACTCCGGCCCGCTCGACGTCGAGCAGGAATACAACTCGATCATCGTGAAGACGCAGGACACCGTGCGCTACGGGTACCTGATCAGCCTGGCGGTGGCGCACTCGAAGCACATGCTGTACGTCGGGCCGACGGGGACGGGCAAGACGGCGTACATCAACCGCTTCTTGCAGACCGACATGGACCTGAGTCAGTTCACGTGGAACCTGGTCAACTTCAGCGCGCAGACGTCGTGCAACATGACGCAGGACATGATCGACGCGCGCCTCGACCGCCCGCGCGGCCGCAAGGGCAAGAAGACCTACGCGCCGCCCAACGGCAAGAAGATGGTGGTCTTCGTCGACGACCTGAACATGCCGAAGAGGGAGATCTACGGCGCGCAGCCGCCCATCGAGCTGCTGCGGCAGTGGATGGACCACGGCGGGTGGTACGACCGCAAGGAGTACCACTTCCGGCACATCGCGGACATCCAGTTCGTGTCCGCGATGGGCCCGCCGGGCGGCGGGCGCAACAGCGTGACCAACCGGTACCTGCGCCACTTCCACGTGGTGTCGCTCACGCCGTTCGACCTCGACACGAACTACCTGATCTTCTCGTCGCTGCTCGACTGGTTCTTCCGCAAGTACGAGTACGACCAGGCCTTCACGAAGCACCTCCGCGGCATCGTCATGTCCTCGATCGACCTCTTCAAGACGGTGCAGCAGGAGCTCCTGCCGACGCCGACCAAGTCGCACTACACCTTCAACCTGCGCGACCTGTGCAAGGTCTTCCAGGGCATCTCCGTCGCCGACAAGGCCGTGCAGGACCCCGCGCAGCTCGTGCGGCTGTGGTGCCACGAGATGCTGCGCGTGTTCTACGACCGTCTGGTGGCGGAGGAGGAGCGCGACTGGCTGCTCGACAAGATCGAGGCGGTCGCGGAGAAGCAGTTCAAGGAGAAGTTCAGCAAGCTGGCGGCGTCGCCGCACATGCGCGAGACCAAGGTCACGATGCGCGGGCTCAAGAGCAACATGTTCGGCGACTACATGGTCCCCGGCGCGGCCACGAAGCAGTACTCCGAGGTCCCCTCCATGGAGGCCTTCCTCAAGGTCGCCCAGGAGTACCTCAACGACTTCAACGCCACGTCCAAGAAGCCCATGCAGCTCGTGCTCTTCGACTTCGCGCTGGAGCACGTGTCGCGGATCTGCCGCATCATCAAGCAGCCCGGCGGGCACGCGCTGCTGGTCGGCATGGGCGGGTCCGGCCGGCAGTCGCTCACCCGGCTGGCGGCGTTCGTGGAGGAGTTCGAGGTGTATCAGATTGAGATCTCGAAGACGTACGGGATGGCGGACTGGTCGGACGACCTGCGCACGGTGCTGAAGATGGCGGGGGAGCAGAACAAGCCCGTGGTGTTCCTCTTCGCGGACACGCAGATCAAGGACGAGACGTTTGTGGAGAACATCTCGAACCTGATCAACACGTACGAGGTGCCCAACCTGCTGGGGTCCGGCGACATGGTGACGATCTACGAGAACATCAAGGGGCGCGCGAAGGCCGCGGGCCGCGACGGCAACCTGCACCAGTTCTTCCTGGACGAGCTGCGGCGCAACCTGCACGTGGTGCTGTCGTTCTCGCCCGTGGGCGACGCCTTCCGCGAGCGCCTGCGCAAGTTCCCGTCGCTGATCAACTGCACGACGTGCGACTGGTTCACGCGCTGGCCCGAGCAGGCGCTCGCGTCCGTGGCGCAGGCCAACCTGCGCGACGTGGTGGGCATCGAGGACGACATGAAGGAGCACCTGCCGGCCATCTGCGTGCTGTTCCACAACTCGATGCACCAGATGACGGAGCGCTTCCTCGCCGAGCAGCGCCGGTACAACTACGTGACGCCCACGTCGTACCTGGAGCTGCTCGCGTCATACAAGGAGCTGCTGGGGCGCAAGCAGCAGGAGATCTCGACGATCAAGCGGCGGTACGAGGTCGGGCTGGACAAGCTCGAGGCCACGGAGGCGTCCGTGGCGGGCATGCAGGAGGAGCTCATCGCGTTGCAGCCGCAGCTCGACGCGGCGGTGGTGGAGACGGACGCGGCGATGGAGGTGATCGCGAAGGAGAGCGAGGAGGCGGCCAAGGTCAAGGCGGTGGTCGAGGTGGACGAGGCGGCCGCGAGCAAGGAGGCCGCGGACGTGCAGGCCATCAAGGACGACTGCCAGCGAGACCTCGACCGGGCGATGCCGCTGGTGTACGAGGCGCTCAAGGCGCTCGACACGCTCACGAAGAACGACATCACGGAGGTCAAGGGCATGAAGAGTCCGCCCGCGGGCGTCAAGCTCGTCATGGAGGCGGTGTGCATCCTCAAGGGCGTCAAGCCCAGCCGCATCAAGGACCCGAACAGCGGGAAGATGGTCGACGACTACTGGGACGCGGCGAAGAAGATGCTGAACGACTTCGCCTTCCTGGACTCGCTCAAGACGTACGACAAGGACAACATCCCCCCCAAGGTCATCGAGGGGATCAAGCCCTACCTGGAGCGGGACGAGTTCGACCCGGAGAAGATCAAGTCGGTCTCGAAGGCCGCGTTCGGGCTGTGCTGCTGGGTGCGCGCGATGGGCGCGTACGACGAGGCCATGAAGGTCGTGCGGCCGAAGCAGGAGGCGCTGCACGAGGCCGAGTCCAAGCTGGGGACGGTCATGCAGGCGCTCGAGGGGAAGCGCGCGGAGCTCAAGGAGGTCATGGACAAGCTCGCGGCGCTCGACGCGGACCTGCAGGAGAAGAAGTCGCGCAAGGAGAAGCTCGAGCACGACGTGCACATGTGCACGGTGAAGCTGGACCGCGCGCAGAAGCTGATCGAGGGGCTGGGCGGCGAGAAGACGCGCTGGACGGCCGCGGCGGAGCGTCTCGGCGCGCAGCTGGAGCAGCTGGTCGGCGACGTGCTGCTCAGCGCCGGGCAGATCGCCTACCTGGGGCCCTTCACGTACCCCTACCGCAGCGCGGCGCTGCAGGAGTGGACCAAGGCGTGCAACGAGTACGCGGTGCCGTGCTCGGACCACTTCACGCTCTTGAACTGCCTGGGCGACCAGGTCAAGATCCGGCAGTGGAACATCCAGGGGCTGCCGCGCGACGACTTCTCGTCGGAGAACGCCATCAAGCTGGACCAGGGGCGCCGCTGGCCGCTGTGCATCGACCCGCAGGGGCTGGCCAACCGCTGGATCCGCAACATGGAGGAGGCGCGCAACATCAACGTCATCAAGCTCACGGACGCCAACTTCCTGCGCACCCTGGAGAACAGCATCCCGCTCGGGACGCCCGTGCTGCTGGAGAACGTCGGGGAATCGCTCGACGCGGCGCTGGAGCCGCTGCTGCAGAAGCAGCTGTTCAAGCAGGGCGGCGCGCTGTGCATCAAGCTGGGCGACGCGGTCGTGGAGTTTGACGCGCAGTTCAAGTTCTACATCACGACCAAGCTCCGGAACCCGCACTACCCGCCGGAGCTGTGCACGAAGGTCTCGCTGCTGAACTTCGTCACGACGGCGGAGGGTCTCGAGGACCAGCTGCTGGGCATCGTGGTGGCGAAGGAGCGGCCGGACCTGGAGGAGGAGAAGTCGAAGCTCATCATCCAGGGGGCGGAGAACAAGCGGAAGCTCAAGGAGATCGAGGACAAGATCCTCAAGGTGCTGTCGAGCTCCGAGGGCAACATCCTCGAGGACGAGGAGGCGGTGGACGTGCTGCAGAGCTCCAAGGTGCTGGCGGACGACATCAGCGAGAAGCAGAAGATCGCGGACGAGACGGAGGCGAAGATCGACGACGCGCGCGTGGGGTACAAGCCCGTCGCGCGCCACTCGTCGACGCTGTACTTCTCCGTCATGGACATGGGCCACATCGACCCCATGTACCAGTACTCGCTGGGGTGGTTCGTGGGGCTCTTCCTCAAGGCCATCTCCGAGTCCAAGCAGTCGGACGAGCTCGAGGAGCGCCTGCACCACCTCAACGACCACTTCACGTTCCTGCTCTACCAGAACGTGTGCCGCTCCCTGTTCGAGAAGGACAAGCTGCTCTTTGCGCTGGTGCTGGCCACCAAGCTCGGGATCAACCAGGGCACCGTCGACCCCGAGGAGCTCCGCTTCCTCCTCACCGGCGGCGTCGCCGTCGGCGACCTGGACGCGCCGAACCCCGCGCCGGGCTGGCTCTCGGACAAGTCGTGGGGCGAGATGCACCGCGCGTCCACCACGCTGTCCGACGCCTTCAAGCCGCTCGCGGACCACGTCGCCGCGCACACCGCGCAGTGGGAGACCATCTACCTGTCGTCCGAGCCGCAGAACGAGGCCCTGCCGGAGCCGTTCTGCGCGTCGCTGACTCAGTTCCAGCAGCTCATCGTCCTGCGCACCGTGCGGCAGGACAAGCTCATCCCCGCGATCACCAAGTACGTCGCGGCCGCGCTCGGGCCGCGCTTCGTCGAGCCGATGCCGTTCGCGATCGAGCCGTCGTTCAACGACTCGAGCCCCACCATGCCGCTGGTGTTTGTCCTGTCGCCCGGGTCGGACCCGATGGCGGCGCTGCTGAAGTTCGCGGACGACCGCGGCATCCGCGTCGAGGCGGTCAGCCTCGGGCAGGGCCAGGGCCCCGTCGCGCAGCAGTGGATCGAGACGGGCATGAAGGAGGGCCTGTGGGTGGTGCTGCAGAACTGCCACCTGGCCAAGTCCTTCCTGCCGACGCTGGAGCTCATCTGCGAGCAGCAGCTCGTGCCCGGGCGCGTGCACCGCGACTTCCGGCTGTGGCTCACGTCGTACCCGACGCCGATCTTCCCGATCAGCGTGCTGGAGAACTCGGTCAAGATGACGAACGAGCCGCCCAAGGGGCTCGCGGCGGGGCTGCTGCGGACCTACATGATGGACCCCTTCTGCGAGCACGAGTTCTTCGCGGGGTGCCAGAAGGACGCGCCGTTCCGCAAGCTCATGTTCGGCCTGGCCTTCTTCCACAGCGTGATTTACGAGCGGAAGAAGTTCGGGCCGATCGGGTGGAACATCCCGTACGAGTTCAACGAGAACGACCTGCGCATCAGCATCCGGCAGCTGCGCATGTTCCTCGACGAGTACGCCGAGATCCCGTACGACACCCTGCAGTACACGTGCGGCGAGTGCAACTACGGCGGGAAGGTCACGGACGGGCTCGACCGGCGCACGCTGATGACCATCCTCGACGACTTCTACACGCCGAAGATCCTCGAGGACACGTACAAGCTGTCGCCGTCGGGCACGTACTTTGCGCCGCCGTACGGCGACTACAACTCCTACCTGGAGTACATCCGGAAGCTCCCGCTCATCGCGTCGCCGGAGGTGTTCGGCCTGCACGAGAACGCGGACATCACGAAGGACCTCCAGGAGGTCGGGCTGCTGCTGAACAGCATGATGCTGACGCAGTCGCGCTCGACGAGCGGCGGGGGGAAGTCGGCGGAGGACATCATCGCCGAGGTGTCGGCGGGGATCCTCGCGCAGCTCCCGCCGGACTTCGACCTCGAGAAGGTGCAGCGGAAGTACCCGCAGGCCTACGACAACAGCATGAACACCGTGCTCGTGCAGGAGCTCGAGCGGTGCAACCGGCTGCTGTCCGTGATCCGCTCGATGCTGGTCAACCTCGGGAAGGCCGTCAAGGGCCTCGCGCTCATGAGCCCCGAGCTGGACGAGGTCGGCACGGCGCTGTATGTCGGCAAGGTGCCCGCGGTGTGGCTCAAGCACTCGTTCCCGAGCCTCAAGCCGCTGGGGCCGTACATCAAGGAGCTGCTCGACCGGTGCAAGTTCTTCCAGGACTGGATCGACCACGGGGCGCCCAAGGTGTTCTGGATCTCCGGGTTCTTCTTCACCCAGGCCTTCCTCACGGGGTCGAAGCAGAACTTCGCGCGCAAGTTCACCATCCCGATCGACGAGGTGGACTTCGACTTCGAGGTGATGGACCGCCCCGGGGACTGCGAGGAGCCCCCCGCGGACGGCGTCTACTGCGACGGGCTGTTCATCGAGGGCTGCCGGTGGGAGTTTGACAAGCACGTGCTGGCGGACTCGGAGCCCAAGGTGCTGTTCTCGAAGATGCCCATCATCTGGATGGTGCCGAAGAAGGTGACGGACTTCAAGAAGTACCAGCACTTCGAGGCGCCGCTGTACAAGACCACGGAGCGGCGCGGGGTGCTGTCGACAACGGGCCACTCGACCAACTTCGTCATGACCGTGCGCCTCCCGAGCGAGCACGACGCGTCCTTCTGGATCAAGCGCGGCGTGGCGCTCATGACCTCTCTCAACGACTAGACGCCATAGGATGGCAACAACGCAATCAACAATGCAACACGTAGTAATCTCACGCGCGAGATATTGGTGCGCGCGCACAGACGCCCTGTCTAGACCCACGCATAGCACGGGGACCACAGCTGGCCCTCGCATCGCAACGATTGTGAACTGACCGTCGAAGAAACGCTGTCCTCACATGACGCGAGCCCACGTCGGAACGCCGTCGCCCCCGCGCCGTCACCCGCCCCACTCCGCGGCTCCTCGCGGCACGTCACGCCACGTCCGCGAGCCTCACCTTGACCCGCACGGGCGCCGGGGCCTTCTTGTCGTTCACGGTCAGCGTGCCGCCGTCGCTGCCCATCAGCTCCGCCATGCGCTGCCCGAGCTTCTCCTTGTACATGCCCTCCAGCGCGCCACGCATGTACAGGTTCTTCGAGCCCATCGAGATCGAGGGTTCCGTGATTCCCAGCTCCTTCAGGCGAGGGTTTGCCGTCAGCCGCTGCATGGCCTGCTCCAGCGTGCACGCGCGCGGCAGGTCGATCGCCACGACGCGCCCGCACACGGGACAGTTCGGGTCCCGCTCGTACGCCACGTCGTGCGAGTACACCCGCTCACCGCCTGCACCACCCGGAGGACGCTGCGCCTTGTCACATGAACACGTGCGGCGCGACGGGGGCGCCTTCCGGCGGGTGCGCGCACGCATCGTTCGGTTCGCGGTGCTCGCGGGGCCGCACCGGTGTACATGATGGAGTTCTTGCTCCCAGAGCTGCAGTTCGACACGATCTTGACCACCTCGAGGGTGCACGCGGCCGCGACGATCGCGTTCGTGGACGCCACGGCCGGAATGATGCTCTTGACGACGCCCTGCGTGTGCCGGTACGTCACGCCGGGGATGCCGTGCAGCTCGGCGCGCCGCAGCGCCTGCTCGTACACCCACTGCATGTGCGTTGGGTCGTCGGCGTCGAACTCGTCGTTCGGGCGCTCCGCCGGCCACTGGATGAGGTGCGCGTACTCGATGCAGTGCGCCGCGCTGCGCGGGGTCTCCGCGAGCGTGCAGAGCGGGAACTTCGTTTGCGGCGGGAAGAGCCACAGCGTGCACTCGAAGCACGGCGTGAGGCCCGGGTAGATGACGCGGACGTGGCCCTTGAGGCCCTCGCTGCCACCGTCGACGATCGGGAGCATCGTGGACTGCTTGACGGCGCCGTCGTCGTCGAACTCGAGCATCGAGCAAACCAGCGCATTCATGTACTGGCGCGCTTCGAGCGAGTCGAGGCCGAGGACGATGACGTGGAAGTTGCGGTAGAAAGAGAGGTCCTTGTCCTCGATGCGGCCCACGTGTGGTGTCACGTTCGCGCCCTCCACGCGCTGGTTTACCTTGCCTGCGCGCCGGTGACGCAAGTGTTTGTTCGGCCCGCACGCTTCGGCGCGACCCGCGTTCCGACCGCAGAGATGCTTGCGTGCGATGCAAGGAGGCCTGTGCTGCCGTGAGGGCTCTGCGATGCAGCCCGCGCGGATCCGAAACGATCACTTGCGTGTTTCATGTGCATGTACCTGCTGCCACGGTGGCCTTGGGCTTCCCGACGTCCTCGGGCTGGAAGAGGAACTGCCGGTTGAGGTTGGACAGCTCGATGGTGTCCATGTCGATCACGTCGATGTTAATAAACCCCGACAGAGCCAGGTCCTTGAGCAGCTCGCACCCGAGGCCGCCAGCTCCGACGACGAGGATCCGGCAGTAGCCCTGGAAACGACCATCGAGGAGATAGACAGCGTGGTTCCGCCCTGAACCGTCGAAAGAAACTCGCACATCGCGCGCGCCGGGCGAGTATCAACCACCAGTGCACACGGCCTCTTGCAAGCGCGAGCGCCCTGGCGCGGAGCCACAGCGCGCGTGCAGGCTCCCGGGTCGACGGAGCACTCGTACCATGACCTCCTCCATCAGGTCCGCGTTAGCCTGGAATCCCGGCCCCACGAGGTTGCCTGGCCTGCTCAGCAGGTACTGCATATCGACCCATCGGTCCTGGTATCCCATCGTGCCCCACGACCCCTCCACAGCCACTCAGACGTCAGATTCCACCAAGCGCCGCGCCGTTGCGAGCGCACACGCGACTGCGGAGATGCCTAGGCGAGCCCACAGGACGCTGCTGCTACCGCGCGCTTGGGACGAGAACACGACGTTACGCGCCACATTCATTGCGTCTGTCGGCGTCGAGATCGACCGGGCGTATCGTAGCCGGCGACCCTGGCGCAGACTGGGTCTGACTCCGTCGCACGGTGCTCCAGTCTGACACCACGACCCCCCGTCGCAGCCTCGAGCATGGCCGCCGCACCGCACCGCGGCCCACGCCGAGCGCATCCGGCCGCGAGCACGGTGCGCGCACAGATCTGGTTCCCACCCGTCGTCACAAAAATAATTGGCTCTCGCACACACCCTGGTGGCGTAGCCGCAGGTGCGAGGTGGCTCGCGCGCCGCCAGCGCGCCCACGCCACGCTGCGGCCACGTTGTGGCACGTGCCTGCGTGTTGGAGGTCACGGCACGGCCCAGCCGCCGCCAGGGTCGCGCAACGCACGCCAGTTGCAGCTCGCGCCCCACTGCAGCCTACTGCTTCGCCCGCCAGGCCTCGATCCACGCGCGCGCGTCCGCTGCGGACCCCTCCTCGTCCGCCGCGGGCGCCGCCTCCTCAGACTCGTACTCAATCAGCTGGTACCTGCACGCCCATGTCAGACCTGACTCAGCCGCTGAGCCACCGCCAAATCACCCCGGGGGACGCAGCGCGTCGTCGCCCCGCACGACGTGCGCGAGTCGGGCGCCAGGCGGGGGCCGTACCGCGCCAGGTGGCTGTCGGCGAAGGTGATGTAGCTCCCAGGCTGAATGCCGACGTCCTCCATGGGCTTGATCGCGATGTCGTTCACGAAGGTGCCGTTCGTGGAGCCGACGTCGCCGATGCGGACCATGCCGTCCTCTGCGCGCGGCGGCCGGGGCTGACGCGTGATGCCGGCGCGCGAGAGTTGGACGCGGGACGGGGTTGCGGGGCGGGGCGGGGGAACGGACGCACCGGCGAGGATGATGCAGTGCTGCCCGCTGACGGTGGAGACGGGGATGTGGATGTCGTTCCCCTCGGACCGCCCCACGGTCAGCTTGCTGGGCACCGGCAGCTCGAACTCCGTGGGGCCAGGGACGTCGGGCACCGCGAGGTGGTCGGACGTGCCGTCGCCGGCGAACTTGAGCTTGTACGCGTCGCACGCGACGCGGCGGGACGCGCCTGCGGGTGGTTCGGGCGGCACGGAGGCGCTGCATCTGCGCCGGCCGACGTCACTCACGCGCTAGAGTGCCCGCGGGGCGGAATCGAGGCCGCATGAACGCGGGCCCGGGGGCGCTGTGAACTGAGCATGGCAGGTTACTGCGCGGCGCGCGCCAGGAGCGTCGGAGGCGCGGCGGTGCGGCGGCCTCACTGGCGTTTCGGTTGCCGGCCAATGGCTGCAGCGGGGAGGGCGCCGCGCGCGACACGTGGCACCGGCCGCCATCCCGCGCCGGGAACGCCCTGTTTGGGATACAGGCTGGCTGTATGCGGCCCTGTGGGGCGGGGGGCGCGAGGACGACCGCCGGACGCGGGCGTGGCGGTGTTGGGCGCCTGTGCGGAGGGACGGGCGTTCTGGGCGTGCTGAGGGACAGCTGCGCACCGCGACGCACTGCGGCGGCTGCAGGGTGATCTCACCTTGGCTCGCGAGCGGGCGGATCGCTGAGAGAGCGGAGGCGCTGCCGTTGCGGGCGGCAGAGAGCAGGGGTGCGCGGACAGTGAGGCTCATGGTCGCTGAGGACGCTCGCGGAAGGATGGTGTGCGTGCTGCCGAACAAGGAGTCGCATGCGGCATCGCGTCGCGGCCGCTATGAGCCGCAAACGCCGCCGACGGACAGGGTCCGACCTCTCTCGCTTGTACCCCCCACAGCAAGCTCTGGGGACACCCCCCGACGGACACAGAGAGGGCAGGACCGACACCGCTCGCGGGCGGAGCGTACGCTGCGGCCGGATCAGAGCTCACACCGGGCGCGTGCCAGAACCCGGCTTGCACTCTTTATGCAGTGTTTGCCCCAACATGGGCCGTTTGCGCGGGGCGGCGGGCGCCGGCGCCGCGCACGGGCCCGGACGTTGGCGTCGCGGGCGGGGCCGACGTGTGGGGGGCGGAGGAAGGGGCGCCGCGGCCGTCTTACAGCTTCGCGGCCTCGGCAACCTCCGAGGCAAAGTCCTGCGTCTTCTTCTCGATGCCCTCGCCGAGGTTGTACTTGGTGAAGCGGCGCAGGACGATGTTCTCGCCGATCTCCGCGGTCGCGCCCTTGAGGACCTCCTCGACCGTCTTGTTCGTGTCCTTGATGTAGGCCTGGTTCAGCAGACACTTCTCGCCCAGCAGCTTCGCGACGCGGCCCTCGACGATCTTCGCGCGGATGTCCTCCGGCTTGCTCTGGAGGTCCTCCTTGCCCATCTCGATCTCCTTCTCGCGCGCCTGCACCTCCGCGGGGATCTCGTCCACCGAGACGTACTCGATGTCGGGGCACGCCGCGATCTGCATCGCCATGTCCGCCGCCAGCTCCTTGAACTTGTCGCCGCGCGCCACAAAGTCCGTCTCGCAGTTCAGCTCCGCGAGGACGCCCAGGCGCGACCCGGCGTGGATGTACGTCACCACGAGGCCCTCGGCGGCCGCGCGGCCAGCCTTCTTGCCCGCCGACGCCAGGCCCTTCTTGCGCAGGTACTCGGAGGCCTTCTCGATGTCGTTGTCGCACTGCGCGAGCGCCTTCTTGCAGTCCATCATGCCGGCGCCGGACATCTCGCGGAGCTCCTTGACGGCCTTGGCCGACACCTGCACCGCGGGCTTCTCCTCCTCCTTGGGCGCCTCCTCCTTGGGCGCCTCGTCCTTCTTCTTCTCCGCGGCCTCCTTCATCGCCGCCGTCTGCTCCGCGATGTCCGCGCCCAGGTCCGAGGCCTTCTTCTCGATGCCCTCGCCGAGGTTGTACTTCTCAAAGCGGCGGATGCGGATGTTCTCGCCGATCTCCGCGATCGACGACTTGATCAGCTCCTCGACCGTCATGTTGGTGTCCTTGATGTAGGCCTGGTTCAGCAGGCACTTCTCGCCCAGCAGCTTCGCGACGCGGCCCTCGACGATCTTCTCCCGGATGTTCTCCGGCTTGCTCTGGAGGTCCTCCTTGCCCATCTCGATCTCCTTCTCGCGCGCCTGCACCTCCGCGGGGATCTCGTCCACGGACACGAACTCGATGTCCGGGCACGCCGCGATCTGCATCGCCACGTCCGCCGCCAGCTCCTTGAACTTGTCGCCGCGCGCCACAAAGTCCGTCTCGCAGTTGAGCTCCACCATGACGCCCAGGCGCGACCCGGCGTGGATGTACGACGAGATCAGGCCCTCCGCGGCCACGCGGCCGGCCTTCTTGCCCGCCGACGCCAGCCCCTTCTTGCGCAGGTACTCGGAGGCCTTCTCAATGTCGCCGTCGCACTCCGACAGCGCCTTCTTGCAGTCCATCATGCCGGCGCCGGACATCTCGCGGAGCTCCTTGACGGCCTTGGCCGAGATGCCGCCGGCGGCAGCCGCCGTGGCCTTCTTCTGCAGCGACACGGGCGCGGAACGCGTCAGCGATGGTCCCGCGCAGGCTGTGCACTCGCAGCGCGGCTCGCGCAGCACGGGCGGCCTGAGACCACGCGCCACGCGCGCTGCGCCGCTGCGGACCCCCTCGGAGTATATATTACACGTCGTGTCGGGTCCATGCAGGGCGGCGGGCGCAGTCGAGGCGGATCAACTCACCTCTGGCGCAGGCGGCGCAGGCGCGGCCTCGGCGGCGGGCGCGGGCGCAGCCTCGGCGGCGGGCGCGGGCGCGGCCTTCTCCGCGGGCGCGGCGTCCTCCTCGACGGGCCGCGACGGGAACATGTCGGGCGCGATGCCCATGGCGCGCAGCGCGTACTCGAGCGCCGTCTGCACCTCCGACGGGTCGACCTCGGCGGCGCGCGACTTGAACGGCTGGCGCTCCTCCTCGGTCTTCTGCGTGAGGCTCACGCGCTGCCCGTCGACCTTGATCACGCGCACCTCCACCTCCTCGCCCTCCTTGAACATGGTGGCCAGGCGGGGCTCGAGCTCCGTGGACTTGACCTCGGACTGGTGGAGGAGGCCCTCGAAGCCCTCGGCGACGGTGACGAAGACGCCGAACGGCGCGACGCGCGCGACCGTGCCCTGGATGACGTCGCCCTTCTTGACGGGGGCGTCGCGCTTGGGCGCGTCGCGCTTCGGGGCGCGGCGGGCGACCTTGCCGGTGCGCTGCGCGCGGCCGGACTCGCCCTCGACGACGGGGGACTTCATGGAGAGCGCGAACTTCTTGCCCTCGATCTTGATCACGCGCACCTCGACCTCCTGCCCCTCCTTGATAAACTCGGTGATGTCCGACACGAAGTCGTTCGACATCTCGCTGATGTGCAGCAGGCCGTCGCCGCCCTCCGCGTTGATGTCGACGAACGCGCCGTACGACTGGACGCCCTTCTGCGGGCCGGGGGCGCCGGGGCGGGCCGGGGTGGGGCGAGGCGGCGCGGGGAGCGCGGCGGCGGGCGGGCGGGGGGGCGGAGGGGCGGTGGGGGCGAGGGCGAGGAGCGGGGGAGGTGGGGGCGGGGGGAGGGGCGCGCGGGGGCGCGGGGGCGACGGCGTGGCGCGGGGAGCGGGGCCGGTCGTGGGAGGCCAAGGCAGGTGTGTGGAGGAGGCGCGCGACGCGTCTAGGTGGCGTGATGAGGGTTTTGACGCGGCGCGAAGGGGTACCGGGGACTGAGAGAAGGCGGTCCGGGGCAGGTGCGGACTGTTCGTGCCCGAGACTGGTCGGAAAAGCGGGTGAGGCTGTGGCAGATGTACGAGGCGGATCGCGGGCGCGTGGGGGCGGTGCGGGGGGGTTCGAACGCACCACTTTGCCCTTGTAAGTGTTTCCGACCACGAGGTCCGAAATGGGGATCTTGTCCGACGACGAGGCGCCCTCGGACGACGCCTCGGCTCCAGGCTCGGCCTCGACAGCGGCGGCACGGACTCGGTTGAGCGACGCGCGGCGCTGGGCGTGGGCATCGCGACGAATGCTGCATTGGCACAACGACGTCGCGCGCGGTCGAAATTCAGACGAGCAGCGTGCGCAGCCATCGAGGAGGTCGCCCTATCCTGCATCAACAGTGCGACTTGCGCGCATCAAGGGTGCTCATACCTGCGGGCGCTGATGCCGCCAGCACGGGCAGACCGGCGGACGGACCCGACGCGGGTAGCCTGCGGGCGATCGTGGGGGAGAGCGGGCATCGCGGTGAGTGGCCTGGAGCACCAGAGGGGCTTCCGCTGCGGGACGGGCTCGCCGCTCGGCCGCGGGCTCGCCGGCGGCGCTGCGACGGGAGAAATCGCGTCGCCGCCGTCGGGTGGCGCCGCGCATTCGCGGCGTCGCCGGCAGCCCGGCGAGCGACTCGTGGCTCGGGGCTGCGGACGGACCTGCTTGGCCGAGACGGCCAGCTTGGACACTTCGATCGCAATCATCGTGTTCCCCTTTCCAAACTGCGGAGGGAAGGCCGAGACAGGAGCGCTCGCCGCGGCAATGTGCGCCCGCCGAGCTTGCTGCCGCTGCAGGTCCCCTCTCACTCCTCCCGGCGAAGCGCCGCGCGGCGGATCGTCGCGGCGCCCGATGGCGCCCCGCGGCCACTTGCGCGCGACTGGGGCTGCCTTCTGAGCGACAGCGGCCGGGAACTGTCAAGGTGCGGGCTCGCGACGCCTCCCTGGGCACCCGGGTCCAACCTGCGCGCCGCCCAGCGCGTGGCCGTCCCCGACGGCGATGTCCAGCCGCTGTGACGCGCCCTCAGATGTTCGGAATGCGCGGGAGCCGCGGTCGAGCGTGCCTGATGCCGCCGGTGACGCGTCAGAGCCGCGGACAGCGCCTCGCTGCCTGAAGCGTGCGCGTGTCGCACGCATGCGAAGAGAAGAGGGAATGCGACGATGCACACCGCCCCTTGACATCCTGTCCTTGCAGGTCAACGCACCAGCGCAGACGGGCATCGTTCCTACCGCGCACTTCGAGCTCCGTTGGATCCCGCAACCTCGCAGCGCTGTCTCCGCGGCTCCCAGCTCCAGCCTGATCTGGCGCCGCGTCCCCGCAGAGGAGAAGTGCTGAAGAAGCACCCCGCGGCCCCGTTCGGGACGCAGGCGCACGGGCAAGCGCGATGTCGTACTGGAAGCTCATTTCTGACCTATGTGCCCCGCCGGCCATCTTCTTCATCATCCTCCTGCAGATCCCGCGCCCGAGGCCGCTCCGGAGGGCGATCCTCCTGGTGCGCGAACGCCCGCCCGCGCCACGCCCGCCACGCGGCCCCAGCACACCGTGTGCACCTCCGTGCCACCCCCCCACGCCCCCGCGTGTCGCCGTGGTGCCCGCAGACGGTGAAGACGTTCTTAGGGATCCCCGTCTTCGGCGTGCTCAAGCTCGTGCACCTCGTCATGGGCCTCACGTTCCTCTCCTGGGCGTTCCAGTCGAAGAAGCTGTACGAGGTCTACCAGTACTGGCAGCGCCGCGAAGACTACACCATCGACCAGCAGGTCCGCACCGCGCGGCCCAGCGGCGCCCGCGCAGCCTCCGACCGCCGCGGGACCGTCCTCCAACCCGCAGCCCGACCCCGCCGCCCCCCGCAGTGCAAGTCCACGCAGGCCGAGATCAAGGGGCGCAAGTGGCGCTTCGAACGCAACTGGTGGATCGCGCTCTTCATCTTCGTGGCCTGGGCCATGCTCGCGCGCTTCTACGCCATCACCGTCACCGCGTTCGAGCTCGAGGAGCACATCGGGCGCATGCAGGAGCAGCACGTGCGCCCCCGCCCGCACGCGCACGCAGCCAGAGGAGCGCGCGCGCCGTGCGCGTACCGCGTGGCTGCGTTGTGCGCGCGCCGCGGCGAGGAGCCGCGCGCGTCGTGATGTTGGTGGTGTGTGTTGTTCGGCGTGCAGAACGAGGAGCTGGCGGCGCTGCGGAAGCAGGTGCGGGCGCTGGGCGGGGAGGTGCCGGAGGGTGAGGGCGGGGAGGCGGGGGCGGAGGCCGAGGGGGCGGAGGAGGAGCCGGCGAAGGAGGAGCCGGCGTCTTCGGAACCAAAGAAGGACCGGTAGGGACGTACAGGGGGGGGCATTGTGTAATTCTTCATCGTGCTGTGTTTGATGGCGAGCAATGTGCGTCGCGGGTCGCTGCGACGATGAGTTGGGTTGTCAGAGCAGCAGGAGTGCTGCGCGTAAGTTGCGTGGCACGCGAGACAGCGAAGGACGCGAGGGCAGACTGCGGCGGTGCGGTACGGCACGGGTGGTCCTGCGCCCTGGCCGTTGCGGGGGCCCGAGGGACCGGAACGTCGACATGTCGTCGGTGCCGCGCAGACCCTGCAAGTTGTTTGCGTGGCGAAGCCAGGGCGAGGGGGCGCGCTCCGGAGCCGTGAGCACGCAGAGCGCCACGTCGCATCGCGACTGTCGGGGTCACAGAAGTACCAGTCAACTACGCGACAGTGCCTTGAGTTGTACCGCGCACACTAGCTGGGACCTACGCGCGCACCTGCGCGCACGCCGCGCCGCAGTTGCGCGCACGGGGACCACGGCGCCTGCGTCGGCATTCCATCGAGTCTGTGCGCCCACGCGACCGCGCCGCAGCGCCGCCGCGCAGCACACCCCCCCTTTGCTCAGGCCTTGTACCCCGAGGTGGTGATCGAGTCCGCGGAGCCGCCGGGCCACACGGTGTGGAACCAGCCCTCCTGGCCGTCGTTGCGCTGGTACGTGTGCGAGCCGAAGTAGTCGCGCTGCGCCTGCACCAGGTTGGCCGGCAGCACGGCGCGGCGGTACTGGTCAAAGTACCCGAGCGAGGCCGTCATGCCCGGCAGCGACACGCCGTTCGCGACGGCGAGCGAGACCACGCGGCGCCACGCGGCCTGGCGCTCGGCGAGCTCGGCGGCGAAGTCGGCGTCCATGAGCAGCGAGGGCAGCGACGCGTCCTTGTCGTACGCCGCCTTGATGCGGTCGAGGAAGCTGGCGCGGATGATGCACCCGCCCTTCCAGATGCGCGCGCACTCGCCCAGCGTCACGTTCCACTCCTTCTGCAGCGACTTCTCGCGGATGATGTTCATGCCCTGCGCGTAGGAGCAGATCTTGGACGAGTACAGCGCCTGGCGGACGTCGTCGACGAGCTGCTTCTTGTCCACGCCGGGCGGCGGCGTCGGCGGCATCACGCCGCGCACGCCGTAGAAGTCCTGCGCCGCGACGCGCTGCTCCTTGAGCCCCGACAGGAAGCGGCCGTCGAGGGCCGCCGCGATGGTCGGCGCGGGCACGGACAGCTCGGCGGCCTCCTGGACCGTCCACTTCCCCGTCCCCTTCATGCCCGTCTTGTCCAGGATCTTGTCCACCAGGTACCCGTCGCCCTTGTCGTCCTTCTGCTCAAAGATGTGCATGGTGATCTCGACGAGGAAGCTGGACAGCTCGCCCGCGTTCCACTCCTTGAACACCGCCTGGATCTCCTCGTTCGACAGCCCGCCGACCGTCTTGAGCATGTCGTACGCCTCCGCGATGAGCTGCATGTCGCCGTACTCGATGCCGTTGTGCACCATCTTGACGTAGTTGCCCGCGCCGCCGGGGCCGACGTGCGTGACGCACGGGCCGTCGACCTGCGCCGCGACCTTCTCGACCATCGGCTGGATCAGCCTGTAGCCCTCCGCGGGGCCGCCGGGCATCATCGAGGGGCCGTTGCGGGCGCCCTCCTCGCCGCCCGACACGCCCATGCCCATGTACAGCAGGCCCTTCTCCTCGACCTGCGGGGCGGGGGAACGCGCGCGCGGGGGATGAACGGTGGGGTGCCGGCGCGCATGGGTGCGAGCATGGTGGTTGAGGACGCGGGGGCGCACCATCTTCATGCGGCGCTCCGTGTTGGTGTACCACTCGTTGCCGCCGTCGATGATGAGGTCGCCGGGCTCCATGAACTGCAGCAGCGCCTCGATGGTCGCGTCCACGGGCGCCCCGGCTTGCACCAGAATGATCACCTTGCGCGGACGCTCCAGAGACTGCGCGGCGAGGACGGGGAACGGGCGGAGGGTGATGAGAACGACCGTGCGCGGGGTTCTGCGACGCCGACGCGGACAGCAGGGCACCGGAACGCGACCTGGCGGGCTCGCAGGGCCAGAACGCGCCGCTGCCGCGCGTCGCGCGTGCCCGCGATGCCTGGCGTTCCGGCGCGCGGCGCCGCGAGCTCTGTCGACTGGTGCCGCCGGAGCGCGCCGTCGCGGGGCCGCGCGGGCCCGGGAGCGGGCGCGGCGCGCGGTGCCCTTCTGGGCGCCGTGAGGCGGTGGGGAGGCAGCGGGCGCACCTTGACGAAGTCCTCGAGCTGCTCGAACCCGATGAGCTTGTCGCCGAGGTTCTCCTTCTTCGCGCGCGCGACGGCCATCTCCGTCTTCGCGTAGGTGCGGTTGTACACGGAGATGCTGAACCCCTTGGAAGCGACGTTCAGCGCGAGGTTCTGCGGACGTGCGAGGCGGGCGGCGCGCCGTGAGTCGCGAGAGCGGAAAGTGAGCGACGCGTCCGGGCGAGAGATCGAGCCGGAGCGGCCGGGAGGACGGCTTGTCGGAGGCCAACGGCTTCGCCGCAGCTTGGGCCCCTCGCCGCGGGCCGCTCGGCGCGGTAGGGGCGTAATGCGCGACGGGCGTCGCGGGAACGGATCGAACGGTCGGCTGTGCGGGGGCGTCAGGGCGCGCGGCCGCGCGCGGCGCGCGGGGAACGGCACGAGGCCGAGTGGAGGTGCCGCCTCACCTGGCCCATCACCGCCAGGCCAACGAGGCCGACGAAGGACTTGCCATCAGCGTTCGTCATTTGTCCGTTGCTGCAGGGGGGCGGGAATAAACGCGGTATGAGCACCTCGCGGCGGGGACGGCGGGCCAGCAACTGCCATGCGCGAGCGTCGAGTCACCCACCCGCTGGCCGAGCCGACGACGCCCGCCCTGGACCCAGCGGATTGCGAAAGACCGGGAATGGTCGCGAGCTGCCTGGCTGCGTGGCGCACGCGCACGCAGCTCGGGGAGAAGTTGCCCTGAGAGAGGCAACGGCGGGTGCTGCTGGCGAGCGAGGGGCGGACGCAGTTGACGCCGAGGGGAGACGCGATCATTGGGGCCTGGTGCTTGCACCGAGTGCGGCTGTACGCGGCGGCGCGGCCCTACAGAGCGTGGGGATGGCGAGGGGCCTCTGTTGACTGGCCCCTTGCGGTGCCGCGCGGCGTGACAAACGAAGCGCTGCGCGACGCGTCGACTGGATCGACGTAAACTCAGGGCCACCTGCGCCCGGCGAATTGGCGCGAGATTGACCGACCAGGGAGTTCGGGGCGGTTTTAGGTCGAAGTGCGATCGGGGGGCGAAACGCAGGGCGTTTGCGGCGAATCGTCGAGGAAAACCGAACGAGGTTCACGCGCTTCCTGCACGGGCCGCCCGATGTAACCCGTTGCCGCCGGAACGGGCCTGAGGAGACCCGGAGGTGTCCTCTTCAGAGGTGGCCCCTTGTAGGGGTCCCGTCAAGTCAACGTGATGAGTATAAAGACCTCCCCGGCCTTGCCATCGACAACGCTGCCCTCCACGCCGCACGGTGACGCGCAACAGACCACGACGGCGCCTGGGAGTCGAGTCAACGGTGTCTGCACCCCGCCGTACAGGCCAGACGCCGCGGGGCCCACGTGCTGGCGGGGTGTCGGCCAACCCCGCCGCATTCCGCATGCACTACCGCAGCACTGCGCGGACGTCCTCCCCTCGGCCATCCCCCACACCCCCAGCGCCCTCTCGCGGGATCCACCCCCTCCACATGTACACACGCACGCACCGTGCCACGCACGCACCTGCACCGGCCCGCCAGCTCAGCCCCTGATCTCCGCACGCGCACCGCCTCGTCCCGCCGTCTAGACGTCACACCCCCCCCGCCATGTCAAGCAACATCCCCCTCAGCTCCTCAGCACGAGGGCGAGCGCTGTCCGCCGCCGCCCCGTTCCCCCGCGGTCCGTCCGCGCCCTCATGGCCCGCGTGCTCGGCCTGCGTCACCAGATCCACACCGAACTCCGCCGCCAGCGCCTCGGATATCGCAAAAGCATATTCCGCGATGAGCTCCTCCCTGCTCCCCGCGCCGGCGCCCAGCAGCCCCGCCACGGACCCCACCGGCCGGTCGTCGATCCCGCAGGGAACGATCTCCCGGAAGGGGCCGAGGTCCGGGTCCAGATTCACCGCCAGCCCGTGGTACGTCACCCATCGTTTCGCTCGCACGCCGACCGCGCACAGCTTCGCCCCGTCCACCCACACCCCTGCACCCACGCGCACGCAAACAGCCCGTCGCTCCCGTCAGCACGGCTGACGACGCGAGAGAGCCGGGGTGCCCCGACCAGCACGACGCAGCGCAGCGCACCGCCACGTGTGGCGCGCGCGCCAGGGCCGTGCCGGCTCGCCACGGCGGCGCACCTGTGAGCCCTTCGATGCGCTCGCCCCGCAGCCCCGAAACGTCGGCCAGGGCGGCGATGACAGCCCCCTCCAGGGCCCGTAAGTAGTCGTGCAGGTCCTTCCTGCCGAGTCGGTCCAGGTCCAGCACCGGATACACCACGAGCTGCCCGGGGCCGTGGTACGTGACCTCGCCGCCGCGCTCCACGCGGTACAGCGGGTGCGGCGGCGCGGCGGGGTCGAACCGCAGGTGCGCCTCGGTCGCGCCCTGCCCGAGGGTGTACGTGGGGGGGTGCTGCAGCATGAGCACACGCCCGACGACGGACGCGTGTGTGCCCTGAGTGGGTGCGCGCTCGCCGGAGCGCTCGTCGGCCGCCGCGGAGAGACGGTCGTCCAGCGCGAGGTCGACGGCGGCGTGCATCCAGCGCTGGGCGGCCTGCGCGGGTGCGTGGCGTCGCGGGGGGTCGCGGCTGCGTGCGAGGAGGGCAGGTGCCGCGCGGGGCGAAGGGTGCGGCCGGAGCGCGGGAGCAGAGTGGCGGTGGTGGTCAATGTGGGGGAGTGATTTGGAGTCTCTGGGTGTGTGTTCGTGCGTGTTGCGCGCTGTGAGGACGCGCACCTTGTACGGAACGACGTGCTGGGAGTAGTCGTACACGACGCACACGTCGTTGGACGGTCCAGAGGCTGCACGGGGGGACTCGGCGCACACAGGGGCTGCCCGGCGGCGTCTCGAACGCTGCGAGGAGCACAGCGTGCATATTATGGGGCTGAAGTCCTCATGCGACAGTCTGGCTGGTCGCCGCCGCAGCGGAGTGGCCCGCCAGTGGCAGGTGGTGCGCCTGTGCTGATGAGGGCCGGGCACGGCGCTGCAAGGCGCCTTGGGGGACGAGACTGCCCGCGTCTCCATCATCTGAGCCATTTCAACGGGACGAACTGTGACTAGCTGGCATGCCACGTCTCGGCTCGGCCGGGGGGGCCGGGGAGCTACCGCTCAGCCAAGGAGCCTCGAGAAACACGCGACGTGGTTGAGGAGGGATATCAGGGCCGTGAGAGCCTGGAGGCGTGCATTCGTCTGCACGTGCGCCGCTCACGGCTGCCTGAAAAGCATGACACGCGCCGCTGACGGTCACTGACAGTGTGGGGGGCGGAGACTCGTCCTGACCGCAGAGCTGCGCAGCGCCACCGGGGGCGGGGCTCGACGAGCCGCGGCTGGGGCCTGCGAGACCACTGCGTTCATGGGCATGCATCGTTAGCGCTTCGTGATTCACTATACGCTGCATTCTCGCCGCTTGCCTCCATTTGCAAGTCCCTTGCGGCAGCCTGCACCTGGGTCAGCGATATACTCCCCCCGAAATTGGTGTACCGGCTAGAAGCAAACGCGTATCTGCGTCAACGCCGTTTCTTGCGACGTTTTGATCCAAGTCTGGCACGCGCGGCGCGACAGTTTCCCTGAGTGTTTGTGTCGTCCGTTTGCTGTCCGTGGCGCCCGCCCAACACAGCAATCATGGGCATAGAGGTAGATGTTGAGGAGGGGGGCATCGTCGAGCTGGCCGCGGCCGCCCTGATGCTCGCGGTCCCGGCATTCCTCGCGTACTATGTTCTCAAGTGCATGGTGCGCAACCTCACTGGCTTCTTCTCCACGATCTACCTCATCTACCGGTCCATGGTGTTCTTCATGGTGGTCACCGTCGGCATCCTCTACCCGCTGTTCCGCACCGCGGAGGCCCTGATGACCGAGGCGGTGCGTACCCTGCGCGGCGCTGGCCCTCCGCCCGCGCCCCACCACACGATGCCCAGACGGCAGCATCCGCCACGTTTACAGCATGCATCACGATCGTTCTACGTGCACGGGCCGAGATCAGGCCGGGTGAGCCCCGCCGCGGCCCACACCGTCGCTTGCAGACACACGACGACCACGTCATGCTCCACTACTGGTTCATGTTCGCCGGCATCACCCTCCTCGAGTCGATCCTGGAGAACTTCTTCGGCATCCGCAAGTACAGGCGAGCCCACAACCCCAAACCCCCCCGCCACCTCACTACAACCCCCACTTGGCACTGTTGCACACTCTCCCTGACAGCTGCGTCCCCTCGCCGCGGCCCGCAGCCTCTTCGGCTACAACGAGCTCAAGGTCCTCCTCCTCACGTGGATGGTCGCGCCGTGGTACGAGGGCGCCTCGGACGTGTACACGCAGGACATCAAGTCCACGGCGCAGGTGTGGGTGGAGGCCATCCGCCCGCACATCGTGTGGCTCGAGCTCCTCATGGGCCTCTCCCCCGCGGGCATCTTCTCGCTCCTCCGCGAGGGCCACCTCTTCACGGGGAGCGCCGTGTCGGAGGACGACGAGAAGCAGCGCGCCATCAACGTGGACAGGATCTTCGAGAAGACGCTGCGGCGGCTGTTCCACACGCTCGCGCGCCTCGAAAAGACGGGCCGCTTCTGGGAGTCGTACTCGGCCAAGTTTGGCGAGGGCGCCGCGGGCAGCCGCCGCGCGAGGGGCCCGCAGGAGGACGACTCGTGGATGCGCGACGAAGACTCGTTCTGAGGCCCTGCGGTGCGCAGCCGCCGGCTCGTCACCGCGGGCCGAGGACGGGGCGTGCGGGCCGGCGCGCGTCTCGTCGGCGGCGTGGTCGCTCTGGCGCGGCAGCAGTGGTGGCGGGCGGCTGGGGGAAGCTCGCAGTGCTGGAGGGTCGAGCGTCGATGCTTCAGGCGCTGGTGCGGGCGCGAGGCAGTGGGTGCTGCGGAACGGGCGTGTGAAGGGGTCCAATTGACTCAGTCTGTCACTGACAGAAGAGGGACTCCCGTGACGAGTCAGTCGGGCCGAGGTGATGCGCCGAGGGCGGGGCTAGTACGCTGCGCGTCGGGCTCGCTTGCGCCACTCACTACGCGCGGCCCTGCGCGTCTCGCGGGCTGCCAGCTGTGCGTGAGCCATGGTGGAGGGGGGCGGGATGGACTCCGTGTGCGAGAGGTTCGCGGAGCGCACGGCTGAGCTGCGAAGTCGCTTGCCGTCGGGCGGAAACGACCTTTGCATGGCCGTCCTCGACCACGCGCTCCTGCACTCGGCTGCAGTGGCGCACCTGGGGCGCTCCGGCGCCCTGCCCGCGAACGTCCGGGCCACGACGTGCATCGCCGGGCGTCTCGTCGAGGAGTGCTACTCGAGGAGAGCAGCCGCGATGGCGGAACGGCCGGAACGGGACGCGGAGGACGCCGCGCTTGAGTGGGCCATGAAGCAGAACAAACGAGGCCCGGATTTCCGTTTCTCGAACGCGAACGGGCAGCTCGACCTGTCCAAGCTCGAGGAACAGGACCGGTTCAAATCGCTGCTGCCGCGCGCGCCGCGTTCGTCGGCCGCAGCGGGCCCCGGAGCGTATCCCGCCCAGCAGGCTTTGCACGCTGAGCCAACAGGCGCGCCACACGACGCCATGGACGTCTCCCCGCCGGGAACGGCACGTGCATCGGGAGGTATGATACCGAGCAACGCGCAGTACCGGGATTTGAAGTCCCGGAGGCCCCACTCGGTGGATTTCCGGCCTCCAACGAAGCGACCACTCCAGGCCCCAGAGCCCGACGCCCCGTGCGCGAGGCAGAAACCACGCGCCGGCGACGGCAAATGGAGCAGACCGGCTCCGCATTCCACCCTCAAGCACCAGGCGAGCGCGCCCACCCTCTGCCCAGCTTCATCATGCAGCCTGCGCGACCCGCGCGGCTCACGGGCGCCGCTTCATCCGCCGCATCGCAGCCTGGCGATCAGCCGGAGTACCGGGAGAACGCGGGCGGCGGCGACGACGACGATCCGATCGAGAGAGTCAAGAACAACAACGCCGCGATGTTTCAGACCGCGACCAACGTGCTCATCCAGCAGGTGGAGCGCGAGGGCGGGCAGGTCGTCGACAGGCACGTACTAGGTCTGCTCGTGCGCGCGCCAGCCTCAGTCAAAGCGTCGCGCTCCGCGCGCAAATGACGGACGTGTGTGTGCGCATGTGTGTGGCTGCAGGGGGGCGAGGCGGCAGCAGGCGCCCGGTTCGGCGGGCGTGCGCGGGAGCTTCGTGCCGCCGTTCAAGCGCGACGGCGAGAACGGCAAGCCGCCGGCGCGCGCGGGCCCCGTCGGCGCCGCGATGCACCGTGCGGCGGGCAACGCCGCGCAGAAGCAGAAGGGCGGCGACGGGGGGGAGTCGCCGCTGTCGCCGCGGACCCTCGAGCTGCTGGGCTGCCCGGACGGCCCGCTGCCCGAGGAGCTCGCGCGGATCGCCCCGGCGATGGTCGAGACGGTGTGCAACGAGGTGCTGGACTGCGGGGGGAGTATTTCGTGGGACGACATCGCGGGGCAGGCGCACGCGAAGCAGCTCGTGCAGGAGACCGTCGTGTGGCCGATGCTCAACCCGCACCTCTTCACGGGCGCGCGGGCGCCCCCGAAAGGCATCCTGCTCTTCGGACCCCCCGGTGCGCAGCCAAAACACCCCTCCTGACCCCCAACGCGCCCCCGACGCACCGGCGACGCGTGGCTGACCCGCAGGAGCGCGTGTCATCGATCGCAGGGACGGGAAAGACGCTGATCGGCAAGGCGGTGGCGGGGAACATCCGCGCGACGTTTTTCAACATCAGCGCGTCGTCGCTCATGTCCAAGTGGATCGGCGAGGGGGAGAAGATGGTCCGCGCGCTGTTCGCGGTCGCGGGCGTCGTGCAGCCCTCGGTGATCTTCATCGACGAGATCGACTCGATCCTGAGCGCGCGCAAGGCCGACGGGGAGAACGAGGCGTCCCGGCGGCTCAAGACGGAGATGCTGGTGCAGATGGAGGGCTGCGACCCGTCGTCCGCGGCGCGCCGCGTGCTCCTGGTCGGCGCCACGAACCGCCCCGAGGAGCTCGACGAGGCGGCGCGGCGACGCATGCCAAAGCAGCTGTACATCCCGCTGCCGTGCGCGGAGGCGCGCGCGGCGATGGTGCGGCGCGGGCTGCGCGGGGTGCGCTCGAGCCTGTCGGACGGGAACGTCGCGAAGATCGTCGAGAAGACGGACGGGTACTCTGGGTCTGACATGCGGAACCTGATTCAGGAGGCGTGCCAGGGGCCCGTGCGGGATGCGGTCGCGTCGCACGGCGCGGACGTGGTCAACCTGAGCGAGGGCGACCTGCGCGCGGTCAACGTCAAGGACTTCCAGCTCGCGGCGCGCGCGCAGAAGGCGTCGGTCGCGCCCGAGGAGGTGACGCGGTACATCGAGTACAACGAGAAGCACGGGGCGCGGTTCCTGGGCGACGGTCTCGGCGGAGACGGCGAGGACGCGATGGCGGACGAGGAGGACTGGTGAGCGTCACAACAGTCTATAGTTCCATATGATGCGACGCACTTCAATCAGTGAGAGTAGAACCACGCACATGTGACGAGGCTTGGAGCGGTCACGTCGCGCCGCGTGAGCGAGGTGCGTCAGTACGCGTCGGGCTTGGCGAAGGCCGGGAAGCCCGCGCGGTACGGCACCCACCACCGCGTGGCGTCGATCTGCGTGTCGCCGGTGTGCGTGAGCCCGGACGCGCCCTGCGTGTCGAGCATGACGCGGAACCCGAGCTCGCGCAGGCGGTCGCACAGGATCCAGTCCTCCCCGATGTGCTCCCCGTGCCGCCCGATGGAGGACTCCACCCCGCGGATGTGGATGTGAAACACCCCCGGGAGGTGTCCGTGCAGCGGGTGCTCGAAGTCCATCGCCTTGTGCCGCTCCACGAGGGCCTCCACCGCCCTCCGCGAGATCATCAGGAACCCTGCGCACCCACACAGAGACACGCCATGATTCGCGCATAAGCATCGGAGACGCCAAAAAAGGCCCCAAAGATACGTTCGGCGCAACGATTGCGCATCTGCGCGAAAACGTATGACATACCTGTGCCGGCGCGCGAGATGGGCAGGAACCCGTCGGGCTCGGGGTCGTTGAACGCCTTGAAGTACCCCGGGGGGAGTTTCATGAGTCGGTCGGGCCGGGTCTCCTCGAGCGGCTCGTAGTTCGCGTCGATGCACATCGCGCGAAGGTGCTCGACCGGGTGCTGCTCCTCGCGCGCGATCTGCACCACGCGCGGCCACACCCAGTGCTTCTTCGGGCACGCGCGCGTGACGACGTCGTGCCCGGACCGCGCGAGCCGCGTGATCACGTCCGCGTCGAACGAGATGTCGTTGTCCACGAACAGGATGTGCGTCGCGTCGGGCACCGCGAGGAACTTGCGCACCAGCACCGCGCGCGCCACCGCGATGTCTGCGATGCTGTCCACCTGCGGGGCGGGGACGAAAGCGGCGGTTGGACGCGTCCGCGAGCACGTGAGGACCGAGCCCGGGCTCTGTGGGGCCGGGCAGGGCGTGGCTGCGGCCGCTGGGGCCTCGGTGGCGTCTTGTGTGTTGCGCACCGTCAGCACTTTGAGCTTCAGGCCGGGGTGCTCGCGGTTGGTGTTGATGCGCTCCATGGCGCCCATGAGCGACGAGAAGAAGGAGTTGTCGATCTCGCCGTTGTATAGCGGGGTCGCCAGCGCCACCACCGTGTCGCTTGTTGGTGGTGCGTCGCTCGCGGCGCCGCGACACGCAGCCGGACAGGCGTCCGCGTCACGCAACCGACTATCTAAGTCAGGCTCTGCGCCTGTGCCAACAAATCCCGACATCATGTCGTCCGCTCGGTCCTCGTTGCCGACCTCTTGCACACCCAGGCTGTCCTCGACGAGCCTCCCCCGCACGTACAGCGCTTGCGTCCCGCACAGCGCCGCGATGAAGATGACCACCAGGACGCCCAGCCGGCCGCCCGCGAGCCCTGCCATCCTGCCCAGGGCCCTCGGCGGGGCCGCAGATGGCTGCTCACAGCCTCCGACTGCTCCCAGAGCCACCCTCCGAGACCGCTGCAGGCCTTTGGTACAGGCAGAAAGATCCGAAACTACTCAGGGATCGAGCCGTGCTGTGTACGAGCGGCGTTACTGCTGGCAGCTCGGCCGGGCCTGCCTCGTGGCGGGACGTCGCACACAACGTTGTTTCGGCGCTCTCAGTCACTGACACGACAGCACTGCTCCGCTCGCTCGTCCCTTCTGCAGGGCGCCGGCCATGCGCTGCGCCCACGTGCGCCACCGCCGCTGCGCTTCGCCGCCAAAACACCGCGCGGTGTGTTCAGGACAGGGGACTCCCGCATTACGCCGCGTGCAGGCGCCTGATGCCTGCCTGGCCCGTGTGCCTCGCGCAGTTTGTCCCAGGGTATTCTGTTGGTAGTGTACGATGCTCGCCGCACGTACCGTCGCTTGCAGCGCGCACGCCATCAGCACGCCCAGCAGTGTGCGGGCCGCTGCGCTGCCCGCTCGCACCGCCCGCGTCGCGGTGCCTGCGCCCAAGATGACCGCGCAGAGGTACGTGCAGCGCCCGCGACCGCGGGGTCTCGCGGAACCGCGTCGCGCGCTGCGCGGGGCCGCGCACCCTCTCACTGGCCAGCCCTAAACGAGGGCTTTTCATCCCCAGCACGCACTCTCGAGGCCACGAAAACACCCCTCCGGCACCTTACATCCATCAGGTTCTCGCGGGTGGCTCGTCCACCGCCTCGCGTCCCTCAGCGGCGCCTGCACGTGCTACGAAGCTGGGCTGTGGCCGGTGTACGCTAGCGCACTGCGCTGCGCACCGCGGGCCGCCGACCCGCGCTCGCCCGCGAATCGCTCACTGCAACTGCGCACGCCCCGGCGCCGGCCAGCCCAGCCCGCCCTCGCGCCCACGCACCGCTCCGCGGGCAACCAGCGCGCACTCCTCGCCCCCCCCTCTCCGTCGTCGACCCGCGACGCCGCCCGATCTCGCCGGCAACCGCTCTTCGTTGCTCATTTCTAGCCCCTCCGCTGTCTGCAGGCGCTCGCACGTCGCGAAGGCGGACGCCGCGGCCGGTGCTGCTCCCGCGGCCAAGATCGAGCAGCCCTTCGTGGAGGCCGCGGTGTGGAACAAGAACCTGGTCCGCGCCGTCGTGCTGCTCGCGGCGGGCGCCGTCGCCGCCAAGGGCGCGGTGTTCCTCCCCGCGAACGCCAACGCGATGCTGCACATGTGCGCGTTCGGAACCTGGTTCGGCACGATGGCCTACACCACCTTCGCCGTCGGCATCCTGCTCTTCAAGAACCTCCCGCGCCAGACCTTCGGCAAGGTGCGCGAAGCCCCAGCGACGCCCCGCGGCCGCTCTGTGTCGCAGCGACTGGCACGCCACAAGGACGTGCCTCGCGGGGCGCCTCGCCGACGGCGTGGCTGCGCAGAGGCGCACGTACATAGCTCGCTGATAGGCGCGCCGCGCGACGTCTGCCTGTGCTGGACTCCTGTGCGACAAGGCTTTTGTCGTGCTCATCCCTGTGTGCCCGCGCAGGTCCAGTCGAAGCTGTTCCCGGTGTACTTCGGGTCGACGGCGCTGTGCATCGCGGCGTGCGCGGGCTCGATGGTGGCCGCGGGCACCCCGCTGGGCGCCACGGCCATGCGCCCGCTGCTGGTGGCCATGGGGTGCACGCTGGTCAACCTGCTGTACCTGGAGCCGAAGACGACGGTGTGCATGTTCAAGCGGTACGAGCTGGAGAACGCGGGGCAGACGGACGGCACGGAGTACAAGGCGCTGCGGAAGCAGTTCGGCCCGCTGCACGGCATGTCGTCGCTGTTCAACCTGGGGGCCTTCGCGGGGTGCGTCGCGCACGCGTGGACGCTCGCCGCGAAGCTCGCGCTCTGAGACGGCGATACGGTGGGGTAGTGCGGGCTGGTGACGGCCCCGGACGGCGGGCGGCGTGGTGGGTTGGAGAGGGGGTATGATTTGTAACCTGAGCGAGACAAACGTTCGTGCTGGTGGTGTTATCCGTTCGGTGCGATGCGTACGAAGCAGGCGAACCGCGCTCATCGGGATTTCTGAGCCGTCACGCATCCCGCCCCGCCCCCTTGGACGGCCCGTCGCGCAAGATCGTCGTTGTTGAGGACCCCCTTGGCGACGGCAAGGCAGTTCTCTGATCCTGTGTGTGGCAGGGGCTGCACGCAGCGCTGGGTCGCGCGGACCCGAGGCCGTAGCCTCCCTGTTGCTCGACCGTGTGATTCGATCGACGTCGCGACGTAGCTGACAGCCGTAGTCACGATGCTGCCCCGCCGTACCCGAGGCAACGTAAATTTCGTAATTCGTTTAACATGTATCAATGGTCACGTCGTACGCTACCACTACGGTTCCCCAGGGGTCCGGCGCTCGACAGCGAGGAGCCCCCGTCATCCAGCAGCTTCACGTTATTGCGGCTCGACGCCGGCAGCCAGTTCCCGTCCAGCTGCTGGCATCCGCGCACGTCGAGCACCTCCAGCGCCGTCATAGCCTCCGGCAGCCTCGCCATCGAGGAGCGCGCAGCATCCAGCGTCTTCAGGGTCCCGCAGCTCGACTCCGGCAGCCACCCCTGCCCCACCAGCTGCTTGCATCCCCTCACGTTCAGCTCCTCCAGCGACCCCATCCCCTCCGGCAGCCTCGCCAGCGACGAGCCCACGGCATCAAGCTCCCTCACGCTCCCGCAGCTCGACACCGGCAGCCACCCCTCCACCGCCAGCCCTTGCAGCAAGCCACTTCGAGCACCTCCAGCGACCCCATCCCCTCCGGCAGCCTCACCAGCGACGAGCCCGCAGCATTCAGCTCCCTCAGGCTCCCGCAGCTCGACGCCGGCAGCCACCCCTCAACCAGCTGCGAGCATGCACACACGCTAAGCACCTTCAGCGACGCCATGCACTCCGGCAGCCTCGCCAGCGAGGACGAAGTAGCATTCAGCTCCCTCACGCTGCCGCCGCTCGACGCCGGCAGCCACCCCTCCTCCGCCAGCTGCTCGCACTCACTCACGTTGAGCAGCTCCAGCGACCCTATCCCCTCCGGCACCCTCGCCAGCGAAGAGCGCTCAGCATCCAGCGTCTTCACGCTCCCGCGGCTCGACGCCGGCAGCCACCCCTCCTCGACCAGCTCCTGGCACCCGATCACGTCGACCACCTCCAGCGACGCCATCCCCTCAGGCAGCCTCGCCAGCGAGGAGCCCCCGGCGTTCAGCTTCTTCACGCTCCCGCAGCTCGACGCCGGCAGCCATCCATCGTCGTCCAGCCGCGAGCAGTTACGCACGTCGAGCTCTTCCAGCGATGTCATCCCCTCCGGCAGCCTCGCCAACGACACGCCCCGAACATCCAGCTCCCTCACGCTCCCGCCGCTCGACGCCGGCAGCCACCCCTCCTCGACCAGCTGCTGGCATTCGCTCACGTCGAGCACCTCCAGCGACCCCATCCCCTCCGGCAGCTTCACCAGCGATGAGCCCCCAGCAAGCAGCTTCTTCACGCTCCCGCAGCTCGACGCCGGCAGCCACCCCTCGTCGTCCAGAAACTGACACCCGCTCACATGGAGCTCTTCCAGCGCCGTCATCCCCTCCGGCAGCCTCGCCAGCGACGAGCCCACGGCATACAACTTCTTTACGCTCTTGACACTCGACGCCGGCAGCCACCCCTCCTCCGCCAGCGCCTCGCACCCGCTCACGTTCAGCTCCTCCAGCGACGCCATCCCCTCCGGCAGCCTCGCCAGCGAGGAGTACTCAGCATCCAACGTCTCCACGCTCGCAGCACTCAACGCCGGCAGCCACCCCTCCTCGTCCAGCTCCTCGCATCCGCTGACGTCGACCACCTCCAGCGACCCCATCCCCTCCGGCACCCTCGCCAGCGAGGAGCCCCCGGCGTTCAGCGTCTTCACGCTCCCGCAGCTCGACGCCGGCAGCCACCCCTCCTCGTCCAGCTCCTGGCAATCGCTCACGTCCAGCACCTCCAGCGACGCCATCCCCTCCGGCAGCCTCCGCAGATCTTGCCCGTCCACTACCAGCTCCTTCAACCGCGCCGCGACGCCTGCAGGTAGCCAGTCCCCCCCCCACTGCTCAACAATGTCAAACTCATCCCACGACGCCCTGACGACCTCCAGCCCCGTCATCTCCCCCGTGATCACCAGCCGACGCACGTCCGCCACGGGCCCCTCTCCCTGGCCCGACCTCCTGGCCTCCAGCCGCACGATCGCCGCCACGCTGTCGGGGTCCGCACCCGCGCGCCGGTACACCCACCACCGCCCGTCGTCGCTCGTCCGCCCCACCAGCGATCTCGCCCCCGCGGACACGTGCCCCTCCACCTTCCCCGCCACCGCCCTGCCCACCTCCCTTGTGCGTGAAGTCCATTCAGCCCTGTCGCAGCTGCAGCCCTCCAGCACGCACGCCATCGTGCCCGACGACGCAGCCGCGAGGGCGACGCGCGACTTGCTCGGCAGGAGGCGGATGATGTCCCCCAGCGGACCGCCGCCTGGCCCGCGCGACAGGTCCATCAGGGCGAATGTGGGCGCATCCTCGTCACCAGCGCGTGGGCGCTGCGAGGTGCCCGACTCGCCCGCGCAACGACCGCCTCGCGGCTCCATCGAGTGCAGAGATCGTGTCGGTGATGCAGCGCCGCCGTCGGAGCGCCGTGGACGGATCCTGCGCGTGCCAATGAGAGAGGTTGCAGGAGGTGTGGTAGCGGGAGCTGTGAGGGTCGTCCGGCGCGCGCATGCGACCGGGCTCAGCATCACAGCCCGTGTCTATCGTGAGAGACCGTGAGAATCGAGCGAGGGTCTCCTGGAACGCAGCGTCAGGGCCGAGGTCCTTCCAGCGCATGAGACGCACGACATATGCACCGTGCTGGGCCGTCCATGCGACTCTCACGGCAGCCCGCAAGACAGCGTACGTCCTACAAACGGCCGTGCGATCAGCACCAACCACCGCGAGCGCGTTCTGCGAGCACCGCCCAGCGTCTCACCTGCGACAAGCAGTTGCCCGGCCTGCTCTCGTCACAACGCCGATCCCGATGTGCGACCGATCGCCGCCACCAGCACTGACCTCACGCGAGGCGGGCGCGCCCTCATGATGTCGCCCGGGACGGTTGGGGGCCAGTGGCCGCCACTGAGCGTATCCCTCCATGAGGGTACAACTCGGCCGCTGACAGACCACGGACATCGAAGACGCACCGCGACGCACGTGGCAGGAGCCTCCCGCCGGCTCGAGCTCTCGGGCAATCATCCATCGCGGGCCGAGTCGCACTGCTACACGCGCAGATGTGCGCCACACACGCTCGCAGTGTTACACGGACACGGCCGCCCTGTTTGCAGGGTGCAACTCCCACGAGTGCGGCACCCAGCAGGGCACGGTCGCACCGCCGGCTCCAGGGTCATCGCGGCGTCAACACGCACCGTCGGCGGCGTGTGGGCTACGTTCAGCGGTGACGTCATGAGGCCACAACAGGCTGCAAGACGTCTGTCTGCATGACGTCGCCGCTGACGACCAAGCAGGGCGGTCGCCGGCAGTGACCCATCGCATCGTTGATCCGGGGAGTCGACATTCGTACGTGCGCTCACACTGATTGCTCAGAGTCTGGGAAACACATCAAGGACCGCAACTCCTCCGGCACCCTCTGACTGAGACTGAGACTGAGACTTACAAACCGGAGGCGTGCCCCGTGCGGCCTGCGGAGGCAGGGGCGGCCGAGGCCCCGCACTCCCGAACGGCCCGCGAGAGCGCCGACGGTCGCTGCGCTACCGCCGGACGCGAAAGCCCAGGGCGAGGCACCCTCATCCTCGCCGAGGGACCGGCGCTGGTCGCCGGGGTGGGAGGGGTGGCCGCTTGCTGGCACTGCGCGTCTTTTTGAACCCCTGGAGCGGATCAGGGGGCGCCAGCCCGGGACCACCCACCGCATGACAGGCATGACAGGGGCTCGATGGTCCCGCGCAGGCACCGTGGACGACGCGGGCGTGAGGCCTGGGCTCCGCCCACCGCGCCCCGCTTCTCCGGGGGTATCGGAGCCGGGGAGCGACGGCGGCGGTGCGCGCGGACGCAGCGGGGTCCGTGCGCGCCTGGTCAGGCGCGACTCACGCGGCCATTCCTCGACGCCGGGCGGGGTCGACGTCGAGGCGAGGGTGGGACTGCTCGAGAGGGGCTGGGACGGGCCCCCTCGGCGTGTAAGTCCTGCAGCTGCGAGTTCGTGACCAGCTTCCGCAGGCTCCCGCTGCTCGACGCCGGCAGCCACCCCTCCGCCAGCTGCTTGCACCCGCTCACCTTCAGCACCTCCAGCGATGTCATCCCCTCCGGTACCCTCGCCAGCGAGGAGCGCTCAGCACGCAGCTCCATCACACTCCCGCCGCTCGACGCCGGCAGCCACCCCTCCTCGCCCAGCTGCTGTCATTCGCTGACGTTCAGCTGCGCCAGCGACGTCATCCCCTCCGGCAGCCTCGCCAGCGAGGAGGCCGTGGCATACAGCTCCCTCACGCTCCGGCCGCTCGACGCCGGCAGCCACCCCTCCTCCGCCAGCTGCTTGCACCGCCCCACGTTGACCACCTCCAGCGACCCCATCCCCTCCGGCACCCTCGCCACCGAGGAGCCCGCAGCAAGCGTAGCGTTTTTCGACGCTGTCGCCGCCTTCGACCGGCAGCCAATTTCCTCGGCCCCAAAGCCTCGCATCCGCTCGGCCGCTGAGCAGTTCAGCGACCCCATCCTGCAGCTCTGCCAACGAGGAGTCCCGAGCATGCAGCCACGCTCCCGCCGCTCACACACCGCAGCCAATTTCTCCACCGCCAGCTGCTTGCACCGACTCACGTCGAGCACCTCCAGCGACCCCATCCCCTCCGGCAGCCTCGCCAGCGACGAGCCCGCAGCAAACAGCTTCTTCACGCTC